AGGACCCAGTTCTTCACGGACTCATAGACCACGTTTAGATTCTTCATTGGGAACAAACGATACAAACGGTCTCCCTCCACCCAAGGTCCCTCCTTCCATGAAATCAGAAAAACTTAATGCCATTGCACTAATAATCCTGGAGCTGGATGAACAGAGTGGGACGAGGCGCCGGGCGGAGGACGCTATCCGCGCTATTCTCCCCATTGTCGCGCCCTTTTCGCTAGGAAAGGAAAATCCTTCCCGTTGCGGTGGTAGCCACGCCACCTCGACTTGCTAGTTTTGATCGGAATGCTGCGATGTTCGCCGAAGTCAATCGACAAGGTTGATTTTTTATCATTGATGGCTCGTCTTCCAAAAGTCTCAACTTCGAGTTGATTCTACCTTTTGGCCAAGGGGTCCCACTTTTTCAAAGCTTTGGCCTCCGTTTATGCAGCATATGATGCATAGCCGAGCTCCCCTGACAGTGGCAAGGCCACCTCAAAACCATACGCTTTCCCTTGATGGGTCGGCTGCCCTAGCATTACTTATGCCTGTGTTCCTCTTGTCGGAGGCTTTACCATCGAATTCAAGGGGCATGCTTGTGATTGGGTCAAGCAGCCGGCAAGAGGGGCCAAGCTACTAACCCTGACAGTCCCATGGGAGTCGAAGATTATAGGAATCCAAGAATGAAGCGCAGAGAAGTTCTGTAATCTGTACGAACTACGAAGCCATCTCGTCAAATAGTCGACTGACCGGGTATCACATTTGTTGTGACCTGAAGAAAGCCCCCGTCACATGGAAGGGGACCAGCGACAGATTCGCCTTGTCGAGATAGCTGCGACTTTTGAAACCTGCTGTAAATCAAACATGGCATGGGCTCCAGCTCTTGTCATGATCAATGCTGCTCCATGTCAACCGATATATATGCGTGTTCAATGAGGCTTGCTGGTGGTGCTACTGTATGTCAGTGGTGTGCAGACGCTGACCGCCCGACTGGTCAACTGTCTCCAACATGTCGCCTCCAACTCAGCAACCGGATGGGGACACTGGCAGATCCGTGGGCCGCTCAAGCCACAATCCACTTTGGCACGGTCTCGTCTCTTCACTCTCCTACAGAAAAGGTCGAAAGTACCGAGTTGGCAACGATCCATACCGGAAAAGAGTCAGAGAATTTGGGGGTATGTTTCAATCGTGTGGGTTATGATCCACGAGCAGAGCTTTCATTGTCAATCAGTCCGTGGCTGGATCACACGAAACATCTCACTCTCTAGGTCTCTTCGCGATGCCAATACCTGAGGAACGCACAGCAGTCCAAAGAGAATCGAAAGATGTAGGCACCAGATATCGACGAAAGTTAGGGTTTAATTATTTAGTTCGTGTATGATTCAAGTCGGTTCCTTTGGATCTATTTTGGAGAGATCGGCAAAGTGAGTGGCGCATGGCCCCGGGAAGCGAAACGAAAAGAAAATGAAGGAGAAGAAAAGAAAGAATCATCATAAAATAAAATTATGATTAACATGGATTTGGCCCAGGCAGGAAAAACTTGACCCGAAGAGGGCAAGGATCCCATGAAGAAAGGACGAGGATTGTGGATCGGGACTCCGGAACAGATCTTGGGCTCCCATTTTTGGTACCTGGTTACTATATATCTCCTCGGAGTTTGTTTCCCTTTCACAGCTTCCCAGTTTGCGCAATCCAAGCTCGAAATAATCAAAATCCGCAGTTGCCCACCTGGCGGCCAGCCCTGCATGTGTGTTGTGTACCCTACGTCCACAAGTATCTGCACGCTTGAATCCTCCACTTCGAATTCCACATCATCCGAGTAACGGTACAATCATAGTACCACCGTCTCAGAAACGGTAGCCTCGACCCACCGCTGCACGCTTAGAAGAGCCGAGTGCTCTTTGCCCCCTAACCGTTCGAACTTCTGACCAGGAGAATCCGCTCTCGGATCTCGCTCGTTGTGCCCTTTCTCGCCGCATCGTTTTCCAGTTGCGCCTTTTGACTTTGTCGCCTCCCCCGGTCTGTCATTCTTACCTCGGTCTATGAGTGTCCTCACGACTCTTGACCAGGACCCATTTCTTCACTCTAATGCCATCGGTCTTCAGCGGCTCTGTCCCCTTGTCCACCTCAATACATTCCTCCCGGGCCGTCCAGATATCTGCCTGACCTGGCTCGCCTCGTACCTCGATTTTGGAGAGCCCCTTCTATTTGTTGTAGTGATTTTTTAAACTTCCTGCGCAGGACTGTGAAGCTTTTCTGACGCTCGACTGCATCTCTTCCCGCTGTCAGTCGGCCACAGACCAATTGGTGCGCGTGCACCCAACGGTTCGGATACCTCTCCATTGTTCTTTGCCTCCCTCTTATCCGTGCCCACTTATCTTACTCTTAGGTCCCTAAGCATTGCATTTATCCGCCACAATCACAAGCTCGTCGAGCCTCATCCAGCTCCCTTTTGCCTCCTCCACGGTGGCTGGAACCTTTCTAGGGCTGAGTTATTTTTTTCTTTCCTTTTATTCTTTCTTTCTTTCCTTTCGTTACTTTTTTATAACGTTTTTTTTTTTTTTTCAATTTGGTTCATCCCGGCCCATACTCTAGTGATTGGTAAATGGTTCCTCTCCCTTGTATTTTCTTCATTTATTCTTCTTTGATCTGGTTTGGCATGTTTCAATTCCATGTCGTCTCGTTTCCCTCGCCCGCCGTCAAGCTGTTCTATCTCTGATCTTCCTCTTCTGGAACTTTTCTTCATTTTGCTCGTAGCTCTTGGCTCTTTTTGATTTCTCCATTCCTCGTCATCTTGTGGGCAGCTCGTGGTTATCCCCCCGTCTCGGTGGTCTCCATCCAAGCTCTCCACCTTCGCCATCTGCAAAAAGCCGCAGCAGCTCTCGAACAGGCGACAGGTACAGCCGGTACAGCAGGTACCTGTGCACTTGCGTTGGGTCCCGTGCTGTGCCCCCCTTTGGCTCCATTTGGACCAAGCACCCTCGTGGGTCCATCGTGCTTCTTTTTCTGCTTCGTCTTCTTCACTGTTGCCTTCGTCCTGTACCGCATCCACCTTGTCCTCTCAACCCGCCCCTCTCGCCTCGTTCCGCACGGTACGTGCATGCGACAGTTGAGTCTCCGAGTCTCTGCGTCTCTCGGATGACTCGATTGACCTCCCCATTCTTGTTGAGCCACACCCGTTCCCTCGGTTCGGGTCTCCTGCGGTGCACCTGGCTCGTCCTTCCCACTAGCCTGGCCCTTGATCGGCCTATCACTTGGCCTCGCTGGCCCTTTATTGTCCCCTTTGGGTATCCATCCTTCTGCTGCTTCCCCCCCCCCCCCCCCCCCCCCCCCCGATTCCCCCGTTTCATCTCCAAAAATACTCCAAATAGTTTAGCGTTGCCTCTCACCTCCCCGCGGACCTCTTTTCCCTCCCGTGACAGATTGAACTGGACCGAGACCTCTATATCTCTTTGTCGTGCTCGGGCTTCGCCGACTCAGACACCGATCTTCTCGCACTAGAGAGTCCTTGCCCGTTCTTCAGCGGACTCGGTTCGTGTGTGTCTTCTCTGCGGTTGTCCCGCTAGTCTAGCGTTAGCGAGGTAAGCTCCCACTGCTGTTTCTTGTCCCATACACGCCGCGATTCCCTCGCCCTCGGGTTGCATGTTGTATTCGTGTTGTATTCGTGTTGGTTGAGTGTTGATTGTGCTGTATCACTTTGTGTTGTCTGCATCTATCGCATCGGTTGGTTCCATCCTCTGCTCCCGTCTCGTGCTCTGTTCTTCGTTGTGTGCGCACTATCAATGCCCTACGAGGGCTAAGCGTCCGTCCCGATTGCGGTGGACCAACCCTCTTGGCGAAGTCGCTGCCTTAAACACCAGTGAGAGATGGTTGGTGTACCCTGAGACCCTCTGCCCACTCCTTTCGACAAGAAAGTACCTCTTGTTAGCCCTGCTGCCCCTTATCGGACGGAAGTATTCTTTGGTTTGAACACAGTTCACGAAAAGAAAAAAAAAACAAACATACATACAAGAGAGATCGGTTGCAACGCCCTCATTGTGAGACGACTGTGACATTTGCACCTTGACACTTTCATTCTGTTCCTCTCCTCTACATCCTTCTCCCATTACTTGTCAGGTTTTGAGGTTGCCCTGAAGCTCTCTCGAGTTTCAAACCCTATTCTCCTCGCACCCTTGAAACCGAACCAACGTGATCCGACATCTCACATGACTTGAAGGGGCCAGATGACACTTCAATGTCTTTGTCTCTTCCTTTGAATGTGAGCTCTGACACTGCGCACGGTGATGGAAATCAGTCCCTCCAATTCAACTTCACCAACCCGTTCCCTTTTCTTCCTCTTGGCATCCCTTGAGCTTCACCGTCCTTCCCTCTCATCCCCTGGTGAGGTTGCCGGAACCTATCTGGTGGAGCACATCAAGATATGACCACCAAGCTCCTCTTATGTGCGATGGTCATCATCTTCTCAGCCTCCTCCTCGGCTTGAGGATTCTATACCCCGGCCCTCGAAACCGATTTTCCACAACCGCTTCTAGGTGGCTATCATACTCGCGGAGTCCAGCACCTGCTTGTGAACATCTTGTCGGCGTCACTCATACCGCCCCATCCCCAGCATGAATGACACCCTGATTCACCTCCTTTGCCTCTAGTCGCAAGTCATGATTGATGTATCTTGTCGTCTTTTCCATCGCGTTGTTACATTTTCTGCAGACAAGATAGGGCTGACACCAGTATTTGGAAGTGTTCTCCCTCTTTCTGCATTGGTGATAAAGACATTCTGGTCAGGCATCTTGCGATCTGGGAATTGAAACAATTCTACTTTGGGGGGTCCTTTGCCTACGTGGAAGGTCTGAAGAGGCCCGAAGCAGCTTGGGGCTCTTTCGGGTTCCGCGTGCAAGGTTAGTTCGTATATCATCTGGATCGACTTTGCCGTGGACTCGTCAAGCTCACTCGTGACAAGAAACTTGATTCGTTGTCGACGTGTATAACTTGACGGCGTATTGTTCACAACATCAGCCTCCATGTGCAATGCATCTCCGGACAAGACCAACACGGTCCCGGGGTCAGGTGAGGCATTGCCTCCAGAATCACGTCTGGATGCGTCGCAAACCAATCCGACACCCGGTAAGTGTTGGATCTCAAGTACTCCAGATCCTACAAAAGCTCCGTTCTTCTTTTGCTTTTGCGGGCAAAACCCCCTGGCCTCGACCCACTGCAACATCTTCATTAACGTCTTGGACATGATTGTGTAGGGACGTCAAGTGGACGCGGGGCCCCCTCTCGACCAGGTTACTCACGACACTCTTCGACTTCGTCGTCAACCTTCCCGAACCCAAACCAAGCCCGTTATGGACCGCCGTCTCCATTGAATATGAGCCACATGGCTTATTCACTTCCGACTCATCAGTCGCCATCCTCCCCGTTCGAGGTGCAACACCTAATGCACCAATATCCTACGACCCATCCTCATGTGCTCCCCTACCCGATGCAATCTATGAGCCACTACCCTGGTCAGAACACTGGAGGGAACATGCCATTTGCTGCACCATACCCTCCAGCTTACATACCTTATCCCATGCCTCAACCCCCGCCCACGCAACACGCCACGGGCCATTACCCGCAGTACGTATTGAGTCCGACAATGCAGCTAGCGCCGGGACAAGTGTCTCCCTTCGGGGCTGGATACTACCATCCTGCCGGCTACATACCCTTCTCTCGACATGGATCACAGTCTGAATCGGCCCAATTGTGCAATCCAGGGATACCGTCTAGACAGGCAAGTTTCTCGCAAGCAGTACCCGCACCAGGCGTCACGACCGGGACTACAAGAACGGATACCGACAAGCGAGGCGCAAAGGGCGATTACGATGTGACCAAGACGATTGTGGATGGCTCGAATACGAAACGACCAAGCCAACCTGTATCTACCACTTCCGGTACGTTTTGGGTCTTTGTCTGTCCAGAACGTTTGCGCAGACAGCCGTCTCCATCACGAATCCACTTTTTGGATAATTCAAGCTGACCAATATGCAGATCCTCAACACGCATATCAACCGCTTATCCCACCACCCGGAACTCCTCGCGGACCCCCTCGAAAACCAAAACAGTCCGGTCATGCTCTTTGGGTAGGCAATCTGCCACCCGGGGCCAGCGTGGTCGACCTGAAGGATCACTTTTCACAGGATGCGGTCGACAGCATTGAAAGTGTGTTCTTGATCTCGAAGAGCAATTGTGCGTTCGTGAACTATAAATCCGCTGCCGCATGTGCGGCGGCGCTGGCTCGCTTCCACGACTCCCGATTTCAAGGCGTACGGCTAGTGTGTCGACTCCGCAAGGGCTTTACCGCGCCAGGATCGGGGCTGGGTAGCGGTGCAGTGGGTATGGGAATGGGATCAAGTGGTGGGGTCTCTCATTCTCATCCTGGGGACCTCGCTGGTTCCTTCGCCGGCGTCGAGACGGGACCGTTGCCTAACCCTTCAAACTCTGGACCTCAACGGGGAGGGGAGCCACCACGCATGCCCGAACGGTACTTTATTGTCAAAAGCTTGACAGTGGAAGACCTTGAGTTGAGCAAACACAGTGGGATTTGGGCGACGCAGACGCACAACGAGGTGACTTTGAACCACGCATTTGCAGTAAGTGATACTGATGTCCGAGTCTGCTAGCTTTTGATCAATTCTCTCCTTTCTAGCATTTTAGCCGAAAATGCAAGCTTGACTGACTTCTCCCTCTCCCACTCCCAGAACACGGATAATGTCTATCTTGTATTTTCGGCCAACAAGTCTGGCGAATACTTCGGCTATGCACGAATGAAATCGCCCATCAACGACGACGAGGATCTTACAATGGAGATGCCACCACGTCCAGAGCCGCAACTCGGAATGGCCGACGAATTCGAAGTAATCGTCACCGCTGCGACGCCGAGCGCACCGAAAGGTCGAATTATTAACGATTCCGCTCGCGGTACAATCTTCTGGGAGGTTGAATCGTCCGAAGATGAACACGACGCTGGGCCCAGCGACGACAACAGGGTCGAGGGCCGTGGAGCCGGCCTCGACACTCCTCCTCCTCCTCCCTCTCCTTCACTTCCTCCTCCTCAACCCGCCCCCGTTTCCACAAACGAGGCCGCAACGGGGGGGATGACTGGAGACGAAGAAGAAATTCAAACATTTGGCAAGCCATTCCGGATTCAATGGCTGTCGACTGACCGAGTACCATTCCATCGTACACGAGGGTTGCGAAACCCGTGGAACGCCAACCGTGAAGTCAAAATCGCGCGCGACGGAACGGAAATTGAACCGACTGTTGGTCGCAAACTGATCTCGCTTTTCCATTCGTGTTGAGCGTGAATCTCACGCTACTTGTTCTGGAAAGAGCATGTGCATTCGAACTGCATCTTTGGTCTGAAAGTGACACTCAAGAGGGGGAAGAACGACGGGGAGTTGAACACGATATACGATGTGTTTCATGCTTTCTTTGCTCTTGCCGTTCTCTGATTCCTCTCCACCGGATTTGAGGCCGTGAGTATCTGCGGTGGGTTGATAGCCAGCGGAGTTTTGCAATGACTCGCACTGGATATCATTGGACATGCGATCTGGGTCTGATTATTGCATACGCTACTGCCAGGTCGACTCTTGACATCAATGATTACCGGGATGGTATGATTCCAAAGACATGCCCGAGTGATTTGATCTCGAGGAATTGACCTGGATGGCGAGTCGCGAGTTGTCTGAAGCAACTAGAGATTGATGATTGATCTCTTGCCTTTGCTCATCCTCAAATTGTTCTTGGGGCCGCGGGCTTGCTTTGAGATCCATGTCCTAGTCTATTCGGCGGTGGTGGGGCAGGAGAAAGTGTCACGTTCAGTTCACGGACGCAGGAATGTACCGGGACAAGTCGATATGGAATACGAACAAGGACTTTGCCGTCGGCTCTCATTTCCATATATCCCATCGTAATCGGGAGATGGGAATATGGGACCTGCTGCGACTGCTCTGAGGAGGTGGAAGCGGCTTGGAAAAGGCGGCCCTTGATAATGTTATTCACATGCACAACTAAAATCTTAATGGGAAACGAGCAATACACGATGTATGTCCATTTTATTTTTGAGCTTCTCTTCGCATTTTCTCCCAATCGTTTTTCCTCTCCTCCATGGCCTGTTTTTTCTTTAGGCCCACTATGTACTTCCCCAAGCATCTTCATACACGATATCTGAGCGGGAGGGGTTTTTTTTTTGCCGAGTTGTTTTGTCACTTATACATACACAAACCTTGCATAGTACATGTCGTCCAACTGATCTTCCGCGATTTAGTACGGGAAGAACCTTCAGATAAGGCAATGTCTTTTGTCTCGACGGATGCTGGTTCAATTACGTTTTTTTCTGTCTTTTATGTACGATACACCTACTACCTACCTTAATCAATTTATTTAACGTCAAATCCCGTGACATGAGTCTCGGTGCATACCACTAGTAGTACTTGTGACTTGAGTATCAGAGCTTAGTATGTGACTACTTTGATAACCTAGTAGATTAGGTAGGACTGGGTTCGGTAGGACTAGGTTCACCACCTTTCTTCACTGATATTCGCGTCTCAGACGACGACGCTCGAGCTCGAGGCCGTGTATAGTTCTGGGATTGAGTCGTTGACGAGGAGGGATATCTTATAGGGGTGGTGCAGTGCAGAATTGCACTCATACCGTACATGGCAGGGATGAAGTGGTCTCGGCTCTTCCTTATCGCAACAGTACCTATCGTTAGTATACTACTAGGTAACTCGTAGAGGTACAGGAAGGTAGGTAGTATCCGGCTGACGCCGGATGATGGGTTGGAGGAACCTTCCGCCTCCCCCGCAATTCCTGGAATTACTGATTTGGGTGACTTTTCCAATCACGTGTCGAGAGTCGAGAATGCAAAAGTCAGGATCTTACCGGGTCCAGTGCCCATGACCCAGTGACCAGTACTTACTTGGAGTGGGGATATCTGCACGATTTGTTTGATGCGAGCGGGGAGCTCAAAGTGGTTGTCTTTCGGGGTTGTGACTCCGTTGCAGTGGGTAACTTAACTTGGGTAGGTGGTGATTAGTTGGTAGACTACTAGTTGATCTTACTTTTGAAGGAATGTCTTGGCTCTTTTAAACTTTCGATTAGCAACGTGAACTGTCCAGTGGATTATCTCTAGATGGGACGCTGTTACTGTTCCCTCTGTAATATACACTATATACAATCTGCAGTAGATTCCAATTTCATAACAATTCCCCCAAGGTTGAACGCTATCCGCTTCCCTTGAGCCCTTTAGGGTTTTCTCTCCTTCCAAGAGACTCGACTATGGTCCTCGTGCTCTCTGCCTCTCCACACGGCCCGCCCTCCCGTCGACCTTTCACATCCGTGTCTTCCGGGCTGCAGATGGAAAGACAAGACTGCACCGTTGTCTCTCCTCATAGTCGTCAACGCTCAACACACGTCACGATGGACAGTTCCTGCAGTGCCGGTGGCACACCCAATGAGGTATACCAGAGTACGCACCGGCTCTTAACCACACACGCAGCATCCCCTTCTACGAGTCCCTAGTACTCGTCATCTCTCTGCCACCTCTAGCCTCTTGGATCTTACCTGACTCATCATGTCATTAGTTCGCGTCTCACTCTTGGCTCTTGACAGTCTACGCAACCATGGAAATCTAGACGACCCCGGATTTTCAGCTCAACCCTTGTATACCTCGACTCTGTCCCGTGCAAACCTTGACGGACTTCTTTCAACCCGATAAGAGATCAGACAGTCGGTAGGTCATTGTCTGGACCCGCCGATTGGTCCAGGACGATCTATCTAGGTTTGAGTTTGGCCTTTTGCGTCGAGTGTGCTTCGTCATTTCCAAGGTTGGCGACGCGAGTGGACGATTTGATTCGGGGGAAGGGAAAAGGTGGGACGAGTGGACACTGGACAATCTCTTTTTTTTTTTTTTTTTTGACGTCTTGTCTAGATGGGTCTTTTTTTTTTCTTTCTCTCTTCTCTCTTCTCGACAAGGTCTTGAGTTTACATTATCTTTGGGACGTTTTGGTTCCATCTCTCTGGTGGGGAGGGCTTTCTTGGGGTTGAGTTTACGCCACCAGAAGGGGTGCTTCTTTGGACTGGTTCATGGTGACAGATGACAGATGGATCCGGGGGTTGATTCTATAGGTCGTTTTGGTTTATCTGTCCGCTGTAGCTGGACTCTGGAGACGGGACCATTCATGGTACGCATTTGGCAGAGAATTCTTGTTTTGTGGGTAATGGCGTACGAACGACTGTACAAATGTACCGTATACGAGTAGTTCTAAGCTTCTACCTCGCCCTCGAATCTTCATGGGGGCATGGAGACAAAGACAGCTCCGGTCCAGAAGTTTGTCTTCCCATCTTGGGTTCGTACATTAAACCCAGTACCTAGATCGCCAGACTTGGTGCAAAAGACCAGACGCAGTATACCATGTATCTCTCTGATTCGTTGCATCAAGGACGCAAGGTGAAGAGAGATCATTGACAATCACTATTCCCGTGCTATCCTGTCCTGTACTGGTCAATTAAGTTTACAGTTATGTCATGATCCTCCAGTTCCATCCTTTTCCCCGCAATGATCTACCTACTCTCGTTGGCCCTCTTCGCTCCGGATCTAGCCAAGTGCGCTGTTTTCCCCCGCTTGGCGGTTGACTTTGGCTTTGATCTGCTGAGGATAGATGGGGTCGTGGATACCCAAGTCCTACTGGAAGTAACTTCCTAGAGACGTCGGTGGGTCTGGGCATGCATCTGGTTCGTGATTTTTTGTTCTGGCCGTCTAGTAAGATACGAGACCAACTTGCCCCAGGCTCAACTAGTGACGAGTAAACTCCCAAGTCTACAGAGGGAGTCTTCTCCAGTCTGGTCAACTTGACTTTGAGATTGGCGGGTGAGTGCTCAGCTTCCGGGGTGTAAGTCCAGTCGAAGAGGGTGGGACAGTACTTTTGTCCAGGATCCCGTGCCTGAGGGGAAGGGGAAGGGGGGGGGTCTCGCAGTGCTTGACACTTGTACGATTTGTTGATTGGAGTGGTGGTGATGGGGAAGGAAGAGGTATGTCCAGACTTTGCCGTGTTTTGTGGGGTGATTAGAGGTTAGTGTGAAGGTTACCTGAGGATTGAGGATTGAGTATAGGTGAGCGGTGATCGGTGATCAAGGGGGCGTGGAGGAGGAAAGCTGAATGGAAGCCAAGAGCAGAAGGGATCATGGAACACATGCGCATGAGTCTGACTGGTGTGCGGATGAGGATGAGAATGTCATTGCTCGGGTTTGGGGATTGGGTGCTGTTGGAGTGGTCGAGATGTGGATGATTTGCGGGGAAACTGAGTCTACAGGGTAAGAGGGTAAGAGGGTAAGAGGGTAAGAGGGTAAGAGGGTGAGAAATAAGATTTGGTACCGCAGTTGGTGGAGAGAAAAGGAGAAGTATGGGAGGAGGAGAGACCAGGAGAGCGGGCGACACTCATACTGTAGTCTGTAGGTCTAGTGGTCTACACTCTACAGTCGTGTCAGTAGTCAGTAGTCAGTATTAATAGTATCTTTGTGTTGAGCAGACATTAGTTTATACTCTAGTCTACTCTAGTTTATACTCTAGTCTACTCTAGTCTATACTCTAGTCTACTCTAGTCTATACTCTACTACTCTCAGTCCCAGCTGCAAAAGGCCTACCGGATGGAGAACTTGACCCCATCTTTGGGTGATGCGCCGGAGACGGTCCGTGGGTCCCCCACTAAACCACTTTGGGACTTTCGGTGATGCAGCCTCGACGCTACCCCGGATTCGGGGGTCCAAGCTTCCTCAGTTACAAAGTGAGTCCTTATGTCCTACTGAGTTACTATTGACTCGGTTGTATCCTGATCACCTCTTTCGTTCCCAGTCTGGCCCTGCTGTCGTCTTTCGTGTCTGATTCGAAGAACTCTTCCCCCCCCCTCCGACCGCCCATCCTGCTCTCCTCGGTAGCATCTCGTCATTGAGGTTGGAACCTTTCTGGTCGATCCACTGTCGATTCTGTGCTCATCGAGACCCAAAATCCGAGAGACGATCAGCTGATCTTTCCCTCTTGGACAGGCCCCGCCGTTGGATCGGCCTGTGGATCCCCAAGTCTGCATCCTCTGCCTCTTTGCTCTCCGCATCGATACGCCATTTCTCTGCACCGCGCATCTTTTGCTCAGATCGTTTGCATCGGACACACGCAACGTCGCTGGGTAGCTGCAGGAGTGGCCCTCTCCGCCGTCCAATCCCGCCCTTTGGTCGCAAGACCGACGACGCTTATCGGTGACACACCATCTCTCGCCCTCTTACCACACCGAAAATCCAGCAGAGTTGGACGACGAAGAAAGACACTTTACTCCACACTCACACTGTACATGAGGACCAGAGTACTACACTACTACACCCTGCCGCCTTCCCCAGACTGCGCTCGTACTGGCACTTCCAAGGATCGACCCCCTCTCCTCATCCCTCCATCCTCTCTCCCCCGGGCTCGCTTCCCTGAACCGTTCGGACCTTTTCTTTTCTTCTTCCTCTCCCACGCTACAACTTTCTTCCTTTCGCTTCTTCTTCTTCTCCTTCTTCTTCTTCCTCCTCCTCCTCCGCCCACTCTCCTCTTCTTCATCCATCTGCTCTTCCTCGAAACTCACTGTCCGATCATCGATTTCCTCCCGCCATCACTACCTCTGATCCTTCCATTCCATTCCCCAATCTCTCCTCCACTGATTGTCCGCCCCCCCCCCCCCCCCACCCTCTCCACTATCTTGATCTCTTCCCCCTTCATTGCATCGTCTCCCTCCACGTCATTCCACCATCTCCTTCTCGACCTCCGCCACACCCTGGCTTTCTTCTTCCACCCGCCGCCAGTCCCGCGTCGTACCACCATCGACCGATCGACACAGATTCGCCGTTGATCGCATGATAAGGGCGGCCAGTCCGTCCGAACTCAATTGCGCGATTGCTCCCTCTGAAACAATCTCACAATTCCACCATTGAACCTGTAGATCTTGCATCTTTTTTTCTCTTCTCTCCCTCTCTCTCTCTCTTACTCTCATTCTGTCTTTTTAACTCTTCGACTTTTTCTTCCCCCACTGTATTCTGATCACCAATCCTACCATCCTGTCAAATCACCTGGTCTGTTTAAACTCCTCTTCATCATGTCGGACGATTCTTCCACTTCGCCCATCTCGGTCCCCTCGTCCGAGAACCGCCCTCGTCGGGGCTCCTTCGCCAGTCTTCCCTTCTCCGACCTCTTCTCCAAGCCTTCCACCAGCGCCTCGAGCCAACCCCCAGCCAGCAACGCGCAGGCCATCCCTCAGCGTCGACTTTCCATCACCACCCTCGGACTGTCTGGATCGCCCACGCAGACCTCCTCCGCCTTTGGCAGTCGATCCTTCCGTCGAGGCAGTCTCTCCAGCTCGTGGAGTTCGGTCCCCCCCAATGATGATGTCGTGGCCGAGGAATCAGAGCCGGCCTCTGCTTCCGGTGGAGTCACGCCGGGCTCCCCCTTTTCACGGCGGCTGTCCTTTGGTGCTCAGGCGCTGCGTGAGGCCCGAGCGGGAAGTATAGGCAACGGTAGATACCCTCCCCCAACCTCTACTGCTCCCCCCGTCGTCTTCTTCTTCCTCCTTTACAGCGGGAGTGCGGCGGTCTGCATCCACCGCAGGAGTGCCGGTGGCTTCCGCCTCTCTGCCCCGGCGGAACTCTCCTCCCACGGTTTCCGGTGCTACACCTGCTTCTGTCCATCTTACTCCTATTGCTGCTGCTGCACCTGCTGTCTCCTCCCGATCTCCCGCATCTGCAAATTCTGCCGCTGCCCTTTTGGAAGAGAGATCTAACACCTCATTACGCCGACCAGGCGAAGGCTTCAATTGGACCGAAGCACTTCGACACCGAGCAGAACGTGCCCCTTCCCTCGGAGGTTCCTCCGTGTCTCCTCCCCAGGTCAGTCGCCAGGCCAGTCACCAACGGGCCGCGTCGATTGCCACCATGGAGCAACCCGTGCGCGAGATGCCCAAGCAAGCCAAGCAGAACAAGCCGGATTTCTTCCAAGAGAAGATCCTCCGTGGTGATTTCATGGATTGATCTGGACTGCTGTGCGCACATGATTTCACTACCGTTTGTTTTTGGGTTCGAGTTTTGATTGGATATTTTCATCTTGGCATGTTCGCGACCTGGGAAAAATCCGCCAACAAAGGAGGCTTTTACTTCCAGTGCGACCGACACTGTTGACACTCGACTGTCGACTGTTGTGATATGCGACACCGCCATGAAATGTGGACTTTTTCAATTTACGGAGTTTTCAGGAGGGTCGGGCATGAAGTCCATCGGTGGATTGGAATGATTTTGTGGATACATCTTAGTGTTTTTGGGAGTTGGTTTGAAGAGAGAATTGTTGGATTTCTCCAAATTGTCACCCGGGAGTGCATTTGACGGATGGGGTTTTCCTGGAGATCCCCTTGGGAGTGATTTGTTATGTTGAGTTTGATCTTTGTGGCATTCTGCGGATGTACACATCATTTTTTTTATGTGTCGGTTTTGTGGTCTACGACTACCACTACCACTACCACTTCTACGCCCCGTGGACCGTCGGTTCTAGAGGGTGGTCTCTCATCCTGGTGATGATGTGCAAATATGCAAGTTGTGAATGAATAACCAAATTGAATGGACTACACAAGACGATTCTCAGGTGCCTCAGTAGATGAAGTTATATGACGACTCGCTTTGACAAAATGGTTCCAAGCCTAGACAGTAGACCTCCCCTGTAGTATAGACGGCGATGAAAAGTCCCGTCAGGACCACGATTAAGTGCAAGACTAGACGAGTACACGGAGGTCTGCAGGTGGACGCTGTGAGTCGACCATGTGCTGCTCATTATGATTTGAGCTTTGAATAATTGCGGAGCAAAGTGACGCTATAATACTGGGGCCAAATCTTATAATCGGACAATAAACAGTAGATATTAAGTGATAAGACAATAGGTGATTTCAATGGCTTCCATCCCATTCGACAATATACTTACTCCCGGACATTCAATCCGTGTTTCTGCTCTTCTGCTGAGTGCTGTCCCGTAGCCGGAGGATACTATAGTCTATACTAGTAAACGTAAACGTCTAGAATTGAACGATGACGTCGAGAACACACGTATCCCGTATCCACGTATCACCCATCTCTTTAGTAAATGACCTCCTACGAACAGTACCCCTGTAAGAGCGCCACTCCCAAACACCTCAATAAGGTAAGGGAAGGTAGTATCCAGCGGTGCGCGTGAGTCTTCAGCGTGGTCTTGAGTCCGTTGACTTTTCATGGTATGTGCCAATTACCCAATATACTAGCTTTTTCAGCGTACCAGGATCCGTCCAGGGCTCGCTTATCTTGTTCGTAACTTTCCTGGCCTGGCCGCTGGCTTCTGTCGTAATGCCTGGGCGGTATTCCGGAACCCGGCGTAATGCGTTGGATATGTAGTTCGTAGTCTGCTGGGGAGTCCGGGTGTGACGAGACTCTTTGGGTAGTATCTTCTGATGAGACTCTCGGACTCGGTCTCGGTCTCGAGATCTAGGGGAGATATCATGAGGGGAGATTCAGTTTGGAGAAGGGACCGAGGCCGATTCAGATAGTCGGATGGTCAGCACGAGTATAAATGAATCCAGGTCAGAGGGAGTAGAAAGCTCGTCGATCCAAGATTCCATTTTCCGGAAGTGTATGTTTCAAGCTGCGACCTCATTGAATTGGAAGAGGTGAGAGATATTGAAGGGGGGGGGGGGAGTAGATACATAAGGTTGCAGGATTAGTCCAATTACATGGTATCTCGCAAGAGCGAGATAAGAAAGACAGTGGCTTGAGGCGAAATACCTCGATCAAAGGACACTGCACGATATCAGGCTTTCAACACCAGTTGGTATGGGCGACTTTGAATTTGAACTGGATGAAAATATGGAGTGGGAGAGTGTCATTGGATTGTGGCCGTGTGTGAGTGGATTCGATAGGAGGTTGGCAGTTGGGTCGAGGAGTAGTTTATTTTCGGGTCTATAGGTACGTGTGTGAGATGAGACCTCGTCCCTCGAGTAAACTGACCTCGGTATATTCGTCCAGTCCGTTCAATGCGAATCTCTGTCTATATCATTGGTTGTAGATCACATTGGGCGTAAATCACGCGGCTTCAAAATCGGTGCAATTTGGTCTATTTCACACCGTGAAATCTCACGCCAAAGGGACTCTGCTTGTAAATCCACTGCACTCAGTGCGCTGGGCGCTGCCCTCACGCGGCCATTCGCTTCCCAATCTCACTCTGCCAATTCCTTGACTTTTCAAAGCCATTCGACCCGGTCTGATAATCCATCAATGCCTGGTACACCTCCTCTTGACTGTTCAACACAAACGGCCCATACTGCACCACCTTCTGATCCAAGGGCTGGCCCGCCACCAACAAGAACCTCGCCTCCTTCCCGGCGCCTTCCCCCTCGGGCACAAACGCCTCGACCAGATCCCCCTCCTGCTCAAAAACCACATTATAAAACTCGTCCACCACCTTGGTCTGCTCACCACCTCCAAACACCGTCGTCCCCGCCAACGTATACGCAAACGCATTCCACCCCGTGGGCAGAATCTGCCTCACCGTCCCGCCCGGCCGAATCGTCACATCCAACAACCAGACAGGCGTGTACGCCAAATCCCTCACCGAGTCCACCCCGTGCGACTGGCCCGAAATCACTTTGATCTCGACCCGGCCCTCGTCGGTCTTCACGAGGGGGATCTCCTCCGCCCGCAGATCGCGATACCGCGGCTCGCACATCTTCAACGCCCGCGGCAGATCCACCCACAACTGCATGCCGACGTTGGGCGCCCCGTCCTCGTTCTCGTGCGGCATCTCCGCGTGCATGATTCCCCGGCCCGCCGTCATGAATTGCAGATCCCCCGGGCCGATGGTCCCGCGGTTGCCGGCGAAATCTTCGTGGTCGACGCCGCCGGAGAGCAGGTAGGTGATGGTTTCTTGGCCGCGGTGCGGGTGGTCCGGGAAGCCGGCGCCCTTGCCGATGGTGAAGTGGTCGAGCATGAGGAAAGGGGAGAGGTTGCGGAGCGAGGGGGTGCCGATGGAGCGGCGGACGCGCGCGCCGGCGCCTTCGGACTGTTCGATGGCGTGGAGGATTTGGCGGATCGGGCGGGCAGTCATGTTGGTGGTGGATGTGTTGGTGTCGGTGTTGGTGGGACTGAGTGGCTGGGAGAGGTTTGTTCTGGTGAAGAGCTTATGAAGAAGAGGGTGTTGTTGGATCGGGAGGAGAACGTCGTCGAAGAGATTGGAGAGGGTGGTCTGTATAGTTGAGCTGCTTGGATGGTAATAAGCGAGGAGGATTGCCGAGATGCAAATGAGAATTGGAAAAAGTGGTTTCATGGGGGCGCGAGGGAACAGCGCCTTGATATAGGGTGAAAAGAGATGTGCAGAGAGGATGAGCTCGAATGTTCGAGTAGATTTCGATCTGATCGACTGTAGGTAGTAGGTAGTAGGTAGTAGGTACACAATCACGTATACAGAAGAAGAAGGAAGAAGAAACTCCAGGAGAGGTGAATTGACAGATGGACAAAACGTCATGACACCATGGAGATTGAGGGATTGTCAGCCTTAGTCACGACTTGATAATACTACCTGAGCTCGTATTAGTGTCAGTAGCCAAGGGCAAGGCTCCTTCCACTCGGCATATGGATCTCGAACCACACGTTAATGCAGGGTCTTTGCTTTGCAAGAAATCAGTCAGCCAAAGTGCTCTCGCATGCGGGGGGAGAGTATCGGCGGAATACAGAAGCTCATCAGACCCAATCAAAAGTCATGGCCATGCGGAATTACGGAAGATGATGCACTGGGAGTCCGAGCGTCGAGACTCGGGATCGATGGAAGGTCTGACTAAGAACCCAGTCAGCGACCGACCGGAAGCCCTAATCGAAGAAGTTTAACTTCGGCACTGACTACTCACGGATACGGAACCGATAGATTGATCAAAGATGGTCGTCTATACCTGCTTTTCAGATGGACCACATGGATCACCGGGGACTCAGTATTTGAATCGTACTCGCATGATAGTGAGGAGATTCTGAAACTTCACTGGGTAAGGTAAAAGTCCTTGGCCGAGGGTCGAATCTCTTAAGGTCACTGATATGTCATATGGTTAGGGGAAGATACATCGATTCTATCCTGAAAGTTAAAGCTCTTGAGTACCCTACTTTCTCATGTGCGAGAGAACAACTCTGCAAATCTGCAACGAAGTTAAAATACAAGAAACTCATGACCCGGCCATCTAAGTATCTCCATCGCGGTATATGTGTACTTGCTCAAGACGTGAAATGAGGGTTCAGTCACGGCAATACACGAATTTCGAAATACATTGGGGATTATGAGGTCACATCCATGATGGAGATGAGCTAAGGGATATCTCAACACCTTCCGATCCACTGACTGAATATATCGACGACTTGTCCATGCACGGTTTCATGAATGAATCACGGCGGAATCCACCAGACTAGGGTTAAACGGATGAGTGTTCCAACATCCTTGTTATCGAGCTGTGTCAATTGGCGTTCCAAGTAGACGATGTCAGGTTTCTGAAGTGAGCAGAGAGATAGATTATCATCTCGTCTCCTATCCATCCGCACGAGTCTTTGACGAACGTACGTTTGGTCAACAAGCTGGTCAATAAGATTGACTTCCTCATCTTCCTCCGTAAGTCCCTGCCCCTTCCTCGCCAGGCCCCGCCTTGATCGTTTTGTCGGCTTCGCGGGTTCGACTCGCTCAAGGATCTCTTCTGCTGCCGGGGATGTCGCTCTCCGAAGTAGACCCCACGCATGCTGTGTGGCTCCGTGCCGCGTTTGAAGTCTCCAGTAATTGTACACGTTTATGGCATGTGCGACATTTGCCACTTGACGTGCGCGCTTACTCCATGCTTCTCCAGGCCTATTGAGACGTAATTGATGGAATACTGGCCAGCCTTGCCTTTCTCCAAGAATCTTCTCGAGTTCCAATTGTCGAGGGGCTGATGCCAGTTCCTTCCGGAAGAGATCATCGTATCGTGACTTGCACGAAGCGACATCTATTCAGGCTCAGGCTGCGCTTCAGCTGTTTTGCCAGGTCCTGAATGAGAGTGACGGTGTAGAGAATGTTGTAGAATTGCCGCAGAATGGTGCTGCAGCTTGTGCTGGAAGATGGCGTAAAGACTGAAGAGGAGAGGGATGCGTGGACGATGTTAAAAAGTGCAAATCCACGTTTGAGCTCCGAGATGAGGCTGTCGATAAAGGCAGAAACATGAGTGTTTAGCGAATCCTCGGCTCTTTGGTCCTTGAAAATTAGATCTTGAGGAAACTTGGAGTGAAGCAACGAATGTCGAGTCAGCACTGAAGTGCTCCATACACGCTTTGTTGCAGTCTCTTCTAATTTCAGTCAGATGAATCTGAGATCAAAAGGAGAAGGATAAAACGAAGGAACAAATGGATCTTCATTCAGCCTTCGATGGTTCGTAGTACCACGTGCCGTCACAGACAACACAAATGGTCAATACCTGGTATCTACTTTGGTGAGGTCTTCCTCGATACACTCTGTGAAGGCTTTGCCGAAAGAGATGGAACAGATCTAGATGTAAGACGGAAAGAGTATCGGACAATAACAAGAGAATCCCGTCCGAGAGACTCGTTATGAATGGATTATCTTACTATATATTGCTCGAGTAAGTAGAATACAATAGGGAGACGAAAGCCCAATGACCGTAACATGATATCAGCCTGGATTCATATCAGCAGACCGCTTGGAACAGCGACTGTCACACACTCCTGCCGCTCAAAATCAGATTCACCGAGGATTATCGAGATGTCGCAGCTGCACAGTAAGATTATGTCTTTGACTCTGAGCCAGCGGCGGGGAACTGCATCCTAGCTCGAGGGCGAGATATCCCACAATGCGCCTGAAGATGGACACAATCTTTCTCAATGATCTAATAGAGGGTGCTAGTGACTCGTTGCACGTGTTCGTCTTGCCCAGCAGACCGTCCGGGTCCATCTGCGTCAACCACGATTTCGGCTATTTCTACGAAATCTGTAGTACATGGAAACTGATCGTTTTCACCGTGCTTACCAGACGATATCGTCTACATCCCCCCCAACTTTTTCTTTTTGAAGAGTATCACGATTATTCATACTAGAATGCTTGGTCAACACTGCGTCTAGATGTACCTTTTACAGAGAACCGTCGAGTATACCATAAAGTCTGAGAAAGCCGGCCGTGTTCCGAATAAGCTGCTTGACCGAGGACCGAACAATGGATTTGGCCGTGATATTATCCTTCCAACCTGATGTTGACCCTGTCGGTCAAGCGTGCAGGGTCTTCGCCTATAGGCCTTGGTTCTGACCTAGGCGGCTCTTCTTGTGGCCTTGCAGCCCGTCGATCCAAAATTTCGCGTGAAGTGGAATTCGCGTGCAGAAATCTATGCTGGGAACACTGAGTGAGCCATTGAATCTTTGCTGATGGTATGTGGTAGAGGAAAACTGAGCTAATGAGAAGCATACTCCGCTACTACTTCAAGTATGTGAAACCCAGCCGAGTGTAAGTGCGAGCTTGAACAGAAATCGAGTCCCTAAATATACCCCAGAACATATACCAAGTAAACGCGTCGGTCATTTGTTCCTGGATTCTGGACTGGTCGTCTTCCAAGCTGGTTAGGCGATAGCTTCACATGTTGCCATCGTCAGGCAGAGACTGCACGGGGTAGCCAGAAGCCAAATATATTGTTCGGAAATGGTCTCCCGCCAGCAAATTTTTGTTTCGTCTCTCTAATCCAGTTGGGTTCGGGCAATTCTGCAAAAATCAAAGATCTTTCAGCTATGTGGAATCCGAGGCTTCGATAAACACACTTGGGGGTCTCTGTTCATTCCATGGACGTGATGAAGATCCTCCTCCATCTGGCCTCATACTCCATAGTCCGTGACTCTATAGCTACTCATAGTCATGCCCCCGGAGACGCATTGACCACCCGGCGAAACCAGCCCATCCGTGCTTATCGCTATCGGATAAGGCCACGGAGCAACTCCCGCTATTTACTACTCCCGCCTCCGCAAGCTGCTCCATCAATTGGAACGTCCCAGTCTCTTTTGCTGCACAGATCGCCGATAACAGCGTCAAAATCGGCTGAACAGAGCTCTCGAGTCTTGCTTGCTCGATTGCCTGATTGAAACCGTCCATACAGAAGTCACGCATACCCAGCACAGCTTGACTAACCCCCATTCGAAACATATCGCATCATTCCCCACCTACTGTCGACCCATAACATCGATACATACTGTCCATCTTCGCAACCATAATCGCCTGCATTGGTTCGACTCGCGCGTAGACAGCATGGGTCGGTCGCGATGGACCTTCGCTTCGTGGCTCATTCTGGGCAGCTCCATTTCGCCAGCCTGTGCCGCCAAGAAGCCCTTTAATATCAATGATGATTTGCTGGCCTATCCGCAGGTACGTTTTTTTTTTTTTTTTTGATTTGTGGCATACCTTGGTTCTTTGCGTCCTGCGCTTTGACTGTTCTTTGTACTTTGAAATTGAACTCACTGACATCTTTTTCATTAGTATCAACTGCTTTTTCCCGACGAATACATTCTAGAGGCACAGGCGCACGAGCTCCTTCGCACCAAGGTCGCGCCTGAATCTCCAGACTCATCCAATGTTGCGCGCAACGAGCCTCAAATTTATACTGGCAATCATCATACGGATGGCTCTTACGAACACAATGGAGAAGAACCACTACCTCCTACATATACCTACGAGGAGATGGTCATGGGTCATCGGCGCCTGCTCTGCCAGATCCCTCGCGTCACTCTAGACGAAACGAACAGCACTGGAAGTCGCGCGTCGCAAGAGGCCGATGAAATGAATGAACTGGCTCGTGCGACAGACCGGGGACTCGAGTTGCTCAAGGAACTCGAGGGTAAATGCATGTATTATTTCTCCGGGTGGTGGTCGTACTCGTTCTGCTATCGAAACCAGATCAAGCAATTCCACGCGCGACCCGCCGGTGGCGGTGTGCCGAGTTATCCTCCTGTCGAAGATCCCAGTACCCACTCTTTCATTCTGGGGCGATTTCAAGATGACAATGCCAAGGAGAAGCGGGAGAAAAACAGCCAAGAGAAAGCAGATCAAAAGACGTCTACGGATGTGGCCGAGTTGCGCACCAAGGGCGGCTCTCGGTACTTGGTACAGCATTTGCGAGGCGGGACCAAATGCGATCTGACGGGTCGGGACCGTCGAATCGAAGTCCAATTCCACTGCCATCCGCAATCCACGGACCAGATTGGATGGATCAAGGAGCTGACGACGTGTTCCTACCTGATGGTGATTTATACGCCGCGACTCTGTGACGACGTGGCATTCCTCCCACCACAGCAGGATGAAGTTCACAACATCGAGTGTCGAGAGATCCTCCGCCCCGAAGAAGTGCCCGACTGGGAGGCTGGCAAGGACTGGTATGCCACCCACCAACTGGCCGATGCTGCCGCCGCTCACGAGGAAGTAAAAACGGTCGGGGGCATCGTCATTGGTGGACAGCAACTGGTGGGGATGGAAGGCAAGAAGATCGAAAAGGGTCGAGTGGTCTCCTTTGACGAGGAGACGGTGGAAGTGATTCTCAAGCGTGAAAATGGAGAAATTCAGCGCCCATCGAAACAAGTCATCAAAAAGTACAATCTCGATCTGGAGTCGATCGAGGATATGAAAAAACGACTGGAAAAGCTGGCCGACGGCAAAGACTGGACTCTGGAGGTGGTTGAGAGCAACGGGATGCTCAAGTTCCAGGGTGCCATTGCGAACGACGAAGATGATGACGAGGAAGAGGAGGCAGCAGCAGCAGCCGCCGCCGCCGAGAAAGAGCTGGAGAATGAGAACGCAGTCGTTCTTGACCAGGCGGATGATGGCGAATTGTTTGGTGCTGAGACCACACGCGGTCAAGCATCATCAAACACGGGTAAAGCCTCCCAAAAGTCCAAAGGCAAATCGCAACAACAACGACGACAACAACAACAGCCCGCGAAGAAAGAGCGAGAAGAAGAAGATGACAGTGACCAGGTGGGCAGTGAAGAGACTTTTAAAGATGAGTTATAGGTAATGCTCCAGGAATGAGATGCGATTCTGGCACGCAGACTCCTACTAGAGCTGTCTCTTGTAAATACGGACCTCCAGCTCCATCAATATCTACACAAACATACCTCCCTCCATGAGACATTAACACCTTTCTAGAATCATAGATTCATTACAAACCACCACCTGCACTACTTCCATTCAGAATTGATCCCATGCAATCTTCAGAATCGCAGAACAGTGATCGTTCGCGCGTGGTTGGCATCAGTATCTACTGAAATTGGAAGCCTGCCGAGCCCTCCAAATAACAGCCTCGTGGGTACCTTTCTGAGCTCGGAGAGTTCGGTTTAGCTTCCTGCCCGAAGACGTCAGACGCCCCAGTCTATCGGGAACCGTGTGGGGGCATAGAAGCCTAAGGCCGGCAAATGGAGACGAGATACAGTTTCTACGGAAAGGAATACGTGTTGGATCAACAGATGATGGTATGGAGAAATTACTAAAGCGTGGAGCGTGAAGAAAAAGTGTAGAAAGTAGAGTGCAGAGTGCAGAGTGCAGAGTGCAGAGTGCAGAGTGCAGACCCCAGAATGACAGAGCTCGCGACTGACCAGTTGTCACGGGTAAAGGTCGCCAGTTGGCGGCTACCAACCCAAGTCCAGCTTGACCAGAGTCAATTCCCTCCACGGCTGCTTACGAGTCTCGGGCTCTCCTCCTCTCACTACGTCAGGAACGTGACGGGTGCACGACCCCCCCGAGAAGAAAAGACTTGCGCATTTCTTGTGCTTGATTCAAACTCGACCCACACACCCTTTCCACCTCCGTCCGTGACCCCCCCCCCAAAGTCCCTCTCCGTCCCTGATCTCAAGTCCCATCTTCATCACCAGCCACGACAACCTCCCTCTCTCTCTCTCTCTTCCCCATTCCCCCCCCCCCCCCCCCCCCCCAACCCACACAGCCACTTCATCTTCCCACTGTGTGAGATTACAATAGTCAATCACACTCCCAGTCCGGCTCTCCATAGCAGAATTCGAGACGTCTCTTCTCTACACGGCGTTCCAGTCAACCGCCCCTCCTTCGGCCAGGCACCACTTGATAACCACCTCCGAGGTGTTGCCAAGGCTGACTGCAACTGAACCAACTTCCAACTTCCCCCCGACATCCGCCCGCGTCACTCACTCGGGGCCCCCTTCTCCGCAAAGTCACCTCGGCGTCAGTCTCCCTCCTCCGACCAATTCTGCCGCGAGCTCTTGATTCGACCTCTGGTCATCGCCGGCTGAGCGCTCAGGAACCTTTTCCCCTGAAGGTGAGACTGCACGTGGGAGTTTCGCTCTCGCCATGGGTTTCCTCGGGGTGTACACCGCATTGTACGATTACCAACCACAAGGAGAAGGTGAATTGGAAATCAAAGAAGGCGACCTTCTCTGCGTGTTGGAGAAGAATACCGATGACGATTGGTGGAAGGCAAAGAAGAAGGCGGACCGCGATGACGAAGATGAGCCTGAGGGATTGATCCCGAACAACTACGTCGAAGAGGTGAGTCGCGACGCAGCTATTGTGCGAACGAGGATGCACTCGGCGGATGAGACTTGGTTTCATTCGCGCAAGATGCCACCTCTGGTGAATTGAACTTTAGACGCAAAAAGAAAGGACGTGTTCGCAGCTTCTGACCCCGCTCGTAATCACCAGGCGCAACCGATTCACCAGGCCAAGGCCCTCTTCGATTACACGCGACAAACGGACGAAGAGGTATCCTTTACGGAAGATGCGGATATCTTGGTCTACGACACGTCAGATCCCGATTGGACTTTAGTGGGCGTTCACTCCGATTACGGCTTTGCGCCGGCTAATTACATCGAGATCGTCGGGGACGCCTCCGCCGCGCCTCTGTCCCCAGCAGCCGAGGAGGAACCACCAGCACCGTCCCTGCCCGCACGGCCTCCGCAGCCGCAGGTCGCAGAAGAATACGATGAATCGCCTTCGTCGTCTCCCATTGACAGCACACAGAACCCCGCAGCTGCTGCCATTGCCAATATCATCCACCAACAACACGCGCGCGCTCCAGTTCAATCCGGAAGTACGCGAGATGAGCCTCCACTGCCGCAACTACCATCGCGATCTCCGCCGGAACAGGAAGAATATCGTGAAGAATCTCCACCGCCCCCCGCGCTTCCCCGTCGGCCTCCCTCAGAAGTTCCCACGCCGACTTTCTCCCACCATGATTCAGAGCCGGCGTCTCCTCCCGCTCACTCTCAAGCGCCTCAACCTCCGATGGGTGGCCACAGTCGACCATACGTCAAAGAGTCGCCCCCCTATAGTCGAGGGGGAGACATCAACCCTCGCTCACCGTCTGGTTACCACATTTACAACATCAATGAGATGGTGGAAGTAATGGGCAAGCGCAAGAAGATGCCGACCACCTTGGGCATCAACATGGCCACGGGAATCATTTTCATCTCCCCGGAGGGTGATGACCGCCAGCAGGAATGGACCGCTGACAAGCTGACCCACTATTCGATCGAGGGCAAGCACGTCTTTGTCGACTTGATCCGACCCAGCAAGAACATTGACTTCCATGCGGGAGCCAAGGATACCGCTCAGGAAATTGTCGCTGCTCTGGGTGAAATTGCTGGAGCTTACCGTGCCGAAGGGCTCCGAGAGGTGATTGCGGCGAGCGAAGGTGGTGGTGGCCAAAAGAAGGGCCAGATCTTGTATGATTTCATGGCGCAAGGTGACGACGAGGTAACGGTGGCCGTGGGCGACGAGGTCGTCATCTTGGACGACAGCAAGGCCGAGGAATGGTGGATGGTACGACGCCTCAAGAACGGAAGGGAAGGTGTTGTTCCCAGCAGCTACGTGGAAATTACGGGATTTATGCCCAGCCAGCCATCTCCGGCGATTGATTCTGCCAAGTCGACCGTGGAGCGTAATCGTATGGAGGAGGCTCGATTGGCCAAGGCTGCGGTGGGCAGACCTAGAACCGATTCGCTAGAGACCAGCGAGGTGAGGCGTTGCAATAGCTCCTATGCGAAGCTGTTTTTGCTGATAGCTAACCAAAACGAGTCATCTACACAGCGAAGCAAACGGGACAGCAAGCGTGATAGTAAAGGGGCCAAATCCAGTATGTGGAATCTCAATAGGGCGATGCCGGGTGATGTCACAAAGCTAACAGCACTTTCTAGAGCCGGATCCAAGCAAAGTCAGAAAGTGGACAGATCGGACCAAAGCGTTCACCGTGGAGGCAGAGTTCATCGGTCTTCTGGACGGCAAGATTCAATTGCACAAGGTCAATGGCATCAAGATCGCTGTGCCGGTTGCAAAGATGTCGGTAGAGGATCTCGAGTACGTGGAAAAGGTTGCTGGTGTCTCACTTGACGAAGACAAGCCCCTTTCAAGTATTCGAGCTCGTGCATCCGAGGAGGCTAAGCGCGGTCCGGCAGGCGCCTCAGTACGTGGTCCAGAGTATGACTGGTTCGACTTCTTCCTCAAGGCCGGTGTTGGCCCACATCAATGTGAACGCTACGCGCAGAACTTTGCCAAGGACTCTATGGATGAGGCAGTCTTGCCCGATATCACTCCTGAGACTCTGCGAACCCTTGGCTTGAAGGAGGGAGATATTCTACGTGTGATGCGCCACCTCGACAACACTCTTGGCCGTACTGGCTCCAAGTCCAAGCTGCGCAATGTCAGCTTTGGGGGTGAGGAGGTCATGGGCAATAACGGCGAGGAAGGTGGATTATTTGCCGGACCGGGTGGCATGCTGCGTAATAACACCCGCAAGGGAAGGCCGGCTCCTGCTGTGCAGACTGGTGATGTAGTCGACCCCAAGGCATTTGAGCAAGCCGACACCTCTAAGTCTCAGGCGGAGGAGAGGGCCGCAACACCCCCAACTCCGAAAGCGTCAGGGGCAGTGGCACAGCCCGAAAAGCCCATTGCTCGTGGCTTCGAGGACGATGCATGGGAGGTCAAGAAGCCTCAGGGGTCTGCCGCAGCAACCCCACCACCACCCAGCTCGGCCTCGCCCCCTCCAGCTCAGCCTGCTATCCAGAAACAGATCACCGGTGCCATGGCCGATTTATCGATTCTCCAGGCCCCACTTCAGCCTACCCAGGCAGCACCAGCCCAGCCAGCACCATCTATCTCGAGCATTCCCGCCCTTCAGCCCCAACAAACTGCCGTACAAAGTCCCCCGGTGCAACAGCCTCAGCAGACAGGCGTGAATCCTAATTTCTTCAACCAGATCGCTCAAATCGGTCAGCATCAACAGCAGCAGCAACTGCAGCAACAGCAGCAGCTTCAGGCTCAAGCGTTCAGCCCTCAACAGACGGGTTTCCAAACACAGGCCCGCCAACGTCCAGTGGCTCCGCAGACTACGGCTCAAAACACGCTACTCCCTCCCCCGCCGCCACGCCCTTTGTCAGCACCTCAGAACTTCACTCCCCAGCAGACCTCCTTCAGTCCTCCTCCTTTGCAGCCCCAATTGACGGGAGTTCCTCAGCTGGGCGGCCTTCCCACGGGCCAGAACCCCAACGCTATGAACCAGCAACGCATGCAACCACAGCTCCAGATGCAGCCTCAGGTCACTGGGTTCATGGGTTCCAATCAATATCAAAACGGAATGATGGTGCCCCAACCAACCGGGTTCACGCCGCAATCACAGTTTGGTATCCAGCAACAGCAACAAAATCAACTTCCATATGCGAATGGCCAGGCGGGTTTCCAGGGCATGGCTCCTCAACCCACTGGCTTCGGTGGGTTTGCTCCACCTCAGCAGCCCATGGCCACGGGCATCAACTCCATGTTGCCCCCAGCACTCCAGCCTCAACCCACTGGGGTCAACGGTTTCGGAAACAACACCTACTCCGTTGCTAATCCCCCTCCCGTGCCTCCAATCCCTTCGCAACCCACTGCCACGCCCCTGATGCCCCAGAAGACGGGACCTCCTCCTTCGATTCGATTCGGAGTCAAGCCCGAAGGTCCCAAGAAACTTGCTGCTCAGCCGACAGGGATGCGGGCCAACCTGGCTCAAGCTAGTAAGTATCCATCAACGAAAGAACTGGTGTTGGAACACACATCCAAAAAAATAGGATCAATGATGCTAACCTGCCTTTTCTGCAACAGCGCCCACCAACCCCTTCGGCTTTTAGAAGACTACACCTCCTGCTTTCTGGGGATATTTAGGCATCGCGTCAGCCTAGTCGACTCTGCATATATAATCTTTTCTTCCCCCCCCCCCCCCCCCCATTAGTTCTTTTTCGCAATCTTTTTTTGTTGATTCGTCTTGTCGTCTCTCCCGATTTCATTTTCCCGTTTCCCGCTTTTGATATTGGCGAATGGTAAAACATCCCTGTTTACATCCCTTCTTCTTTACTTCCGTGCTCGTCCTTCCCCTTTACTCCCTATTGTAACTCGCCTACATGTGACGTATGTTCTCATAGCTGCAATCTTTGTATTCACAGGAGAAATGGAGAGTCGCATTTACATATTCAACCCTTCTTGACTCGAGGCCACTACAGTGAACCTTTTATCCATCTGTCCTGTCATTTGGAACTCCACATGGAACCGATCTCCGTATGTATCATAATTGCATGTCCTGCGTGACTTGCACATAGTATATCTCGCGCATCAGGGCGTTTATAAGCAGAAATATAGTAACCTTGTACCGTGTAATCGTGATCTCTTCCCCCTAAACAGGTTATCTAATCCCTTGTGCCTCCTACCTAACCGAACACAGACATGGAAAGATCTGGCAAGCTACATGAAACTCCCGCAAACACTCAGCAAAAATCTCGCATACTCGATCGAAGGTCACAGCGCCAGGGTAACTTAATCCTTATATTGGCCCGCGAGACCACCGGATCCCAGGGCTACTCGATTGATGCTGGGTAGTGTGTACCGTGGCGGAATAACCGCATTGGTGAAATATTGAGGGATTCTGGTTTCCAGGTGGATGTCGGCAAGGGCTTCGGATTAGTTCATCAGGGATGGAACATGTCGGTTTAGAAGGAGCGGTCTTGTGTGCGGGTCGTTTTGGACGATCTTCTGGTTCTTTGATATTCGGTATTGGGGGGGGGGGGAAGGGGAGGGGATTCTAGTGTGGAATTATGTTATTGTTGGGAGGGGACAATGTTGCGGGACTGTGTTGCGGTATACCTGATGTGTGTTGTGAGATTTTTTTTATTCTCTGCAGGGTTTTCGAAGGACCGCGGTATGCTGGGTTGGGTGTTTGTCTTATTTTTTTCTCATTTTTTTCTCGAGGGCCATGACTGGTGCATCTGTGGGGAATTGTCCATCGACGAAGTGGTAGATTTCGTGAAGGGGGGCTTTGCGGGTGGGCTTGCTTTTGGGGATACTGGAGTATGTCAAGCATGATTGGAGGTGGTATCTTGGAAATTCGTGGACAAAAGCCTCGAGAATATGAATGGGGCGAAAATAGGGGAACGGACGGGGAGAGCAAGTCAATGAGTCTTAAGCTGGTGAATGACTTCGACTTTCTTCTCTGTGGAGTGTTGGAATCATATGTGCCGAGGGTTCTCACGGAGAACGATGTGTGATCAACTGGGTTTACCTGATTGAGAGATCTCAAGAAGGTACCTAGTTTTTGGGCAGATGATGACGAAGATGTGGGAAAGTACACGGATGACGGAGTTCTGGTACGGGGAGGGACAAGAGAGTTGATTTCGTCAGACGATACACATATTTCAAGAGCTGGGCAAGGGAGGTCGATTCGAGAACTTGAGGACGAGGCAGCCCTTTGTGGGATGGATGATAGTTACTCTGTTGCCGTGTGCAAAGAATCTGCTACATTTGTCTTGTCGATAGTCATCGTAGGGCCAGATATTGCTAACATGGCGATATTCGACGGGAAGCCAAGTAACATTGCACCCATCGTATGTGATCAAGGACTCGTCATTGCTGATTCCATATGCACGAGGCTTGACACGTCGAAGAGACTTGTCATATGCAGGCGTGGAAGAGTCGTTGGGCTGCACGTCCCATGTTCCGACGCTGGTGTGAAGACGGGTTGGATGAGTGTCATCGAATTTGAGCATATAGCTATCGCTCGTTCGGAAGGCTGCCGTGCTCTGACCGGTGACTGGATTCCAGATACGAACTGTGCCGTCTCTCGACAATCAAGCAAATTGATTATCGTCTGGTGACCAGGCAAACAAGTGGATCAATTCGCGATGACGCCGTAAATTTGTCATGACTTGACTGGAAGCTGCATCCCAGACACGAATCGTTTGACTATCGGTCAAAAGCGAAGCGAGTCGCCTACCATCTGGTGACCAGGAATTCCAGCGCCACAAGACTTCATACCCAGCAAGGTCAGATATACCGTGACCGGTGTATGTATTCCATATTCGACCGGAAAACCCGTCTTGCGATCGTGAAGCAATTTGACTTCCGTCTGGTGATCAAGAAATCAAATTACTAAAATCAACAACCCCGTGAAGATATGAGAGGCACTGACCGGTGACTACATCACAGATTCGAATACCATTCCGACAACCTGAAGCAAAGCGTCTTCCATTGGGCGACCAAGCAAAAAAAAAAAAAAAAAAAAAAAAAAAAAACTCTCAATCATCATCATCTCTGAGAGCAGTTAAAAGTTGATCGGTTGATGGATTCCAGACCCAGATTGTTCTTTCTTCACCTTCGAAGACGAGTCGACTTCCATCCGGCGACCACGCTATGATCTTAACTCGGCGACCACACTATGATCTTAACTCGGCTACCTCCACCGAGTTCGCAAATGATTTCGCCGGTGCTTGATTCCCAGATCCAGATCATACCATTCTCCAGTCCTAACGCAATTCGACTTCCGTTCGGGCACCAGGCAAGTGAACTGACACTGTGTGTATGCTCCTTGAGAGTGACGAGGTTCTGGCCAGTAACTGCATCAAAAATGCAAATTGTCCTGTCTGTCGACGCCGACGTCGACGCAAGTTTGTCCCCATCGGGGGACCAAGCAATCAAGTAGACTTCCCCCGGATGCCCTTCAACAATATGAAGGCACGGACTCCAATGTTCCTCGACGGGAGGGCTACTTGAAATCCAGTCTGGTCTTTCTGTCAGGAAAGTAGTTCCGGTAAGACTTTTAGCTGGACTGAAGATCAGAGGCGACAAATACAACTGCAGAGGACTAATCTCAATCCCGGTCGCAAAGTACTGAATGAATCTGAGTACATCTCGAGCTCGTTCCAATACGCCTCTCAGCGTTTCGTTCTTCTGCGAATTCTTTTCTTAAAGCGACATTCTACCATTTGCACTCGGTAGAGCTTACCTGACACAGTTGCTCCAGCTTGTTCATAGCTTTGATGCCGTGGGAAACATTCCGCAATATACTGAGAGCTTCGATCCAGTAAATGTATTTCTCCTGCTAGAAAACGTCCAGAGAATCTCTGACAAGCCAACAGTGCGTTTCTTCTGCGCTGCTCATGCATGCATCGAGGTGATCCGCCCAGAGGATGCAAGCGTATTTAGCTGGTGCGAGCGGATCTGGACTCGGCGTGATAATATCAAAGGCGGAAATTCCCGAAAATTTGATATCGTAAATATCATGTCGTAGGGTCGTGTGAAGGACTTTAAGGGATTGTGAGAAGACCTGGTAGTGTTCATCAACCAATCCACGTGGAGGGATCTGAGCGGATGTGTCCTGAAGCAAAAAGTCCTTGGCAGACTGGTGAACAAAAACGATGGTGTTCTCCCGCAACACGAGGAATGACCCGCAGCTGCAATAATCTCTGGGAGAGAACCGATGTCATCGTAGTTTTCGCTGCGTCCTTCGAGTAAAGAGCCCAGCTCAAGCAGTGTGACCGGCCGGTACACTGTCAACAAGGTCCTCAGGAGCAGTGTACAAAGCTCAGCATCTTCTGACTTTCGAACATGATCGATCGAAAATCCGTTGGTATAGTGTGTCAAGTCCAGCAGGAAAGGTTTCAAGGGTCTTCAACGCATGTCGTCGTGAGGTCAAAGTAAGCCTTCTGCAAACCAAGGCAACTCACAAAAATGTGCATTGTGAGTTATCCAACAAACAGCGTTTAATCTTCTCAAGCGTTTCAGCATTGTACCACTTTCGTGTAGTCCGCCGCACGTGCCTCCACGGTGGAAAGTCTTCAATACAAAGATCCCCTTTGAGAACGGAATGAGCCGCACGACATCGAGCTCACGTGGCTCACCATGTCTGTAATGGGGATAGAATGACCGCAACTCCACGCTCTGAAACAAGCTGGAGTCTGTCGTCCAAATTTCGAGGCTTGGGTGTCACTCCAGTGGATGCATGGAATCGCACACAGCATCACTGATCCTGAATAGGTGTCTGGTCCAAGCTCCAAGTGACTCGAATAGCGAATCAAGATATTGCCAGCAGGGACCGCCAGAAGAACGCTAGACCTGGAGTCGTTACCGGATTTGGCTCAGCAGGATATCCATCAGAATTCAGGTGACTTGACTGGATCTCTGTGATGTGATCGTAACGGTCATGAACGCCGTGCCAGGAAATCTTTCACATCATATAGCTCACATCATATCGCTCGTATGGAATCACTACCCTTTGCGGAGCTGTGGATCAGAGCCGTGTGCAATGATAACAACAAACGGCTATCAGTCTTGATCCACACAGCCGGAGGAAAACCTTATTCAAAGCACATACGGTTCGTGTTATCTGATCGATGAAAATTCAATGGCACCGTGCTCGATCATCTACAAGTCGTCCTCGCTCTGTTGGGTGCAGTAAGCCATCTTGTTGTCTTTGATTGGCATCACTACCAATGACCTTGCTGCAGTTCCATCGCTTAACGGCCAGCGACTAACTGAATGCTGTCTGAATCTACACTCCCTCGGCGGCCGTCTCCAAGTGCAGAAGCATTCTGTTTCGACTCGTTCGACGCATGATTGAGCTCAGCCAGTGCAGCCAACTAGGTAATGCGAGGATCGTTTTGGGCGACACTCGTCTGACCGTTGCGACTAAATGAGAGTCACCCGTTGCCGGCTAGGAATACCTATAGTTTCCGGCAATCATCACCTTTACACTCCTTTTGGTCTCGACGTGTAAGCAAATATTCTCTTACAACATCTCATGTAGACATTCAATGCCCTTCATCGGCACACCCATCATGTTCTCCAAGACCACAGCTTCACGAACGTGTGCAAGAGTGTGCCTTGCAATGAGTGAGACTAAGCGTTCCCGTTGCACGGGCATGTTCGCTTGGCGACACCTTCGGTTGGACGGCAACCAATTGAAGCCGCGGGTCCTGAACCGTGCCTCATCGTCAATCACTCAGACTGCCGAGATATCATGCAATAATTTGTACACGAAAGTATCAATATCCTTATCGAGACCCCATATTTGCCGACTGCAACTCAGTGCACGTGGTCAAACGTCAAAGTCTGCTGTCACTGGTCAACAGTATAACCCTACGAGTATAACACGGCCGATGAACTGCAATGTGCAATCATCATTGACATACTCGATGCAGTATGAGGTTGGAGTACCCACTCGCCAGTGAAGGATGTCGGCAAAATGTAGGAATGAGAAAGGCTAAACTATGCTGTATGCGATACTCAACAGCCTTGACTGGCCTTCGCTTACAGCACACGGGAACGACATATCTTCAACCCTCAGTTTAAGCGATGCAGTCACATATACCATTGTACGGCGTATATAAGAGTCGTGACTGATGCCCCCCTCTCTGCTGAGCTGCTATTCTAGCGGACAGTCAAGAGACCTGGTTTGACGAAGACCACACTCGACTTTTTGCCAATATGAAGACCACTGCATCATTGGTCTTGATGGCGGCTGTGGCCCGCGCTTAAGTCGCGACCACCTCTGAGCCGTCGCTCAGTCAGATCAGGGCTGCGGCGGCCACAGCTTTGCCCGAATCTCCTGTCTCGAACGTGAGGGCTCTTGCGTTCGATCGCTTCTACCAAGTCTGGTTGGAGAATACAGTATGTTGGGAATGAGCCAATTAGGTGGAAAAAGAATGTCTATACTAACCAGGATCTCACAGGCATACAGCGCCTCGGCTGCTGATCCCAACATGCAATGGCTTTCCTCGCAAGGTATCCTGCTGTAGGTTCTATCTCGACTCAATCAAAACCACTACCAATATCTAATCTCGATGCCGATCCAACTTAGGACCAATTATCATGGCGTTACTCACCCATCCGAGCCCAACTACTGTGCAGCTGCCGGTGGCGACACCTTCGGTATGGACTGGGACCAGTGGTTCCAGGTACCCGCCAACATCTCCTCGGTTCCAGATCTCCTGGATACCAAGGGCATCTCATGGGCTGAGTATCAGGAGCAGTTGCCGTACGCCGGTTTCCAGGGTTTCAATTACTCTAACCAAGAGACACTCAAAGATGACTACGTCCGCCGACACAACCCCTTGGTTCTCTATGATGCCGTGGTCGTGGATGATACTCGTGCCCGCCAGATCAAGAATTTCACTGGTTTTGAGGCGGATCTCGCAAACAAGAAGCTTCCTCAATGGGCCTTCATCACGCCGAATGTCACAAATGATGCTCACGATACAAACATCACCTTCGGTGCGAAGTGGGAACGTCACTGGATGTCTGCTCTGCTCCAGAACGACTACTTCATGAAGGACACTCTTGTGCTGTTGACTTTTGACGAAGACATATACGATATCAGCGACAAGTCCGCCACATTTGACCAGGGCAGCAGAGTCCACAGCATCCTGCTTGGCGGCGCCATCCCCGATCACTTGAAGGGCACCACGGACGACACCTTCTACACCCACTACTCGACCATCGCGTCCGTGTCCGCCAACTGGGGCCTCCCCTCTCTTGGTCGCTGGGACTGCGGCGCCAACATCTTCGAGATCGTGGCCAACAAAACCGGCTACCTCAACTACGACGTCGACCTCACCAACTTGTACCTGAACTACACCTACCCTGGCCCGTTGACCACCGGCATTCTGGAGCAGTACTTTGGTGGTGCGACTAACCTCAAGACGTCGCCCAGTTCCAAGTGGACCTGGCCCGTTCCCAACGTGGATGCCAAGTGTTCGGCTGGGTACGGCGTGCTGGATACGGTGAAGAGGACATACAGTGGCATGAAGGCAACTTATAACTACACTTCCCCCTATCCCTGGGATAGCGTTAGTGGTTACAATCTCAACGTGACTGCCACTCGCAAGTCAGCCTACACTACGACGACGACTACTGATACTAGTTCGACCAGCAGGGGTAGTGCCGCCACTGAGACACTGCCGGTCCTCTCCGGTACCTCTCGGGGCACAGGACCTAGCTTTAACGCTATGCTTGTTGCTGTTGTTGCTCTTTTTGCTTTCCAGCAGTAGATGGTCAGTCAGAAGAACTCTTTCCGCAGTCCAATTTTGCAGAGGGACAAACAATAGATTCATGAGACGGACCATGAAGTTCACGAGTGAAGAACCATTTTTCCAGCAGCAAAAGGCCATATAATCTGACGGTCTTCCTGACTTTGAGGCGTTCAGCCACGATCCGGTAAACGGTAGTGCAGCGGGACTGTCTGGCTTAATGACCAAGGTAGACAACCGCGCCCGTCCAGTCTATTGACTTCAATACTCCATAGTTCATACATGTCGAGTATCTTCTTCAATGGAATGCACAAATACATGTGATTGATAAAGCAGTTTCTTCGACTGGGGCGAGTACTGGGCATTGATGATAGTGCGGACCTGTGATGAGTAGTCAGCGGCCCGGAAGCCCCCCAGCCGACCGAGCTCTAGGGCTGCCAAGTGTTTCCGGAATTCGGATGTTCCCTGGCCGTGCCAGCGGCTTCTAAACTCAATCAGCATGTTCTTCACAAGAGTCTGGGACTGATGAAGTAAACAGTGAGTGGAAGACCCACTGTGATTCGGATTGATTGCCTTTGATCTGCATTAGTCCGAATTGGTCCAGCATGTCTGAAAAGTGAGCAACTGATGAAACAGTAGTGATCATCGACAACTTTCCAGGAACGCGAAGTGATCACAATCTGATCGTCGCGATGATGGGACGGGCCTAGAGCGGGCTGTCAAAGGGAGGTAACCGTCCTCCCCCAACTTTCAGCGGGTCGTTCAAGGTTGCTCATCCTGTTGGAGTCGAATTGAAAGACCCCTGGTTGATGACTAGTAATATATCCGCCGTAACTATATCGAGATCCGAGAGGATGGGGTACGAGGATGGATAATTTCATATATCAATTTTATTAAATGCTGGTTATGCGGACATGGTTACATATGCTGCGCCCCTATGTATAAGTTATGCGCTGGATTATTTATTGCGCAGACGTATTGCTTCGCGTCATGAGTTCACAGTCCGGAAATTATTCAAATGATTCAACCAGGAGATGATGACACATCGAAAATAAATGTCCAGTTGTACATACTACTACACAAGTACACAGTCCCGTGTTTATGCCCTGTGGCGGTGATAACTTTGATTTTCACCGCATGCCACGCTTCAGCCCTGTAGAATCTTGGCTGCAGAGTGGCGTAATGTATACGTACTTGAAAGCGCCAATGATACGAGCGGGAACCAAACCGAGGAGAATGCAAAGTGCAAGCAAGACGGCGCGTGCTTCCAGCGAAGTGGAAGGCGCCGAGTACAATTCGCTGTCAGTTCGAGTATGAGGACTCTTCTGTTGCGCATTGTGCTATTTTCTTCCCAGATTTTGTTTTTTTGTGAGACAAGTCTGTCTTCGATCAGGAACCGCAAGCACGCGACATTTGGGGTACTTCTTGATTTCGCGACTTGTTTTTCTTGAAAGTCCGCCGACTTCCGCCAATCGTCCGGTGGGGCGACTCCGCTTTCTCTTGGCGCGCCGCCGAGGCAGGTCTTGCGCACTTGACCGAACCACAATTCTCGATGGGAGAGATGCAGACATTCTGCAGACATTCATTGTTCTGCATCCATCTAGCAGTAGAGATGGGACCCAAAGCTGTCTGGGTACGCAACACGCAAGAGTATCTGCCTAAGTGACTGTGCTGCACAGCGCATTGAAAACACATCTTCCAGTGCCTGTCTCACTAGCTGTTAGCTTGGAGACCAGGGGGTCTCTCGTTTCCCTAACCCGATTTGGCACCTTCAACAGTACGACTTCGCCCATGATGCGCTGTGAATCGGTTCTCGGTTCACTCCGACTCCGCTATGCAGTGGACGGCACGAGCAAAGAACTTATTCTGCATAGTGCATACCCACTCGACTACGAAACCTGCTTGGCGCTCGACGACAAACGTCCAGAGAGATGCTTTCGGTGGATCGTACCGATAGCTCTTTCCCCGCAGCCCATGGAGGTCTTGCATTGATTGACTGGGCCTGGTCCACTATGAGCAAACGGAAAGATCGTGATTCACGGAAACCGTGTCCCAGGCTGGGTTCTCGTGCCTGGTTGCCGGGTATGGAAGGATGAACAGGCACTCAGAGAAGTCGCGAACTCGCGCTCCCGGTAAACGAAGCTTCTGGCAGTCTGGCTCGCTGCTGGCACCCGCGTTGACCTTGTCTCATCAGTGTTGATCCTGGCGTTGTTCGTCCCTCGGTCCTGGCTCCGAAGACTTGGCACAGCAGCACAGAGCAATATTTGCATGGTGACGCATGTGGTTCATCAATGATTCGTTCCTTTTCTGTTTTTCGGGTTGACTGGACTTCTGAGACTCTTCTTTCTTCCCCGACTTCCCAGTAAACTAACTGTCTTCAAATTTGTGCCCTGGGAATAGTCTCCATCACCAAAGAGTGGGAATCGTGATTGTGTATCACCGTTATACCACAGCGTGCTCCCTCGGCTTTTCACCATGGGCGCAGGCGCAATTCTCGAGCCCTTGACAGTGATTGTCCTTCTCTTCGGAGGCACCTGGATCAACCGGGTCACCAAGACCTCCACCTCCATCATCCATGTGCGCCGCCAGTCTGCGGAGTATCGGCGGACAGATTCGTCTGACTCGCTCGAGTCGGGTCGACTCAGTCCTTCGCCAAAAGAGGCACTCTTGTCGACACGCGCTTGCTCTCCGCACTCGACCACAACAACAAGTGACAATTGGTGGCACACAAGACAATTGCGTGTGCTAGGCTATACCTGGTCATTTTGGTCACCCAATTCAGAGAGATTTCAGGATCGTCTATTGAGTCGTTTGCTCCGAAAGCTTCCTTTTTTAGTGGAATGTTGGTACTGGGCGCTGGTCTACTGGGTAAGTTGCCAATCAAAAGGTCTAAAGTCAGTCATGAAGCTTGTTTCTGACTCGCTAGCTCATTGGCTTTGCATAGACATACCAGCTGGGCCGTGCCTTCACCGCACTGACTCTCAAAGATGATACCGTCGATGTCGCCCGTCGACATGCCTTGAGTGTAATTGAAGTCGAAAAGAGTCTGGGCATCTTTTGGGAAGTGGACATCCAGCGGTTCTTCCTTCGCCATACCACTGCCATGATGTGGATCAACTGGATCTACTCCTTTATCCATATCCCCGGAACCATTGCTTTTCTCGTCTGGCTGTACTACTACACGACCACGCGCAACCGCATCGACGAACCTCAACCCGGCAAGCCGCGCGGCTCCGTGAGTGGCTCGCCAGCCGGTCCGTTACTCTACCAGGCACGGAGACGTACAATGGCTGTCTGCAATCTTCTCGCGTTCGTGGTATTCACCTTGTGGCCGTGCATGCCCCCGCGGCTGCTCAGCGATCCAAATCTGCAAGGTCCGGAAGGTGAGCTCAGCCGCAGCTATGGCTTTGTTGATACCGTTCACGGAGAGAATGGTGCCGGAAGTGTCTGGACACAAAACCGTTTCTGCAATCAATATGGTAAGTGATTGCTCACGATTCAACCCAAGTTTAGGTATCAGCAAGTGCTCATACCGATTTCCTTTCTTGCAGCCGCTATGCCCTCGTTGCACTTTGGGTATTCCCTGATGATCGGTGTCACTATCATGACCATTCCTCTGCCATCGCATCACCGGCGATCTCTTCGTACTCGGCTGTGTTGCGGCATCGGACTCCGTATTCCCTCGTGGCGACGAATTCTCTGTCTCACACTTGGTTTCCTCTATCCGTTCACCATCCTTGTCGCCATCGTGGCAACCGCCAACCACTTTATATTGGACGCTGTTGCCGGTGCTTTGGTCTGTGCTTTGGGCTGGAACTTCAATTCAATTCTGCTGAATCTGCTACCCTTTGAGGATTACTTCCTCTGGTTGGTGCGCATCCACAAGCCCGAGCCTGCATCCACCGGTCTATACACCAAGACCTTTGATGACTGGGACTCGGATGATGGACAGATCCGTCAGGCTGTGCTTCCACAGTAACAGAGACTATTTCTTGTTCTTTTCTGTCATGGTGTTTCTGAAAAATCCGTGTTTGATACCCCAGGAAAAGCCCGAGGGAATCTCAGGCGAATCCCCTATTGTTTATTGGTGATGCACACGTCACTTCATATACTTTACTTTCTGCTTGCTGCTATTGCGGTGCAGGTTCCTCTGTTCGCTACTTCGTATAGTCACGAAGCTGCGAGACCCATCACTGTGGTAACCTGCATGTTTCTTGTTTGTGCTATTGACGCCTTCAATACTTCGCCAGGTTGATATTCTTAATAACACATATTTCTAATCCATGCCTGAGTACCAATTCATGGGAGGAAAATTTAGTATCACCATTCGTGTAATACTACGAGAAGTAGTATTTACTAAGGGTCTCGAATGACGGAAAGTCTGTTGAGACCTTACCCATGAGTGTTCAGGTACGAGGGCGGAGAAGCATCGTAGGTAACTAGGTAACTTAACTCATAGCTTGTCAGGACCTTAGTTAAGGGACTGTACTTGTGGGCAAGCATGGCCTTATTGTTCACGTGCATGAGCCTTTGACATTTCGAGGTACGAGGGTTACTGCATCACATAATCTCATCGTCTCTTTCATCATATGTTCTTGACTTCATCAAGCTTCTACGCATCATCCATCACTGAGTATAATTAGGGTACGCCTAGCGCCTCAATGCTTACTATTTGTCTGCCAGTGTCTAGTACCTTGCCGAGGTACAATACCCGTCAATTCCAGTAACTTAACTAACGTAACATACTCACTAGGTGCACAGCTTCGAGCTGTAGGTAAGTCCTGGCCCGAGGAATTTACAGAATGCAGCTAATAACGAGTGAATAGGAAGTAAGAAACGCTACTCGCTGCGACGCCTTGGATCAAAGGATCTCTCACTCTCACGGGAGCAAGCTGTTGATTCTGTGGGCAAATACATGTTGAAGGGTGCTTCGGGGATCAGATATCTCGCGCGTCACCAGCCTCAGGATCTTTGGTACAGCTGGCAGTCAGCAGAGGGTGACTCAACGGCTTGAATGGGATACTCGCACTTTTCAAAGTGCACAGGAGTAGTATCGTTAAGACTCAATCGCTTGCCTGCCTTTGTCTCTTCGGAGCGTCCTAGTGGAGCCGTATCGCTGCCTCGGGCCACAGTGCCACACCTTCAAGCCAAAAGCGGCTGGGTAGTGTGAGACCGTGATCTGTTGCGAGCGCTGACTGGGCTGAACACCCGTTTCCTTCCTTTAGAGGACCATTGTGTTGTTCTCTTTGTACCTCTCGACCTTCTTCGATCTCCGGAGGTACCGTCACTTATTATTCTATCACGCCGAGACCCCGGGACTGAAGCGGTGGTGAAGCTACCTGTCCACGTTGTGGCGTCATTGCCTGTCCGCCGCAGCCCCCGTTTCTCAGGACCCCAACGCGTCCTTCCCGCGAGCCGACCTGCGCGATTCTTTACCCTCTCCACATCTTTCTCACCCACCTTCCCCTGCCACCCAATTCACACCACCAACATCCCACGACACCATCCCTGATCATTCAACTCTCGAACTTCATCATCTGCGAACACACTGGTCTCTTCAATCATGGCCGACGAGACTCCTGTCGCTGCCCCTGCTGAGGCCGTTGACCAGTCCGAGCGCGAGGCGGCTGCGGCCAGCGACAAGCCTACCGACCAGGAGAATGAGAACGTGACCACCACCGAGGAGAAGCCCACCGGTAAGTCTTGATGTCTGGTCCAATGCGCCGCATTACTGGTCAAGTGCCCAAGCTTCCCAAGTTATGGTGAAGCTTTCCGGTCATGGTCAATGCATGCGCTTCTGTGCGACCGCAATCCAGCTAACCTCACCGGCCGCGGCCGCGGCCCTCTCCAGACACCACGAGCGCAAACGATGAGAAGAAGGAGGCCGAGAACGGCACCGAAGAATCCAAAACCTCTGGCGACGCCGATGAGACCAAGGATGAATCTGCCGCTCCGCCCGCTGCTGCTGATGAGGAGCAGGCTGATGGCGCCGAGACTGCTGCGCCAGAGGCCAATGGCGCCCCGGCCGCTTCCAAGAAATCCTCCAAGGATCGTCGCCGCTCCAGTGGTGTCGGTGAAAAGTCCAAGCTCAACAAGCGCAAGTCGATGCCTAAGCTCACTCAGTTGAATGTGAAGCCTGGCGAGTACTACCTTGCGCGTCTGCGTAGCTATGCGCCTTGGCCGTCCATCATCTGCGATGAGGAGATGCTCCCCCCTATCTTGGTCGAGAACCGTCCCGTTACCGCGGCGCAGCCTGATGGCACTTACCGCGCCGACTACGCAGATGATGGGAAGCGGGCTCACGAGCGGACTTTCCCAGTGATGTTCCTCCAGAGCAATGAGTTGTAAGTTTGGAACCTTTTTTTGAGTCTTCTAGGCGGCAGAAGTCGGTGGCTACATTGGTGACATGAACGGCTGACATGTTTGGATTTTCCGTGCAGCGCTTGGATTCCTAACACTCAGCTCACCCCTATCACGCCCGAAGAGTGCAAAGACGTCCCCGAGAAGGGAAAGGCCAAGGGTTTGATCGCGGCGTACAAGGTTGCCGCGGAGGGTCACGACTTGGACTACTTCAAGCAGATGCTCGCCGACCACGAGGCCGCCATCCAGCAGGAGATTGAGGAGGAGGAGGCCGCTGAGGCTGCTAAGGCCGCCGCCAAGGCCGAGAAGGAAGCCGCAAAGGAGGCTGCCAAGGCCGAAAAAGAAGCGGCCAAGAAGGCTACCAAGAACAAGCGCAAGAGCAAGGGAGCCGAGACCGACGTTGAGATGGAGGATGTTGATGACTCGAAGAAGGCCAAGCCTGCCTCTAAGAAGCGCAAGAACGAGGTCGACGCTGAGGCCGAGAAGGTGAGCATCACCCATCGAACGGGTGATCGAAGTTTTGGAGAATCGACCGTGGCGAGCTAACGCAATAAACCCCACCTACACAGCCTGCAAAGACTCCCAAGACCAGCACAAAACTCAAGTTGACCACTCCCAAGGCCCCCGCCGAGGAGAAAAAGACACCTGCGAGCAAGGCGAAGAAGGCCGCCACGAAGAAGAGCAAGGCTGCAGTTGAGGAGGATTCTACCCCCGAGGCCAAGGAGCCTGAGAAGCAGGTCGATCCCGAGGAGTTGCGAAAGAAGAAGGAGAAAGAAGGTGTGTTTTTACGTTGTCACGTCTCATTCTATGGCGCATAAACTCAGTGCGACCGCTGGCTAATTGTTATTGTTTAGTTCTCTTCCTCCGCCACAAGTTGCAGAAGGGTTTTATTTCCCGTGAAATGCCTCCCCAAGAGGACGAGATGGCCACCATGGTTACTTACTTTGACAAGTTGGAGAAGCACACGGATCTGGAAGTGTCCATTATTCGCGCCACTAAGATCAACAAGGTCCTGAAGATGATTGTCAAGCTTGACACCATCCCTCGTGACGAGGAATTCCAATTCCGCCAACGCGCTCTTGGTATCCTGACAAGCTGGAAGAGCGTGCTAGAGGCCGATGCCCCCGCGCCATCGGACAAGGAGGCCAAGCCTGCCACCAATGGCGCTGCCAAGGAGGAAGCTGCCGACACCCCCAAGGCAGAGACCGAGGAGGAGAAGGAGGGCGAGAGCAAGGCTGAAGCCGATGATACCCCGATGCCCGACGCCGATGCGGATAAGACTGAGCCTGAAGCTGCCGAAAAGGGTGAGGCCAAGGATGACAAGGAGACAGAAGAAGCAGCCGAGGAGAAGGCTGAGGACAAGGCCGAAGAGGAATCGGAGCAGAAGGATGATGAAAAGACCGAGGAGAAGACCGAAGAGGCAACGGAATAAGTATGCCTCACATTGCTGTGGAAAGGAAACAAAACAAGACTACAAACCTCGCTTCTACACCTCTTCCTCAAATTTCTCTCTGATTCCTAACCATCACACCATGCTCATGCTCAAGCTCACTCATCTCCGACGCGGTGGCTCTTTTCAATCGCTCATGTTTCCCACGATTCGGATCGAACCTGGTTTGTGGAACTACAGTCCAATTTTGATGTTCAAATTTTTTGGTGATATCTCTCTTCCGACTCTGTCTTTGTCCTCCCTGTACCTTTTAAATTTCTCTCTGTTAATCCTCTGGCGGACGATATGTCCAGTCCAAATATGTTTATTTGCTTGTCTTATTATTTTCACTCTTGGTCAGTAAATCCCTCTACGATGTACCGTGGCTTCGGTTCGAGTCCTGCAAGTGAACAATTCCAGCTACAAGCATGGACTGCCGTTCCCCGACAGCGTAACGTAACCCGACCTAGGGCTATCGTTCTCCTTGAAATGGCTCACGTCCAGTGAGTCGGAGAGACGAGACGAAACCTAATCTTCCATCTGGGTGCGTGCGCAAAGCCTTCGTTGAAACCGCGTACCCAGTTGAGCAGAATGTAGACCTTTCAGGGCAGAGAATCTTCCAAGGTTTTCACATGCGTTGGATAAATGTCCCATTGCATGTGATACCCTTTTCCGTATATATCGAGGGGGACTTGGAAGGTGCTATCTACCAAGGTTGGTGGAATGCGTCCGATCTCCTGGTCGGTTTTAATTTGCGTCTGTTTGAATGATATACTTTTTTGAACGGGAGATGGTGTATGTTCATGAGTTTTTGGCATGAATTGTATGTGCGACGAATGTCATTATCCATGAGATGGTAAATACTGAATACTGAGCATGGTATGTTTCCTCCGCCGATCGCAGAGGGATGGGAGTTTGTTTTAAACCGCCCCTTTCACGAATGAAGATTGGAAGAAGACTAACGCCTCTATATGCAAGATGTTCATGTGGCCGCAGGAGACCCTTGTTGCGGCCCGAGAAATTTCCCCAGGAATGAAAGGGAAGGGGGGAGACCAAAGTAAGAAAACGAAAGGAGAGAAGATAACAGGGACCAAAGGAGAAAAGAAAGAAACCTTGGAAGATATATATATATACAACATCGCACGAAGGCAGCAACACCCCGTTTACTTGTGCGCGACTTGATTCTCATCAACGGCAATCATGACCAAAGCGCAGATGTCATCGACTTTGCCGCCGCGGTAGTAATCGCCCGGGTAATAACGCTGCGCTTCTTTGGCGAAGGGTCCATCGCGACGGAAATCCATACTGGCCGCTTTGGCTTCTCCGGCGATGGAGGCCGCGAGAAGGGACTGTAATGTATAGACTGATTCGAGAGTCTCGTGTTCTTTGTCGGCGGACTTGGGGGGAGGGAATGCGGAGGCGAGGCCACCGGGGACCGTGAGACTGGCGATTTCGCGGGAGATTTTCACCCCCGAGTCCTCGGTGGCTGTCCATGCCCCTGTCATGACCATCCGGGTGGTGACGATCTTGAGGATGTCCTGATTGTTTAAATTGTCAAAGACTCCGTCTGTAGCTAGGATGAGAACGTCTCCGTGCTGCATCTGGACGTTGGTCACGGCTGCGTCCTGGGGTGTGTCCTCTAAGAAGGAACCTCCGAAGACGGACGCCTGAGCACGCATCTTGGGAGGAATCACACTGAGCTGATACGGGGTGTTGAAGCCATGCGTCTGCGGGACGGAATAATGGTGTACGGCCGCAAGACGAAGCAACACAGACCCCGAATCACCTAGATTCGCCAACTCCACTCGTCCATCCGTCAGGCCAACTCCCACCGAGGCAGTGCTCCCTCCAGCCTTGATCGTGGGATCTTTGACAACCTGGTCATATCCTGCTTGCAGGAGCTGTTTGGGTCGTAACCTGTCCGCAGGTGAATCCCATGTCAACGCCGACTGGGCCATGTAGCCACATAGACCGTGTGAAAAGTCCGCCGGGTCGACGCGGGATTCGGTCCAGCCACCTACGCCGTCAGCAACAGCAAAGGCGACAGCGCCGTCGGTGTCTGGGTGGCCTGAAACTTTGGAACCAATCCGGCTGACAAAGAATGCATCTTCGCCGCTATCGGGGCGATTGCGCTTGCGTACGCTGGGACTGGGGTCTTTCGAGACCCCGATCATGTCTGATTTTGCGGGATCGAAATGGTAGACATTTTTGAGAGGGTGGAAGCGGCGGCCTTTGCCGGTGGACGAGACGGCAACTTTATATGAGATCCGGGCTGAGGAAGATGAAGGATTGGAGAATCGGCCGGGAGAGGAGTGGAAGGATCGGGAAGAGGTGGTATGTAGAGCGGATTTGCGAGGTTTTGACGCAGAACATGGCAGTGAGTGTCCGAGAACAGAGAATGAGAGGGTATCGCGACTTGAAAAGCAAACGCCCTGGCGGAACAAGCCTGATAGTTGTTGCAAGTTGCAGGTGGAACTGCAGACCCTGGAGGGCACACTTGGCGAGATCATGGCCGGGGACAGAAGGTCACGGCCCTTCCACGAACATGCGCTTACAAGCACATCGCAGAGAAGAAGATGTAAGATGAGAAAGATTCGAAAACCGGACCAGATGGGACTGGCCAAGATGGGTTTTGTCAAGAGTCTTATAGAAAAGTTTGGAGCACTGCTGGCCGAAGCGGATGAGAGACGCATTGCTTATCGCTCTTTGACCGCCTGGCGTCATTCGGCGTGGTCTTTTCCAGTGTTCTGAAGAAAGGTCTGGTGGTACAGTAATGATACTCAAATGAAGAACACCAGGCAATGGAGGGATTCGAATTGTCGTCGGAAACCTAAATTCGAGCCTGCCGACGTTCCAGATTTTTTTTTGTTGCCCCCTCCCCACTCCGTCAGAATTTAGCAGCATTCACCTGGCGCATATGCATGGTGTTTTAGGTGCGGTTTGGAAACTTTGCGACGCCGAAAGCTCTTGGCTTTTCGTTATCAATTCTGCCGCCCGCAACATCATCCACCAAGGTCCATCTTTCGAGCTCACTTTGCAGTCCAAGCATTGCACAAAAGGGAAAGGAGAGAAAAAGGGGTGTCTCTTGACCTACAATCGACTGGAAGAGATCTGAGCTCTGAATCTGCCAAGATGATGCACCCTTCGCGACAAGCGTATGTTGAGGAGGCGGCCGAGGTAAGCAATTTCTCTTGACAGCGCGACTACGCCCGTTGTCATCCAAAACTTTGCGCCTCGATTGGGGAGCGGTTGGAACAATTATTGGATACACAGCAAAAATACTAGTTCTCCGTGTGCAATGGACACTAATATATGCAATGCCTGCCTAGGAGATGGACACGGGCATCGATCTGGCGAACATCCGTAAGCAGTTTCCCTCCTGGCCCACTTCTTCCCCATACTAAATATGCGACAATAGCTCTGGATACGGACTATGAGATGCCCGCATCAGCGGCGGGCATTCCCTCAGAGCGAGCATCCGCCATCCATGCACAATTCGAACGAAAGCGACGCGCCGCCGCCATGGTGGTGCCGACAGACGATACCCGGGTGCGGCAACGGCTACGAGAGCTCGGCGAGCCCATTACACTCTTCGGTGAAGGCCCTGCAGATCGACGAGATCGGTTGCGTGAGCTGCTGACCGACCTCTCGGATCGACGAGGTGACGGGGATGTCGAAATGGAAGAAGCAGAAGATGAGGAGGAAGGCGAGCAACAGGAGGAATTCTACACGGAGGGATCCGATGCGCTTCTAGAAGCTAGAAGGGCCATGGCTCGCTTTTCGCTTCCCCGCGCCAAGGCGAGAGTCGCACGATTGAAAGAAGAGTCTACCATCCCACTGCGGACGCACATAAAGCACCGGAAGGCCGTCAAGGAGAAACTCGGAAACTTTGATCTTTACGGTTCACAGATTGCGGGTGATCGGCCAGTCAGTATCTGTCGATTTGCACCGGATGGCAAGACAATCGCGGCTGGAAACTGGTCGGGTGATATCAGGATGCTGTCTGTGCCAAATCTGGAGGAAAAGGCAAACTTGAAAGGCCACACTGATCGAGTCGGAGGCTTGGCATGGTTCCCGGGATCAACGTTACCTGAATCTGGCGTCTCCTCTTCGAGCGTGAATCTCGTGTCCGGCGGTGGTGAGGGGAATATCAACTTTTGGTCCCTGGACTCGAATGAGCCTCTAGCCACTCTCTCTGGTCACTCGGGTCGAGTGTGTCGCACCGAGTTCCATCCATCGGGCCGCTATGTGGCGTCTGCATCCTACGACACAACATGGCGACTGTGGGACGTGGAGACGACGACAGAACTCCTGCTACAGGAAGGCCATTCGCGAGAAGTCTACACGGTTGCTTTTAACAACGACGGATCATTGCTAGCCAGTGGTGGCTTGGATAGTATCGGTCGCATCTGGGATTTGCGCACAGGTCGCACCGTGATGATCATGGAAGGGCACGTCCGTGAAATCTTTGGCCTGGACTGGGGCGTCGACGGGTACCGAGTGCTCTCCGGCTCGGGTGACGGATGGGTGAAATGCTGGGATCTTCGCCAAGTGCGGAACATTGGAGGCATCGGAGCGCACAAGAGCGTTGTCTCTGATCTTCGATGGTACAAGGGTCTTGAATCCGCCTCCTTCTTGCCCACAACCGAGGCTTCTAGCGGACAGATGGACGTGGATAGTACCCCGGCAACTCCTAATCCCGCGGGGATCGAGCCCAAAAAGTCCGGGACTTTCTTTGTGTCCAGTGGCTTTGACAAGAATGTCAATGTGTTCAGTGCTGACGACTGGTCTCTGGTAAAGTCTCTCAGTGGGCACTCGGGCAACGTTCTCTCTACCGATATCAGCGGTGATGCGCAATGGATTGCGAGCTGTGGTCATGACCGGACGGTGAAACTTTGGGGCATTGAGTGATGGGCCGGAAGTAGATCACTCTGAGAACTTATCTATCAGTTGTATGATATAAAAGACTTTGGCCCTAATCTCGGCAGCTGTGTAGAGACCAGCATCCATGTGTTCGTCAGTCTCGTTCAAGGTATCAAGCCAGACAGCCGACGTATTCCATGGTCAAGAGCAGCCCTGGCTGATGTGCGGAAATGGGAGTATATCCGCCCCGCAAACGACATATACCTTGCCTGGTCGCTGGAAGTGGAAGAGCCCAGGAATTTTGCTTTAGTTGAGTACAGCACTCTTAGGATTACTGAACGAGCGACACATATCGCTTATACCTATTAACAGTAGGTGTCTATCTAGGCGAGGACTGGGAAGAATTGTGTATGGAATGTGTACATATGTCCACATCAAAAAGCGACAATGTAATTGTACACACTACACAGTACGCAGTGTGTACTACACACTACACACCCCCCAAGTGTACTCCGCGCTCTTTACAACAGGCCCGCTGTCCCAGCGATGGACGTGCGGATAAGTGCGGAGCCGCCCGAATTCTGCCCGGCAATTGTCCCAAGTGATCTCCGTTTCGAATTAGAGCCGATGACGCTGGACTTGACCGGACTCTTGCCACAAATAACATTCACCACCGTCATATATACACAATGGGACTTCGTGCTCCAAGTCTGGCACGACGCCTGTCTCGAACTTCGACACCTCGGAGTAATACAGCACTCGTAACACGCCGATCCTTGACCTTTTCCTCTGGTCGCGATGCGTTGAGCTTCAACCAGCTTCGGACCGCCGAGGCTGTCGCAAAGCATGCCCGCAACTTGACCGCAAAGCCGGTCTATACACCATCAGGCCCGCACACGCGACGGACAGTTTCGACGACGACAAAGGCATCAACAGAAGACCCCTCCACTCTCGCCGGAGCCCCCGATACCACAAACCACTACACAATTTTCCCCCAGACCCTCCCCGCTGGGCCCCCTCCGCACTCACCGTTCGAAATCTCCGTTGCTGATCTGCGCCGCGAATTCCTCCAACTCCAAGGAGCCGTACATCCAGACAAGTACCCCTCCGGCACGGACAAGCAACGCGCCGAAGCGCTTTCTTCCCGCATCAACGAAGCCTACCGGACTCTCTCTGATCCATTACAGCGGGCGCAGTACTTGCTTCGCGAATGGCACGGCATTGATGTCACGGCCGAAGATGGATCGGCGAAGCATGCCTTGGACGCTGGGACCTTGATGGAGGTGATGGAGGTGCAGGAGACGATTGAGGAAGTGGGGGCGTCGGCGGACGCAGAGGTTCAGATTGAGGCGTTGAAGGATGAGAATGAGGAGCGGATTGCCGGTTGCGTGAAGGCGTTGGCGGCTGCTTTTGATCGGGGAGATGTTGAAGGTGCGAGAGCCGAGTGTGTCAAGTTGCGGTTTTGGTATAGTGTCGGGGAAGGGTTGAGGGAATGGGAACCTGGGAACACGGAGATTCGGTTGATGCATGGTGAGTAGATGAGTGTCCGGCTGTTGTGGGCTGGTGCTCAAATGGCATTTTGGGCCTTGTATAATCACCGCATATTAGATATTGGGATGTCAGTGTATTCCGCTAGAGTCACGAGAGAACTTTTTTCTCTCACTAAAATGTACCATCGATGCCGAAAGTACACTATTTCTCCAGATACTGCTGCTATGATTGTCAGGATTCAACCTGCAGCTGGAGTATATCGGGACCCTTGTCCTGGAGATATGGCCGAGGTCTCTTTGGTGTTCCCTTGATGGTCGAAATGTGAGGGCTAATCCATCAAGCAGCTGATTTCATCTCGATCATGGGAACCCAACTTAAGTCGTGAGGGTACAGTATACCTCAATGGACCAGTCACCAGCGTCCTCTGAGCGCGATGAGTACCTATCAGCCGCTCCTAATTCTTCTAGCTGCACTTTTATTCGTTCTATTCAAAGCTGGCTGACGGTCGCCCCCGATCAGGTGCTGTTTCGTGACCCGTGAAAAATGAAGCTGCAACGCTTCACTTGTAAAGTCGGTCTATCCGATGCTCATTTCAGGGCGATCGGCGTTAATCCCTTTATCTTGATGCTTTTTGCTTTCAACCAACGACGGTATTGCCTGATTCATCCTTTTAAGTGCCATGGAACACAAAAACGATCAGATGAGGCATCTGGTTGGCCACATGGTCTTGACTCGAAGCCTGTCTTTCGGAGGCGTAGACCAGGCGATTGGGCACGAACGACAAGAATTTCAAGGCTTGGCGCATTGATTGCCGGCCCAAACCAGATAGAATGAATGAGCAAAGGATGAAATACGCTCGGTTATGAGAGTTGCCGTTCATCTGGATGACAGGCCTTATGCTTAATTTCTAGATCGTCGAGTGGGAGTATGGCAACTCTCATCTCTAGGCGTTGCGACGTTCGAAGTAGTTGGGAAAGTGGAAACAACGAAATCAAAGTGCGGACATGGAGGATGCAGAAGTTCCATGTTTGTACACTACCCAGTTATTCACGATCAAGTCATGCGACCAAGCACGTCCCAGGCGAGCTATCTGGTACCTGACTCGGTGCGAGATGAAATTCGAGTCAATCTGTCGGTCTGTTGGTGAGGCGTTGGCGCAGATTCCAGAGGCTCTATGGATGGTTCAATCTAGTCCACCCATCATCGCCGCCCACGTTGCATGTCAAAAAGGTAACAAGATGCCTCGCTTATCTTGGCTTGACGTCCAAGATTGTACGGGGCTATCTTATCTGAGTTGAATTAGTGGATTGACAGATCGCCTTGCCTCGAAACGAGGTGCCTGACTGTTGGCTGCTTCGAGTATTAAATGAATGTGGTCTCTGTCGTGGTGGACGCTGGGAGTCAGTGTAGAGAGAAAGGCGTCTCCAGTTGTTTTATACTATCCTGGCACATACCATCAGACGAGTCAAACGCACAGGGGCTGATACTCATGGAGTTTCGCGACTTTAATAGGTATGCATTCCCCACTACATCTGGGTGTTCGAAGGCTTGCAAGAAGCAATAACCCTTGATAGCCAGCTTCAAGCATCACCTGGTTACTGAAATAATGTGACGACCGCCGGCTAATCCAAATAACCTACTTTCCCCTCACAGCATCATCCACTCTCCCTCTTTCACCTTTCTTGTCGGACCGAAACACACCAAGTTAACCATTCAGTCTGGACTCGCCCAACATGTTTCGAAGCCTTTACACAACTTGATGAACAATGGTCACACTAGAGAATCGAAGCATCGAATCGCCGTCCTCGAGGACGAAGAGGTGGAAACCTTTGTCGCATTTTGCGAATATGCGTATACCGGGGACTACAAGGTGCCTGCGTTGCCGGAATCCACGGTCAGCGCAAGTACGAAAGTATCAGCACAAGCCCCGAAACAACAGCATGATGTTCAGTCTGAATCGATAGAGAGTCGAAGAAACTCGGTGCTCTCATGGCGAGGCACCTATCGCACTGAATCATTTTCATCCGCGGCTCTACCACTTGTGCCGTCTCCGCCACCAGAGAATGTGGTTGAGGATAACGGTGAAACGCATGGACTTCAGGATGATCCTATACCCGAGAAGAATGGGTTGGAGGAAGCGAGTGAGGGCAATTCTCATGAAGTGGTGGAGGACCGTGTTGAAGACGCTGCTGCACCAAGTGAAACTCACGATCCTGTGAGCGATGAACAGCTTGTGGCCCATGATCGACCCGACGATGAAGTTGAACCTGAAAACGCGACGGATTCATCCGTCCATTTGGTTTCAAGCCATGAGATCGAGCAAGTGACAACAGATTCGGGTGAACGTGCAACACTTGAGGATGCTCTTCCCGAAGAGCAGCCCATTGAAGAGCCGGAATATGTGTACACGCCAAAGAAGAGCTCTGCGAAAATGAGGAAGTGCAAGAAGACATGCCAAAAAAAGTCTCATAAGCACCCTTTGGAGGATAAGTGCCCGACTAGCTTGACACCTCCATCAACACCTCCTTCTCAAAGCGCAGAGCCAACAATTCTGGAAGAACTTGTACCCGTGGGGCAATCTGAGCAAGAAGCTGCTCTGCCCGAAACACCTGATCCGGAATTCGAGGGGCAGAGAGCAGAGGGCACATTGGCTGAGGCTCAGCCTGAAGTTTCAACTCCCCGGGCACAGTCACCATCAGCATCTGCTATCGATGAACCTAGATCTCCCGAGTCAGTAAGATCGCAATCGACAAACAAGGGATTTTCTCGCTCAAGTCCATCACCGGCACCATCAGTGAAATCGACGTCGGTATCGACCGCACACCAGGAGACCTCCTCGGACAGACCAATGCTAGACATGTCTTTTGCAAAGCAGCGTTTTGAGCCATTCCGACACACTGCCGGACTGGATCTTTGGGGTGATTTCAAGGCAATACAATACGAGGATGAAAATGCGCCGCCCGCTGCCTCTTCAACATCGCAAGCTTGCACTCCGCCCTACCTCACTTTCCACGCCAAGCTCTACGTCTTTGCCACGCGATACCTCATTCCAGCTCTTGCTCAGCTCTGTCTCCGCAAGCTACACGCAGACTTGGTCCAACTACCTCTCGATGAAACTATCGGTGATTTGGAGCCAGCCGGAGCTAACAAGTTCCATACTTCCGATGCCCAGAGCTTAGTCTTGGATCTCTTGCATTACGCATATACCAAGACCACGAGACTCGAACCAATAAGTCCAACTTCTGCCACCCAATTGCGAGAGAACGAACTGCGACGACTTGTCGTGCACTATGCTGCTTGTCGGGTCAAGGAGTTGGCGCGGTGGCATGCAGTCAGTGAGAGCGGGATGGCGACACCTGTGGTGACAGGGCGCTATACGCCTGGAGCGAAGCAGGCCAAGCCCATGAGTATGAAGGCTTTGCTGGATCAGACACCTGAGCTGGCGAGTGATCTTGTGTATCGTATGATGTGAGACCGGATGAAGGGCATGCGAGCGATTAGTGGTTGATGCTGGTGAACATGAATCTTGGCAAGATTTGTGATTTTCAATGCTCGCGTTCATTCGCACATGGCCTGATGTTTCAGTAACGATTAAGTTGGAAACATGGACAATCGTCACTCTTAGAGACACTTGAAACTGGACACAGGGCAATATCAGAAAATGCATTTTCTTCACATGGCACGATGTCTTGTGTTTCGTATCCTTTCAGACTTTTGTGTAAGCGTGTACTTGTGTACGGTGTAGTCTACAAGCACATATCGGGTCAAATCTCCATCACTCTACAAATCCGGTCGTACGAATGATACCCCCCATAACCGCCCGTCCAGGCAGACACATATCCCGCACACTAATCAAAAAGAAAAGAGTCCGGCCAGTTTGGACCAAATTAGGGGACTCTCAGCACAGAATAAACCAAACATGAAGATTCCACTCAAAAATGATACATGTCACATCAGGCAACAGTTTTGAAAATTATGATCGAATCACTTCTTAGCATCGGCAATCTGACGTGGACGACGCTGGGGCTTGCTATTCTCGCGAGCATCAATGGCGATCATAAAACTCGCTGGCTGGTACAGGGATGATCATCTTGGCATCGCGGCTGTGAAGATAAGCGCAGTATTACTGCAGAGCTGTACTCGATCTGGCCCAGCTTCAGGGGTTACGTAATGCTGCTGCCCCTGGACCGGACATGGCAGCGAGAAGAGCAAGGTACACTGGTCTAATAGGCACCAGGGACGGTCGAACGAAACTTAAATTTAGACGCAACGCTGCGAACACCACGAAGGTTATGAGAATTCGTTAGTGCCTTATCTCTGGGTGGCTGTATATCGATCGTCGGGCATCCGTCATTTGTCGCAGGCTGCACTGGATGCTAGGTTTGGCTCTAGCCATTAGGGGGTGATCTCATGCCTCAAACGTTGTTCACTCTGTTCGTCCCGTTCCCCTTTTCCGGTTCACAGCCCCCCTCGAAAAGCTTGGCGGCGGGCCGACCGTCGATCATCGGGTCTTGGCGAGTTTCTCTCGGGTTCTCGCCATGCTCCTTTTTTAATTGAGTCGGCCCGATAAGACTGGTTCGTCAACAAGAAGAAAATTTCATGTGCTAGGATAAAGAAGTGAGGAGCATCGTAAAAGCCTGTGACTGCTTCATCAGGACGATATTTACATTGACTTTAGATCATCGATATCTCTTTCCAGTGCCTCGTATCACGCACAAAAACAATCTTAATCATATCTCGGCAGGCAGCACTATTAAGCGCTCTTCCGTTGCTCAGCGCATATCACATATTCTGTCAAGAGCCAAGAAATCTTTTTAGTATTTCGCGTCGCAAACTCCTGTAAATGCTCTGCACGAGGTGGATTCGGCCTATCATGCCCAGAGATCGATCCATGTGTTCTCCTTGCTCCACATTTCAGACTATTGACCCTTCATTGGAGCAAAGTTCTCTGAGGTGAAGTACTGAAGTCGATCTCTTGGCGTTTCATGATAGCGTGTCCCCGTCTCGAACTTCCAAGACTCTATTTCCAAGGTAACTACCTGTAGAGCTCTCATGTTGGCCTTGGCACTGATAAGCTCTGAGCTTCTGGTAGGTCTGTTGTGTGAGGTTTTGCATGTATTGTGGATCCCATATTGGGCAGCATGCTCTAGTTAAGCGTTTACTTCGTTTCAACATGGTCTCGAAACCGCTTGGGCACAATCTCAGAGTCGATACTTGCTGTATGTCTTGGCTGAAGATCCACTCATGAAGATCTACACTGCCATTGAACGACGATGATAGAGCTTTGTGGCGAAGTGGTTGATCTGGACATAAACGTAAGGACATAGCCCAGGATCCTCCCGAACCTTTGGGTCAGCTTTCATGTTCAGCTGAGATTGTGTGCGGCACGGCGAATACATAAGGTATATGCTGTACTCGAATTCCTACCTTGAACCCTACTCACCTCTAGTCCTTTCCATCCTTACTTTGGCTATTGCTTCTCATGATCGGAAAGAGTCTTCTGTGCATGTCAGATTTCCCATAGATTACTTTCTCTCGCACAAATTAAAGGCAATCATCTCTGGCTCTTCAATCAAATTGTCCGATATCACGAAACAGTCGTTCCATTTCTCTAAGCGAGTCAATCGTGATGTCCACACTGCAACACCCGGGCATGCTTGTGTCAAACAATCTCGAGCTACCACAACGCACAATCCGTACCTCTTGCTCAGAAACTACCATTACGCCTCATCACGAAGAAAAGCCATGCAACTACAGCAAGATATCATGGAGTCAACGCCTTCGTCACTTCACGTGGGCCTGGTATACTCTCACAATGAGCACAGGCGGGATAGCTCTACTCATCGCGAATCAGCCGAACACATTCACCGGCCTCAACCAAATCGGACTCGCCGTCTACATCATCAATCTCGCTCTCTTCGCTCTCGTCACCTCTCTGATGGTTGCGCGATTCGTCCTTCATCACAACTTCCTCGAGTCTCTTGCACATGAACGTGAAGGGCTTTTCTTTCCCACATTCTGGCTATCAATCGCAACCATGATCACTGGTCTTGACAAATACTTTGGCGACGACCCAGAACCTTCATTTTCCACGACCATGTGCGTTCTTTTCTGGATATACTGCGTCTGCACATTTACTGTTGCCGCTCTTCAATACTCTTACGTCTTTACCTCGATCAGCTACCGGCTCCAGACAATGATGCCGTCATGGGTTCTGCCCGCTTTCCCAATTATGCTGAGTGGGACAATCGCCTCTGTCATCGCCGCCCGTCAACCTTCCGCGACATGTATTCCCATTGTCGTGGCGGGTATGACCTTCCAAGGGTTAGGCTTCTGCATCAGCTTCATGATGTACTCACATTATATTGGCCGCTTGATGGAGTCTGGACTCCCTCATCGCGAACACCGGCCTGGCATGTTCATTTGCGTCGGCCCACCCGCCTTCACGGCCTTAGCCCTCATCGGCATGGCCCGTGGACTGCCCGACTCGTTCAGCGTGATGGGTCGACCTGATGACTCGGCCGATCGAGAAGTGCTCGAGATCTTGGCCCTTTCAGCCGGCGCATTTCTATGGGCGCTGAGTCTATGGTTCTTCTGCATTGCACTCATTGCCGTGGTGCGAGCTCCGCCAAAATCCTTCCACTTGAGTTGGTGGGCGATGGTATTTCCCAACACTGGGTTCACCCTGGCGACTATCACCCTAGCCAATTCATTTGATAGCAAGGCGCTGAAGGGTGTGGGCTCAGCCATGTCTATATGTGTTATTGCCATGTGGCTGTTTGTCTTTGTCAACCATGTGTTGGCAGTGGTTCGGCGTGATATTATGTTCCCCGGAAAGGACGAGGACGTAAGCGACTAATTTTACGTCTTGAGTTTCATTGCTCCTTGTCTTTCTGCTCCACATCTTCGGTCTTTTCGGTTCTTTCTGGCGTTCTGTTAGCTTGGTGAATCACCATTTTAGTCGTGTCTTTCGCATCAAGGGGCTGAGCGCGTGTTTTCATTTGAAAGGCGTTGGGAGGCTTTACGATTTCTGGAGAACTTTGCCCACTAGTTAATAGATTGGACTTTTGCTCGTGGTTTCTAAGTTTAAAGCGACTGTTTTCAGATTTCAAGACGATTGCCCCATCGACTCTTATATTGGATTTACAGCAATTGCAAACGTGATAATCGGAATATTGGGTTTCTAATACATCATATCTAGAATCAAGCTCTGCATGAATCCTTCATGAGGTGAGATGCCTTTATCATAATTCTCACTTTCCTAACTCACAGAGTTCCCGAGAGAATAAGGCACAGCGCCCAAGGTAGGTACGCGCTTGGAATAGTAACGAAGATGGGAGACGCCAACAGTCTACCTGCATTGATAGCAATCTAAAATAGGGTAAGGCACCTTATAGAGATGAAAGAATAGAAGCCGACAGCGGGAGCATGAACTCTGAGAGTATCACCACCCTGCTTGTTCAGACTGAATCAAGCAGCGAGGCAAACGGCCTTTGGCAAGAATTAGCACAATGTCTATGTATGATTTACGTGTTTTCGAACAAGTTTATTCATGGATCTCTTCGAGAATTTAGATCACCTAGACCGGCTAGGCCAGTCAACTGCCAATGCAATGTAGCGTTAGCTGGAGAGCCGGAATTACATTGGCCTGTTGGAGTATGGATAATAATCACGAACAGTATTATCAGCCCCGAGATCACTTAGACCAAGTGACGGAGACGGATTCCGACGATGGAGCTGCAATGGCAGGACTCGAGAAGAGAGCAATAACAGCAAGACTTGGGCAGATTTTGCAGACTTTGAGGTATCTGTTGGTGACTTTTAGTATCAAGAAAAGAGTCCTAGTCAGATGTCGATCTTGAAAGACGCAAGTAAAAGCTTTTATGTCAACTTCCAGCCTCGGAAACTCCCTTTTTTTGGAAAAAGAAAAAAGAAAATAAACAAAAGAAGAAAAAAATTTGCCAGCCACACTGGCTTGCACTTATACAGTGCCATGACACAAGTATCCGGACGATTATTCTACCGTGTATACCGTTGTGAAGGGTCATTAGCTCTGTCAAAAGAACAGCTGGAAAGGATTGGAGCTCCTGTCGCTTGATATTACTCTGGATCATTTCTCAATCAATTCTCAACAACTGAATAGTGGTAGAACAACAGCGCCGAATAATTCAAGTACTCGAAATATGAGAGCAATGCGCTGCTGCACAGCGCAATCAGCTCTCTAGGAAATTATTCCTTTCAGACTAGTTAAATTGTAGTGTATCTTGTACATATTGCTGAAACGTCGCAAACTTGCACGATATACCGGCGGAGCCGCAAAAAGAGCAGGGGAAGGTGTTTAGCGTGAAATTACCGGAGGCTTTTGCCAGACGCACATGATAATTGCTCGTGTACAGTCACATGGCAATTGCAGATATGTTGCGTGCTCACACAACTTCTTTCTGGATGTGAAGGTCTGGACTACGGCATCCTCATGGAACTAATTTTGCACGTTCGTTTGGCCCATGTGAGAAGCGACAATCGAAATGATTATCATTCACACGTGTATATATGATACCGAACCATATCTGACTCACTCGCAAATTCTACCAGCTCCCTGTACACATAGATTTACCACTGCTAATGCTGGGCTGCTCCTGAACACAGGAGGTCTTTGAGAGCTCTACTTGACCGCTGAGGATCATTCCTGGGCCATCAGCACCCATGGCTCTCATGAACAAAAGGGCGAATATCGAAATTCGCTCGTATGGAATGATTGCCTTCGCACTCGCATCGAAGTGTCACTCGCATCGAAGTGTAGGAAAAAGAATCTCTGATAGAGACCAATATCCACGCGACGACTGGTTATGTCAACGGCCGAAAATGAATTCAAATGATCGGGGGCCTATTGCCTAACCCCGAAATGCTGTTCATTGTAGATGTTTAACGATCTTCCCAGCACCCATCCTTGTCACACGGTATGCTCTACACTGCTTGTCAGTTCTTAAATAGTAGGGACGTTGGACTTGGAAAGCAACGATGGCATACATCCCAGCGCATCGACAGTGCGCGAGTCCTCGTTGGAACGGGGCGCCATCGGTGTTTAGTGGCCTTGCCATGGAAAAGGTTCAGGGACACCACGGCAGCGAAGAAGGTTGAGCGCATCCACCGAGGTCATGCGGAAAAAGAGGCCTCTTGACGGGAAATGAAGATTGAGAGATAAACTCTTATGTGTTTGGATATCTGGCAAGTCAGTTGGACTCAGTAGAATCCCCATGGACCAAGTAGCCACGCTAGTGAGCAAAACCGTTCCAATCAAAGACAACAGTGTTGATGTCCATCGCATGGACATGGATCATATCGACCATCGCATTGATTCCATTCGGCAGAGCTTGATGTGTAACGCAGATTTGTCGCCGCTTGTGTGGAAGTGGCATGAAGAATACCACGGCACTAGAGGTCATCTGGACACAGTCCATACATGCAAAGATTTTGAAACGATTCGCGATTGGGCTCTTGCACATCAAGCGAAGCATTTCAATGCCTCAGTACATGTCCACGACCTGCTATCTGAATGATGTAAATACACAAACGCAATTTGCCATCTGTTCAGTTTGGAGACTCTGACCCTCTGGGCAGCCTTGTACGGATCAATTGCACAGACCGGCGCATTACAATATTGAGAGGTGGACCCTGTGTTCAAAGTGATCGCTCACCCATAAGTTCCGTAAAACTCAATACCAGATAGCAAGACGGCAGGTATGAATCCAGCTTAAACTACTCTGATTTTCAAGGCTTCGGTCATGTCTATGACACGCCGATAAGAGGCAACAAGCATGTAAAGATATTTCGAACACGTTGATCATCTCATCGAATATTTTCTACCTATGTACACACCAAAACACCTTGACGACCAACGGAGAAGTATAAATACACTTCAGCAATGCAGGGGAGAAAGAAGAAGACATAACGCCGGGTATCATGACGGTCCAGCGATGAACCAAGATAATGCAAGACTTTTTTTTTCGTCCAAAAGCAAGGACAGCGGGAGAGACACCGAGTATATCAAAATTTAAGGACCGCTTTTGATAAATTAAGCGACTTTTCGGCCGATGTTACCGATTCCGCGCCCAACGACACTGACAATCACATCGCCATCCTCGTTCTCCCCAGCCGCGTCACGGATACCCCAACCAGGGGCACCGAATTTGGCCAAGTCACGCGCCAATTGAACGGTGTTAGGATCGGCGATAACCTCACGTCCTACCTGCAGACGACCAACATCTTCAGACCCCATAGTCATCAAAGTCAGCATGGTGGTGACTGCTGCAGGAGCCACACAACCGCCCTTTGAGACGGTCTCCAACAGTTGGAAGGCGCACTTTCTGCCGATATCCTCGGGAGCCTCACCACCAGAAGGCGGAGACGCAACGTCGGCGGAGAAAAGGCAGCCGGTAGAAGACTCAGCGACAAGAGACAGACCGAAGCCGAGTCCGATCTTCTTCTTCGCATTGGGGTTGCTCTTGTCTGGTGCAGGAACGAGAGGTGCCGATGAGACATCAGAGAAGATATAAGTATCCGGGCTGAGCGGGTTGAGAATACCACGCGCAGATTCGATCATTCGGGCGTTGTTAGAGCCTGATACACCCACAGAGTACGCAACACCTCGCACGCGTTTGATGCGACCAGCGTTCATGAGGTGCAGGGTCTTGGGAAGGCGAATTTGGTGTCCGAATGTAAATTGCACTTCACCACCACCACCGCGACCGTTGGGGCCAGGATTCGATCTTTTCAGAATGCGCAATTCCACGTTGTTGAACATGCCGAATTGATTATAGAGGGGAAGAATCGCGGTGCGAACGCTGTCGACTGACATGTCACCCGTCGGGGTAGCAGAAGTGATCACACCGGAGCCAGTGAAGAGAACTTTGAGCGGCGATTTGGAGAATGGTGCAAGCAGACAGAGAGGAATCAAGAAGTAGCTCAGTCCACGACTGCAATTGGAAGGAAGTTCATGGTGAATCACTCCGCCACTGGCGCCAATGCCGCTCGCGCTGCCAGTGATCAAGCCGGGCTTGTAAACCAGAATGGTACCGGTGTACGAAATTTCCATCTCAGAGCCATTGGTAACAGCTTCGAGCAATCGAAGGAACGAAATCTCATGTGGCGCCAAGCCGGGGTTCGTAGGCGAGGATGAGCGAATCTGCGAGATGTGTACCGTGCGACCAGTCAGGGTCGAAAGTACAAGTCGATAGACAAGGTTGTGATGCGTTGTAAATCGCAGGGGGGTTGAGATGTCGTGGCCATCTTGTGTGGTTGCTGTGATTTCTACCTTCTTGAAGCAGTCTCCGCATGAAGCTCGGCCACATCGAAAAATGGAAAAATTGACGGGCCCAGGTTGATCCGTTCCGGGACATCGGCATAGCTCCGAGCGGTCTGGACCTTATCTCCGCGAAGGGGAAATGAGCGTCACCGATTACTTATCTGGCGGCTCTGTAATCTGATCCGCTGCTCTCTCATGATGACAATTCGATCAGATCTCTAGGCTTCTCACTCATAAAGTCTTCCGAACTTTTGTTACCCGTCTTGCGAAACGCTTTAACCGACCTCTTTTACAACACCAGGCGGCGACCACCTTACGAAATGCTTCCCCCAGCCCTCAACATCCCAAAATGGTACTGCTCTTCCTCCATTCGATCCCCCGCATCGTTGATAATGACCCCTCCGAGACTTATTACAAATTCAATCCATCTTCCTGAAGCGGCGATGCATGCTCAATACGCCAATTTTCAGATGTAAATTCTAACATCCCACATATCCAGGCTCGAAGAAAACTCCCACTTGCTCCAGCCCCCCGTCAACAACTACTGCGTCTACCACCCCTCCAACCCGGCCACAGCCGGCTACACGGTCATGATCGTCGGCGGACCCAACGCGCGAACAGACTACCACATCAATACAACGCCTGAATTTTTCTACCAATATCGGGGCTCTATGCTCCTCAAAACAGTTGATACATCCACGACGCCACCTACGTTCCACGATATCCCCGTCCACGAAGGGTCCATCTTCTTGCTTCCCGCGAATACGCCACACTGTCCGGTGCGATTCAAAGACACAGTCGGCGTGGTCATGGAGCAGCCAAGGCCAGAGGATGCGGTGGATGTCATGCGGTGGTACTGCAGGGACTGCCAGGAGATTGTATGGGAGAAACGATTTGTGTGCACTGATCTGGGCACGCAGGTCAAGCAGGTTGTCGAGGAGTTTGCGGCGGATGAGGACAAGAGGACATGTAAGAAATGTGGGAGGATTGCTGCAGTGAAGTACGCAGAGGGGGATTTGGTTCAACCGCCAGCGCATCCTGAGTGATGAGTGGAAAGACTGCACATATGATATCGTTTGTAGTGTCGAGTCAAGTAGGCTAGCAAGGAACCTTGTTTGATGCCCAACTCAGTTCAGCCTGGTCTCGGGTCTCACAACTCCAATTGAGATAGGGTATGACACACCCTCGGAACATCCGTTGTCTCTCCCAGTGAATGCGTCAAACACCCTTATGCCCGAGGGGAACGCTTTCGAAAACATCAGTGCCATGCAGCGATTTGTCATAGTACGTGCTATACGGAAGGGCTTTTGCTCAAAGAGGGCGGCAAGTATGCACAAGGAGCTAGTCTGCACATTAGTCCGAATACGGGTCTAGATACATCCGAGCAGGTAATAAGAATCGGACTATCGAAGGGTTATAGACAGGCTCGAGAGCTTGCGCAAGTGATGAATAAGTAATACACAGATGAAAATGGACATATGAAAAGAATGCGTCAAGTGAAACCGGGAATTGCTGTCCACAGCTAGCGGGAATACTTGATCTTGCACATATTGCTCGATTCGAATGCAGAGCGCGGAGAAGAATCAAAAAAAAGGTTCTCATTAGGGACGACTGCCGCATCGCGGCTGCATGGCGATGTATGCAGGAATGGAAGAATCTCAGTTCTAGGTAGGCGCTTTCAATAATGACTCATTCCGCCAAGTGCGAAAGAACAGCGCTGTGAGATTATTCGTCAAATGGACAATCAATGCTCTCATGGCCATCTCGTTCGCAGAGTGCACACCATTTGGACTCATCGATCACCCCCGAGGACTTGCCGGCAACTGGAGCCATGGAGGAACCTAGGCCACCGATGCCTTTTAGACCCTCAAGTACCACGTCACGGCCCGTCTTCTGCGAAGGAGTGCTGGTAGCAGCTAAGCTTTCTGAAGAGGCGGCGTGGTGTAAAGTGGTTTTGTTATCCACCGATAGCGCTGCAGGTTGCTCCACAGGGGCTGCAGAACTGATCTCCTGGTGGCCTTTTTGTGCACCAGTGTTGTTAGCGGCCCCAAACATGCTGGTGCAATTCAGAATATCGTGACCGCCGGTCTCGCAAATCTCACACCACAGAGCGTCCTCGTCGGATGATCGTTCCGACTCGGGCATGGATGCGAGTCGTGGCTGGGATGAACTCGAATATCCACGATGGTGTTGACGCTGCTCACTGGGGGAGAGATCTTGCCAGTCGTTGGGTACTACTGTTCGATCCGAGAGGCGGTGGGCGTGATTGACAGCAGTGTTGGGTTGAACACTACTGGATGAGTTGGAGGGTTTGTGGTGTGGTTTCGGCGAAAGAGTCGCCGTCGAGTCACGGTTGCGATCTTCGGCCGCGCTCAAGCGCAGCTCCTGCAACTGCTGCTCGAGCTCCTCAATGCGAGTGTCTTTGATGTGGGCAGTCACCTCAACTTCCTTGAGTCGCTGCTCCAGGTGGGATATTTGCTCGGTCTGCTCCTTATGAGTTTGCGATGCTTCGTTCTCCTGGGTGCCTGAGCCGCCAGGGTTGCCGCGGCTCAATGAATGAATGATGGCTTTCAACCCACGGATCTCGTCATCTTTCTGTTCCAACTCGTGTGAGATTCGCGGACTCTCACTTGCAGCTTGTGCATTTCTCAGAGCCGTGGCCGACTGCTCTTTCTCCTTCTTGAGTTCCAGCTTAGTCCTTTCGACCTCTCCACGGAGGAATTCCACCTCAGCCCTGGCCTCGGCTTCTCCTCGCCGTGCGTCCTCGAGACCTTCTTCCAATTCTGAAACCAGCTCTTCCAATTGCTTGAGCTGTTCGGCCACAATTTCAACGTCCTCACCGCGATTTTGAAGCTCGTTATTCTGCTGCATGAGCTCATCCAGGCGCTGTTCATAAACCCGTTCCGTCTCGGACGCTGCAATCTCCAATGTGTCCAGCGTGCTTCGGAAATCCGCGCGATGACCATCAAACTCGGCGGTCAACTGTGCAATGCGCTCGTTTCTTTCGCGAAGCTGCGCCCGAATGTTGAGTGCGTCCTCTCCCTCCAATTCCTCCATGGTCCTTTGAAATTCGCTCAATGTCTTTGACTGTTCATCCAACTGCCGATCACGGTCCAAAAGTTGCCTTTCCAAGCTCTTGATATGGTCCTTCAATTCCTGAATCTCAGCCACAGAGGCCTGGTGGAAGTCCGACGGTCTGCTGTACGTTGACAGATTATCGTCCTCGATGCTGATCCTCGATGCTGGTCGGTCGGACAGTCGAGAGGGCGCCTTGACCGGACTGCGTGGGTAGCCATTCATATTTGAGGTCCGAGAAGCCGCAGATGGTGTCCGCAAGCCCGCCAGGCTCAGCTTCGGGGGCGAGGCCGTATGTCGCGGGGACTCGGGGCGAGGCAGAGATGGCCGTCGAATCCGAGGACGAGACATTGCTGGGCTGGGACCGACCGACTTGCTGAAGCTGGGCGGAGCCCGTCCGGGGGTAGTTGGAGGTGCAAAATTACCGGCCGAGGAAGATGGAGTTCGTCGCGTCACATATTTGGAGTTGTTCATGGGGACGAAGATTCCCGATCCTGGGATTGAAGTTGCAAAATACTTGCGTCCCTCGACATCGCCGCTGTTCTTGCCTCGCTGCGCATGTTCAGGGCCTAGCTCGATTCCTGCAAATCGGCCTGGCTTGCCCGCCACAGTGCCGAGATACTTGACTGTACCATACATACCTCCTGGCACATTCACCGTGTCGCCCACCTTGATATCGTCCATGATCGCCATGATCAGTCCCACGACAGTATGATGGGACAGTCAATTGTCACAGAAGCCCAAGGAAAGACTGTGAATGATTTCGCCGGACAGCCCCACGACCGAGTGAGGGGAGCTCAAGGGGACAGTACCGGAGTGGGCCGAGAGGGAAGACGACTCCAAAAAGACGTCCAGAAAACAGTCGAGGGAGAGTCAATTCAGGAGGAGAGTCAATGATCCCAACGAAGCGAAGGAAGAGTCAATGCCATCGGTTCAGGGAAGCCTGCGCGCCCGACGAGTTTGGACCGCTGCAGTTGAATCAGTTGCACCAGCCCGAAAAGAAGACGTGCGTAGTTACCGTAGCAAAGTATAAAAAGCACGAGACAGGATCGGCAATAATTTCAAGGTGGGTGGAAAGGGGCGCGGGACAACAAATCAGCGTAAACAAACCCGGCGGTGGGACGGTGGATGGATGAGTGTAGTTGTGTACCAGAAAGGTGACCGCCAGGCTTGGTCAGATGTTGAGACAGTTGCAGGTACTCAAGAGTCAACAGTACTTTAACCAGGACCACAAGCTCTCTCTACCTTCTCTCAGGTAGTACAAGCATAGTAGAACTACTTAGAGTATAGACTATAGTAGTATTATCCTGAGTTCAATTCAGTAATACGAGGTCAAGTATCCGAGCAAGTGGACACTACTACTCGGACACCACTGACATCCCTCCCGCTCCACCCGCAACAGCGCCAAAGTCTCCCTTCCGTATTCATCACCCAAGCTCACCTTCCCGCAACGAACCCTCTACTTACCCACAGGACAAGAAGACTCACCCCCCTATTGAACCTGGCGGACCGACTGCAGCCATTCCTCCTTGCCGAACACATACAGACTGCACGACTCTCCACTTCAGGCTCATCCACTGTTTCCACTACCCTTGGGCGCCGATCGCGGGATCCTAGCGCATCAACGGCCAGCCACGCTCCGTTCTTTCTTTGCTCCCAGAGCTTGGATCTCTCGAAGCTGAGAAACCAGCTCCCGCCGTCATCATGGCGCAGTATTTCTTCGACCTGCTCTACAATTTCACAGATTGCATGTGCTGCTTTCCCAGCACGCCGCAACTTAAGATCAACAATCGTAGCTTCAAGCTATTGCGACTTTTGGGCGAGGTAAGGACACAAGGCAATGCGCCGGTTGCCAGGGGATCACAGATTCGCCGGTTGGACGGCAACCTGTCACGGGGACGGTGATTCCAAACCATGGGGGTCGCAAAGCTGACGTCCTCGATCTCGCATAGGGTGGTTTCTCGTACGTCTATCTCGTGCAAGATAAGACAAGCTCGGAATTGTTCGCGCTTAAGAAGATCCGCTGTCCGTTCGGTCAAGAATCCGTGTCGCAAGCGCTGAAGGAAGTCGAGGCCTACGGTCTATTTACGTCACACAAGAACATCATTCATGCAATCGATCACTGCGTCTCGACAGAATCGGGGTCGAAGTTTCGATCGGATGGCGGCGAACCCGGTTCCAAGACCGTCTATATCCTCCTTCCCTATTACCAGCGGGGTAATCTGCAAGATGCGATCAACGCCAATTTAGTCAATCATACTCGATTCCCGGAGAAGCGGCTTATGGTGTTGATGCTCGGGGTGGCTCAAGCACTGAAAGCGATGCATCAGTATCGAGTGCAGAGTGGATCTGCGTCTACCCGTCAGGCCAAGGCGGTCCGACGAGAAGGAGAGGAAGCAGACAACGCGAGAACGATGCAGATGAAGCCAAAGCGACGAGCAGGCCATACCGCAGATGAGGAGGACGAGGAGAACGAGCCGTTGATGGATGACGAAGTCACACAAAGTCAGGAGGGTGTGCAAGAGGGTGGGCTACGCCCGTATGCGCATCGCGATATCAAGCCTGGTGAGTTCTCCTCGCGAGCGATCCCTGCTTTTCTATTCGAACTCAACTGACATTGTGTCGCGATCAGGCAATATTATGATCGATGACGATGGCCAAAATCCTATCCTCATGGATCTCGGCTCGCTCGCACCAAGTCCTATTGCCATCACTTCTCGATCTTTGGCCTTGGCCGTACAGGACACGGCCGCGGAGCACAGCACCATGCCGTACCGCGCCCCAGAACTCTTCGATGTCAAAACGGGCTCCATCATCGATACCAAGGTAGATATCTGGTCCCTTGGCTGCACACTCTACGCCTGTCTGGTGGGCAAGAGCCCCTTTGAGGCCCGCAGCGATGAGACCGGCGGCAGTCTCAGTATGTGTGTTCTGGGTGGTGACTGGCGGTTTCCCGACGAAAAGTCGGGCGCAACAAAGGGCAAGGCCAAGGTCGGTGGCGACGCAGACGCTGGATCCAGCAGCAGCGAGCAAGTTATCAGCGAACCAGTCAAGGAGATCGTTCGCAGATGTCTGCAGGTTGAACCTGCAGATCGACCGGATATCGATGAATTAATCCAGATGATGAAAGATATGATCAGTGAGCTGCCGGACGATGATGGAATTGCGTAGGGTTCGCATCGAAACCCGCGGATCTTGCTTTTGATTTATGCGCCAAAAACACGACACTTTTGCGATGGTACACTCCTTTCTATTGCGGGAGTCGTTTAATAACTTTCGACGTGGGCAGGCTCAATTGAGATCGAACCTGCACGCGATATTGATATTGGCGACTTGTACAGTATTGTCTGAGCGCGAGAAATTTACGGGATGTTTGTGGATGTTTGTGTATGCTTCCGTGGTCCTGTTCATCGAAACACCTTTTCTTTCCCGTGAAGTACTTGTGTATCTATTGGTTTCCGCTACCACAACTCGATGTCAGGCTTCAAGTCCCTGATGTCAAGTGTATTGATATCAGGGCTTGCAAATTAATCCATAATCGGTTTTTGAGGATGAATATTTCTGTTCGTTGCATACCATTGCGCTTGCCATGACCATTACCATTATCATCACCAAAGAATGGGATTTGCCATGCCAATATCCGTGCCGGAGACGAAGCAGTAGAAATGTGGGAGTCATTCCGACGGCCACCGTTCTCAGTTCTTGCTACGGTGGCGAAACCGGCTAGATCTGCGAGTCCTTCAGTGTACTACTGTAAGTCTTTGGGGAAATCCTGGCTTGTTGTCTGTACACAGCGTTGCAAATTGCATAAAAGTCGAATGAATACGCCCCACCATCTCACCATACTGCCTACCCCTTTTGGTACAAGTGCCACTTCCAGGACACGAACATCACTCTGACAAAAGGGTACGACGCGGCCGCTGACTTGAATTAACTTGCTCTTTTTCTGCTCGCTTTCTTGACCATGCACAAAGCGCAGTCATCCTCGGACAGCCGAAGTCAATCAGTCTTATCTGGCTTTCACGGCTTATTGGGTAGACCGAAGTCGTAGCTGATAGTGTTCGACTCGGAAAGAATGCCGGACGAGGGGACTGATAAGCTTCGAGATATGCGGCCATCTTGAATAGGGTCGATGGTACGGGACGTAGAGTATCGGGATCCAGAAGGACTCGAAGGAGACTCAATCATCGTTGTGATTGAAAGTCTCAAAGGTCGATCCGTTGTACTTGTTGCAATTTGGTCTTGGTCGTGGATAAAACCGTCGACGGTCACGGATCATGCATTGGAGCATCACCTTACTTGGTATGGGTACTGGTACTATTGCTGGTGGACTGCTAGGTTAGTAGGAAATAGTTACCAGGTAGTAGGTACTGGATGTAGTAGGTACTTAGTACTGGAGGAGTAAAGACCAAAAGTACCTCGATAACCCGCGGCTGACGGTGCGGGGAAATATACTACTACGATCATCTTACCTTATCAGTACCACCCTCTTGACATCGGTTTGCCGCTGATCTGCAACCGGACAGGGACAGATACTTATCTGTGACCCCCTCGACCGCAACAATTTCTGAGTACAGGTACATGTGCTGACACCCAAGCCATGGACCATTCCGCCTCAGGACGGTATCGCCGACATTCGCGGAAAAAAGTCCGCCTTTGGTCGCATGGAATCCGAACAAGTACCGCCGAGAGAGGGATTCTGTTCCCCGCTTTGATAACGACTTGAGGTCCAGATGGATCGAGTATCGTTTGCTTTCGCTCGAGATGACCGGGTGACATGTCAGCTTTGATCTTTGGGGTATAGTACTCTGCTTCATATAAATAGAGATGTCTGTCTCGACGATCTGCTCGCTCTGTGGAGCGGCTGTTTTCATGACAGTTGCCCCCTCGCTTGAATGCATATGCACTCGTCGAATTCAGTTCAGTCTCGTTTCAGATATCATTACAAGTGGCTGTGAATCATTTCAAAATTGAGACTGGTATCTCTAGATACATTCTGTATCCTCTCATACCTACCACCACGGTCTACCTGAGCTTACCATACCATAATCCCATCAATCGAGGATTGCAGTCCTTCCTCACACATATTCCCTTCATACTCCAATTCTGGTCGTGTCCACACACCTCACTTACCTCCAGTACCAGCCGAAGAGAGCTCCTGTTGGCTTCTTCGAGCTCCTCCGCTAGCCATGACGGCCCCAGTGATAGACCCCTCTCACATTCCGGGCACCGTGCTTCTCGTCGATATCGAACACGTCTCGAACACACGCCATCTCGACCATGGTGATCGGGACATCGTGCTAATTCCGCCGCCATCTCAAGATCCTGATGATCCGTTGAATTGGAGTCCGAGGCGAAAGTTGCTGTCCACTGTTTGTGTGAGCGTGTAAGTAGCAGGGCTTCCTTATCTTGTCTCCTTTCTTTCCTTTTCGCATGACTTTGGCCTTCTCACTGCAAACGAGCTGATGTTCTGAGTTTCAACTCATGTCGTATCCTGCGTGCAACCTAAGCTGACACCCTGATCTTGCAATGAATTACTCAGATACACCCTCTTCGCCGGCATTTCTGCCTCGGTAGTCTACTCTGTCATCACTCCCTTGGCCAAGGAGACGGGATTGTCAGTCAGCACCATCAATCAAGGCACGGGATATATGTTCCTGCTCGCGGGGTGGGGGCTTTTATTCTGGCAGCCTTTTGCAATGCAGTTTGGAAAGAGGTTGACATACTTACTTTCGCTGGCGGGACTCTTGGTAGGTTTATCCTCGGAGATGAAAGCTGCCTGTCCGGACCCGTGGGTTGCTGGTTTTCGACCTAAGAAACAACTCTCGTCCGCTTATGGCACACGACCGTTTTTCTTCGCAGTGGCTAATCGTCTCGTTTATCTAGGCGACAACCATGTGGGGGTATGTCAAACCTCTATTCGTCCATGACAGGACCGAGAAAACCATCCGGGCCACCCTGGTCCTGAACTGACATTCATCACGAGTATTGTAGTCCGTATGCTGGCACTGACGGTCAATGGATCGCTCGAACGGTCATCATGGGCTTCTTCCTTGCGCCTATCGAAGCCCTTCCCGAAGTGACCGTCACGGATGTGGTATGATATTCCTTGTCCTTTCCTCCCCAAAGCCAAGGTTCTCCCGAACTCTCTACGGCTTGACAGGGGCAAAAAAAAAAAACATGGACGAAAAAAGAGATTGATGGATCGTTCGCGTAGTACTTCACCCACGAGCGCGGCAGCTACATGGGTCTCTACGCCTTCTTCCTTGCGGGCAGCAATTTCTTCGCCCCAGTCATCTGCGGGTTCATCGCCGACTACCAAGGATGGCGATGGGTGTTCTACTGGCCCAGTGTCTTTCTTGCGTGCGCGATGATCTTTCTGTTCTTTTTCATGGAAGAAACCACCTATGTGCGAGAATCTGTCGAAGATCCGATGACGCTGAATGGCGGCATACAGGCACTGGAGAAGAGTCTTTCTTCGTCCCGTGCAGATGTCGCGGATGCGGAGGAAAAGGCATTTCCAAAGACGGGAGAATCCGATCCTTCTCCGGCTGACGCTGTGACAGACCATGGAGAGGGGCTGCTTTTAACAAAAAAGACATATTTACAGAAGTTGTCGTTGTTGGGGCCCAAGCAGACTCACAATAATATGCTCCTGAGGTTGTGGCAAACGTTGTATTATCTGTCGTGGCCTGTGATTTTCTATGCGGGGTAGGTCGGTATCTTTGATTGCGGTCCATACTTCACACAGTCTCCAGAGAAAGGTGGAGCGTGTGTGAGAAACCTCCGCAATTCGCCAGCAAGCTGACATTGAGGATGATGATCACCTTTCTAGATTCTCTTATGGCTCCTATCTGGTTTTGTTCAATATCTTGAACGGCACGGCTTCGATCATTCTTGGCTCTGCGCCTTATAACTTCAGGTACGACCCTTTCTCAGAGGGGAGATCTAGTCTGCGGTCATTGAGACTCAACCACTCACCGCGATATCTAGTTCCTCCATGGTCGGCGTGAGCTATATTGCCTGCTGTCTGGGCGTGGCCATTGGGTACGTTGAAACACCCTCGAGCCTCCAAGTTTCAAAGCCTTGTTGATATGCACCATCGATCCTGTTCCCATTACATTACTCGTGGACAGCTAACCTAAATGCCCCATGTTAGCTCCATCTTCACCGGCCGCTTCAGCGACTGGCTCACCCTCAGACTAGCCCGTCGCAACAACGGCATCATGGAAGCCGAGCATCGGCTCTGGCCCTTTCTCGCCTGCCTGATCCTCGTCCCGGGCTCCCTTCTCCTCTGGGGCGTCGGGGCAGCCCACGAAATCCACTGGTTCGGTCTGATCGTCGCCATGTGCATGGTGGCCATCACCAACACCTGCGCCGTGACACTGAGCATCAACTACCTGGTGGATAGTTATCGGGAGTTGAGCGGGGTGGCCATGGCCAGTGTGATTCTGGTGCGGAATACTATGTCCTTTGCGATTGGCTATGGGTGAGTTGAGGAAGGATGGTTCGAAAAGTTCGTTCTTTCTCTGATCTCTAACTTGTTTGATAGAATCACCCCGTGGATTGAAAATATGGGATACCAGAACTGTTTTATCTCGGCGGCCTTTGTGGGGATGGCTTGTTCGGCGGTGTTTTTGGTGATGATCCGGTATGGGAAGATGTTTCGGATTCGGAGTCGGGAGAAGTATTGGGAGATTGTGCAGGGCAATTGGGAGAAGGGGTTGCATTAGGGGAGGGGAGAAGTAGATCAAACCGAATATTCGAGCAGCGGAGAGTTGATAATGGTGGATACATTGAAGGTGTCACAAGTTAACAACTACTCTTCAAACTTGTTGTAGTAATGACGAGATGTTCAGGTTGATATTTTCCTTACTATCGACCATTGCTGTTCAGTTCCTGTTGCTGTTACTGTTGTAGTGCTATTGCTATTGCTCTTGCTCTTGCTCTTGCTGTTCCTATCCCTATCCCTCACTCTCCAGGGTAAATAGCAGATCCAAACAGGCAAGTGGGGGGAGAAGAAGAAGAGAATGCGTGGAGATTCGGTGCCGGTGCGGGGAAAAAGCGGGATGGATTTCAACGGCAGTTCAACCGAGGAAGAACACGACAAACGATATGCATCATTTCGCGCATCTCCATTCCTTGCCGCACTTGCTTGTAGAGAAAACCCTAGCAATACTGGCATGGCGGTACTCCGATCCATCCGTCACTTGTCCTGAGTCCTGACTCTTGACCTAATCAGCCTTTAATCAATGATCATGGAGTCAGGCTCTGAAGAGTGCAGACTGCCGACTGTAGGAAATGAAATTCCCACGTCTCACCAGTCCGGATCTGGTCAAGAGTGCAGCTTTCCGACTACTCCTGTTCGGGACGACGACCGTCTCCAACTCCAAGCTTGACCCCCACGACGCCGCTTGCTTTTAGCCGGCGGTTAATTTCCAAAGAGATCCCAAGGGAAAAAAGGGAAAATAACAAGATGCAGTCCTTGTTCACTAGTTAGTAGTTACTAACTACTACTATACTAGTAGTCCGCGGTAAAGACCGCTTAAATGGCAGCGCAACGCTTGAGAACTAAATAACCAGGTGGCAGCCATTACTTTATTTTCTCTCTCTCTCTCTCTCTCTCTCTCATTTTCATTCTCTTAGGTAGTCTTCATCGGTTATCGTGAGCAGAGCGGACCGATCGCAGTGGTGTGCAATTGATCTAAAAACTCTCCATCAAAAAGCTTCATCGCATACAGAGTACACTCGTGACTTCGTCAAAAGCTCTTCTCCATCTTCACCATGTCTTCCTCATCCAACCCCAAACCCCTCATCACCCATCTCTACACCGCAGACCCCTCCGCCCACGTCTTCAACGACAAAATCTACATCTACCCTTCTCACGACCGCGAGACCGACATCGCCTTCAACGATAATGGCGACCAATACGACATGACCGACTACCACGTCTTCTCCATGGACTCGATCGACGGGCCCGTCGCGGACTCGGGCGTCGTCCTCTCCGCCGACAAGGTCCCCTGGGTCTCCAAGCAGATGTGGGCTCCGGACGCCGCCACCAAGAACGGCAAATACTACCTGTTTTTCCCGGCGCGCGATCACGAGGGCATCTTCCGCATCGGCGTCGCCGTGTCGGATTCCCCCACCGGTCCCTTTGCGCCGGAGAAGAGCTACATCCCCGGCAGTTACAGCATCGACCCGGCGGTCTTCGTGGACGAGGACGACCAGGCGTACCTCTATTTCGGCGGCATCTGGGGCGGACAGCTGCAGTGCTGGGAAAAGGCCGAGTCGTCCGAGGCGAAAGGTGCAGAGCTCGATCCGCAGATGAACGGGCTCGTCTTCAACAAGAACAAGTCTGGGCCTCAGGAGCCCTCAGGCCCCGGTGTGCCTGCCTTGAGTCCGCGCGTGGGCCGCTTGTCCGACGATATGCTCTCGTTTGCGGCGCCGCCGCAGGAGATGCAGATCCTAGCTCCCGAGACCGGGGCGCCCCTGGCGGCGGATGATCATGAGCGCCGCTTCTTCGAGGCTGCGTGGATGCACAAGTACAAGGGCAAGTATTACTTTTCGTACTCGACGGGTGACTCGCACTACTTGGTGTATGCGACGGGAGACTCGCCGATGGGGCCATTTACGTATCAAGGGAGGATCTTGGAGCCGGTGCTGGGTTGGACAACGCACCATTCGATTGTGGAGTTCAAGGGCAAGTGGTATCTGTTCTATCATGATTGTGAACTGTCCAAGGGGGTGGATCATTTGAGATCGGTCAAGGTGCGGGAGATTGTGTATGACGAGGAGGATAAGATTCATTTGGCGTAGGGGAGACGACGACATTGTACATATGACGAGTCTCTTTGGTATGAGGACTGATGAATATCAACCGTCTTGGGAGCAAGACAAGTGAAAGTCTATCTCTAGATGAGATGAAGGGCATTGTCCCTAACTCACTTATAGTATACAGTCTACATCAAGTCTACCACATGGGCCTTTCGTCCTCCGTAGAGACATGGATCCATCGACCTACTGATTCGTAGGAAACAAACCACTTAGATCACTCTACGCCTGTGAGGTGCAGCATGATAAGTTGGACGTGCGTGTAAACAAACCTACTGTCTTCGAGATCCAGGGGGGTACACAAGTTTGAGCAAAAGCAATACTGAGGTAGTCCAGCGCAAAGATGACTATGACCCACGCTGGAATAGTTGATTTACTTCTTCTTTCCCCCTACTATATTTCTCGATCTATCTATACCCTGGGATTTTAACCCGACATGACATACTAAAGCTTTATATTGCTTCCCCAACACAGATAGTTGTACTTAGTGGTCGACTTTGCTGAAATTAGTACCTCCCCTGACAGGTACACTTATGATGTCCGCCAGTCGCCATGGAGGATATCTTTTTTACTCTTTGCAAATCCTGCCATACACTCAGTCCTTCACAGCCCCCTCGATTCCACCTGTATTCAATCCACACCAATAGATCTTCAATCATCTTCTCCCATTCACATGAGAAACACACCCGTCACACATCCACAATCAATACTTTCCAAACAGCCCCCGCGGCCCCCGCATCATCTCATCGAGTACATCCTCCCATTCTCGAGCCATCCACACGAGAACCTCTTTTTCCGCTGCTACCTCTCTCTCCCGTCTCTTTCTCTCCACCTTCTCTTTGCGAGCACTTTTCTTTCCAAACGCTCCGCGGAGCATATCGCGGATTCAAAGCCCGAGCTCGGAATCCAGATCAATATTTCCTCGAAGACAACTCGCTGTGATATTTCCACTATCAGATCATCTTCGTCGTCCTTCTCTTCGTCCCCATCAAGGTCCATCGCATCCTCCTCCTCCTCCTTCTCCTCTAGTCCCACCCCCCAAACATATGCCCTTCGCCTCATAGAGCCCGATGAACCAGCCGAACCTCTTTCTCTTCTCCTCAATCCCAATATCCGCCTCGCCCTCCCCATCCCCGTACACCCACCCGACCCAAGCCCGCATGACAACCGGATAAAGCCCCGTCTGCGGCGTCGGCGGCCACACTTGATGGTAGTACACCGCCAACCGATCTAATTGGGGCGAGGTGAGCAGGTGAAATGAAAGTATGCAGCTGGGGAATTCGGGGTGCGGGATGCCGGTGAGGATATGGACGAGGGGGGTGAGCGGGGTGGAGAGAGAGGTTAGGGTTTGGGCGAGGGACGGGGACGAAGATGGAGATGCAGATGGAGATGATCGGGGCTGGGAGGCGGGTGGGGGGTTGGAATTTGGGGATTTCATGTTGTGGTGGTTTTGGGGGTGTTGGATAGGTGTGCTGGGGAGATGGTAGGTGGTGCTCGATTTGATGGATGAGACCCAATATGGGTTGCTTGGTTGGGATGGCTAAAGGTGCAGACGCGATGAGGTTGGCTGATGATATTTGGACTCTACTCGACTCGCGGAGGTTCGATGGGATTTATAGGCACATTCGACGTGATCATGCTTTCTTCCTCTTGACAATGTGAGCTTCGGGCGATATCCAAGTGAATAATGAATCATTGGTAGAGGCGAGTCTCAACAAGACGGGTAAAACAATGCAAGTATTTAACAGTCCTTTTTTTTCAGTGCCCGAAACACAATGCTCTTTGTAATCCAATTCCATATGATGGTGCCGCTTTGTTCGTCCTTGACAATGTCACTGTTTGACAATACTGCTTCCCGAAAAATAACTCGACTTTACAAATTCCGTATCCCCCACCCTGCCTCTTTCATCACCGCGCCAGCCTCGTTCAAAGAGCCAGCTTGCCCATCTCCGAGCTCAGATCAGGCTCATCCGCAACAGGGGGCAGTCCCGCATACTTGTTAATGAAATTCAACACTGTGCGGTGCCACATCAGCGAGTTCTCCGGATTCAACACCCAGTGGTTCTCGTCCGGAAAGGTCAAAAATGCACTCTCCACGCCGCGCATCTGCAGCACATTGAATGCAGCCAGGCCCTCGGCAATCGTCAGTCGGTAGTCCAACTCATTGTGAATGATCAGATGAGGCGTTGCCCAGTTCTCCGTGAACCGAGACGGGTCCCATTTAGCCCAGTTCTCGGGGACCTTCCAGATCGGCCCCTTCAGATCGTGGAGAGGAAAGTATTGCTCCTCGCTAGCCAGTTGGGAAGTCATGCTGAACACGCCATCGTGGGTGACTAGCGCCTTGAATTTGCGACCCAGGTCGTGGCCTTGAATCCAATTCATCATGTATCCTCCGTAGGAAGCTCCCAGGGCGACGGCACGCGTTGTATCGACATATTCAAGGTTCTTCTCAATGTACTCAAAGCCCTTGACAAGATCCTCGTATGGGCGACCACCCCATTCACCGCGGATGCCGTCAGTAAACTCCTGGCCATACCCAGTGCTACCGGTCGGGTTGGGAGTGATTACAACGTATCCTTGTTCGGCAAACACAGCCGGGTTCCAGCGAGTGCTCCACTGGTCGTTCCATGCACCTTGAGGACCACCATGAATGAGATAGGCCAAGGGGTATCGCTCCCCGGCCTTGAAATGAGACGGCTTCATCACCCAAGCGTGTACTTTGTGGCCTTCGGCTCCCTCAAACCAAATCTCATCCACTTGAGACGAGGACAGGCCACAATGAGACCCGCCGCGACAGTTGGATGAAACCAACTGGGGCTTCTCCGGATGGGCAGGATCGATAATGGACCATACACTGTTGTCAACCAAGTTGGAGCTTGACACGAAAAGCTTGGAAGAACTGGCTGCAGCAGGTGCAACATCATTGACGTGGCCATTGAATGTCAACTTCTTCAATGCCTTGGTCGTCGCCTTTTCAACTCCTTCAAGAGGAAGCTGGTACAAGACTCCACGACCAACTTCCTCCACCTGAATCAGCAATGACTTGCCATCTTGAGCAAAGGACACGGCACCAGGGCTCAGGGGCCATCCACCCTTTCCGTCGGCGGACTTGAAAATCTCTATCATCTCACCATTCCAGGGGTTGGGTACATAGAGAATGCGGTTCTTGTCCGACTCGTAACCGTCCGTCTGCATGGCCAGCAGAGCAATAGAGCCGCCATCGGGAGACAGAACGGGCGAGGCCATGGCACCCTGCAACCCACTCACCTTACAGGGCTTCACCTCCGAGACGCTCATACTGGTCCATGAAAACATGGGCGCATAATAACAAGAGCAAGCGGTGTGGGTTGCTGGGTTCAGGCTGGGGTCCTTTGCAATAAATACAATTGCAGAAGGGCTGATATCGAAGTCTCCCGTTCCTCCAAATGGAGGAATCGGCGATTCAACCGGCCCTAGGCCCGAGACGGAAATGAGATTGGTGAGGCCGGAGACTGCGTACTTTCCCGATTGCCGACGAGCAGGGTTCACGGGTGCCCTCTCCAGTAGACCATACCAGATGGCATTCTTCTGGGGATCGACGTACGAGTCCCAATGACGAACGAACAGAGACGTATAGAGACGGCCCGTAGTGTGGGACTTCTTCGCATCATGAGGGTTGAAGAGCGATCCGTCCGGATTGGCTTTACCTGATACGGCGAACCCGATCTTTCCAGGCTCGATAACAGTGACCTTCAGGTCCGACACAGGACCGGGGACTGTACCAGCGGTATACGTTTTGTCTGCCTCGCGTGCATCTCCAACAATGAAGCTCGTGTTGCCATTGGACTTGGCCTTGAGCCAGACAAGCTCGTCGCTCTCGCCGAGCCACTGCGGGTTGCTGGCACCGGGATCGTTGGTGACCAGAGCGGACCGACCAGACTCGATTTCAAGGACACGAATCTCGTTGGTCTTGGAATGGGAATCGAATGAGTAGGACGTCTGCGTATAGAGTGCCAGTGTTCCTGCGGCGTTGGGAACGGCGGAGGATCGCCTGGGGGCGCCGAGGAGGACCCTGTGTAACTAGATTAGCCGTCTGCCTCATGCCAGTGACCCCGAAGTGACATTGTTGGTATGGGTACTAACTCTGGAGTGAACTTCATTGGACGAACAGTCATATCAATGAACCTCAATTAGAAGAAAAGAGAGAACCCAAAAGGTGAGTCTCCGTGAATCAACCTTCGGTGGGTGTGTTTTGAAAGTGAGCTAGACAGATGACGAGAGACGAACTTGTGAAGAGGAAATGTCCGCAGGCAACGGCACAGCAAAGGCTGATCTAATGTCCAGAAGAAGAGCTCGTGTATAATGACTGAAGAACTCTGAAGGAGTGGATGAAAACACAATGCTGACTCGAAGGGGGAATGCAGGGGGACATGCAGGACAATGGAACGTGACTCGGACTTTGATGCGGGGTATCTCCGCTGCTTATCGAGTAGCTCCACTACCCGAGGAGCTTGGCCGGCTGGAGGCTCTCCAACTCGCTTCGGGGTCGAGCTTGGAGAGCATTGACTCTTCAGTAGTCGGAAATTCTGCAACAGGAGCACCTCATGCTGATAATACGATGGTATCTCAGTTGTGGCATGGCTGCGTTGAGCGTAGATATTACCTCACCTAATTCGTAAATATAAAAGCAATTTTAGAGAAGGTATTGTACGAAGCCATGCTCACATTATTAACATAAATTGCACGGGTACATTTATGCAACCTCCGAAGCCATGCACATCAATTGCACAACGATAAAGATAACCCTGAAGTAAGGACCTCATGATGATTCCATGGATTGTACCTACCTAGTACCGGCCCTACCGTGTGGTGAAGGTCAGATACTCGCTCTGACTCCTCGATAAAGTCCGCTGTCCATTTGCAGGAAATCTCCAATCAGTGAATGGGTTAGGTCTGTACAAGGCTAGCACTGGAGGTAGAATGAGAAAATGCAACTAAAACTGAATATAAACAAAAGACACCTTTTCATCTAGATAGCCTAGGCATGACTAATTGTACAATTGAACATCAAAAATTCAAAATCATTATCTACTCTTCCTCGTCCTCTTCCTCGCTCTCATCCTCATCCATGCCCTCAGCCGCATTCACGGTAAAGGTGGGAGCTTGATCAACCCCAACGTAACTGTCACTCATCAGGTAGAGCGTCAACTCGTGCTCACCCGGCGTGGGCACGATGTACTCAAGGCGCAGGTCAAGTTTGCGACCGATCGTGACACGCTTGATGGCCAGCAAGTTCTTTGTCTTCTCCTCGCCCACAACCAGCCACCAGTTCTCCATCTTTTCGGTGGGGTAGAAGGGTGCGTGCACGGTTGTGTCAACTTCCTCGTCCTCTTCCACCTCTCGCTGGACCTTAATCTTCAGGTAGGCTGGCTCCCCAGATGTGACATTCTCGGGATCTTCAACCTCAAAGTCAAGGTCAATGCTGGGGTATTTCTCGTTGGTGAACGCGGCGGCTTGTGCCAATTGCTTGTTGTTGAGACCCAGACGTTTGACAAGGGTGGCGTAATCCTTGTTCTCCGAGGGGTCCATGGCTTCCATGAACTCAAAGATGTCATTGATGCTGAAAGAGAAAGAGTTAGTGGATCGTCGCTCCTCGCGTGGATGGAGTGGTACATACCCATATTCCTTGGCAACCTCAATCACCTCGGGAGAGAAGTGAGGAATTTGCTTGAGAGGACTGTCGCGATCCCACATCGCTTGGACTACCATCTGTGAGAGTTCCATGGCATTCATGGCATTCAGATGTCCTTCGGATGAAAGGACGTCAACGCAAGCGCTGAGGAGGTTGAGCACCTTGCGAACAATGTCTTCCTGGTCCTTGGCGAGATCGATAGGGAGTTGCATCCGGGAGAAGTGAGCCTGAAGGAGAACAAAGGCCTTAAAGTGTGGTGAGTCAAACGCGGGCTTTGACATCTTCACGGGCACTCGGTCGTACACGCGGCGAAGAATATGATCCTCGTGACGACGCATCTGGACCGATTCGAATTCGGTCGCGGAGGTAACAATTTCCAGAATACCCTTCAGCTTCGTGCGAGCCGACAAAGACAACAAGAAGGTCTGCATGGTGATGAAGGAGATGTTGTAGTAGGCGCTGATCATTGCAGCGTTCAGTGGAGAAACACTGTCGTCTTCCTCGTCGAGATCAATGATCTTCGCCTCAGACAACTCCTTGAGCGTCGTCTCCACCAACTCGGACAAGAAAGTGCTGAGACCTTCATGACTCACGTCGCTAAGACCGTAGAAGCTGGGATTAGCGAGTAGACGACGGTAGAAGTAGGAATATGTCATCCAGTCCACAGCGTCCTGCGTTGACGTGATAGTGCGGGTACTGGCCTCGGTCACAAATGCATCGTGCAAATACACCTGAAGATGGCTCTCAACAGGCAAAGCCTCGTTCAGGAACTTCTTGTAATATTCTCGCTTAACAGCCGGCACCATGAGCACACCACGAGCAGTCTTGTCTACGCCGGGACGGGACGCCTTTCCGAACATCTGGAGAATCTCGCTGATCGGATAGTCAATGTAACGATGCTCGCGGCCTTCAAAGAACTGAGTGTTCATCACGATCACCAAGTGTGCGGTCAGGTTCAGCTCCCAGCAGACATCGCGCGAGGCAAGAAGAACCTGGATGGCGCCGATGTTGAACAAATGAGAAACAATGCGCTTGTCAGTCTGGCTCAGAGCCTCATGATAGTAGCCAATACCGTGGCTCAAAGACGTGGCAAGAGTTTGTTCCTGAACACGCGAAAGAAGGGGTGCTAGCTCCTCGACATCGGCGTTTAAGAAACGGTCCTCGTTGTCATCCATTGCACAGGCCGCCAAGAGATCCATTGCCGTTGAGCGAGCCTGCTTGCGGCTGGGAACGAAGGCCAGCGCAGGTTTATCCGGAGACAGCTGCAAGATCGCCTGGTAGGCCGGTCTGGCCATGGCAAGCATGAGAGAGGGGAAGTGGGGGAGGTTGAATGACTGGATGTGCAGCTCCAAGGGTACGGGGCGAGCATGGGGGCTGAAGTTGTAAATGGTATGCTTGTTGGCACCGATCCATTCACCGAGATCACGAGCATTAGAGAGTGGCACACTTAGGCCGAGAATCCGCATCTCGTTCTCCGTCTGGAGAGCCATGTAGTGCATACGAGACACGACCATCTCATAAATGTAACCGCCGAAGCCACCAAGCATGTGCAGCTCATCTGCAATAAACAGCTGCACCGTTTGGACATTCTTGCGTCTCTGCCATTGGCGGGAAAGAACATCCCACTGCACAGGTGTCGCAAGAACAAGGTCGGCTTGTTCCAGAAGCTTCAGATCTGCCGTCGTTTCACCGGTCAGCTTGACGATGGTCTTGCCGCCAGCAATACCGCTCAGCCGTTTGTCCCAATCAGCCAGACGCTGGTCGATGAGCTCCTGGAATGGTGCGACATAAACGGCACGACCTTCCTTTTCGGTGGCCCAGTGACGCAATAGAGCCAACTCGGCACACACGGTCTTTCCGCTTCCTGTAGGTGCCCCAATGAAGACGTTATCGTCAGAGTCAAACACAGACTTAAAGACCTGGGTTTGAATCTTATTGAAGTGCTCCCAACCAGGATACAACTTCTGGAATTCGTCACGCTTCAGCGCCTTGACTGGCGCTCGCTGCATATCCAGCAAAGGAGTATGAGGCGGGAAGCGCTCGGGAAGAATGAGTTTCTGGAAGGAGACAGCAATTTTCGTTTCAGAATGCATCCACCGATCAGAGACCAAGGAGATGAAGTAATTGGGAGGCATTGGTTCAGTGATCGGGACTGTGAATTCAACCATGTGCTCGTTCATTTCAGAAATGGCAAACTCGCGACGCAGGAGGAAGCGGTCATGGTACAAAATCTCCTCGCCATCGCAATCTTCGACCAGGATCCAAAATTCTTGCGCAGCTCCATGCACAGAATCTTCCCACACAAAGTTGGGTGTGATGGTAAGCTCAACACGTAGCATGGAGCGGGTAATAGGTTGCACTTGAGCCTGAACGTCAAGTCGAGGGAATTTGGAAACAAGATCGCAGACAACACGACCGGCCTTGGGCATGCCAAGCAACTCGCCCATTCGAGGGGGGTCCAGGTCGAAATAGCTAGGCCATGGCACGTCAATACGCTCGGCTTTCTGGAGAATATCTCTGGGGCAGCCAGGGAACTGACGGAGCGGAGACATGGTTGGCCACATACGCTTCTCGGCCATCTTACATAGATCCAAGGCTGTCTTGGCCACTGAGGCCCATCCCTTTTTGAGGCAGATTTCGAAAATTGCACGGATAATACGACCCGCAGACTGAGTGACATAGACCATGTCAGCCATAAGCGCAAGGCCATCGAGCTTCAGTCGTGAAATGTAAGCCTGCAAAAGGACGTTGATTTTGGCATGGGGTTCGTCGATGGTTTCTTTCACGGGGACAGGAACTCGGCCCAAGAGTTTGCCAAGCTCAAGCTTTTCATCCTGACGAACGGGAATGTACTTGAACTCATCGCTCAGAGCGAAGATTCGGAATAGCTCAATCGTCGTGATGGAAGGCTGAAGGTGTTGAGCGTAAGTAAGCATGGAGTTGTGCCCAATGTAGTAGTGGGAAGAAATGCGGCCGAGCTCAGTTGACTGCAGGCGACCAGTCTTTTTCTCGTACTTGACAAGTCCAGCCCGCTCAAGTACAGCCGCGGCCGAATGAATCAGATCCACACGTTTCTGTTCCAACGCATCATCATTCTCGTAGTCCGCTCCAACGCTATACAGTCCAGGGGATCGAAGCATGCGAACGAAGAGATAAGTGTAACCCAGCCACTCAACGCCTTCATCACGCGTTCGGACGTTACCCAACACGATCTCGGCGTTCAAGTTGTCAGCGAGCTTGCTCATGAGTTGTGACTCGATGGGCAACTGTTGATTCATGAGCGAGAGATAGTACTGGATCTCAGATTGCGAAGTGATGATGATACCTTCACCGAAAGTATCGTATTGAGGTCGACCAGCACGTCCCAGCATCTGCAGAACGTCTTGAGGGCTTAGCTCAACCCAGCTACCCTTCTCTGGGGAGTACACTTGTGTTCCTTTGATGATGACAGTATGCGCAGGCAGGTTGACACCCCAGGCGAGGGTTGCGGTACAGACAAGAACTTGAATACTGCCATCAGCAAAGAGGGCTTGCACGGAGTCACGGTCAGCGAGACTGAGACCAGCATGATGAATACCAAGACCATAGGGAAGGAGATCTTTCAATGATGCGTCATCAACCGAATCGGCTTCCTCTGAGAGGATAGCACGACTTGCAGCATCACTGCGAAGGATTTGCCCGATAGTCTCCATCTCGATAGCCTTGTCTCTGATGTACTTCGCAGTCTTGGCGGTTTCCTTGCGAGAATGAACGAAGATCAACATCTGGTTTCGTTTCTGGCCAACTTGCTCCATGACCTTGTTGTAACAGATATCGTTCATTGTCTTGAGTTGTTTAATAGCCTTCTTATCAGTCACTCCAATAAACTCTTGCTTCAGCGGACAAGGACGGTATGAACCATCGAAGTGGAAGACACCCGTCTCGGGATCAGCACGGAGGAAGCTCGCTACATCACGATAATTAGGCAGAGTGGCACTGAGACCGACGATTCGAACGGGGTCACCAGTCTGCTCGACCCGGCGAATGGTTCGGCTGACAATGCTCTCCAGAACAGGGCCACGGTCGTCGTGAAGAAGGTGAATTTCGTCAATCACAATGAGTCGCACGAGGTTCGTATAACTCGTCTCTGAGGCCTTTCTCGTGATGACGTCGTACTTTTCAGGGGTGGTGACAATGATCTGAGTGTCGGCGATTTGCTGCTTGGTGAGTTGACGATCACCTGTGAGTTCAGAAACCCGAATGCCGTAGGGCTCAAGACGCTTCCCGAGGTTTCCAACTTGTTCTTGGACAAGAGCTTTCAGTGGAGAGATGTAGATGATCTTGAAATCGTCCAGCATGATCTCTCCAGTCTCGGGGTTACGATTCTTGCCAATCTCGCGGAGAATAGTGAGCATGGCGACGTTCGTCTTTCCGGATCCAGTAGGGGCGCAGACGAGCAAATTGCCATCATCGTGGAATGCGCTGGGATAACACTTTGTCTGGACTCGGTTTAACTCTTTCGAGCTACCAAAGCCCACACGCGCCCAGTCCGGAAGTTCCGTGGTCGGAATGTTCTTCTCACCGGGCAGCTTTTTGGCTTGTGGAGGAGGGACGTGAATTTCTTCGTATCCCTTGAATGTGCGCTTTGTAGAACCCTGGGGTAGTTTGACGTTGGGATTGGTCATGAGATGATTACCCTGATGAAAGACGAGGTTTTCCAGGTTGATTAAGCGCTTTGGCTGTAAGCCGCCGACCAGGCCATTCTCGCCCACTTGTTTCAGGTCTTCAGCCTCAGGCGCGGAGGGAACATCGACGTCCATAAGGTCGAGCTTAATCTTCCCGGAGCGGTGGGAAACGTCCTCAGTGGTCTTGCCACGGATCTCGTCCAAAATTGCACGATGGCCAGTCTCGACCATCTGGCTTTCCACCAGGTTTCTAGCATCTGCATCCTCAGCAACCTGCCTCCACCTGGTAACCCAGACGATCTTGGACCGGTTGGAGACCAATTTTGCAACAAGCTCGGGGTGGTCGTAATCAAACAGCTCCATGAGATCGTTCTCGACATCGCGAAGAGGCTTTTCGGACCCGTCCTCAGCCTGGCCACCTAATATTTCGAGGGCTTCCTTGGTCTTTTCTTGCTGAATGTGGGCGTCGGGATACAAAGCACCAATTTGACGTTGAAGCCAGTACGCATCGATCTCGCGAGCGGGTATCGTCATTCCAGTTTGGTCCTGCGACTTATCGCCCTGCTTCAATCCACCGTCGATTATCATTTCATCTTCAGCGTCTCGATCCTCTGCAGCAGCGCCGTACGTGTCGACCCGGTCCTGCTCATCGGCGTCCTCTTCATCAGAGTCCTCTTCCCGAATTTCGTCCACAGTACCCATACGATCCTCGTCCTCGTCTTCTTCGTCAAAGACTACAGCGACACCCTGACGTTCGTCAAGCTCGCCCTCTTCATCCAATCCACCGTCCATTTCCTCATCGTCGTCTTGAGCGTCGTAGTCGGTGATTTTCTTGCCCAGATTGACAAGCTCGTTGAACTCTTTCGGATTCATTGAAGTACCCAAAAGATCATCGATTTCCTTCTTTTTATCAAAGTCTTTCATATCCTCATCCTTGAGTAATTCAAGGACGGCATCGGCTGCACTGCGCACGACCTCGTGTGGAACGTCCCCCAAATTTGTTCCGGTTATCGTGAGGATGAGATCGTAAGTCGCTCGCGTGGCTGGCGTTCGGGGGCGATATTTGAGACCTTCCACTAAGGCATCTGCCGCTGATAAAATGCCTTGCCCGCGTTGTTGCGCTGGCTGACCTCGCTGACGTTTCCTCTGTTCCCGCAGAAGCACATCTTCGCCCTCGTGGATGGCGCCACGCTCGAGATCGGTGGCGGGCTTCTTCTTGGATTTTGGCACATTTTCGCGTGCTACTCGCCCACCCATTTCTCGGATTCCAATCCGGCCCGCGAGTGACTCTGGATCGCCTGTAGGCTCGTCATTGACGCGGCTGATGAAACGACGGTCCGCCTGGAGGACCAGGTTGGACATCGCCGAGTACTTGTATTGCGAGATGTTTTGGTCCGCCATTTTGAACGTGCGGTTGGAGGCGCTTCCCCCAGAAAAAGATTGGGTTAGGTTGTGAAAGAGTGTGGGAAAGACTGAGTCGCGACTGTGGTCGGCGATTGCGCCGCGCCCGACCTATCAACTGCGCTAGAGTGGCGAAAGCACTGTCAATGGGAACGAGACACTGAGTTCAATTAAATGCCCCTGCCTGGCTCACGCTCCTGTTGCAAGTGAAAAAAATAACTGGGACGTGGAGCAATGGAGGCCAGGGTTGATGGGAAGAATTGCGCTTCCGCAGGAGAGATATGAGCTCGGGAAGATTTCGGTGGCGAAGGCGGAGTACAGCGGCCGATAGAAGCACCTGAGAGCGGACGTAGTCTCCCCAGGCCAAACCTGATGCCTTGAGCTATGAAACCCCATCAACTGTTCCAAACATACGAAGGGTGGAAATTCGAGCCATAGATTGAATATTACAAACATTTTTACCTTTGCCATGTTATTGATAGAGGGTAAGGTTGCTCTACTTAAATTTTACGCTTGTTGTCCCAGGTAAGCTTCCTCTATTTGGTTAAAGTGTTCTTGAGCTAGCTCATTACTCTCTCTCTCTCGACTTAAATTCACGCCTCAAGAGACCGAATATCTCTTATCAATTTTCCTACTGCTAATACGTGTCTAGATACTTGCGAGAGCCAGTGACTTAGTCGTACCTTACAGCAAATTCGTTCCTTGGTGTCTTATCAGCTGCCGCAGGCGGACGAGGTAAGCTTTCGCAGTTCTGCCCCTTCTAAGCTCGTATGTTGAATGTCGATGGGTGAGGCGATCCAAGATGCGCGTCAATGCTCGAAACTTCACTCGATGGGCGTCAGGCATACGAAACTCGTCAGAACGTGATCTTCTTCAACTCTCGCCCTTCTCCTGTTCTGTTCACAGGACAATCTGCCACCATGCGCGGCCGAACAGGCCACGCGCGAAAGTGCCTTCGGTGCTCCCCAATCTGGATCCTCGACGAGGTGCGAAAACCAAAGTGGCTGTCAAGCTGAAGGACCTTCCTCAGGGCGTGCTCAAACTAGAGGCATACCAGGATGTGAAGGACCATGTGCCTCAGTATCCAACGGTCATACAAGGCCATCGTAACAACATGCAGAAATTCAAGGACTGTGTTGTTCTCACTCGGGTTGGAGGATTCTATGAGGTACGCCTCAACGTCGCCAAATCTTTGTGATCTGATTACTGAGATCTATCATTGCAGCTTTACTTTGAGCAAGCTGAAGAAATTGCGCCCTTGCTTAATCTGAAACTCGCATCTAAGAAGACAAGTGCCGGCGCTGTTCCTATGGCTGGATTTCCTTTCTTCCAACTGGATCGCTTCCTAAAGTTGCTTGTTCAAGATCTCAATCGCTACGTGGCTATCAGCGAGGAATTTGCTGTTGATCCAGAGGACAAAACGAAGTCCGGTGGCCTCATGTGGGACCGCAGGGTAGCCAGAATTATTACTCCAGGAACTTTGATTGATGAGAAGTTTCTGGATCCATCAGAGAACAACTTTCTGCTCGCAGTATATCTCGACGTCAAATCATTGAAAAAAGTCTCGCAAGATCAATCTTTTGCGCAATCATCACAGCACCTACTATCTTCAGTGCCCATAAATGCTGGCTTGGCCTGGATAGACTTGTCTACTGGGGAATTCCGCACACAGCTCACGACGCTGCAGATGTTGCCGTCGGCCATAGCTCGAATCGGAGCTCGAGAGATACTTGTCGACCAAAGAGTTGAGAATCTCATTGGACAAGAACTGCAGCTTCTTGTTGGTCGCGATCATCGTCTCGTCACTTTTTTCAAGTTCCCAAACATAATAGCACCCATGTCCGAATGGAACCATATGTTAGAGTCCCCTGTTCCAGAAAATGCAATCCGTGATTTTACGGAGGAGGAAGTCGCTGCCGGTTTCAGCCTACTTGAATACACAAGAGGACAGCTTCAGAGAACAGACCTCAAACTGTTACCTCCTCTGCGACGACATCTTGACGAGTCGATGATCATCGACCGAAATAGCCTGAGTGGTTTGGAGATACTTGAAACTGCTCGCGATGGTTTTGGAAAGGGCAGCCTAATTCACGCTGTTCGCCGAACGAGCACGAAGAGCGGCGCTCGTCTGCTGCGCGATCGACTGAGTGGGTAATGTTGCCTTTCATTATGAATTTCGCAAAAACTAATCCATGTCCCTCAGCTTCACCTTCAACATCTATCGAAGTGATCAACAAACGATTGGATTTGGTTTCGACCTTCCGTGAAGACGTCGATCTTCGCGACAGCGTGATTCGGCTGCTCAAAAGGAGCTACGACGCTCAGCGTCTCGTTCAGAAATTTGCCCTTGGCAAGGGAGACGCCGATGATTTGATATGCCTTTCCCGTGCCATTGTAGCTGCGAGAGAGGTCAAAACCTTGTTATTGCGCCATGCAAGCTGTGATCCTGAGCCTGCAGGTATACCCAGTTTAGCATCAATGACCTCACGGCTTGACCTCGACGGCCCCATCGTTCTAGCTGAACGTATCATAGCTGCGATCGACGAGGAAGGGCTGCTACAACAGCAGCGTATCCAGGAGGGCACTGCAGCCGAAGCAGCCAACCTTGCGCAGAAAGTAGCTCTCCACGAAGGCACCCCCGCCGAGGTAGAAGAGTTGCCTAAGAAAGTCCGTGCTAAGGCAAATGACCGTCGGGACTCGGGGGATGCGGAATTCATGCCCACAGAAGCGTGGATCATGCGTCGTGAGGCCAGCTCAACACTCAAGTCTCTCCACGGAAAACTGGATCAGGCTTTTGTCAACAAGGAAGCTCTTGTTCGACGCTTACGTGAATCTGTTGGATCTACCAACTTGACTCTCAGGTGGACACCAGGACTAGGCCACATATGCCATGTCAAAGGGGCCAAGATCTCTCAAGCTGCTCTTGAAGATTTAGGGGTGACGCGCAATGTGTCATCTACAAAATCCACGCGGTCCTTTTATCTCCCTGTCTGGAGCGAGCTAGGCAATCAAATGGATCACATCAGACTGCGAATCAGACAGGAGGAACAACTAATCTTCGAGCGTCTTCGCCGGGAGGTCATTCTAAACCTGATGAAAATCAGACGCAATGCGGCAGTCATGGATGAGCTGGACGTTGCGTGCTCTTTTGCAACTCTGGCTCAAGAGCAGCAATTGGTTCGACCGATTCTGAACAACGGCAGGACGCATAACATCGTCGGTGGCCGTCACCCTACAGTCAAACTGGGCCTGGAAGAGCAAGGTCGATCTTTCGTGAGCAACGACTGCTTTCTCGGTGGACCGGAACGAATCTGGCTCATCACTGGCCCCAACATGGCTGGTAAAAGCACCTTCCTTCGACAGAATGCTTTGATCACAATCATGGCTCAAGTCGGCTCCTACGTGCCTGCGCATTATGCTGAGATAGGCATCGTCGACCAAATATTCAGTCGTATTGGAGCCGCAGACGATCTGTTCCGCGATCAGTCAACATTCATGGTCGAGATGCTCGAGACAGCTGCTATATTGAGACAAGCTACTCCTCGATCTTTTGTCATCATGGATGAGGTTGGCCGAGGGACTACTCCTGAAGATGGTACTGCGGTCAGCTTTGCGTGTCTTCACCATCTACACTACCGCAACCGCAGTCGCGTTCTCTTTGCAACGCACTTTCACGCGCTTGCTGATATGACCAATGGGTTTGAATCCTTGGCATGCTATTGCACTGATGTCCATGAGAGACCCGATGGGAGGTTTTCTTTTGTGCATCGTTTACGTAAAGGTGTCAACCGCGAATCACACGCACTTAAGGTGGCTCAGCTTGCTGGATTACCCGAGGACACCATCGAGCTAGCTTGTCGTGTTAAAGGGGAAATACACAAACAAAGACGAGAGACAGGTTGAGGGTCATGTTCAATGGCCTCTAAGCACAAGGCTGACCATCGACAAAAGAACTCGACTTTTGGAAACAGTACGCAGCAGAAGCGATAATGGCCATATGGTTGCCAATTTGTGTGGTATTGGAGTCAAAAATTAAGGGTGTGGTATGGTGCCTTGTACCATCTTGATATCTAATGTGATGTGTACGGGAATGGAGCTTGTACTTGACCCTTCATTAATCGCAATTGGAAAAGCCTAAGAGACTGTGGAGGAACGTGAACAGGCCACATATTGAATGTCATGCAAGAGCGTGCTGACAGCAAATTTCCGGGGGCAGACCATATTCGTCCGAGAACTGGACATCAAAATTCAATGTCGAGTTCGGATTGCCAAACGCCCCGCTCTAGCAACATCTCTGTCCGTCCGAAACCAACATCTGCGGTACAGATGGATTCGGTGTTCGACACTGGTTAAACCCGGGTAGGCACCAGGGATCTTTGTGTGGAGGTCTCGGGGCGCGTCATCAAAGGCGGACAGCCGCACCATAGAGCCGAGTGCCACCGAGCCAGTCCATATTGCGCCGGTGAGTACAACATCTTCGACGGTAGAGCGGTGCTTTCCAGGGATTCACTTTTAGCACAACAATCTTTCAATGCGAAAAACATGTTGCATATTGCATGCCCACGAGTGATAGCCCGGCGACTTACGAGGAGAGACTTTAGCCCCAGGTTCGAGGCCAGGAGATCATCACCGCATGGTCTGCAAGAATATCTCACTAGATGCTCGGGAATGGCGAAGATGGCAATTCAATTCAGCTCAAAAGCTCAGCTCGCATCCGCGGCTTGTGGTTCGAGTCGAGCCTTCTTGGCTCGGCGTTTCATTTCCCGCTTAGACAGAGGCTTCTCGGGTTCGACAGCAGCTTCGGAGCCCAAGGATGCCTTCCTCTTCAATGAGTCAGGTGTGTTATCAGATTCTTTGCTGGCGAAGGTTTTCTTTTCGCCTTTGGACTTTGGGTTCGCATTGTCGATTGCCACTTTCTCTCCGCCATGAACAATGTCAACGATGCCACGCCAGCTGGTACGCTTCAGCTTTGCCAAGGCCGTAACTTTCCTAGCTTCTTCACAAATCGCCTCTTTTCCACGCTCTTGCGACAATCCCCAGACGCAGGTCAGGTTGATGACGTCCCATGGTGCCCGCAGACTCAGAGCGCGTCGGGCCTCACTCGAAACGATGATGCCTCGGCCACCCCGTGTAGCTCTGATCAGTGACATCGCGTTCCCGATCAGATTGCGGCGTGCGTCGAATCCACTTCCCGTGACACCTGGACCATAGCAAATTTCCAACCGAATACCGCGAGACAAGGCAGCCGATAGCATTTTAAATTTGAAATGGAAAGGCAGCCGTACTGACAGATCTAGCGATATCATGTCGCATTCGAGTGTGGTGCAAGCATTGAGAAGGGTCTTCTCATTTGTGGGCCGTAAAGCGACGATATCGTATGCTTGCGTCAGGTTGTTCAGTCTCTGGTTCTGCGCGGTGTCGGAGAGCGTAAGATTGAGACGTGTGAGCAACTGTAGCGACTTTGGAGCATTCGAAGGCAGTGTCGGTGGAGTCAAGCTTGTAGGCAGCTTGCCCGTGACTGTCTGTGACAAGGCGACGGTTGTGTACCCAACTACAGAAACGTCAGCACTCCTATGGATATGAAAATCAACTGTCAAACGGTCGCGGCGAGATGACCTACGTTCGGCGAGGAAATTCAATGTGTTCAGCGCTTCCGGGTCATCTTGACTGTACGGAACGTTCAAGTCAAAGAACATGGCGCTGGTCTGGAGATCCGATGACTCCCAGCAGCGCAACCAGTGCTTCAAGATGTCAGGGACATTTGATCAAGCCAATGTTATCGCTTCAGTTGCAGCCTTGATTTGTTTAAAGATGGAATTCACAAAAAGGTCGGGGAAATGATTTTCCGTGCAGCCACACCTGGCCTGCTCCCCACTGGGAAAATCCCGTGACAGGGCGGAACTGATCTCGCTCATATCACAATATCCAACCCTCTCCAATCTTCCATTGCATCAGGAAGACCGATAGCACAGCTGAGTTCACGCGAGCGATTTGCTGAGCCTGCTGCTGCTATTGCTCTCTGCCTGCCTCAACCGCCTTCGTTTCGCTCTCTCTAGTCGGCCGTGTCACGCCCCGCCTCACCCCGCTCCATTCATATTCCATTGTGGGCGGATCCAGTCGCCGCCTGACCGCACCATGTCGCGCGTCTACGCTGATGTCAATGAGCACATGCCCCGGTCCTATTGGGACTATGATAGTGTGAACATCTCATGGGGAGTTCTTGAAAACTACGAAATTGTTCGCAAGATTGGTGCGTTCTGTCCCAAGTTCAAGTCCAGTAGGCCTGTGAGGCACTTTCCGTCAAATGCGCTCACCCAAGGGGCCACGCTGCTTGCATATCGGCAACACCATCTTGCATAATTACTAACTATTTTTCATGACCTGCAGGTCGAGGAAAGTACTCTGAGGTCTTTGAAGGTATCAATGTGGTCAACTATCAGAAATGTGTTATCAAGGTCTTGAAGCCAGTCAAGAAGAAGAAGATTAAGCGAGAGATCAAAATTCTGCAAAACCTTGCTGGTGGCCCCAACGTTGTCGCTCTATTGGACGTTGTTCGGGACAACCAAAGCAAGACTCCGAGTTTGGTGTTTGAGGCCGTCAATAACACCGACTTCCGTACCCTGTACCCCCGCTTCACCGACTATGATGTCCGTTTCTACATCTTCGAACTCCTCAAAGCGCTCGACTTTTGTCACAGCAAGGGAATCATGCACCGTGATGTCAAGCCCCACAATGTCATGATTGACCATGAGAAAAGAAAGGTACGCACATTTCGTGGATCCAGTCTGAAGGGAGGGTATCTTTAACACAGTGTAGCTGCGACTCATCGATTGGGGTCTTGCCGAATTCTATCACAAGGGTACTGAGTACAACGTCCGCGTCGCATCGCGGTACTTCAAGGGCCCCGAGTTGCTTGTCGACTTCCAGGAATACGACTATTCCCTCGACATGTGGTCACTCGGTGCGATGTTCGCTTCCATGATATTCCGCAAGGAGCCGTTTTTCCACGGAAACAGCAACTCCGACCAGCTTGTCAAGATTGCGAAAGTTCTCGGAACTGAGGAGCTATTTGAATACTTGGACAAGTATGATATCGAGTTGGATCCCCAATATGACGATATCTTGTCTCGATTCCCTCGCAAGCCGTGGCACTCCTTTGTCACGGCTGAGAACCAGCGCTTCGTCAGCGACGAAGCCATTAACTTCCTCGATAAGCTGCTTCGCTACGATCATGCGGTAAGCTTGAATTCATATTTCTGCCACTATCTCTCATCGCATTCTAGTTCTAACAACTTGATAGGAACGCTTGACTGCTCAAGAGGCCATGGCTCACGCCTACTTTGACCCTGTCCGCGCTGATGCTCAGAAGAACGCTGCTGCCCAGTCTTGATTCTCCCCTCGGCAGTAAAACACGATCTTCCTTTTTCCCCTCCCCGTCCTTTCTTATTCTCTCCATCAGCTTCTCTCCCACACATTTCCCCTGCTTTCCTGACCTAGAGAACATCCTTCGGTATTCCAGTCCAGTCATTGCTCATGGATGATCGCCCGGCAGTCATAGTGTCGTGCAGCAAACAAATCAAGCAGCAAGACCCTTCGCGCGGACATGTCTCAATCTAATGCGCTCTTTGCACTAGATATATGCGGCCTGAGTGGACGACCGAGCTTCGAAGACGACGTTGATGACAAGACATGATATCTAATTTTCCTGGGCTAGCCGGAACCCTACCGTCTAGGTTCGATGAACTTCAAGTGGGCGCAATCAATCAAATTTCCAATCTTCTTCACGGCTCGGCTCTCGCATCATCCAGCACAGACCATTTCCAAAAGATGTAGGCTCGAGCCCCGCATACCATACGTGTAGAATTGCTCAGCTTTCAAGTCATCTCGCAGTAGCATTTGGTGTCCAAAATCTCTACGAACTGCCCGTGTTATCGGCATGCCAGATAGGATAAGTTTTCCCCGTAAATACGCTTGATTGAGTTGCCATCGTCAACTTTTCTCATCCCGGATGGCGTGCAGTGAAATAATCTTAGGTTACCATGTAACCGATGTCCCGAGTCGAGCAGACAATCTCAGACATCGTAAGTGTGTGTTCATGCCAGGCTGTTACCACCAGGTGAGTCGCTCTCTGGTGTCACTCTATTAAGCCTTGGCAAAGATCGCCCAGAGGCTCCGGCGCTATCACGTGAGTGTCTTTGGGATTGAAGGAGTCCTCGATCAAATCACAAGAATTATTTCGAGAAAGATACTGCACATGCTCACAAAACCTCGACACTTATTCAATTACCCGCGTATCAATCACCCTCAGCTCTACAGAAAGCCATTGTTCCAACTGCCCCAGTGTCGCGCGGTCCCCACCGATCCTCACCTGAGCCCCGCTCGCTCATTCGTCGTGGAAATTTAATCTGCCCGCATTTTCGCACAACCACCCCTCCTTGTCGCAACTCCTCATCCTCAAGATACTTATCAGGCGACTCGTGGCGCGATCGGCGCCTTGGAGACTTCCTCCGACTTATCGATCACTATCCAGGATGGCGCAAAACTCCGCATCCCAGAACCCACGTGAGTGACGGTGCTCCGGCAGTCAATGACTCATGTCCGAGTCCGCAAGCTTACAATTGAATGGCAATGTAGTCGGGGAGAACACTGCCCCTTTGACTGAGACTCCTCCTCCCGTCGATCAGCAAACTCGCACTCAGATCGCCGAAGCTGCTGCTGCGAACGATGGCGCCGCCGCCCCCAAGGTGAAGTCCGAGAAAGAACGTACGTGAACCCCGCAGTGCACCCCGAGCTGAAACGCTGTTGTTTCTCGCTTGAGCCTCTTGCCTGAAGACTAATCTTGTCTTTCTGACGTAATAGTCGAGCGTGAGCGCAAGAAGGCTGAGAAGGCGAAGAAGTTCGCTGAGAAACAGGCCAAGGCCAAGACCGCGAAGCCTGCCGCTCCCAAGGCCGAGAAGAAGGTGCAGAAGGTTGAGAAGGAGAAGACTGCCGACGCATACGATCCCAAGACTATCGAAGCCGGTCGCCTTGAGTGGTGGGAGGAGAGGGACCTCTTCAAGCCCGAATGGGGCCCTGATGGCAAGGTCAAGCCAGAGGGCTCCTTCGTCATTCCTATTCCTCCTCCCAACGTCACCGGCTCTCTTCACATGGGTCACGCTCTGACCAACGCCTTGCAAGACACTATGATCCGATGGCAGCGTATGAAGGGTAAGACTACTCTGTGGCTGCCTGGCATGGACCACGCTGGTATCTCTACGCAGAGCGTCGTTGAAAAGATGCTGTGGAAGAAGGAGAAGAAGACCCGACACGATCTCGGCCGTGAAGCTATGGTCAACCTCATCTGGGATTGGAAAGATGAGTACCACAAGAACATCAAGAATGCCCTCCGGAGAGTTGGCGGGTCTTTCGACTGGAGCCGTGAGGCCTTCACCATGGACCCTAACTTGTCTGCCGCCGTCACCGAAACGTTTGTCCGCCTTCACGAGGAGGGTACTATTTACCGTGCCAACCGTCTTGTCAACTGGTGTGTTGCTCTCAACACATCGCTTTCGAACCTTGAGGTCGAGAACAAGGAGATTGAAGGCCGCACTCTTTTGGATGTTCCCGGCTATGACCGCAAGGTTGAGTTTGGTGTTCTCACCCACTTCTGCTACGAGATCGACGGCTCACCTGAGCGTATCGAGATCGCCACGACTCGTCCCGAAACCATGGTTGGCGATACCGGTATTGCTGTCCACCCTAACGATCCTCGCTACAAGCACCTGATCGGCAAGAACGCTCGTCATCCCTTCGTTGACCGTTTGCTGCCTATCGTTGCCGACGAGGGCGTTGAGCCCGAATTCGGTACCGGTGCCGTGAAGATCACCCCTGCTCACGACTTCAACGATTTCAACCGCGGCAAGCAGCACAACTTGGAGTTCATTTCTGTCCTGAACGACGACGGCACCTTCAACAAGAACGCAGGACCCTTCGTTGGTATGAAGCGCTTTGATGCTCGTTATCAGGTCATCGACATGCTCAAGGAGAAGGGCTTGTACGTGAAGTGGGAGCACAACCCCATGAAGGTGCCCCGCTGCTCAAAGTCAAACGATATCATTGAGCCTATCCTCAAACCCCAATGGTGGATGAAGATGGAGTCACTGGTCGGCCCCGCTATTGAGGCCGTTGAGAAGGGTGACATTATCATTCGTCCAGAGTCTGCCGAGAAGAACTACTTCCGCTGGATGCGCAATCTCAATGATTGGTGTCTGTCGCGTCAACTTTGGTGGGGTCATCAGGCCCCCGCTTACTTTGTGAACATCGAGGGCGAGGAGAATGATGACTCTAACGGCGAATTCTGGGTCACTGGTCGCACCGAAGAGGATGCTCGCAAGAAGGCCGAAGTCAAGTTTCCCGGTAAGAAGTTTACTCTTGACCGTGATCCCGATGTACTGGACACTTGGTTCTCTTCCGCTCTGTGGCCCTTCTCAACCCTGGGTTGGCCCCGCAAGACTCACGACTTCGAGAATTTGTATCCCACCTCTGTGCTTGAAACTGGTTGGGACATTCTATTCTTCTGGGTTGCTCGTATGATTATGCTCGGCATCAAGATGACCGGACAGATTCCTTTCAAGGAGGTGTACTGCCATTCCCTGATTCGTGATTCCGAAGGTCGCAAGATGTCCAAGTCTCTTGGCAATGTCATCGATCCTTTGGACGTGATGGAGGGCATCCAGCTCCAGACCCTGCACGACAAGCTTCTTGTCGGCAACCTCGCTGAGAAGGAGGTTGCTACTGCGACAAAGTACCAGAAGAAGGCTTTCCCCAAGGGCATTCCTGAGTGCGGTGCTGACGCTCTTCGCTTCGCCCTTGTTTCGTACACGACTGGTGGTATGTGACAGCCTAATCCTTTCATCTCGTCTGGTTTCTAATTCTCCCATGCAGGTGGCGACATTGCCTTCGACGTTCAGGTCATCCACGGTTACCGCAGATTCTGCAACAAGATTTACCAGGCGACTAAGTTCGTTCTTGGTAAGCTCGGCGACGACTTCAAGCCCTTATCCACTGTGACGAAGACCGGTCACGAGTCTTTGTCCGAGCGTTGGATCCTGCACAAGCTCAATGCTGCCGCGAAGGAGATGAACGAGGCCCTCGAAGCGCGTGAATTCTCTGTGACTGCCAATGTTTCTTATCAATATTGGTACTCTCAGCTGTGCGATGTGTTCATCGAGAACTCCAAGTACCTCCTGGCCGAGGACGCCTCCTCCGAGACCCAGGAATCTGCCAAGCAGACTCTTTACACTGCCCTTGAAGGTGCTCTGTGTCTCATCCACCCCATCATGCCCTTCGTTACGGAGCATCTGTGGCAACGTCTTCCCCGGCGCCCACACGACAAGACCTTCTCCATCATGCGTGCCAAGTACCCCGAGTATCGCGCCGAGTTCGATGATCCCGCTGCTGAGAAGGCTTATGAGCTTATCTTGAACACCTCCAAGGCTATCCGCTCGATCCTTGCTCAATATGATGTCAAAGCTAAGGGTGACATCATCATCCAGACCTACGATGCTACCAGCGAGAAGACTGTGTCTGAGCAGCTCACCTCCATTCAGTCCCTTGGTGGCAAGACCCTGGGTGAGCTCTCTCACGTTGGTCCGGACAACAAGACCCCCCCTGCTGGCTGCGTCGTCGCGGCAGTGGGTGCTGAGGCTGCTGTCTACCTGCGCGTTTCCAAGGAGGTCGCACTCGAGCAGGAGGAGAAGGCCAAGGCCAGTCTTGAGCGTGCCCGTGAGACTGTGCGCCGATCTCAGACCGTGATGAGCGCTCCCAACTGGAAGGAGAAGGTCAAGGCGGAGGTTCGTGAGACTGAAGAGAAGCGACTGCGTGATGCCGAGAGTGAGGCCGCTCGCTTGGAGGAACAGATCAAGGAGTTTGAGAAGCTTCGTCTGGAATAAACTACGCCCATCGCACGCATTGGAGGGGTAATATAAAAGACCATGTCTGAAGTGAATTGTTCTGTCTTTCGCTTTTTTTTATCGTCCCGTGTAGTTCAATAGGTCCAAAGTATATAAGCATGACCACCATGACAATGCCAACCTACTTCATAAGGACTCGGCCTTGACTGGATATAGTTCCGAAAGTCGATACCAGTACATTCACTCGTGGAAGCTGTTCGTATCTATGACTGGCTCGATATAATAGAGCCTCCGTCCGTGCTGCCTCCTGAGAGGTATGCCATTAGGGAAGGATTCAGAATTAGCCATGTAGGGGCGGGAGCCTTATCCTACCTGTTACCTTTTGTTGGATGAACGCAATCGAATAGTCTAGACAGCAAATCCGAAGGTCAATGAAAATGAATATTAATGGCTTTTAATCTCAGACATCTAGCTTCCAAGAACGTACCTATGGTGAGCTTCATACCTTGAATGATGTCGATGTGGGTGTGTAAGTAGATCCATGGACACCTGCATACTGCAGGTCTCTACTAATGCGTCTTAGAAATTGGCTGGTTTGGAGACATATTTTCCCTCCATCCATGTCCCGGATTGTCGGGCAGAAAGCGAAAGGAAAAACTTACCTACATTTTCAGGTGCAGAAGTGGCTGAAAATTACTAGATTCAATGCCGGAATTTTACTCCGTGCAGAGCTGGTGAGCGAGTACCGTAAGGGTCAAAATCTGCGAAACAAATGCACTTCGATGTACTCGTGCAGTTGACTCGTACCGTCGTACGTTCGGGTGCTCGAAGCCGAGTAGATCAGTATCGCTGGCAGCCTGCAATGTGAGGCAGAAAGGCTCGACTCGGGCACACTGCAGTGGGTCCTTATCGATAGTTGTGCCAAGCCATCACCCCAAAAGTTTTTTGCGATTTTTACTCGGAACATCCTCGAACATAAAGAAAACACCGCCACCATGTTGCGCGAAGTGTGAGTCCCCTGCAGACGTCTCAGCAGTATGGATTGAACTGATTGAGAACAAACAGCAAGGCAAAGAACCCGCGCACTGCGCGTATCCTCAAGGCGCGAGAGCCCCAACTCATCGAACCCCCCAAGAAGACTCTATTGCTGCACGGGACGAAATGCCCTCAAGCCCTCGACACCGTCTTGAAGACCTTCCACTCTCTCACAAAGCCCAACTCCGTCCTTTTCCACAAGAAGAATGAGAACATTCATCCTTTCGAGAACACAGAAAGCATGGAATTCTTGGCCAACAAGAACGAGTGTGGTCTGGTAGTCTTTGGAAGCAGCAACAAGAAGCGCCCCAACTGTGTGACAGTTGGCCGAATTTTCAACTCGCAAACACTGGACCTCTGCGAACTGATGCTTCTTCCCCCATCTGAGCCGAACGCCATCCCTCCATTCAACGAGCTTACTATGCCCGTCGGTCTTGGCATGCGGCCGATGCTGCTGTTCTCCGGTAGTCCTTGGGAGGATCCGACATCAGGAGTTCACGTCATGCTGAAAAGCTTCTTCCTTGACATGTTCAAGGGCGAAGAGACGACCCAGATCGATGTCGAGGGTCTTCAATATATTTTGATGGTTGGCGCCGAAGAGCCTCGTGACGGCTTGTCCCCTGTCGTGCACCTTCGGTGGTACAAGATCATCACCAAGCGCAGTGGCCACAAGCTGCCTCGTGTGGAACTTGAAGACGTTGGTCCCAAGTTCGATTTTAAGATCGGCCGTCACCGCCCCGCTACCCCCGAGGCAATGAAGGAGGCCATGAAGCAGGGCAAGCGTCCCAATGAAGATATGAAGACCAAGAAGAACATCATCATGGACTCTATGGGTGACAAGATTGGTCGTGTGCACTTGGGCAAGCAGGATCTGGGTGGCCTTCAGACTCGTAAGATGAAGGGTCTGAAGCGTCGGGCGGGTATCGACTCGGACGACGAAGATGAAGAGGATATGGAGATGATGGACGTCGACGAGATTTTGGAGGAAGAGGGCAACAAGCGTCCACGGACGGATTAAGCTTGATTCACTTGCATCTTTGCGTATTTACACTACTCAAGGCGTTTGTTTGGTCCGGCTGGGGGTTTGTGCTTCTCCGTGGTGCCTGCATATCCTTCAGGCATCTTGTATCGACATGAAAAAGTATTTTATATATAGTGAAGCGATTCCTTCCCTGCAACTGAATCTTCGATTTCTCACACAGTCACCCTTTGTAGGATATCCGATGGTTGGTAGAGCTGCGAAGTAATCTGAGGGTCAAATTTTACGAAGATCGAGAGACGAAGAGTCCGCGAAGATGCTTGAGTAATTCGAGCAGACTTGATGTTTGCAGAGCTTTGAGGCGCTTTGAACTTACACTGAGTCTTGTATTTGCCGAAAGAATAATCCATTTTGACTTTTGATGCGCTCTGTCTGGGCCACGTGACCATGACGTTAGCTGTCGGCATCGTCTCACATGCCGAGGCCCTTTTGCAGTTGCGGATCCGAGTAAAGTGCCGCTGTCCCCTCCCCCAGGTTCTGGTCTTTCAGCTGCTTTACTTCTTCCACTCTTACGATTTTATCCTCCGAGTCCTGTCATTCAGAAGTCGTCTCTGTCACAGGATTGTTTGCATTTGCCCCTCGAATCTCAGTGTTGACCTCCAGTCGAGGTTTCGCGCATCAGAATGGATGCGCTCACGGTGAGAAGCTACGCCGGGCATATACGAACTTGTCCCAGCGACTGACGCACCTTTCTCATAGTCACGCCTCGATGCCTTGGTGCTCAACCCTGAACTTGCACCACTACTATCACTCGTGAAAGGCGCACGGAATGGCATAGTCTACGGCTCCAAAGTGCGATTTCCGCACGCGCTGGTGTAAGTCAAATGCCCTGGATACATCGACCGCCGCATAGTGTCGCGACGAGACTGGAGTACTAACTTTCGTTGGCCTCACAGAATGATATTTCTTTTCCGATCGGGAACGTACGTGATCTTCTCCTCTCCATTCCCATGCGCGTCCTTTCCGAGAAGCTTACCTTGAGCGACCATGCAGATTCCGCGAAAAGGTCAAGCTGGTCTTGAATGCGACTCGCCTCCACGCCCGAAACCTAGCCACCTTTGCTACGATATATAAGGCATCCATGATCATACTTCGAAATCTTCCTGCTGGACAGGGCAAAGAAGGTCGCTATGACAGTTTCTTTGCTGGATTACTGGGTGGATACGCCGTTTTTGGTCGGCAGCGGGGAAGTATCAGCCAGCAGGTATGCCGAAAGTCCCCACACCGAGGCCGAATGGAATGGAAGGGACCTCGGGTCAAGAATCGCATCGCGCTTCCGACGGCTAATTCGAATCCGTATCTGCAGATCGTTATTTATGTCTTTGCTCGGGTGATGCTCTCCCTTGCGAAACTTTCTGTTCAGCCCGGGATGCATCCGCTCTCATCTCTCATAACACCCCAAGCTCGGACTTCCATCACGGATAATGCCTGGCCGGTTTTCGCCAGTATGAGCTGGGCGCTCGTCATGTACCTCTTCCGATGGTACCCAGAGACTCTGGCATCGAGTCTGCGGAGTAGCATGGTATACATGTGAGTGAAACCGTCTTTTGGATTGCGTTCGGTTTTTCAGGCTATTCCAAAATTTTGGGTTTGAACTGAACGGGCCGGCTAATATCGTTGTTGTCTCAGTTATGCGGACTCGGACCACTGGAACTCCTTCCGAAACTTATTGATACACAACAAATAGAGTCGCTCGAGCGATCACGCCCTGGTCCATAGTACATGTCTAGCCTCTTGGTCTCCAGCTGGTTTGGGATTTCACACGGCACATAGAGCAGAGATTACATATTTTCTTTCTTTTTTCCCGCTTCATGGAGTCAATGACGAGTCTTGTTGCTTGATTTGAGAAGCGCATTCCTTGGACAACGGCACGTCCATCTTCTTGTGCGAGTGCTTTGCGTCTGTCTTCTATATTTGTTCTACGACCGAGCACATGAGCTCGAAAGCGAGCGATCCCATCCATGAGATCATGATAGAACAAATACGACAAATTCATCTTTTGCCAAGCTAAAGAAGGTCACTATAGATGCTACGTGTTAACGTGTTGACGTGTATGCACTATGCAAAATCCGATGTTTCATTCAGATCGAGACACCATTCCTATCGACTCACAATCGCATCTGTATCCTTAACTCCGTTCTCATGTTCCTGCTTCGCGTAGGAGAAGAGAAGTACAGTTATGTTCCAACTCCACCGATGCACCTTGAATACACAACCCGAAATCGGACCGTCAAAAAAAGTCCAGGAAAGCAATAGTCCGAAACTCGAGTTCCAAACGCCGCAGAGTGCATTGGTAAGACATCCCCTCTTTTTCTTGCTCGAGGAAGTGTTCAAGATTTCTTCGGCAATTTCCACACACTGGTGTATGTACGGCAACCGCCAGCCTTGCGCTTCTTCTCGTTCTCGATGCCCGCTTCCAGATTCTGTCGTTCAACCACTACAAGTTCAAAAGACGACAGCATTAGTCGCGGGCCATGTAACAATAGACAAAAGACGGCAGGCTAGTATGTGGATATTAAACCAGTCGGACGATGTAGGATGGGGAGAGAAATCAATGGATGGACTCACAAAAGCTGCATTGACCAGGCTGACCGGGAGACTTTTCCCACAGACAGTTCGCACAAGCTCCGTCCAGCTGATCGGGAATCACAACACACCCAACAAATTGGCCCTTGCCTGTGGCGCACTGCTTACACTCGGAAGCGAGACGGACACCAACAGCCTGAGCGAGCATGGCAACTCGCTTGCGGAGACGAGACTCCAAAAAGCTTTTGAGGTCCTTGGTCTCCTTGATGTTGATCATCCGGTTGTTAGTGGGTTCTCGGACCGGAGTCAGGCTCATAAGATGAGCCCATGGCTGGATACCGAAAACCCATGTGGTCTCGCGCAGAAGTCGAACGCGAGGTCCAGGAGGGACATCTGGAGGATCGAAAAGAGGCTGAGGAGAAACAGCTGGAGCCGATGAAACGGGAGTTGGAACCTGAGGAGGGGGGGCATAACTTCGAATAACGGACGGGGAAAGTTGAGGAATTGGAGCAGGATATCGAGGAGCAAAAGACCAGGGTGCATAAGCCCAGGCCTCAGAAGCACAAGGCTGAGGAGCATAATGTTGAGAAATAGGAATTTGAGCAGCAGAGAATTGAGGAGCAGCAGCGTAATGCTGAGGAGCATAGAGCTGAGGGCCATAGAGCTGAGGAGCATCAAGCTGAGAAGCAGACATCTGAGGAGCATAGAACTGAGCAGCAGAAGCCGGAGGAGCAGTAACCTGAGGAGCACAGACCGGAGGAACTGTAGCCTGTGGAGCATAGAGCTGAAGAACAGAAGCCTGAGAAGCAAAATACTGGGGCGCAGTAATCTGAGGGGCGTAGTCCTGGGAAGCGTAGCCGTAAGAACCGCAAAGGGAACCGAAGCTCTGGGGCACAGTCGCCTGAGGAGCAACAACCTGGGATGTGTAGAGCTGAGGAGCTGGGACCTCAGGTGCAGAGACTTGGAGAGTAGCAACCGGTGAGACAGCAGTCTGAGGGCCAGAACCAAGAGGAGGAGAAATGCTAGGAGTTGCAACCTGATGAGCAAAGCTAAGCGGAGAAATAGCCTGGGGAGCAATAGCCTGAGGTGCAGAAACGCTCGAGGTCATAACCTGGGGAGCAGAGATTTGGGAGGCGAGATCCCATAAACCGACAAGCTGAGAGGCAACAACCTCAGGAGTAGAAGCCTGGAGAGCAGCAACTGGAGAAGCAGCAGCTTGAGGAGGAGAAACGTCAGGAGTCGCAACCTGAGCCAAAACAGCCTGAGGCCCAACAGCAGGAGCAGAGACGCCAGTGGTCACGACCTCAGGTGCAGAGGCCTGAGGGACGAGCTCAGACAAATCAAAGAGCTGAGAAGCGTGGTCCTGAGAAATATCAAGCTGAGAAGCAGAGAACTGAGGTACAGGAACAGGAGAAGCCGAGTTCTCAGGAGTTGCAACCTGACGCACAGGAACAGGAGAAGAAGTAACCTGAGTCGCAGAGCCTGTAGGAGCGAGAACCTCGGGAGCAGTGACCTGGGAAGTGGAAATTTGGGGAGTAGTAATTTGAGATGCGTGATTTGGAGAAGTGTGAGCAGCAACTTGAGGAGCAGTGGATGGAGAAACAGCAACCTGAAGAGTAGAGTCCTGGGCAGCAGCAGCCTGAGAAGAGTTATCCTGGGAAGCGGTACCAAATTGAACGCCCGCCAGAAGAATAGCGTCAATTTCTCCCAGGACCTCAGGGGGAAACTCTAGCTCTTCTTCAGAGGACGAGGTTGGAAGCTCGGCATTGGTCTCAGGCTGTGAGCTACTCTTAGTGATAGCGTCGTCCATCGATTTGGCTTCTTCGTTTGCTGATAGACTCCAAAGCTCCTCGGCTTGCAGCATGACATCCAGTTCGTCTTGAAGACTAAGACTCATGGTGTTGGATTAAAGATCGGTGTGGCTGTAATGTTTAGGTAGGAGCGCTTTGTTGGAAACAAAGAAAGTGGAACAAAGGGAATGAAGACAGGTAAGATGAGACATGTAGAATGAGACGAAACTATTCATGAGAGCAAACTATAAACGAAATGAATACGGCACGCCCACGATTCTATTTTTCATCGTGGGAAGCAAACAAATTAATCGCGCTGTGTATCACGACGCATTGTTTGCGGTTGAGGGTAAGTTAGGGTTGATTCTACATCCGCGCGGCGCGCGCGCACGGCGTAGGATATGGCGGAAAACATAGCACATGCCTCAACCAAATCATTCATGTGATCGCTTAAATGGTGTACAAAGGCATTGTCCACGGTAGATCCAACATTGGAGGTGATGAAAATCTAGCAGTATAGTACATGCTTTAAAAAGTGAAATCGGTAGCAGAATTTCCATCTACTGGGTATTATCGCCGTCAACGCCAATAAGAATTTTCAAGTCGCCATCCATCCAATCCACGGTATCTACTGACAGCAGAGCGAATGCCCAGTCTTTCTCGCTCTGAATGGAGACGAGTCCATCAGACAAGAGGGCTTTGACACTCCAACTGACGGCTCCAGCCATATCCCGGACTTGCTGGTCAACCCCGTCTGCTCCTTGGAGCACAGGAAGGCCTGGAATCTGGTTGTGGTAGCGTCGGATGACAGACTCCTTGATCATGTCTACATTGGGGCACTGCCCAGCCGGGAGATCAAGCCGGGGAAGAATACGCTTCCCCCGGTGGAGCACGTTGATGTGAAGGGTGATTTGGGTGTGAGATGCGTGATGCGATGGCGGTAACGCCGTGGCGCCATTTGGTTTCACTTCGTTCGATGCAACGAAGGAAGGCTGTGTTTGGAAGTGCTGGTCAGGACCAGCTGGTAACTGGGTCGCGGAATGATCTCCATTGCGACTGGCTAACGATTCTCGAATAACACGCGAAACATCACGAGTAATGCCGTTGACACTGTTCACGAGTCAGCACCTTCTGGGAACATTGTTTTTTGCGGCCAGGGAGAGGGAATATGAACTTACAATGCATCTCGAGCTGGCGGGTTACGAGCACCCCCAACACGCCAGGACAGGTTTGCGGTCGCGTCAGCGTGAACAATGCGGGAGATGTTTGCATCCTCGCAAGCCGGGGGACAGTCGAAATCACCTCGATGAACGACTTGGTAATGGCTGTCAACAGCCGCGACGAGCCCTCGCCACTCAGGTTGGTCGAGGCCAGAGACAGACCAGAGGTTGTCCAACTCGTAGTTTTGGTTAAAAATATCATAAGAGCGGGCCATGTCGTTCCAGTCGACGGTGTATCCGTCCAAGAGCAGGTCGTTGAGCCCCACATCCATAATCTGGCCAGATTCAATCTGATCTTGGGCACCTTGATTTGCTTGGGTGGGCCCAGTGAGAGGCGGAGCCGCATGAGCAGAATGCATTGGCTGCGCTTGAGCGTGTAGATGTTGCAACTGCTGCTCGGGAGCAAACTGGGCCGGGATGGAGGTGGTGGAAGAGATCTCTTGAAGGTTCTCACTTGTTTTCCGTCGCCGACGCTCATCCCCGCCGCCACCCTTCCGCGTTTCGACGGCGTATTGGCGCTGGCGCTCGTTTGTGACCATCCTCCGCAAGAGCGGAATGACCAAAAGGATGATCTTTTGTTGATCTCGGGGCCAGACAAATTCACGAGGCCCAAGTCCCTCATTCACCACGTTCTCTCCGAAGAAACGCTCGCCATTCCCCTCATCGTCAAGAAATTGTCGGACGCAATTCCAAAGGCGCAATTTCACCATTTCGGTGTCGCCTTTTCCTCGTTGGCCAACACAATCGCGCCGTTCGGGGTGTTCGTCGTTTAACATGAACGCCTTGGCCGCAGCCTGAAGATGGAGGAAATTCTCTGGCGACAGTTCTAATGATGTAAACAACTTTGACATCGGTGGTCGCGTATACTTTTTGTTCTCGGATGGTTGCCGGAACAGCGCCGCAGCAGAATGTACACCAACTGAACGTGCATCAGCGAGTGCCTGAGGAGGAACGGGGCGAACGATGAAATTACCACTGGAATAGGGTTGATGACTGTGCTGTGTGGGTTGATGGACCTGTTGTTGCTGTTGCGACCCAGACATCCCGGCACCAGCAAGCGCAGGATCGAGGTTGTCCTCGTTGCGCTTCCGCTTCTTCGAAACGGTTCGCGAGAGTCCAGGCCCCTGCGCGTGATCGTTCTGCACCCGTAAGTGACGAGCATTGCTCAAGCCACCCGCAAAATTGGTCTCGTTGAAGCTTTCATCGCCAAGATGCATATCTGACCCATATGTATCTAATTGGTGGTGGCTCGCTTCACCAGCAGCTGTTGCGACAGCAGCAGCCCAATGAGGGGACACATCTTGACCGGCGGCCGCTGTCGCGGCTTCAACTAAGCCCGCGAGCTGGTTGTCGCTGGGGGTGTATGCGGTATTGGGGTCAATCGAGAGGTTTGCGCTTGATTGAGCAGCGACGTCGGCAGAGGAAGATGTTTGATGGTGATGGCTGTTGTGCGCGGACATTGTCGCCTAATTGACGCGGATTCGGGGGCGCAAGTGGACTCCAGATGTAGGCTCGAATTGGCCGAATGCGACAATCTATAAGAGTCACGAAAGCGACACCTCATAGACTGGTGCCGTGGCGGTTGAGTCCGTAGCTTGGCGCGTATGTATAGCTCGTAGGTCCGAGCTTCGAGAAAAGGAAGGGATGTGGATGGGGTGACAGAGTTGAAAGTAAGACGTCGCGTAATTTGCAGGAAATCAGAGATCAGTCCGTGGGCAAAATGCCCCTCGACGGGGCACTGAGTGCGCCGACTTAGGAAGAGGTTGAACCTCGAGCCCGACCTTGACGCTGTATTGCACAAGCCCTAAAGCCTGCGATCGATAAGACCGATCCGACGATGATGCGATGTTTGTGCAGTTTGAAGGGTGGACAGACAATGCAAACTCTTTGTGTCTCGAGTCACATGACGTCCCTCTCCCCTTATGTCCTAACCCTCCAGTTCCACACCAAGCCGCTTGTCACGTGCAGAGGGTGACGTTAGTACATTAGATGAGCAGATCAGCAGAGTATATGATTTTGGAAAGTACAGTATGCAATGCGTGGTACTTTGAGAGCTCGGTAGGCAAAATTGAATCAATATGATCACAATAGGTGGGACGGAAAAACCAAGATTCTTGCATACATATTTGTAAGCGCACGATGCCACTCCTCAACTGCGGATGTTCTGCCCACCTCACGATACAAGCAGGAGTAGGATGAATGTAACTTGACTGAAGATCTGTGGTCTATACCTAAGAATTTTACAAAGTCATTGGCAACAATGAGGCAATGCATCAAAATGTGCACATACAGATGACCCATTTTATAAAAGGACCAGAAGACAAGGCGGGTATATGTAAGTTTGACCGACACAGAGAACAGAAACATATCACGCTGACGACCAGTATCCAACACCGGCAAAGCTGAGTGATGCGATTGGAGAAGCTCTAAAAGCCATCACCTTCCTTCCAAGGTCGACCGGCCTCAGAAGCACGATTCTTCGGGTCTTTACCTCGTTCGACGGCGGCATCAAAGAGATCAACAACCATCTTATTCTTCTCGGCAAGCTGCGCCTCAATCTCTGCTTCTTCCGCCGGTGGAAGGATCTTCATCTCCTCAAGCTCATCAACCAGCCCCTCTGCTTTTGCGACCTCGTAGTCTTCGGCCATGAAGACCCAGTCATCGAATTGTCGCTGTAGGGCCTCTCGTTCGGCATCGAGATTGCGCCAGGCGCGATACTGTTCAGGTCCACCAAAGCAGAATCCATAGCCGTCACAGAGGCAGACACTCTCCTCTACACAAAGAACCGGTTCGCCTGTAAACACAACTTGCCAGAGATATTCCCAAATTCGGCCCGTGATATAATCACTCAACTCTGTCTGCAGTAACCAGTCGCGGTAGAAGATGAATCGAGCCCGTGGGATTGCGCGAATGCGATCTCGAGACAGCGCGAATTGTGCACAACATGGCTGCGACGATACAGAGGGGACTTGTATGTCGGGGAACAATTCCCCCCAAGCGCGGGCGAGCAGGACCTCCTCCTGTTTGGACTCGTCCTCGTCCACAGCGCCGGGATGAATCCAAGCGGGACATCCAGGTGCGAACGCGCAACGCGTATTCATGTATCCTTCCCGGATGACACGTTCAAGGCTGAGCCGTCTGAGGATATCGGCCGCGTCCCCGTCGAAGAAGTCTTCGTTGTGCCAGGCTTTCCGGTGAGCATGCATAAACACGGCGACATCCGGCAGCTCCTCGTAGAAGTCGATGATGTACGAGAGGTACACCATGACCTCGTGGCCCTTGTTCCGCGGTGGATGCAGAGGTGCTTTTGGATCGTCCACGACGTAGATGGCGCTGTCCCAGTCTGGCAACTCTTCGTGAATCCAACTTGTGTCTTCTTTTTTGGTTCGCGGTACGACTAACGTCCTGTTATACTTTGAGCCTGGAGGCTTTGGTGAACCAGGGACGAATTTGGGCTGAGGCGCATAAGGGCGCCTGCTTCCATAGCGAGTGGCATTGGACGCCCTCGACTGGTTGTAGAATGTTGATTGAAAATTATTGTAGTCTCGCAGGCGCAAACTGGGTGGATCATTGCTCCATGACTGAGAAAGCTGACGAGCAGTAAGAACGAAAATACAAGCCAAACCGAAGCCAATCAAAATGACTTGGCGCTTTAAGAGACCCATGGGCGTTCGAAGAAAAAAAAGCGTTATTGATCATGCGCTCGAATGAATGATCCTGCTGAGCAAACTGTTAGTAAACCCATAATTCCCGTCGATGCTTCCTTACCAAAACGCGGAAAATTTACCTTGTGATATCAGAACTCGTGCGTCATCCGAAGCAATTGCACGTTCGGCTCTTCGTAGGGCATTATTTCGTAGATCTCGCACGTGCCATGAATGATTCTTGTCATTCGAAATGCGTGGTAATCTTCGCTTCACCCGGTATTGCGAGCCAGATGGCTGGGAACATGTATCGATTGCGATTTTACTGGCTTGTGTTGAGGCCCGGATAGCCTCTCCGCCAGGCAGTCTGATTTTTTTACACCCACGGAAGCGAAGTCTGGGGAATGACCCATGCTTGATATAAATTTCAACGATCCAGAAGGTCTCCCCAACGCGGGGCACGCTGGACAAATCAATGGCGATTGCGAAGACCCCTGTGGACCAAAAGTGGTGCCCAGGAACAGCACCGGTTTGAAGATCCGCTCGAGGATGACGACACGGGCGTGAGTTGGAGGCGGCCAAGAGATGATAGTGCGAGATTTCATATTGCAAGCATTTCACTCGTTATTGGTGAAGATTAAGCTTAGGTGACTCATGGACTTGAAGTCGCTGCGCATTATTTCAAAGAAATCGAGGACCTGTGCGAGTAAATGCTATGGGTCGCGAGCAAGGCCTGAGACGCGCAACAGTCTGTTGGATAGATTGATTAGCCTCGGCCACCGGCCGTCGCTGCCGCAGATCATCTCAGCCACCGACCGTGGTTTGTTTCAAGGGGCTGTTGAGCGATAAGAAGCTCCTCGGGGGTTTTGGAACGACTGCCTCGAATGTGAGAGTGCGTTGATCTGGTCTCCGGATTATGTTCAAAGATATAAGTATGCTGAAAATGCGTCCAGCAGTTGCACCCGTCCGAAGTGCGTCACGGAGACTCGATGGTACAATTGACGAACTGGCGTAGTCTGGCCGCACGCATGTAGTTGCATGTTCCATCCATTTAAGGTTCGCGTTTCACGTGAACAAATCGCATACATATCGCCAATTAGGGGACGATCAAGATCTTTACTAACCTATCGCGGCTGCAGAGAAGTTGGAAATGCAGGAAGCATACTGAAATCTTTGTACCGACATTCATCTGAGGTCGGATGCCGAACAGGTCAGACATGCTCGATGTACGAGGCCTTTTGATCAACTTATTGAGGGTCTGGTCAATTTCGACGAGAAATATTGAATGAAAGCTGAGATTTGCGGTAATATTTCTGTAGAAGGCGTCTACAAATATGTCCAGTATGTACCCACCGCTGTTTTGATGAGACACATTAATTACTTAGTGACCGGTCATAATGATGGCGCTAGTCAACACGCAATCGCAAGCCAATCATCATGATCTTTCTATTTGTCAAGAAGTGATTGAAAGTATCTTGGAATAAGTAGTAACAAGCCCGAGCCACTGCCCAGTGCCCAGTGGCCAGCCGTCAAAGTCGTGTGGCCGTGTGGCGAGAGATCCGAAAATTGAGGCATCAAGTCCTTCAAAAGTGACGCGGCTTATCGGACACGGTTATCTCACGTGACTGTGGTCTTGCGGCGAGATTCCCCCAGAAAGGGAAATTTCCTGGGCCCGGAGCTTATCGTTTTATTTTTTTTTCCTTCTCCAGAATGCGCCATTACGATGCAGAGCCCCAAGATTCACGGTCGGCCTGCTGAGGAGTCGACAACCATCAAGTCTGCCAATGCTCCCACAAAAAAGTCCCACGATCCGTGGGTACACCTCATCGCTGGCGCGTAAGTCCTGCCGTGTGGCTTCCATTTGCCTCCATGCGTTCCCCGAACCGTCCGCCATTCCCTGTATCATCGTGCACCATCGCATTGAAAATGAAAATTGTTTTCTGAATGTTTTATGTAGGAGTGGTGGCTTTGCTACTGCGATTGCAACATCTCCTCTCGATGTTCTGAGGACTCGTCTTCAGTCTGACTTCTACCAACGACCTCCTCCTTCTACTTCCGCGTCATCCGCTGCCGCCTCTACTATCTCCAAACACGCCACGCACAACACTGCTCGTATCATCAGCAACATCTACCAAGCAGAGGGATGGCGTGCCTTCTTCCGAGGACTTGGCCCCAGTCTAGCGGGAGTGGTCCCGGCGACCGCTATCAAGTTCTGGGTCTACGGAAACTCCAAGCGCATCGGTGCCCAAGTGCTGGGAACCGGTGAAGACTCTACACTCGTTCACGCGCAGGCCGCCATATCCGCAGGAATCGCGACTGCGACTGCGACAAACCCCATCTGGCTGGTCAAGACACGACTGCAATTAGACAAGGCGCAAACCACGACCGGTACGCGCCGCTACAAGAACAGCCTGGATTGCATCCGGCAAGTGATCCGCCAAGAAGGGTTCAGCGGCTTGTATCGAGGACTCAGCGCGAGCTACTTGGGTTCGCTTGAAACAGCCCTGCACCTTGTGCTGTATGAGCGAATCAAGACTGTTTTGCACTCGTCATTGGGATCGCCCGATGGCAAAGATACCGCCACGCAAAAGGAGATCACGAGCTGGCTGAGCACAACCGGAGCGGCTGGATCCGCCAAGTTTGCTGCGGCTTTGATTGCATATCCTCATGAGGTAAGGGCCCTTCACTCTTGTGAAATCCCGGGATCGCCTTTCTAACATGTCGGTATCAAATTGCTAGGTCATCCGAACACGACTTCGCCAAGCCCCAATGGAGAATGGGATCCCCAAATACACCGGCTTGCTGCAGTGCTTCAAGCTCATTGCTAAGGAAGAGGGCATGGCCGGTCTTTACGGAGGCTTGATGCCGCACATGCTCCGCTCGATTCCTTCTGCGATCATCACCCTTGGTGTCTATGAGTTTGTCCTCCGCTTCGTTGGAACATCCTGAGTCGTGAATCATCCCCCCTCCATTGACAAAAAAAGTGTGCGCTCTGCACCCTCTGTACCATATATCACACTACGTCATGATGCTCCGTCTTCTCTGAACTAGGTGACGCACTGACGTGACCTAATTGCATGTATCCTTGAAAAAAGAGGCGTTGGTGGACTGGCAAATTTTCTCTGTTTCTTTTGCATTTTGTGTCTGTGCATAAATTTACCGTCCGAGGAATGTATCATATATTGCACCAATCTATCTACTTACGTCCTTTGATCTCGCGATCCAGAACTCGCCCGCTTCCCTTACACACGTGTTATGAATTTCTGGCTTAGGGGCCTGAGTCTAAGAGAACATTGAGAACTCAAACTGCTCGGAAGTTAGTCTTAGCGTGGTTGAAACTTGTGTCCATTGAACAGATCTGTTGGATTCTCGTCCAAGAACACAAGCAAAGCTGGGCTATTTAGTTGAGACACGGAGGAGGCTCTCCCATGACTATCTCACAAAACGGATATTACGATGCACCAAGCATTCGATAAGAAGATGTGATCATGTTGGTAGGTAATATATACGGTACCAACTTGCGCTACCCGGGTATGAGAATATGGAAGAACGCCATGCAACGCTGGTATAAAAATAATAAAAAAAGTGGGCGCCAATAAAGAGAACCAGATCGATGAGAACACGATCAACTGGCCCACGATCATCAAATAAAGGGAAAGAAAAACAAAAAGGAAAACAGAAAAAGAAAAACAAGACGCGATAGAAAGACAGGGTACAGGCCCGCAAGAAGAGGACAAATCGAACTGTGTCCTCGTCAAACACTGACCCTTCCCTCAGTCAATCCATCACAACGCATCCACGTCCTCCACCTCTTCCACCGTCGTCGCTCGACCCTTGCCCTTGGCTGAGGACCCGGTGGCAGTGGATCCGAGGCCAGCGTTGATCTCGCTGGCCTCACCACTACTGCCACTTTCCCAGGCAGGAGGGGCGGTCGCAGGGCTCGACTCGGCCCTGACCGACGCGGCGGAGTTGAAGGGCTGGAGAGTCCAGCCCGCCGGCAAAACCAGTCCCTCAGGCAACCGGGGGTCACCTGCGCCCAAGCCCTCAGAACGCGCAGAAGTGAACCGAGTCTGACCCGAGGAAGAGGTGGACGTGGCGGTAGCGTCCTCGGTCGAAGAGTTCACTTCCAAACGAAGCTGTTCGAGTTCCGCCTGGAGGTGGGCCACACGCTGAACATGCTCGGCAGCAGCTCGCAGGGAAGCGAGTTCTTGTTCAATCTGCTGCTCGATTGCCTGCAGCTGGGCGTGGACACTGGCAGAGGCAGCCGCGGGCGTGCTTGCGGGCGTCTGCGCAGGGGCCGGGGCGACGGGAGTGAGAGGCGCGTGAGGGCGTCCAAATCCGAATCCGAAACCGATGTGCTGCGCGCCAGGGTGGTTTGCATCTGCCGGAGCTTGCGCAGGGCCAGCGGCGCCTTGATGAATCTGTTGGTGGATGTTTTGGAGCACATCGCCCCGCACAGCACCAAAGCCCACACGGAAAGGACCGAATCGGAAAACACGAGCTCGCTGAACAGGAGCCGGATTGCCACCAGGACCGTTAGGCGCAGCAGCAGCAGCAGCAGCAGCAGCAGCGTTGCCACCTTGATTGTTGGCGCCTGCGGGTGCTCCTTGAGCCTCATCACCAAGGACGGGACGACGACAAGTTGGGCATCTTTGCTGTCTTTCCAGCCAGCTACGCAAACACGCGAAGTGAAGGACATGTCCACAGGGCAGCTTCTTTGGGCGCAGTCGATCTGGCACATTGGCAGGGGGTGGTGGCGCTGGAGCCCCCTCGGTAGGAGCGGCAGGCAAGATCGAAATCATCTCTTCACGGCAGATGATACAGACGTCCTCACGGGCGGTTTCTTCCGGGGTAGCGTCGGGGTATCGTGAGTTCATATCTCGAGTGGCTTTGCGATACCGAATGAAGTCTCCAATACGACGGACGAAAGACCGGGCCGTTAGAACGAGGTCGCGAAGGATATGAATCGGCAAGCCGAAGAAGCGAATCAGAATGGCAAAGAAGCCGGCATAGACCACCAGCTTAAGGAAGTCCGTGACGAGATCGAGGTAGAAGATCCAACGACCCTTTTCCTCCCATCCCGGCACATCGATCTCAAGCTCGTTGACATCGTCCTCGTCGGGAAGATCGGTTGGCGGGGAGCTTGCTCCAGCTCGTGCGTGTTCGCGAATCATCTCGGCACGGGTGGCTCGAATCTCCGCACGGCGCAGCTCCACTTGGGCTCTGATTTGTCGGCGGGTGATGAGAATTTCTGCGAGTAGGAGCACGTATCGAAGGAAGGTCGAGATTGACACGATGGTGAGAATGGCAAATTCAAAACTGAATGTGATCATCATATTGGCCCGCGCCTCGTCAATCACACTTCGGATACAATAGTACATCATGAAGGCGCTGGAGAAGGCTACGGTGTTCAGGGCAAATGACATTTGGTAATGAACCATCACCGGATGAGCAAGGGGCTGCTGTTCCAAGACTTCGAGTCGGTTGGCTGTGAGGAAAGCGCCCATCTTGAGAACCAAATTCGGCACCATCATCACCAGGAACCACAACCCAAGCTCTCCACGGAAGATGGTCATGGCGAGACAGGTTTCTGTGACGGCGAACCAGCCACGTTCGTAAAGTTGTTCTATTTCAATCGGTCGAAGGGTTCCAAAGAAGAGTCGTTGAAGCCAGAAGAGGATGAAGCCAGTTGCAAGAAGACATAAGTTTGTGAGAATCTGCCGTTGTGGTAGATGGCGCCAAGTCAGCCCCCCTCGTTGCCCACCTCAACAAACGAGACAAACGCGCCGATTGGCAGACATACCATGAGATTTGCACTGCTCTGTGACAGATACACACATGCCGAATAGAAATTGGCTCTTTGGTGAAGAGCTTTGAAGAATACACCGGCGGCCAAGGCCACCGAGGTCTATAACAAGTCAGCGCCGACATTATCTCCGCGAAGAATGAACAAGACCTGGCATGGCCAAGACTTACACTGACATAGACAGCCAATCTCATGGCGGAAGAGCTGTCGTTTGCAATTCCGATACCATGAGAAGAGGAGAAATTGGAAGTGAATTGAAGTTTAGGGCCAGGTGGTCTATATCATTCTTGTCTCCATCGGGACAGCTTGACAGAATGCCGCCCGCCTCCACATTAGCTACGTCAGTCTCACCGCCCTCCCTCGGGCGATAAGGACCACAACGGCAATAAGGTAGCCTTATCATTTTGCCAGATGTTGCTGTTTGATCTCGATCACATAGTCGCTTGAACAGAACTTATTTCTTTATTGAGAATCGTTCCGACAGGACAGCGGATTAGCTTCTTTGACTTACACGCACTGGTCGAAATGACCTGCACGCCCAAGTCATCGCTTTCACTACAGTAAATATTGTTTCGACGGGATGCAATCGCTACCAAGTCACCAAGCGTGGCTTATACTCTGCCCTAAGTTGTTTCCGGAATTCATGAAGCCTGATTGCGAAGGCGGTATTGTAGTTCAGAGCGGTGCCTGGGCCCGCAACCGCCCTGATCACGCTTTCCCTCGATATCCGCCCATATTGCCCTCTCCGCTCCACGTGCTGCCGCCGCGCCGCGGTCGGAGCGGTGACGCTCATGAAAGCGCCTCAACAAACGTCGGACCGTGACACAGGTGAAAGGAGCGTACCTGATTGAACTTCCGGTGTCTCGCGACTCGAACAGCTTGGTATTGTGCCTCAAAAAAGCTGTTTGACTTTCTGCACAAGGAAGAGGACGGTAGTTATACAAGAATCTCCATCTTAAGACTTGTCATCTAAGAGTACGTAACTGTGCATGGATCTTGGCCTTACAGCAAAGTTCACGACAGAGCATATGCCTGATTGCAGCAATACAACTTGGACGATTGAATCTAGCCACCAGACAGTCGTTTGGATTTAACATGTTCTATCAATGTGAATTTCCGCTCTAACGATATGATTCATGCCATGTCTACCCCGTCTATCGGATCGGGGTGCAAGCAACTGAGAAGACATGTGCCAACACCGATCCAACGCTCAATGTTGAATTCGAACAAACTCCATTCAGTGCCCTGTTGTCCTGTTTACCAGCCCTATTTCTCTTTTTTAGGGCCCACCCACTCTTGAATATATCTTGCTGCTGTAGGAATTGGCCATGCGAGCTCTTCGATGGGATCTCCCTTGTTGAGCTCGTTGGCAGTCACGAGGTCCACGAGCGCAACAGCGACGTAGCCGCCGATAGCGGTCAAGATGTGCCACCTATTTTGAAGGGTCAATTATCTGACAAAATAGACCAGATCAGAAGACAACTGTTCTTACCAGCCATGAAGCTCAGTCAAAAAGGCCAAAGGCAGACCAATGGCATGTCGAGTGTCTTTCAAAAGGCCACAAGCCAAGCCATCAATAAGCCACACAAAGAATCCAAATGCGAAGCAGACTGACAACCACTGTTAGAGTACTCATCCATCCACCAATCAATCTCGCTTGCTTCACTTACAGATTCCAAAGTATGAAATGTTTCTGAGCTTCTTCTTCATATATGGATCAGTCACTTGCTGTGCGGTGATTTTGGATGTGCGCACGGCGATTGTCAGCACAGCGGTGCCGAAGGTGACCGCGTGGAGCAGAAATTCGTTCAAGACCATGTGGAAGAACATCACGGTGACAAATAGCAAAGACAGCACGATGCCGACAATTCTGGTTTTCTTAGAACTCGCTTGAAAGGTGAGAATCCGGTACAGCAGCGGCGTGGTCAGCAAATGCATTGAAAGCTCATCCGCTAGTCATCTCGCGCCCTGATTAGCGGTCTTCACTTCTGAGATTTCGCGGATTTTGACGCTTACACATCTGGGTGTGGTATTTCAGTGTCATGTGGTACCCAGCTGAGCAGACACCGACACCGATCAGCCCAAAGTACAAAAGCGATCGATAGCTGGCGGCATTTTTTTCTCGGAGTTGTCGCAGCCCATAGACACCAAAAAGAACTAGAGAGAGCATGGCGGTCAGAACATCATACAAATTCGCCAAATCGGCATATCTCGGAGTCGACATACCGAAAACAAAGCTGCTGAGCGTGTTGATGAACTCGGCAATGTAACGAGTTATAGCATAATCCTTTATATCAATCTCAATGTAAGCAAAATGATCTTGTGAGCTCCAAATGAGGCTGCATAGAACAACAAGAGGGTGATTTACCTCTTCACAAAAGCTAGATTGAACACGTCAGTCACTGGGAAACAGCAGTGGGTCCTGCAGGGTCAAAACAAACTTGAGATACGATGTTGCAGGGCCCCAGAAGGGGTCTACAGAGTTGGACTGCATGACACTGACGCACCAATCGGTCGTTTCGAGTTTGAAGGGAACAGAAGGGTTGTGCCAAGTTGCTCATGGGCCGTTCCTGAGAGGGATGTTTTATCTGGCAGCCTGCGGATCCCGCGGCCACAGGAGGTGGGGGCGCTGTCGCACATTGCAGGTATCCGCTCTTTACCCTTGCGGGCGCCGATTGTCGGTAATAGTATTCTTCTCGCACCTAACACGAGGTATGACGACATAAGTGTTGAAAAGAACCCATGGAAATGTGAGATGCATATTGATATTGCGACTATTTTGGTATTCTTGAAGTTAATCAGAAGGGCTGAAAAGTCTCTCCACGGACAATGCGACATGCCATGACCGAGGCAGCGATCCATGTCCTGCCCAGCCACGTCAATTCAGATGGCAGGAAACAAGCATGGCACATGAGAAAGCACCTTTACGGCCATGAGCTTTGCGTCAAGGGTTTAGGCTAGTTTTGTCCCGACAGAATACCAATCTGCTCGTTGAGACCTCTGATTCTGGCATGCTGCGACTCGATGTACCCACTCAGATTGTCAATCTGACCCTGCTGAGATTTGATGATTGCCTGCATCGAGGTCATGGTTGTATTGAGCGAGTCGATGGTTGATCGCAACAGGTAGTTGTTTGTGACCAGGTCTTCTGCACCAACGAGTTCCTCCTCGCCGTTGCACACAATTCTTATCATCTCCGGACGCCCATCGACATGAGAAGCAGCTGGGGCTGGAAACCTGCCGGAGACCGAGGGCCCAGGTGCAACAAGCTTGGACTTTGATATCGGAGCATTCAGGATATTCTTGATGGTCTGTGCCACAGGCACATTGTCGAAAGGGATGGAAGTAGAGGAGTCAGATTTGACGCGCTCTACCGTGACAACCGAAGTTGAGGAATTTGTGGACTCTGAGGCCTTTGATGACTCGACAGGCTTTGGGCGAGGCTGATGAGCTGCAGATTGACTCGCTGCTGTTGCTCTCATGTGCGCTCCCAGGTCCCACTGAATAGGTTGATGACTCGGTCTCGTTTCCGCGGGGATGGAACCTGGAATGGATTCTGGCTCATTTTCCACGGTGGGTTCATTCAGTGGAGTCGTGGCTTCTGGCGTGAAGCCTTTGCGATACAAGATCTCAGGGCCCTCATCCACGGGCGTTTCGATCTTGTACGTTTTGGACTTATCTGCTCCGGTGGCCTTTTCGTACCGAGTGTGGCATTGCAGTCGTGAACGAACGCGAGAGGATGCGAATGGGATGACCAGGTCTTGCATGAATTTCAAAACGGTAAGACTTGGGTTGATGCCCATCATCTCAAAACCACGCCAGTATTCCCACACCACTTTGACTTCCCATCGTTTGAAGGTGGTTTCATCATTCTCGAACCGCGCAAGTACTTCTTCGGCGTAGCGAGTCACTTCAATCCACGTGAGGGTTTCAAGCTTAGGCTCTGGAGATGCCGCGGCCACAGGCTTGATTTCTGCCATATTGGCGATGTTCATTCAAAGTAAGGATGTCAAATGGAAGCACTCGTCGATCTGAACTTCGGTCGTAATGTGATTTGTGCCTCCCCCAAAGGGAAAGACACAAGAACTGGACAAAACCTTCTGAACTTGAGCGAGATGATGTACTCGGGTGAGGTGAAGTGAGTCAAGAGGATGATTCAAGAGCAGAGCACGCGATGTTTGTTGATGTCAAAGTTCAGATGAGCGAGCTCTTTTCGATCATGAGATGATGGGATAGGTCTCGACTTGTTGTGTGGTGGGCCACGGCCAAAGAAGACCGCCACCTTCAGCTTGACATGATGACCGCGCTTTCATGAGATAATCCACCAATTTTCTACAAATTGCTCTGAGCAATAGGTCAAACATCAGTACAAGAAGACTTTATTTGCAGACTGGAGTGCTTCATACTTAGCTACCTCTAAGCTTTTGTACAGAAATATCAGTTCTCATCGCTTCAACGCTACAGCAGAGCCCATCATTTCTACAACGGCTCCATACAGACACTCGACCACCTAAATTTAGTTCCGTACTTCCTGTCTACTAGCCCACTTTAATGCAGCGCCTTGTTATCGGACTGATTTTTATGTCTAAGCTTGGATTTAGGTATGCGGCGAAGAGCTGTAGGTTTGATTCACCTATCGCCCGGACATCATAATCCGAACTTGCAAGAAGACATCAGGGATTCCGGTTGAATAGAAGAGCAGAGGTCCACGTTGAACGGCAGTCTAGGCTGTGCTCAGGTTCAAATCACAGCCTAGGCCTTCACTCGAAGCCCGCAGCCCAGGTCAGGTACAGGCCGGTACTCGATGAACGTAGAACAGTCAAGGTAGGCTCCGTGAGTCTGCAGTTTAAAGATTCCTCTTAGGCAGTATCAAAATCTATTGAGACGGCAGCAACCTTATGCATCGCCCTACAGGCTCAGACCTGATCTCGTGTACATCCAACCCATCTGACAGCCAGGTAAACTCTGGACATGCCGCCACCGAGGCAAAATCACAATGCGAAACGACGAGGCGAAAGCATTTCGACGTCGACTACATGTGTCTCTCTCAGGATTTGTCTCCTCCACGTGGTCATGTGGCTGTGTACCAGTAGGTCGTGAATCCTAATTTGAAGTCTCAGATTTCCAACTCTGGCTCATATAACTCGGCCGCAGCAGGGATCACACGGTCACACCGCATGTTGTAAGTGGGCAGGAGACCGGCCGTCAAAGGTCTTGAAAGGATGAGTTGAGCCTCGATACTGAATGAGGCCATATTGATTGAGCAAATCCACCAGAGTTATGTCGTCGCTGTACTGAAAATGAAAGCAGTTGCATGTACCTGTAAGTTAGTGGGTGCTGTTGGCAAGGCGGAAACGGGAGGCGCTTTGATAGCCCGGAGACACTGCTCTTCCTCGGCTCTCTCTCACGTGGTCTCAGCCTCTGGAGACATTGATCGCATTCAATTCGCAGATTGAGAGTCAGCCCTGTTCAGCTGAGCTAACCGGTACTAAAACCGGTGTCATGCACTTGCAGCAAATGGACTCCAGCCTCTTTGAACTAGTAAACCCCGCACGGGCGCTTAGTCCACGCACTTTGTATAAACCTGGTGCAGATCCCCGACTCCAGCCTCACGTCGCGATCAAGACTCTCACACAAAGAGTGAGGATAGACTGTGATAGTCATGGCCCCTCTGGTTTCTGTTGCAAGTTGTAAACATGTTGTGACCTTGGAAGAGTATGACTGTGGTAAGTACGCTGTGTAGCCAAAACCATCCCAATGGACGTGTCTATGCCGTTTCGGCACATGCTAAAATGGTGGGGCAGCGGGAACAAGACAACCATCTCGCCAAATCGACCCGAAGGAGTTGGCCAGCAATCGGCGTGGGCAAGTCTCAGACTTGATATCTGCAGGATCTCCACTATTCATCGTGTGAGTCTCCAGCTTAGAAGCATTGGCGAATTAGTACGCCTCATGGGTGAAAAGCGCTAATGAGGTGGATCACAGCTCAGCAAGCGCTAATACAATTCGAACATGTCGGGACTGTCAACAGGCCTTGTCGGATGCTTTCCTCATGCCGTCGCATTGGTGGGAGAATCATATGAGACGGTCGAACGGGTACTTTGGATGTGAAATAACACGGGACAACGACGAGGCGACTGGGTTTAGTGAGTAGCATACAATCCACTGTAGCTTGTCGACACCAGACTGATTCTGAAGCGCGAATAGATATGTGGACATTCTTCCAGACCAAAGAAGTGAACTCAGACACAGATTACAAGTGGTCAAAGTTCAACATCTTCACGCGGTGGATCGCGAAAACAAACAAAACCGCAATTCTTCTCTTCGAACCAAATAAGAGTCCCAATCCCTTCGATAAAATAGCCCTCAATGCTGATCTTCTTGGAGACCCGTTCTGGGTCCTTACACATGTTCTGGACGAATTGTGCAAGCTTCAAGACAACGCCGTTTGGTTGATCCGCGATAGCATTCGTATGATCGAAAAAGAGAAGACGCCACAAGAGGGGCAGACGCCCAATTATCGCAAGCTGCACGATATCGCGCGCCATTCGATCCACGTCATAGAGACTCTCGACGTGACACTCCTGACAGTCGAGCAAATCATCGAGGGCCACAAGACTTATGTGACGCCGCAGTCAACCTCGCCGCAGATCCTCACCACGCCGTCTAAAGATCACATCTGGCAAGACGTACATGCAAGACTGATCGCCTCTCAAGGCTTTCTAGCCAGTCAACAACAACGAGCCATTGCCAATGAGAAGCGGCTGAAGAATGAGATCCAGCTGACCTTCCAGATGGTGGCGCGGAGTGAGGCTACCGTCATGATCGAAGACAGTGCAGCCTTGAAGACAATTGCCATTGTCACCTATACTTTCTTGCCGCCTACTTTCATCTGTGCATTGTTCAGTATGTCATTTTTCAACTACGATCGGCAGCTGGGGTGGGCAATGTCGCCCGACTTTTGGATATATTGGGCCATTGCACTGCCTGCCTCGGCACTCTCTGTCGGCCTGTGGTATTACTGGCAGAAATCGCCCCCGTCGAGGACTGAACAAGAGAAGGTTGACCGATTTTCGAGGAGAATGGATCGCTTGCAAATGCATCAAGTATGAAAGGATGGCATGGGATATCGCTCGCGCGTTGGGATTGTCATGCTTTTGATTGATAAGTATTCGTGGGGGTTGCAAGAGTTGTACAACAATTGCGATTCAATAATTGCAAAGTTGAGGGACATAACATGCCCTTGTCCGATGATCGGTGTGGTTGGGGTGCGCATAAATGTGGGCTGAGCCGTAGACGCTCTTCCACCGCCGTGGATCAGCGTTGCTCGATCGACTGCGATCTGCCAGATCCCCCCCCCCCCAATCACGTGACTGACCGTCCATCATCGACGTAATCAGGTTGCACAACGACGTACAGGGTGATCGCAGGCCGAGTGTTTGATTGAAGTTGCTCGAGTAACTTCCTCCTTCTCCCTTCAGCGTTATCTAGCAATGAGGATTTGATAGCAATGGATACCGGACCCGCCTTGTTCACCGCATCGCGGACTCAAACGTTGACTTACTTGTTGGCGGTTTGCTCGTTCTCCATCGCCTTTCTGGTCTTTATCAATTCCTCACTTTCATTTGTTGTGACAGATCTTCTTGGAGTCAGTGAGGGAGAAGGCGATGCAGTGGGGACGCTGGGATTTGCCGATGAGCTTCTCGCACTTGCGGCGTGTCCGCTGTGGGGTGTGCTCTCTGATAGAATCGGAGTGAGGCTTGTAAGTTGGGTCCACGTCAAGTGCTAGTATCTGCATTGCGTGATCTCATACCTTCGTGCAGTTTGACAACTAATCTCATAAACAGGTCTGTACGATTGGCTACGCGATCATTGCCGTGGCGTTAATTCTCTTCGTACAAGCCAAAAATGTTTATCCGCAATTGCTCCTGGGGCGACTGTTCTTTAGCATTGGCGGCGCTGCGGTATCCACGATGGTGACTGCCGTACTTCCGGCTGTCACGAGCAGAAGTCTGCAGAGTTCTGTCAATCGCGCTGAACAGTCCACGACTCCAACCCAGTCAACTGGAGAGGAAGGCGAAACTGATTGTCAGAGCGCAGCTACCAGCTCTCGTGCATCCCCGTCAGCTCGACTATCAGGATTCGTGGGGCTCTTCGCAGGCTGTGGTGCCCTGATATCTCTCGGGGTGTTTCTCCCTCTTCCCGCTCGATTCGAGAAAAGAGGACTCTCTCCGGCAGAGGCAATCCGGCAAAGCTACTATGTAGTCGCCGCGGTGGCCATGGCCATCAGCCTCGTCAGCTTTGTTGGACTACGGAATTTGCCGGATGAGGACAGAAAAAATCCGCGTACGTTCTGGCTCAACCAGTCCACTCACAGCCGACGTGACGAGTATGCTGGAGACGTTCCAGAGGGACACGACGAAATCCAGCATGGCCTGCGTAGTTTGCCATACTGGAAGCAGTTCACCACCGCCTTGTTGCTCGGATTCCGCAATCGCAGAATCGCTCTGGGATACATCGGGGGGTTCGTCGCGCGCGCCTCCTCGGTAGGAATCTCTCTGTTCATCCCACTGGCAGTGAATCATTATTATCGCGTGTCCGGGGTATGCGACGAAGATCACGAGCCGTTGCCTGGATCAGGACTTGGTGAGATAAGAAAAGCTTGTCCACGAGCATACATCTTGGCATCGATTTTGACCGGGGTATCCCAACTCGTTGCTCTGATTGCGGCCCCCGCATTTGGATATCTTACCGACAAGTCCCGGCGGTACAATGTGCCCTTGCTTGTGGCGGCTCTGGTCGGCGTGGTGGGATACCTCGCCTTTGGGCTCTTGCCCAATCCACAATTCAAATCACCGGATGGCAACCCTGGTGTCTTCATTATTATGGGCCTCATTGGCATCAGTCAAATCGGCGCCATCGTTTGCAGCCTGGCCGTTCTCAGTAACGGCATTCTTGAAGTTGGCGTGTCTGAGGGCGTGCTAGCTGAAATATACGATCGACGAGTTGAGAATTGGGGGACGGATGGTGGCATCGGAGGAGAGCAACAGCCGTTACTCTCTCGCTCGGCCGATGACCGACTCCAGCATCTTTCTCATTTGAAGGGCTCCATCGCTGGGGTCTACTCGCTGTACGGTGGCGCGGGTATTCTGATCCTTACCAAGATCGGCGGACTCTTGTTTGACAAGGTTTCAGCGGGGAGTCCATTCTATATCATGGCTGTATTCAACGCATTTCTGCTTGCCGCGGGTGCAGTGTGTGGAATTTGGAATCAGATTGCTCGATCCAAGATTGCATCAGAGTAACACAACGATCTGAATGTCGATCTGAATCGCCTCCCTATATCCTGTCTTGTGTTTCATAGATGGAAGAAGTGCCTGAGAGAAAGCCATCGTCTCGAAACAGCCGGCGTTGGAACTTCAACACACTTGTGCGATTTTTACACTTTGCGCATCTCGGCAACGGGTACACCCAAGACGAATAGCATCATTCCGGGTTTCGAACTCCCAGTTTCAGTGCTAATATTAGCGCCACGAGACCCGTCCTGGCACAACTTTCAAGGCAATATCTCCTCACTTGCCTCAGAATCGGACGTGGAGAGTGTCTTGATGGTGTCGTCCACTACGAGCTTGAGCATTGAATAGACCAATGTACTGAAGCCATCTGCTCGTCCTGTTTCCAAACCGTCGATAACACAGGAATCTAGGTAGTACTGGTTGTGTCTTGACCAGGGACTCTCTTCGACCATGAACTAGTCCAGTAAATATTTGGGAAACAAGAGAACTAACCAGGTCTAAATATTGATGGTAGCACGAAGCAAACAATCGCAATGAGACGGGCTCGGCACATGATCTGAAGCCCGAGTTGGGTGGTCCCGTGCTGGGACTCACTTTCCGCGACTGGCTCCACCCTTTAAATTAGATCTCTCCCTCTCGGGCCCTCACCCTTCCACCCTCAGAAGGTCGGACGTTTCACAGTAGCATTTGGATCCGATGAAGAGTTCGTCTCGCAGAGCAGCGCAATACGAGAATCCGTCATACTCCGAACTTCAAACAAAAAAGAGACTAATTATGTGTACGCCAGATACCGTCATACTCGGCCTCGCTCACCACAAGCTCCCCGATGAGTGCCACCACAGCTTTCTCCCCACATAAACTTCTTGTGCCGTGGTTAAAATTTCGATCATCGTCACAATCACCACAATTGCACTTTTACCCGCCGACTCGTGAATATGCCTTCGACCCTAATCCACTACTGGCTTAGCGGCGGCCCCCTAGCGTGGATTGCGGCGATTGCCCCTTTTTCGTCCTGCTTGAACAAGCACGTTCGTGGGTATCAACATTGGCGGTGCGCTGACAATAATTGGAGCGCCCCACAAAGTCAAAGAGTCCGACGAGATGATGATCACAACAAAGCGACAAGGGCAAATGCACAGGGCCCTCGGGAGCGGTTTCTCGCATTGATCGAGGTTATAGCGGGCATTGCTCCTGATGCTGCATGATGACAATTTGTTTCGAGTGGAACGGCGCTCAGTCTCGCGGTTTAGGCGCGTACAGACTGGACTCCTGAAGGCCAAGACTTCTGTTCCTGGGCCGCGCTTTGAACCGTGGTCCGTCGCCGGTCCAGATTCCGCAGGCTTCCTCAATAGCTAGCCGCTTGGGCCTTTGCGCGGAAATTATTACATGCGACTCTGGAAGTTTCGATGGCTGGACACTCCGATATGCTTCTATGCTGTGGAATTTCACACTCTTTTCCGGCATCTGAGCTTTAGCTTGCGACGTCTTCTGGAATATGGCATACACTGGCTTGCCGGGGTGCCCCCAAAACGCTGTAGATCATTGAGCCCAGGTGGATGTTCTGATGAAAGCCCTGTTCTGTCGCTTGGTCCGGGCGTATCGCTGTGGTCCTCGTGCGCTAGTCTGCTAACTCTCGCCAGTCTAGTCCCTTTCGGTCTTTAGGCCCTGTCATTCAGCCCATTTCCACGAAAGAGCCCCTGGTCCTTGCGCCCCCGGACTCCTCCAGAAGCGCAGGTACACGATGAAGTGCGGGATTTCGGGCCAGGACAGTGGACAGGACCGGAGAACCTACAGCGTTAGCCTTGGCCCCAACAGTCACAGAATATTATTCCCGGCGCACTCGTCTTCCTTCTTCCCCTTCTTCTTCTCTCTTCCCCTGCTCCAGTCTCTACACTCGCGCGACGCCTTTGGCCCCCTCATTCACTCGTTATTTTTGTCCCTCGTTTCAAGATCTCTATAGATCTAGTCGCTCTTTATTCGCGCCTGTCGACCTTGTCTGTGAATCGTACAATTATTCACTAATCCGCTCTTTTCGTGCTCAATTCACCAAAGCCCCCAAGACAAGTTTTCTGAACACCGCTTCAGTCGCAATCCAATTCCACTCACCATGCGTTTCAATACCATCGCTCTCTTGACTGGCGCTACTGCCGTTGCTGCCAGCAACACTGCCAACCTGCTCCTGCCTGGTTTCCAAGGTCGTCACCTTGAAGCCGGCATTGTCACCAAGGTGTGTAACTCTTATCTCTGCGTGCGCAAGAGCCGCATCGCGCACATATAGCTTGGGTGCTACTGTACTATGCGCGAATGATAGCTATAATTCAGCACATATCTAACCTTTGAACAGGCTGGCGACGCTACCACCTACCTCGTCACTTGCCCTACCACCGTGGCTTCTGCTGATTGTGGGATTCCCGGAAAGGGCATGACTGTTGTCGCTGCTCCAACAGCTGCCCAGATCATTCAGTCCTACCCTAACGGCAAGTAAGTACAATGATTCACCCTATCGCGGGCTTGCCTGGCCTGGCATGCTTCTTGACCTGCGTACCAGCGCGTCTTATCTGAGTGACGGAACTAACATGCCTGTTCAGCATCGCTCTGGTTTCCTGCAGTGTTGAGGGGACCACCGTTGCCTCCTGCTCCGCTTCCCAAGGCACCGTGACTGTCGAGAAGACTCTCGCGCCCAAGGACATCAACTGGATGGCCGTCACTGTCACCGGTGACTGCTCCACCAGCACTCCCATCCCTACTACCACTGCCGTCCCTACTCTCACCAGCTCTGTGGCCACCCAAACCCCTACTTTGACCTCATCTACCTCGTCGGCTACCTGGTCCGCGAGCTCGACCCCCGTCAAGTCTCCTTCTCGCTCTGCCTCGTCATCTCTCGTTAGCAGCACCCCTCTGGTTGTTCCCAGCCAAACTGGCGGTGTCACTGCCACCGAGCCAGCCGCAACCGCATCTGCTACCCATCCCGCTCTCAACGGTGCTGGCTCTCTCGCCGGTAATGGCTGGGCTATGAGCGGTGCTGTGATGGCGCTGTTCTATGCTCTTTTCTAGGTGGACTTTCAATGACCACATAGTGTGGGAGTGTTCGTCTGTCGTCTCTCCAGTGTCAATTCTTGACACTGATGCGACCCTTTCGAATCAAATGACCTGTCCGAGTCACTGTTTTCCTTATTCCCCAAGCTGGGAATGTCTCGGATGGTAATGTTTATCTTCTAATAGATGTCGGTCTTGTACTCATCCTACTTGCATGCATCGAACCCCTTTTTTTTTCTATCATTCTCTTCACCCTTTTCTCTTAATGATTTGATACCATTATATTTTCGACGACAGCATGATCCAGCGCATCGGCTCTTGTGTATTTCCATTTGATTGCTCTATCATACATATTACTATTCACATTTTCCTTCCTGACTGTTTCAATGGTAAAATTTCTCCATGATGTCCTCTTGAATGACGAAGGGTGCATCATCCCTGGGATTCCTCAAACAGCATTTCGACGTAAAGGACTTATGAGCTACCAACTGACTCAAGACCCCTGCTTGACCTCCAACGCGAAGCGCATCATCTTTGATCAACGACTTGTTCCGAACACTTTCCTCGCTTTATACCGAACCTGTGCGTGAAAATGTTCTTCAAAGAAGGGCAGCAACACTCGGTAGCGGAAATGTGAGTTTAAATCTCAGCGCATGTGGTACGACGACAGTGAACTACAAGCACGAATCTGACGATTGAAAAATTTGAGAAAGAAATCATACCGCCCAAGAGATGGGTCTTTGAATCACAGGTCCATCATCAACTCAGAAACAGTCGAGAGCCACATGCCCATGCCGAATCAGCAGCTACTCCAGCCGAACGCAAACAGGCGCACACTTGATTTATCATGTCCTTCACGTAATCGAAAGATGAGCTGCGGCGGGCCCGAAAATAAAGGCAACACGATTATCCTGCAGAAGAGAATGCATTCAATCTAATAACGATCTAGATGTTCTTATTCCTCATCGTCAAACTCCATCTTGATCTCGGGCACGGAATCCATATTTCTCTCCGTTGTTCAGATCCTTACCCTTCACCTTCTGGGGATAAGAGATTTTGAAATCCGCAGCTTCCCAGTCCGCACCAGTGGCATATTCCGACGGTATCTGTGGTGGACAGACCGGTTAGTTGGCAGACTTTGCGGATTGCGGCCGCGGCGAGGGCGCCGATCATGATGTGAGTTTCATTCGTGAGACTGCCGCAGGCAGATATCGGGAGAATGAGATCGTGGCGATAGGTGATCTTGTTCACGGTGTAAACGCGCCAAGGGTGAGTGTCGCCTGGGAAGACATAGCCGTTCATTTCGCCGAAGGGGCCTTCGCCGTCGATTTCGGTGAGGAAGAGGGTTCCTCCGTCTTGAAGACGATTTCTGCGCTGGCAGGGTCGTGCAAGTCATTGGTATCGCACTTGACCAGCTCCAGGGCCCGTTCGGTCATAGCACCGACATAATCTGCCTCGTTGATGCCGTCGGGGATGGGCATCGAGGAAGCCAGGTAGCGGCGGGAACGCCCGAAGCAAAGAGCCCGGGGCGCGTCCTTGCGTTCTTTCTTTCACATCGGGTGAATCTGCCTGATGCGCTAGGGCTGGATGACTAGACCAGTGAGATGGTCTCGGTCTTTGACCATTGCTCGCGCAATAGATCAGTTGGTCCAGCTGACGTCGGTGGACTGCACGACGTGCATGCCGTGCGTTTGAACGAATTTGCCGTCCTTGGACTTGTGGATCATGGGAGCAGGCAGGGCATTCAGATCGATTTCGTCGCCGAGGAGAGAGTTCTGCTTCACGGGGCCGGTAGTCACAATGAAAGGGTCGATAAGGAACACCTTGCTGGCTGAGAGGATTGCCCTGGATCTGCTTTATGCACGGAGTCGGTGGCAGGACAAGATGGCGCGCGAGACGACCACGGTCACGACTTGAAGCTCGCACGCAGCCTTGAGCCCCAAAGCTGCGAAATAGACCCTTTCTTTGCCCCTGCCCTTCGTGTTGCTGAGCAGGGGAGCTTTGTCGTCGGTCTCATAGACCAGACGAGTGATAGCCGCAGCTTCGAGGTGAAGGTCGATTTCGTCGTTGATTTCAACCAGATCTTTGTCTTTCTGCAGTGCCTCGACACAGTCGTGAACAGATTCATCTGCGCTGGAGAAAGTGTGATTGATATCATTGGAAGCAGCCATGTTCAAAATATCTCTTGAGGCGATTTGTCAAGAACATGGTAAGAGGCCTGGAACCATGCTTACCCACTATCGAATAATTATGTAGGCGTGTTTGCGAAAGGCAGGCCTTGGCCACTGGTATCATCCGGAACCTGATGTTTAAGCATTCTCTTCTAACGAGTCATTGAGGGTGCACTACCCATTCGGTAGGAATTTGGAACTCTGGCAGCCTGTCAGGATCTCCACATCGAGACACCAAGCGGAGTCATATCTTGCTGAACTAATCTCATGGTAATTCTAGAGCGTTGGACGCTTCATGACCGCATTGACTTCTCACATTTGCTGGTGCTGCGGAGTCCGCTCATGGTCGAGAGAATACTTTGTGACATGGAAATTCTGGCAATCACCTTTTCACGGGAAGATAACATCATATTACTCGCTTCGCACTAAGATAAGCCATCGCTTTTGTACGCAATCCACAGTCTCGCAGGGTATTCTTGCCTGGGTCATCAAGAAGTGTATTTTCAATTTAATGCAGTGGTAACTAGTATTAAGATCCCAGAAGACAAAAAATGCCAAATCGTGGAGGAATACCAAGTCAATTTCAAAAAGACAGCGACGACTTCGTCTGCCATCCTTTCCATCCCTCGAAATCCCCAGAATCCAAATCTAACAGATCGAGCATTCGATTCACAGTCTGATCAACCAAGTCTTCCACAGACACTGGCCTGATATAATTAGCAGGCACGAAAGGGAAAACACTCGCTCCACTGCGAGTAATCTCCAGCATGTTGCTCAGATGGATATCACCAAGCGGCGTCTCTCGCACAACCAGAACAAGTTCGACTTGAGTTTGTACAGCGAAGAGAGCTGAAAGACGGACTGCGGTGTTGCATGCGAATCACACTATTGCAGCAAGGCCATGCGTAAAGAGAGGAGCAAATTCCCGCGCTCCTACCCAGATCTCAGTTAAGCACCCACTAGCAACCTCATCTTCTCATACTCTCCCCGATCGCATATACCTCTCTGCACACAATGCTCTACGAGCCCGGAGGCACCGAGCACGGCTTCCGGTTACCCCATGCTCCCATTCAAGCATCGTCTCTGTACGTACACACCGACAACATCCTCGCCAACACCACATTCCATCCACAGCCAACATCTTCCCAATCTCCAAGACCTGTGTAGTCCTAATCCCCCAACATATTGGCCGAATCTCGACCAAGAACCCAAAAGGCCAATGCAATCTCGCGCCCTCCCCACAATTCAACAACCTCACCTCCGACCCAGCATACGTGACGTTCTCTTCCAACCAGACCAGACAAGGTCTCACTAGAGACACCGTCATCAACGCCGAAGAAACCGGTCCGTTCGTCTAGAACCCTAGCGACGCGGGATCTGCGCAAAGTACTCATCATCACCGCTGAACAGACTCCCCACGGCGCCGACGAGTTCGAGCTCTGCGGGCTGACCAAAGAAGAGGCTACTTTGGTCGATGGGACGCATGGTCACAGAGGCACCGGTCAAGTTCGAGTGACGGTATCATGGCTACCGTGCGTTTGCGGGATCAGGGTGATTGTGGACGCCGTGATCGGGAAGGTGATTGGTGTGCATATTGCTGGTAGTGTGCTTCACGATGGGATCGTAGATGTCAGGAAGACTTAGCCTGTTGCGCGCTGTGGGTACGACCGGTATAGTGTTGCGCGAGATACGGCTGGGATGGTCAGCTCGAACATGTCGCAAGATGTACGTTACGGGTTGGAGGGCAATGCTGGCAGGGATCGCTGCAAGAACGAGTCGAGTCTTGAGGAATGTGAAAATACTGGAAAGACTAAGTTTGGGCGAGACGACGGAACAGGAGCCTTTGAGCAAGGAGGTCCCTGACGGATCGAATTATGAGATTGTCAAGCAAATTTGTGGGAACACTGGGCATGGAGAGCAGCTGGACATTCTCTTGTCCATGGAGAATCGATGGAGGGAAGCAACAAATGGAAGGCCAAGTACCATGTCGTACATTGAATCTCGAAAAGAAATCTTATATGTGAAGATTATGGCTGATTCTCGCTGCATTATCTTGCATGTTCTGATCCCACAGAATAACATGTCCTGGCTAACAAAGTCAAACGCTTGCTCCCATACCATCTTCGAAGCGATCCCGCAGTGTCACTGCCAGACGTGGCTTCTTCCAAACAGTGAACGCCTGCTGGTCGATCCAGTTCTTACTCTCCGGGCAGAGGGAGATATCGAAATTGTAAAGCAGTTTGCATAAGATTGATCGCATCTCGCAGTACGCCAGGCTGCCGTCCGATGACAGTGTCAGCTGCGATAAAGTATGCAGGGAATACACCTCCCGTGAGCAAGGGAAGCATGCAAGGGAAAGGATTTCACTCACGGTCTTCCTATACAGCCTCTCGGCCCAAGACTGAAGGGCTGAAGTACATCCCTCTTGTCGTTGACGAAACGGCTATCGGTTCCTAGCCACCGCTCCGGGATAAAGTCATGTGGAAGCGCAAAATTGGCGGATGATCGGTTTGAGGCATAATGGTGACAACCGACCCTCGCCTATGTCCATTTGCGCCGTTCAATGTAAGTCCGCATTCATCGAGCAAAAAGAGACATGATAGATACATGGTCACTTACCCCTTCGGGCACGAATTCGCCGTCGATGTCTAGGCCGCCCGCTGGAACTCGTCGGTAGGCAGTGTTTGCCACAGGAGGGTACATCCGAAGGGATTCCTCAATGACCGCCCCAAGGTAAGGCAGTCCGGCCGTGCTTTCAAACGTAATTTGATCTGCAGAAACAAAGGACGACCGAACTTCGGCGACGAGGCGGCGCATGACTTCGGAATGAGAACAAAGTAAAAAGACGCAGCCCGAAAGAAGGGTTGCAGTCGTTTCACTTCCAGCGATGATCAGTCTGAAATCGCCGGTTAGCAAATTGTACTATCGAGATCATATACAGAGTATCTCGCTCAGTTATCACGAACATAAAAGCATTGGCGTGGAGCTCCGCTCGTGACATTGTCTTAGTTGTCTTTCCATCGTGATCATTGGTGGTGCCGAGGCCGTTTTGCAAGAAAGCAGAGATAAAGTCTGGTCGGGCAGTGTTGGACTCGAGACGGTGATCCACTCGACGCGCTGCTAGATTGAAATGATCCACGGACTTTTGCTTCAAATGCTTCGGGATCATGGCGTCAAGAGCCTTAGAGACCAGCGGGAATTGTCTTGCTGCAGCATTAATGGACAGATACTGAACAGACGCAAACGTCAACCCGATCCATGAGTGCAACTGCGAGTCTCTCAAACAGTCGAATGATTGGCCAAACATCAGGTCGCCAGTGATGTCGAAGAGAGTGAAGTTGAACCAATCTTTCATATCAACCACTGATGATCCTCGTTGGACCTGCGCTCGCAGTTTCGCAATCAAGGTGTCTATGTAGCCCATGATCAGACCCTCTTGCTCTTTCAAAGCTCGCTCCGAGAACGCAGGAGCCAGTAATCTTCGCTGACGTGCATGAACGACCTGGTTCAAAGTCGTTACTACGTTGTCGACCCCATTCGGCGTGGGGGAATAAGTCGATGGATCTTTGGGTAGACATCCGCCCGGTCGAGACAAGTGAACATCTCGAAAGGCACGGGCCGTGAAGAAAGCGAGCTCACGGGGACCCAGACGAACCACTGGACCGTATTGCTCATGTAACGCCAGGACATCCAGGTGATTGTATCCCTTAACAACAGACAATTGACTCGGGATGGGGGTGATCGCCCAAAGCTTCGGTCCCGGGAACCGGCCGAGCGGCGACCAATACAGCTCGTACACAACCTTGTACAAGACCGCCGATAGAGTCTGAAGTTACCATGAGCAACAGAATGGGGTCAGTCACGGGAGCACGCCAGGACAAATGTACAAAGACCAACTGTATACTAGCGATGCAGGCAGTGGACTTACCAATGCTGTCGCAACAGCTCCCCAGGTGAGAATATCAAAAGACATGCTCAACGGCAACATCTAAAACTGATAAAATAGTCGGCGGCAGGATCAAACAATGATAAGAAGAATCAGACTCTTCCAAAATGCAGGTTGAGGACTCCTTCACAAAGTGAAGGGTCATGGTCCTCATAAGAGGGGCAAAGTGGTGGCGACATTACCGGACGAGGAGTTTTGAGTCAGGACTTTTGGGTCATACTGCTTCACTCGGTCATTGTTCTAAATAGAGTCAGGTGGATGTGAATATGTATGCAGGTTGCATGCCTATCAGAAAACCTCGCGCAGACAGCATGGGGTCCTTGCGACAAATCGAAATCATATGTTTGATCGGAGTTCTTTTCCGTGCTGAATATAGGCGCAAGGTCGTCACAGACGAGCACCAACAATAATCATTGTCGGTCGGCGCCATGACAGAGCAAGTCTCTTTCGTGCAGGGTGCATTCGGTCTTGGACGCGATTGGGAAAGATCATCTCTTGACGGTGTTGGCGTGCGTCAATCAGTTGACTTGAGCCCGACTGTCTCATGGCATTCAAATAGCGTCAAGTAGTGTCGCAAATATCCGGTTTGCGACCGTAGACCACATGCAGATTGCAGTAGGTGTGAACCTCGGGGTTCCGCAAGTCTCGGCGGACGCCGGCCAGAAACACTTGGGTCTCATTATTCGACCAGCCAAGCACTCGAGTGAAGAGCGCAAGAGAGTACGACTCGACCGCCATCAACAACGAGCACAGGTTGTAGCGTCCGATTTCTTTCTGGACAGAATCAGTGGACCAACCACTCGATGGAACCTAATCAGAAACAACCGAAGGCACGGAAAGGCCCGCATCGTGTAAAGTTAGCCCCGCCGCTCCGACAAAAGTACTAAGAATGCAGTGCAACCCTCTAGTCAAGACAAAAGGATGCTTTCCGGGGGTCGATCTCCGAAACCACGTTGTGCAGGGAGGGGATTCCGACGTACTTTGTAGACCTCGTCCTTCACCTCTTCAAATCCCGCATCCACCAAGCGTCGCCGGTGACCCTCGGCAATATTCATGGGCCTTTGGAACGCCAGGCTTGCCTTATGAAGGTAGTGAAGATAATCGCACAGGGTGGGCGCCAGATCCATCGACCCGTCGTCTGACTTGAGCGTGACTTCAAATTCTTGTAATTCGATCCAGCCTCCCGGCTTCAAGTGGTGATAAGCCTGTGCCAGAAGACGGGGCCAGTCTGCTATAGCGCCACCCAGGTCGCGTGCATGGATAAAGTCGAATGGTCGATTGACGTTAAACAACCAGGGGGATTCTGCGTCGTCCACTAAGAAACGCAAGTTCGGCGGCACCCATGATGGTTGAATGGGGCTCAAGTCAGTGCCGATGACCTCGGTATGGGAATAGCAATCTGCGAAATCGATGGCCCAGATTCCAGTCCCTGTGCCAATGTCCAACACGCGCTGGACTGCATCAATTTGCAGTGGTGCACGAAAAAGTGCGCCCTCAAGGACTAGATTGCGAACATGATGAAGCAAATCCTGCCGATCTTGCTCCTGCTCATCATTTGGCAGGACATAATGGCCCGCTCGATAGGAGTGATATCGTCGCCCATTCTCATAGACATGCTCCTCGATTCCAGAAAGCAAAGAGGCCGTGAAGCTTGAGGTGTCGGAATGATAGTCTTCATCTTCGTCGAAAATGGATCCCACAGTTTCATCGTCTGCGGAGGAGGGATCCACCGCATCTTCAGAGGCAGGTGACTGAGTTGTCACTGCACGTGGAGACTTCGAATATGGCGAGGCTGGCGTCTCCCTTTGCGAAGACATCGAGCCAGGGTTCTTCGGCTTTCTCGCCGGTGAAGGGAATGGTGGAGTCAAGGTCATATTTGCTTGTGATGTAGGCCATCCTTGTTTTTTTGCTGACTTTGTTTTGCTCCCGATCTCTCCGCAAAAGTGGAGGTCACCGCCCGCGATCAGCTATCCTTTTCTTTTGCTGCGCGGCAAGCGGGGTCTGATTGAATTGTCGCAAGTTCGCAACGGGTCCAATGCCTGGGTTTGGTTGGGGGTTTGATGAGAGAATCGGCCTGCTTCGTTCGTGTAATACCAAACAGCCATCACCAGGAACACTTCTGACGAGGTTGATAAACTTATCCAGATCTTCAAGGGTCCGAGCCATTTAGGTTCTGTGGCGGTGGAAAAGTGTGGGGGAGTCTCCATGCCCTGTAGGAGGGTCCACGATCGTCAGTCTGCATCCACAGTCGTAGTTTGACAGTGGGCTTTGCTGCTTAATGGTCGCCCTCAAACTCATAACCTTGGATGCAAGCGGAACGCCCGGGTTTCAAGCGAGTCGCATTGAACCCTACCGCAAGCATTTTCAGGGCTGAGCCGCTAAGGTCACATTCCACGCGATAGTAAGATCGGAACTCGGTAAGCTTATGGCTTCTTCTGCGGAAGCAAACTAGAGGGAAAACAACCCATTGAAGACCAAATCTAGAACGGTGTGTCCATTTAGTTGCTTGAATGAGTAGGAATTCTCACTCATCGCCGTGTATGATAGGATCAGCTTGAGCCCCGGCACAATATCATTTCGGCGGTGAAGAGAGGTATGCACACTCTCACCACCGGCTCTTCGTATCGAAAGTCTTTTCTTCAGAGGACTACCTATTACTAGATCGAGACCTTCACATACTGCTCCAGCACCCGTCCCTCGCCCTCGCCCTCACCCAGAGCGGCTACAATGAATATTAGGATCGCTCGAGAATTCTCCTCGAAGGATCAGCGTATTGTACCGAAGGAGTCGACAGTATCCATACGTTCTACGATTCTGGCAGAAGTATCGTACGTGAGCATGGGTCCATGACGCAGAGAATGTTTTCAGTCGGAGACGAGTTTGGAATAAAGCGGAATATCTGCCATTTCCTGACTATGACACTAGACTGGTGTTCACCACAGACATAGGCTGCGCGACCATCATCACCCAACTGATAATCGCCTTGCTAGGCCCAACCGTTCCTCCTTCATTCCACTCGTCAGGCGGGCTGGATCAGCATAAGCTTAAGTGTTGTCGATAAGTGGCTATCTGCGTCAGGATTTACATTTATATACCAGTCAGCGCTGTCTGGCGAGGAGAGTCCCCTGTCTGTTTCCTTTACATGGAGGCTATCACAAAGTTTGGGACACTTGGCTATCCGAATAATCTGTGTCTTCCCAGTAACCCTCATCTCGTGAGTGTTGCGTGCAGGGGTGAACATGGGACGGCGAGCATGAGATCACGATGGATTAACGAATATGGCGCCAAAGAAGCTTCCTTCCAAACTGGTGAATCCTGGTCTTCTGCGCGCTCGAAAGACTCAACAACGCCGATGATCGGCAGGACGAGTCTTTGCATATCGGCCAAGCGCCCTGCAACTAACGTGAAGAATATGCCAATGCCACATGACGGCCGGCACGAAATACTTCCGTGCGATCAGGAACTGTCAAAGCCGGGAAGGATCCCTAGTCGTGGCTTGAGGTCAAGGTACAAGGAGCAAGCGACAGAGCAATAGATGATCTTGCCCTGTGTCATTCCCACCGCAGGCACACTCCCTCAACTTTGGTCGAGGCCCAGCGCAGCCAGCATGCACTGGCACAGACTTCGAACTAGCTTTCTAACATTCTTTTGCCCCGGCGCGAGACTCCATCAGAATCCAGCCTTTTGAGATGCTCGCAATCCAGACCGCGTTCAGAACGAGGACAGTCTCAACTAGCACGCCTAGAACCGCACCATCAGCCGCTTCGCAAACACCATAGACGCAAAAGATCCCGTCACTCAAATCGCTCAAAAGCCGATTTCAACCCGCAACGGGGCCTCCGGCGTCTCCACTGTGCAGGTACAAGTCGCCATGTCGAGTGCCATCATCATGTCTGCCCCTGTCCCGGCGTGGCTTTGAATTCGTGGCCGGCACAATGTGATGATTCGGTTGAAAGATGCACCAGATTTAACAACAGCCCGAGTTACGGGGTGATGATGTGCAGGCCGATGACCACACCGGGTATGAACGGAGTCGATGTTTGCGATTGCAGAAAGAAGAGTACGCTTTAATTTTTTTCTTAGCAGTTGAATTGGCCTGCGGTCTAAGACAGCGCCAGAGAATCCAAGTATTTGTGTTGCGGGGGTCCTTTCGTCCGTTCTATATCGCATTGCCACCAAACAGAGAAGAATTGATTGCATATCAGCGCAATGCATAGTCCAGAGGTCTTTCCGTAGCCCAAAGAATAGCGTTCTTCCCTCGATTCTTCGCTCATGGAGTCCTATCAACGTAGGCACCCGGCAGATATCACTTTCGAATAGTGTATCCGTGTCATGATGAACAAGCAGTCTCTTCGGCTGCTCTTCTCTGACAGCTTTCCATTGCTCCTTTTAGCCAGCAAAGGAGAGAGATCAAGCATTCCTGTATATCATTTAAACATTCCTCCTCCATTCTTCCACGAACGAAGCTGAATCATGCATTCATCCAGGGACTCGCATGCCATTCGACAGACATGCCACGACATAAGGTTCAACCAGCGTGCGAGGCCCCATTTGGACCACTAGTCACAGGGTGAGACCAGAAGGCCTTTGGACAGCCTAGGAGGGTGTTCTGTCTTTGACTAGACGGGGATGAGAGGCGGCAAGTGATGAATACGAGGGTAGGCAGGTCGGTCACACTTTCATCACACGCATGGACGAATTCTTGCCGTTAGGGTTCCATCATGCGGATCTTTACTTGACGCGGGATCCTCCCGCTCGCTGGCCGGGGTCCTTGGAAGACAATCTTCCTCCTACGTGCAGCCGGATCAATGGAGGCAGTTTATCAAGATTCAAATTGTCCGTCATGAAGCCGTTTCATTTCATTATGATGCCAGGCCTTGGCCAGGCATTTTCATTCTCGATTGGAGAATGGGTCTACTTGAGACAGCGCCTCGGTCACACATTAGGCACGCGTTGCGCCTCGAGCAAGCCTCTCTGAAGCTCTACCGGGCGGCCCCTGTTGTTTACGCATTCGCTTCTCGGCCTCGGCGTCTCTCACTTCCAACCCAGCCTGGAGTACGCTGGCACGGAGAATCCGTAAGTGCGCCTCCTGATTGAATGCGCGAAGACTTTCGAGGGCTTGTTCTTGGACCTCCGTTCGTAGATCGGATTTGTTGGAGACCAGGACGTTTTTCTCCAGGTCGAGTCGAGCTTCTAGGACTCCCTTTTGGATGAGTTGGATGATCTCCTGGACAAAGGGGGAGGAGACGCTCGTGGGCTGTGCTTCACCGCCGATCACCTCGGGTGCGAAGATGGTGGCCATGGAGGCCAAGGTTACGCGACTGAAGGGCACCAGGTATTGTTTGATGGCCTTTGTGCGAATCGAATGGTAGAGATCAGAAACGTGACGCTGGAGATGGAGGTCAAGAAGATAGTCTGTTCGATAGGACTCTAGAATGTCGAGACAAGGTCGGAACTTTGAGTTGCAGAAGAACGCAACGGCCCGGCGGATTTGCGGCTCAAGTTCCAAAAAGTTCCGGAATAAGCCGTTGTCGAGGACACGACGTTGGAGAGTTTCCCGATCCATTGATGCCATCGCACACAGACCACCGTAGACAGCCACGTCGTTGGCTGTGAGGACCTCGTTGAAGGTATCGGAGAGGCTCATATCGGTGGCCAAAAAGCTATTTGCGGCATCTAAATACGCGCCTGAGTGCATCTGGGCAAGACCGAGGGCAGCGCTGACTTTGGGCTGGTTTTTCTGTTGATCCTCGGGTTTTGATTGAGCCGTGCGCAAGCGATGGACATTTGATTGAACGGCGAGCCAGTCGCCGCGCTCGACGGAGACGTTGACGAGCTTGAAAAGCATCGACGCAATGTGGTTAGGTGTGGTGCAGTAATCGCGCATTCGGGTGTACGCTTTGGAGGCAGCGACCAGGTCGCCTGTTTCGTAGTAGTGATTTCCGATATCCTCATTTCCCATCTAGTGGATGCGAATTAGAATGCGACTGCCGCGGTGAGAACCCTTGGAAACGTTGAGGCGTACCCTGATGCTTTCTTTGATCAAGTTGTTCTTGTATCCCCGCAGTTCTTGCTCCAACCGTTCAGACTGGGCTTGAACCTGTCGTTGCACCTTTTGAACCCAGGCCGTATCGAGAGTAGCTTCAGGCTCAGTCGGTGCGACTTCCGCCAACGCACGGACTGCTTTTTCATATCGACCAACATCTTTTCCTGACTTGGCCTCTGCAATGGCCAGTTTCAGAGCTTCAGTAGAGAGGACTGTCGATGTCGTTCCGATCAGGTACAAGCGGTTGAATCGTGTGCGACCTAGAATGTCGGACGTCAGAAAGCACAATAGATGTATATTCACGGAGGCGAAGCCACTGACCAACATAATTTGCAATATAAGATTCGAGGTCAAATTTAGGAGGATCTATAGATTGATTGAATGTCAGTAGGTGCTCTCTCTTTCTGGGCTGCGGGGCAAGTGCCATGCTTGTGCCGTAGGAGAGCCAGGCCTACCGTGCACTTTGATTCGAGGAGCTGGTTCTGTGTTTTCTGTTGGAGCGGGAAATCCTTGATTAGATGTGCTCTGCGATGCTGAGGCGAACGGAGCGGCAGATCGGCCCTGCGAGGGGAAAGCATCGGGAAGGGTGTCCATCGAGCTCGGACTGCCTCAGAGGCGCAGGACTAGCTTAGACGAGGCCTGTGGGGGGAAGAAAGAGAGATGGTCGTTTTTCTCAAGCTTGGGGGAGAAAGATTGGCAATATGAGTCGAGTGACAATCATCGATCTGCGCAAACTAGACACAACCTCGGGGACGTTCAAGGATATGATGTTGACGGTCTGGGTTGTGGTAGCTGGTGGAGCTGGGGAAAAGCGGGCAGAACATGACCGCTTTGCAGGCCGCCACTTCAGCCTCCGCGATAAGATCCGGAGGGTCCACCAGGAGATGGTCATGATGAAGCTGGTGAACTCTATACCCTGGCAGCTCCCTTTTGATTCAGATTGGAGAAGCCGGCGTCATGAATGTCCATGATTTTTTTTTACTCAAGGTCACATTCGAACAATGTCATTGACCAGATCTGAGTCTAGACCGAGTTATCATTAACTGCCATATATCCATCGGCAGCTCCAATGAAACGCCAGCCTGACCGAGGAATCATGCAACAAGAAGTCTCCTCGGGCCCGCTTGAGCATCATTTACATCATCATCTCCGAGCCCCGGGTTCACAAAATTGCAATCATAGTAATCACCGCAGTAAAGTACAATTTCCCAGCCCGACTAAAACTATGAATTGAAAAGCTATATGCCCGAGGCTTTTCCCTTCACCTCGGTCTCGTCCCGGCCTCGGAGGAGAGCACCATACAGTCATCATACCTCCGTTCCGACCGAGATAATAATGATCGAGTAATCAATAAATAGGCCGAGGCCGTCGTATCCGTCGATTTGACACTTCGGACATACTCAACGTTCCACCAACCTTCAAGCGGGTCATCACGGTTTGATTCGTTGTGCTATTGTCAGTTGCTGTTGCGTATTTCGCTAATTTTCCTCAGAGTCGGATTCTAGGAAATCCCGCGGTAGAGCTAAGATTGGTGTTTGACCAACGATAAATACCTCGAAACGCCTCCCCGCACTGGTCTTCTCCGCATCCCCAATTTCATCTCTATATCGAACCCAACTATATTATTTCACACGAGCCGCAACAGCGTCGACACGACTTGGTCCAACAACAATGGCATCGTCACAACCTGTAGCTCTCGTCATAGGCGCCTCCCGCGGCATAGGTCGCCAGATAGCCATCAACCTAGCGAAGAATGGCTACGCAGGTGTGTGTAAACCCAATTGACACGACATATGAACCGATCCTAACACACCGAGCTAACACCGCACCGCCCCTCCAATGAACAAAAGTAATGCTCGCCGCCAAAACCACCTCCAACCCAGACACAACGCACCCGTTTCCCCCGGACCCCAACTCCCCCTCCTCCACGATCACCACCGTCGAGCGCGAGATCCACCTCCTCGGCGGCACGGCCTCCTCCGTCGCCGTCGACGTTCGCGATCCCGCGCAGATCGCCAACGCAGTCACCCAGACGCTACGCATCTTCGGCCGCCTCGATGTGCTGGTGTACAACTCTGGGGCGATCTGGTGGTCGTCTGTGGAGGGGACGCCGCTGAAGAGGTTCAGGCTTATGCAGCAGGTGAATCCGGAGGGGCTGTACGCGAGTGTGCAGGCGTCGTTGCCGGCTTTTGAGAGGAATGGGTGGAGGGGCAGGATTGTGGTTGTTTGTCCGCCGATTTATTCAAGGTTTTTCAGGGGGAAGACGGGCTATGCAATGGGTAGGTTTTCGGTACTCACATCGGCGTGGAGGGCTGGTCCGTGTTGACGGGATGAGATTGAGACTAATGGGGGAGGGGGTTCCTTTGGGTGAATAGGGAAAGTTGGAATGAGCGTCCTGGTCAAGGGTCTGGGTATGGACTTTGTTCGACAGAACAGAACTGAGATGGCGATTACGGGGATCTGGCCCGCCGTGGTATGTACATCTCATCTTCTTGTCGAACGAGAGCCTCACAAGTGGGGAGAAGAAGATCACTGAAAAAAAGACAACACTCAACAGGCAATCGAGTCCGCCGCAACCGAATTCAACAAATCCGACGACCAGACCTACAAGAACGATCTTCGCAAACCGGTACGTCTAACCCTGCCAAGGCGCCCTCTTTGTTTCCCTCCACATCTACTCAATTTCCAATCTCCATGTTCGGACAGACCATCTTCTCCGATGCTATTCTCGCCATGCTGCGCGCTTCCCCGGCCACAGTCAACGGCCGTCTGGACACCGATGAGGACTTTCTGCGGGATGAATGCGGGGTGACGGATTTCTCGGCGTACGCGGTGGTTCCGGGATCGACGCCCCGGCGGATCATGCCGGCGCGGTTCCCTAGTCTGGAGGTTGCGGAGCAGGATGACGAGGGACAGCGGATGGATAGTGCGAAGGTTCGGGCGAAGATGTAGATGGGGTGAGATGGCATGCTCTGTGAGCACTGTATCGTGTGAGATGGAGTTAGAGATACACGGGTCAGTGTGCTCGGTTCGACTGGCATTAGCATTTCGAGCCCTTGAGACATAGAAGCAACTTTTAGGCACATCAGTGTGTTTCGATTTTCAATAATCAAACTCATTAGCAAATAGCAAATAGACAGGTGGACTGTTTGTGAACAGGGGGAAAAAAAGCAACGCTCAACGCCAATGCCAAATGAATAGAAAGGAGAGATAAGAAAAGCAGACATGATAAATTCGAAGTAATGCAGGCCAAAAAAACACCGTGGTCCAGTATTTGCTCGAAAAGCCAACGTGGTTTGGGAAGGGAACAATTCTTTGCTGTGCTCAACACCAGCGCGTGCAGGATTTCAGCGGGAATGTACTATGGAGAGACAGAGCCAGCAACGAGGCAGTCACGGGAGTTTCGCCACTTCGCGGTTCTCGGTTTCCGCTATTTAAAGCAAACCCGCAAACCCAGCAGCAACACCGGCGACCAAAACACCCAGACCGTAGATCTGGCTAATCTCGCCCAGCTGGACTCGGGCAGATCCACCGGTGGCTTCGTGGGACTGAGCGGCACCACTGGCACCGCTAGTACCGGTGCCCGTGGCAGTGTTGCTACCAGTGGCGGTCATTGAGGCAGTCGAAGTCGAGGCGGTTGTTGTCACGTTGACACGGATGGGATTCTGGGCACCGCAGGGGTGCTGGGTGCGGCATAGAGACTGACAACTGCTGTCCGCTGCGGAGCAACGGTTGACGCACTGGTTGTTGGCTTCAGTGCAGATGAAGTATGGCATGGTTTCAGAGTACTGAGAAGCATTGGGAGTAATGTTATTGCTGCAGATGCAGTGGTAGTCGAGGGTTTTCTAGAGGAGAAAGCGTTGACCATCAGCACGATTGAATGAACCTTGGCGAGGGCTGTGGAGAACACAAAGGATAGGTTGAAACTTACCGCATCGCAGTCATTGGCGACGGGCTTGCCCGTGGAAATCTGAAGACACAGAAGGGGGCAAACGGACTCTTGCTGGTTGCACCAGTACTCTGGGATGTTGTCAGTACATCTTCGGTCTTCTCTGACCGGGGAAGGGGGGGGGGGGGGGATCAAGGCTCGTCAAGCAGTTGATACCACACTCTACGAGGGTATCACTTACGACGTGTTGCGATGGGCACGGTGCTAGGGTCGATGCTCTGGCTGCTCACCAGGGCAGCAGTTGAGGCCAGGGCCAACAAGAGACGGGACAGCATGATGGGTGAGAAGAGGTGGGAAACTGATAGTTTCGGGGGAATGATGTGACAGGGGAGAGTTGATGGACAACAGCTAAATCTGGAGACCCGTTCAAGGAGTAAGATGTCAGTGGTCCTATCGAACAGTGGAGGCGTTGCGTTTGCATGCAAGTTTGAAGGCTAGCCACGCATGGGTTCTATGTTTGTCGCAGGCCCCATTGGGCCCAGGATGGAATGCAGGGAGCACCAATTGGGACCAGTACATAGACTCGGTGGATAGAGCCGAGACCGCGTCGTGTCATGACTTACCGCAGCAAGAGATTCTGGAGTTCCAGAGGCTGAGGCTTGAGATTGATCCGGGATGATCAGTAGCAAGAAGAGGAAGGGCTCGGGTGAGACCACACTGGCAATTGGGATGCGGTGGGAAAGCTTGGTAGCGACCGACTGAGAGTGGACTGTGGAGCAGAGGAAATCGGAGAGGTCAGATAGGGGAAGATCACAGCAGCAAAGCAGATCGGACGTGCAGAGGAAAGAAAGGGCTCCGACGGAGAGTGGAGGAGGTCGCTATTAAAAGCAAGGAGTGGAGTCGCATGGACTGATCGATCACGAGGCCATCACCGCCATCTGTGAGTATTCATCTCGGAGAGAGAGAGAGAGAGAGAGAGAGAGGGAGTGGTGTGCTTGACTGCTTGGAGCTAAGGTCGTGGCGGGATCCACCGATGAACCGAAGCCAGTACGCTTCTATCTAGTATCACTATCTGCGATCTGCCTCTGGGGTCCTAAATACAAAACATGTGCATGATACCTTTGGAGCCACGGGATCAAGTTTGTGCTGTAAAGTTGTACAGGACCTACAAAGTACATAGTACATACTACATAGTGCATACTGCATAGTCATACTCCATAGCACATACCTAGTCCAAGTGTATACTCACTGGTTGAGAGATTCACAGTCTCGGACAGGGATGGTGGTTTGAATTGTCAGTCGAGGAACTTTTTTTTCTCCATTTCTGCGCTTGGACTTGGCTCGGAAACCCGGTGCTCCTATCAGAATGGTTTGACTGAATCAAGGTTTCCCAATTGGAGCTGGGCAGTTCACTAGCGTCCTACTGAAGAGTGGAGCATTGCACCATTTTCCAGCGACATGTACCGAGTGATGATCCAGTGGACTCGAGACTGGACTTTTCTTGTGTGGTAAGTAGGTGGAGGGTGTCTCAAGAGTCAGCTCAGATGAGGGATGCCATGTGTCTGAGATTCCAGGTTGAAGGGCTTTGACTGGCAGCGAGAGATGCTGACCGCAGTCATGCAAGACATGGTGTTTTGTTGACATTTGCCCCTAATCAGCATACAAGTGGCTGGTGGGTGAGAGCTCCGAGGCGCTAACCCAAAGGAGACATGAGGCAATGCCGATCCGGGGATCTCGGCTGCAGAACCAACTCGCTCAGGAAACTTCCATCGAGCCCGGCTCCCGGTCCCAAATTGATTACTCACGTCCATCATCCGCCTATTCGGAGTTAGTCTTCTCACGGCCCTTGCTCGATCGAGCCTTCTGTGCCCGTGATGCCCCTTTTCACCAATATCGAAAGTGACCACTTGCGTGGCCGCGGCCCTCCTGACTACCGACTAACAGCTGTTCCGACAATCAATCTAGTGCGCTCCCAAAGAGACCGGCTAGTCTGGACTGACCGCTGCAGCAGGACCAAACCAGCAAGCAAGCGTGCATCTTTGAATTTTGTGGAGAATCCCCCGCTCAAGGCGAAAGAAGCATGATGGGAGGGTTTGATAAGGGAGGTCTCAGTCAGTGTGGATGCCACCGGACAGCGACCACGATGGAGAACACGAACCGGATCGGGACTAGGGGGAGTGGATCGATAAGAAGGCCGGCGGGGGAAAGCCATTACAAACGGCTTGGATGGCGATCTTGCGAGACACGATCTTTCGCCGTTCGGAGTCCTAAAACAGGGGGCGTGTGTCCATACTAGCACTGGAGAATGGTGGGTAGACCCTGAAGGGGAGGGTTGCGGAGGGGAGACATAGTTTCCGTAAAAGGAAAGATGTGATGGGGGATCAGAGAACCTCCAACGCAAGTCTGCCCTCAGGTTACCCAACTTCCAACGAAGTCACACTGCACATCATGCAGTCTATTGAACCCGCCAATCAGCGCATGACTTGAGGACATGCCCAGGTCGATGTAACAATGCTATACATCATACATCTCTATAGCAGTTGCACTTTACTTAAATGCACTGCACTGATCCGACACGGGGGCATACATCTATGACCGCATGAAGCAGTGATACCAATGTGTGGTGATACCTGCAAACTGGAGGCGGCTTCCCAGAGCTGGTCCTATAGTCGACTTAAGCCAGTCATCACAAGTAATAGTGGAATGCAATATCTGGATGGATCATGTAATTTACTGGGCTCGGAATGGAAATCTACTGACTAGTTGTGATTGTGAGACTAGTCCCGTCTTTTACTGGATCTACTGGAACTTGTTTCGAGGATTAGATCTTGATACCCTTTTACCGACGACTTACCTTATGTGAGCAAAAGTAAAACTGCGCTACCCCTCGAAAATATGCGATGTGTCGATAACCATTCGGGTCATTCAGTCAACCGGGAACAATATATATAGAGCAACTCCAGATCAAAAGTGGAAAGTTTTCGTCAACCTGCCGAGTCGAGCTCCCTTGGTAGGTACCACGGAGACGTTGAAAGATCTAGGTATCTACCTTGAATTGGTACAACTTGTCATTCAAGAGGGTATCGTTAGCTTATAGACTTATACATGTGTTCATCTTACTCCCTTCCTCTTCACAGTAACGGAGTCTAGGTTCGCAAAAGTTTTCCAAGGGTCACCTCCATGGAGGTTCATGATTGACGTGGACGGTCATATCTGGGTGCACGATTGCGGTCGGCGGAATATATAGTTTAGAGAATCGATCCCAAACACTAGTTGATAGCTTGGTGCAGTCCACTGTCCACAGTAAGGGAGAACCAATTCTGTCAGATTGGTATTGAAGCTCGCCTCAGCTGGGGTCCAACTGTGAAGATTTTTAGATTGACACACAACTATCTCTTTTATTCTTATTGAGTATTATCCACAGCGGTCGTCCCATCTTTTTCCAGATTGCGAATGATGACATCGCCGCCCGTCGATCCCGTCTTTAGCTTACCTAAGATTATCTCCGCTCAAGAGTGATCTCAACCTCCACTCCATAACACTCCAACACTTCCATCGACGGTCTGCCCCGTCTCTTTATCTGTCTTCCAAGCCGAGCAGCTGTACCCTGTCCACAGGGAGCATCCAGCCTGACTCACACTGTACTCTCCCCAAAACTCCAAGGGTAAGCTCACACTCTCCATATCAGGCCCACATAGCCCCAAACAGCAGACATCAGCACTGTCCCACCCTTCGATCGGACTTACCCCGTGCGCGAACCGAAGACCGTTTCTATTCTTGTCGCTCTCCCCGCACTATGTAGTATGCCCGGCACTTTGCATGAGACATACATGCAGGCATGAACGTTACCATTTCACTGTTTGTGGTAATCACTATACAGAGTATGGGGAGCATGTATTCGGATGAGAATGATGGACGACCAGACCGTTGTGTGCCTTATCGGAACTTTTTCCACCATTGACCGCACCCAAGCTGTGCCTCGCCAACCCGGACCATGGTCAAACCTTCAATTCGAGATGGCTGACACATGGGTCTTCTTGATTTTAGATTCGGAACTACGCAAACGTGAGGCGATAGACAAACGACCATAAACAACACCGTCGAAGGAAAGACTGAACCTGTTCCCTGTGTCTGATCCCACTCATATTCATGGATGGAGTCTGTGATTGAAGAGACAGCCCCGACACCGGCAGCAGCTGTTCTGCCCCAGCCAGTGTCGAAGCTCTCCCTCGCGACTACTCCCAACACGATTGATAATGGACATGCCGAGGATATCTCTTCCGCTAAAGCTGGCCTCGCCGGTGACAACCAGTTGCATGAAGATCACAAAGTGAATGAAATCCAAAGCAGCCAAGACGGTGGCGATAAAGGCACCCTTACCTTGCAAAACGGCCATCTCGAACATACAGCCCCTTCGCCGATCAATAGTCCTGCACCTAGCTCCAAATCTTCCCGGCCTGTCTCCGGAATTATTCCGCCCTTCTGGCAGCGCCATGAGCGGACGGTCTCCCGCGCATCGTTGAGCTCAATTGCCCAGAGCAGGATCATTCGGTTAGAAGATCACACTGCAGACCCAAATTCAGAGACAAGTCGGGGATTATGGGCCAAGAGTGTCGCCATTGATGATCATGTCGTAGTACAAGGCAAGAGCGGAATAGGATCATATGTGGTTTGGAACTGCACAGTTCAGACTCTCGATGTAAGATGACACCACAGCCGCGACTCAAGAGAGATTCAAGAGACGAAGACTCATTCTGGCCTCATTTGCTAACGCCCTTCACCTTACCAGGGCGGTCCGATTGTTGTTCGCTTGAGGTACGTTCGCGTCCTGTCTGAGCAATTCCTCATATCATGCCCTGTGCAATTGCCATCAAGGATCAGCACTGACTTACAACTAGATACTCTGAATTTGATGACCTTCGGCAAAGACTTGCATCAGCCTTTCCTCATGCCAGAAATGCACTACCGTCGCTTCCTCCCAAGAGTGTACTATGTAAGACAGTATCCCTCTACTCCGGGGTTCTTGCTACCTGTCATTCAACGTATCCCAAAATGCAGAAGATTAATATTTCATCTGACACGACAGTCAAATTTCGCCCGAAGTTCCTTGAAACCAGACGTGTTGGACTAGAGTACTTTCTCAAGTGAGTTAACTCACCCAGAGCACTTCCGTCATACGGCTCAAATATGGGGGGTTATACCTTGAACATGATACTAACATCCTGGGCTTATAGTTGTGTCCTCCTCAATCCCGAATTCTCCAGCTCACCCATCGTCAAAGACTTTCTCTTTGGTCGTTCGTCGTGACGGCCCTATGACCTGAAGAAACCTCTTTGGTCCCGATCAAGGATGATAAAGTCCCAATCGGACGAGGAAATGAAACGAGTATATGCATAGTGTTTCTTTGTTCTTGATAGCGTTACCTCTTTCTGTCGTTCCGTCTTTCCGCTTCAAGACCGAGTCGGCGTGTAAAACATTATAACTTTTCTTCTTCTTCGTGTGCCCTTCATGTCCTTCAACTTCTCCACCTACTCCTGTACCTAAATCCCCCCTCCCCCCCCTCTATCAAGCGTCACTCCAGAACCCCCAAAGTAAATCCTAATCTCCCCAAACACCCACGACCCAAAGAATACAAAATGCCGAATCGGAACCAGAATCGCCCCCCCCAACACACACCACGTCGACCCTCCCATCTCCATCTCCCAAGGGAACCACATTCCCCAGAATCAAAGCCAAACCCCCACCATCCAGACCCTTGCACATGTCGTGTATTCCCTCACACTTCAGACCCCGAATCCGAGTCCTTGACTCGGACGTGAACATGGACAGCGTACGAGATGATTGGATTATCAGACGGCGAGATTGAATTCCGGCGATTATTTTGGCTAGGGGGAGGGGGAGGGGGAGGAGAATAAAAGAGTGAATACTCTCTGGTTGGGGTTGATAAGTCTGAGGATATATGTGTACTTTACGTGGAAGCGAGGATCATACTAGGTAGTAGGTACTGGTAGATGGGGTTCCTTGGCGGTTTAGAATGAGAACGAGTGCAGCTCAGATGGAGATTTACTTGTACTAAGGGATGGTTCTCCCCAGAAAGATGGAATCTACCGTCAAAAGAAGGGGATCAGGGAGGAAAGAGCTATTTCATAAGAATCCATTGAATACTCGCAGTCGACGACTGACAACATCTTGATAAAGATACCAAGAGACATGGGCAGAAACAACAGAAAAGCAAGTAAAAGGAAAACCAATAATACACGTGAGATTTACAAAGAAGAATGTTTAAAGGGGTCAACAAAGAGTGCCGATTACCGCGATAAATGCATCATGAATAACATTTCAACCAAAAGTGCCCGAGACCAACGCCAAGCAAATATTGCGTGATGCAATGCCCATCTAAAGTCTAAAACAAGATTATGAAAAGCAATTGGACATGAAGTGGGAAGTAACTGGGGGAAAAAGGCGAAGTGAAGAAAAGAAAAGAAAGAAAAGAAAGAAAAGAAAGAAAAGAAAGAAAAGAAAGAAAAGAAAGAAAAGAAAGAAAAGAAAGAAAAGAAAAGAATCCGTCCTGGGAGTCGTACATTTGTTATGAGAAGAAGAGAGCCAGGGTGATAGAAAAGATAAGGTGACAAGGCAGAAAGAAGTTGCCGACTTGTCGACCTGGACGGAAAACAGGATGGGAAAAGTGTTTCCAAAGATATAATCAGGGTATGTGGCTGATAGAATGATGAGTAGGGGTTCGGATCATCAAGCGGACTCGTTCGTCTCAAAGTATCTTTGGCAAACGATGGAGTGTTAAGAGAATGGGGGGTTTGTAGCGGTCATGACAGATTCTGAGGCGTCTGGGTCTTGTCCGTGAGTTGAGTCGCATCTTCAGTCTGCTTCGAGATAGTAGAGCGAGACATCCATGCCTTGAGGTCTGCACCCAAGACTTTCTTCAAGCTAATATTCGCCATGTGGATCATTCCCAGGAATTGTCGAGGACCCGGCATACCCCCCGGGAACACCAGATAGAGGCCACAGTCCTGTTCCGCATCAGGCCGGAACTTGTCGTTGTATGCCTTCTTTCCTTGAATAGGCAGTCTTTGGAACGTGTGACGATACAACTTTCTCGTCAGACTGGCCAAGGGTCGAGACATGCCGGTGACATCTTCCGCACCCAGAGCGTGCGAAGGTTCGAATCCAAAGCCTAGATACGAGACACCTGCACGGTGAAGGAGGGCCATGGTCGACACGATCAAGAGGTCGCTGATACCCTTGGGGGCACCGGGAGCGGCAATGCAGGGATCGACATGGTATCCTCCCTCTCCGAGACGACGCAGGGCGGCGAAGCCGTTGATCTTGTCATCCGGACCGCGGCTGTAAATAAAGGTCATTAGGGACGGGAGCGCGAAGGGGTCGTAGACGGTAATAAACGCCTGGGGACCCCCAGAGGCATTGCGTTCGGCGCGCCATGAATCGTAGATGTTCACTAGCTCCGCTTGCAACTGAGCATCGGTCCCGTGTACCGCAGGCGCATACACCCCCAGTCGGATGCCGCCTTTGTCAGGGTTGAGGAGCTGGCGATTCTGCACAGCGATGCGTTTCCCACTGCGTTCCAGGAGGACCTCGTTGGTCTGCGGGTTTAGCACACGCTCAGTCCCGAAGCGAATTGTGGTCCAGCCTTGAGGCTGGGCTGTCTCTTTGACAAAGTCGGCACTGGCACCCATAAAAGCAATGCCCCATTTATGTTTGCGGCGATATGCCGCAAAGTCGGCGAGGAGGGAGAGAATCATCCGAGGTTCACAGAGCGGATCGCCACCCACGATTGCGACCTTGTTACGCACCTTGAAGGAGAGGGCACCTGTGTGACTACGATTGACAAAGAAGCGATAACTAGGGTCCAGAATCCCCATGTTGGCGACACGGCCGTACTGCGCCGTCAGACGCTGAATGGTTGTCATTGTGGCAAAATCGTCGAGGCAAAAGACCGCGCCTGCATCTCCCACTCGGGATGGAGGACATTCATCCTCAAAGATGGGCCGCGACTGGGTCGAGTCTGTGCTGGGTCGATTGGTGCCCGTTACTGACGGCGCGAGGGTGGATGCAGAAGAGATATTGGTTTCCCGGGAAGTCGTCCCGTCGCTGGCACAGGAGCGGCTGCTGCTGTTCCGTGAATCCGGGCACGAGGGGATAGTGAAGGAAGAGGTGAAGTCATTGCGAAGGTGATCGACTACTAAGGCGTTTTTGCTGATGCGAGTTGGGGGGCTTGGTGATGTTGATGTGATGGTGTGTATCTGATCGACCAGCGCTTCTCCGAGTTCCTCCACCAGCGTGGTCTTCTTGTCTTTGCCGGCCAGGGTTTCCTTGCGACCTTTTCGGCCGCGCTTTTTCTTGTCAGGAGCTGATGTGACGCAGATTATGGGGTGTGGTGTTGATTTCAGAGAGTCGGGGTTGGAGAAGGCGGTCATTGTGGAGGACAAGGTCTGTTGTGTTGACGGAAGAATGGCGGAGGTCATGATGGTTCAGAGAGATATGATGAGGATGCGGCAACGTCGAAGGTCGATAAAAGAACCCAAACAGAAGTAGTCACACGTTGACCGATGATTCTTGCTAATTGATTCGAACGGCAGAGGGAGTTTGAAGAAGGAGAATGAAGACCTTCTTCGTTGCTTGGTACCTAGTCCCAAGGTACGAATGATCCCTGCGTGACGAAGTAGTTCTGCAGGGAGGGAAAAAAAGAAAAAGAACACAAGGTGCAAGTGGCAAATAAACCCAGGATCACAGCCCGAGGAAGAAAGCTTTTTTAAACATCTGGCGCCAAACCAGCCTCAAAGTTAAAAGAGAATATGACCCATTGGGAGGAGCCCATGTCCGGCTGGTGCAAAATGCTGGAGCCTGCACATCACAACACCTCCACAAGTGACTTCGCGGGACCCGTTGTATACTTCGGAAGTTCGGAACAAGACTGAAAGGGAGATCTTATTTTTGGATCCGGCCTTTGCCAGTGCGTTTATTCTTACTTGATTTCAATAACGCATGTCTTTGTTAGCCTCGCCGAGTGATCGGACATGCTCATACTAGGCAACCTCTTTCGAGTCCGGGAGACGATGTTTTGGCAGGCGCTTACAGTAGACCATTGGAATCAGTATCATCGAGTCTACATGGCGGAAGGGTAGTAAGCTCCGTCCACTTGACCTCCCCCGAGCGGGAAAGGAAGAAGAAAGAGTTTCTCCTCTCTCTACATCACTTTGGGTATCGCTCTGTTAGTGGAAAAGGGTGCCCGACTCATAAGGGCGTCATACTGACCTCTGAACTTTCCCAGAGCGAGTCCCGACGATTGGTCGTGCGCACCAAAGTTTGATCCTCCCCAATCTCTCGACAGAGTAATTACATTAGTAAAATACCAACAGAGTGGTCGATCTGCTCTGCGAACTGTTGAGCCCAGCGAGCCATCAGTATGACTCTTGGCACTCATCTCTTGCTCTTTCCGACTCCATGAGTGGATGTCGAAGAACTGCAACTATCATCTCATGGCGGAAGCCAAGTCCACTCGACAGAGAGAGTTGTATACTGCAGCCTTTCCCTTCTTCACCAGGACTTGACTAATTTGCGTTCCCTGTCAGGCTAAGACTCCTCCAACCACACTGCAGGAGGTGGACCCCCGCCTGTCTACCACTGATGAAGAAACCCTGGCAGACCAATGATGGCTGGTTGGTTATGGTACATGATCGGGCGCCCGAGACGAGGTTCAACAGCTCTGACCCTCCTTTTACTCAAACGCAACACACCACCAGTGGGGATGATTGGTGCTTTCGTACAGGCGAGCCCAGAAGTAGAACCTCCCGGCGCGACCGTGAAAAGCATCATGATCATCGTGGGACGGGGAGCGATTTGCAGGGTCAAGCGTCAGTGGAGGTCCGACCCCGGGAAGCTTCATTTTGTGAAGTGCCTCCAATGAACCAGACTGCTATACCGATTAAAGTATCTGAGTGTACACTATCCACTATACAGTATACACTGTATACAGTATAGTATATACTGTCTACACTATCCACTCTGGTCTACACACTTGACCCTTGAAAGTTGACAGTGACACTACACAATCCACAGGATACAGTTGTACATTATACAGTGCTGTCAGTACTCCCCGGTTGAGCCGGGAAAAAGCAGCCACGGCATCTTTAGCAGAAAGATGGGACGAGGGTACCCGAAAAAGGGATTCGTGGAATTAAGTACCATAGTGTCATTATGTGCTTCATCATGGATCCTTCTCCCTGGACCAACTAAACTGTGCTCTCTACCGAATCCCATGTCCCTTGAACGAAAGCACCTCTCCACATCAACAGGATCTACCGGGGATGACCAATACTCGACATCATCTCTCACAAGAGCAAAGGGTCCGTGTGCGAAAATCATCGTAGGAGCCACTGAAAAAGCATAGTACATGTAGCAACCGCCCACCTTGGAGCCCCAAGTGGGAAGAAATGCTGGTGCCTGAGCGCTGTGCCAGCCAGTCGACCGCAGCCCAAACGTTAAGTTGCACCTCCCCACTTATCCCTGTCAGAAGTCAGGACCGCTGCAGCAGTCCAGCCGGAAGACAAAAAGCAAGGGTCTGGCCTGGTCTGGTCTGGTCTGAAGTCATCCTGTCGGAGGTCGTGCCTTTTTGGTCAGATGCGCCGACGTTTCTGGTTGGGGATCATTGAGTTTTTTAAGATTTCACACAAGCCTCGTTAGTCTCGCCTTGGTATGTTTATCTCGAAGCACCCCTGGACAAAGGCTGCGGTGGCCTGAGGCAGCAAGCTTCCCGACCCAGCAAAGTCTACAACATGCTGGATGTGGTAAATGCGCAGTGCACAGAATGGTCCCTCCAAGGCAGAGAGTCAATTGAGAAGCTTCTAAACGAGAGCGATAAACGGTGCTTCGGCAATGGTGTCACAGCTCCCCATAGCCACGGATTTGAGATTCCTCGAACCGACCGAAAAAGAAAGTATAGCATGAATGCGGCGGTCGGATCCGGTCAGATCAGACTCGATCAGACTCGATCAGCTTAGATCAGGTCAGATCGACTTGTCAAGATCTTGAAACTCGAATCTCACTGACACCTACCAGGGCACACCCGTTCTTTTCCTTGGTCATCCTTTCGATGAACAAAATTGTCCGAACCACCAATCCCGCAAGTGAGAGCCCTTTACCGTCGGCTATTCCAGCCCCTGGAAGAATCGTTTCTTCAAGCGAGACTGCAGGCGCTCCGTTTGGGGATCGCGGGCAAGCGGAGGTGTCACATATCCTGGCTGCCTACGCTTACTTTGGCTCTCTCATCCCCCGACTCCCATATTCTCACGGAGTTCCTCCCGCAAGTCTAGACTCCGACTCGACGTGCAGACTGAGAATAACATAGACTTACCTACCTAGGGACGGCCAGACTTGGACAAGGCCTACATGACATGCATGAGACGCATCAGCTAGGCACCTTCATTTCTCCGCCGTCACAACTCCTCGGCCCGACCGTTAGGGACGAGCGGGCCGTTTCAGCCGAAGAGTCTGGGGACTGAGGTTTCCACCGGTCATACGGCTGAGGTCTGCCCTGGTCTGTAAGCAATCAGCCCTGGTCTGTAAGCAATCAGCCCTGGTCTGTAAGCAATCAGCCCTAGGTAAGCACTGCTCCGCCCTGCAGAATGCATGATACCAGGAATAGCGAGTTGGCCAGTTGGCCAGTTGGCGTCGGACTAGTGTGCTGGAGTTATCGGACGTATATTTTGATCGCAACCCATCCCAGGGAAAGGCTTGGTTTCTCTTTGCCAAGACATCAAAGTCGCGCTCGCAATCCAAGCGGCCGGGGCTGTGTCTCTCTCCCTCCACCAGTCCCCCAGTCCCCCCCCCCCAATTCATCTGAACCCTTGTTCTCCCCGCCAAGATCCAAGCCCATCAGGCATCCGAATGGACTTTGTATCGCATCACTCTACCGGCCCGAATCACGACGAGAACATTGGTCCGGCGGGAGACCTGAAGGAATGGACATGACGCCCTTGCAGTCAGGATGTACATCACTTGACTTCCCTCACATTTCTCTCGAAATGCCTACGGTAGAGCCACAAAGGATCGTCTCAGCCCGGCGGTCTGGACACCATGACACCCCCGCGAGTCATGCTCAGATCACGTGTTCTTGGCAACTTGACACTGCGCGAGCCGTGAATTTTCCCGAAATGGCAAAGGTCGTGCCGTCCCGTGCCCCGTCCGGTCGCTGGATGAAGATGAAACACCGAGGAATCTGCCTCTGCCCCGACCGAACCATCATCAGCTTGAGGTTGGATAGTCATGCGTTGGCGGTGATTCCGCCCGCTGACCCTGCTGGACCACGCCACCCTGAATACAAGGATGGAACATGATCGGACTTTCATCCAATTTTGTTTTTTCTCATCGTGCATTCACAACTTCGAACCCTCGGCAGTACTTCGGTCGCATTCGCATTCGCATTTGTTTTTGCATCTGCATCCGCCTCCGCAGTGCAGTGCATTCCACCCCCGACGCACCGGCCGTCACAGAACTCGTGAGTCGTATGTCGTGGCTGCCTAAAGTCTCCGCAACCACGCCCCCAAAGCAAACAAGATGGTCTGCTCATCCGGTTGGACCGGGGGTCGATTTAAGAATCAAGGCTGCCCGAATGATTTGCCCCCATCCAATCACTGATCTCCATCTCCCTTCCAGACCACAATCTGATCATATGTCCAAATCAAAAGAAAGGGTAAAACAGCGTCAAGCACAATACTGGAGAGAATTCAAGTTGTTGACCGCAAGCTGAGCAAGGCGCTTCACTTCTTCGAGGGGTGGCTTGACGTCTGCTCAGAGCCTAGAAGGCGAAAACCAGCGGCTTCGTGGTGGACCCTTTTGCGTAGATGTTTTCCCCATCTCCATGTCTATCTACTCGACAAGTTCGCTTTTCGTGCGAAAAATCCTGCAAGACACCACGGACATGCGATGCGCAGCACCCAGGTCTAAATGCCCCGTGCCATCGTGGAAGAGATATGAAATTGCAATGAAATCCTCCCATTGGACATGTGTGCGTGTGTACTGTGCACAGCCCAGAGAAATCCCAACAACGGCCCGAGCTCGTGCTCGACAAGGACAGTAGGTTTCATGGCCGCAGGGCATTTATTTTCGGCTTGTTCAATGTGTTGGCGGTGGTCGTTCCCACTGAATGATGGTGCATGCTTGATCATTTTCTATAAAGGAGAAGGTGTAAACACCAAGCACTATTCACAATACACTATTCACAATACAGCAGTGTGCAATGACATTTATCACTGGGCAGCGACACTGCCCCATGATCCTCGGTTCGACGTCTCCGATATGCAAGCTTCGGATCGAGCTGGACTCGCTCGACAGCTGGCGATATGGCCCCGTTGTCATCGCAATGCAACAACCCGGAAAATCGGCATGCATTGGGATGAGGAGTATGATGACTTGGTAGCCGGAAGGGCCCTCATGAGAGCTCTACATGTTTTAGATGGAGGTGAATGGACGTTGTCTCTTCCTACCGGTCAAACTTACTCGTCGTCTCATTTTACATTTTCATGTGCTTGTATGCCGATCATAAGGCTGACGCCCTCCACTGCTGGTGATTAGTACGACCGAAGAAGGAGCTGGTGCTTGATGTTGTCGAAAGATACTGTCTTGTCATGGACACGTCAATGACGCACAGATAGCCTGGTTAGTACCTGGTTGACGAAGGGTAGAGCTCAGTAAGATGGAGTCTGTCGGGGACGATAGAAAGACCTCCATTGCAAAGATAGGATACAGTGTGCTGTGAGTGTCTGCAGACAAGTTACCAAAATTGGAAAAGAATCCCAATCTCATTATTTCTACGACTAAGTACAAGACGTCTGGCGAAGGTCATCTCTGCTTGCGATCATCTCTGTGAAAGGCACTTGTGGGAGAAAAGCAACCTTATGGCGGAGGTCACCTTTGGTGAATGGTATCTCTGGTCGAAGGCACCATTGAAGAAGAACATCTAATGCGGTTGTCAACTGAGTGACCGTCAAAGTCTCGGCCGTGGACACGTTCGTTGTGGAAGCCCTGTTCATGAACTCCATGTGGCAAAAATTCCTGTGGCGGTAACCATAATGATTGACATGGTCTTTGATGGAGACTGAAGACGTGTGTGTGGAAATGCTGGTCTTAGGGGTGGTGGTAGAGGACAGCATGTCTTGTAGTCAGAGACGTGGAGTGTCAGCCAGTTGACGACCCTTGTGTGTCGCAAAATATCAGACAATCTCGTTGGAGGGCGTTGTAGAGGATACGCTGTGTGTGTGGATTGAAGCCTAGGAGGCCCAAAGCGTGAACTGTGCCGAGATCGTGGTAGAGTCACAGATGAAGATTGTGGAGAGCCTTCAAAGTGCTTGGTAGATGCAAGTGTTTTGTTGAGAGCCGAAGATGATCAGACAGCGAGGTGACATTTTCCCGACATTTCGTATGAAATCAAGACATGAAGTCCGGAGTGCCAAGGTCGCACCGGCAGTATTGGGGGAACTGAATGTAGGTGTTTCAGTGGTGGGTCGAAGGGGTTGAAAAAGGAGAAACGGTGAAGTGCCTCGCAGGGCTTCATGGAAAGGAGGTCAATGTGCCAGACATGACGACTTTGCTCGATGGTCTTGCCAGACATTGTCGAGTGCCAAGAAAGGGAACGAGATGGGCGTGCTGTACCCTGTGACTGAGGATGTGGAACGAGAATAAAAGTGGAACAAAGTGTTGACTGGATTGTTCAAGTTCTGCGCTGAATTTGTCCTGACACAAAAGCCGTTGCAAGCTTTGTGACGCCTGTTCAAGCGAGAATATGAGAAATGGGAGAGCGGTGATACGAGGATGTAGTGACTTTATGCTTAGGGAAGTGATTTTATTGGATGCTGGATGTTGAACGTGTTGTGGGTGGTACTTGTTCTGACAGAAGGTCTTGAACAACTTCGTGACCCCTGTCTGAGAGCACAGGCAAGCAGTGTGAATCCGATAGCGGAGAACCAAGGATGTGTCATGGCGAGAAATGTGACGATGTGAATTTTTCAGCGGCGTTGGTGGAGTTAATGAGGAGGGTATTGGGAGACAAGATGACACGGACGGTGAATTGAATGTCGTGGATGAATTCATGGGTGAAGACAAGGTTGCGAGGGTCGGCTCGAGAGGGATGACTGATGTCTCGCGGCGAAGAACGTGGTAAGGTGGCATTTGGGTCGTCTTGACGAGCCAATGTATGAGACAGAAGATGGACGCACGGAGGATAGAACGTCGATACCCCCCTCTGAATTTGTCCTGACACGTACATGTATATGTACGTGACGCCTATTCGAAGAGGGACAACGAATGTGGGAAAGATCATAAAAGTGAAGAGGCGTTGTGTAGAGGTGTTGTGTAGGTAGCTGGAGAGGGCGAAAGGCAACAGTTCGAAAACACCTGCCTATCTCAATGAGTTTTTCTGGGGCGTAGTTGATTCATTGGAGAGGCTTGTTCAAAGACGGAAGCAAGGGGCCACAGCTCGCATGGAAATGGAGATGTGTGAAGAACGGTGAGACCGTGTGTTTAACGCACCAAGTACTCGTCCTGCTGAATTTGTCCTGACATGAAGATAAAAATCTTCATGATGCCTGTTCAGCGAGAGAAGTATCGGGTTGAAATGGTGGTAGGAACAGAAAAGGGGGAATGTTGACAACACTTGTTGTCAGAACCAACACTCAACTCACTAGATTTGTCCTGACACACAGCTTGTTGACCGTATGACGCCTGTCCAGTGAGCAAGATGATGGGCGAAGAGAAAGCGAGCGAATGAAAGTGCGGACGAAGAAACTGAAGGTGGTTGTTGTCAAACCCATTACTTAGCTCACTAGATTTGTCCTGACACACAGCTTGTTGAATGTATGACGCCTGTCCAGTGAGCAAGACGATGGGCGGAGAGAAAGCGACCGAATGAAGGAGTGGACGAAGAAACTGAAGGTTGTTGTTGTAAAACCCAATACTTAGCTCACTAGATTTGTCCTGACACACAGCTTGTTGACCGTATGACGCCTTTCCAGTGAGCAAGATGATGGGCGGAGAGAAAGCGAGCAAATAAAGTAGCAGACGAAGACTTTGGAGGTGGTTTTTGTCACACCCAGTACTTAGCTCACTGAATTTGTCCTGACATACAGTTTGTTGACTGTATGACGCCTGTTCAGTGGGGAAAGTAAAGGGTGGAGAGAATGTTGAAGGAGGATCGATGAAATGGAGGTGGTTGTTGTCACACCCAGTACTTAGCTCACTGAATTTGTCCTGACATACAGAAATCTCTGTATGACGCCTGTTCGATGAGGAAAGTAAAGGATGGAGAGGAAACTGATGAACAAGCTAAGACGAGCGGCGAAGAAGACGAGGGAGCGGACGGTGGTTGTTGTCATGCCCTGTACTTAACTCACTGAATTTGTCCTGACACACAGTCTCTTACTGTATGATGCCTGTCCAGTGCGGAAAGTAAAGGGTGAGGAGAAGAAAAAGGGCGTCGCAGACTGGCCCTGAAAGGTAAAAATATATGAAAAAAACGATCAAAAAGATCAAAGCGAGAAGGTGCTGACGCTCGATGCTTCCTTGGATTTGTCCTGACATGCAAACTCGTGCATACGGATATTTGTTCAAGGGAATTGCAAGGAACGACAGGCTTGAAAGTGGGTAGAAAAATTGCGTTCAGCCAAACGGCATGAAACGAGGTCCAAAAGCGACCAAGATGTTTGAACGACATAGCAGATGGTCGTTGTTTTAACCTAGTTAGTACCTGCCTCGAATGAATTTGTCCTGACATGTGACCTCCAGTCTACATGACGCCTGTTCAAAGAGGGAAAAGAAACAACGACCATCGATTGGGAATTGGAAGTGGTAGCAAAAGCAAGCGAGGAGATTGGACGTGGTCATCGTCGGAACGCATCTCATACCTGCCTCGTTGAATTTGTCCTGACATGAAGGTAAGTCACTTCATGACGCCTGTTCAGCGAGGGGGGTAAGGAGCCAAGATTGTGGTAGGACCGGAGAGGTGGGTATCGTGGATTGGTTGTTGTCACAGCCATTGCTTAGCTCAATGAATTTGTCCTGACATACAGTTTGTTGACTGTATGACGCCTGTTCAGAGAGGAAAGCGAAGTGCGGAAAGAGAACGATGAAGTGGACGAGGAGAAGACCGCAGAGCGAACGAGGAAACGGAAGGTGGTTGATGTCGCACCCAGTACTCCACTCACTGAATTTGTCCTGACATACAGTTTATTGACTGTATGACGCCTGTTCAGGGAGAAAAGTAAAGAGTGGAGAGGACGTTGAAGGAGGATCGATAAAATGGAGGTAGTTGTTGTCATACCCAGTACTTAGCTCACTGAATTTGTCCTGACATACAGTTTGTTGACTGTATGATGCCTGTTCAGTGAGGAAAGTAAAGAGTGGAGAGGACGTTGAAAGAGGATCGATGAAATGGAGGTAGGTGGTTGTTGTCATACCCAGTACTTAGCTCACTGAATTTGTCCTGACATACAGTTTATTGACTGTTTGACGCCTGTTCAGGGAGAAAAGTAAAGAGTGGAGGAGACGTTGAAGGAGGATCGATAAAATGGAGGTGGTTGTTGTCATACCTAGTACTCAACACACTGAATTTGTCCTGACAAACAGTTTGTTGACTGTATGACGCCTGTTCAGAGAGTAAAGTAAAGGGTAGAGAGGTGGTTGTTGAGATGTTGAGTCATGATACGAAGATCGGGACCGAGGTGGTGGTTGAGCGAAGCCAAGCAAAAAGAAAAAAGAAGGAAAACAAAAGAAGAGAAACTCAAAGCCGGCGGAATTGTCTGTCAGGGACTGGAAGCCAATGTGACAAACGTGGGTTTTTGGTAAGGAGGAGTGTGTCGAAGAACACAGTAAAGAGGGACATCATGTTGTGTTGTATTGAGGCAAGCTTGTGTTATGATGTTGTGTCCATGGTGGACCAAGCTTGTTGTGGGAGGACGTGTCAAGTGAGGACGTGTCGTGTAAGGTCTTATTGTAGGAGGACGTGTTGTAGGAGGACGTATGGTGTGAGGGCCAAGTCATGAATGTGATGTGCAAGCATGAGATGACGTGTGGTTATAAGAAAAGAAGAAGTAGTAGAAGAAGACATCATGTGATGATGTAGGACAACGTCAAGGTGAGTGTGGGATGTGTGTGACAGTTGAAGAAGACATTATATAGTATAATGTGTAGAGAGGTGTGTTGAGAAGAAGGTTGATGAAGAAGGGGAAAAAAAGAAGGAGAAAGCTGGGGGGAAGGGGGGTATTTATATTCCTGGCTCTCGCACTAGTGGACCGACTTGCGTCTCGCTTGTTGATGTTTGCTTCTCGCCAAAAGCTCTGAATGTTTGCTCCAGCGCCGGTGTGTTGTGGGTGGCTGCCTGGCAGAATATTTGTTTGTGTCAGTGACCATCTAAGAAGCCTGAGAAGTGCCTGGAAGGGCAATTCCATTCGATTCTACAACTAGGACACACCACTCGCAACGTCGATCCCAAGGCGTTGCATGTTATGAGGACACCGTAACTGGAAACATGAATGCGAGACATGTGAATGACAGGAAAATGCTATGTAGCCACCATATATCAGGAAGAAGAGGTCAGACGTGATCCGAGTGGTCCAATATTGAATACAAATTACGATATCAAATGCGTCCGTCAGATCGAATAGCGAGAACATCCATTGACCAGTTCAGGGTTCCTGCATCTTCCATCGTCTTGGGTATTCAAATAGCAGTGGAATCAAGCAGATATGTTGTCTTCATACCTCTCGAGTTGGCAAGATATATCGTGAACCCAATCGGCAGTTTGGGTGGAGAGGATCCACATCGTTGGTCCGTGACTACTCGGCAGACATCTATAGGGATCATTTGGCAGACATATCGCACTTCTTGCAATACAAGCTGTTATATTGACATGCTGTATCTATATACGCCCAGCCAAAGTAAGTTGACACTTGAATCTGTCATTGACGGGATTGAAAGCCGCTGGTGGGCGAGGCGCGCTGATGCCCACTGCCACGCGAGGTTAACAAATCCTCACGGGGAGACGCGCCCGATCATCACATTCGAAACTCAGTCTCAGGAGTGACCCTCAACTGCCACGTGACCTTCACCAGAAAGCAAAAACTTCGGACGGACGCGCCAGGACTCGCAGGTTTTGCTGTATGCATCATGAGTCTCGATATATCTGGTGGCTAAGTACCTCACATCACATCTCCGGCTCCTCGAAGGAACGATGACTTGACAGCACGATATTAACTGGAGTCCGTCCACACTACAGTCTGGTCGACTCTGGGATTGCCCAGCTTGGAACACTTTCAAATTTCCAGAATTTCACTGATGTCTAAGTCCCCGGTCATCTCTGCTTAGCGCACTCACACTCATGAGACCATCATCATTATGTGGCGAGGCCAGCACTTTTGCGTAGCCAACACAAGTGAGCAGCCCACGCCACACGTCAAACTCACCCGCTGTCGTCAACTCAGCCATTGATTTGGAGGGTCAACATGAGCCTGCTCAATGGAAAAGCCGCGATGGTTCTGTGTGCACAGTGACATTCGAATAGCTGCGATTGAAGGACGGTTTACCGGCAGTCTACGCTACTACGCCCGGGCGGCTGTGGCCGCCCTTATGAAACGGGGAAGTCGCCGTGCCGATCATCGAAGAGCACGTGGTCCTCTTTGTCAATGCCGGTGGACCTTCTTACGGCCAACGGATGCTTGTCTGATCCCCGACAACAGTGGTGACCTGGGCTCGAGGTCTGTCCTCGGCACGAGTTCAAGCTACCCGAGTCACTTGCTGGGCTGTACAAAAGGGTGAAGAGGAGGTGGTTGGATTTGACATCAACGGACTCGCCGTCTGGATCTGTGGACGGCGTTTGAGAATGCTTGCTGACGAATTGTCATGTCAAGGTCCAGGGCCCAGACTCGATCCTTCGGACCTGGCTTGTGCGCGCCCATGGGCAAGTCCCGTCGTCTCCATTCTCGGGCACTGGGAGCAGCCGTCGCGACTCTCACGGACAATCTACGGCTCGACCGCGACCTTCCCGGTTCCTCGAATTTGGCGTTGGAGGGCAGCAGTCCAAGGCAAGGCCAGCACGTTCGCCTATACAAGCAAGTGGGGAGTGGTGTGGTCTGCAAGGATCATTGTATCGGTACTGCAGCGGGAATCCTATCAGGACGAGTCTACCGAATAGTCGAGTCCGCACATCAACGGCATGTGCTCAGCTCCCCACGTGATTGGCCCTTGCCAAGGCACGCCATGCTGGTTGTGGCAAAGCTTCACTGACGGACGTGTCAGCGCTGATTGGCGGAACCTGGATGACTAAGTCCTCGGGCTTCCAGCGGAATTGGCACATGACCCACTCTCGTTTACCGGCTCCTCAGGTACATCCTCCAGCTTTCCCGCCAAGCGCCACTGGCACCGTTCTTTGGCAGTTCGCGAGAATCCAGATTGGAAGGCTTGGCGAGGGCCAGTCTGGGTGTTTGTCATGTATAGTGCTCTTGGTAATCTATGCGTCAGGCGCGTAATTTCCCTCCAAGTGAACAGCAGGCCTGTACGGGAGAACTCACCAAAGGGTCTTCTTGATGACAAGCACACCGGCATCTGAATGATGGAGACGGGGTGATGTACTATGATCATCAACCCAATTCCCTGCCTTACCGAGTTCCGGTATGCAAGAAGCCCCCGATCCTGCATCCACGACTCCACCACGAAAGCGGAGCTCTACAGGGCCCGTGATGCACTCTGGGTGCTCGGGCCTTATTTTAATTAGACTGTCAACGACCCTATGAAATTCCGATGCGCTGCCATGTGCATCCAGAGATCGTCGCCCGTTTGCCCGCCTTCCCGATTGAGCTCTTGTAAACAACCCGACATCCTGAGGAATGCTCTCCCACGTGCCTCAGGATATTTTCCTACCTTTCTTCAAACCTCACAATGCACGTGGCGAGGAATCTCGAATATAAAATGCTTGGATTCCCAGCAGCCACAGTGATCGCTCCTTCTTTTTACTCACCACATCTCAATTGCTTGGATTCCGAGTCAAGCCCTTCATCATGAAGACCAACTCTCTTCTCCCCCTGCTGAGTCTCTCCGGCGCCGCTGTTGGCGCCGCTGTGAACAGCCACAAGCAGACTCCCTTTGGCTACACCTCCGGCTCGAAGGAGTCGATTGCCAACATGAAGGACAAGGTCGAGAATGTGGTCTGGATTCTGATGGAGAACCGCGGCTTCGACAACATTCTGGGAGGCGTCCACAAGAAGGAGCTTGACAACGTCGTCAACAATGGTCCCTTTTGCAACCCTGTCTCGGTCGCTGATCCCAAGGGCCAGACGATGTGCAGTCAGTTCAAGGACTTTGACTCCGTCACCCACGACCCGGACCACTCGGTCACCGGTGTCAACTTTGAGCTCTACGGCACCTGGAACCCTGATAATGCGGCCATTGCCAACGGCACGCTGAAGCCCAACCTGTCAGGATTCGTCCAGCGTCAGGCAGAGCGATACAAGATCGACGACAAGCTCGCCACTGAGGAGGTGATGGGTTACTACTCCGAGAATGAGATCCCCACCATGGTGGATCTGGTGAACGAATTCACTACCTTCAACTACTGGCACTCGTGTGTCCCCGGTGTATGTCATCCAAGCTCCATGAGCTGCAATCCATAATGCACTCCCGGTTGACCTGAAAATCACTGACTGACATCTTTTGAATTCAGCCTACCAACCCGAACCGTCTGTGTGCCGTCGCTGGTACCCCTGACGGTCACGGTACGAACGACAACGACTTCGACGTCTCCGCCATTCCCATTAAGAGTATCTTCGAGGTGGCTTCCAGCAAGAACATCACCTGGAAGAACTACGATGGCACCAACGGCGCCTTCCTGTCCGACGCCATGTTCTTTGAATGGACCGCCGCCAACGCCAAGTCCAACGTCGTGCCTCTCGAGCACTTCTTCCAGGATGCTCTCCTCGGAACCCTCCCCAAGCTCTCCTACATCAACCCCTCCTGCTGCGGGATCGACACCAACTCCATGCACCCCTCTGGCCAAATCTCCACCGGCCAGGTCCTCCTGAAGCAGATCTACGACTCTCTGCGCGCCAGCCCCCAGTGGGAGAAGACCATGCTGCTGATCACCTTCGACGAGACCGGTGGCTTCTACGACCACGTTGCTCCTCCCTTGGCCGTCCGCCCCGACGACAAGACCTACACCGAGACCGCCAAGGATGGCAGCGTCTACACTCTCAACTTTGACCGTCTCGGGGGCCGTATACCCACTTGGCTCATTTCTCCTTACGCCGCCAAGGGTCACGTCGAGAACATGGGTGTTGACCCCGCCACTGGCGAGACCTCCTCCTACTCTGCCACTTCGGTCCTGAAGACTCTGTCTTATCTCTGGGACATCGAGGACATGTCTCCCCGCGTCTCCCACTCTCCTGCCTTTGATCACTTGATCGGTCCCAAGGCTCGCAAGTCTGCTCCTCAGACCCTGGCCGTTCCTCACCCTTTCCCGGAGGCGGTTTAGGCCGCGACATGACTGATGTGTAATGGTGGATGGTTATGTCTTCACTTGATTTCTTTCTTACCGTTACTTTTCATCCCGGAATTTCCTGGACATAAACTTTATCATAGACCAGCTATAAAACAACACCTTTTTGCTTTTTGACACAGACTATCCAAGTACGACTGACAAGCGTATAATTACTTTTGCCACCAGCGTAGCCCGTTCCATCACGCTAAGCCCAGAACTTGCTCGATCAATACTGTGCAGATATTTGATCGACTCATATTCGCTACTGGACGGTGCATTCATTGACCAGCAATTCCTCCTTGACACGAATACGTTGTAATCAACGGCCGTGGTCCTTCCAACCGGTGAGCTGAAATGGAGTGGCGGTACTACACACCTGTGGCACACCCGACGGCTCAGTGCAGCAAACTATATTCGCGATGGAACACACACCTTCGCCCATGCCAGTCCAAGCCCAGATGTCGAACGTATAGCCCTGTGCACTCCCCCTCAGCACCTACCTAGTCTGAGCCCACGACTCCAAAGCGGCACGAATAGAAGTCCGGTGTCTTTGAAACTATTACAATACGCTTTCGACGGCGCTTGTGGAATATACCATGCGCTCTGCTCTGAACGGAGTCCCGAATATTGCACGCGCAAGGGATTATACACGATCAAATTACATCTCAGCTCAAGGCGCGTGCTTGAGCTGGACATTGGTCAATAGTGCCTGGTGGGATGGTCGTGCTTGTGAGCGCCCCTTGCAGGTTGTTTGGATGGATATAGTTTGTGCGTCTAGTTTGCTTGCTGGGATTGACGTCGTATTCTGTGGAACAGTGAAATAGGGGGGGGGGGGGGGGGGGGGGGGGTAACCAGGGAGGCTCGGGTGTTCCATGGTTGAATGAATGGGAGATTCATAGTCCAGGCCATGTTTTTATTTATGGTGCGGTGACGGACTAGGAAGTGGCAGCAGGTGCTACGCAATGATCTGGGTGGTGGTGCATGACATGTACCGAAGCAACGTTTGAGTGGTGGACGTTAGACAAGAGAACGAGATCTTCACTGGGTACGGAGATGTTTTGATCTAAGCAAGCATGGATGGGAACAAGAGCATGGTTTTTCATATTGAAATTTTGCCTTTGATTTGTAAGTCTTACCAAAAGGGTAGACATTGGCTGTGAAAATAAAAGCAAGATGATCATGGTCATCTAGCATACAGGAATATGGAAACTGAAGCAAACTATCCTAAGGAGAACGGAAACTGACTTCCAATGGCGACGGCTTCGGGGCCGGAACATGTGTCTTGCCTTGGAACAGGAAACAAATGGGGAATCACTCACTGTCCCTTAAAGGACAGCAAGGACGAGGATCGCAGAAACAGCGAGCCAGAGAGTGGTAGCCGCCTCGAAAGTAGTGGCAGCGTTGAACACAGCGGGTTGGGTTGGACCAGTCACGGTGTTGAAGGTCTGGTATGCGGTGCTCTCCGCGGGGCGGCTGTAGGCGTCGACCCCGATGCTGGAAGAGTGAGAGGCATGGGCAGTGACAACTGGAACCACAACGGTACTCTCGGACTTGATGGGGACAAAAGTGCCGGTGCTGGTAACGGTGATGGTTGCGACCTTGTTGGTGGTGACTGTGTGGGTAGTGGTGCCAGCGGCCAAAGTCTGGGTCACTGGATAGGACGTGGTTGTCTCAAAGGTAGCGACAGTTGTGACAGGCACGCGGATAGTCTGAGAGGGAATGACTACAGCAGGGACGGTAGGAGTCGAAGGAACCACAGTGACCGTGGACACAGTGCTGTAAACAGACGTGAGGACATGGGTACCCGAGGTGATCATGGAGGTAACGGGGCACACTGTGGTTGTAGTGTCGGCCACAGTGGTGGGTGTGGTACCGTTCACTGGAACAGAGGTATCGCAAGCCTGGGAGCAGGCGGGAGATGTCTTGACACTATTGCTGACAGTAGAAGTCTCCGATTCAGTCACAGGACAGATAGTTGTGGTCAATGGAATGGTGGAGGTAACCACAGTGGTGGAGTCCGCAGGGCAGTTGGTCACAGTGGTTGCACACTTGGTGATAGTGACCTCAGAAGTGGTGTAAATGACCGAAGTGGTCATCTTCTGAGTGCTCGACTGAGTGGAATTCACAATAGGGACAGTGGTAACACCGAGAGTGCCAGTGAGGGGGGTGCTGGTGGGCTCAGCAGTGGTCTCCGTCGCATCAGGCAGGGAGATGTTAAAGGTCACACGAATCTCCGAGGTGGTGGTAGGAACGGGCACAACGGGGGGCAGGGTAATGGTGAGGTTAAAACGCCCATCCTCAGTAGTGGAAGAGGTCACAGTCGAGGTTGCCACCAAAGTCTGGTTATCACTGGTGGGCTGAGGACCAGCAGTCATTGCACGAAGAGCCACATTGGGCAAGGCACTGACCACCTGGATGGCAACCAGGACCAACGCAAGCGCAAGCTTGAAGAACAACTTCATCTTGACGAAAAGCAAATGAACGAGTGACTAAAAACCCAAAAACAAAAACGAGTGCTCGTTGAAGTCAGTAGAGTTTAGAAAACGAATGGATATGCAAGAAGTAGACGAATGCTCATGACTTACTGTGGAGTCTTTCGTTGCGGGAAAATGAACCTATGATAGGGAGCAGAAGGATCGAGGAGAAAGATTTGAAGAAGGAGGAAAAGAGAAAGAGAGATTCGAGGTTTAAATAGTTTGTGGGACACGTGCGTGGGAGGCAAACATTCGGAGTAGGGCAGAATCAACAACACAGGGGAACACGTGCGTGGGAAACAAACATCCACGAAGAACGCAGAAAACGACAACGTGTGAGACCAATTGAATCTCGATGGGCAAATAGTCTGAGACGTGCTTTTGGAGAACATCTACTTACTGAGCATTTCGGAGGAAGCTGGGCCGAGGACACTCATGAAGGGTCTTCTGCTACCTTCCATGACCATTACCAGGCTTTCTGCTTGGACATCTCTCTCACAAGCTACAGAAAACTACCAGAATATTGTTGATATTTACCTGGCGTGGTTCACGCTGGATTCAAAGCGATGGCTTGAAAATTGTGGCTCGTAGTCTTTCCTGCACTCTGACGCCAATGCCCCCCACTTGCGTTACGACCTACCTAGTTTTATTCCAAAATTAATATCAGCGTGGCGGAAAGTACCGGAACGGTTTTCTTTGACGCAAACCAAGTGGTTTTGATGGGATCGTACTGAGAGCAGCTTTTAGCAAGTACGTAGCAGGCACACTTCGGGAAATATGGAAAGACCAGCTCGGATATTTATGTCGAAACATATTTTGTTCACACTCCCTTTAGCAAACTCGTCTTCCAATACACTCAAAGAGTCATGACAGATTCGACATGCGACATCGTCATGTCAAACAAGCATTCACTCATCCCACGAGAGCAGCCGACTCGGCATTCATATTTGGCAACATGTACACATCAGACTTTGTCGTACCAAAGAGATCCATGGAAAAAGGACACTCAAGGTCAGCCTGGTCATACAGCAGGGCTCATAGGTGCAGGACGAATACTGAAATGTGCCAGCATATTTCATGAAGTCAGTAGGTGATGCCTCGTAAATTGTTCCATTAGAACAGCTTCACTGACAAGGCCAGGCTACATTTATTGCACGGTACGCTGCTAGGGAAGAGGAATTTGTCCAGCTTGGCGAATGCCGCACCACTTATTGTAAGAGAGTAACTACTTAGTATTTTTCACCATGCCTTGACTCTAGTGGAACCACCAAAGACAAAAGACTACCATAGCAAATGTCGGCATGGGAGGCAGATATGATACCAGAGCAACTCATCCACAGAAGCCTTGTGGTTATGAAGATAGATTTTGTTGATTCTGATGGCATGAGTAGAAATGAATACCTGAATATGAATCAGGAACCCCAAAGATGGTCCGTCGAAGAGTCAAGAACACGTGTTAGATACATTTTGCGAGAGCTCCTCGATATAAACAAATTGAAGTGTATCATCTTGCTGGTTGATCTTTTTCAACATGGTCAAATAAGCTTTTTAAGAGCTCAAAACTTGGTGAGTCTTCACAGAAAATGTGCGATTCCCGGCCAGGCGGTTGATGCTGGAGACTGTCTCGGAATGCTCTTCTCTCCATCTACCTTGAGAACAGTATACAGCGGCAAGCTGGTCGATGTTTCTTAGAGTATTGGGATGATCTTCGCCGAGCTGAATCCTGCGTACCTGGATCAAGAACTCGTATACCTTCTTTGCTTTCAGCCAGTGGCCTTGATAATGATATACCGACGCCAAATTTTCACGACTTGCAAGGGTATCAGGATGGCTCTCCCCGAATTTCGCTGAGCGGGCTCTGCTTCCTTGTACATGAAGCTTCTCAGCTTCTGTCCACCGACCGAGTCGTCTCTTCGTGACCTCTAGATTCTCCTTGCCTCTGAGCATATCAACATGATCCTTCGAAAATACCATCCTGCGGGTATTGAAGACATTCAAATCGACTTTTTCGGCCTCCATGAAATGTCCCTGGAGGATGTATGTTGCGGCAAGCTCAGACATGCTCATGAGCGTGTCGTGGAGGGTTTCGCCAGGGCCGTTCATGCATGATTCCACCATCTGAACCTGAAGCTTTTCAGCCTCCTCAAGATTTCCCTCCGCACGGTATGCATGTGCGAGGATCAATTTCTCCGCAAGTACTTCAGTAGCATTTGAGCCGATCAGCAAGATCGAGGCGAACTTTCTCACAGCCAACCACATGACTCGCAAGGACCCAGCGTATCCAAGTGTCTGGCGATTGTAATCGAATGCGGTGACAGTACCCGACAGCAAGTTGTGTTTTGCTGATGTGTGAATTAGCTTGAAGGCAGCTTCAAGCGGATCACAGGGCGACTATATGTTGCCTACTCTATGCCACCGGTACCCACGAGGACTGTTCGAGCCTTGAGTTGATACACTCTTGTGGATCTGGGTAGGAAGCTCATCACGACGAATGAAATTTCGGTCGCCCAACTAGAGTACCGTTGATAGAGGGTCCGGACGTATTTCTGGTGACTCTGCGACATTCACCGGTATCAGAGACGGGTCGCTTCGCCACTGTTAAGAGGATTACATGACTCACCAACATTCAGATAATACTGCGTGTTGTTCATAGGGGCATTGTTTATCACGACTTATACACCGCTGTTCATCCCCGAGAACTTCGCAGACGTCATCAGAACATGCCAAGGAAATGAACCGTTGGCGTCGTTTCGTGACTACACAATAATGAGGATCTGGCCCCCAAGGGCGATCAAGGGGAATTCGTGATTCATCATCAGGTGACCCCACACCGGTACGTGCTCAAGCACATGCTCGGGAGAAGTAGGATGGGTTGCCTCGTGCGGCTGAATCACGTACCCCCGCACGTGTTGTGATCGACTACCTCGTCGGCGCCGGCAGTTCTCGCATATATGTGCTCCTTGCGTGTAGTTCAAAAGGGCAGATATTGACAGATATTGAAACCGACACTGAGCTTCGATGTGTACTCGGGAACAGTACACCGTAGGCTGGATCTGCGCCATCACAACCGAATATGTCGCCGCGAAGCAGATATTGGACACCGTAAATGACCCTGTTTCCCCTGTCGCACAATCAGAGGAACACCTACACTTTTGGCAAAGTTGGGAGCCACAATGTTGTCATCTCGGTCTTACCGATCAGAGAACACAGAATATCGTCAGCAGCACGTGTGGCCGAAGAAATGATTCACAATTTCCCGAATCTTCGCATCGGCTTGATGGTTGTCATAGGCGGCGGGGCACCCAGACCGAAGCACGATATACGCCTTGGGGAAATCGTTGTGAGCACTCCCCACAATGATCACGGCGGTGCTTTCCAGTATGATTTTGGAAAAACGATGCGACACCAAATTTTCCAGCAAACAGGTTTCCTTGATCAGCCACCTACTGTTCTTCGCGCCGCGGTTTGTGAGCTCCGAGCACAATATATGAGCGACGGTCACGCCGTCGATGATGTGGTCAGCAAAATTCTGGAAAAAGAGCCAAGACTGCGAAGGGATTTCGAGCGCCCAGACCCTGCCACGGATCTTCTATAGGAGGCTCAAGTCGTTGCATCCGAAGGACAGTGAAGAACCTTGCAACGTGAAATGTGGCAGCGATCCATTTTTCTTGTGACACGTGATCCACGTGGCGAGAACGACGCCAATCCTGCGATTCATTACGGAATTATAGCTTCAGGAAACCACCTTATGAAGAACGCCGTAGTGAGAGATAAACTGGCAAGGGAAAAAAATGTTCCTTGCTTTGAGATGGAAGCCGCAGGACTCATGGATCGTTTTCCATGCCTGGTCATTCGAGGCACCTGCGACTATGCAGACTCGCACAAAAATAAGGCCTGGCAAGGGTCTGCGGCTACGGCCGCAGCTGCATATGCAAGGGACTCTTTATATCAATTCAGGCCGCAGCAGGTGCAGGAGGGGACAAAAGCGGTTGAAGCTCTCAAGACTTCCTTTCGGGGGGACCACATTGACACGCTCAGATTCGAAGGGCCCAACTCTGGCATGCAGATCGGCGTGAACAAAGGCGAGGTTCACACGCGCTGAATAGACAATTCGCCTCTTTCAGCTGACATCTGAGACTATCAAGAATGGTTCCAAATCACCTTTGCTCAAGGGCTCAAGCAAGGAATGGCGCGGAGCTGAATTTGAAAAACTCCTCTCTTGTGGGCGATGATGTGTGCAACGGACTTGTCGGAACATATCTCTGGCAAGGCTGGCGGGACGGATCGTTCCGGTCCCAGTGAAGCCACAAATGTCTGTTCTAACCTCTGCGCAATGGTTCTCCAATCAATCGAAGATGTTGACAACTATTCGGATTTCGAATTCGACTTCAAATGCAGAAGTCTTCAGTCTGATGCAAGGTTATCACAGAATAACGGGCGATGGCCCTTCCTCGACATAGCCGGTCGCGAGACAAGTCCAAGAAGATCATGAATAATAGCCGCCATTGCATTGGCAGCCGTCACTGCGATGCACACCTGTTGATCCTGGACTCAATAACTTGCCGTAACAGCTCAGTCTAGTTTGTACGTGTCGACACTGTAACACGCAATGGGTGTGCGGTGCCATTGTTGAGGTTGCAATTCTAGAGCTCCAGTCCAAGGCGGTGGGAAAAGTATGAGGCTGTCCTCAGTCAGTCTTCAATCTGTGAGGAATTTTTCTTTTCAAGCATAATAGTCCGCCAGCAGTCGGAGATGAGGGTGGACAAAGCTTTCCCCGTCCTCTTTAATCGCCGCAAATTACATGCGATTCTTCAAGCGCCACTTCTCTGTGCTGTTTTTGTTGCTTATCTGCCGGGGCAATTATCACGTGACCCGTCGCCCTTTTCTCCGAGAGTCCACTTTGACGTGTGGCACTGCGGGGACAACGGCTTGTCCACGACCGTTGCTGCATTTCACGTTCTTTCAATCGACAGGGGGACAATGCCACTTCAAGTAGAGGTGTTCTGTATGGCATGAGCATTGGTTCATGCAATGCCTCGCAAAACGCACACCAAGTCGCGATACGGATGTGATAATTGCCGACGCCGACGAGTCAAATGTGATGAGCAAGGCCCGCCCTGCAATAATTGCGTGTTACGCCGACTGCCCGACTGCAGGTACTCCCGCGTTTTACCGGCAAACCTTCTCGGCAACGGTCGTCGAGACAGTCATGAAACCAATTCGCAGCATTCGAACTCTCTCAGTCCTGTGCCGGCAATAGCGTCGGCTGGAGTCTCACCGGCCTCTTTGCCCTTGACTTCCCAGCCAGTGGATGATTTGGAGCTTATGCTTCAGTTCACCACGGAGACGTATCAGAGTTTATGCATCAGTGACTCAGAGTCGGTCGCATGGCAAAAATCAGTGCCTCGCCTGGCTCTTGCTCATCGGTACTTGATGTATGGAATTTTCTCGCTGGCATCGCTTCACCTTGCCACAACCACTACGGACCCAATCCGCGCGCGTCTCTATGTGGATGCTGGTCTCGAATACCACAGCAAAAGTCTGGAGCCGTTTCGTGTTGCGCTCGATAATCTGAGCTCAGAGAATTGCGACGCGGTCTTTGCAGAGTCGGTCGTGACGGCGGCAATATGTCTTGCACTGCCCCAATTGACCACGGGACATGAGATCGAAGGCATGATGATCAACAATGTGGTCACTGCTTTTCAGCTCCTTCAAGGTGTCAAAAAGATCCTAGTCCTCGGCCGCGGCTGGATCAAACTTAAACTTTTCGTCAATGGCGACTTTTGGCGCGATACATCCACAGAGCTGGACCAGGATACCCAGTCCGCATTTGAACAACTATTCCTTCTCAATGATCAGATTGATTCTGGCGCAGACCAGACACGGCACAACCGACACCGAGACATCATTAAGCACCTGAGACACTGTTTCATGAAGTTTCTTTTATCCCCTGATCCCGCACCCGTTCTTGCTTGGCTCGGTGCAGTCGACAATGAGTTTGTGAATCAAGTTCAAGGTCGCTCTGCGTTTCCGCTTCTGATCCTTGCGCATTGGGGAGTTCTTCTTGCCAAGTTGGACGGGAAGCGTTGGTGGGCCCGTAATGCTGGCAGGGCACTCGTGGATGAAGTCATGAGCGTCTTGGAAAGAGGCAATTTCCCTTGGCAGACATGCATGGGTTGGGTGCGACGAAGAATGGCTTTGCATGAACATTTTATCACTAGAGTAGATTCGGAAAATAAAGCTCTTCTGCATTGAGTCGAAGGTTTTAATGGAGCTTTACGGTATCTATGAGCGCCGGGAATCCTGAGCATATGGGCAATCTGACCGTTGCTGATTCCGTGCCGCGAATTCGATATCTTGTGGAAATCAGTAAAGGGATTGCTATGACGGGGTAGAACGCGGGAATTGGCAATGCGACGAGTTGAAAATGACGATGTTCCATTACCACTAGGCGAACTCGAGTGCTCACCCTGACTATGGACATGCCATGGCCGGTTCTGCCTTATGCAGTGAGCTTGTCTGCGACCAGTTGGAGTTTTGCGACAGCTTCTTCAAATGCACTTGCAGCAAGCAGAACCTCCCGAGCCGAGTCCACCAATACCTTGTTTGGATTACTTTGAGTCTTCTCCCTGTCAATAATATCCTCGATCTCGCCTTGCAAGAGATCGATTCTCTTCTCCGTTCCCAGCTCTTTAATGCAATAAATTGTCTCCGCGATGGCACGTGTCGAAACTCTCCGCAATTCATGACAAGCATCGGTGACGCTTTCGTCAAATTCCTCCCAGTGTTCAACCAGATCCTTCCATTTTGGAACGAGTCGATTTCGTGCCCCTCGAGACATTGCAAACTTGTTGGCGCCATCTCCTCGGAGAGCGATCCAGGCGTAAGCGTCGTTCAGCTGGCCCTTTCGCGGGCCCTTGAGAAAGAACACTTGGCCCAGACTCATCATGCGGTCTTCGTCATGATCTTCCCCAATCTGGGAGATCTCGTCCATCGTAGCCAGGGTGAGTTGGACGCCGGGCCCAATGATAGATGGGAGAGGTTGATCGAACTGGTTGAGGTAGCCGACGATGGGGACGTTGTTGACCACTTGATGGCTGTTGATGCCGTGTGCGAGCCAGTCTCCGGAAGGGAGCCGCGTGGAATAGGTCTTGCGATAGTATTCTGGATCTGGGGTGCTGACTCTGACGCGTTCGGAGAATGCGGTTCCTAGTGGAATATTCCTCTCCGGGGAGGGCGTGCTCTTGGATCGGCGTCGAAACACGCTTTGAACTGAGCGTGTACTTGAACTTGAACTTGAATCGGAGCTCGAGCTCGAACTCGTACTGGTGTTGCCGGCTGGACTTGAGCTTCTGGGTGTTGTGAAGCTGGAGGGAAGATCCGACATGATGGCTGAAAGGTCGATAAAAATGCTGCTGCAAATTTGTGGAGGAAATTTAAGGGAAAGTTCCACGATGCTGTGGTAGAAGCCCGATGGGTTTGTAGATGGGGAGAAATGAAAATTTGGATTCTCCCGGGCTGAGGAGGCATCGAAGGGGAGATCACACGGTCAGACCTTTGTTTTGGTGGGAGTTACACGAGGATCTTCCTTTATTTCTTAGTGCATTTTTGTCGAGCCGAACCACTTTGGCTTCCTCGCCTTCCCCTTCACCGTACGCAGTTCACAGAGTGTGTGCTCCATTAGACTTTCTTTACTCACCGCGGTGGCATTACACCAGCCTCACAACGTTAGTAGGCTTCGCTCACGAGACCCATGGCGATGGGCAACTCGGAGTCATGCAACGGGCAGACAAGTGAGGATGCCGTGAAGGAAATACAGCCCTCCACGGCCGATTCATTCCCTTCTACTTCTCTATATCCCTTCTCGTCTCCAGCGTCCACCCCTTCCAGCTTCATGCCTGGTAGACCACTCCAACCCAGTATCTACGGTGACAAGAAGGGTCCGCGGGTTGAGAACGGTCTATGGCTAGCCGCTGGTATACCCCAGCAGTACCTGATCAATGGCATTCCCATAGCAGGAGTCATCAACGAGCATGGCATTCCCCGTCCTTCCCTGAGAGGCTCCGGCATCTGGCCCTGCGAGGAAACAATCGAGGAAATCACTCGAATGCTAGAAAGTGACGATCTACCTGGTCTCCGAGAAGCAAAGTCACTCGTCCATCTTGGTGGACGGCGAACCTTCCAACTACGTGATGCCTACGTATGGATCGCTCTTCGACAGTACGATGACGGGAGTTTCGTCATTTCGGAATCCGCTCGAAACAAATTTGCCCCCAAGTGGAGAGAGCTCTTAGACCCAGAGAGTGATGCACCTGCACCAACTGTTTTCGATCTGCGCAAACCTCGGCTGAGAATGGCTCAATGGCGGGAGGATGAACGGGGAATGGAGCAGATTGTCAAGCAATTGAATGCATTGAGCGCGGACGTCGCTCGTCTTGCGCATCAGATCGAGTCTGTAACGCATATTTTGAAGTTGGCAAACCTCGATAACGAGCAGTCTGCGCGGGCTTCGCACGTCCAGGCGGAACTCGGGCAGATGGAACTGAGCTGATGGGTTTGTTAGAAGAATTCAGGCAAAAAGGGACTTGATCGAGCCCAGCTTGTGCCAGTCTCGGGTGGGTGTCTTCTGGGCTTAGGAAAACTTTCTGATTGCAAGAATCTATTCTGAACGTGGATCACCGGAAGTCAAACTAGGTGATCGTGGGGTGTGTGGCCGCAATCATATCGAGGGGATCTGCGAGTTATCTTAAATTCTCCCTGACTTTCACGATTACTTTGGAATGAAAGTTTCTATATGAAAAAAGAGAGGTGCTGCTCGATTACAACCGGATGTAATCTTCGGCCAGACGTGATACACTCATATGAAATTGGAGTCGAGGTGCAGATTCTTACTCCAAGTTCAAACAGCTCGTCATAACGTAGTTTCTTCGACGAGCAACAATCTGAACCAGAAGTCAGTCGTCGAGAAATCTTCTGCTTTCGTCCCGCTGATCCACTTTGCCGAGCGCCTCTCAGATGAGGGCTTTGCGTCGCCTGCGGTCTTGGCCACATATGAGTTCGATCTCGTCGGCCTGGACCATCACACGACGCAAAATGGGAAACACCAGTTGTTTCTAGACATGCTTTCATGTTCCTATGTCGGTTGGTGAACATGCCAGATATTGATCGCACGGCCGAATCAGATCATGCTCTAGGTATTCTGACAAACAGGCGAGCTCTTCATTGGCACTTGTTCAGGTCTTTCAAGTTTGGACCGTCCAGAAGAATGATAAGGTGCTCAAAGATTCAAGCAAGTCATTTTGGCTCTCTCACCCGAATGGAGGCGTTCGAGGTAGGGAACTCCATATGCAATCTCTCCTATAGTCGCTTTTGCTGCTTCTGGTATTCTCAGATTGGGATGGTGGCTCGTCAAGCTCCCAACCTGTTGAAATATTCGACAGAGACAAGGGCTGAATATTTGTAAAAGATCTTGTTGTCGAAACAGGACTTGCGTCGCTAAGTGGAGGAGGAGCTCCGCTCTCCTCTCCGTGACCGATGCAAATCACCGTGGAGTGATTAGCCCTTCTTCTGCCTTGCATGGGCAAGCGTTGTCTGTCATCGCAATGTATTTATAGACCAATTCGAGATCTTTCGAGTTGTTGCCAGACAATTTAGCTTGTGCTAGATTGAATAACGCGTCCAGATTCAGTGAGTCGTCATTGTAAGAATAAGCGTGAATCGTGAAAGGTGGATACTGCCGCCATACTGGATATAGATGGTATCGGGAGAAGTTTTTATTTGAACTAGGGCAGAATCTCGTCTTTGATAGATGCGTGTGGATGCTCCTCCGTCAAATCGGCTGGCTCGTCTTAATGAAAAGTCATTCCCATAGTGGTCTGCTCACCGTGCTCAGGTCTTCGGTATGAGATTCCCCAGATGACCACCTGCATGTTGCTCATGTGAGCTCCATGATGGCCATGCAAACATGACAGAAAGGGGTCTTTCGAATCTTTCAAGGTCCGGTCTTCTCACAGACTCTTCACCTTCAGAAGTAGCTATGGCCAGTGTTCGCATGACATGTGATTCTGCCGCTCACCACAGTCCATAGCTTAGGTAGAATCTCTCCCCCATAGCAATCTCACTCTTCATCCCTCTCACACATCGATACTGCTGCCCCTACAGTAGCCGTATCTCATCAGTCCGACGCTGCCCATCTCGCGCGACGAGGTGAGCTTCGATCACACGTTTGGAGAGAATCTGCTGAGGATTTAAAGTGGCATCGCAGATACTACACCGCCATTTTACACGGTCAGGTGGCTTCTTGAATTTATGCTCCGCTCAAAGCTCTGAATATTGATACTTTTCGGGGGCATTCTTGCACTCGGGATGTGTACATTCATAAGAGCGCATATCCACGAAAGCGGCAGTGCTGTTCAAGTCGGTCAGAACCGTTCTTGACAGGAGGATTATAACTGAAGAGTACCTCCGCTCAGTCTCCTTTTGCATGAAATTTATTCGCAAGCGGTGTCCACGGCGGGACGTAGCGTTTCCATGTCATGGTAGATAAGGCACTTTCAATCCTTTTTGCACATTTGCTTTAGTGACCTCGGCGGGTGATTCGGTCTCTCGCGGTAGGAAATCGAAGATTTCCGTAGTGATCAAGCACTCAGACGTAGCTACACCGAGATCGTAGAAGAGAGAGGAGGGTAGAAGCGAAACTTGGCTATCATTGCTGTCTCTTTTATGCCCGCAATTGAATTTCTCGGCAGCCTGAAGTGCGTTGATACTATACTCATTGTCCGATGACGATTCAGATGCGTCCGCAGCAGAGAGTGTCACAGTTGCCTTATGTGGTTGAACTGAGAGCTCCTCGTTCATAATGGGCAGGTATATGCCTGCCTTCGACCGAAACGCCAGAGAAACGTCGTTGTTCTCGACAACGACCCTGAGATTTCCGCCAATTGCACTGTGAATTCCCCCACATTGATCTTTACGTGAGCCGAGCGATCCATTTTTTTTCATGGAGTTGGGTCGGAGGAAATTTCTCTACCCGTAGTGGCATGTTCATCATATCCTTTCCTAGATCGTCTTGACTACTACCACGGGGTAGAGATCAGAGCTCTTAATTCTAAATACTGACGAAAAATGAAGTATAGGTCACGCAAAGGAATTCAACAAAACCCGAGGTGCAACCCAAACCCAGTGGTCGAGCCTCTCTTTTGACTTATTCGTCGTCATATCCCATGAGACAGTGAAAGTACAATAGTGACACGAGGCTCAAAGCACCGACTTTGGTTTGATAATTATGCTTCGATGGTGGGTGTGTGGTTCTGGCGAGAGAGGCATACGAGCAAGCACATGATTACCGACACCTCGCGGTTGATGTGAGAAAGCTAAACCCACCTCAATGCTTCCGTCATGGATTGTCATTTCATTTATGAGCGCGCTCGTGGTGCTACCACTTGCAGAACTCGACAGCCATGACCGGTACATGTCCCCTGAAAAGTCACAATCATCTCCAAATTGCGATGGTCTGCGTGATCCGGCTGGAAGCCGTCGCGGTGGAGTCCTCTGTCGATCGCTCTTGGGACAAAGAAGGTTATCGGCTTCGAGACGGAAGGTGCTGGGACCCACGGTAGTCTGCTATACATCGTTGCAAAGGGTGTTTGTGGCCAAGCCGACCGCCACAGAAATAGAATGTGGCAGAGGTGCGCTGCTGAAGTCATTTGCTCGCACAACGGGCAACGATCGCTAAGCCTGGACTCAAAACTGTGGGCGTTGAAGCATTAACAAAACAAGATTCTGCCCGCAATGGCGCTCAATTCTGCGAAGACTCTCCGTTATCCAAGGATCAAGACGATTCAAGAAGCTAGTGAGACCCTAGTGTCGATGAAGCTGGTTACTTGCAAGGTATTGCCTGTTGGTTACCATGTGGCGCTCCTTGCATTTTGCTCACGTCCACTTTGCGACGAACAGTTGATTCCAATTGCAAGGAAACAATATCTCAACCGAAACAGAGTCGAAAAAACTTGCCTCGAGATGGCTACTTCACCAGGATCATCAGGACCCAACATGCTGTCTGCTGCAATTATGGGTGTTTTCCTCTGCGGACCGAAAGCTGATTTTGTTCATGGTGGAACTTGTTTTGGCAATGAAAGCCAGGCCCGAGGAAGCTTTGGGGAATGCAGAACACTTCCAAGTTGTTGCTTTATCAACGAAAGACTTGACGAGTGTCACAGAAACGCTCCAGGTGAGATTCGTGGAGTCGTGATTGATCACGTGGACACAGCGTTGACCCAGACTGAACAGGATCATATTGAAGGCCTACAATTCCTTGTTCCAATCTCCAGATCCTCTGGCACTCATGAATTGCAGCGCTCGGTCGTGCAGAATACCAAAGAAAACAGAGGTTCAGGTTCACTTCGTCCAGGAAGCCGCTCGTATCCTGCTTCATGCTATGGAAACAGCTTACACCGTACATCGTGTTCATGAAGTCCGTCTTTCCCTGGAACCAGATCTGGACGGAAGTTTGACATAGCTACGATACAAGGTAGCTTTGATCAGAAGACCGCTGAAGCAGCTCTTAGGAGGGCCGTTTTGGGTCGCAGTCAAAGCCATTTTTCAAACCCTGTGACTCAAGCTCCGATCAAGTCTCCATGACCTTTAAAGCGGGCGGTTCTTGCACTAAACGAACACGACGGGACGAGGAACTACAGTCCCCACTTTCACTTTCCGCTGCAAAGCTACTAGTCCATTGCCAACCTTCGCCCAGCACGTGGAGTCGTCTTATTTACCCCAGCCTCCATCTGGTCCTCCGAGCCTGTTCCTGCGGGGCAGTTTCACTCGTGTAGCCGGAGGGTGAGAGAGAGCTCTTCGGCAGTCACAGTACAACCATTGCATCGGTGTGCTGGCCGACAATGAGTGTTGCAGACATCTGGCATGCATTAACGAGGAAGAAAAGTCCGCATCCTCACTCACATCACTCCCACAGCCGATCTTGATGTCTGCTAGCGACGCCACTCATAGTATGTGCCTCTATGAGCGAATTCGATTGGCCAAATGCCTCGTTGCGCCGATTCTACTATATTATGCCACAGCGTGGCTCATGCAAGAGTGGCATACCGACGATATCCACTTTCTGGAGGTGATGAACTAACTCGCTGGCAGGTTTGGCCTCTTCAGCCTTATTCAAGTACATTTGTTGGACGACCAGCATCGGAGTCTCTGGTACCATCTCAGCCTCCTACCAGCAGGCATCCTCATTTCATCCGGAACCCCGTTTTATTCAGGCCGGAGACTATGCTCCTGGAATTGACGTATCAAGCTCCCCTCTCAAGTCTTCAGCAACCGGCTGATCTTGTCCAGGCCACGAAGTTTTCCTCGCGGTATATAGATTACTCGATCAAACTTACCGGTTTATGAGCAAATCCTTCCAGACCATGATCCAAAAATGCCTCTACTGCGATTTTGGGCATGACGGCGATTTCACAAGCTCTTAGCCATAGGAGGCTTTCTGTTAGGATGTTATTGTGGGTCTTAAATATAAGGGGAAGTCATTTTGAGAGTCGCAGTTAGATAATAATGCACTGCATCTGAGGTTATAACGAGCTGAACCTGGCTTGATGGAAGAGGGAGATATATCCTGGCGGTGCTGAATGCCAGAAAAGGAATTGGAGCCAGTCACCTCACCAATGCAATTATTCAGACCCACATAGATGCGCTAGAATGCATTCTAGACTATTGCCATGTGTGTTCATGAACTTGATGTTGAATGATGCTCGGCAACATGTTCCGATCTCTAATGGTCGTATCTAAGTCATAGGGTTGTCCGACTGTAGTACGGAACGTTCCTCGACTGATGGATGGTAAAGCCAGTCAGAACCCAACCGCCTCGCAGGATAAGCCCGACGGAAAACGGGGAACTCTGTGGCCCGATCACTGGCACCTTCTGGAACCCAACCACTATCCCGATCTCCTTTTAGGGTTGGACCTTGGGTCCTTGGCCCTCCACTGATAATCCTACAAAGAGGAGATATATCCACCCGCCACTTTTTGTGATTGTCGCGCTACTGTAAATAGATTAAATACTAAATCCGCTTCGTGGGATAATACGTGGTCCGTGCAATACAGTAATCGTCCCTCCAGCTTATGTACAGTAACTCCACACCGTAAGACCAAAGTGTGAGACTAAGCGCGCTTGAGCCGCATCTTCGTATCAAGATACCGTAACAGATGGTACGAAGATACAGTACGCTTTCTCTCCTGCAGTGGTCACGTGGTGCAACGTTGACATAATCATCCGTCCCCCCCTTTCTTTGGCTCGAGCAACGGGTCGCGTGATCCTCTAGTCTGTGCCGGGAAGATCACTGACCAAGTGCCACGCTGGTTGAGGAGCGTTTGACTCAACTGGAACAATGGTGTCCTACTATCCTCGGTCCTGAAGCTTGGTGTTTATTAATACCTGCAGAGACTGAGGGGTTTCAGGAAGTAGAAGTCACTCGAACGGCGTTCAGTAAGAACTACAGTCTACAGTATTGGCATCCTAATGTTAAAGGTTCCAATGTCCAACAGTAGTAGAGTTGGCTTTTCTCTCCCGCTTAGTCGGTTTCGTGGAATAACTAGGTCAGTCGACAGGAGATTACCATTGCCCTTGACCCAATACTCATGTCAGAGCTCGGCAGAATGCCCCGCATTCCGCTGTCTCCGGTGTCACCGCTGTCACGTCGGACTCCGTCGTGCACCATTGCGCCGCTTCATGAGCCGTCCAACGTGCATCCGTTGACCTTCGAGCCGTCAACTGCGTGAAATGAGCGAAATGGTGCCGCAACTAGGTGATCCTACCCGGAGCGCTCTCTGGTAACGACGGTCGTGTTGAGACGGTTTCCCGATTCACGTTCTCGAGCATTGATCGATGGCGGCACTGCCCGACCTGAGCCAAGACCATGCTGAGTCATTTTGGACCCTGCATCGAGTACCACATCCGAAAACTCTGATAAGCTATTGTTGGTGCAACCATGATGCCATTGGGGCTTTGATTTGCTCTCCTGTCCAAAGGACACGGGGCAGGAACCGGCTTGACCAACATTTCAACTCGACCAGCCCGAGTGCGTTGGTGGTCACGTTACAGCCGTGTGCCGCCTTGACGTCTCGGGACGCCTTACAGGAAGAGGACCGTGGTCCGGGGGAACGGGCGGCGGAGGCTTGAAAGGCGAGTCATGATGACTGCGGGGGAAGGTGTCCCTGACTCCCTGGTCTCACTTACGGTAGTATACCGTAGCTGCACTCCTTAGCCTTAACTAAGGAGTCCGTCCACTACCTAGTGCCTTACTACCTACTGTTACCTACTACAACAGGTTAGGTAATGATGCGACCTTTCTCTAGTCGTACATGTACTTGCAGTAGTGTGGTATCCATGTGTTTATGCGGTCAGATCTCAGTCTTGCATACCAGTGCCAGAGGACGGGAGCTACCTCCGCGGACTACCACCATTTCATTGAGCCTCGTGCCTCGTGCCTCGATTTGCGGGGCCTTGGCTGGCGATCGAAAATAAGAGCACCTGTGAGGCCTGCCAAAGCATGAGGGATATCGTATGATGGTGATACTCTTGATGAGGAACTAGGGGGCAATGCAAGTGCAATCTTCCCGAGGACATTTCGTACTACCCTCCTGAGACTCTGAGAAGACATGTGCACGAGATCTCACACGAAGAGTTTCCCTTTTCGCCCGTGCCAAGACGCCCATAAACGCTCCGTCAGGGACACCCGTTGATGCCCCGCTCCTCTAAACCAATCACCCTTCCAGAGTGGTTCCTGAGCGGATCGGAAGCTCAGCCCCGCTGAGTCAGACGAGTCAGGCGTGGCCCCGTTGTGGGAAGGTTGTCTCGCCTCGTGTGGACTAATTTGGAACCCTCTGAAAGGGTCTGCCGAGAGGGTCCCTTTTTCTCCGAGCCACTTTGGGGTGGCCGCTAGTCCCATTTCAACCCTAGTGTGCTGACGCTAAACCCGACGAGGACGCCAGTTTAATCTCAATGGTGCATCTGGGACTTCGGCCCCCCTTACCCCACAGCTCCATTTTGGGTAAGACACCGCATGACCAGGTTCCGCGTTGCAGGAGAGAGTTTGGGGGCTCAGGGTCGTGGTTGCAAGGCTAAGCATTCAGGAGGTCCAGGAGGCTCGGTTGGCATCCGTTGCCAGACGAGAGTCTGCTCACTCATTCTGCTCGGTGGTAGACACTGGACACAAGAGATGGCGGAGGTGGATTTCCCCTTGATGTACACAACTGTGTACCTTTTGCCCCCCCCCCACTGAAGCATGGAGAACACACACACACACAAGTTGGCCAGTGAGCCGCATTGAATGTATTTGAACTCAGAACAACCAATTTGGGGGCCTGTCTTGTTCGTAGCTCCACCAGATAGGTTTCACGCTGTTGAGCCCCGCCGCCGCCAATTGGCGATTGTCCAGCAGCTCCGGTTCAATCGTTCGTAGAGCTGAAGATGGAGACTCGAATCATAAGCGTGACTGTCGCCAAGAACGCCGGTCTGGCCGAGGCTGACTGACCTTGCGCGCTTTTTTTTTTTTTTTAATTTTCAACTTTCCACCATTTGTTTCCCTCCCCCCCCCCCCGGATCGAACGGTGATTGAAATTCCGTATTTATTCGAGACGGAGCCGTGCGCTCGAGCCAGACTCTTTCTCTGGTTCTTTTTCCTTTCCTCTTGCCTCTCCTTTGTCTTTTCCTTCCATCTTTGCTCTCGTGTGTTTTGCTTTTGGTGAGGGAATTTCGCTCGTAGATGATATCGCTATCCGGGCTTCACTTGCAGACTTCGACGAACCCCCTCGTGCACACATTGCCCGGGCCGAGTCAAGAGCGGAGAGTGTTGCTCACAGCCTTCATTCTTTACCTTTCATGTCGGACTGATTCAATTTGATCCATTATTATCATGCGTCTCCCCAGCGACTCGTGGGCCATACCCGGCAATTCGGCCATCATGCTCGGAGAATCGCAGCCTCGGCCCAAGACCTACCTCAACTACTTTTGCTGCGTCTTGCCGGCGCGGGCCTGTGGAGCCGCATTCACTTGGGAGACTTCGCGAAAGTTTTGGTACAGCTTGTTGACCGTCTCTATCCTCAGCGCCAAAACACTGCACATTTACGCCCATGCCGACTCGATCAAGCTGCGCGACTTGATTCTGTGGGGTCCGACGTTCTTTGTGCAGGATCTCCTGTTCTTACTCTTCGCCTTTGCGCTCGCTCATAACTTTCAGCGCAAATGGTTTCGATATGTGACTGCGACTGCGACGATTGCCGGAGCGTGAGTGATTTCTTCGCAGCGGAAAAGCGAACCGCAACAGGCCTTTGTTTGGAAAGAAGCGGAGGACGAGGAAGAAGAAGTGGTCAATGCTGACGATTTTTGACAGACTTGCTCTCTCTACAATGTCCGCCGCAAACATCTCCTTCTTTTTCACTACCGGAGCCGAAATTCACTGGCGGCAAGCTGGAGGTTTCAACCGTGACCCAGCTTCGATCAACACCCTCATGACCGGCCTGACGGGTCTCGCCATCGTGGACACACTGTTCTTTGTGGGGGCAGCGCTGATGACCCCGTGGATCTACAACGGAGTGGATGCGATGATCTCCATTTGGGGCGCTACGATTAAGGCCATTGTGCAGCCGGTGGCTCCTTATGCCAAAGCCGGCCTTCGCAAGGTGCTCAACCGCTGGGGTAAAGGTCGCGATGTGTTTGAGAGGCTGAAGCTGTATGAAGCAGTGCCCCTGAGCGATTATGATGAGGCGGACGACAAGACGACCACGAGCGGGGCTCCCTTGTTGAACCATCCCTCTCAGGCCTTTGACAATCTCCGTCATCAAGGTGCCCACTGGGCTAGCAACGTCAACTGGAAGCTTTGGCTAACTCGCGCTCTGATCATCGTGCCAACGCTATATGTGTTCATTGTGCGCATATGTCGTCCTTCTATCTCCTCATATGGTTTCCTCTCGCAAACCGTCATCGTCACTCCCTTTGTCAGCGTTGCCGCCGAGAGCGCGCTGGCCAAGGCCTTCCCCGAGCGTGAACTGTACGGCAAGACTACAGCGTTGACCGCAGTGCCTGTATTTGACTGGGTCCCGAAAGGCAAATATCCCGGCTTCCGGGATTGGGAAGACCGATCTCGCTACTCTCACTACAACTCGACCGAGGACCCTCTGCACATCTCCAACTTGGATCTGGAGATCCTGGCCCCAATCAAGAAGGCACTGGACAGCGGCGATGTGAAGATCAAGCACATCTTTGTGTTCAAGATGGAAAGCACTCGGTACGATGTATTCCCACTGAGAAACAGCTCCTATCTCTGGAATCGCCTGGAGACCTCATACAAGGGAAACAAATTCCCCCACGACGTCCAGGATCGCTTGGTCAACTTGACTCGCACTGCGGAACGACTGACCGGACAATCATCCGGGTTCCACCGAAACGAGACGATCAAGCCCTACGGCGGGATCAACATGCACAACTCTTACACTGGCGGCACCTTCACGCTCAAGAGCATCGAGGCAACCACTTGCGGTGTGGAGCCCCTGGTTGTGGATTTCAACCACGAATATGAGCACCACATCTACCAACCGTGCATGCCGCATATCCTCGACATGCTGAGCACATTGACCAACAACAGTCACAGCAAGGACTTTACTCATTGGCCCTGGCGCCCCGCGTTCATGCAATCTATTACCGACACCTACGACCACCAGGATCGCCTCACTCCCGCGCTCGGATTCAAGCCCGAGAACATCGTCACTGTGGAATCGATTGACCAGGAACACGCCAACGACACCTCCTGGACGGCTGAAAAGTTCAATTTCTGGGGATACCCGGACTCGGCTCTCGCCAGCTACTTCAGGACGGCTATCGAAAAGGCTGAGCGCGATCACGAGCGTCTCTTCTTGACTCATTTGACCGGCATCACACACCACCCGTGGGATACCCCGGGTCACAAGTATGAGGAGTTGATTGGCCCGCAGAAGAACGTCTTTGGCGGTGGTAATGATGATTTGAACCGCTACCTCAACACTATCGGTGTGAACGACCGCTGGTTCGAGACTTTCCTGGATATTCTGGAGGAGACGGGTGTTGCCAATGAGACGCTCGTTGTTATGACAGGAGACCAGTAAGTCATCACCAAACCTCATTCTTGAAGCTGGCCTGGGAATCAGACTGATATGTATTGTTAGTGGTATCTCTCTGGTGGAAGACGGAAACGTCACTCCGTACGACAACCCTCTGGAAACCAATTTCCACGTGCCCTTGGTCTTTGTACGTTTCGTTCCTCTTTTCTACATGGTCCTAGCAGCCACTAACTCATGCCACCTCCAGGCCAATCCTCGTCTTCCCGTTCTCCAACTCAATGCCTCTGTCACCTCCATCCAGATTCTGCCCACCATCCTCGATCTCTTGAAGCACTCTGGCTCTCTGGACAAAAAGGGCAGCCGCGCTGTCAGCGACCTGTTGCCCATGTACGAGGGGCAATCTATTCTCCGACCCATCATTACACACAACGACCAGACGCCCTGGTATCAGTTCACGGTCATGAACACCGGTGGCTCCCTCGTCGCCATGCGAGCGGCTAATGCCCCGTACCGTCTCGTTGTCCCGCTTGTTCCCGAGGTGGAATTCCGATTCACCGACCTCAGCCGGGATCCCCGCGAGGTTCATCCCATCAAGGCCTTTGACTTTGAATCTCTTCAAAAGGCCGTCAAGGCCACTCATGGCGAAGAGACAGCCCAGTGGCTGCACGACGCCGCCCGGGCGGCTCAGTGGTGGGTGACCGACAACTGGCACCGCTACGAGTTCAATCCCTTGGCGCCCAAAAAGCCACACGAGTCGTGGCCCAGCTCTCACGATGGTCACTAATTTTTTAAAATCATTTGCATTCGGACTCTATGGGCTGGCAATCATCTTACGACTCCTCTTTTGTGTGCTTGCCTCTTTTGTTCTTCTTTCCATATCTCCTGCTTTGCTTTTCTTCTTCTCTTACATATACCACTCACTTGCTTCTCTTCGATCGACCACTTCTGGATCCTGTTTGGAGGACCTATTTTTCATCAGCATGGGCGCACGGTACGCACTCTCCATACTTTCCTTCTTTGCTTTTTTTTATTTCCACTTCTTCCAATTATTTCTAGGGACCCTGTCCCATCTTCGCTTCATCACTGTACATATTTTCCTCATCCCATTGCATACCTCTGGCGTGGCTTGTCCTTCTTATCAAAATGAACGACTTGATTCTCGTGTCTGATTCGGCGCCTCTCGGGTACTTCCACTTTTGTGTATGACAATCACCAATGTCTGTCAATTGGGCTCCGATGTATTCCCCCTTGCAGATATTTAAATTGATGGGTCTGAAGCTCTTGTGATTTGTCGGCTGCTACGCATGACGGACGGGATCCTCCCCTCCATTGGCGATCGACCGGGAAAGCTCGCTGCCGCAAGTTGGTGTAACATCATCGCGAAAAGGGCTCTGATCAGCCTCACGGTCGAAGTGTTTCTTCTAAGCCTGGGTCAACACTTCCTCCCAGCCTTTTCTCTGGGGTTTGAACATTACTCTCCTCCCACACACATCAGTATCGTCATCAATCTCTTCCAATTGATACCCTTGCATTACCACACAGCTCGGCAGCCACTAGGATCGGGGAGGTCGATCGACTCTATTGATTCCATGGCCTCGAGACCGAGTCAGGACCGACGAACTACTCCAGCCTAAAAAGGGATCCCGACCGGACTAGACCCGATCCAGCCAGAATCAGGCAGAACCTCAGGCCGCCAGGCCGCCAAGTGATGCAAACCTCGTCCTCGGGAGTCCACGTCCCCCAAAACCCGAAACCCTCCCAGGTGGTTCCGTTGTCATCCATTTTTGACGGAAATCCAGACCACCAGTCCTTCCTTTTGTCTTTGCTTTCAGCCTGTTGCCAGGGTGTCGTCGCTACAATACACCTGCAGCTTTTGTCACGAGCTCTGTACTTGCACAATTCTCTCTGACAACACAGTCATTGAACAATTCATACGAGATATCTCTGTCGTTCGCGCAAGATATGATCCTGCGGCCTGCCTGGAGCACTCCCGCAAAGTTAATCATCGAGTCTGGCATTGCTTCCGTCTGCAGTTTCCGGGAAAGATGGAGTGTGGCGGCAAGCGCTGGCAATGGCTGAGTAAAGTTCGGTCGTCCGAGACTTTTATAGTCATTGTGGTGTCTATTGCTATTTTCACTGTATGTCGCAAACCTCGTATTACTAATTTGTTCCTTGTCTCCACCGGTGTGTCGGCGAGTTTGATATCTTGGTGTTGCTTGTGTTGTGAGGACGGTTTCACTGGAATGGATATGGAATCCATGGATTGCTGACCAATTGTTCAACGTTTTAGGATGTCTTTATCTATGGAATGGTATGTAATCGATCTGAGGATGGTTCAAGTGGATCTGTCCAATGCAATGATCGCTGGCGCTTCTTCGAACTGAGGGTGGCTGACTTGATCATCGCAGATTGTACCGATCGTCCCCATTGCCTTGGTCGATCGTGCCGGGGCTCGGCCCGAAGACGGTAACTGCTCCCTGTTCACGATCTACGCTAGGCTTCTGGATCCTGGCTCTCCGTCTGATCCCTGGACATGCTTATCTGGACTCAACCTGGACTAACCCTATCAATTGCCTCGCGACAGCTCAAAAATGGGTCTCCGTGTTACTAGCCGTCTACGGTGCTTCTCTTCTCGTAGGCTCACGTGAGTTCATCCTCCTTCTTACTCGGACTACTCTCTCCATGTCCCTGTCTTATCCACCTCTGAGGCCATCAAAGCTAATATTTTCCATAGCCTTATTTGGCTGGTTCGCCGACCATAGCCGGGCGCGGCAACTTCCTTTTATCGTGGGCCTGGTCGCCCTGGGTGCATCAACGCTACTATTCGTCGTGGGTCGCTCCCTGCCCGCACTGATCATTGCCAGAGGGTTGCAAGGCTTCTCAGCTGCCGCGGTCTGGGTCGTGGGTCTGGCCATCGTCGCCGATAATGTACCCGAGAATCGCGTCGCCGAAGCCATGGGTCAGACGACCATTGCGTTGACTTGGGGGTCGCTGCTTGGTCCCACGATTGGAGGTTTCATGTTTGAAAAGTTTGGGTACTATGCGACGTTCGCGGTGCCGGCCGTCTTGATCTTGATAGATGTGGGCTTGCGATTTGCCATGGTGGAGCGAACAGGTATGAAGTCGAACGACACCTGCGAGCCATTTTTCGTGTGCGAATTTGTACGAGGGGAAGACCAAAAGGAAAGCTGACAAAGCTCCGCACCCAGGCGATACCAGTGATAAAGCTGGAAAACCAAGTGTCTGCGATGGGAATGAAACTGCCTATGGCACCTTTTCTTCACCCGAGAGTGGACAATCAGAATGCGAATCGGCGTCCTCCGACGAAGAATCACTGAGTGACCGGAGACGGCTGATCCGGTCGTCAAATCCAAGCATCGAACCGCCTCGTTTCCATCGTGAACGCCAGGCGACCATCTTCGATCTCCTTACGTCTTCGCGTCTACCTCTTGCCATTTCGGCTGCCATGATGACTTCTATATTATTCTCTGCGTTGGAGACTGTAAGTTTTCACCATTGATCAAGTCCCGTGCCAGATCACGCTGGCGTGCGTCGGCGGGCAATTCTCTTCCCATACGACGCAATGCCTAACCAGGACAAAATTACAGACCCTCCCCCTCTTCGTCATGAAAACCTTCCACTGGTCCTCCAGCGGTGCCGGCCTGATCTTCGTCGTTGGTGCGCTCCCCAGTGCCGGCGGCGTCTACATCGGCAAAGCCATCAACCGCACCGGCGCCCGCATCCCCTACGTCTGTGGCTTTCTCCTCGCCGCTGTGTGCTGGATCTCCCTCCGCTTCGTGGGACAGAAGCGCCTCTTTGAGATCATCCTCCTCGTCATCCTTCTCTTCCTGCAAGGTTTCTGTATCGCGGCCATTGAAATCACCGCTACCACCGAGGTGTCTCAGGCGGCGAGTAAATTCGAAGCTCGGTACCCGGGCGCCTTTGGCGACACGAGTCCCGTGGGACAGAGTTATGGGTTGTTTAATATGGCATTTGCTACAGGTCAGCTGGTGGGACCGGTGATAGCGGGTGGAATTCGAGTGTCGGCGGGGTGGAAGATGATGACGCTTGTTTTGGGGGGGGATGTGTGCTTTGGCGGCGGTGGTGTTGGGGGCGTTTAGTGGGCCGGTTGCTGGGGAGGAGGCGGAGCAGGAGGAACAGGAGGGTAATGAGTGATTTCGGAGGAGGAAGCAGGTCGGATATTGTATAACAAAAAGGGGGTTGGAATTCGACTCCGAGGCGGACGCTCGATATGATACCATTCTCACCTGTACATCCAGAAGTGCGGTGTACTGTACTATTACTGCCCATCGCCATACTCGATTAATGCATCGCACAGTCTCCCATCGTTGAACTCGGCATGAAATCGGATGCTCCGTCAAACAAAAACAAGCAGAAACCCCCCCCAAACAAAAAGAACACCAAATTCATAGCACACTTTCTCCTCCCCAACCTCCCAAAGACAAACCAGCCGTGAACTACTCCTTGTATCAGCGGGCGAGTTGGTCCAAATCAGCCCTACACGCCCGGTCCGATAAAACAAAGCGGAGCCCTCGTGCGGGGAGTTGGACCTCCGAGGGGTTGATCTCGACTTACCATTCTTCTCTTTTCTTTTCTTTTTGTTTTCAATTGGAATTCCTTCGGTTCATGCTTTCTGATCTGGTCTTCTCTTCTATATTCCACATTCTCGGATTGTGAGAGAGCGTGTCTGTCAACGGACTTGCACACTCACTATCGAGCAACAAGCTCTCCAGCTCCCAAGCCAAGCTTCTTTCTTATCGGCCCAAGCTCCTCATCTCATCCATCCAGACTAAACAGCCCCCCCCCCCCCCCCCGTCGGGTTCAAGTCGAGAGTTCAGATCGCAGAAACCAGAATCAAGCACCCCTGCCAAAAAAAGAAAACATTGGAACAAGCGACAACAATGAGCGACATTGAATATCTCAAGAGTCTCGACGCAGTTCGCGAGAGAGCGCATCTTGTCCTGGGCGCGGCGGAAAAGAACGAACTTTTGCACTTTGCCTACGATGCTTCGAAGATGAGTGATGTTGCTGATTTCGTGGAGGGTGTTATCTCGGTAGGTTCTCGTCGACGGTATATTGTTCCAAACGCACAATCTCTCATCTGACACCCGGACCACAGCGCGACTTTGGCCCCAGCGCCTACGACCAGATCCCGCCTCACGGCCGCTGGCAACACTTTGAAGTGGGCGACGTCCCCCGCATCACTCAGCTGATCTCACGCTGGGAGGGCCAAGGCTGGGATCCCTTGGAAGTGACGCGTCGTCTGATCGATCTGTTCTTTGTGGCGGTTCTGCTGGATGCGGGCGCGGGCGATGTGTGGAAGTTTACGGAGCGTGCGCTGGGAGGGACGGGGCTGGGTACCGGGCGGGGCCAGGCGTATGGTCGGAGTGAGGGGATTGCGGTTGCGGCGTTGTATATGTTTCGGGCGGGGGCGTTTGCGAGTCGTGTGGGGGCAGATGCGGGCGATGTGGGGGGTGAGGTTGTGGATGGTGAGTTTTGAGATGGGCACATCTACGTTGCGAGAATGCGAAGGGGTGTCTTGAGATGTAGGGGAGACTATGGATTGCATGGCTAATGCAAGGACTGCGGCACGGATAGGTCATGCATTGATGGCTCTCGACACTGCCATATTCGAGAAACACTTTCAAATCACACGAGAGAATCTTCTCGTTGGAGCTGCATCTCGAGTCGAGCTGTTGAAGAGAGTGGGGAAATCGCTTCTTGACCATCCCGAATATTTCGGTCAATATGGTAGACCGGGTCACCTCGTCGGTAGGCAGCGCTATTCACGATCTCAAAAGCCTCAGACACACACCTCATCACAAGGAACACTCTCTGATGATCAATAGATTACCTCGTCCAACAAGCCGGCCCAGAAAAACAGCTCGACTTCACCATGCTCTGGGGAATCCTCCAGGAAACCCTTCTCCCAGCGTGGCCCAGCAACCGCACCCGTATCGCAAACGTCCCCATCGGAGACGCCTGGCCCCTCCAGATCCTTTCCAAGATCAACCCCAGCTCGACCTCTGCGTCCCAAACGCAGCACATCGCTCCCTTCCATAAACTCACCCAATGGCTCGCCTACTCCCTCACAGTCCCCTTCATGCGCGTCCTCGGCATGCACTGGAAGAATCTCGAAAAGGGCACCGGATTGCCAGAGTACCGCAACGGGGGCCTCTTCGTCGACCTGGGTGTCCTTTCATTAAAGGCCGAAGCGTTGAAGACGGGCCTGGCGTCCTCGGGAAGTGATCTTCCGAGCTTCGAGGCCACGAGCGATGTGATTGTCGAATGGAGGGCAATGACAGTCGCGCTATTGGATAAATTACACGGGTTGATTGGGGAGAGGTTTGCGAAGCAGGGCGTGACATTGAGTATGCCGCAGATGTTGGAGGCGGGATCGTGGAAGGCAGGTCGTGAGTTGGCGGCCAAGTTTAGGCCGGAGACAAAGTCAAGTCCGATTTTGATTGACGGAGACGGAACTTTGTTCTGATTCCTGGGAAGGAGTTTAGCTAGGCGAGGTATAGAGTGTGATGCGTCACTTGCCGAGGGAATGACATTTTTCGGGGTTATTCTTATATGAACATCTACAAATCCCGTGATCCTGACTATTTCACCAGGCACATAAGTGGGATTGGGGTTTCTCCCCATCTCAGCCATATCGTATATCCTCACCCTTCTCCCCAAACCAGTCATCCATGCTGCGCGACGTCTCAGCCGGAGCATAATTGATGATCGTGCTCTTCGTAGTCGTATACGCATGGTAGGCATCCACCCCATTCTCGCTTCCCACGCCACTCGCAGCCTTGGCACCTCCCCACGGACTACTCGGATCGTTGCGATGATGCGTATTCACCCAGACAATGCCCGCCTCGATCTGCTCAGAGACCCGGAACGCCCGAGACAGATCTTTGGTCCAGATACTCGTTCCGAGACCGAACTCGGTATCATTGGCCAGGGCAATAGCCTCGGTTTCGTCCCCGAAGCCAACAACCACGATCACTGGACCGAACGCTTCTTCACGCCAGATGGATGTCTCGGTGATACTTTTGCTGCCGTTGCCGGAGACGAGAATCGTAGGCTCGTAGAAGTAGCCCTTGGAAAAGTCGGTGTCGTCGAGCGGACTTGTTCCGGTCATGCGCTTTGCTCCCGTGAGAGCGGTGGCCTTGTCGGTTGCCAGCGATGTCTGGACTAGATGCTCGACGTGGAGGAGCTGCTTTTGAGAGACTAGTGGACCCATGACTGAGTTCGGGTTGGACGGGCTTCCCATTCTCTTGGTGATTGATTTGAGTTTGGATTGTAGCTTTTGCAGGACTTGTTCTTGGATCTTGTGATCCACGATGATCCTGGTACTCGCAATGCATGTCTGTCCGCTGGCGATGAAACTCCCAAACGCGATGCCATTCACCGCCACGTCAATGTCGGCGTCGTCAAAGACCACCAGGGGCGCCTTCCCACCTAGTTCGGCCGTATAAGCGGCCAGATTGCCGCCCGCAATAGAGCCAATCGCTCGTCCGGCAACCGTTCCGCCCGTCACGTCGACTTTCCGAACACGAGGATGCGAGACCAGCGCTTTACCCGTCGTCGCGCCCAAGCCGGGCAGAACGCTCAATACACCTGATGGAATACCTGCCTGCGCCAGGATCTTCCCCAGGAGAATGGACGTTAAGGGAGTCAATTCGCTGGGCTTGATGATCACACTGTTCCCTGCTGCGAGAGCAGGGGCCAATTTCTTGACGGCAATGAGGAGCGGGTGATTGAACGGAGTGATTTGCACTATAACGCCGAGTGGGACACGGTCGATGAAATTGTGCAATTGGCCCACGGTCGGGAGCACGGAGCGCTCTTCGACTCGGAGGAGAGAGGCGTAGTACTTGAACCAGCGCACGAGCGATGGGACCTGGGCTTGCATCTCTTTGATGACGCGGCCGGTCTGTTGCACTTCAAGTCTGATCAGCTCGGGGAGTGACTCCGCGAGGAGAGAGCCGCATTTGTCGAGGATGTCGGCCCGGTGATGGCGGCTGGCTCGAGACCAGATGCCGGATGTGTATGCGCTGTGGGCTGCAGTGACGGCGGTCTCGACGTCTTGTACCGAGGCGGCATGGCAGCTGGTGAAAGCAGAAGACAAAACACGGTAAGAATGTGCGTATTGAGGTATGAGTGAGAGTCACGCTGCGCTTGTGATCCCTGGATCCTTCGCGAGGGCCGTAGGATTCAAAGCCGCGTGTGTAGGGCTGTATGACACTTACTACGCAAACACCTCGCCGGTTGCCGGATCCTCAATTGATAATCTGCGAAGCCATAGTGAGCAATCGACTCACAGCCGGCTCGACGATGAGACTTGATTCACTTTCACTTACAGCTCTGCTTGTCCTGGCTTCTCTTCCCCGGCCACCCACAGATCGTAGATCGGGAGCGAGTCAGTCGTCATCGGGGGCTCTAGTCAATTGAGCTTCTTGCTATGCTGCTCCAGTTGCAATGTATCACAGTTCTTCAAGTTGAGCGTTGTCAAGTCCGAGAAGACTTCCGGGGAAGCAGTTTATCTCTGGAGGGGTCTCGTGTCTGCGTTTGCGGAGGCGCTTATCTCGCAGCGGGTGAGCGGGGCTTGGGCGCGCAGTCGCCGTAGAATGAGGAGTTCTGGGAGTAGTAGCCATTCCATGAAAGCTGTCTCATATGTTCGACTATATCGGCGGGGCTATGAGACACAGCCATTCGGTAGGGACCTATCTCAAGCAAGACGACCGTTAAGGACTTCAATTGTAGGTCAAGGCCACACCGGAATGTACATTGTTGTTGCTGGACTAGATGACCATGTGCCGCAATGAGCCCCGACGTCACCCGCTCAACGGCCGACTACAGTTTTATGCGACTGCCGTACTTGAACGCCACACATTTGGACGTACTTAATAGTGAATGTCAGCGTTCTCAAGAAGACCTGAAGCTCCGTGCTCATTGCCACTCAGTGTGTTCCTTGAACAATATCCAAGTCGACTTGCGGATTCAAAATTGCTACCCATAGGTAGGTGGTGCCTTTTATACATTGAAGCATATTGTCTCAAAAGAGGGTTCGAACACATCTCCAGCTCGTCAAAATCTCCATTCAACTACAGTCCCAGGAATGACTCAGTATCTCTGGAGCGTAGGTCACGCTCGAACTTGGGGCGTTCTATTCTCTATCCAAAATGATGATACTGGTACAAATATCGGCCTGCCGTTTGCTTGCCTTGGATGTCATGCTTCACTTCTCGCGCACTTCTTGGTCACCTTCGAGACAAGATCCATCTTTTCCTTGAACAGCTTCCCGAAAGACGTTGCTTTCTCGGCTGTCATACCGCGCCGCGTGGCTGCAAGATCCTTATACGTAGCGCTTCCCAAAGATCCATCCGCCTGCTTGCCCGCTATCTTTGCTCCATTTGCACCCAGCTGGAAATCAAGCAGCATACCGAGAATTGCAACAGGAGCACTTGCAGGATCTTCAATGATTGACATGACTCCCAGAGCCTCGTTCCCAAGTGTTGCTGTGAAAGAGACGACCGCAACGACGGTCTCTGCCACTGGGCCCAATTCGGCAACGGGTCCCAGGAAAGGAAGCGCCATGCACACAGCGCCAATGATCTCCAAGATTTTGGCTTTTTTCTTTTCTTCCGCGACTTGCTCCCCGATGTCAATCACACTCTGCATGCGATTGACCATTTCTGCGATCGTGAATATCGCCGTTGAAAGGGTCTGCACGACATCGTCGATCACGCCATCGAAGCCACCGGAAGCGATTTCCAGTTGAGCGACCATGATGTCGGTTTGAATGGTTGGGATCTGCGGAGCAGCCGCTCTCATACTCTCTCGAGGATCGCTGATGTTCATGTGCTCGGCTCGATTGGGATATCCGTCATAATAAACGTGCTGTACATGAGAGGTTCCACCGGGAGGAGGGTGCTTGGGGTCTTCACCTGGATCGTAACTTCCCGTAAGCTGTGTCACTGGCAGAGGCCCGTAGTAATAAGTCGCTGGTAAGAGCAAGCCGCCATCGACCGTCACCCAGTCTGGCTGAATTGCATAATCCTTCAACAATGTGGCATTGAAGCCTTCCGCGTCCTTGAGTTTGAAGTAGATGACGTGCGAGACATCTTCACCCGCAATGTACTCGACCGGGCATGCTGTCCACGACGTAATCGCATCTCGATGTACGACATCCTTGCTCCAGTAACAGTCAAAGAACTTATTGCCGGGCCCCGGTTCGCTGAAAGCAAGACCGTCGTCCATCATGGTCTGAAGCTTACTTTGAGTAAGCTGCTCCATATAGGTGATGTAATTTTTGAAATCGTCGTCATAGTCTTTGGTATCAGCGATTTTCGTGTAGTTCTCCATGACTGAGTCTAGCTCTCCGCTCAAAGCACCCAGCATATAGTAACTGACACAGAAGGGAGCGTACAGGTTCGCATCCTTCTCGAGATCTGATTGCAACTTCTCCACGGAGTTGTAGCTGATGCTATAATCGCAGGGAAGTTCGTCGCCACAGTTCTCGTCACTGTCAACGCTCCCACATGGGGAGCCACTAGAGTCACTCAGGCATGTTGGTCCCGGGCAGTAGTCTCTTGTGCAAGCAAATTCGCAAAGACCATTATCCTCAAAGTCCGGTGCCCAAACAAGCGCAGGGGCATTCTGCGTGGGAGGTTTGTTCAAGGGACCTGTCGCGGTACAGGTACAGTTGTAGATGGGACAATAACCAAAGTTGCAAGCAAAACTGCATAAGCCGGCGAGTTCTCCTTCTCCAGTCCCACTTACGCAGGTGTCCGGCGTGAATGGAGAGATTGTGGGGATGGTCAATGGAGCTGGAACTGTGCCGCATGCGCCCGGGGGGCAATAGCCATATTCACAAGTGAATGCACAGAGTCCAGCGTAATTTGCATCCAGGCCACGTGCGGGATAACCATTGACACCGGTAGTTGGAGGTAGTTTTGGGTGAGGTCCCAGCTTGGTGCACACACACGCGCCAACTGGACAGTATCCAAGACTGCAAGCAAACTCGCAAAGGCCCATGAAGTTGCCTTTTCCCCCAACCCTTGACACAAACCTCATCCGCAAGATCCGCAGATTGTTCTATGTACCACTCTCCAAGGGCAGTGCCAACATGTGCGTTCCAGTTCTCGACTTTGTCTCCCACTGCGCATGAACTGCTGATATCCTCTCCTCGAAAAGTGATCACGCCGCTGGCGGGAGTCGTCACGCTGATGACTACGGGCCCAGAATAACCTATGAAAGAGACACTGCCGTGGTAGAGACCGACGTCACCGCTTGGGATGTCTGTCCATGTGGCCCCGAGATCCACGCCACCCACAGTCACAGTGATATCGGACGGCTGGGACACAACAGCCGAGAAGAATATTTTGTCTTGTACCATATCGTGAGCTCGATATTCCAGTTGCAGCTGAGAGGCTGTGTTGCCTGTGGTACCACCATCTGCACATGCCCCCGCGGGGTTCAACCGGTACCAACCAACAAGAGTTTCCGCACCGGTATTGGTTTTGTTGTTCCGATACATCTCGGTCAAGAAAGGTAGGAGCTCTAGCCAGCCGATGTGCTCGATGGATGCTGCGTAGTTGTACGGGGCTTCACCAGTACTAAAGGCGGTATAGATCGGATCGTCCACTGGATGACGCTCATCGGGGTTTGGCCCGATGTAGTGACTCTCACCAAAGTCGTTCCACGAGATGATTTCGATGAATTCGGGAGCTAGGTAAAGGGCCTGCTGCCATCGTGTATGCCAGAGATCATCACCTCGCCAGAGCCAGTTCTTGCTGTATCCGGGCATGTTTGTGAAGAACCATGGTGAGACTGGCATCATATAGGGCTTGCCCTCCAGATATTGTATATAGGAGGCATCGACATAAGTGTCCATGGCATTTGGCCCGTTCGGCCACGCCGCCCAGTTGAAGAGACCATCTGCAACGCCGGCCGCTAGTGCCACGGCAGCCTTGGCCCCAACAGAAGACCAATCTGGAATAAAGAAAATCTCAATGTTGGCTTTGATAGTGATCCAGTCCATGGCACTTCCGGGCCCTTCAAACGTAGAGACCAATGCTTTCCCTTCGTGGCGGTAGTATGCATCATGAGACGTATACCTTTGCAGAAGACTCAGGACGGTATCTTGGTCCCATGCCCCATTGCCCGCGTAATCAAATGAGAAGAAAAGGCCAACACCATGCTCTTTTGCTTTTATGAAAATAGGATCCAGTGAGTAATTATCAATGTCTCCTGCTGCCATGTTCAAAGCAAAGGCATCGATACGGGCTGTTTTCGCAGCCTGAAATTCGGGTTCCCAATCTTGATCTGTGTAGTGAAGTGCGTTCGAGACCATGAAATGAGCGAACACGGCACGTGAGTGCGCGTGACCGAAGGTCATGCATAACACAAGAAGAACGGCGATCAAGGAGGGCATTGTTCAGGGTCGAGAAAGTCCCAATCATGAACACAAAGTGACAGGAATTCGAGTATTGGCAAGAATGATTCGAAACTCTTATATTACGAACAGCAGAGGCAATCGGGGGCAGGGAGGCAAAAGATCAAACCTGCCTCATGGGATCTTCCACAGTGTGCCCCTACTCTCTGGGTGGCTCGTAAGAATTGAATATTTGTTGTAATTTTCTCCGGCTTTTTATCCTTCTTGTTTTTTTCTTCACCCAAAATTGCCCATAAGCGATGTTGAGAAGTGTTTTCTGTCAGGGGCATTTAGGCGCAGTCCTCGCTCCAACCATTACAAGCATATATGACTATCGTGTTACCAAAGGCCGAGCTTGACACGGCCGAACCATCGACCTCTCGTTTCCGAATTACAAAACGCCCAGGGGTGATCCTGAACTTCTAGACTTACGACCTTTCTCCACCGTCGTTACGCCACTAGAGTAAGATGGTGTCTTTCATCCGGTGAATCCCTTGAGGTGTGATCCGAGATAAGTTCTGGGGTCTGTGGCAAAGACTGTCTTTTGAACGCACGAGGACTCAAGCGCTTTGTGTTCGCTCGGCGGCTGATTGGCACAAAGATCAGACTGCCAAGATCGTCCGGAGATGAGCTGTGCGTTAGCTGCATATCGAGACAAGCCACGCCGGTAAAGCTTCGGCATGCGGTCCGTGTATTGGAATCAAGATAGGTACGGTCGCCAAGGCCATCTGTCATCTAAAGCACATTGTTGAGTCGCGAAAAGCACGGCTAGGCTACTATGTACATAGGCACAAGTAGACCGGGATCCACATCTCTAGCAGGGACTTGGATAGATGCTCGAGACCCCACCGGTCAGACCAATATTCGGTCCATGCTGAGCGTCAAATGGTCAATACAGCTGGTTTACAAGATCCTTTTTTTGTCGCGTTCGGAAAGTCATCAGTTGAGAGCGGACTTTTGGTCCATTTCGAGAATGATGTTGAAGTAGATCTTGAACAAGATCCCCCCCCCCCCCCCCCCCCCCATTTCCCCATATCTCTCCGTCTCCGGGACCGGGACCTGCTCATTCTGCTCATCCGACTCTTGGGTGCGCGAGCTTTGCGTCAATTTCATTTGATCAGCTTCCCTTACGTGCGGCTAGGCTTGTTCGTTATTCACTGCATCGCCGTTCTTCCAGCTTATGAAACCTGAGTCGTACTTGGCCCCCTCGTCGCCAACATGAGAATCGTGACCATTCTGCTCTACGCCTTGGCGTGGTTCTTCCACCTTGGAAATGCCTCCAAGCTGGCTACTCCAGCCGAAATGCTAGCCATGTACAACGCTTATGCCTTGGACTTTGCAAAAAATGGAGCACAGCGAACGATAGGACCGGCTCTGAGCGGAACTGAGATGGCAAATTTTGGAACCTTTGCGTCCCGTGTCTACGTCAATGTGAGATTTCCTAAGAAGGGGATCTTCCTGAGCAGCGATCCGAAATTCAACAGAGCCAATGTCGACGAGATCACAAAATATCTTCCCAGGCGGCCAAAGTACTCGGTTGAGCAACTACTGGGAAAAGAACTTACGAAGATGAAAATGGCACATTATCAAGTACTTGCCCTGGTCAACGATGTTGTCTACAGGGCTTCAAGTTCCTCAACGTCTTCGATCACAGAGAAGCTGGGTGTTTATCTCCCCGAGTACAAGTACGCGTCAGCCGGCATTATTGGAGCTCGACAGCAAGAGATATTTTCCCAAGGTTTACAAAAGCTCTTTCAAAACGAGTTTTCGAAAGCAAAATTGGAGTCAGAGAAGATCAAGGTCCCGGGAACAGATCTTGAGTACGACTACGTGAGTTGGAAGAAGACTCTGGCTTCAAGTGGTGTTCCTCAGGCAGATGTTGTTCGCTGGTACAGCAAAGATGTTTGGGAAAAAACGACAGATAATGATGTGAGACTTCTGCGCGATCATCGAGTAGTCACTGCTGCAATCACCTGGAATTTGGGCTCGTTGGACTCGGTCGGTTCTTGCACGGCTTTTACCAAGAACTTTTTGCCGTGGTACAAGTCCGGAACGTCTCAGTGGTGCCCGAGGGTGTTCGGCTGTTGAACGTGACTTCTGTGGTCTAGTTACATTCCAAGACGTTGACCTCGAATTGAATACTGAGTCACGGGCCATTGGGGAGAAGCTGATTCCCGATGCATTGACCGAAATGATCATCCTGAGAAATTCCTAGTCCTACGACAATGAAAGTTCAGTGTTAGGCAGAAGATCCTGTAAAAGAGAAATTGAGAAGAGAATCTGCAGGTGAGGAAGCTCAGCGGAGATTTGGTAAAGCGCTATGTGATCAATTGATAGATCTTATTGCCATGTGCAATGAAGCAAAGAGACAACTACTCGATACCAGGCTGTTTTTGCTCAATTTTCCAGTCGATCATCATCTTGATTGGTCTACACAGAATTGAGATATGTCCCATTCTCATCTATGAAGATGCTCTCGTTGAACGTCGACCTCGAGACCGTGAGCCCCTCAGCTCATCTTCGCTCAGTGGTAATTACTCCCCTCTCCGCATCCCCAGAGATCCCACATATGGTTGTAGCACAAGCATAAAGACTCCACAATTGTCTTTGTTTTGGTGTCTCTATCCTCCTTCATTTGCCTACGATACCTTTCCGCTTGATCGGCACTCATGGCATTGGATGAATGCTCGTCCGGCATCACACGAGATGGACCGATCCAGTCAGGGTTCTGGGGAGGCACATTTTTGGTGGAACATATTCGATAGTGCGGATCAACCAACCATAAAGTCACAAATCGAAGACGACCGGGCTGCTTGGGGTCTGCCAGCTTCAGTGGTTCAGCCTTGTACCTCATGACATTAGGCCAAGCGACCAACTGGCCCTTACGAGGGATCAAGATGCTTCCCAGAGTCTGCAACGCATCTGGAAAGTCATGTAGTGTGTCGTGAGGGGTGCGGATACCATGAACGCTATTGATGGCCTTCCATTGGTCAATGTCAAAATCATCTACATCAACCATGCTCTCTTGTTCGAAAGACAGTTGGGATTCCTGGATATTGTGCATATCAAAGTAGCAGACAGCTGTCGAAACAATATGCTCGTTGAGATTACCCACGGGTCTGGGATGTGCGTCACCCGCGTAGAAGGGCGTTTCGGGGGTAAGCTCAACAGCAGAGACCCGCATAATCACTTGCAGGCCTGCAAATTGATCTTGGAGAGACACAGTGTAGTATTCGTGGTCCGGATCAGGAGGTGCAGGCTCCTCCTTCGAGCCAGGCCAAATAAACTTGTGCATGATCGGCCGCCCGGTGTTGTGGCCAGTCTTCCATTCATTGTATGTGAAGGAAATGCCCGGCTCGACACCTCTAACAGCATATAGGCGATGGAGCTTTTGCCTAACAAGATCCGAAAGCTTTCTGGTATCATTCCAAACAGGGGACTGTTCAGCAGGGAGAAGCTCGTGATGGCCAGAATCTCGGTAGACACGGTACCGTCTTTCTGGCTCGGGGAGAGACAAATACTCTCGAATTCGAGTCTTCAACTCCGGCCAGAGCTGACTCTTTAGATCGCGTGAAACTCGATCAAGTCGCTCGATTTCGTAACACAGCTGAGGTGTCCTCTCAGTGCCGTCCACCTGAAAGTTGTAGGTTCTGATTCGTCGCGGTGTGCGATCTTTACCGTCTCGTATGAGCATTTCGTTCCACGGTTCAAGAGCGGTCGAGATCAGATCCTCGAACACAGAATACATCCTCTTCTCCGCTGGATGCACACCGTTCACGTAGGAAGTTATCTTTGGTGCTCCATTGCCGTCAAAAACAACATCACACGGGAGGCATTGGAAGGCATTGGACCACAATTCAGGTTTACTATGTCCGCGCCCATCGTCCCGCCAAGCATCTTCGCGCCGTTCATCCGCATGCATCTCAGACTCCTCACGTTGACACCGGTCCCGTGGCCGCTCGGGAATTGGAGCAATCCCCGTGTTGGAGGAATTCCAGGTCTCGGGCCTTTGGAAATCAATCTGGCCCCCTTGATCAAGCACTCGAGTATGCCCAAAAACGAGCGGGTGCATGGAAGGGTCAACCACGTGCCGAACGGGGCTCTCCCTGCGAGCCGTATAAGTAAGGTCACCCGAAGCAGCGGACGAGGGTTCTTTGGCAAAAAGCGGCGCTAACGCATCATTCATCTCTCTGAGCAAGTCTGTCGGTACCCGGGTTTTGACAACTCGTGAACCGACGTCAAACGCGGCGACACGGCCAGTGCGTCTGAAATCCATTGCCTTATCCTGCAGCTCCTGAACACACCACTTCCACGAGTGTTCGCTGAAATCGAAGACAGCAAATGCATGCTTGCGCCAATCCTCTAATGTCTGAGGATCAGTCATCTTGTTCTCCCAATCTGGTTGATCGGTAACGAATGACATGAATTGCAACATGGTCACCTCATTCACGAACAATTGAGGAATTTGCTGCCAGTCGGCAATTCCATGCGCAAAGCGATTGGCCTTGGAGTGTTCATAGAAAACCGGTACGCCATTGAAACCAGGGACTTTCAGCGGGCCGTTTCCACTGTTATCCAATTTGATGTGAGAGGAATCCACCTTCATTCTTTTTGCAATGTAGAGAGAAGTAGGAAGAGGCCATGAAGTCCTTGGCCGGCCAGGCAGTCGCAGATGAGACGAGACCCGTGTGCCTGCAGCCATCGTATCAGTTAGGGTCCTAAGCAGAGGACGACAGTGATGGTATGACTGGCTTCGAGTCGGATGAAAATGAGAGCAAGAGGAGGAGGTCCGGGGCTCCCTGACTTGAGGAGCTGAGAGGGGAGAAATGAACGGCTGAGGAGCTGGTAATTTTGTTACGCCGCTCATACGGAGATTGGGTCAGGTTCTCGGTCACTCCGCATACCACCGGACGCTTAGCGCAAGCGCCGGCCTTCTTGGCGTCTTGGCAGCCCCACCTGCTCCGACGGGCGTCAATAGCTTGACAAGCGAGCCACGCTACTGCAACACCCTCGCACTTCCGGAAATTAAGAGACAGGGGAAGTTGCATCGGTCGGTGAAGGTCTTTTCAGAAAAAAACATATTTGCAAGTCGCTTGTATGGAGACCAATGTCCGCGAATACGCGGATATCTTGCGCCTCGGTCCCTTTTCCTAGTCCGACTCTTTTTGCATTGGCTGAAGAGAATGCACCTTGCTGGGCTTGGTATAAGCTTTCTCAGCGCAGCAAACAGAGGACCAAAATTTTCTACCAACAAAGGTTCTCAGTACCCTATCTGAAAACATGTGGCCAACTTCAGGCATTATCTCTCTGGCTCTTCTTGCTACTTCAGGAATCATTTCTCACGTGTCGGCCTCGTGCTTCCCTAGCGCACAGAATGAAAGCATCGGGTTCTTCAGTAAGGCGCCGCTAGCTTATGGGCTCACCCATCTTTCGCCGTCAGAATGTGCCGAAGAGTGTCATTCAAGGAAGTATTGTGCTGCATGGCTTTATATTGTCCATGCAAATGAATGTCAATTTTATCGAGCACAGCCTGTGGCGAAGGCAAAAAGCGCCGGTTTCATTCTGGGATCATGCGATACCACAAGCCAGCAGCCATCCCAGTCTGTGTCCAGAGTGCCATCACTGCATTCCTCCTCATCGGCAGTCGCAGGTGCGGAAACTGGGCAGTCCTCCACCCATAAGGTATGAAACTCCAATTTTCGAAGCCCTGAACACTGTGACTAACATGCTTTGCGCATAGCTTGCACGGCATCAAGACCATCTGGATCAACATAAGCGAGGCCATCACCATCGACAGCACTGAAGGACTGCAATATGGTTCGATAGCCGAACGATCGGATTATGAAGGTATGGTGGGCGGAATTCTGTACATACCTAGACAGCAAAGTCTACGGTAGACGTTGTTCATTATGAAATGCCGGAACAAAATCCCAACGGATACCTAGCGAGAAACCCGAGAAAACTAGATTCCAGCTCAAATTGTATATAACAGCAACAATAGTAGCTCACGCCTCGCTCGGCAAATACTGAAACATCCGTGGATATCATCAGTGCTTCCTGTCTATTCCATCTCATGAGCGCGGGTGACACCTTCTACAGCCCTATGGTTTTGACCTCCGATGGGTGCTCCGCACTCTGGACAACGCGCTTGTTCCATTGGCATGCCACACTCTCCAATTGCAAACTATGCCAGGAATCAGTCAGCTGGTATTCTTGAATCAGGAAAAGTAACTTCGCAAGTCAGAGATGGACTGACCGGATGCCCATTTGTGCAATTGTACCAATGTCCAGAGTGAGTCGCAATTCCACTTCTTCCGTTGAGCATAGCTGACTTGATCTCTTCAAGTTCCTCGAAAGTGACGACCTCGTATCGCGGGCCGTTGCAGAGATTCAACATTGCCTGCACCTGCTCTTGGAGCTCAGGGCAGTTCCCCAGCCGTTCACATGATATCAGGGCTGCATCAAGTAGCTTGCGCACGAGTTCAAAGTTACCTATGAGATCCTTTGAGCCTAGGTCCTCCCTGTTCTCAGTATTGGTTCCATGCTTGCCATGGGTGCGGCGGTGCCATGCCACGAGCTGGGAAAGCTTGGCAAAGGTAATGCTAGCCGCGATAGCGATTCGATAGAAACTGCCTTCGTTTGCTTGCCTTATCAGCTCCTGGCAAGCCTTTAAAATATTGAGGGACTCGGAGGATGGTTGGTAAGGGCGTAATCCAATCAGACTCCCTGTGAAAGTCTTGCGTGAATTCAATGATTTGACGACCTCACTCAACCGAATCTGCTGGGCTCTTATGAACAAAAGCCGCGCTCCAAGGCTGATCTGATTGTCAAATTTGGGTGTTGCTATATTCAGCGACTTCATTTGCGTCAGTAGGGAGCGAAATTCATCTTGCGACGAGCTTTTGCATATCGTAATTGCATCCATTAGCACTTTCACCGGTTGATTTTCGGAAGCGGTGTCTCGGCTGAGGTCAAAGGCTCGCTTCCCAATATTTCTGCAATCATCGAGAAGGGATTTGGTTTGCTTTTCAGTCTTGTCCGGTGACCATCTCGCAGACGGATTCTTGAGCTTCTCTTCGACGTCATTCAGACGCGTTTCGAGAGTCTCAAGATCGGTGCGACCTTTGATTAAAGATCGCTTAGAGGTCTCGTCTAACACGGCGCGGTTGACGACACGATTGTACCGTCTGGTCACAAATTGCCGAATGGGTTGTTTGCAATCTGGGCATGATGGTATGCCGGTGGCTAGGGAGGAAGATGTGTCTCGAAGCCCGTTGAACTTCCCATCCTCGTCTCGTGTGTAGACTTCGTCTAGACCCACCACGCCATCCACCGACTCACTTGTAAAGAAGTGGCCGCATCCCAGCACAATGATTGGATTCTCATCGAGGTTGATCTCTGAGTAAAGTTTCATCTCGACGAAATCGACGCGGGCATCTCCCTTGTTGCCGCACTCTTGACACAAATTGTGCGGACAATCTTCGCCACATAGACTGGGGCATCGATGGCCGCAATTTAAGAGTTTGTTGCACCGCTCATCGCAAGGAAGACGGTTACATGGTGCCGCGCAAGGCATTGTACAGGGGCCGAGGTGCTTGCATGACCAGGTGCACGGCTCGATGCAAGGCGTGCAAGCTTCTCCGCATTTCTTGGTGCACGCATTATGCGAGCATCGGACCTATTAGCACAGTGAGCATCCCCGGAATCAACCTCAAGGACAAAGCTGCAATCGGTGCTCTTACCTCGCATTTTTCTTTGCATCCACCGCAGATCTCGCCCAGGTGACAGGGCTTGGTACACCTATGATTGCATGCGCCGTAGGGACGGTCACAGATCTTTCTGCACTCTGGGTGCTCACAGATCCTGCGTCCATCAACAATCTCTCGAAGGCAGCTTCCGCAGCAATCGCTACAATTGTGGCCACATCTCAGGACCTCCCTGCACTGTTCCAAGCATCTGTAAATTGGGGCCGCAACATCTTTGAAACAGCCCACCCGATTCGTATGGCCGCACCTGGGAACAACTTTGTCTACCTTCACGTCACACTTGATATCCATCAAACATGACAATTGATGGCAGAAGACGCTTTCTTTGACATGACCACAAGGTAGCTCTACCTCCGGAATCTTGACCATGCAAGAACCACACTTCTCACCGCAAAGTTTAGGACATGCGTGCGAACAAGTGGTTCGAACGCGCTGGCAGGGCTTCCCGCACGCGAAACCTTCATGCATGACTGCCGAGTGGCATTTCGCCTGGCATTGATGTCCACACGGCTCGAGTCGGCGAGTGCATGGGAGACCGCATCCACCGTCGGGGCTCTTTCTCTCAAAGTCATGAGGCTCGGCACAGAGGATAGGCGTTTCTGGATGACGAGGGCAACTAAGTGCCAGCTCTGTGCCGACCGCATTTGCATGTTGAAGTTGAGAGTGGACATCTGCCCACATCGGGACATTGAGATAAGTCTCAGCATTACCAATGAGGTACATTCCATGCTGAGCACGACTGAGAAGCACATTGATGCGGTTTTCGGTGCGGAGAAAACCGACCTTGCGGTTTTGGTTGCTGCGAACGAGAGACACAATGATCACTTTCGCCTCCTCCCCTTGAAAGTTGTCCACGGTCGCAAGACGCAGTGTCTGGAGCAAAGTCTTCTTCTCCAGTGCCTTGTGGCTGTTCGTAACCGGTGCTGGATCTTCGGAATCATCAATTCCATCTGCAGCTAAAGTCTCCAAGTCCCTCTCGCTGAGGCAGATTTCAAAATCCCTACCGAGCGATGCCCGGAGCTTCCGTAACTGGCCGGTGTAAGGTGTCAGGAGTGCAAGATCAGTACTCTTGTACACTCCTTGTCGAACAATATGTCGAACGAGAGCAGTGGCCATGTCGACCTCCCATTGATTGCTGTGGGATTTCACTCGGCCGGTATTGTCTGCCGAATCTTCTTGACATCGATGATCCAGCCAGAAAAGGTTGTCTCGCATGCCAACAACATGAGGTAAATTTCTCACACTCTCGTGATCTTCTAGTTTTGGATACACCCTTCTGATCAGTTGTGATATCTCGGGTCTCATTCTTCGCTGTATGTTGAGCTGTGCAACAGGCGCCGGCTTGAGACCCGGCTCGCCGATAGCGCGTCTTTCAAATTGACTTCGATCCAATTGCCATATTTTCCCAGTTGATGATTCAAGACTGAGTGAGTAGTTTGAAATTTGTGGTCGTAACTGTCGGTGGTCTCCAATTTGAACAAAGTGTTCGACTCCTGGCATAAGGGCCGAGATGACATGGGCCTCCATCACCTCGGCTGCCTCTTCGCACAGGACAACTTTAGAACCGACGCGGCGAAGTGTCTCAATATTACGCGCGAGAGCCGTGGTCGTGATTCCAATGACGTCTGCTTGAACCAATGCCCGTCGATTTATCTCTTCGTGGATGGCATTGATGTCACTGCGAAGCTCTGCGGCATTGGCAATGTGTTCGAATAGCAAATCGGTTCCAACTTCCTGTGACTGCTTGAACCATGTCTTTGCCAAGATATTTCGCTCTCGTGATGACAGGCAATAGATATCCTGTTCTGCCTGAAGCATGAGAGCTGCCAGGCGTGTTTCATCAATCTCGCCTTCGCCATGTTCTCTAACAGCGCCGACCGAGTTTCCTGAAAGCCACGAGAGTAGGGGGTCACTAGCGATAGTTGTGAACCCTTCTTCGTCTATTCGATCCAATTGTCGGTGTATTTTCGGCCATCTTCTTCTCAAGAAAGGCTCAATATTTTCCCAAGACAAGCCTCTTCTAGACTTGTGTAAAGGCTTCATTGCGAAGCCGGCATCGGTCATGCATGTCTCCAGAGCTGAGTAGGATTTCCCAAGGGTTTGCGATTCCACCCTGGTCTTGCCAATACTCTGGCTGACAACCCGAAGGTTTTTGCCGTCAAGCTCAGGGGCCTGGCTGCGACCTCCGATCCGGATGACTTTTTCAATGCCGGCATCAAGAAGATGTTTCAAGAACTGATCCAGCGCATGGTTGGTGTAGCAACTACGTCTCCAGGTCAGCAATAATATTGGGTGAGAAAGGACAGCAAACTTACATGACAAGAATGGGACCAAGATTCGCCTTCGCCTTGACATCAAGAAGAACCTGCACAAGTTTCACGCCCAAGTAAGATTTACCGGTTCCAGGTGGTCCCTGAATAAGGGCATACTCTCGTGTGAGTGCCGCAATCAAACCGTGACACTGACCGTAGTCGAGACCAGTTTGGGTTTGTAGCTTTCCAATATCAATTGTAGTAGTATCGGTAGGATCCAACGTTAGGGGAGCCTCGTCTCCGATACTGGTTATTGGCGTCAATGAGAATCGGAACCCTGCTTTGCGGGCATATGCTGGCGCTGTCGTGGTTTGGGTGTCCTCGTCACCCGTCCTACCAGGCAAGATCCATTTTGAGAATGACAGATCTCCCGCCTGTTGAGTCCGCTGAAGATTCTTCAATATAGGAGAGAACGTAGCCGGGATCAGACCGTGAAACTCTACCACAATCCCAGTGTGTCCTTCTCGATACAACTCGGTCAACAAGATCAAGTCTTCTTTTCGGCATGCAGCAAGCTTGACCGTGACACTCGGAGGATATCTATCGGAGACAAGACTGCTCTTGTGCATTTCTTTTTTATCTTTGCCAGTACTTTTCAAAGTCACTTCAAGGAAAATGAGACGTTTGTGGCTTTTTTGGCAGCTTAAGAAGCATATCAAACTTCCCTCCTCAAGTCGATTTGAGTCCTGCCACCATCTGCTTTGTTCGCTCGAGGTTTTTTTGCGGATTTGCGCGGGTTTCTGGAACGATACAATCGCTTCAAGATCATTCTTGCTGTTGATGAAGATCTTTGAAACCTGTGCTCCAGGGTAAAGATGTGTCGTGTTGTCTCTGTTCGAGGAACGAGTGGCGTGACTCAAATCGTCTTCCTGCAAAAGGTCACGAATAGCGTCTTTGGTTGAGCCAAAAACATCATGCCGCAGCAGTCGAAATGTAGAGTCAATGTATCTCTGCAAAGGATCAGTGAGAATGTGGGGTTGCAGGAAGTTGGTGGACGGCAAGTATTCTGCATCCACGCTTACAACCTCGCCATACGTGGGAAGAATTTGCACTTTCGCGATGTCTGCAAAGTCGTTGTCGTGTCTCCCGCCGGGTGTCTGCATATCCAGCGGAAATGATGACAGAACTAGGCCGGTTCCTTGCTGCGGTAGGTGGTAATGTGCCGTACAAGGGAGGATGTTGCTGTTGGCCATGTTGACCAAGCTTTCCATGACTTGAATCTTGCTCTCCAGTCCGTCGATGTCGGCCTTAGAGGAGATAGGTGCAAGCTTATCAACTAACTTGCGAGCCAGGTCGATAAGTATGGAGACCTCATCGTGAAAGCGAGCCCGGCGAATTCGCGACAGAAGCTGATGGAGGACATTTAACAGTAACTTCACGGAATCGAGAGAGGTTCCCTGCTCATTTCTCGTGTTTATCATGCCAGAACACACGGCGTTCAGGTAGTTGATTCCTCGGTCTCCATTTGTGCCACCGAAATCTGAGTACAGAGAGCCAACGAAGGAATCCACTGAGAGACAGTTCAAGAGAGAACAGTGTGTCAAAACTTTGAGAAATGGCTCGCCGTAGATTTCGAAACAGCGCAAACTTCCTTTTGCCTGATCTGCGTCAATAGTGGCGAGAATAAAATCCCGTCCATGCAGCTCTTCGTCCACCAGGTCCTTGGCCAACAACTGGTGATTCTCTCTGCTGTCACTTTCAAGTATCTCCAGAGCCTCGTTCCAAAACCGGCCAAGTTTTTCGTGCTCTCGTCCAGAATATAGCCATGAAGCCATTCCGCCTCGAAGGCTCCTCTTCCAGTCGAGATACGCATTCTTTGCGACCGGATCATGGGTGATTGAGCTTGATCCGTTACGGACACGCTCAGTCGTGTCGTGGGAGAACCTGCACCTATCACCCCAGTGACACCTGCCGCGCTGAAAGTGGACGCATAATCCTTCCGACGGTCTACGCCGGATGAGGCCATTGGGTCCTCCGCGATGGTTTCCTCCACGAATGCTCGGATCGCCCCTTCTTCGCCTGTTCTCACGGAAAGTCATTCTTGTGGATAGGATTTGGACGTGTAAGGTACAAGTCACAAGTGGAATTGGAGTAGCGAGACAGATCGTTGAGATATGGAAAAGATGAAGATGAGTGACTATTGCCAGGATCTGAAAGGTTTTAATAAGGATAGATTCTTATTATGACTTTTAGCGAGGGCGGGGGATGTGGTATCTCATATAGGAAGCAGAACAATAAGGAAAGATGAGAGTAAAGTCAGCCTTGGACTATGCAATCCCCAGAGTTGCAATGCATGTCTGCACTGCCCCTAAGCCTTGCAAGGTATGAGTGAATGGGCATTGCCTTCCGCTGTAAGAGTCATTCAGAATTGCCTCATTTCCTGTTGGGCAGAAGAGACAGCTTTGCTAACTCGCCAGTGTGTTGGGGGTGCCATCAAAGAAAGCATTGTGCGGAAGTCTGCATAATGCGACGCCTGGAAACAGGTTTGCTCCATTTGACATTTTCTCTCGCAATACTTACTTGACTTCAATGTTATGGCTTTGGAAGTTAGTGGTTAGTAGCGGTCGTATGGCTGGTTCGGGTGTAAGGTAGAAGAGTCATTATACAGACACGATTCACTGCGCCCATAGTTGGTACCCCTCATTAGTATTACAGGGGTGCTCCGAGTCATCGGCGTATGTTCTGAATTGGTAACGCGAGGCTGGGTCTAGCAGAGCGCAATGCGACCAGAAAAGTTGGGTGGCTTAGCGAATTGTCTGGCATGGAAGGCATGTTCCTAGATTTAAGCGGCAATTTCATACTCTGGAGCACACTGACGGAGCTTCACAAAAGGCTGCTTTGCAGACTCTATCAGCTAGGCGTTCTGGAGGCTAACATGTTGTGTTCGCAGGGCTCCATTCTACTTTGTTCTCTGAGCTCCGGAACTCTCGCCTTCATGTCCTTTGATTGACCGCGAGTCAACAACTCACGACTCGCCAACACGTCTTAATTCGGTTTAGCGATCATGAATCGTGCATGTCGTATATATTTGCTTCTCGGGGCTTACCATATAAGTGTATTTTGATATGATGAGATTGCAAGCATACAGAGTCCCAGTCAGTACTCTCTCGTATGCATATTCTAGGGTCTTACATTACTGTACTAATGAAGCTTGCTACGGGTTCATAATCGATGAATGTGGCTAAATAGCTGTGCAATTGTATGATGTGGACATTTTTTTGTTGGAAGACTCGTCCACTTGGCTCACGATCGCTTCGTAAACGTTTACCAGTAGGTGAGTGGGGTACTTCACTGGCGCTTACAGATCCGGCCACTACCCAGCCTGGAGACAACCATAACACAGGGCTGATTCCTCTGGCGCCAAGGCGAAACGGCATATCAGGGGGTTGACAGCGAATTGAAAAACGTTGTTTTGTTGTCAACAGGCTCTTGGGTCTGTTGGTCTGGGTTAGTCTTTGTGTGAGTCATAGCTAGTCCTTTTTGAATGATGTACGGTCGAAGGGGTAAGTGACAATTTCCTACCTACTATGTACTTAGGTGCACTAACTAGTTAACTGACTGCCTTTGATGTTATAGCTATCAAGGAAAATTACATGTACGATACAGCGCAACGCTCATCATACTTCCAGTCTACACACCTAACGTATGTACAAGTATACCCTTTGTATCTTGTTCCAGTTCAGTTCGAGGCCCTTACAGGCCGATTCCTAGAGTCACACTTTGCCAATATTTTAGAGCACTGACAGCTAATCAGCCAACTTCCATCATTATCAAGTATCTACAGTGAATTTCGAATAATACCATTTGTTGCTAGCTCGCCTCATAATGTACCACATAAGGCCTCATCACACTGCTTCCCCGCACATATTTGACATCAAATCACAACTCGTCCGCCATGTCATATCACAGCGATGTTGTCAACCTTGAAGCCACCCCGCAGCGGGAAGATCAACCCCCCAACTAGATTCCCAGCCTTGATCGCAGCTTTGAGCCCATGGATGTTATTATTGCTTGCTCATGGGTCTGACCATTCGAAAAATTACGTCAATATTGATTAATAGGACTTGATCTAGGACATCCACAAGTCCAGCAAATTTGACATGATGCCGCGAAAAACAACATACTCAAACCATTATTCACCTTCTGTGTATACATTCCCTTGACACGAGTCATGACCCCCTGCACGCTCTACCTCATCACATCACGAAATGAGGCTGCGCAACGGGCGCACTTTGCCATCTTCGTTCCCGCAGGGGTGAACCCCGACCAAAGGACACTCATCGAAGCTATGGGCGCACCAATGACCGGCTATACCCTGGAATCCAAGGGCAACTATTGCCCTGCCCAGGATCATGTGGAAGATTATGAGATTATGCGTATCGGAGAGACCGATTCACAGAATGTCGTTGACGATGAAACGGGGTTGAAATATATCGACCAGAGCCCACGAGATGATATCGAGCTTGTGGCTTCTGGGATTCCGACTCCGGGAATTTGTGAGAACTTTCTGGCGCCGGTCAATGAGGTAGGAAGAACGCAATGAGTGTTTCTCAGTCTTCTTGGGAGTATTTCACTCAGCAACGAGAACCATAATCGTTGCAACTGAGTTATCATATACTAATCCGCGATATGTCACTCTCAGTCCTCAAACCAGCGAGATCAAGAATGGACCCTGGAGTATATCCGCCTCCTTGTGGGGAGACGTCTGATCAGCTCCGAAGCGATCCAGGTTGTTTACTCCAAGCGTGACCCACCGACCCATGGTCTCAGATTCCAGCCCAGTATTCATCGGTCAAGTTAGTGTATTCTGTGAAAGCCTCTGGATACTTGAACACGCATCGGTTGTCCTTTGACGATTGAAGGTGCCCTACCTATCTAGTAGTAGCAGCACACGCTTCCAGTATATTTGGACCTGTAGGGTGTCTATGCACTGTGGAGGATTATTTTTCTCTTTGAATTAGCCATGTAGACCCCAGTCTTTGATCAAGTTGGCCGTCTTCCGACCGGTTTCGTACAGCAGAAACGACTTCAACTGGCATCCTTATGTCATCTTGACATGTACTGAGCTAGTCTGACTTGTGGACATGGACGGGTGAGGTAGCTAGGTGGCTATGTACAGGTAAGTAGGAACCTTTCAAGGTTTGGCGATTGCACTTGGGTGGAGTGTTCTGGTACGGGCGGAATATATCCAATCCTCAGAACCTTGAGCAAAACCGACAAATTTGCCCTACAAGGCTGTTCTGCGCCAGACTTTCAGCTGAACCTGGTATCGAGGAAACGACTCCAACAACCTACGAAATAAGTGTTCAACAAAAACAAATAAGTGGCTCAAAAACATGCCTATAGTGGACCTTGACAGATGAAAAGTCTGAGTCTTCAGGCAGAATAGATCCATCGATCCCGATTATAGACTGGACCTACCACAGCAGCGGGATCGAGGCGTGACTGACGCGGAACATGGCGTCAGATCACACGTGATACTGATCCAGATACACGTGATCCCCTCCAGGGTTGCAAGGCTCCCAGAGTAGTCCGTATTCTTAGAAGAATCCATCTCTTTTGCCTCTCGTCACTATTGAGTGACGGTCCAGACTCCAGACTGGAATCGATGGCAGGCGCGAAATGCTAATTGTTCCGTATGACTACTACTTCAAGCGAGACTCCGCAGAGAGTCCACATAAGAGACACACAATCTACACGGACGGCCCTGATTGAGGTCCCATCACGATCACAAAGGCCTCTGAAATTCTTGAAACACAGACATCTGCTGTTCAGAGACCTCATCCACGCCAGAGTAGTAACATGTTTAAGATGAAAAGATCGGTCCTCTCGTGCTACCGGGATCTGCTGCCTCAGGTGATACTCACGTGATGATAGCGGATAAGGGTGTTCTTCATGGGCCACAAACCTGGGAGGAGATCAATGTTCATCTAAGATCACAGCGTCTGATGATCTGATCCATATTCATGACTCATGTCTGAATACATCAAGAAGGAAGTTCTGTCCCATCCAGAGCATACGCAAACCCCTCCAAAAACCAAATCCCCCGATTCTTGATTTGCGCGCCGTTGGGTTTTGTCCCGAAACTCAGAAACCCAGCACCTCCTATCATGAAGGCGTTGTCAGCCTGTCACGGGTTCCATGGTGCTACGGTCGGAGAATTTTCCTTCTAACGGCCCCCCCTCTCGTAGCCGGGTATCCGTGTGTCCATGGTTCCATCGCAGATGTGGGAGGACAGAAGAGAGACAGCCACTTTACGGTAACAGCTTAACGGTCGGGGCGGGTCGGACGTCATTGCTTCTGAGTCTTGGCGCAGGATGAACAGGGCAGTAGACTAAGAATGAGTTTATTCTTAGAGGCCCGCCCGTCCGGCCAGTGGAGATGCGCAATTACATTTGGATGATGATACAGTACGGTATTTGGAGTATTGTACCTGTGCTAAGGTTGAGTCTGACTTGGTGTCAGGGCAGGTCGTCTGCTGGAGATCATGTGAACAATGTTCTGATCTCCATAATTGGATTTTGGACATTGAATGCGCTTCTGCCCACCATGTGCTACCCTTTCTAATCTACTCACATAGGACGTCTTGACATGACCATCACAATTCCGACGGCTGAAACCGACAGAGATCAGGGCGGACTCGCCCCATGAAGTGTGTGGCTGACGCGGCTCCACTTTAATAGATTAAAGATGATGAATCGTGTCGATCTGGGCGTGATCTCATTCGACGCCGCGTGGATACACAGGGAGCACGGAGCAGTGACTGCATGCGCCATGAGCACCTCCTCTTCCATTTTGTCTCCTTGGCTGGGTCTCTGGGGCTGGGGGCTGGAATCGGCGGCATGTTCGAGCCTCCGACGTCTACTTGTCTGTCGCAGAAAATCGCAGTGATGCACAGTAGTAGTACAACCGGGATGTTCCCTGGTCACGCTGAACTTACTACGCGCTTACGAAACTGAACAGCAAGAAAAGGAAACAGACTCACTCAGAGGATCTGGGCCCAGCCTCCAGACTGGTCCGCGCGGGTTCATGCGCGTCAACGCTGTTGGACCGGGAAGACAAGATAAGACAGGACTCGTGGACCTGGAGCTGTCATGACATTGAGCCGAGCCGACCAGAGAAAGTGGATGGCGTGTACCTGCTGCACAAGTGTTGAGACCATGGCATAACCCATGGAAGTCCGTCGACGACTCCAGAGAACCACCGCGGGGTTGTTTAAATTGAATCAGGCAACAAGAATCCGACAGCATACTACCTAATACTGCCGTGATCATTCATTCGTGGTCCTGACAATGTCTCCCCAGTTGAAGTCACACTGTGGTGTGAGCAAAGAGAAACATTGAGCGGACTGATGTAATGATGATCATTTAATATGCGTTGAGCGTCGAGTATTGGTCAATTCCAAGCTGCAGTGTCGAGTTGGACGAGGAGGCTTGCATGTTGTGAACCGAGTAAAGTGAACCGTCATGCGCCACACTATAGGTGTGTCGACTCGGTCGACCGAGTCGACACCGGTTTAGAAGCCCAGTAGTTGGGTTGACAGGTCGAGAGTGAAACCACGGATGATCAGATCAACAAGAGGGTGGGAATCCACCCTCCTCGAGCAGGTCTCAGTACTGCCAAAACAAGACTGCACGGGGGTGCCCTTGTCAGTCCAAGTCCAGAGAGAGTAACTAGAGTCGAGTACACCGTTGATTTGATGACGGAAGGTCCTGGGTACATTTTCCAGGCGACGGTTGAAGACCGTTCCACGGTTCTGCTCCTTTTGAATGACCTGCGATGCCTGGTCCGCCACACAGTCGACTTCGATTTTCGATTTTCGATTTTCGATTTTCGATTTTTCTTTTTTCTTTTTCTTTTTCTTTTTTTTCTTTATACTTCCTGTCACCTTTTCCCGTCTTCTTTGCTTTATTGTCGGTTTGGCCTCGGGCCTGGATCTTCTCCGGGTTGGTGGTTTTTATTTTCCGGAACGGGTCCATTGACTCCAGCGGCGGGTAGACTACACGTGGGAACCAGTCGGTTGGTCGGATGGATCTAGACAATGGTACTTGGACGAAAGTACTCCAGGTACACACTGGAGGCATTAAACCATGATCAACACAACTACCATTTACCGTAGGAGGTACATATTCGTGAGTTCGTGGAGGGGTCGTGTATTGTACTTTGTGACATGCAAGAGAGGTCATCATCCTCTTACTTTCCTTACCTGATGAGCCCGGCAATATTTCACTAGTCCATCATGAGTCTACTAGCGATAATTCTCGCCAACAACGAGCTTACCAACCCGGGACTCTATTCTTTTCAACAACATTCTGTACATTTTGAAGTCAGATGTCTTCCATCCCAGTGTTACTCTTACCGTCCACGATGTTACACTGGATCATCCCCCCTCCGCGTCATCTTGACAGGCTTGGTCACATTTCATTTGTGAATTGCAGACTCCACCGGGTCCCCATCCGCGGATGATCATAGCCGACGTCCAAGCCACAGCTCCATCATGGGCTTCAGGTCAAAACCGAAGTATTACAATGAGAATACACAAGTCCCCCTACTCAAGATGATCGTTGTCAAGCCAGCTGGAAGTCAGACTTCTTGGGCCATGCCACCACTTTGTGAGCATGTCATAGTGCCGAACCGTCATTGCCTTTCATGAGGGGAAACACCGATATACTCTGTCAAACCCTGGTCGTATGCATCACCCAACCAAATATGGCTAATGCTGAAATAAACATATCGTTCCGGCAAGAATGGTTAATTATGATGGGAGGAAGGAACTTTATACTGATGAACTGTATACATCAGAATATTACGCCTGTTGTAATTCCACAAATGGGTACGCATAACACACCGACGTTCGCTCTCCTTGTCCCACCTCATGTAGAATTTGAGCGGGGGAGGTATGAAAGTGATCCAGATAATCGAAAAACCAATCATCTGTCCCCGATAATTCCCTTTCAAGTCAAGTCCCTGCTCAACTAGATCAAAATCCCTCCAATTTTTTTCTCGAAGGAGCATGGAAGAAGTACAGTATCTCTCCAGAGCATCTACTTCGATCCAGAAGCTATGAAAGTGCCATCATGCCGCCAAATTGTTCGGCCCCTGCGACGGGTTCTACCCACTTCAGGCGGCTATCAGTATATAGCTCTGCCTGTGGTTTGCAATGATTCAAGACGGAATCATCAAAGATTCCTGCCCTGACGACGGTGATTTCATCAGGGCTTCCATCAGACTTGACTTGGTGTCCATAAAGTGGCGTGCCTTGTATATTTGGTCAGACATAGTATCCCTACATGTATGAATTTCCTTATCATACATACCGCAGTCAGGACAGAAGTAGTTCCTAATGTCATTTCCACTGTCCGATGTTTTAGGAACTTCTTTAGGCTTCCCCAAGACCTCCAGTTCGGCGGTTTTGACGACCAAACTGTATGAATAGGGAGACCCGGTCAGTTTACGGCAATCATGGCAGTGACACAGTCCCTAGTGATAAGTTAGCATGGGGGAGGGTCCTGATCATAGATCCTATGTTATCGGGTTCGCTCACCGACATCAACGGGTGGCTTTTCAATTTGATACGAATCTGGCCGCAGAAACAAGCACCAATCGCCATGTTCTCGTTATCTTGCATTGTCTCCCACAGATCGTTAGGACACGGAAAACACGATGGGATCAAAGATTGTGCACTTTTATTGTTAGTATATTTATCATATTATTCAGGCTGACAAATACGGATCAACTGGTGCAGCCGCAACACTAATTCCTTAGACTGTCACACAATGTTGAATGTACATAATCCCAGAATCCTATCCCCAATGCGCTAATCTCGTCAAGTATCTCTGCTATACTACTAAGTAGTAACTACACTACATTACTACACTCTACAGTGGATTGAGTCAGTTGGGCAGGACTGTGGCCTTCGAAGGTTGAACTCGTACATGTACATAAGTGCATACACATTCTGCTAGCAGCTCAGCAAAAGTCAGAGATCTCTCCCGGTAGCTCTCTTTACCGCCTCCTTATCGAGACATGCCGCTCATCAATTGCAATCTATATACTTATAGTACCGGTCGGTACTGTATTTGAAATTCAAACTGTTTAGTGAAAGTCACACTCGCGCTAGCCAGCCCCACTATGATGATACCAACCGTGATGCTCTCCGGCCGCCGTGTGGCGCTTGTGGCTGGTAAGCAACGTTAGCGGGTTAGCTCAAATCAGTCATCAGTATAGTAGATTCTTTTAAATTACTCCATTCTCTTCATTCTACTGCAGCGATGTCAATTTCCCTAGTCTGGCCAACGTTTGAATTATTTATTTTCCCTTTTTTTCTCCCTCCTCAAACCGGAAGGCTCGAGTATCACCATTTCCGTATGTGGCACATGATTTTCCTCTTTTTTCCTGCCCCGTGCGCCCTCTTGCAGACCACTCTGGACTCTCAAGCACGACTCTACTCAACCAGGATTGGAGGGCATCTTCCCCTCCCTCTCCTCTCTAATGATGATCACTGAAGACCAGATATAGATTACCCATGACGTAGTGGCCAGCTTTCTCCACGGTAGCACAGCACACAATCACAGCTTCTGGTCTCCGCTTAGATGTGACTAGCCCAGGCACATTGGGGGTACGCTCTCACAGCGTACGCTCTGATATCATCGAGCTCTCATTTTTTCCAGGTAGCCCTGACATAGCCACAGCCCAGCCTAGAGAGGAGAGAGGCTGGGATTTGGAGACGGCATACCATGTTATAAGTTTGATACTCTTTCTCCCTCTGTCGTGGTACCTGAGAGATCTCACTTTTTTTTATCTTCTTCCTTTTCATCATATCATCACACAAGAGTTTTATTATACACCTAAACTCACACACCACCGCGATTAATCTATACTCCTTTAGCATTGAAGCTCTGCTTTCGCTTCTTGAACCTTCCTGTTCTATTGGAACTGGTCTCGACGTGAATCGACTCGGTTACTGTATTATATTTTCTCTTCGAGTGCGATTGGCATTTCTGTGTTTGAATCTATTCAGCAAGCGATCAAGCGACCAAGCAACGAGCAACGCCCGTGACGCAACGTGAACGAAAGGCTTACGACTATCAATTTGACTGGGACTGAATTCTCGAGCCGCCGAGTTTGTCCCTATACCTCGGTACGTAGTGTGATTGCAGATTCAAGTTCTCCATCCTTTTGAAGAACAACGATGGAAACAAAGAACAGCCTTGCCCTCATGCCCTTACTAAGCTGACTCCTCCTGGCCCATTTGAATATACAGAACCCATCCAACACAACCAAAAAAAGAAGACGAAAGCAAACCTCAATCATGTCCGCCGTTGCCAAGGGATCCCCCAAACTGGGATCCAAGACTGGTTCCCCCGCAAAACTCCGCAAAGCGTCCGGCTCCAGCGCTCCCTCCAAGGCAGGTGGTTCAGAAAGCCCCGCCCAGACCGTCAAGAACGTCAAAGACACCCCCAGCAAGCAGGCCAAGAAGACTCCGCGCAAGCTCACCCCCAAGGCACCCCAGTCCATTCAAGAGGATACCGCCGACGACGTCTCCGTGCCCGAGACCCCGTCACCCAAGTCCAAGAAGAAGAAGGCGCCTCTGTCGGAACAGCGCCGCCCCAGCTCCCAGCCTGATGATGCGGTCTCACAGGCTTCGGGGTCTGCGGCACCCATGAAGAAGAAGTCGGCTTCCGGGTTGACTAAGAAGGCGAAGGGTCTGGCGGGCAAGGCGAAGGATTCTGCGCAGGATACTACTGAGCAGGCGACCGAGACTGCCCAGGACACTGCCAAGCAGGCCAAGGATACTGCGTCCAAGGGCTCGGAGAGCGTGACTAACAATGTGCCCCTGGATCTATCTGCGCTGAAGGGCCTCGAGGTCGCTGACGGCGGGAAGATTCTCGGCAAGGACGGTAACCCTCTGGGTGAAGTCGTCGAGGGTGACCCCGAGGATCTGGTCGGTCAGACCGTCGGTGACGATGGCGAGATCTTCGATGAAGATGGCGACCTCATTGGTCGTGTGGATCTTCTGCAGGACGCCCAGGACAAAGTCAACGGTGTCAATGGTGCCGCCGACGAGGCCACCGGCAAGGCCAGGGACGCTGCCAAGAACGTTACTGAAAACGTTCCGCTCGACCTCTCTGCTTTGAAGGGTCTCGAGGTTGGCGATGGTGGCAAGATCTTCGGCAAGGACGGCAACCCCCTGGGTGAAGTCGTCGAGGGTGACCCCGAAGATTTAGTGGGTCAGACCGTCGGTGACGATGGCGAGATCTTCGACGAAGATGGCGACCTTATCGGCCGCGTCGACATTCTCGACAACCTCAAGCAGCAGGCTGATGACGCTGCCGATGTCGACGGGGTGGCTGACAAAGCCAAGGACTCTGCTTCCAAGGGAGCCGTGGGCGTAACCGATAACCTCCCTCTCGACCTGTCCGCCCTCAAGGGTCTTGAAGTCGCCGACGGTGGCATGATCCTCGGCAAGGACGGAAACCCGGTGGGCAAGGTCGTCGAGGGTGACCCGGAGGACCTCGTCGGTCAGACCGTTGGTGACGACGGTGAGATCTTCGACGAGGACGGTGACCTGATTGGCCGCGTTGATATTCTCCACGATGCTGAGGAGCAGGCCAACGGCGTCGCCGACGATGCCCAGTCCAAGGCCAGCGCTACCAAGAATGTCATCACCGATATCGCTCAGCTTGAGGGTCTCGCCGTCTCGGACGGCGGCGTGATCAAGAACTCTGCTGGCCAGGTCGTCGGCAAGATCGTCGAGGGCGACCCTGAGGATCTCATTGGCTACACTCTGAACGACGACGGTGAAGTCGTCGACGACGATGGCGATGCCATTGGCCGTGTCGAGCTGCTGCCTGCTGAGGAGCAGGAGAAGAACATGATCGAGGGTCTTGAAAACGCCACCCAACAGGCCGACGAAGAAGATGAGGATGAGGATGACGATGAGGACTACGAGGACGCCAAGGACAACATCCCTGCTGCCAGCTCCAAGAAGGCTGCCGGTAGTGTCGCCAGCATGGCTGCTAGCAAGCCCAGCAAGTCCGCCAAGGACGCCGAAGAGGCTGCGGACGTTGCTGAGGATGCAGAGGATGCTGCAGATGCCGAGGATGCAGAAGACGCCGTCGACGATGGCAAGGACGCTGTTCCTGACGCAGAAGACGCTAAGAAGAACGTCGAAGAGGGCGCTGACGAAGCCGAGGACGCTGCCGATGTTGACGTCGACGAGGCCAAGGAGACCGCTGAGGATGGTGTCGAGGGTGCCACCGACAAGGCTGAAGAGGCAGCTCCCGACACCGAGGAGGCCAAGGAGAATGCCGAAGATGCTGTCGAGGGTGCTGAAGATGCCGCCGACCAGGATGAAGAAGAAGATGTCCCTGAAGGCATGCGTATCCCGGACATTGACACCCTTGAGGGTCTGACCTGCAACAAGCGCGGTTATGTCATCGACCCCGACACCAACAAGCCCGTTGGTGAGCTCATCGAAGGTGATGCCAAAAAGATCTCCCGCATGAAGGCCAAGCTGGATGAGAAAGGTCAGTTTTGGGACAACAGGGGCAACGTGATTGGCAAGGTTAAGGCTCTCCCTGTTGAAGACGGTGACGACGAGGAGGGACCTTTCGCCGGTCTCGACGGTCTCGTCGTCGGCGAAGACGGCTGGGTCGTTGATGAGAACCAGACTCGCGTTGGTAAGCTCGTTGAGGGCGATGCCAAGAAGTTGCTCGGCCGTGGTGTCGACGAGGACGGTGAGGTGCTCGACCGTCATGGTAGCGTTATTGGTCGTGCTGAGCGCTACGAAGAGCCCGAGCCCGAGCCCGAGGAGGAGGAGACCGGTCCTGATCTCTCTGTCCTTGACGGCAAGCACTGCAACAAGGCTGGTTACGTGATCGGCGAGGAGGGCTTCCCTATTGCCCGCGTCATCGAGGGTAACCCCAAGGAGCTTGCCGGCAAGAAGATCTACGACGGTGAGATCTACGACGGTAAGAAGCTCGTCGGCCGGGTTGAGCTGATCCCCGAGGATGAGCGAGAGAGCAAGCCTGAGGGTCCCTTCGCCGGCATGGATGAGCTGTACCTCAACAAGGAAGGTTTCGTCGAGGATGAGGATGGTTCAATCGTCGGCAAGCTCGTCGAGGGTGATGCCAAGAAGCTCCGTGGTCGCGCCGTTGACGAGGATGGCGAAATCACCGACAAGTACGGCAACGTGAAGGGCCGTTGCGAGCCTTATGAGCCCGAAGAGGAGGCCGCGCCCGAGGAGGCTGACCTCTCTCTTCTTGAGGGCAAAGTTGTCAACAAGACCGGCAAGGTCGTCGACCCCTCTACCGGTGCGGTCTTCGGTCGTGTTGTCGAAGGCGGCAAGGGTCTGGCTGGTCGCAAGGTCGATGGTAAGGGCCAGATCTGGGGTGATAACGGCCAGGTCATCGGCCGCGCTGAGCTCATCCCCGGTGCTGATCAGGACAAGGCTGAGGGTCCCTTCTTCGGATTCGACAACGCCGAGGTTGGCAAGGACGGTGTCGTTCTCGACGGCGGCCGTGTCATTGGACGTCTCATTGAAGGTGACGCTAAGCGTCTCCTTGGTCGCAAGGTCGATGAGGATGGTGACGTCCTCGACAAGAACGGCAACACCATTGGAAAGGCTGAGCGATGGGAGCCCGAGGAGAAGAAGCGCGACATCAACCCTATGTCTGGCCGCAAAGTCAACAAGGAGGGTGAGGTGCGCGATGCTGATGGCAACCTCATCGGCAAGCTGACCTCTGGTAACCTCGCTACCTTGATCGGCAAGGAAATTGATGATAACGGCTTCGTTGTCGACAACGACGGTAACCGTCTCGGCGAGTGCACTCTTCTCGAGAACATCCCTGAGCCCGAGCCCGAAGAGGAGGAGGAGGAGCAGGGTCCTACTGCCGAAGAACAGGAAGCTCAAGCCAAGGCTGAGGAGGACCGCAAACTGGCCGAGAAGATGATCACCATCATGCGCCAGACTCTTGACCAGGTCAAGCCTGTTTGCAAGCAGATCACTGACGTACGTATTCTCTCGGATGTTCTTCATGGGTATTTCCAATACTGACGCGATTGTCTTTTTTCCCATCTACAGCTTGTTGAAAAGGCCGACCGCACTCCAAAGGACGAACTGGACGAAGACAAGCTGGTCAAGGATGTGAAGCCCTTGCTCGAGGAAGGTGGTCGCATTCTGCAAGAGTGCAATGGCTCCATCCGAGCCCTCGATCCGGATGGTCGCATCGCCGCTACCGCCAAGGCCCGCGCTGCCTCGCGCGAGGCCACTCCCGAGGAGTACCAGCTCGCTGACCTACTCAAGGAACTCACCGAGACCGTTGTCAAGACCATCGACAACGGCAAGAAGCGTATCGCTGACATGCCCAAGGCCAAGAAGAAGCTGAACCCCCTGTGGAAGCTGCTCTCTGAGCCTCTGTTCCAGATTATTGCCGCCGTTGGTCTGTTGTTGAACGGTGTGCTCAGCTTGCTTGGCCGTCTTTTGGACGGACTTGGCCTTGGTGGTCTGCTTAACGGCATTCTTGGTGGTCTTGGTCTTGACAAGCTCCTGGGCGGACTTGGCCTGGACAGTATCACCGACTCCCTGGGTCTCACTGGCAAGAAATAAGTTGAGAATGTTTTTTTTGTGACTCCAATGTGAGAAGTTTTCTTTCTGACTGTGATGGATGAGACTCTATTCTTGCGGATTCTGGAAATAGCCTTTCTCGATGTATTATTTGGTGTTTCCGTTTCTTCATGTTGCCGGCATATTTTTCGTTTTTGACCTTTCTGCACTGCAAATTTTCAAGTCTCCTGGTTGAGATAATAATCGATCGATCGAAATGAATTTCAGGTTTTCAAATGATCTATTGTGTCACTATGGAACATGATCATTCCAGGAAGTAAAGCTCTAGCCGACCTTCTCCGATATATGCAGAAAGAAAGGGGGCTGTATATGGAATATGGCCAAAATTATTGAATCTCCTTCTTCATAAAGACTGTCCTCATATCCCAACGCTTGCCACTTCGATCCACCACATCATAAAAGTTCTGCGCTGTCTGGAAGGGGCTATACCCTCTACGAAGATACCACTGCTCCGTAGAAAACTATACAACAAATTAGCTCACAATCTCCATCTATCAACGCCCACCCTTTTACAGTTCACATACCTTTGGGAGAGTACCATACGTCGCAAGCGCAAAGTCCTCTCTCATCTGATCTTCGCCGAGCACAACATCCAGCACCAGAACACGCGCTGAGAGCGGAGCACTAGTCGCCATCAACTCGAGCTCTTCCATGGCCGCGCGACCAACGCCTCGGCTCTGAACCGTTTTGGAGACGAAGAACGTCTTGATCCAAAACATCCCCGGTGCGGAGCTGGTCACGCCTACTCGTTCGACTCCGGGGTTGTCGGAATCAAGCGAGATGTGGCCAACGGGTTGGAATTTGACGTGTGTTGGTTGGCGAGACACGCCTTTCAGAGACTGGGCTGTGTCTCGGAGAAACAAGGGTTGTGTATCGGATGACTGGGGGGCGTTTTGTTAGTTGATCGGTACTCGGGTTTGATGGTCTTTGGTGATGCGATTCATTTACATGGATAGAGGAATGGCGAAAGATTGTGCATATTGAAGATGACTACTTACTTGCTGATCTTCTTCAAAGCTTTGCTGCGTCTCGTCATAGGCACTGTCCTGCTTGTCTTCAGGTAGGACCTGTAATTTGTGAGAGGGTGTAAGAATTGTAGTTCGTTTTGGTGAATCGGATGCCTTTCACCAGACTCCATCTCCAGACGGTAGTGCATTCTGACTTGAGAAGACGCTAGGCCATGCTGAGACCGAGGCTGTCAAAGTTCGAGGCAGGAAACAGGAACTCACAATCCAAAAGATACTTTTAATACCTTGAGTCTGATAATCAATCCACACACCATTGACCTTTTCCCGATCCCAGCCGCACTCATCTCGCTGTTGAAGGAGCCATGCCCGATGACTCGGGGATTGCGGATCCCATGGAATGAGGGTTACTCTGGTGTCTGAAGCCATACTTTGAATTTGAGAGGTCAATGAGGTAAAAGACAATTATATCGTGAAGTTCTGGATTGACCACGTCACAGGAGATTTTTAGGGGGCTGACTCACATGGTGACTTGCGTGCGGGATAAGATGCACGCCCGTGGGGGCCGTGAGCCAGTAGCGGATTTAGGATGGAAATAAGGATTGGAAAGTGGAAGCGCCCAAAGTATGTTTGCATGACTGTTGACGGCGTTGAGCCTACTCTGGTTCCAAGTCTCGTGCTTCTAGCTTTCGTTGAATGGGCACCGGATAGCTTTGGCCAGGTTGATTGCTCATCTTTGAGATTGTTGTGACTCGTGAGCGCAAGAAATTATCCAGATGATGACTCGAGCACGCGATTATCCACCTCAATCCAGCAATTACTCTGCAGACGCGCAGAGTCAAAGTCTACAGGGCTCGTTGTTGAAATCTAAGACAGCATAGCACGTATGTCCACACACAGGTGTTTATTTTCTCAAAAATCAAAGATTCACCCGTACACCCAATAATGCCATCCTGTTGACGCCCGTTATGCACTCTATTTCTAATGACAAGAATGGACCATAAAACCCGACTCCACTATGCGAGAATACCTGTCTCCTGAAGCATCTTCAAGGCCCTCTCATAGGTCCACATTGTGATTGCACTTGCCGGGGCTGCTTTGAGCAGACTCACGGTCAAGCCCCGGTATAGACCTCGCACACCTTGTGTTCGCAAAATCAGTCCAATGGACTGCATGACACCCGTATATTCAGGAATGTTGCGATGCACGTAACGGGTTCGCGTAGGGCCCTGCACCTGCAGACGCTTGCGAACCAAGTCCAAGGGGAAAACACCGGTTTTGGCGATCACGCTGGCCAGTACACCAGCAGCCGCATCTCCTGTACCTAATGGTAGTTGTTCCCATTGAGCTAACACAGGACGAAACCCTTCATAGGCGGTGAAGAAGAGGCCCATGTAGGGCACAATCTGCACCACGGCGGCCGAGCAGCCACGGAAGAATCCCTTGGTTCCCTCTTGTTGGGCGATTTCCCGTAGGGAGGAGCTCAGGGATCGGTAGATGCGCTCATTCCCTTGGGCGGCGAATCTCGTGCGAAGAAGATCAAGTGGATATGTCGTGGCGGTCGCGATTCCGCCGGCTAGGGCTCCAGAGACGAAGGATTCGGCGGATTGTGGCAGACGGTAAGGGCCCATTTGCTCCAGTGCTTGAGTGATCGTTCGATATGCGGTAAATTGGAGCGCTCCGTAGCAAACGTACATGAGTTCGGCGGGGACGTTGCCCTTCCACAGACCCTAAGTCACGAAAAATCATCAGTACTCGTCCAGTCAAGCAGTCCATTGCATTTGCTGGCTTTCGCAAGGCTGAGACGGATGGACTCCTCCGTTTGGGGGTTGGTTGACATACCGTGATACCCTCTTGTCTCACAATGTCCTGCATTGTCGATCTGGTGCCTTTATAGATGGGTCCATTGATGGTTTGATGCGAGAGAGGATCCGAAAGCGAGTGAACCTGCAGCTGCAGTCGAATCTTCACCACGTCGAGAGGCGCAATACAGAAGCGGGAGATCAAGCCAGCGGCTCCGCCAGCGAGCACCGTCTGCCTTTTGGAGCCTTCATCTTTCAAATGTTCACCCCCAGCGGACATGACTGTGTGATTGGGGGCGCGGCTCAGTCGTTAGTACGTTGATACCATCTCGGTGCGCGGGCCGGTGAAATTGTTGTCTTTTTGCCAAAAGTAAAAACTCCAAACAATACAAATTCTCGGAGGCGACTGGAATGAGCGCGGCTTTCCGCGGTGATTTACGTAAGGATGCATCAACAAATATGTTGACACCTGGAAACAAAGGCATCACTGATGGTGAATCAGGCACAACTTCAAGTCGATTCGACGGATAATTGCTGGACCTCGGCAATGACAATTGAATGTCATGCAGCTCAATATTACTGATCAGGGCTTGCATGTCAGGCGTGCACTAAGCCGAAGTGACACGCCAAAACCACAGTCGACCCAAGCTACTTGAGTGTCAATTTGTCAACGCAGATTGATTCTGACCCCGTTATTGTTTAACGGAGTTGTCCGTTGGCCCGTTAGTTCTAAGCGGAGTCTGGGGGTCCTGAACAGCCGTGCGACAGACCTCACATGTTTACCCACATTTGTTGACATTTACCCCACGTTCCAATCTTACCTACCTTCTCAATTGAATCCACTGGTCAGTTTTCAAGAGACTACAAATGCGTCCCACATCCCTTTCTCCGACGCGGAGGATCTCTCGGGGTCTGGTCGGCCCTATGCGGCGACATTTTGTCGCATCGCCGAGGTGCACGCATCCCGAGGAGGATGCGATGGCCCGTCTGACCAGCAATGCGGTTCTCTTTGATGCTATAAAGAAAGGGCGCCTCGTGGAACGAGATGGTAAGCCCACGTCTGTCAATCGCATCAAGCTCCCTGCTCTTGGGGGCCGCCCCGAGCAATCAGTGCAAATGGAGGTCACAAAGCCTGCGGAGGCTTATCTGCAGCCGGGGAAATTAGTCTTATGCTCTGCTGAACATGGTTCAGTGGCTCTACCACTGTACTATTTGCGTGATCTGTGCAAATGTCCGAAGTGTGTTGACCCTCACTCGAAGCAACGGTCATTCCGCACAAGTGATATCCCCAAGGATGTGTGTCCGCGTGTCGTACGATGGGACGGGACACACCTTGAGGTGGAATGGGCAAATGATATCGCCGGCTATGCGAAGGATCATACATCTCGCTGGGGCATCGACTATTTGAAAAATCCCGTGCTGGACCCCCACGAGCAAAAGTCTCCGAACATGAAACCTCTTCGTTGGACAAAGAACTTGATGACTCGATTGCAACACTGGGTGTCGTATGACGAGTATATGAATGACGACGCGAAATTTGCCGCGGCGATGCGCAATCTTTCTCGCTTGGGCCTGATATTTGTGAAGGACATCCCGGATTCGCGAGAAATGGTGGCGAAGATCGCGACACGGATGGGTCCCCTGCGCAACACCTTCTATGGTGAGACCTGGGATGTGAAGACCGTACCACAAGCCAAGAACGTTGCTTATACCAACCAATTCCTCGGCTTTCACATGGATCTCATGTACATGAACGAGCCCCCAGGTTACCAGCTGCTACACTGTCTCGAGAACTCGTGCGATGGAGGCGAATCGCTCTTTGCGGATGCATTCCGCGCAGCTAGGATCATGGAAGTCGAGTTTCCAACCGAGTTCAAAGCTCTGTGCCGCCGTCATCTCGGCTACGAGTACAATCACGAGGAACACAAATACCACAACACTCGCCCTGTCTTCCAGCTAGACCCCAAGACAAAGGAGCTGCGCTATGTCAACTACTCACCACCCTTCCAATCTGCTCTTCCCGAGTACGAAGGCAAAAAGGGTTCCGGAATCCACGGCTACGCGGAACTCAAGCGGGCCTTGAATCACTTCCTCAAGGTCATGGAGGGAAACTCGTCGGTCTTCCAGCTGAAGTTGAATCCAGGTGAATGTGTGATCTTCAACAACCGACGCGTGGTTCATGCGCGGAACCAATTCAATACCAGCTCTGGTTCCAGATGGTTAGCAGGCGCCTATGTGGACGAGGATGCCCTATTGTCGCGTTATGCTGTATGCCGAGCAAAGCAACCCACCACATGGAAGGCTGCCGATCCCTTTAACGGACTGGATGGACTTCGCAAAGAAATAGTTGGAACGACAGCCAGTGAGGCCCAGGCGGCGCTAACAGAGGCTCAATCATGAGAAGCCTTCAACCCTATGAGAGTGGCTATGTAAGACTGATGATGCCGGGCGTGTTGTCTTGTTGTATCGAGTGGGGTCTGGCCCCAGGGGTTGTGGATTAACGCAGGTCTGACAATCTCATATCTACTTGGCATCCATGGCCTGCACGAGATCTCCATGCAATTTAAGCGACATCACGCGTTAGAGTGAGCGTTTTCAATGGCGGTGGACGACGTATCTACTTTCTTGTATCCTGTGAAAAGGTCCATATTAGCATATACTACAGTGAAAGCTTCACAGTAACATGGGTTGTATCTATCTCAATCAAGTCTTGAAAGTCAAGCAGGCGCCGAGAGGTAAAGGGTTTAGAGAGGTAGAGATTGAGGGGATTCCAGTGACTTTCGTTCACTAAATTTCCAGCGCGAATCTTCTTTTACATTATCCGGCTTCTTCCATTTTGATCTGCTGTTATATATCATTGCGTTCCAAAACTACTTCAAGACTGCTTGTTGACTGAGTACTGGTCAAAGAAGCTCGGGTCATTCTCGATTTCATCGCGAACCTGAATTTACCAAAGTCAGTGAACCGCTTTGCGGAAAGCGCGCCGGGGATCCGCCGCTCTATCGAAATCAAACTTACAATATCCAATCCACCAACCAATTCACCACCAACCCACAGCTGAGGGAAAGTAGGCCAGTCTGCATATTCCTTCAAGCCCTGTCGTACATCCTCATCGGCCAAGATGTTGAAGAAACCGTATTTGACGCTGCGCTCACGAAGGATACCCACCAGCTGCCGGCTGAATCCACACTGAGGCGAGCTGGGTGTTCCCTTCATAAATAGCATCACGGGGGCCGCCTTAACCAGCTGGTCCAGGCGAGCCCACAGCGCCTCCTTCGACTGCTCGGGGGTCAGAGCAGGGGTCGCTGAGACATCGATCGCATTGGCAGAGGATTCGGGCGCACGTGAAGACGCAACGGGAGGTTGGGTGGCAACTTCCGGCCCATTCTCTCGGGGTGTCGCAGCAAGAGGGGCAGGAAGACTGGCCTTTGCGCCGTCCACGGGCACCGAGCCACCAGCGTGACGCTCGATCGCACTGCGGACCTTGACAGCGTCGCTGCCACTGATATCTTCCAAGCGCTGACCGCCACGCATCAGCACGACAAATGGCACCGCCGTCACGTCAAGCTCCTCGGAGATATCAGGCAACTCCTCCGCATTGATGCTGACAAACGAGATAACGGGTGGAGAGGCGGCGGGGTATTGGCCAGCGATGGCCTCGAGGACGGCGCGCATCTGCGTGCAGGGTGCAGCCCATGGTGTGTGGAAGTAGAGCACCAGGAGCGCAGAAGGTGAGAGCGAGGCTAGGTGTGTTGTGAAGTCGGTCTCCGAGGCGATTTCAATAAGGGCCGACATGATGTGGTGGGGGAGGGGAACCGAGGGGTTTCCCGAGACTGAGGAAGATGGCGTGAATTGAGGGATTGGGGAGCAATTGAGCCCGAAGTAAATATATTCAAAGGATGAATGGGGGATTTAGAGACGAGTGGTCCCTTCGAAGTGAGCGTGAGAGGATGCGAGAGAAGGGAGGAAAGAGATGAAGATTGATGGCGTGACGTGACGACGGCGAATTTTCCGGCGATCGTCCGTTATCAGATCGTTCGGCAATGGCCCGCCTGGAATCCAGATCACGTAATCTTTCTTGGGCCGCGGTTGAATTAAGAGTATAGCAACAATGCTAGCGTTCTATTTACAATAATGTACGGACTTAATCATCTATCGTCAGATGAGCTCTGCATAGATTTGACACTGGATGCTTACTACTACTATTTCGTGCTGGCAGTAGCGGGGCGTGTATACTGCCAACAATCTTCTGTGTGGCAATATGCTGGTGAGTCATCCACGATTTACAACTCATGCATGAGTCGCTACGCGGTAAAGAAGGTCGAATCTAACCGAACGGCGCTTGGTCTAATTGCATGGAGTACAACGGAACGGCAACGCAAGATCAGTAACGAAGCCATGGAGCAGTTGTATTGGTTCAAGTGTCGAGGCGGCAGGCTTTGATGCTAGCCGCGTCAAGATACTGCTCCAGTCTCGTCTCACATGCTACTAAAGGTGTCTTGACAAAGAGCATTATGGATGTTCCCACTTCGCTCAAGTCTGAAGAAGACCGGCCAAAGTGACCGTCAAGGTTCCTTCATAGAACCGACACCGGTAGAGGCAACTGGTTTATTAGGTAAGTGAGTAGACAAAAGTATGTATCCGATTATGTAAAATTGAAATTCGATATCACGATCCCTGCTGCCCTGGCACTGGAAATGTCAGCAGCTTTCGTAACTGTAACTTGCAGTAGGTATGTAACTACATAGTTTAAGTTAAGTGACTAGTGTAGAGGGGAATGCTCAAGGCAGTCTGATCTCACCAGACAGGTCGAGTCATAGAGGAACCAAACCACAACCACCAGCACGCACGTCCAGAGATCTCCCAGCCCGACCGTACAACACCTATCCGTTGGATGTCAAGAGGCACAAGTGAAGATCAAAAGGAGTGTGGCATGGCAATGCAAAGAATCCGCCTGTAAAGACCGTCCTGAATCCTCTGTCCGATGGATCTCCCGGATCCCATGAACTCGTTCGATTCCTTGGTTCCTTCTTGGATTCCTTCGGTTGTCAAGTTGATTGATCCCTCTCGTAATGTCCAAATAGTCTCTCCGGACTATAAGGCCACCATCAGGCACACGCACCTCTGCGAACCATCTGCTCTAGGTACATGCAACCGGATTCCCTACTACACTAGTTAGATACTTAGTTTAGGGCGCTTGCCACTTAAGATGTCTTGAGCACGTGAGCATTATTCATCTCCCGCGCTCTTCACGAATCTCGTCACCGCTCCAGCTTATCAGCACGTGACGATCATAATAATTTTGCCCAAGATGCGCGAGGAGTTCAGCGTCGCGTTCTAAAGCGCTACTAATTATCGAAGATGGGCCGTCAGAACAAGCGGAAACGTGAGGCTGATGATGCTGATCTTGTCACTGAACCCAATACGAATGGGTTTGGCGTTGCAGAGACCCTGTCTCGTTTGAACGCACCGACACCTTTAGCCATGGATGAAACCGCCGGTGATTCGCAAAACACAGAGGCACAAAAGCCTAGTGCCAAACGAAAGCGTGTGGATGGAGAGAAAACCAAATATCCGGATTTGACTTACGTGGAAGGCAGTTTGAAAAACTCGATCAGAATTGCAGATCTGCAGGGACTGCTTCTCTACTGCTTTGCCGATGGCGTCGCACCGCAATGGATTTCTATCAAACATTCTGGACACATGAGAAAGGTTGTTGTCTTGATGGTTCCCGGGCTTGAGATTGGTATGTTTGATGGCACGATTCCCCTGGATTCGGACAAAAAGATCGAGGTGGAGGGGAAGAAGGATACGGAAATGGCAGAGGCCGGGGAGACATCAGACGAGCGAAAGCATGCCGATTTTGAGCGATGGAAGCAAGGACTTCCTTTGGAGGATCGTTCTTCGCGGTTCAACCCCCGTCAATTGGAAGCAGACACCCTACCCGAACCATTACGCCCTCTGGCGAACATGTTCCCCCACGTCTGGCCTGTCCGAGCGCCCGGTGATTCCAAGTACAACAAAGTGCATTCTCCTCTTCAAGCGATCCTTCTCTCATCGCTGCCAAAAACCAAGGAGAGCGGTGGTAGCGGAAAGGGCGCGCGGCCCGCCAAAGTCGACAGAAACTTCGCACCCAAGCGCACCCCAATCACACGGTTCATATCCAACATGGAGGATTTGCGCGAGAACGAGTATATTCTGCACCCTGCATTCTTCACGACCGACGAGGCCAAGGAGGCCCAACTCTCCGTCCGCCGTCAGACAGAGCAGTCCGTTGAACATGGCTGGGTTGACACCGACGTCCCTTCTCTGGAGGCGGGGGAAGTGCCAGAGAGTGAAATTGAGAGTGGTAGCATGACTGCGGGTCGGACTGTGTTGTCCTTGGACTGTGAAATGTGTCTGACGGAAGGAGGGCAGTCAGAGTTGACTCGCATTAGTATGGTTGGTTGGGACGGCGAGGTCGTTCTGGACGAGCTGGTCAAACCCACCAAGCCGATCATTGACTATCTCACTCGCTATTCGGGCATTACTGAGGAGATGCTCAAGCCAGTCACGACGACCCTGGCCGATATTCAAAAGAAGTTGTTGACAATTCTGACTCCACGCGCAATTCTGGTTGGCCATTCACTCAACTCCGATCTCACGGCACTGAAAATCACGCATCCATTCATCGTCGATACCGCTCATATTTACCCACACCCGCGTGGACCACCACTGAAATGCAGTCTCAAATGGCTCACCCAGAAATACCTGAGCCGGGAAATTCAAAAGGGCACCACTGGCCACGACTCAGTCGAAGATGCTCGGGCTGTGCTCGAGCTTGTCAAGCTGAAATGTGAAAAGGGCGAGCTTTGGGGCACCAGCGAGGCATCCAACGAAAGTATCTTCCGGCGACTTGGACGATCTACGAAGAATGGGAAGACCACTGCCCCCGGTGAAGGTCGCACCGGCGCCGTCGTAGACTGGGGCAACCCCGAGCGCGGCTTCGGCTCCCAGGCCACAGTTTCCATGGGGTGTCGTGACGATGAGGACGTCGTCAAAGGTGTGGCTTCTGTTGTGAGGGGCGACGAAACCAATCCCGCAATTCCAGGTGGCGGTGTTGATTTCACGTGGGCACGCCTGCGTAATCTCGAAATGGCTCGCGGCTGGTGTACTCGCATGCCTGATGCGAACAATGCCAATGAATCGACAGCTCTGGTCCCTCCTCCCGAGGAAACGACCCCAACAACGGGTCCTTCTGATTCGTCGATAGGTCCTTCGCAGCTGTCCCAGGTCGTCAGCCGCACCGTCACTGACATCTCCCGCATCTACGAGTCGCTGCCCCCATGCACCTTGTTCGTTGTTTACTCAGGTACCGGTGACCCTCGAGAAGTGAGTCGACTTCAAGCCATGCAGCGCAAGTACCGTGAGGAGTTCAACGCACGGGTGCCTTGGGATGAGTTGAGTGTGAAGTGGACAGACACGGAGGAGCAGGCCCTGAAGAAGGCCTGTGAACGAGCGCGCGAGGGTTGTGGATTCATGGTTGTCAAGTGAAGGTCCTTTTGTCATGATGTTCCGTACGATACCCCTTCAAAGCAAGAACCAGATTGAATTGTTGGATTGAATTGTTGGTTCTTCTGTCCAATTGCCTGCAGTCATGCCATCTAGTAAAAGAAACCGATACTTTTCCAAGACATAAGCACCATGAATATCCTCCTCATTGTCGATTTCTGGTACATGACTTTGCCGCCGTGACAGAGGATCACATGAGCATGAGTTTTGCTTTGTGTCTAATCTGATCCACGACGTCTGAATGAAGTTGTGCGCTACAACTACGGGTAGGTAGCCGGGGTCATCTTCTCCGCAGCCCGAAGCTAATGACTTATTATTTGTCTTCTCAGGAGTTCACGAACAATAAAATGACCTACTAGGGCTGTTATGCGGACGAGCATGCCAGCGGTCACTTACCGTCGCCTCATTATTCAGAAAACCGACCATACAGCCAGCGCCCGTCCACACATTTCAATTACAAAGCAACGCCAAGTCGCTGACAGACCGGCACCGGCATCGACCGTCGGTGGCCCCGAGTCGACCACGGCTTCCGGTCTCGGAAACATCTCAACATCGCAATGACCATTTGACTGGTTTGGCATTGATCTCCCTGTCAGACTGAGCAATGACCCACTCGAACAGCCAGCTGTGGAGCTGTTGAATGCGTGTCGCCAATAACAAGCTTGCCTTCAAGCTGACTGACATGTTGATTTCTCAGAATGAGACCGTTCCCCGCATGGAAGTCCACGATTTGATCAAAAGGGCGTGCGGGCGCGGCGGCACGGCAAGCATCGAACGGCGGGTGGTAAAAGTGGGCGTTTTCTTGACCTTCTATGGTTAAAGGCTAATAATGCCTGACTCATCTCACCTCGATACAGTATCTCCGTGCGGATTGTTCCGTGAAACTTGGTGAAGCAGGGCTTTTTCCACTTTCTCATTCCTCAATCACTTTGAACCACCATGGCTGATGTTTCCATTCCTCTCGCCCCAGCAATGGAGGCATTTGAGACGTCCAATGGCTCGAATATTACGAGTGAACGAGATCTGCCACCAGTGGATCGCGGCAAGGCAGCGTGGCTTTTTTTAGCGGCTTGTTTTATGATTGAGGCGCTCATCTGGGGTAAGTGGATTCGGTCTATACTAACGAGGATTTACCAATATTCGATGCTGATAGGGAAGTTGACTTCAGGATTCACCTTCTCTTTTGGTATCTTCCAGGATTACTACAGCGCTCATGAGCCGTTTAAAAGCTCAGGTAATATTGCAGTAGTGGGAACCTGCGCCATGGTATGTCGTACTTCGGCCAGATTTTATTGTTGTGCAATGGTGCAGTCATCGCTTACATTCCCGATAGGGCATCTCATATATGTTACTCCCAGTGGCTTTCATTCTTTTGCATGCAGTTCCTCGACTTAAGCTATGGGCTGCACCGATTGGCTTCATCATTATGTGTCTAGCGCTTTCACTTAGCTCATTCGCAACCAGCACATCACACTTGATTGTCTCGCAAGGAGTTGCTTATGGAATCGGAGCAAGCTTAGCCTATGCTCCAACCATCGTCTTCATGGATGACTGGTTTGTCCAAAGGAAAGGCTTGGCGTTCGGGATCATGTGGGTGAGTAGGCTAATCGACTACTCAAAGGGTGTCAATTTCAAACGTACGCTAATTCTCATCAGGCCGGCACTGGGATTTCTGGTGTTATCTTGCCAATTGTTCTTCAATGGATGCTTGATGCATTTGGACCGCAGACAACCCTGCGCGCATGGTCAGTCACATTGATGCTTCTCGGGGGCCCATTGCTGTACTTCGTCCGGCCTCGTCTGCCAATCTCCCGATCGTCTCGCACCAGACCCTTCGACTTCAAATTTCTCCGTGACTCGGCCTTCCTCGTCTATCAGACGGGTAACATTCTCGAGGCAGTCGGGTATTTCCTGCCCACTATCTATTTACCCTCTTTTGCCCGCAGTCTCGGCGCCGGGGGCATTGAATCATCCCTGACTGTCATCCTGTTCAATTTGGCATCCGTGTTCGGCTGCATCGCCATGGGCTCATTGGTTGATCGCTGCCATGCAACCACTTGCATCCTCGCCTCGACCGTTGGTAGCACCATTGCAGTCTTTTGCATCTGGGGCTTTGCCGACTCGCTTGGCCCTCTGTATGTGTTTTGCATCATGTATGGTCTCTTCGCGGGGTCATTCTCGTCTACATGGCCGGCCATTGTGAGTGAAATCAAGAAAAGGAGTACCTTTGCGGATGCAAGTATCGTCTTCGGCTTCTTGTCGACTGGCCGGGGTATAGGCAACATTATCAGTGGGCCGCTCAGTGAAGCTTTGCTCAAGGGATCTCCGTGGCAGGGATTAGCGGCCAAGGCGTATGGGTCGGGCTTTGGACCCCTTATTGTGTTCACGGGAGTTTCGGCGCTGCTTGGGGGTCTCGGTGTTGCTACAAGATCTTCCAGGCTCTCCTAGGCTCACTGAATATGCGCCTTGTTGCACGCCAGGCAAGTCGGACGAACGGAAAATGCCACACCGGGCAGTAGAAGGCTGGGAGTCTTTGAACGTATGGCCTTTGGCCTCAAACTGGCCAAAGGTCCCCTTTGGACATCCTTAACCAGTTCAGGCATATAGACCAGATTCGAATCATCAGCATTCCATATGTTTACAATCAAAGCTTAACGTCTCTCTCATGTCTCTACGAAAACGGCCGTTAGTAAACTATCACTCTTTGAACACCTTCCCTCTACATCTACCTTTCTCTTGATACGTACCCGAAGCCTTTTAACCATCAGGAAGTCCCATGTATTCGTGAAAGAGACAAACAAGATCGAGCTAAGACCTCGTCGCAGACAACACGTAAACTGTCTTGTGAAATAGTATTTACTTTAATTTGCACTCGATACACGTACTAAACTCATTGGGCTTCATGAGTGTCCATTGCCTCCTCTTGTTCCATCACTCTCCGAATTTGAGCATCTCGCACCAGAATCTTAGCTCTCAGCTTTTCCTTCTGAAATTCACGGGCAGCTTCGGTCATCATCGTCGAGTCATGGTTCGTTGCATCCACGTCGAGAGCCGAAGAAGTGCCCATCTGTTCCAGTGTATCGGTACTCGTTTCTTGGGCTGTACCTCGGTCTTCGCTCGGGATTGTTGGATTCGTGGCATCTTTGCCATGCGAGGCTGTAGCGCTTGGCCCAAACGACTGCGACCGGGCACTCCGACGTAGCTTTCTCTTCCGTGGATTCAGTGGTTCTGAGGTCGAAGAAGCCGAGGGAAGCTGTGTCGCATGTTCGATAGTTGTAGAAATTGGCGGCACAGCCGTAGCCTCTACATTCTCCTCGATCGCGTTTGATTTTCGTGGTCGGCCGGGTCTCTTGCTGGTCTTGGGCGCTTCTTCATCATTTCGCGGGTTCAGTCGTTGCCGCTTGGGCCTGCTGGATTTCGTCGGGTTGTTGGTATTGTTCTCGCCCGTTTGGCTGAGTTCGTATTGAAGCTGAGACTCTGCGGGCCTGGCCGAAGAATGGCGCGCCGCGGGCAGCGAGGGGTCATGGCTGTGTTCGTTCGACCGATTCTCCAGAGGCAGGTCATCTGCCATGTCATCTTCATCAAACGAGTCTGCCACCGTTGGGGCTCGAACGGCCGGGAATGCATCTGGCCATGCACGCTTCTTCCCAGCTTGATGAGGACCCGGACTTTGTAGGTCCGTAGGCCGTGTTAGGGTGAGGACTGGAGCGGGATCCTCAGGGTTGGCTGGCTTGCGTGCTTCGATCATGCGATTCTTCAGTTTCAGAGTCTCCATTTCTAGCCTCATTTTCTCATTCTCGTCCGATTTGCTTTTGAGCTCCTTGAGAACTGTGGCAATCATTTCAAACCCCGGAGTTCTTGTCGAGTTGTTTTCACTGAAGGCTCTGTTGGGGTCGTTCAATTCTATCCGGAGTGAAGTGAACGAATGTTTCAAATCGGCCATGGTGTCGTGTAAATTGTTCACTGAGTTCGAGATTTGGTCGATGCTTCGACCGTGATGTTGCATTTGCCTATGCATCGAAGGGTCCATGAGAAGTGTATCTTGCGATCCAGCAGGCACCAAAGCATTGTCATGCTTCGATTTTTGGAGGGATTCGGCTACCGACGCGGCGGGGTGGAACAACGTGTCGAGTGCACCATCCTTGAAAAGAGGCTCGGCGGTTCGCATGGTCACAATATCTCGGAAGGAAACCTTTGACATCTTCCAGAGGATATGGGGGCTAATTCTCATCATCAGCGTCCAGCGAGGTGCGAGTGATAGTCCATCAAACGTCAGTTTTACATACCGATCATTTAGTTCGCAGAGGATGGCCAATTTCTGCTGGCACAGCTTGCATGAGACCTCTTGAGCACAACAGCCCCGGAACATGCTCATCTCAGAAGTCTGCGGGATAGTCTTCTGTTCGTCCGCAACCGAGATTCGTTGCAGGTTGACACTCAACCACGCCGTTGGAACGGCATAGATGCCGGAAAGTCTTCCCCATTCATTCTCTAAAACAGCCAGCGAGCTGGAGCATCTGAGGCATTGACATAGTATCGCCGGTCGTTCTAGCAAGCTCAGGTTCATGATTAGTAGCTTCCACCCGGTCGGGCGCGGATTTCATAAGGAACGCGTGAGGCTACGAGTAGTTAGGCATCGTCTCTGCGGTAGCGCGGCGGACAGGACGGGTTGAGTGGGGCCATCGAATGGCTGAGTCAGTTCCAATACAGTCTGGGTGGTGGACCGAGGTTCTTCCCGTCAGGTGCCTGGCATTAACTTATCGATAAGTTACGTATTTATCCACATCAGTGACCACGGCGATTCCTCACTGCCTTGACTGTTGCCGCTATCGCTGGGGACATCTGACCTACGCGACTCAATGGTCTATGCAAATACTATGCTTTCCAATGACTATCAATGGTAGAGATCGTGTGTTACTATATGGTCTCGAACTGATTCCAGTTGAGGTTCGAGGCTTGTCGTGTCAATGAAAGAGTACCAACTTACATTGCGAGGTGGACCCTGCTGGATAAATTCTAAATTCTTATCCCCTTATCTCCGAGATGTCCATCACGTGAAGTCACTCATACCCCCGCATTTTCTGCGATGACCCCACGGCGTCCTTGCCGATAAATAAAGACTCATGACTTGGTTCTTGCGTCCTTTCTCCCGGGCGACCAGGGTGATAAAATCAACATATACAAATCCATCTGTTGTTTCGTTCCGAAAGTTCACCATGACACACTCGAGTCCGTCGGCCACGGTGGCAATCCCTGCTGCCAATGGCGAGACCACCTGGCATGGGGCTGGAGCTGCGGAGTTTGACATGCGCAGTAAGACCCTCCGCTGCGTTTTTGATGAGACCTCGCTTAATGAATTGACTTGGACAGGTGATACTATGACCAAGCCCACCCCAGCAATGCTTAATGCAATCTGCCAAACAACACTCCTGGACGATGTCTTCAACGAAGACCCGACAACGAATAGCCTTCAAAAGTACGTCGCTGAAAGGACCCAGCACGAAGACGCGCTTCTTGTCATGTCCGGTACCATGGGGAATCAGGTGGCTATACGCTCCCATTTAGTTCAACCCCCTTATGCTGTTTTGTGCGACCACCGATCTCATATTGTCTGCTATGAAGCCGGCGGTGTCAGCTTGTGGACTGGAGCAACTGTGCAAACCGTAATTCCTCAGAATGGCGTTCATCTTACGCTAGAGGACATTCAAAAGCATGCGGTGCTCGATGACGATATTCATCATTGTCCCACTAAATTGATCAGCTTGGAGAACACCCTCAACGGGCTGATCATGCCTCTCGATGAGGCCCGTCGCATCACAGAGTGGGCTCATGCGAATGATATCAAAGTACACTTGGACGGCGCTCGGTTGTGGGAGGCTGTAGTCTCGGGGGCCGGAAGTCTCTCAGAGTATACTACTCTCTTTGACAGCGTGAGTCTGTGCTTCTCAAAGGGCTTAGGCGCACCCATCGGCAGCATCATTGCTGGATCACAGCAATTCATCAAGAAGGCTCGATGGTTTAGGAAGTCCATCGGCGGTGGCGGTCGTCAAACAGGTATTCTTGCTGCCGCCGCACGTGTCGCCCTTGACGAGACCTTTGGGACGGACGACCACGGCACGACAGGTATGCTCGCTGCAACACACGTACGAGCCAAGCAGGTGGCAGAGCTGTGGTCAAGCCGTGGAGGCAAGTTGCAATACCCGGTACATACCAACATGGTCTGGCTGGATTTGCAAGCTTCTGGCGTGGGACCTAATGATCTCGCCACCATCGGTGAGGAGCAAGGTCTGCAATTGATGGGTAATCGGGTTGTGGTTCATTACCGTGAGTGTCAACCCTTGCCATACGCGCCCGTGGAGACGCTCGCGTATCATCGCTAACTTGCCAACAGAGGTGTCTGGAGAAGCCATTTCTCGACTGGAGAAAGTTTTCGAGTTCGCTTTGAAGGGAGACTACCAGCGCAGCAAAGATACGAGAAAGGCCTACGGAAGTAGTCACTAGTTACGGTTTTCTTTTTGTAAAACACTGTACATACTACATACATATGCTGCTCACCCACTACGATCCATAGACCAGACTCCTTGTCGTTCTCAAGGCCAACAATGCTCCACTACACTCCTGAAGATGCGAGGTCTCTTGTGTATGACAACGTCAGACGGTCACTCAAACCGACATTAAGATTCCCAAGCTAACCCACGGTTGGCTGAGACCCAGTTGCACCTGTCTACCGCTTGTCCAATCATATTGCATCAAAGTGGCTCAGTCAGCTTCAGGAACGAAAGCTGTTTCTGCCTCAGGCTACTATGTTTGAGGCTCGACTCACTCGCCTCGATCATCTTTTCTTCGTTTCTCGGACGACAACCTCCCCCTGCCGATGCCCTGGTTTGCCTCCCTCCTGTCTCTCACACCGAGGCGACAATTTCATCAAGGCTATCAAACCAATGGACTAGGAATGGGGGCGCCTGTCAATTTGTGTGAGTCAGCTCTTTATTGACATCCATCTCAACTCAGAGGGTTGGGTCCACCTGAGCCTCATTCACGGCATTTGGCTGAGTAGCTGATTTGTTTCTATTCACCCGCAGAGATACATCTTTCGTGCGCATCAACGGCGACAAGTCTTCATTCGAGTCTACCCAGGGTAATTTGTCTTTTTGGCCATAAGTCAGCGTCAAGATCACCAGCCCAGGCAGCGATCCCCAGCCTTGTGCAGGTGACCTGCTGGACTTCACATCTAGTCTGGCCTGACCTTTGACTGTTTTTTTTCCCTTGGAATCGTGGGAGTGCATAAACAGCATTTCCTCCGAAGTGATTGGCAGATTTCCTTGATCAGCCACCGAGTGCCCACGCGGCTCCCGAGGCAAACCATTGATCCACTGGTACTGAACCTGTCGAGCAAGGTCCCAAGTTGCTATACCTCCCAACCCGAGCAGTCTCCTCCATTGCTGTATTATCACCTCGAGAAAATTCCATGCCATTCGGAACAAACACGTCTCCAGTTTTCAACTCTTTTCACTTTTTCATTCTCATTGTGTCGTCGTGGTCGTTCACCCGGGTGATCGCCGTGGTGACTAGCCATTTATCCTAACTCTATCCCGCCGCAGAGGTATATAACCCTTGACCTCCCCCGGCGGACTTTGGGAAAACTGTGTTCTTTGTCACTCACTGGCCCTTCCGCAGGCCTCATTCACGCATTTTAATGCCCGATCATTACGTTCGATACCCCGTTTCCTTTCACTCGAGATACCCTACTTCATATCGGTCAACAGTAGTTCTTCGCACATTCCTTCTTCTTTATTTTTCTTCATAGCCCTTTGCATTGGCATCAACTTCGCCGAATATCCGATCAATTATGGAGGCCACTCAAGAGTCAACTCAACCATGTACGGATCCTCGCCGAATGGGTCTGAACAATTCCGGACTCCATGATCAAGATCTGGCGGACATCATATGCATCCTTCACCCAAACTCCCATGCAGCACATGATGCGGTGGCGGCTACTGCGGCTATTGGAAGCCAGCACATTCTCCAACAAGACTTATTAGACTATGAGCAGTCTGATACTGCTGCGCTCGATATTGCCCTGCGGTTGTCCTCGCAAGTGTGCAACCTGGGTGTCGGCTTCTGCTTCGGTCGCAATCATGCGCGATGCGACGTTCTCCTAGCTGTCAATGATCAGGCGAAACAAGTCTCCAACACTCACTTCCGAATCTACCTCACCGGAGATGGGATCATCATGTTGCAAGACACTTCAACTAACGGCACCATTGTAGACAACTGCCGCTTACGAAGAAACCAGAAAGAGAATAGTCGAATGCTCACCAATGGCTCAGTGATTCAAGTGGTAACCGGTGAAGGCTCCGATGAAGTCCGCTTCATTGTTCGAATTCCATCTCGCGAGGGATTTGCACTACAATACACCCAGAATATCCTTCGCTATTTTGAACGTGTGCAAAGGGCAGCAGGAGCCGTACAGCTCAAAAATCGCAATGCGCCAACTACGTCAGCCCTATCATGGTCAGTTGCCAATACATATGGTATGCACTGGACCGGAGGCACAGTCTACAATGTTACCGGTCAAATTGGAAAGGGGGCCTTCGCGACAGTCTACAAGTTGGCTACCAAACAGCACGGTGCAATCTATGCAGCAAAGGAACTGGATAAACGCCGCTTCATGAAAAACGGGATTTTGGACCACAAGGTGGACAACGAGATGAAGATCATGCGAGACTTGAAACATGTGGGTTTGCCTCTGAATTTGAGACAGATCCCCGAGTAAAGAAGCCTGTTGCTGACATCTAATTGCGAATCAGCCAAACATCGTCCAATACATCGATTATCACGAGCACGATCGCTGGATTTACATCATTATGGAGTACGTTCCAGGCGGAGAATTGTCTACATACCTCTCGAGCCATGGCAAGATCGCAGAAGATATGGTGAGAACAATTGCCCGCCAATTGCTACGAGCCTTGCATTATCTTCATAAACGACGCATCACCCATCGTGACATCAAGCCCGACAACATTCTTGTTTCTTCTCTGGACCCGCTCAAAGTCAAACTCTCGGACTTTGGCCTGTCCAAGGTCACGCAAGAAGAAACTTTCCTGAAAACCTTCTGTGGCACGCTTCTATATTGCGCACCAGAGGTATACCCAGACTATGAGACCTATCGACGTGGCGAGTTCCGAAAACGACGCCGCCTTGGTGACCCGTAAGTTTCGTCCTTGGTTAAGCCATAATCAGCCAAATCGATCTGACTTCGCTCGCTAGGCCTCCCAAAACGTCTCCGTACAGTCAATCCGTGGACATGTGGTCTCTAGGTGCTGTACTGTACCATATCCTATGTGGAGTACCTCCGTACTCGGGACGCGCAGAAGATCGCGGTGTGGCCATGCTGCGCGGTATCATGGAGTCGGAGGCTAATTTTGATGTGCTGCGGCGCGAGGGCGTGTCGGAGTCGGGTGTAGACTTTGTTTCTCGACTTCTGAACCGTGATCCTTTCTCTCGGCCAACCGAAAAGCAGTGTTTTCAACACCCTTGGATCTCTGAAGTTCCCGACGTGGATGATTACGAAGATGACGATATTTTCGCGGATGTACGCGACGCTCTCTCGGTCATAGGAGAAGCCGAAGAGGAGCTTGATGCGTCACAGTTGTCCATCCATGAGGAAGCAGAGTACACACATTCCGCGGGCGAGGAAGAAACAAACAGCAGCGAGGCCCTCGCCAAAAAACCACGCATAGAGTACATTGCCCAGGACATTCGGTATCCGTCTCTTCCCAAAATCGAAAGTTTCCAAGACGGTCAGATCGCTGCGGAGGCCCATGCAAGGCGGCTATTCGGCGAAGTCACATCATCTGCCCTGCGGAGCTCCTACTGTCTGGGACATACAGAGTCGTATGACCAGGGAGACGAATATGACCTTGAAGAAAATCTCTCGTCGGAGGAATCTGTGAGTGACGAACGAAGCGTCTATTCAATCATATCTCTTCCAGAGCATCCAGTTGGCGGTGTGGCAGCGAGTCTCATGGGAACAGAGGGCCTTGTTGGACGACTAAACATGAATTCATCCCATCCTGCCTACCCTGCACAACTGGGGGCCCTCGTGCAAACACCTACACGACAGACCAGTCCCGGTCATATGCCGATCACAGTGCCTGCACACTTTGCGATCGCCCGGGACACTCCACATCAAACTGCAATGGTATCTTCGAGCGCCAGTGAAACAACACCGCGGCCGCCCAAGGTCTCGCGTCGAATCGACCTTGAGTTACCCGAGACAGCTAGCGAACGTTCCGACAGTAGTGCACCTGCAAGTCGCGCCCAGTCTGCAAACCCACCAGAAGCGCCGGCAGAGACTGACTACGACGTGGATCTGGCGATCACCTTGGATGCCCAAACCGGTGAAGTCATTCTTGAGCATATGCGACATGCGGAAGAGGAACCATCGGAGCCTGTCGTTCACAAACAACCTGACAGTCATGACCTTGCCGTGGGTGTGCCTGGCGCGGCTTTCACGAAGCCTTCCAAACTCTTCGGGCGGCTCAGAAGTCTCCGCGGATCAATCATCGATGTGAACATCCGCCTTGAGAACAGACTGACTTCATGGGGCCGTGGTCCGGACACCTCAAATCGCTATCCCGATAATCTGGACGTGCGCGTCCCCGCTTACGCTTTGGAGGTCACCTTCTGGGCTCCTGGCATCGAGCGACGCATTGCCGAGGGCCAGGATTGGACTCAGGTGCCCGGTGTCATGGCGGTCTTGTCCACCAAAACGAGCAAGTGCATTTGGGTCAACGGTGTTCCCTTGCGCAGAGGAGGACCTGACGTTTTACGTTTCGGCAAGCTTTACACTGGGGATATTATCACCATTTACAAGAACAAAGACAATGGCGAATTTCTGCAACTGAAGTGTGAATTTACCCACGGCGAGAGTGCTGGGCTCCGACCTGAGAGCGAGGCTGGGTTTATCGTGCGTCACGCTCTTTTGACCAAGACTGACGCCTCTTACCGTCCGTCTCTACAGGCCAACCGCATGAAGACATCTGTGTGAGGAACACACATTCATTCTCTTGGTGGATGGCTAGCAGGATCAGGTTTTGTTGCTGGAGAGAGTGACACGTTCAGTGGACACAGGGAGACTGCGACTCAGGCACCTGGGTGACACTTCACCTCTTGCATCTGGTCTCTCATTTTGGCGTTGCCTTGCTCTGCCCCGTTCGCCTGGATATAGATTGACCCGCACCAAATGTACCATGAATTGCATCATCGATCGAAATGTTACTTTCAAGTCACAGTAGCCTCTTCCTTTTGTCCCCTTGTGGAAGTACTCTTCCACAAGGGACATTGTCCGGATGCGGCGATCTGCCAACTTATGAGAAGACGGCCTAATACTGCGCATTAACTCGGTTGTCAAGTAATTCATCGATCAATGTCGCTGATGGATTGAATAAGGATCAACTCTGAGCTGGCTTGACCCCTTTGAGTCCTAATGTTATTAGTCTCTCTTTCGATTTGAAGCTTCAGCGTAGGGCGCGAGAGGGCAAGACGATACATAGCAAGGGTTGTGTCTCAGCCCGTAGACGTACTACATTTGAATGACAGCAAGTCTAGCGGCAATCGATGGCACTCCTTCGCTAGGCCCGTGAAACGATATTTTCCATCCTTATCTTTTGTGTTTTACCTGGAAATTCCGACTCGCAAGTCATACACGAGTTCCTTGAAAAATGGGTGGTTGTTGGCCGAGTCCAAAGTACAGTTGTACTCTTCTGTTTCCGGCATCATCAACGCAGGGAGGGCACCATCTCTACCGAACTTTTTGGCTCTGGCTAAGAAAGGACACGCCCCCTTGTAGACAGTCTAGTCCAGACTTCAGGCCGATCGGACCTCGGATGGTAGTCGAGGTGATCGCACGCAAGTTTGCAGCTTATCTTCATGTCGCATCTCCTAGTTTACTTGGGATCGTTCTTGATAGATCGGTGGTTGCTGCCTTTTCGCCTACTCTACATCCCTCTTGCTCTGTCACCTTAACTTTCTATCTCTCTCTCCCCCCCCCCCCCCTTCCTTTACAACTGCAGCCTAATCTTCGATAACTATACGCACGGCTTCGGTTCATGCAATCCATATATTCAGCGCACTTTCTCTCCAAACGTCTCCCGTCACATCAGGATCTGAATGCGCAGTGCACGGGATCACCGTGACAACGGACTCCCAAGGTAACGTCGATCGCGTCAACCACTGCCCCAAATTCCAACCCCACCGATCTTCAATTCCTCGGCACCAATGTCCCTGTCGCGATCACCCTCTCCCCATCGGGGTGGAGGGTGGTCTAGCCCAGGCTTGACTCCCGGCAGCGGCAGATCCTCTCCGCGTGGATTCTCGCCCATGACCAGAGGCGTCAAGAACGTCTCGTGGACGGCGGCTAAAGCAAAGAGCGACGAGCTGCACAAGTATCCTTCCTTCGACACGCGGAATGATGGGTTTTTCTTTAGACAAAAACGAAGAATATCTGCGCGTATGTCGAGCTTTCGCGGGACGACCGCTCGCCATGGGTACGTCGACAAGGACGACTATGGTCGCGGCGTTTTACACGGTGCTGGTGCGGGAAGTTGCACTGGGATGCTAGGGTGGTTTGGGAATCTCCTGCGGCGGGGAAAGATGAGGATTTTGTTTGTGGCTCTCATACTCTGGATGGGATATCTGCTGCTGTGGTCAAGTAAGTGACCTCGCTGGATAGGCTGCATGATGTATCGGGATTTCTGTCCTCGAAGAGGATACTAACAAGAGCTTCTTTCCAGCAATCGTCCAGCTGTATCGCCAATCACCACTTGGCGGAGGCTCCAAATTCGTAATCATCCTCGCTTCGAATGTCGAAGGCGGCGTCATGGAATGGAAAGGTGCGCGCGAATGGGCCGTGGAACGCAACAGCATTCGAAACAAGCGGGAATACGCTCGAAAATGGGGTTACAAGCTGGAGATTACCAACATGCTCGCGAAGAAACGCTACTCCCATGAATGGCGCGAAAGCTGGGAAAAAGTGGACGTGATCCGTGAAATTATGCGCAAGAATCCTCAAGCCGAGTGGTTCTGGTGGCTGGATCTCAACACCTGGATAATGGAATATGGCACTTCGTTACAGAGCCACATCTTTGACAACATCGACTCCCACGTGTATCGCGATATCAACGAGTACAATCCTCTGAATATCACCCATCCACCTCCGCATTTCTACCTCGACGACCTCGCACGAGCGCCGACGGGCGACGGCGATGAAAGCTCTCTTCATCTTCTCTTGAGCCAGGATTGTTCCGGGTTCAGCCTGGGCTCATTTTTCCTGCGTCGCTCTGTCTGGACCGAGCGATTACTTGACGCCTGGTGGGACCCGGTTATGTATGAGCAGATGCACTCTCAGTGGCCCCACAAGGAACAGAGCGCGCTCGAATACATCTATCAGAGTCAACCCTGGACGCGCAGTGGTGTAGGCTTCTTGCCCCAACGTCGGATCAACTCTTTCCCTTTGGGTGCTTGTGGCGACGACAATGACCCAGCTTTTCACTACCAGGAGGCTGATCGGGACTTCGTCGTCAACATGGCCAGTTGTATGTTAGGGCGTGATTGCTGGTCGGAGATATATACGTATCGTGCGATCAGCAACGATCTTAATCGCTCGCCGTGGGATGGGGTATCTGAGCAAATCCGCGGTATTCGAGCGAAGATCTTTGGAGCCCCGGATGAAGTGGATTGATCACTTTCTGGAGTGGCTCTATGCTTCTTTTTTTGTCTTCGTTGTTTTCGCCGTCACGGATTTGGCCAAGAACTGATCCCATAATGATACTCATAAACGGCTGCCTTTTTACCTTACATAATAGATCGCAGATGGACATGAAATCAATAATTTCATTACAAGAGCCGGTTTCACGTTAGGTTCCACGAGACACTTATAATATTAGACTAGTAGGTCCAGTATGAGTTACGATCGAGCGTTGAAGCTCCTGCAATCTGTGAAAGGATTGGCAATATTTGCGTTTGGAGTTGAATCACAGGCTCATAGCGGTATTTGCGCATTGAATCATAACTTCAACACTTGATGTTTATTCATCCTGGACGGGCCCGTTTGAACCACGCGACGAGTTTGGACACCCTCTTCCAAGTAAGGCCCAGGAATGCCATCTAAAAATCAATATATGTCCAGAGACGCGCTTTTCTGAGATTCACAGTAGATGTAACTAGTCGGCAACTGGTCAGCCCCATGCACGTGACCCAAGCCGAGAACAGCACTTCTGCTCGTCCCTCCACCCCTTTCACCGCCCACCCACACCAACCAATCACAACTCCCATGGAAACCATCACCAAACTGCCTCTCGTCGGCTTCAACATCCACCAGCCCGCAGCCTCAAGTCGGACGCCTCTTGACCTCCAATTTCCGCAACCACGAATCTCCACGCCAGGCCATCAACCTCCAGCGCCTTGTCTCGACCGTCCTGAGAACCAGGTCCCCATTCTCTCATCCCATCCGCCTTGAATTACCCAAAAACCCTCTCACAATGCCTACTCCCGAATCTGCCGCATTCCTCGCCAAGAAGCCCACCGTGGCTCCCACCTACGAGGGCGTCGACTTTGAAGATAACATTGCCCTCCACAATGCCCGCGATGCGATCATCCGTGAGCAATGGGTGCGCAGCATGATGGCCCGCTTGGTCGGCGAGGAATTGGGCAAGTGCTATGCGCGCGAGGGCGTGAATCACTTCGAGAAGTGTGGTGTGCTGCGAGGTGAGACAGACCTTCCTCTTGGAACATAATTGACTATTCGTTGCATGGAAATCTGGAAGAAGAGGCTAATGTGGATCGCTCCTGGGTGTGAACAGAGAAGTATTTCGAGTTGATCAAGGAGCGCAAGGTCAAGGGTTATCTTGGCCAGGAGAAGAACTACTTCTCTGGCGAATCGGGCAAGTCTGCTTAGACGGTTGATTGTGTGCACTGCTCACACTTCTTTTCGAGGGAGAAAGGTCGGGATCCTGTGTCGGATTCGCCGTTTCATTTTGTTTGTTGAGTTATGGGGCCGACTGATCTGCGTCTGTCTGTCTGATCGGATTGAGACCGTCTCTTTTAATGGGATGGTCTTGGGGCCTCTTGGCCGATTTTCCTCTTCCAATTGACCCAGCTGACCTACGTCGATAAGCGGATATGTTCTGGCGACAGGACTTCTCCAGGTTGCGGCTATTTTCTTGAAAGCTCTGTCAAAGCTACGAAGCTCGTTTCAATCCTATTATATAAAAAAAGGCTGAAGGTTGGGAAAAAGAGAAGATTGGTTTCTCTCTTCGTTGTATTGTACATATAAGATATCATTGCCTCGTCAATTTCATTATTTTTTCGTTCAAAGATACTTTTACACGGACTAATACAAGTTTATGTTGCGTAATGAGATTATCCTGCGTCTTAGGAGTCCAGCTCGATGATGAATGTCGAAGACGTCGTCACAGACATTCAAAATGCTCAAATTTCTTAGTTGCATCTCGATCATGCAGAAAAGTATCTTGCAGACAGCAGCAACGTCATCAATAATACACGTTTGACGCGGTCTGTCTGCGATCTGGATATGCACCAGGAGCGGCAGCTGGGCCAAGTTGCTCTTCTTCGCTATCATCCGGATCACTCCCAAATCGAGTAGTGAGGCTCTCATCTGGTGGCGCTCGCATACGCATCAGTTGGTCATCGTCCAATGGAGGGGGCGTAAAGGGTGCCGGAGGCGCGTGAACATCTCGGCCTGATGGGAGATTGGCGAGCAATGGTGCCGAGGGGGGGATTGCTTGGGTGTTGATCTGCCAGAGTCTATCAGTCATGCTCGCTCTTTCTTTCACCACAGACCGGATACATTAGACTTACTGTATCATTCTGCTTCATCCACTTGGTCTCCAACATGGTAATCACTCGACCTTCTTCATCACGGCCTGCGTCATCACCGGCGTCAACAATCCCTTTATCTCCGCGTCCCGTTCCGGCATCCTTGCCAATTTTCTTTTCTTCTCGTCGTTCGGTCCATTCCCGTTTCAGTCGAGAGAAGCCACTTTTTCCTGAAGAGCTTGAAATTTCACGTTGCTCCGTAGAGTGCGCATCCACGCCGGGTCGGAGTCCCAGGGCAGATCGAGCAGCACGCAACCAAGCAATAGCTTCACCCGTCTTGCCAGCCAACTCGGCATCAATGGCAAAAAATCGACAAGCACGCGCGCGAGCGACTCGGCCCAGGACACCCGCATATCGGACAGTCTCCTCATTCACTCTCTCGAGCTTTCTCGCGCCGGATCCCACAACACTCAGTCCTGCTGCAGCTTGTTCCGCATACTCCGCAGCGCGAACACACAATCTCGCAAAAAGCAGTGCTCGCACCTTTGGGATTTCCGGCGCCCGCACCATCCAGTCACGATCATTTGGGTTGCGCGATTGAATACACGCCGTGACGTAGGCATCATCTTTCAGGACAGCTAGAAGAGTGGCCTCAGAGAGAGCTAATGACGCTAGCGCCGATTGCGTGCCCGGGTCGATCTCCGGCGTTGAAATCACAGGCACTGACGCATACACCGTCGACGTAGCTAGAAGAGAATGCACCGAGCTTGCCTGGAGCAAGTTGCGCGTGGCGTTTTGAACAGCTGCCGTGCGCTGTTCTTGCGATTGGGTTTTCGGTGCGTAGAGTGACTCGAGCACTTCAGCGCGCGCAAGTCGACTCAGTACGTAGCCCAGCGTGGTCAAGGTGAAGGCGATCTCAAAGTCAATACCTAGACCGGCAGTACGGCCCCCATGGAGACGTTGTAGTTTATGATTGGTCTGGCCTGAAGGCGCGTGGATATGAAGACCTCCACCGGTGTTGGCGGAAAGCGTGGCTCTCCATGCGGACTGAACCTCTGCGTGAGAAACGACTTCGACTGCATCTCCGCCGGACTGATATGTCGGGGTTTCAAAGGACTCGACTTGCGCTGACTCCGCAGACAAGCCGTTGGAAATTGCGAATAGATACGGGATGTACTCATTCAAAGCGGCCGAAACAGCGGGAAGATGTGCATCTTGTCGCGCGCCGCGGGGTAGACGCTTATGGGCTTTAAGGGCAAGCCGGAGAGCATGACGGGCTGTGGATGCAGATTGGGGAAGCGAGGGATGTGTGGGTGAGCTGATGAATGTTTGAAAGGACAGAGGTGAGGTTGTTGGTAACGTGAATGCGAAGACCATGGTGAACTGCGGTTTTTTTTGGACCCTCCGAGCGCGGGGAGAGCTGCCGATGTGGAGGATGGGGAAGATTGCGGGAGAATGGAAGTTTAAAGCGGAATCTGATGTCACTGGCGGCCAAGACACGGCGGCGGACTTGGCAGATGGTTCACGTTCTAATCTCCGACATTGTTACTACTTGGAAAAAAAGTTCCAAACCATTCGATGTAAGGTGAGATTCTCGTTTCAACTTCTGTCTCTACCACGTTGTGCCCCTGCTCGGGTTGTAAATGGGTATGATAATAAAACTTTCGTTGTCAAACGAGCTTCATGCATGGAATATATTCTGCCCTTGCTTCAATATGTACAATTCTTGATCTCATGCCGACGACCGGCAAGCTCATTTCAACAAATAACCCTTCTGATTAGACGCCGCCCGCCCCGAGAACAGTATGAAACCCCTTCTAATCACGCCGGTAGAACCGCTTTCCTTGCCATTGAAGATAAACAGTTGGGAGGAAGCTGCAAGCCATCAAAAGCGCAGCGACAATGCCAGAACTGTTGGCAATGCCGACACTTTCAAACATCGATGTAAACCTGTGGAAAGAGTTAGCTCCGTTTCTGACCATAAGAGAAACAGATATCCTGCCCAGGACGAACATACCAGAAAGGTCCAATGAATCCCCATGTGGATCTCACAAAGTTGATGAAGACACCAACACTCCCGGCATCCTGAGGGTAGGTATCGACTGCGTATGTCGTCATCACTGTCGTGACGACTTGGTTTCCAAAGGCAGCGATACCAGTGCCGACAACGGGCTTGACATTCCACTGCCCTACAGTCGCCTGCTCCGTACACACCAAGAAGACAACCATCCCTGCGATCGTCAACAGGAAGCCGATATAACTCAGCCACAGTCGGTATTCAGGTTCAGGTTTGCGTCCTATTTTCCTAGCGCGAGCATTCATCCACATGTCTGACATGAAGCCGCCAAGCTGCTCGCCAAGGATAGTACCGATAATCAGGCCGAGGAACTGAAGGCCGAGTTGTTGGGCATTGAGTTCGAATTTCTGCTGAAGAAGCTGTGGCACCTCCACGGAATTCAAAACAGATGCGAAGAGAAAGACCATGGCGTAGGCGACGGTGGCCAGCAGAACTGGGATATTTGTGAAAAGTGTCAATGGATGGTAGAATTCTGACACCTTGATTGGAGTTGGGTCGATTCTCCCAAGAGACAGGTACTCGCGCTTGAAAGCCGATGACTCAGATTGTACGTCCACGCCAATGTACCGAGTCTCAGGGCCAAAGAAAAGGTATAAGATTGCTTGGACTCCGTTGGTCTGCGTGGGCCAGGGTCAGCTTTTGTACTGTATCATCTGTTCATGAACGTCCAGTACGACTTGTCGGCAGTCATTGTCAAAACCGGAGGGCACTTACGATAGCGAGGATCCAGTAGATCCAGCGATAGTCAACACGCTGAGCCACGAACCCAAAGATGAAGGGTCCAATTGGAACCCCTAGAGTGACCATGATAGTCCAGATACCCATATACCTCGCTCGCTCGTGACGGAAGAAAGTCTCTGTCACGACACCACTGCCAATCGCCGATGCCGGGGAAATGAAAAAGGCGACCAAAGCTCGACATGCCGCCATCGACGCATAGTCAGGGCTCTTAGCGCAACCGATGTTGCAAGCGCAGCTGAGGATCAAAGACAAAAGAAAGATCGGACGTCTCCCGAATCTGTGCGAGAGCGGCTTCCAGAGCAGAGGCGCACCACCAAGAATTGCAATTTGCAACGATGTGAGGTAGCTCACTCGTTGAATCGAGACTCCCAGGTCAAGGGCAATGTTTTCATATGCAGCGATGATAGCTGCAGCTGTGAATGTGCCCATACAGGCGTGAAAAGCAACAAGAGCGAGATTGGTCGTTTTCTACTCCCGCAACCCGAATTGTGAGCAGAATGGTCTTCCGTCGTAGCATTACAGCTAATTTGTTCCATCTACTCACCTTCCATAACGCCCAATTATACGGATCTGCTGGGTCCGTACTAGGAATTGGATCAAGATCGAGTGTTCCATGTCGTTGCATCAAATACGCCTTGTGTGAATCTGAGAGTGAGGCCGAAGGATGTGCCCCAATTGTCACCCCTTTTTCTTCAAAATAATCTGCAGAAGACTTGCCAGGAGTCTCCGCTGGGGATCGCGCGTCCGACGCCATGTTGGGTAATATGGCCGTGTAGCAAAAGAGCAATATATCGGATGGACAGCTTTGGGAATAAGTGAAGTATCTTGATGAGAATATTAATAAAGGAATCGAAGAGGCTGCCGATCCAATCCTTCTTACCCCCGCGTTCATACTAATGTTAGACGTGGGGCCAACGACCTCTGGGGTAGCGCTCTTCAAGCTTCGGCAATAATTGTCCAACGACTATTGCCGTGCATCGACATGGACACCGGTTGATACTCCATCAAATCACCAGGGCTCCATCCACACCCCGTCACTGTGAGCATGATTGCCCGACAATGCATGGTATGTGCTGCCCCAAGCGCTAAATGGAAGATCGTGGTCCCATAATTCCGCTTCCCCAGTTCTCAGTCGTGATTCGAAACGAGACTTTAACGTTTTGGGACGGGAGTTCTGTTGATTATTCCTTCCGAGTCCGACACAACATTATACCCCGAGCTCGTCCCAGTTCATAGGTAGATTAGCCGAGATAAAGCTGATTAGGGAGGCAATGAAGATATTCGATCCACTGCGGTTCCACGGGGCGCCTCGCTTCGACTGCACGACTGTTCAACTGCCGATGCATCGTCCCGAGATCCCGACCTTGGTGGTTGTAAAGGGCGGAGACTCGCGGCTCGCTCATACTTCGAACCCGAAGCACTGACATGGCCGGCCAAGTCGGGTGGCGCGGAACGACCTGGATTGGTAATACAGCATGTAGTGCGTGGATTGGGTTATGAGCCGGCCCCATCATGCACGTCGAAGTTCGCGTGAGCACTCATGCAGCCCGTTCGCAGTTTTGCTTGAATGTCAAATGTCTTGGGGGTTTCTTCTTGCGCTGTTCGTCTCGTAGGGAACGGCCGAGACCCGCAATAGGCTGGAACTTTGGGGGAATCAACTATTCGTACCATGATCCCGATTCCAGTGACCATGGCAGCGGTGCGCCGGGCACGGGGTGAAGCCTGGAGAATGGATCATGATGGGAAGGCTTTGCCATCTGGGGTTGACTCCACTCAAATTCCGTGTGTTTCAACTTCTCGTTCGTTGGCTTGTGGCAGGACCTCGACGGGGATCCACCTCATCCGTGTCAAAGCAGCGTTGGGACGGGGTATTGCCGATGAAGAGTTTGAAGAGTTTATAATTTGGACACTCGCGGTTCAAGACTCTGCCGCTGGTTTGTGCTTTTTGTGTTGCCAAGAGGACTGCAGTACATTCGGTGGTCTTCGTAAGATTAGTACTGGACCATGTGACCACTGACCACAAGTATGCGGAGCTGTGGTCTCCATTGACAAACACTAAAAAATTTGAAGAGAAACCGACGTGCGGAGAAAAGAAGGCCAAAGGTTTAAGGCACAATATTATTATTGATGCACTAGGACTAACTCGCCCCTTCTACTTATGTTCACGTGGTCCGGTTCTCCGCACGCTTGGGGGTTGTCGATCGATCGTAATGCGGCGCATGATGGCGAGTTGAGAAAGTGACACAGGAAAGGAGCTATGCGCCGAGGAAATGAATCTTCAATATCCACAATTAGACGACGAGCCAAGCATCATCCTAGGTGCCCAAACCATCGAACCTAGTCGTAAGTCCGGGGCTTTTGTGGGAAACTCGCACTGCCGCATAGTCCGAGCAATTCCCAGGTGCCTTCATGCAGCTCGGCATGATACGCCAGGTCCCCGTTCTCACAGCCCCAACGACATGCCCATCACAGCACTAGAGACTCGATCTGCGCCTCGAAATCGGTCGCGTGTGGTGCACAATCACGAAAATCTGGCAGTGGTAAAGCCCGACGAGTCCACGAAGAGCGTGAAGCTTGGGTCCGGCGGAAACGTCATCTCTGTAATCTGACATATGCCACATAAAGACGAGCTGCGCGGGAAATAAAAAAAAGATCTGCCGCGAAACATCAAGCATGCAAATGAGGAGAGAGAAACCTCAAATGGAGGCCATGGGGATTTCGAGTTGAACAGGTGAGGTTATGGATGTCGTTAAATGAGCAGACCTGGCCAAGGTTCCCCCAAGGAGCTCAGCTCGGCGTGTTTCAAGTGCATACTCCTCCGTCACGATCATTGCACCAAGGAAAGTCTCAGTCCTCGCGGTACCCTTGATGGCGGAGGCGCGCGCCGTCTCAATCCGAAGTCTGAAATTCAAGAGGGGTCGGGTGGTGAGGTAGTCCGATTGAAGCAGATAGGGTCAGGGGAGGGCGAACTCAAGGGAGAAAACGTTGCACTCGTGTCTCAACCTTCCATCCGATCGTCATCAGAGAGATGACTCGGTGCGCTACTGACACCGGAAGTCTCGCTGGTCACAGGGCTCAAAGGAACTCGCGAGCGAACCTGAGCACCCCATTCCCGGATACTCGGCAGACCTCCGTCGAGGACGATCGGGTGCTCTTCGCCATCCTTGCCCAAAACCGTTCCTGCATATCGCGACTCTTCTCCGGTCTTACTGTGCTTCTTTTTCAGCGATGTCAAATAATCCTCCTTTTCGATTGCATCCGGGTCAACCATATCGCCCTCACTAGGGACAAAGCCTGCAATGCGGCGAATTTCACGATGCGCAGGGCCTGTGATCCATCCGAGGAAAGCGTCCAGCCCGCGCATGTCTTCTTCCCCAGCCCAGTCCTCTTCCCATTCTCGCAGTTGTGGCCGGAGGGCGCCTGTGTCTAGCAGCGCTTGGTAGATATCCTCGAGGACGGGGACAGGATCTTCGGGATGAGCGTTGGCGGCGTGCGAAGCTGTCGCCGAGGCAAGTATCATGAGGTATTGGCCAGTGAGGTCGGACAGAGTTTCGAGGACTGATGGTCGTGTGGAATGAAATCCCTGGGCACGTAGAATTTGAATGATGGGGGGTCGTAGAAGCGCATTGTGGAGATTGTGGCCAGACATGGCGGCTGGACTGGCTGAACAAGTAGTGTGCTGTAAATGAGGAACGATTGAAGCCAGCCAAAGGAGAGAAGTTGTCGGTAATTGCGCGAGAGTCTGCAAAGTTTTAATGGGAGGAGAGATGAATGATCACAGCCGCATGTAGAGAGCGCGTGGAGCTGTTGGTTGTTGAGATTGTTGAAAAGCGAAGAATACGGTGCTGTGGGAGCGACGATTGCGATGTGAACTCGTGGAGAATGAGAACCTGTGTGGATGGTTATTGCTCGATTAGGTTAGCGCCTCAGCCCATCTTATCGATAACGGTCACACTATTTAGCGTGGCCAGTGTTACAGAGTTACAGACAAGCTGCAGACTTGTGGTGAGACACTGTATAGGCATAGCTGAGCAGTTCCGCACGATCGCTACGAATATTTGTTTCCTGAACAATTCTGCTGGGTCGAGAGCTTGACATGTACAATAAACGCCGAGAAGGCCTGCAGGAAGGCTCTATACTTCGCTACAACCCGTCAAGAACTCGTGGGTACACACAGGATCTGAAGCTTGGCATAAGTTCGATCTTTGCATCTTTTCTGAAGTCACTGGAGATAAAGTAATGATGAATAAGCACGAAGATCTTACAGAGCTGGCTATAGAGATCTATCAAATACATTTGCTTTTGATTGTTGATTAAAAGGATTGGAATGCCCTTTCTTATCGCGCCACTGATACCCTCGGCCCGTCTTATTTCCTATCCCGTCGACTTTGCGGAGGCCGGGCAGAGAGGTTCACCCTGTCGCGTCGTGGGACGCTCTCTTCGCAAATCAATCGAACTTTTAATCGCCGCTCACCCTCACGTCGCATCACCCACGCTACGCACAGAGTCGCATGTTCATGCTGACCAGAGAAGCATAATGTCTGAGTCCAAAGGTCCCACTTTGAAGCTCAAGTTCGGCAAGAAGCCTGCAACACCGCAGCCACCCCCAGAGCCTGCGCCCGCCGAACCATCGTCACAACCCAAGCTCACGCTGAAGATCGGTCGCAAGAACCAACCCCCACCCGATGGCTCTGAGGAGAAAGCAAAGAAGAAAAAAGCACCATCGAAAAAGCGTCCTGCCGACAATGCTACAGTACCAGAAACCGCAGCAGCGCCGCCGGGCCCCAAGCGACTTAAACTGAACACTTCCAAGCTGAAGTCGATCCGCATCAAAAACAAAGGCCATGTACCTAACCGACCAGTCGGCGTTGGCTATGACTCTGAAGCTTCAGATACGGAAATTGACCCTGCAATCGAGGAGCAGTTCATTTTACGGATGCTGCCGGGCGAAGATTGCGAATATCTACGAAAAGCCATTGAGGAGAGAAAATTTGACAAATCCGAGTTTTCATTCAAACCGCTCACTCGTGAAGGACGACGCGCGATTCTGAAGATTCGAAACAAACAATATGCTTGTTGTCTTGTCGACCTTCCCTGCATCATCGAGGGTATGAAGAGCTGGGACCGACGAGGCTGGTACAAGTCGGCGGATATTTGTCAGATGCTGCTGGTACTTGGGACAGTATCAAACGATCAGGAAGCTCTGGAATATCCTTTACCGCCTGAGGTCGAGGCTTCTGACCCGAAGACGCTACAATACCCTCACGGTTTGGCACCGCCCCTGCGCTGGGTTCGCAAGCGGCGTTTTCGCGACCGAGTCAGCTCACGTACAATCGAGCAAGTGGAGAAATCCGTCGAGGACTTGATTGCACAGGATGAGCAGTCTCTCTTTCCCCCTCGGTTCGATCTGGTGGATAGTGCATCCTTGAACCGTGCCGAAGGCTTTGTACAGGAGGATTACGAGGAGGACTATGATGAGGAGCAAGATGCTGAGGGCGAGATTGACGAGATGCTGGATGACTTTGAGGACGACCTGGCGGCAGAGATGGAAGCTGCACTGGCAGCCGGGGACGATGACGCCGCAGCTGCGGTTACAGAGGCAGTCCAGGCCGCGACCGCATCAACACCAGCTGCACCCACGGACCGCGGAGGTGATTCTTCGGGCGATGAGAATGATGTCTCCGACGAGGACGATGATATCCCCGAAGATGACCTTGACGAGGAACAGCTGGAGCAACAACGCCAGCTTCAGCAGCACCGAGAAGAGATTGCTGAACTTGAAGCCCTCATCCAGACCGAGACTGCCAATTGGCAGACAGTGCAAAACCACATTTTACGCAACAAAATGGGTCGCCGAATCCAAGAGCTCAAGAAAGATTTGGAGTTGAAGAAGGTGTCTGTTGGCTTGCCGGGCGAGAATGACGTCTGATATGCTGAACCCAGAGCCCAAGTCTGAACATGATTTTCAATCTGTCCAAGCAACGCAATCCCTGCGCTGGCGCATTGATTGTTTTTTTTCAATACCGATGATACTCATTTTCAGAGCGTACGAGAGGAGCCACTTGTGGTCTTATCTTTTCAAATCCATTGACGTCTCTGAAGAAAGCCTGCTGTAGCGCGTGACGTCATACACTGAGCGGAGCACATCAATGTACTTCTCGACTCAACAACTACCACGTCCTCTTCCAGCACTCTCATAGCAGATTCAGTATACTGTAAGAGTGAGCGCCACAGAACATCAAGTTGAATTGTTCGCCCTGTCAAAATTTCACACCTCTTCATCTTCAACATGGAGACTCGAAACCAAGCCAACCAACCCCCTCAACCTTCGAAAGAAGCGGCTTATGCCCAAGCTTCCAACCCCGTCCCACAGACACCCTCTGAGCAACGTGCGCCCGCCCAGTCTCGTCAATACGGCGATCCCACCGCTTCTATCACCCGCGGACCTAGCTCCCAGCCCTCCAGCGATGAAGCCCGCAACCGCCTAGAAGCTGAGCGCCAAAAACACCGCGACGAAATGGAACGATCTCAGGAAGTCGACACTGAATACGGCATTGAGCAACAACCAGCGGAAGGGTACATCGCAGACACGGTTGCACGCAAGGGGATGGGAATGCAGCGTGCACAGGCAGGTGCTCATGCGGGGCCCGTCGGCAATGCACGAGGACCGGGTCATCCTGGGTTCGGCGAGGAGAGGGATTTGGCTGCAAATATGGATGAGAAGAGGGCTGATCATGATCGTGTCTTGGCTGAGAGAGTTGAGAGTAGCCCGGGGAGTGATGTTGCTGAGAGAGAAGGTGTGAGGGATCGTAAGATGCAGCAGAATGAGGAAGTCGAGAGGGCGCTCAAGGAGAGTTCTGGAACCCCTGTTGTCTAGTTGAGGTGCTTTTTCTCTTGGATGATCTCTGGCATGAAGCCCACAGATCAACGGCTCGCTGCATTGAAAGGACTCGGAGCTGGGCTTTATGAGAATATACGAATTACAGGATCGCCATATGAACCTGATCATTCCTCTCACATGGGCACAGCTAGACAATCAGAACGATTCCCAGAATTCTTGAAGCGCACTATTGACTTCATCTCTTGCCTCTAGCTGTAACCAGTGACCGTTAGCTCCCATGTTCTTCGCAGAGAATAAGGCCGCTTCCTCGCAGGCTGTTGCGTCCATGGCTGTGTTCTCTCTCTCGCTCTGCGCGGGAGCCAACATCAAAACCGGCACCGACAGCTTTGCTGAGAGCTCAGAGGCTTTCTCATCCTCGACGTTAAGATTGTTGACTAAAGCGTGGTACCACTTTAAAGCTGAGCCGTAATTCCCGTGCATTATTTGACAGTGAATCTCCCTTTCGTCGCCTGTCATATACGGAGCTTTAGGTCCTCGACTGTCGGCCAAGAGCCAGGCCTCGAGAGCACCCAGGGGACCGAAATGGTCATTCCACAAAGACACATCTGCGGGGTACAAAATATCGATGAACGAGTCGACCTGCGAGTGTCAAGATTTGGGAAAAAGTCTTCCTTCTCAGGCACGGAGGTCACACGGGCGCGAACATACGTGCTGATTGATAATGTCTCCTGCATCATCCCTGACAAAAAACTTCAGATAGCCAAATTGCTCTTGGCCGTGGACACTCTTCGTCATTGCATTAATGGCATCCAGATCAAAATGTTCGCCGGGTTTGCTGTAGGGCACCGATATAAAAGTACATGACAGTAGCCGTTCGGGATGGTAATTTGCCAGTCGTGAAAGCAACAAACTACCGGTATCATGTGCAACACCGTGGACTTTATTCAGATGCTCATGATCGAGGATCTCGATAATCTCCGCTGTCATCAATTTGGCCTTGTACTTTTCCGGGGCATCGGGCTTGCTGGTTCCACCGTATCCTAGAAGATCGGGTGCAATGATGCCGTATCCGCTGGATTGGAAGTGAGTGATTTGATGTCTCCAGTCGTAGGATGAGGAGGGAAACCCATGTAAGAAGAGGATGGTTGGTTTGATTTGTGAGGGGGCTTGAATGTGAATATAGTTGTAGTGGTGGCCGGTCGAAAGATCCAGGCTCTTGGCATGCTGTGGAAATGCGATGAATGCCATCTTAGACTGAGACTATGTCGCAATGTTGTCACTGAATAGGAATTAGACGAAGAAAATTGGGCATCACAAGCTCCAATAGTCAAGAGTCACGGACATCCGTAGACGCTGGCAGCTGGAGACCGGTGATTTATACGTAGGGCTCGGCGCAGCTTGAGCAGGGGTGTAGAACTGTAGATGTCCTCGCCGGGGACTTTTTCGGAGACTTTTCGCCCAACCCATGCAATGCTGCAGGAGGCCTGGTAGACATGCCAGGGACCGAAAGACCTCTTGCCTATAGTTCTAGCAACTGTCTTCATCGCAAGGAACATCCACCTGCTCAGAGTTTGTAATTTTTTTTTTTGCAAAAGAGCTACACCAAGGATAGATAAAGGGTCAACGAATCTGAAGTACAGCCCGGAGCACATGATATAGTAGATCAAGGAGGAGCATCAACAGTACAAGTTTACAAGACGAAGTGTATGAACTATAGAAACACTCAGGTGGAGCGTATCCAATATCATGACAAGGAGCCGATTGCAAGAGCGACTCATATTGCTGAATCTGGGTTGGCACGTAGTTCCCATCTGCATTGAAGGACGTAAACTTCCGCATGCTGCCCTGCGTCAGCTGGCCAACTTTGCAGCTCTGGAACTTCGTCAATACTGTCCATTCTATTTCAAGGCTAGCGTCATGGAAGGCCTTGTGGAGGACATCCAACGTGGTCTCGCCCGCCGGAGACTCGTCCCACACGAGCTCCTCTGAAGCAGTCTGACCGGCATGTGATGACGAGCCGAGGTCGAGAACAAGGAGGTGTCTCCAGCCGAACTAGCGCCGAGAGGCTCCTCCATAGTAACACATGATTAATCCGACAGGCACTCGACAGATCGTGCACTGAACGTGAATCCACACGTCTAGACAACGTCTCATCATGACCACTCTTTTCACCATTCCGATCACTTCCACCGGCGGCACGATCGTGTGCACCAACCCAACTGCGAAACATGGAGCCGAGACCAAAGAAAACATCTACCTGTTGACCTTTACATCACCCAAGGACAACCGGTTGACTCCGACGTTTATCGATGCCTTTATTCTCGCCTTGGACATCATTGAGCACCGCTATCCCAAGGGCGTGGTCGTGACGACGAGCGGTATCCCTAAATTCTACAGCAATGGACTCGATTTGGAGCTGGTGATGATCACGGAAGGCTTCCTCGAAAAATGGTTGTGGCGGCTATTCCGCAAGCTTCTCACGTAAGGCGCCCGACACACGTCAATGAGCACGGGACGAAAGCGAAGGGGATGGAGAAAGAATATCACAGATCCGGTGCACAAAACAGCAGACTAATGTCGATTTGAAGGTACCCCATGCCTACGATATGTCTCTTGAACGGACACGCGTTTGCCGGTGGCTTCATGCTAGCCATGTACCACGACTACCGCATCCAGAACCCCAACAAGGGCTTCCTCTGCGTCAACGAGTTGGAATTCGGAGTCCCACTCCAAACACCCATGATGTCCATTTTCCGCGAGAAGCTGACGCCCACGACATTCCGAAATGTGGTTCTCGAAGCTCACCGATTCGGTGGACACGAGTCCTTGAAGGCCGGCATTGTCGATGCGGTGGGTGGGTTGGAGGAGGTTGTTTCCCTGGTCCGGGATCGCAAGCTTCTGAATAAAGCAGAGACGGGGATCTACGGGACTATGAAAGAAGAAATGTATGCTCGGGTTCTGGATGGACTGGATGATCATAAGGGTAATCTGGTCTGGCGTGAGAAGGTGGAGGTGCGGAATGCGGCGCTGAGGGAAGAGGGATTGAAACGAGTTGCGATCTGGGAAAAGTCCCCTATATCGAAGCTGTGAGAAAGGGAAGCTCACAATTATCGCAGAGGAAAGCACTTGTGCCGATGTATTTTATTAGAAGGTACTGACTCTGTCTAATATCCCAATCATTCAGCAAGTGTAAAGCAATCTGTCAACTCCCGAGAGCAAAACATCGACCGGTGGACGAAGCAATTCGTTGCGCTGTCTCGAGGCAGCGATCTCGTCGACGAGACCATTCAAACCTGCCAAAGGGCACCGAATGCTTTGCACCACGGAGCAGACCCACCTACAAGGCCGTGAATCGTACAAATCGGTCCACTCGGAACGTCACACCTGTTGACAAGGAACTAGACGGCAGTAATCGCTGGACTCAATTGCTAGCCTGGGAATCTCCAGTTCACAAGCGAACTTTTGATCTCAATTTGGGACTCTTAAGGTGAATCGTTCCGTGTGAAGGCTGACAAGTAAACCTCGATCACAGGGAGAGTCGTGTACTTCAACACGGTAGTATGATTGCATGCGATTCATTAGTCTCAACTTGATACTACCTTACCCACCCAGAAATCTCATCCTTCACGTAAACGTCTCTCGCCTAGGGAGAAGTCATAACATGAACGTCAGAGATGACATCTTCAGGTCTCTGACCGCGAGCATATCGGGTACAACCCGTTCCATGTTGGCCCATCGGGCGTGGATTCTCCACGCGACTGTGCAACCTCGGAGAGTCGGCGCTGACTTTCGGCCTCGATGGTTCAGAGAATGTGTCAATGGTATAGAGACTGACACATGCATGACGCGAAGTCGGAACAGTAACATTGGATTCTGAGGGATACTATACTATACGTTGGCTTGGGTGTACGAACGTGCTCTCATACATACCGTCAACATTCGTCGGCCGAAGGACAGGATTAGACACTACATGTTCAATTGCCGAGCTGCGGTTTCAAGGAAGACAAGCATATGGGCATCACTGCTACGGTAGCTGAGACAGCTCATAGACATTTGATATCCTGTTATGTACCCAGATACCGAGCCCGTGAATGACTTGCGGGGGGCTTCTGGGATTAGGACAGCAACATGACGGAGTGCGCTGGGCCTGGCCACGACATCCTCGATTTGCAGGCCAGAATAAGACGGCGTGAGTGTGAGCTGTACAGCATAGCTCCGAATGTTGTCGGAAGAGATAACAGGCATAGCCCGGTAATGCTTTGTAGTCGCAAATTAGGCAGTTCTTCCTTCCAAACAATTTGGATTGCTTCGCAGTCCAAGTCATCTATAAATACACCTTCCTCTTCTTTCCTGACGTTGTTATGGACGCGGCACAAGTCTAACTCGATACGACAGCCATATACAGTTGTTCTATAACATCCAGCTGGTCAAATACATCAGGTATCTATGAATGCATTCCTTGTCTGACTCAGGGCTGTCTTGAATAATATCGACTTAGCTCACACTCGAACGTACCATCCAGAAGAAAAAATGCGTTTTCAGCTTCTTCTCGCCATCCTGGGCTTGACAGGGCTTGCTGTTACTGCTCCAATTGCTGGTAAAGACGGTACGTGATACCTCCTGATCATGTTGAAAGTGGAACTTCCTGAATATCGGATGGTTCTTCTGACAAGTCTGCATCCTAGTGACTGATGGCATAGACGGGGACATCGGCCATGATAAAGGGGGCGGAGGTGGAGGTGGCTTTGGTGGTGGCTTTGGTGGTGGCGGCGGAGGAGGTATTGGAGGAGGATACGGCGAAGGTGGAGGTGCCGGCGGAGGGTTCGGTGGAGGTGTCGGAGGGGGTGAGGGAGGCGGCGCCGGAGAAGGTGGTGGTGCAGGAGCAGGAGCAGGTGGTGGTGCAGGTGGTGGTGCAGGTGGTGGTGCAGGTGGTGGTGCAGGTGGTGGTGCAGGTGGTGGTGCAGGAGCAGGAGCAGGTGGTGGTGCAGGAGCAGGAGCAGGTGGTGGTGCAGGTGGTGGTGCAGGAGCAGGAGCAGGAGAAGGAGGCGGCGGCGGTGGTGGTGAAGGTGGTGGCATGGGCAGCCACTGCGCAAAATGAAGAACCAGAAGAGCGGTCATGAAGGACCAAAAGAAGGGCAAAGGCGAATGTCTTGGTGGACACTGAGGTGACCTTGGTAAAAGTAATGGAAGAAGTTGTGGTTCAAGCAAATCAATGTCACCCGACAGAATCGAGGGGATTCCTGAGCACATCGCAAGCCATCGCCAATGATACCAAAGCCAATGGTCACACGAATGTACCTGATTGAGGCACACGTCGCGTTTAAGTAGGCGTCATATCGTAGAATAAGCGGGTCGTCTCGGTCGTAGCTCTCTTGAGTAACTATTTCTTGCTCTTGCTTGCGCGAGCTGGCCGCACTGGTGGTGAGTCTAATTGATCGACAAGCGGTCGATAAGGTGATGCCAGCAGATACTCCGGTGCAGGCTGCTGTCGAGGCTCCCCGGGAGTTGGTCGACGCAGCTGCTCCTCATGCATGCGTTCCAGTGGTTCGCCAACAATCTGATATTTGGCCCAATTGATCGGGGGCATTCGAACGATATTTTGCGGTTGTGGTATGCGACCAAAGCGAGACCCTGATCCGTTTTTCTCTTGAGATTCCTCGAAGCCTTCAGGTTGTTCGTTCTCCTCGTCCGTGTCCATCGCGTCGTCCTCGGAGAACTGAATGACCGTCCCGCGGTCTTCAGTGCGCAAACGCCCTCCAGCCAACTCTCGCGCAAATGCCTCTGGGTCCGCCGCAGCGGCTTCTTTCAAGCGATCCAGGCTGCGAATGTCCCGTAAGGTCTGTTGCTTCTGCATCTGCAGAATCGAGATCGCCGATCGCAACGCGATGGCATCTGGATTCTCACTCTCGGATATAGGCACCGGTGGCGGCTCAGATTTAAAGACCGCCGGCGCTCCTGGAGGCCGCGATGGTACATGGTTAGACGGTCGATTCGGAGGAGTGTGTGAAGTTGGAGAGGGCGATAGAGGGGGTGGAACGATAGTCGCGTTGGCTGCGGCCACCGTATTCAAGTGCGCAAAGACTGGGGTCACCGGTGAATACGGTGGGCGTGGTGGTGTACCAGGGCGATCGACAGGTGTGGATGGGACGGTCGCATCTCTTGAAGGATCCATGGCGATAGGCTTTCGGAAGCTCCAGAACTGTTGATGCGCCGCACGGCTCAAGGCAGGGTGGACGTGGGGACCGGCGCCGGGACGGTGTGTAAGTGATCGGCTGAGATTGAAGGCGCTCTCTCCCACTCCGACTTGGACTGAGTGACGACACCGGGAGGCAGTGGAGACGGTCGGGCCAGACGAGAGATCAGGTGCGGGCCCAGCCTTGTCCAGCGGGGAGAGATTGCACTTTTGAGAGTCCTTCGGTTCCTGACGAGATACGATTTTCGACATCGGCGAGTCCCGTGAGTCCCTCCTCGGTTTTGTTCCAATGCTTGACAAGGTCAAAATTTAGAACTCCAACATGCCGACTCTCTTGCGTAGTGACGTGAGACTTCGGCCTCAATGGAAGACTGGAGGGAGGCGCACGGCAGGCCTCTGGTGTGCCACGGCACTGTGAAGCTTCAAGCCAGGACTCGCTCCAATACGTGGCGGATCAACCACACTTGGAAAGCTGACTCGAAGAGTTGCTTCCATATCGCGTGGATCTTGTGTGCATCCATTACCCTCAAAAGTCTCATCCACTCGTGAGACCCCAAAGCTGAATTGCGTCACTCGTGAGATTCTGCCGGTGATACGACAACCCCGGATCCTGTGGCCCACATGCTCGGGCGGCGAGGCTGGAATGAGTTCCGCACCGCCTCTGAAATTTTTGTGATCAGGCCATCTCCAACTCAGCGTTCGAACGCTTCAATTCAGCCCAACATGAAGCGCACAACAGATCAACGGCCTTCTCTTGATGGCAATGGCATGCGCGAGACCAAAAAGCGGGCTCTGTCCAGCGAAGAGGCTGTCGCACGCTTTAGCGACGGTCTGTTCGATCCGGTCAAGCTGAAGAACTATACCGATGCATACGCAAAGTCTTCACCGTACGAGCTACCCTTTTGGCCATGGCTCTCTGGGGACCTATGAGGTGCATGCTAACACTTATACCGACATAAAGATACCTGCACGGCGTCATATGTCCGCTGATTGAGCCATCTCTGCTCCGCTCTGTTCGCGACGAGGTGCAAGAGCATCTGTCCTTCACCGAGAAGGAGACGGACATCTACAAGATTTTCCAGTCCGGAGACTTGGCCAACTTAGACGGCCTCGATGATTCCTCCCTTTCCAAGCTTCCCTCCCTCCTCAAGCTTCGCGATGCCATGTACTCGGCTCGCTTCCGCGAGTACCTCTCCTCCGTCACCGGGTCCGGCAAACTGAGCGGCAAGAAGACAGACATGGCCATCAACATCTACACAGAGGGCTGTCATCTTTTGTGCCATGACGATGTCATCGGTAGTCGTCGGGTCAGTTACATCCTCTATTTGACCGATCCAGACACTCCATGGCAGAAGGAATGGGGTGGTGCGCTGCGCCTCTATCCGACCACGACCAAGAAGGATGCTCAAGGCGCGGATGTGAAAGTCCCCAGCCCTGATTTCAGTCTCTCAATCCCTCCCGCCTTCAATCAGCTCAGCTTCTTTACTGTCCAGCCCGGCGAGAGCTTCCATGATGTGGAAGAAGTTTACCACCACCGCGAAGGCGAGGACAAGTCGAAGAAGCGCGTGCGCATGGCCATCAGTGGTTGGTTCCATATTCCCCAAGAAGGGGAGGATGGCTACGAAGAAGGACTTGAAGAGAAGCTTGCCGAACGCAGCAGTCTGGCCCAGCTACAGGGCCGCGCTGACATCTACGATCTGCCTCAACCCAAGCCCGTCTCTTGGGAGGCCCCGGAAGTCTCTGGCAAAGGAAAGGGGAAGATGGAGGAGGAAGAAGAGGGTAATGAGTTCACCGAGAGCGACCTGGAGTTCCTCGTGCAGTACTTGGCCCCGTCCTACCTGACCCCCGACATTGCCGAGGAGATGTCCGAGGCTTTTGGCAACGAGTCCTCGCTCAGCTTGGAGCGCTTCCTCAACGAGAAATTTGCCTCCCGCGTGAGCGCCTATATCGAAGACCAAGAACGCAAGGGCCTGCCCGCGTCGTCCGAGGAGATCCAAGCCGCGACCGAGTGGACAGTGGCCGCGCCCCCCCATAAGCACCGTTATCTCTATCAGCAACCGACGGATGACGACACCAGCAACCCCGTCAAGGAACTGCTGAATGTCCTCTTCCCCTCGCAGTCCTTCCGAAAGTGGCTTGCCCTGATCACAGGCGTGGACCATCTCAAGACGCACAACTTCCTTGCCCGTCGTTTCCGTCGTGGCGCCGACTATACCTTGGCGAGCGGCTATGATGGAGAGGAGCCCCGCCTGGAATTCACTCTCTCCCTGACCCCCACCACAGGATGGGAGAAGGAAGGTGAAGAGGAGGAAGAGGATAGCGGAGCCGAGGACGACGGCGAGGAGAAAGCCGCGAAGACGACGTCCAAGGCGCCCCAGAAGGGCGCCGCTCAGGAAACCGCAGACCACCCTTCCGTCGGTGGATATGAAATCTACATGGCCGGAGACGAGGATGAGGACGAAGAAGAGGACGAGGCGAACGCAGACCAAGTCCTCCGACCCAAGAAGACCAAGGCTGACCCTGCGATTTACCGCTCTGCCGGTGCTGACGAAGACGATGGAATCCTCTTCAGCAGTCAGGCGGGGTGGAACCGTCTCAGCATTGTGCTTCGTGATAGCGGCACCTTGAAGTTTGTCAAGTATGTCAGTGCCAATGCCAAGGGTGATCGATGGGACATCACAGGTGACATTGACGTGGAGTTTGACGAGGATGAGGATGAGGACGAGAATGAAGATGACAACTAATGGAAGCCCATGGGTGGTCGTGATCTCCGTATAGTATCTACGAGAACAGACGAGCAAGCATGTTCAAATTCTCTGTCGCCTGTCGCATTCTCCCACCCATCACTCGCAGATATTCGGTAGTGATCTCAGTCAAGATCGTTGAACAAAATCACCAGCAGCAAGCACCATGACTTGCTCTCGGGCACAGCCAAATCGACGTTTCCTTACACCCACTAGGTTCACGAGTCTGCATTTGTACAATGAATATATCCAGCCTGGACTAAATCTATAGCATTCAACCACACAGCACTATGATGAAGAAGTATCAGCCCATCTGTACGGTTTGCGTCTCCCTCCTTCCAATAGGTCTCACCATCGAGGAATCTACCGCATACCTAAGATCAATAGAATCTGCAATAAATATCCTAGAAGCAACGGACGGACATTTCTTCTGTACGCAATGGAAAGTCGTATCGCCACGAACCCTCATCATCTCCACCTCCTGTACGAATCGTTTCAACCCTTCCCCCCCCCCCCCCTGCCACACAGTACTATAAGTTCCTTCCTCACGTTCACGTACGTCTGTACTCTCGTCGACCATGTTTTCTTCTTTCTCCCTCCACTTACCGTGGACATGTGCCTCGACGCACGCGATCCCCTCGCCAAAGGGACAAACAAATCATGGACCAAAAGGTCCTGAGGGGCGAAGGGGGCGGAACTTTGAAAACCACTCGTGATTTCCTTATAATCTATCTATTCCACCTCCCGCTCGCACCTCCGACACCCATGCATGACCACCACCAGAATCCGATCACGGCGAGTCGATCGGCAGGATCCGTGGCGTAATGAGGACAAGCCAGATCCACCCTCCACGTCTCCTGGATCAGCACGCCTCGGGCTGTCCTGCAGTGCTCAGCGCTGCCTCTGGTACTGCGGAACTTTGCTGGTGCTGGATGTTCTCGAGCGTCGAGACCCACCGGCTGAACCGAGGGCAATGGGGATGCCTCCTAGTTGTTACCTTCGCACCCAGGGATACAGAGGATCAGGCAGGCCCACGCGATATGGGATCCATTGGAAGACACGAGGGGAAGGGGATATTTGAAGTCAATGCGGTGTGTGGACGAGCTTTTGTGCCCGTGGAACTCACTATTCAGAGTGTCTCTTGTCACTCTCCAGTGTACAGTGCTAGATACTGCGGTCGTGGTTGATCCCTCCGACCCGCCTCTCTTGGTAGGGGGTCATGTCGACGATGGACCATTGCGACGGCGTATCATTGAGTCCAGCGGTATTGCATCACCCTTTGACTTTCAAGGATAGCACAGCAGCTGGAGATCGATGGAGGAAAGACAGTTTGCGGGTGATCGACGGGAGGCGGGGTGGAGTCAGTCAAGTGGAGTGGAGTGGAGTGGAATTGGGAAGTGAGGGAGACGTGGAAATATCCTTTCTTCGTAGCCTGGGGCGATATCACGAATATCTCGTCTCCGTCTCTGTTCATGTGTGGTTTTCACAGCTCCGGCTTATCCCTCGTTCCCCTCTCTCCCTCTCTCACATGACCAATTCTCTTTTGACGGAGAGCTGCCTCCCTTTCCTTATCGGGAAGAATCAACTCAGCGAAGGCTTTACAGCCAAAGAGTCTGGAAATCAATTCCATCCTCATTCACCGAAGGGGAAACTCGAGTACAGAGTACTGAGATGCCGGTACCATATACGGTGCTGTATACCGGTATCGTGAGTACAGAAGGGGAGTACCACTGCTGAGTACCGTCCACATCATGGGTCGATCATATATGAATGTGCAGTTGTGCACTGGCCTACGAGAGACTGCAGGCTGTATAACTCCAGGCCCATGGGCAGTAAGGGAAAGCATGACGGAGATCTTTTGCGGGCTGAGCGGATTCGTCAGTAGGTACACACTGCACAGTGTCTTCTATCTACGGTCTGCTACTGTCTACTGTACGAGTGGAGCTGGACGATCATTTGTGGTACCGCCCCGTGCACAGTGCTTACCCGGAATTCGAGTGAGACGCTGTTGAGTCCTGCAGGTCGCAAGGTAAAGCGGCTGATCTTTCTCGATCACTGATCGAGTCGTATGGGGGTGAGAAATGCCCTTGTGGAAGGGACGATCGCATGCTCAAGACGATCCTGCCAGAAATGATGCGATGGTAAATGTGCTGGAGAAAAGGTACGACGCAGAGTCGTATCCGAAATTCCGATCTATGCGGAATGCCATGCCCCGTCCACCTGAAGCTCGAGCTTACAGTACTTCGAACTTGGGATCCCTGATGACAGCCCGTTTCCAATTCTCCACCGTGGGTGGCAAGAGAGTGAGGATCCCTGAGGAATGGAAGACTGCTACCGTGTCGGTGAGGAATTGCTCGAGAAGGGGACATCATGAGCTGCTATTGGGACCGGCCGATGCTGTCGTCCGGATATTTGGTGTACGCGTGTCGGTCATGTGGCGACTGGCGAGTGACCTGTCTACACTCGAGCTGTAGTACCTCCACTCTTCAGACCCTGACAGCACGTACAGTCCGCCAGAATTCCATGGCTGTGGAGCTGGCGCCACCAACAGAATGGTGGTGGTGATGGCGGTGCCCATTCTTCTCCAGGACTGAGTGAACACAGGGCGGTTGAGCCATGTGGCAAGATTCAAATCGGATGGACATATGAGCGGCGGCCGGAAGAGCAGAGTCGGTCGAATGATGGACCCCCCGTCTAGGAGTGTCCACATGGTTTGAGTAGCTCATACCTATGGGTCACGACAAGTCATGAATGTCCATATGCCGCCCGTCTCTGGTAGGAGAAAGGAGAGAAATCCCTCCCCGTACTGTACCTGACCATGGATTCGTCTTCGATACGCGCTGACGTGCAAGAGCGAACCATGCTTGATGTTATTGTCCTGTAGCAACTCGTCTTGATGACTGGAATGGAAACTCCTCTCAAATGTTCAGAGCATCGGTGGAAACGGGTGAAACCTCCAGTGTACCTTGGTAGTCGAGAGGGAAGGGGAAGGCCCATATCACTGTAATGATTTGATGAGAATATCCCCTTGTCAAATTTGTACCTTCCAACCCCCCGATGAATTGCAGTCGCTCTTCAAGCTCGATCCCAGATGGCCAAGGGGATTTGTTGTCAATCCCAAAAGTCCACCCCACAGGGCATTGGATAGATCCAACGAGCGTGGCGTCGATGGAGACGTCTGATACATCTGTTCCGCAAGCGCTTGGCAGTTGGCACGCACTCAGGCTTGCTCCTCGTAGACACAACAATAACCTTCGTACCTGCGTTGCCAGGTAAACGTGCCAATTCAGATTCAAAAAACAACAACAACTTTACACTGGTCTGGAAGTGTTATCAAGTTTTGATTGCGACCGAGGGGCGCAGCAGGCGGAGCATGCGTATGACTCGGGGGAATTACCTGCACCCACAAGTCGATGTGTCGATGTGTCGATGTGTCGATGCTTGTAGCCTTCCTCGATCGTTACGTGGGATCGACGACCGGGCCAGTCGCCCGCGACGCACTTGACCAGTAAAGCGGGTGAATGCATATGGACGTCTCATCTGGTCGGATCTAGGATTTTCGTCCGTGGCCTGACCTTGGTCCGGTCAGTCCAGGTCTAGATTCACGGTGGACAACCTGGAAGTTTTGCTGGACACACAAAGCAAGCACCTTTGGATCATGTATTGACGGGGAGAATACCGACCTAATCTTCCTTGTCAAAGCTGTTCGGTTGGTTCCCGGTAAACATTCGAAATGGAACAGGCCCAGCCCGTCGTGTGTGGTCCTTGCAACGATTTGGCTTCCGGGATCTACCTCCACGAGTCGCGAAAGTGGGTTCCCACCTGAGGACTCGTGCTCATCACGCTTTGCGCTAAGGATGTTAGCTGACTGCTTCATACTATCTCACTAGGCAGCTAAATAGTAGGAGTGAGGATATGCCACCAGCAGCCCGGAATTGTCCACTCCTCTGCTACTGCCTCGTGATGAGGGGACCAGAACACCCGCGGGGGAGGGATGCAAAATGCATCTTATTCCGGTCGTGAATCCTAGGTAATAAGGTTGGCGCCCTTGGTCTCTCCCCCGAAGGATCCTTGAACTGGGACAGAAGCTGCCATTGTCCGATTCCCGAGTTGGACAAACGGAGGATAAACTCAAGACATGGGAGGGGACGACTCATGACCCTTTTTTTTTTTTTCTTCTCCTACCATGCATCTCCCGTTCCAGAGATTGATGGCATACGAGGACCGACACAGGAATGATAATGTTTGTACGAGAATCAATGCACGTAGCCATGGATCTGATGTAGGTCCATGCCTATATGGTCCAAGCTACATAAGCAAGCTATCCATATGCATATATCAATACACGTGAAGCCCGCCACGCTAGGATTTGTAGGCTAGTCTCCTCAGAGATGTGTCATGGAGGCTTAGACGAAAGAATCAACCGATGCGTCTTATCTGACTCCAGACATGAAGACTCCATGCCAGGAGGATGATTTTGGGCTCTGAAGTACCTGCAGGTTGAATTTGAGGATCCAGCTTTAGATAGCGACCGTTGGAAAAGGTCAAAGAGTCATGTGGTGCCACTTTGCACGGGGGTGCAGAGTCGACTTGGCGGAGAGTCATGACTCGTCAAGCTTATCAATGCCTTGCGAAGGACCGCAGCCGAGACACACCTGAATCACGATCGATTTCAGCCATAATGTGACACGAGGAGGGCGTCGCCTCAGCGGTGAGATAGTTACTGCTCGAGCAAATGATGAATTCAGATCATATTGGGGTGTAGTAGTACTCAGAGGTTGATGATCTGAGGTCATGTCGTTGTATATGAAGCAAACAGTGCAAGACTCCATGATGCAATTGTGTCAGTACTTCAATATCGCTGCGGCTGCAGTAGTACTCACTTGAGAAGACTGATGATGTGAATGTGAATGTGGCATGTGAAGTTTCGTACATATTGTATATCAGTGTATTATTTACACATGTTACCACCATTCGGTAATTTACACACCCGCGCTGTAAGATACTCCTGTAAGATTCCATTTGTTGTAAATAATACTGTCCCCGACTCTCTCGGAATGTCCAATTGTACAGCACTAATGCAGTCAGTCGCATCCCGCATCCCAGTCGATCCCTGTCGATGGGTCCCGTCAATGCCATGTGTCCAGCTTCAGCCTGATCATCAGAGATTAGCGTCCTATAGGTCCCATTTCACTATGCTTCTTCCGTCCATGGTTACCCTTCCTCCCCGGTCGCGAAGATCAACGATGATTCGATATCCTGTCAGTCTACTGCTAGCCAACTGCCCTTCTGCTTCCCCCCTCGCTGTAGAACGTGGTCCTGGTCGATCACGGCATTCATGTGACTCCTTCTAGCGATCTAGTCGACAGTCAGTAGGGAGGCAAGTGAATCGTAGCTGGGGGGAGGCACAAGTAATTGTTGATTTACGGCGACACGGTATGTGCAGGGTATCGATGTACCAGAAGAGGAAGTCTTCTTGTAATCAAGATCAAGTCCCCTGCTAGGATTGGCACTCCCAGCCCGGATAGGAGCCTAAGCCTTGCCACGTGAAAGAGGTTTGGAGTCGCTAGGTACACCGTGACGGATTAGAGTATGTTCCTACTGTAGGTGATAATATAGGATTGTAATGGATGTCGTGATCGTACGCATGAACAACAATTTCTGTCTGGGGATCCGTCTACCTGATCATCTCAGGTCACTTTTGGTCCAACAGGCTAGTCAGTAGTTAGATCAAGCAATAGCCCCGGTGAGCTTATATCGTACTACATGTCCTGATGAGCCTACAACAACTATTACGGAATTGTGACTGATGGGCAGGACATGCAGTATACACTATACACTATACGCTCTGCCCTCGGCACCTTAGCTACCTATCACAATTAGTAGTGTCAAGGAAATGTACCCAAGTACCTCTGGATTCAACTCCCTTGGACGATTCCCGGCCCTGATGGAGACCACGCGTGGCCCACCATCGACCCGGTACCCCCTGTGCTCAAAGTACAAAGGTGGTAGGTCTAGTAACATGACGTGAAGACTGACAGTCATGATGTAATTCGCGAGGTTGGCCGGGTACTACTGTACCAGATGCACCTGGGCGGAACGAAGCGTGAATCGCCGGCTGATGGAGGCACGGTAGTGGAGTCACGTCAATGGAAAAGCTTGAAGGGGTTGCTATGTGCTTTGTTCGGGATACCTTGTCTCATTGAACAATTCATTTTTGGTCAAGCACTTGTCATTCACGGGCAGTCAGGCTTCATGTGGGTAGTCTCATAAAGAAGTGCAGTACATGCCTATATGGTAACTGATTCTGGGACCATGGGTAGATAAGTTGTTTCGTTTATGATTTGGTAATGTGAAAATGATAACTTCAATTCTCCCTGCAGGTCAAGTTCTCGGAAGATCAAAGGAGCGCCGAGTACTAAACTATGCTCTTGTTCTCCTTTCAGTATCTCCTTGCATAATGCTGTCAATGAGTATCCTAGTCAAGGATAGACTTTGACTTAAGACAGGACCACTCTAGGAAATTACATGACGGCAGCGAGACCGCTACTACTAGTACCACTACCTAACTTGATACCTATGCTCCCAACACCTGCTTGGTCAAAAAGAGCGCGTGTACCCAAAAAGCTGGACAGAGATACTTACCACCTTACCAAGATCTGTCCCAGACTGACAGTAATCAAATCTCCAACAATGTCACCACCATAATATCTCCTGGGCTCCGTCAACTACCGCAAGAGCCCCATTTTTCCAGCACGTCTCTGGAAAACAAGCCTCTCGTATTATCCTCGAGCCGCTGTGCATGAACCACTGCACGCAATCGTGATGAGCCCTCCCCCCTTGATTCGGCTTTCCCACCACACCATGCTATCCTTGAATTGATGCTAGAGCCTAGAACTGTCAGAGAAAACAAAACAAACCAAAGGCACCGCCGTGTTCACAAGCAGCGGTCCCCAATCGATACGTGGCTCTGTCTCCGGCTCTGCCTCAATTTGACCCGCCAACGCAACAAGATTTATGGTTTCTTTGGCCATGCGAGGCGACGAGGCATCGGATCCACTTCCCGCCGAAGTGTGCTCCATCTGAAGTTCCGTCGGTTACTAGAAGCGATTCGCGCCCGCCCGTGGATGGACGGGGAGAAGGGGACCCGTTGAACGCATGGCCGCCCATTCCAATCACCATCCCATCTGGCCAGTGGCCACGCATCTGAATATATGCTGGAAATTGGGGCGTTTGGCGTAGCGGGGAACTTGCAAGTTCGGCCTCGGCCAACCTGGGCTGGACTTGCCCTTACGCCATGGTCAATCTAACGGTACTGACTCTGCACACTTCAATAATACTAATGTTACTTCTAGCACTAGGACTAGGTGCAAGCGCGGACCCAGAGTCTGCTTGAGCCTTGAGGTGAGAGGCTTGATATCATTTAATGAGTCGGCCACCGGAGCGATCGACTGTTAGGCTGAGCGGCGGTAAGGGTCTCTCTGTACGTCGGACGGATAAAAACTATGCAGACACGGTACAATTCCATGGAGAGCCGCGGCTAGAGCGCGCGCGTGCGCGAAACAGGGCCTGGAGAAGTTGGGTGAGGAGTTAGACTTTGGTGTGGAATCTGGAAAGAAGGAGAAGCTCCACGGAAGCAAACGGTCTTTGGGGTTGAGGGGGAAAGACTGGTAAAATTTAGAAGCGCACTGTCAAGATTCCAAGTCGTCGATGTAGTGGTTGAGAATGAAATGGAGTAGTGCTTGCCAATCGATACTTGATGATTGAAGCATCGCTGAGCGGGAGCGGGCGGGGAGCGGCGACTGTTCGGTCATCTGAGTTGAGTTGGCTTTGAAGATTGAGTTTTGACCTTGGTGAGATTTGGTGTAATTCATGACGATTGGTGTCGGTCAAGTTTGCAGTTTGTAGTTTTGTACTAGAAGAGAGTGCTTACCAGGATGGTGAGGGAAAAATCAGGTGACATCCGCGGAGAAGGTAGAGAAGAGCACAAAAAGTCTAAATTAGCTATGGCGTATATTCTCAGTTTAGTATTTCAACCTGAATAGCTGACAGCAGAGTCGTAGGGTATGTGGGTAGTGGGCAGTGGGTACTGGGTAGTGGTACTAAGTAGTGGTACTAAGTAGTGGTACTGGGTAACTTAGTGGATAGCAAAGATGGAGAAGTATTAGACCCTCCGTTGCTAGAGACTCCAGTCTTCCAGATTTGAACAAAGACAGCGAGGGAGGCGGGACAAGGGAAACATAGTAGGGCCCAAATGGATCCTTGGACCTTTCTTTTTCTACTTTGGGTATTAAGCTTTCAATGAAGGTTAGACAAAGTGGAACTTTGTTCTTGTGAAAAACAAAAAAAAAAAAAAAAAAACAATCTGAAAATCTGAAAATCTGTGAATTATTGTAAGTCAGGAAGAGGTTGCTAGTGGATATGCGAGGGTGGTAAAACCAGATTTAAGTGCTTTTTCTTTTTACTTGATCTGCTTCTCTTTTCAGAGTCACATATTTGGCCATTTCGATCGGCAATGTAACTCTGGGAGCATGTCAATCGCCCTTACGTGCCCCAGAAATCCAAAAAGGGTCGGCCTCGTGGCACTCCGGTGGAGGTGTTGCGCGCAGTAGCGCAGATTCAAGGCTTGGCATATGCATGGCAGTATGATTGGTATGGCGAGTGTTATGGACAGGTTTTGTATTACATACAGTACAGTATACATTATACAGTATACATTTATAGGGATACAGACCATGGATGGACGTTTGACGGTTCGAGTGTGACCTCCTCTGACGTGGGTACAAAGTTTTATTCATGATCTGAAGAAGGTACTGAGGTATCTGGTCGTTCTTTTTCACCATCAGTAGAGAATACCTTGTTCTCTGTGTAGCTATATCTTCATGACAGAACAGCTCAAATAGAAGACCATCGACATGGATGTCGGAAGCACTGAACATCCAGGCTACCACAGGGCACAGAGTACAGACCAAGATGTACTTAGAAATGCCTCGGTATGTATTGGTCATGAGTGACTGTGCTACGCCATGTTGAACATGAGGCGAATTAGGGCGATCTCTTACTGTATCTCCTACAGTGATAAGGTAGTGTAGAGCCTCTGTCCGTCGTATTTGCCTACTATGTACTATATACTATGAGACCATGAGTATGTATAAAGTGGAATTCCTGTCACCTTACCTCTGCTTTAGTGCCCACTGGCTAGTGGCCAGTGCCAAGCCCTCACCCCCGCGAAGCTCGTACGGCTAAGACAAAAAGTACGTCGAGTACTACTAGGTAGGTCCCGTCATTCCTCGATGCTGACCGAGCAGGTCGGAAGCCCACCATCTCTGCAGTCTGTACCCGACCGGGCCCAGCTTGTGGGCTACCTGCAGCTCCCGGTCCGGCCAAGGTTCAATATTGCGAGGGGGCATGTTTAAGCCCAGTCCACGGACGGCTTGGCAAAGACAAGCCTACGATGAGATCTATCCGCTAGGCAACAGGCAAAGTTCATCGAATAGGGTGATAGGTGTATCGGCTGTCAGTCTGTATATAGACTCATGTGCTGTATATTTGGTACAAACCCATAAAGCTTGTGTCTTGTGTGGAGGGATCTTCTTCAAGAAGAATTACATCTGAATCCGTAAATAGTAGCCGTCACAAGCAAGGTAGTCAGTCACCCTAGGCTCCGATCATCACGGCCAACTTCCTCCGCGGAAATATCTTTGACTCAAACCGAAGGACCGGGCACTGAAGATGATCGATGCGCTGCCCTGTGTATCCTATGGTCCTTGTAAATTTCAGATAATCCGTGGCCGTTAACAGTTTCTATGCATGCATAGAGGAGGGTTGACGTGATGCCTGCGAATGCTTGATTCGAAACCCTCTGGGCATCTATGTATGAGACCTACGTTATCGCATGGGCGACGGAAAGCAGAGCTTGTCTAGATATTCAGGCTTTTCAATCCACTACTACATCATATGGAAAGAGCAAAACATAGACCGACATGTACCAGGTTGGATTTACGACGGGAGATTGTATGTCTCGAGAGTCTCGCCCTCATCTTACAGGCTGCAGCCTCTTCCGGTCCAAGATTGAGGCAAACCTAAGCTGTTGGATATACCGCTTGTCTGACCATCTTATGTATAATAATATGGTTACTGCATCACGATACTGTCTTCAAAGAGGGTTGATTACTTCTAATGTCAGCTCTCTCTTCTCTTCTCACTCTCACTAGAAATTCCTCCCTATCCTCTCAACTCAACCTATAGCTCCTCTTGGAGCTCAAATGCCCTCTCACTGCGACGAATCCTCGTCAATGTTGCATCCCTTTTGACCACGCACCTCCTAACGATGGCCCCTTCCCCCATGTGTATCGTGTGTCCAGTGTCCGCCCTCCACAGGCCATACATTGGAACCAAAGTTGGAAGAGCTCACCCCCCCCCTGTTGTCCCACGTTTCTCATGCACTACCTCTAGGTCTCCATGGGGGGGGGGGGGGGAAAGGAAGGGAGGAGATGTGGTCCTGTGCGAATGACCCTTGCGGAGCTCTCTGGACCTCCCCGCGTGTCTGCTGCAATGGACCATGCCCCCCTCTGCCACACTTGCGAGAGAATGTGAAGTATGCACCATGCACCATGCAGTATGCAGAGCATGGGGAAGGTCCAGCAGCTGCAGTAGACTGGCGTGACCGCTGGCCACTGACCAGCTCTGCGATCCAGATGTACTGCATGCCTGTATGATACCACCCTGGGTATTTCAAATACCAAACTCTGTTCGGCGACTGTATGACTATGAGTATCGAAGAATGACCAGTCTGGGCTTTTCTCTCCCCGGCTGAAATGTCAACGCGATCGTAGAGTCACAGTCTCTTCTCACCAAGAATGGAAAAATCCATTTTTCCCAATGGATTCATTATTCAATTCAAACAGTATTCTAGAAAAAACATGTGTTTTTGGAGCAGATCTGGAGCGCCCTTTAGGGACTGATCCGCTACACTCATCCAGATGAAAATCCCATAAAGGGAGAGAAGCTGTACAGTAGAACTAGAAGCCGAACCCTCGGCCAAGTTCAGATTCCGGCCTCTTCGATTCCATGCAACGAGGGTTCTAGGGTTGAAAGCAAGTGTTCTCTCTGTTGATTGTACAGAACAACACACGACGAGGGCCCCAGCCGTGAGATGAGACCCTTGTGGACAGACGAAATCTAGAAAGAGAGCCTGGAGAAATACATACAATAGCATACTCGTCCATACCGGGTCGAGTGTTCTGTTCTGTTCGGTTCGGTGTTTTCTGTCTGCCCTCCCCCCCTCTCCTTCAACTCCAGCCACGGAGAAAGCGCTGTCGGTTCACCTCTGCAACCTCCGAAGTCCTTTCTTCTCCCCTCTTCCCTTGAAATTTCCATTCTCAATTCTCAACTCCCCTTCAGTCGAAAGTCCGAACAGTCCACGAGGCTCGCGACCAGGCGCTTTCTCCCCGGATCCCCCGATATACCACCCCGCTGATCTTTCCTGCGACTTTGTCTTCGCGTCGCTCCGGCGTCAATTCGACCACCGAGTACAGTGGTACACAACTGTACGACTATTCTCTGGACTGCCTGCGCCAGTACACTAAGTACCCTTCGTACAGTCGGCCGTGGCCAGCGCTGGTCAAAGTTCCGGCCCCTCTTGGACTCTTTTGGAGACGACGACTCGTCGTGCAGAATTCCTTCCCCCCCCCCCCCCCCCCCCCCAGTTCCCACTCTTTCCTCTCCACTTTACTTTCGCCATTCCCTTCCAATCTACGGTTTCGACAGTGTCTTTTGGTCCCTGCAGAGAAACTCACGTTGCCGCTGTGCTGGGTCCCCTGACAGCTGATGCCACGGCTGCTGCTGGCCGCTGCGATATCTGGCTCTCTTCTTCAACCTCCTTCCTTCTCCTCGGTCGCCTGCTGCACGGTCATTACTTATTTTCTTGGATCGCATTGACTACTTGACGCGTGCGCCTGGTGATTGGTGACTATGCAATAGCGTGGACCCTCGACGCACTTGCCCCCATCGAAAGCTGAGCGACAATTTGTCCCTCCATCGCTGCAAATCTGCCCGTCAACGACTCGACTCGAGAATCGGAAGAAGGGGGAATTCAAAGACAAAAAAGACGGAGCGAGATTTGAAAAGGGCCTGCACGGATTCTTCCCCCTCAACACACGACCTACGACTTACGTTCGACGACCCTTCTGGGAATCTTCGGGCGCATCTCCCGCTGCGTGCTCTTCGACCGAAATGGATTCTGTCGCACATCGGCCCTGGGAGGCCGTCTCCTCGAGCCCTCATACCCCCGCCGGACTGACTCAAACGTTGCCCTCCATCTCGACATTGACCGCCAACATTGGGCCCGGGAATCATAATGCCTCTGAGAAATCGCCTGGAAACTCCTCGCTCAACACCATTGAACGCGACTCGGGGAATTGGTCAATGCCGCACAGCACAAGTAGGGTCCCTCCGCTCTCTGGGGAAAATCGGGCGCGGCATGCTGACCGTTCAGGATCCTCTACTTACTCGAACGCGACCAATGGCACCGGCAACAACTATCCCTCTCTCACCTTCCTGACCTCGTCCTCGCAACCCTCGCCGAACCGTGGCCATGTCGCACCCGATCGCTCCCCCTACTCGCACGAGCAGTCGACCACCCCGTCCTCGGCGGGCGGGAACCACCCGTCTCCCAGCTTCAACACCTCGCAACCCAACCCGGCGCTCCCGTCCTTGAATCAAAATTTCGAGGCGTCCTCCCACCGCGGCAGTGTCGTCGAGGCGCCCGAGTCGCGACGAAGCAGTGTGGATAGTCGTGTCAACCAGGGCATCAGCTCCTTGGTCATCAACCCCGCCTCTCCCTATCACAGTACGAATGCTTCCCAGTCCTCGATCGTCTCGAGTTTACAGCGTGAGCGCGGCATCTCCAACGACATGAATTCATACCGTGGTCCCCGATACTCCAGCGGCAGCCAGCCATTATCTCCACTGGGCCCTCGTCCAGGAGAACACCGCTCCTTCGCCGCTGGACGGACTGCGCCGGCCATCTCCTCGAACCCGCGCTCCGAGATCTACAATGCCGAGGCCCCCACCGCCGGTATGGCCTATGCCTTTCCAGATCCCGACGTCGCTCGATCAAGCTCCATTTCGTCTGCGGAGAAGTCCAACCCACCCTTCTCTCGGAAGGGAAGTACGGCGGAGTCTCTGAGCAGCATGTACTCGGAGCGCATGCCGCGAGGTCAACATGGTGAGTGAATTCCTCCCCTCCCCTTCAGCAGTTGGCCCACTAGTCTCCTTCTCTGGCCCAAGTGCACTAACGCCTCCACAGAATTACCACCCAACGTCCATCATCACACTTTGCAGCACAAGCAGGTCCGCGACCTGATTGGAGAATCCGAATCGAACGGCGGCAATACGCCGTACAGTCGAACGCCCGAATTGCGTGTCACCCACAAGCTTGCCGAGCGGAAACGTCGCAGTGAGATGAAGGATTGCTTCGAAGCCCTCCGCATGCGCCTTCCTCAGACACAAAACAACAAGTCGAGCAAGTGGGAGACGCTCAGTCGCGCGATTGAGTATATCAATTCGTTAGAGAAGAACCTGGCGAGCGCTCGCCGGGAGAATACCGCCATGCGTACCGAGATTGAAGAGATGCGCGCCCAATTTGCCCAGCAGCAGCAAGCTCACAATCCCTCGCGGCCGGGATCGATATTCGAACATCATCCCATGGCGACGACGCCCACAAATGGTCATCCACCCGGTCCTGCATTTGGTGGCTTTGGCAACGGCCCGGTCATGGTTCAGGACCAACCTCGAACGCTACCACCGCTCATGAATGGCGCCTCGGCTCCGATGCAGGGCATCCAGTATACCGATGAGCGGCGGTAAAACAACATAACTCAAAACGCCGTTTACCACCCCCCCCCATCGCGATTGGCACTTCTACTTTTCATCCTCCATCGACTTCTCTTTCCCCGATGAGCTATGACTTGTCACGCTGCAATGCGCACTTCACGTACGATTTCCTTTTTACCCCCTACCATCACCTTGCAAGATATCCCCATTCTTCCTTTTGATTTCTCGTGCGACTTTTTTTTGGGGTGGGGATTCTCTTTCTTCCCCTTTCTAGACATTCAACTCCCTCTCCCATCTTCACCTCGGTCGGCGATGCATTGCGCGCTATGCCTCTGCGACTGCGGAACGGTGTGACTTATATTTCATCCATGTTCTTCCTTCTCTGTCCACCACTCTGTGTGTGTCTCCTCGTGTCTCATCACCGTTCGGCATCCTCCCACCTTCTTGTTGGACATTCGTCAAAGTTTCTGCGACCGTCGATCCTCGTTGGCCTCTGGTTTCGTGTATGAGTGCATCTCATCACGCCCACTCGAAACCCGGCTGTTGCGTCTCCTTCTTATCGAACCCCTTTCTCTTTCCTCTGTTTTCCTGGTCATGTGTTCTCGTCTTGCCTCCATTGCTACTGCTGTCCTTATTCCTCTTCCTGTCGCCCGTCTATGTCACTTTTGGGGAACAGCTCGAATCGCGTGTTCTTGTCTTTAGTATGGCTGCATTATGGCGGAACTGGTTTGGACACAAATGTGTTATTGCAGATTGGGGGCCTCCGGCCATTGGGGTCGGTCACTGTTGTTTCCTTCTCTCGCTCGTGCGCTTCTTAGCATCGGCTTGATCTCTGCCACCCTGGTCCCGAGGTTGATCTTGGGATTTGTATCAAATATGACCATTTTTTGCGCACCGGGGCGGCATGCCTTCCTGTGTTTTGGCCGTCGCTGTGGTTTTGCCAGTCTTTTTTTCCATTCCCGAAGTATGAGCCTGTAGCCCATCTTTGTTTCCGTGTCTGAACTGTTGAACAGATCGTCCATCTGATGTCGATACTTGGCCGCTATGCGTCTAGATTTCCTTGAGATCCCTCATTCAAGTCTCCATCTGCCGAGGACCGTATTTCCCGCCCTCCGTGCAACTCACTTCCATCAATTCTATTTCCAGCCATGGCCGGGTGGCTTGGTGATTGGCTCCATTTAAGCGCCCAACATCCACCTCCGGCGCAACCTGCCGGGTTCTTCACCCTCATCCACCTCTCTTACCTCCCCCACTGGCCCTGACTGACAGAGTCCCTGCACCAATAATGGCACCTTCACAACTCGCCTACTGCAGGGGAATGTCGGAGATCCGTGAAGATTGATGACTTTGGAGAATGTCATTGGTGTCGGGGCTGCATGGTGGGTAGTGGATTTGACGATGGGCGAGTACTTGCCAGGACCACCGTCCCTGTCCGACGAGATCAGAGCGGGCCCGATGAACAAGTTGGAAAACCAAGCCCAGGACCAGCACATCCGGCGGAAGACAAGATGGTCGATGCCACCGGTGAAGTGAGAAATGGCTCTATCCTATTCTAGACTCTTTGAAAAAGAGAGCTCTCGTGCAGCATTGCGGTTGCTGATTCGAGAGGGACCGTTTATTTTTACAATTCCCCGATGCTGCATGGTGGCTGACTTGGTAGCTTGAGGTCTGTTTAGCTCTCGTCAGCTCCTGTCGAGTGCGAAGCTCGACAGTCGTCCTTATTTTGTGGACTTTGATCTCTTTCGTTCGTAAACTACTTTCTCTCTTGTACGCTCTGGTACTTTGGTTGGCTTTCTCACTCTTTTTGGTTCTTGTCTATCTCTCTCTCTCTCTCTCTCTCTCTCTCTTTTTCTGCCTCGCTCCCACTTCTCCTCCTCTCCCAGCTTCTAAAAATCTCTTAGCCTGTGCGCGTGCTTCTGGCCTGCTACATCTCGTGCTATTCTGTGCGTCACTCATTTACGCTTTCTCGTTTGACAAATTCTTCTCTTTTTTTTTTCTCTGTACTGTGAGACGGTGGTCATTGCATACCCGGAGTCGTTTCAGCATTGCATTGTTCCGAGCGTTGTCTGGATATTAATAGAAAGTGGCTCAAGGACAGTGCCCTTTGTTTGCCTCGTCAGACCCAGCAGCATATCAGGATACAACATCAGATCTGGCTTTCAGCATTCTTGCCACGCCAAAACACTCCTCTGCGCCATCTCGACTGCTCGAGGCACACATGGTATGTTATCAGACAGATACACAGTCACCGCAGAGGACTACTTCGCTTTGAGTGTGTTGAAGCATCTCCATAAATATCGCTGACAAGGTCGACCTAGTCTCATACATTTGCAGAGGTCTAGTCATTCAGTCAATTCTGACGCAACCACAAGGATGCCTCTTCGAAAAGACGCGCCCCAGCTCCAAGTCCCAACTTTGCCTGTCTTCCCATTATCATCGCCAATCAGTGAGGAGATTTCAAGTCCGTCATGCTCTTCCGCAGACGATAAAGAGCTGGAACGAACTCGCCCATTTGACTTCATGGTCAAGGCCACAAAGCAACGAGCCGAGACGAAAGTGCGACAAGATGGCAACAGTCACCGCACTTCGCCAAAACTTTCGCACCGAGCTCGATCAGATTCGGGCTCCAAACGGCATAGTATCCGGGGAATTACAAAATCCAAGAAGCATGCAGCAGCGAAACCGGTGGGATTGAACTTGGTGACGGACTTTTCTTTGGCCGCGCCACCGCAGCCGAAGAAGTACAAGATGGTAGACGAGTGTGCACCCTTTGTGGATCTCAATGATCTCAAGGCACTCTCGGATCATCGTGCGAGACAACGGTTTGATCAGTCTACTGAGTCCGAAACGATGTCAAGGAGTAGGGACGGCTTTTTAGGGGCATTCTCGAACATGTCGAAGAAACCGGACTCCTATCGTCAAATTTCCGACGAAACTCAACGTTTGGAGAACGAGAGGACAAAGAACCGAAACCCCTTCTTGAACCCTGACAGCGAGGATGCTCTTGGGGATAGGATAGACAGTGGTCTCTCGCCTTCAGATAGACACGTCTTGATCGGGCTTTCAGTGCCTCGGAACGAGGCTTTTCAGTATACCAAGGACTTGGACAGTGCTGGGGCTCCGATGACTCCAACTATTATTGTAACACCTGCTAGAGAAGACGCCCCGTGGACATCGTCAAGCCCGGAATATCTCCGGCCTCGCGCAACATCCAGTATCTACTCTCAGCCCACACCTCGACTCTGGCAGAACGGTCCAGATGTCCCTCCAGTTCCGGCCATTCCAACGGAGCATACAAAGGAACTCACTCAAACGGGCACGTCGGCGCGAATTCTCAATGCCCACCTCGTTGCTATGACCCGTCCTCGCCGATCCATGTCTGTGGAGACCGTCATTGAAGACGACCTGTTTCATGGGGAGAGTTCTTTGATCTATTCAGATAGCGACGATGGCGCCTCTTTCAACCGGTTCAGAGTGAATACGCAAAGTTTGAGACCGGAATCACAGGGCTGGTGGACATATCTGCTTTCACCACTCCTGGGGAAAAAGTCGCCTTTAAGTCCGTCATTCCCTCGAAGCAAAGGACAAGGTCAAGGCCCAGAGTCAAAGGCACCAAGCCCCCAGGAAATCCGCCAAGCTTGTGAAAAAGAAATATCCTGCTTTTCACCGGAGACGCCAGAGTCAGCACTCCCAACGCAGTGGCAAGAGAGCGAAAATACTCCCCCTGAAAAAACTCGCTCTGTTGAAAACGACTCCAACACTGAGAAGGATGCGTACTCTCTCAGGAGACAGACGACTGCTTCAATGATGTTTGCTGGTCGCTCTATTCAAGGTGAAGCGGCAGAATACTACCAGGCCTGTGCGCATGAGTTGTTCAGCAAGACTCCGTATTTCGAATGCTTTAACCACGTCTGTTCTATTACGCCTGAGCATATCGTTGCCGCGAGATATGCAGCCCAGTTCGACGCCGATGAGGGAGAGACCCGTGATCGTGGACTGATTCTCGCCGAGGCCGGTATTCATGAGAAGGAGCAAGACAAATCGCAACTACTTGACGGCAATAGGGGCCTTTTGATCGACGTCGACTCTCCAACGATAGAGGAGAAAGATGGGAAAGGCAGTAACAAGTTAGGCTCACCGTCTTCTGCTGCCTCATCGGATTCGTGGGCTTCTAGTCTCAGTGATGACGACAGTGATGTGGTTGAAAGGGAAAAATCCGTGTCTTCCACGCCGCAGAACAAAGCACCAGAGGCGACTCGAGATCCCTTTGACGAGCGCAAGGCTGAGACACCTCCTCAGATCGCTGAGCCGGTTCCTGAATCGTCTCCAGCAGCGGCGACTGCTACGCTTGAGCCACCAAAGGCGACACCACCAGCACCTGCAGTCATGCCAGAGCCGCCGGTGCCGATACCCGCTCCAGCTCCTCAGTTTACCAATACAATATCACCCCCAGCCAATACCATTCACATCGAGCAGCAGCCTGCACCCACGGCTCCACCACCCATAATCATTGAAAGAAACAACCCTTACTATGGGGCCTTTTATCCGCCAGTATCTCAGCCAGCCCAGCCTGACCCTGTACCACAAGAGCAATCTCGGAGTGTCGAACACGATCTTCCAGCAGCATCCGCTGAACAAGATCGGCCGACGAAAGAGGAAGAGGCGAGAGGCACGCCAGGCATCTTGACAAAACCGCGGCCAGTAAATCCGGGAAAGCAAGAGATTGATCACGTTCCAATTCCCGCTGCATGTCTGAATGAACCGATATCACCCGCCTTTCAACGCGCAGCCGGCGGGCCGGGATCTATTCCTATGAGCTCAATGAACATGAACAATGATGTCTCTGCGCCAGCTCCCACGTACAGCCAGCATCCGCGAGATGATGCCCTGCCCCAATACATGCTTCATCCAGCACCCGGAGCGGCAATCATGAATCCTACCGGCGAAAGAGGACCAGCAGAAGTGCGACGACAGAGGCACGAGCGCGAAGACGCAATTGGGCGAAAGATTGGCGGTTTCTGGCGTGGGAGAGGCTGTTTCAGTAAGAAGGGCTGCTTTGGTCGGTCAGGCCGTGAAGGTCGAACGAGACGTCGGTGGTACTTTGCCATTTGCATATTCTTCCTTGCTATCGTCATAGTGGCCATTGTGTTGGCCACAACACTGACCCGAAAGGGCGACACGACACCGGTTCAATCGCAGTGGCTCAATCTCACTGGCTATCCACCCATGCCAACGGGTATTTCGACGGTTGCCGGGGCGGAGCCGCGAGTTGAGCAGCCGGGATGCATCAAGCCTTCGTCTCTGTGGAGTTGCGCATTACCCAAAGGCCAACAACGCGATAACAAGCCCTATGCTGCGGATGAGCCTAACTTTCGAATGGAGATACGCTTTCGAAATGGCACGTATCCCAATAGTACAACAATAGCTTCGTCCTCGGAGCGGGCCATTCGCCGCAGAGATGTCGACTCATGGACGTCGTCGCCTGCGCCGCCGAGTACCACCGACCAGATCTTTTTGGGCAATACGACTGACGGGGTATCGATCCCTTACGATGGCGAAATAACACCTTTCTACATTACTTTTCTATCTTCTGTTCAAGTCACGCCCAACAGCCTCTTCCGCCGCTCCTCCTCCTCCTCCTCCAACGACACATCCCTCTTCCCCAATCTAACCACCGCATTTCCTGCGCCAGCCGTCAACTCAGACGGCACCGCCGCCGCCGCAATCCTCTACCCTCTGCCCGAATCCCAGCCCATCCGTCTCTACAACCGCGGCCAAGACACAGAACACTACGGTTTCTACACGTACTTTGACAAATCCATCTTCCTCGCCTCTCGCGCCCCTCTCAACGGCAGCGCCGACGATCTCTCACCACTCGATCAAAACGGCGGTTCAACTGAATCCGACGCGGCCGTCCGCTGCACCTGGTCTCAGACCCGTTTCCTCGTACAAATATGGACCCGGTCATCAAAATTAGGATACACTCTTCTAAGCCCATCAAGTAATAGCACAGCCCCAACCACCACGTCAACCGCGACAACACCTTCATCTACATCACCACACTCATCGTCCTCCCCCTCCTCTTCAGCTACAAACTTCACCCGCCCCGGCTCATTCCCCTACCCACTCACCATAACAATCGACCGACATGGCGGCGCCCAAAGGCAAAAACTCGTTTACTGCTACAGCGTCGAAAGTGACCAGCACTACAATATCACGGATCGTAAGCTACAGATTGAAGACCGTGGGTTTGCGGGGACCTTGGTGAATCCGGCTTCTGGGATCTTTGATAACGTTCCTGGAGCTGGAGCTGGAGCTGGAGCTCAGGGGCTGGGTACGCATGGGTTTGGTGGGATTGATGGGGGGTCTGGAGGATGTGCGTGCCAATGGACGAATTGGATTGTGAGATCCTGAGTCAAATTGAGTGAGATAGAGAGACGGGGATATTTGTACGAGCTGTGAGGGGGGAAGTGGAGCGTTTGAGCATTTTGGTATCATGGGTGACTGAATAGATGAACTTGATGAATTTCCCTGGAGATGAAAACTTATAGATACGCCTTTATCACGGAATCCCACGGCGCAACAAAAGCGATTGATATCATTTAAAGATCTTTGGCATCTTTGTGAACAAATTTTCAGGACGCAACCCAGTCTTCCACAGAAGATCTGGTTTTTTTTTTTATATATATATCTCAGAAAGCCAACAGTGTTCATGAGCAGTTTTGACTATCTTCATCTTTGCGACTGACTCTTCGACGGATCGTGGGTCCTGTGCCGTCGAAAGAATTCCCATGCCTCAATCTATCTACACACCGGACATCGGGGCATTTTCACCTCCCCCAGCCACCTGCATCCTATATTGATATCTCAAGCCCATCTTGAACACGACTGAACACTTGAAGACCACTAACCAACTAATCCAACGCAGCAGACAAGATCTGCCCACGGATCTATCCAGGAGGTCAAAATGTTAACTATCCAGTTTCAACATGCCAGGTCCACTTCTCAGCCTCCAGCTGGCCTACGGCACGGGCCTCATCTTAGCTTTTGCCACGATCGGTCTCGGGCTACCTTACGGGGCATCTCGTTTGAAGTTCTATCACAAATGAAGCTGCGTAGCACACTGCATATGGTGTGTACGCATCGCGGCAATACATGCTCGACCTTGGCCCTGGATGTTTGGAACAGCCCAGGTTCAAGAATACCTTCCGTTCATAAGTCATGAGAAAAAGGTACCTCGTCAAATATAAGGAAAGCCCTGTCGATCACCTAGTACTTGATTACACTGTCCGAGTGACAAAGACCGGAATCCAAAGAGTACTGAACAGTACACATCGCAACCATCCATCTCCCGGTCCTAAATTGCCCTTAGGGCTATTGCTAGCCTAGAGGAGGTCAAATCCACTACGGCGGTACCCATTACCCATGCATACACTGAGGAGATGTGGCCGCCCCTACTCTGCTGTGTCAAGGATCGACTTCAAATCAGGGCAGCATCACCGTGCGAGGTTACATTTTTTGGCCTTCATGTTCGAACCGTCTGCCCTTCCCTTCTCGGCGTATGCCTGCTTAGGGTGAGGGTGTAGATATCTTATGACATGCTTGATGATGTATGGGTCGTGTGTGAACCACGGGATCGAAATTGATCGATGGTTCATTTGTTCTGGGCTTGTTGCGGCGGCCTAAAAATAGGGTTACATTCTAGGTTGACGGATTAAGGATACGGTTTCCAGTTTTGGAAGTTGCTTTTCTGAACAGGATGTACATGTACATTGTGTCAAGAGTTACCTGCCTAAGGGTATGACTTTTTGAAAAGAAGGCGAGGGCGCTGATTAGTGCTAGGGAGCGGAGGCTGATTGGAACATTAAAAGGAAAATTATATTACTTCATTATGTAGTAGAAAATCAGTCTATAACACCACAAACGCCTTGCCCTTAATCCACCTTCCTCTCGATACTCCCACGGCACACATCCAGTCTCAATCGATAATTGACGGCTGAATAGAAACCAGGTGGTTGAATCCTCGCACGAAAGAGGCAACCGTAGACTTGGACAAAGTGAGGTTGAATGGGCACAGTTTTCGCAACCGAGAACAGTGATAAGGAACGACTCCAAGAAAAGGAGTAAGCAACGTCAATCAACCCATTTTTGTTGCTTCTTTCTTCTTCCGGTTGATTCGTTTATGCGAGGAAGAGAATAGCACCGTAGGCGACGCTACCCAGACCAGTGCCAAGCATACCAAGCTGAGGGACGGAGATCTTGGCACCGGGGCTAGAGGGGGTGTAGCCAGTGGCGCTGGGAGACGCTGGGGTGTTTCCAGCGCCGGAGCCGGAGCCGGAGCCGGAGCCAGAGCCAGAGCCAGAGCCAGAGCCAGAGCCAGAGCTGGAGCCTGAGCCTGAGCCAGAACCAGAACCAGAACCAGAACCAGAGCCGCCAACACCGCCAACACCGCCCGAGCCGGAGCCGTTGGAGCCGGAGCCGGAGCCAGAGCCAGTGCCAGTGCCAGAGCCAGAGCCAGAGCCAGAGCCAGATCCATTGGAGCCAGTGCCAGTGCCAGCAGTGCCATTGCCGTTGCTACCACCACCGTTGGGGCCTGGGACAACAGTGCCGTTGTTGCCGCCCTGGCCATTGGGACCGGGGGCGGGGACGACGGTGCCGTTGCCATTGCCGTTAGGGCCGGGGGCAGGGACAACGGTGCCGTTGCCATTGCCGTTAGGGCCGGGGGCAGGAGCAGGAGCACCAGTGGGCCCGGGCTGAACGCCGCCCACGCCTGTGCCTTGCACGGCAGGAGCCTTCACGTTGTAGGCTGGAGGCTCTTGGTGAGCAGCCTGGACACCGGCGGCAATGGCCAAGAGGGCCAGGGTGGAGGTAGAAAAGTGCATTTTGATGATATGATATTGATGCAGGGTTGAAGCGATTGGCGGAGAAAGGAGGTATTGAGGTGCCTCTTCTTTAACGAATGTCGAAGCTATACCTGAAGGTCAGTGCTGCGTCAAGGAGAAAAGCTTAAAATTGGGGACAATCACTTACCTGGCTAGATGGGTGTGGGAACGACGGTGCTGTATTAAGGATGGAAGAGAATTGCAGGTGAAGCCGAGGCCTGAGACCTCATCTTATAGATCTGAGCGTGGCCAAATCCGGCGTCACCAAGTCGATGGGTTAATGTATGATGCCATCTCACAGGCACACACGAAATCTTCCCGCGCGTCTTGCTCTGTGATTGACTTCTGGTGCTTTCAATGCTTTGCTCGCCGGGGTCTCCGATACCACAGGACAAGGACGAGTTCGCACTGCCGCATCCGGAGAGGTGGATCCATCAATGTCACTCTGGGTCCCAACCCCCATTAGGCCCACCATATCGTGCTGATAGGGTCGACTTCGGGGCCGAGATCGTCTCGTAGTCATTGAATGCACCGCGGACTGGTGGGAACTACTGGCGATAAAAGTCTGAGGCTCATCGTCGCTCGAGATGGGACCATTTTCACGGTCACGTGAGCTGTCTCTTCCCAAATAGGCAACTGGCATAGCATCATCGAATGCGGACAGCGCTCCCAATACCGGCCAAGATCAAGGCAGTGAAGGCACTGTCGGACAGAAATAGAAGAGTAGGGATGTCTCTTATTGAAAAGAGCCTATGGATATTGGCCGTGTTTTGCTGGTGCTCATCCCAGGCTCAGCTAGTGCCCTCCGACTGAAATGATCGCAGACAGTAGACTTTCAAGTGGGTACTTCTGCGCGTTTCAGATATCGTCTTCATCATGGCTCTTCAGTTTGAAATCATGATAGATCGAAGTATTGAGGTGTCACTGTGCCGCAAAAGCCGGTCTCAACCTTCATCTCGGGCCCGAAGCAAACGTTCGTTCACAAGGAAGAAGCCTTGCCACCCTCCGGCGACTAGCGCTTCAAGAATCCCAACATTTGAGACGCCCGTTTTGTGGTTGAACGAGCTATGCCGGTTCTCTAAACATAGTCGCACTAGTCGTCAATCTCTGGGTTGAATCCAACTGCGATTGACACCACTGACATCCACTTTGAATAGGAATGCAGAATGGCCCTCAGGGCGATAACGTGTGTCCAGCAAAGACGCACGCCATCAGTATCATGCAAGATCCACAGTGGATAATATTGAACTCGGATTGACTGTGACTTTTGCGGAAATCGGTAGGCGCTATGTTTCGTATGGGAACGATGCGAGCGACTCAACCGTTTGAATTCTCCACATTCTCGATGGTTGCGGCTCTTCAAGCTCGGCCCCTCAGCGCGGTGTATTTTTAGCCCAGAGGTAAACAGCCTCGGATAGAGCACAAGAAGAGGCAGATCCCTCGGAGACCAAGCAGAGGTCCCTTGTTGCCATAGACCGACCCTATTCTTTGGCCCCCTAGTCGTGGCGTACAGGGTATAGCAAGTTCGTCGCTGTTGAAACCCTCAGATCGGATGTGACAGGTGAAGATGCCACGATGTCTTGGCGGCCCGCTGCTGACCCGCTCCGGATCTTCGCCCTTGAGTGTAGCTGGGCCCAGAAAGGGTTTCTTCTCCACGCCTACGCTATTGCCACCTCGACGTCCTTTACGCTTCAATGTCTTGACGCTGCGGCTGACGCGCTTGCCCAGCCATGCCAATACCGCGCAGTCCTTCTCTCCTGTCTCCGGCAAACTACGACAATGACGCGGCTTCTCTACGATCGCCCTCCGAGCAGGACTCTGACTCTGACGACGACGAGCTCCTTCGTCAACCCCGCAGTACTCTGGAGCTTTCTCAATACGATCGGAGCGTCCTTGAGGATGAAGACGAACTGGAGAAGCTCTTGACGAGAAGCGGTCCTGCTCAGGGCCTGCGCCGAATCTTCAGTCCCAGCGGGACCAGAGTCCGTATTGGCAAAAAGGAGCGGCGGCGAGCACGTCGGGAAGCGCGCTTGTCACGCCGCGAACGAGTCAGTGAGGAAGGAGAGCTCATGTACGAGATGGAAGAGGGCTTAGGGGATGACGAGACTTCCTCTCTCGTGAGCGGAGGGTCGTCGATTGACGATGCGGGTAAAGAAGGCTTTATCTACGAACCAGTGAGTCTTGCGGGGATTTGCACGTCCACTTTCCTCGAATTGTTGATCAAGTGATTTTGACTCTCCTGCCTAGCCTAAAAGGCCGTCCTGGCAGAAATTAGTTCTGGTGTCTGCGATCATCGCCGTTTTGTTCCTCATCCTCTTCCTCGGCGCGTATAAGGCTTCCAGTAGCTTCCGAGCCATCCGTCCACATGCTCAGCGTCTTCTGTCCAACGGAACAGCCTTGTTTGCTCCGACCACGATCATGATCTCGCTGGACGGATTCCGAGCCGATTTTCTCGACCGTGACCTGACTCCGGCCCTCCACTCACTGGTCGCAAAGGGTGTGTCGCCCCAGTACATGAATCCCAGCTTTCCCAGCGTCACATTCCCGAACCACTTCACACTCGTAACTGGACTGTATCCCGAGAGCCATGGCATCGTTGGCAACACTTTCTGGGATCCAGACATGGGCGAGGAATTCTTCTATACTCATCCTGCCGTGAGCATGCAGCCCAAGTGGTGGAACGCTGAGCCTTTGTGGGAGACAGCGGAGAAGCAAGGGGTCAAGACCGGCATCCACATGTGGCCGGGCTCAGAGGCTCATATCGGGGTAGTTGAGCCGAGCTACGTGGACAAATACAATGGATCGGAGGCTTTGCCGCGCAAGGTCAAGCGCATCCTCGAACTTCTTGACCTACCTGGGCCAGAGGATGAAACGCACCTGGCTTCGCAACGCCCCCAGTTCATTGCTGCATATGTACCAGATGTGGACCAGGATGGACACAGGTACGGTCCGAATAGTACCGAGATACGAGGAACAATCTCACGTGTCGACGGTTTTGTTGCAGGTATCATTGCTGGTCTGGAACATCGCAACTTGACCGACCTGGTCAACCTAGTTGTTGTTTCAGATCACGGTATGGCTAGCACCTCCACCAAGCGGCTTGTCCAGTTGGACGATGAAATAGACCTCCGACTAGTGGAACGCATTGATGGTTGGCCATCCCGTGGTTTGCGTCCTAAGCAACCAGAAAATTTGGAGATTCTGCAAGAGCAATTGGAGAGGCTGGGTCGAAAGTATGCAGATGCCGTCGAGATATACACTCGTGAGACCATGCCTGAACGGTATCACTTTTCCAATAATGATCGCATCGCTCCCTTGTGGGTGATCCCTCGTGCAGGTTGGGCCATTGTCGAGCGGCCCACCTTCGACGCGAAGAAGGCGCTTGAGACTGGAGAGTTGTATCATCCTAAAGGGATCCATGGGTATGATCATGAACATCCACTCATGCGGGCGATCTTCATTGCTCGAGGACCTGCTTTCCCGCACCAACCAAACAGTCGACTTGAAGTTTTCCGTAAGTCGATGTCCTCCATGTTACAATTGATGCCCTCGCTGCGCAGTAGACTAATATGGCTGTTCTTATCCAGAAAATATTGAGGTGTACAACATCATCTGTGATTCGCTCGGCGTGAGCCCGTTGCCAAATAATGGCACATTGCGTCTACCGCTTAAACCCGTGGGTTTGCACTCGGACTCATACACGCCGCCACACGCAATGCCGTCGGATCCTCCTGCATCCACGCAGCCGACAACAACAACAACGGTCACAACTGCTACGGCTGTTTTCCCGGAACCAACCTCGGCTGCTACAGATGTGCCAGCTTCAACTGATTCTGGTAATGTCGAAGATGAGATATCCTCATGGTGGGAAAAGGTAACAGACAAGCTTGGTGATCTCAAAGAATGGGCGGAGGAGTTGTTTTCTGCAGAAATAGACAATCATCCACAGCCATGAGCGTAGCGCCACTGCGATGACTATTGCCGACTATTGCATATCATTGTTCCTTGTTGATTTTGAAATGATTGAGAGATACCCTTTTCTGGACCTTTACTGCTCTTGTCTTTCCACACTTTTATTTCTACGTAGCGAAAGCAAAAATGCTGTAAATCCCAGATTTCGCCTGATTATGGGCCTAGAATTGTTCTCGTAGGAAATCTTTCCTCAACTTCCACGAGCACTTACTTCCTCGTTCACATTCCAGCTGCAATTAAGGAAGGTGGAACCGAAGAGTTGCCAATGCAACCTTTGCCAACTTTCAACACGCAGACAGAAGGTGTATGGCTGTTGATACAACAAGTCTTGATTATCCCATGGCAAGGCTAAGCCCTGGTGAGACTCCAGTCCACCAACATACCCTGTTGTTGGATGTTTCGCGCCGTTAGACAAGGTCGTATGGGGCTCGACGTAGGTCTGGCCTCTAGAGTGACTCCTACTTGGTCAATTTGCAGTTCCACTCAACAATTTTCATGGCTTTACAGTTCACTATACGTCACATCACTTGTGTTGCACTCGAAGGGATCGAAAATGAAGTTTAATACTGGCAGCTGCCCATCTTCGTGCTAGCGATCCGTCATTCCGATGTGAATGACGAGTCATGCAACCTGAGCTTTGCTTGCTTAGAGCGCCCGATCTTTGTACAACGTGCTTCACAGCGCTGCCAACAGTTCATTCATCACATCCAACAGATGGACTGCGCCTCTTAGCCGAGCGCTAGTTTGGGGCTTGACGTGTGCCACATGTCTGGACAGTGGAAACTCGGCAAACACGCAGCCCTCGCGTCAATTCCAGCTCACTTCCCTCCCTGATCTAAAGCTCAGCCTTGGGCCTTTCAAGTCGGCCTATGCACATACCCTGTACTTGTCATGGGTCTTAAGCAACAGATCAAGCGACAGTCGCTACCTTGCATTCTCCATGAGTCAGAACTATCAGGCAGCAGTGCGCGGCGTTTGCGCTGGCCAGCTGCGGGCACCCAACATGGCAAGCTGGAGTGTTGGTGCGGGGCCTCGTACAAGGCCGATGCGGCTGAAACTGCCAGGCCTCTCTCATTCAAAAGAAGGCAGGATGAGCATATTCTGATGGTGAATTGCTCAACTCTCACTCCTTCGTATTTCAAACCCGCGGATCGTGGAGGCCATGGCATCCAATCAGTCACACACCGCGTCTGCCAAAGTTGCATTTTCTACACCCGAAGCGGCGATTCTGGAAATCCTGCTACCGGGTTATACTTTTATTTCCGGCTTACTCCTGTCCTACCTACACATTGACTTAGCGGCTTATTTGCAGTACATTGTCCTGTTGGCGGTGGTGGTTGTCGCAAGCCAGTATCTATGGCGATATGTATCAAACTGGTTCGAGAAATACCTGGTCTCCACGGCTGAACTGCGTCTGGATGATGAGATCTTTAATTACCTCATGTACTGGTGGTCGCGACAGCCCCGTATAAAACGGACAACCCGTTTCTTGGCCGGTGTTCGATTCAACAGCTACTGGAGCGTGCATGAGGACTCTGACGACGAAGACAAGATGTCGGATGATGAGCAGGACTCAACCTGCACAGAGTCTTTCGATGAATACTGGAAACAAATCATCAACCGAGACAAGTACAAGCGGCTTCGCTTCACACCGTCCCAGGGTCGTCACTACTTTTGGTATCAAGGGCGATTGCTTATATTGGACCGCCGATACGAGCAGACGCAATCTCGCTGGCTGCTCAATAACGAGAAGCTGTACCTGTCATGTCTGGGTCGTGATCCATCAGTCATCCATCAGCTTCTCGCGGAAGCTCAAAGAACGTACGTCGAGCGCGATGGCAGTCGAACGATCATCTATCGTGGTCAGCGATGTCCTTCGTCTTCAACGTTTGACTGGAATCGCTGCATGTCTCGACTACCGCGCCCGCTGGACACGGTCATTCTGGACGAGACTCAGAAGCGGGCTTTTCTGAACGATATCGAAGAGTACCTCAAGAGAGGCACAGCTGCGTGGTATGCAGAGCACGGCATTCCATACCGTCGTGGATACCTTCTCTCCGGCCCCCCGGGAACTGGAAAGTCCAGTCTCTGCTTCGCCGTTGCAGGCAGACTCGGTCTCAAGATTTACCTTCTCAGCTTGAGCTCGCGAACCTTGGACGAAGACAACCTGTGGTCACTTTTCTCTGCCCTGCCCCGAAGATGCATTCTTCTCGTCGAGGACGTGGATGCCTCGGACATCACACATAGTCGTGGACGATCTATGACCAAGTCCCTCGATCATACAGGCACTGACGACCCTGACGACGCACGTACGCCCCCGACGCAAACACATAATAACATGCCGCCTACCGGAGCACCCGCTGGACATCATGGTGGAGGTAAGCCGACGGACAAGACCGCGAGTGAAGGAATCACATTGTCCAGCTTACTCAACGTCCTCGACGGCGTGGCTGCGAGTGAGGGCCGTATCCTCGTGATGACAACCAACCATCCGGAGAAACTCGATGAAGCTCTTCTACGCGCCGGCCGCATCGATATGCACATACAATTCAGACTAGCCATGTCCGAAGACATCCAGCAACTCTACAAGTCAATATACTCGATCTCAAAGAGTGATCGACCCCACAAGGTGACCCGACGTCAAAACGGACGCATCAATCCCACACAGTCCCAAACAGAGGCAAGAAACCTTTCACATAAATCAAACGCGAAATCGATGATCCCAGAATCTGAAGAGACTCAAGATCTCAACAGTCAGGCGCGTATTGAACGGCTCGAATCCCGCATCGCATCGCTCGCTGAGGATTTCGCGTCGTTGGTGCCTAGTGGAGTGTTTTCCCCTGCAGAAATCCAGGGCTATCTCTTGAAACACAAGGACCGCCCCGAGAGAGCGATTGAGCAAGTCAAGGACTGGGTGACCGAGGAAAGAAAGAAGAAGAATGCCCTATTGGCAGCCAAACTTGAAGCCCAAGGAATTGTGAAAAGTTGATGAGGGAAAGTCTACAATATGAGGTTGGACTTTGCTTCCAATTGACGCGGGGCCGATGTCGCAGTCCAGCGAGTAGGCATATGATGGGACCTGATGCGCATCGGTGTACCATAGGCGGTACTTGCTCGCACTAGTGAGGTAAAAGACTGGAATCTGAAGGAGGCCTCTACGGGAAGACTTGGACTTCAAGACGGAGACCATGTGCTCGTTTGGAAGGAATTCAAATTAGCCTTGATCATGCTCTCTAACTGCATCGGCAACTATCTTTGACGTATCAAACCAACAGTGCGTGCTTCATAGGTACATACCGCCATATGTCCACAAGAGGTAGTTTGTCAAAATTCAAGATTTATGTGATCTATGCAATAGATAAGATGATCTTGTCTTGAACGACTGCAGGTCCAGGATGGCCACGGCTGCCCTCGAAGCCCTTTTCATCGGTGACCCTTGTATGCCCGGATACCTCTGTACACAGTTCTCCTAGACCTCAACTTCCTTCTGACACACCTCGTTTTACCTTGTTCTCACTGCACATCACTTCTGACGAGTAGGCGAGGCCTTGCTAAAGCCATCCGGCACATATTGAATAATACAATCAGCAGGTCCTTACACGCCCCCATATTACCCTCACGCACGATGTACTCCGCCATCATATCGCAAGATGACGAAGATCATCCCTATCGACAGGTACGGAGACACCGACGAGGTCCTCAGAACACTCTCCGTCCTCGACAAGAAATACAAGGGTTGGACCACCGCGGCAGCCGCTGCCGACGAACAACCAGTTCAACGCTGCATTGACACTCACCACGACATCGTTCATAACATGCCTTCAAAAGACTCGCCAATGGACGATCTCACAGTATGTGCACTGCGCAGCATCATGCCCAAGACAGAGGTGCACAGCTGGAGACGTGACGTCGAGAAAAACAACGGCTGGATACGAGGTACGCGGGTACCGAAAGGGAAAGGGGTCGTCGTCGAAGCATTCGGCATACGTTGGATCGTGGTAGTCGGAGACAAAACGGTCCTCACCGGTGAATCACTTCAATTGAAATTCCCATAGATTTTGCACTGACGCGGAACAAGCGTCAAGACCATGTACACATGACACACACGTGATTCCTCAGATGTATGTCTCTCAGGAGACCTCTGAGGATTTCCTCTCAGGAGAATCCATCTCTTTTGCCTCACGTTATCCAACAATGGCAGCAACCCTGCTTCGATTTTTTCGCTGAAGGTCCATTGGATCTGAGGCCACTCTTCAGCGGTCAGCCCTGAAGACCTTGCGTTTGTCTCTGCGTTCAAATTTTTTATTTTTTATTTTTCGCGTTTCATTCATTCTACGCCTGACGAAAACCGCGTTCCACAGCGGCGGCCGGCGTGCAACGCATGCTCGGACCTGCCGCAACGGTTGAGATATTCATTGCTCAACCGGCGAGACATTCATTCACCAGCTAATTCAAAACGCGTTGTTTATCAAATCTTTAAAAGAGATATGTACACAAAAAGGCGAGGCGCCAAAAAGCCGGTTGATATATGGTTCAAAGGGGGTATCTCAACAGCAGATCATGAAAAAGAGAAATGAAATGGCTCATGTTGGTTTATAAAGGAGAACGCTGCGACGTTGAAATAAGCGAGAAAGGCGAGGAACAACATATGGGACGGAAATCCAAAGGCTGGGAGCTGCTCGATTTCGGGGACTTTCAAGTGCCAGCAGTCATACAGCACAAGACCGGAGGTACTGCAAAGGAGCAAAAAAGCAATTTATCTTCATCATCGTTCGTCTCCACTGACTGTTGCACTCCCGGCATTGCTGCTGAAGTAGCTCTCGTCGATCTTTAAGATCCACTCTACCTTTTGAGACTCTGTGCGAGTGGCAAACAAGTAGGTGTTCTGGGTGCCATATATGGCGAAGATGTTGGGCCGGCCTTTGGCAGAAAGTGAACGGTCATTGCCTACGCCGGATCTGTCAAGGAGACGGGCAAAGTCTGGATTGTGATCGACTCGCGAGTTGCGTAAATTGATCGCATTGATCTCGTCTCCTTCCGCGGAATAGATGTGCAAGTATGGCCGGCGCAATTCCACAAACCTTCTGACCCAAACGCTGTTGGTGTCATCTGGAGTGAGCACATACCCTGACTTAAGAGCTGAGGGATTCTTCGGCAGGGCCTGAATAGTAGCCACGAAGCGGGGCTTGAGCGACGCATTGTTTGATGTACAAGCACCGTTCCCTTTACGTTGGGCTGCGATTGCAGCGCCGTCGCTGGGAGGCTCCGTGTTGCTCCGGGCCAGGATAGCCTCGGTGGGATCTCGCTTGGTTGACCAAAGGTCAAGGTACTTGCGAAGCAACTTCATCTTGCGCTCGTTGAGATCTTGGCCGCGCAGCGGAGTTGATCGTCCACTTCGAGCGGGCGATGGAAGAACACCTCGGCCAAGGGAAGGGTGTAGGCTACCGGCGCTCAACGCCCCACGAGCAGCGTGCAGCTCGGCAAGTCTTTGTCGGCGTTTGCGTGCGGCGATGTAATCTCGTACCAAAGACACCTTACGAGGAGCCCAGGATGTCAAAAGCTCTTCGCCTTTAACGTAATCGTTCTGGGTATTCATGCGCCAGAGGTCGGCCGCGCGTTTTGCAGACACCGGTCGTATTACTAGCGAGTACATCTGAGTTGTGGAGTGCACCACCCGGGTTGAGCTCCATAGCTGCTTGAACATCGACTGTTGGCGGACGTAGTTACGTCCGAGAATCTGCAGGGTTTGATCCACCTCAAACACGACAGGCGTTTGAAGACGAGACGAGATAAGGTCCCAGCGGACCGTGACCTGAACCCGATATCTGTCGGCCGTTACACGGTCAAGAAGAAGGGAGCCGTGCAAGCTCGAGTCCCATTGTCCGAGGATGGTGACATTCGATGTGCCGTCCGCATTATCCTTGACAACCGGTTCTTGAAGAAACTTGAGGGGAACATCAGGCGTCTGGAAGTCCTGGTCGGGAATTTTGCCCCATGGATCAAGGAGTCGGACGGAGCCAACGCGCGCATTTTTGATGTCATCCCATGGGAGGCTCTCAGTAGAACTGTATGTCAAGTTAATTGAGATACGGCGCTGCAAGCCTTGATGAAGCTGATACGTGCCAGCATCGAGAGGACTGTTCTGAACAACTTCGACCGGAAGGTACTCCCCACTTTCCGCCATCTCGAGGACTTGAACACGTGCAAATACATCGTGTCGCTCCTCTGAATAGAATTCCGACTCGGCGATCCGAGGAGCGGTTCGCTTCTTTGGCATAGTCTCAGCCGCATCCCGCATGTCGTCCCAGCTCAGCAGCTTATCAAGATGGACTGAGGTCACACGAGCGTATACACATACTTTGAGAGTGGCCGATCGTGGACTTGAGAATGGTAGGCTCATGCTGTGTACACTTTCGAAGCGAACGGGACTCTCCTCGAAACCATTTATCATCTGCGTGGCAGTTGCACCACCTTCCTCGGAGATTCCGGGAACGAAGAGCTGCGCGTGAACATCAGAACCTTCCCATTCGGCGAACCCAACCATGTCCCGCATCACTACATTGAATTTCAACGTCGACGAAGGGGCTTGTGCAGAGGAAGGCTCAAGAGACAACCGAATGATGCCGATCACGCTTTGAGTGTAGGGCGAAATGATTTCGATAGAAAAATCCTGCACACGAGTCTCAAAGACGGCCGTCAAAGGAATATCAGCGTCTCCGATGAGAGAGTACCGTGGTGAGCACGATTCAGAAAATGGGTTGTCGAGTTTGAAATGCTGAATATAGTCCGGCCGGTCAATGTATTGATGCAGTTGGCGCATGGACTGCAATCGACGCTGCAGCTTCTCGATTGACCAGAGATGAATCACATTCTGCTTGTAGTCAATGACCCGAATCGCCACGCAAGGCTTCTTGGTCTCTTCCAACACGGTATCCTCGTCTCCAGAGATTCCATTCAAAACGAGATCGTACGAAGACGCCATGCTATGTCCGCTGTCGACGATAGCGAATTGAAAAACAACGTTCTTGTCCATAATTTGGCTCATAACCTGCGCTTCCTTCAACAGTGAGGCATGTTGGAGGATCTTCTCTGCCATTCGAACAAAATTTCGTTGCGACCAATGATTGAAAACTGAGCGAGCGATCTCCAACTCATGTTCGTCTAATTTCGGGAACCCATTCTCGAGAATCTGAGGGATTGGCTTTCCCATATCGCGCATTTGGATTTCAAAATTTTCTTTCTGCAGTCTGAGCTGTTCTTCAAACTCCTCCTTGGCTGACCGCAATGCACTCTCAATGCGTTCCTTTTCGGTTTGTGATTGATGCTCAGCAGTATCTGACCCTGGCGGAGTCTGATCAGGCTTCAACTTGTCTTGCAGCTGCATTTCCTTGAGTTCTCTCCGAAGCAGGGCGCTCGGTCCTTCGTCCTCTGCTTGACGCGGGGTTCCGGGCATGGTAATGCCTGTTTCAAGAGAGAAGTTATCGGTTGTCCCGTTCGATAAGTACTTCTCACGCACTGGAAAGGATATTGATGAATCAGAATCTTCATCATTCTCAGGCAGTCCACGACGTTCTGCTCGCGCTTTTTGCACATCCTCAAATAAGGCGTCGAGCTCATCATCCGGCAGGTGAGAGATCTGGTCAGGGCCGACCATTGCGCTCACGGCTTCGCGACGGGCGAGGAACCAATCTGACTCCCTTCCCCTTGAAGGCATCGGCGAGTCTGCACGGCTTGAATCACCATCGGCTTCGGACTCAACCTTGCTGGGCGTGCGGTCATGGGTCTTGTTCGGCGCAGGAGAGCCGAGTTGACTAGTTGTCACAGAGTGCCTCAACAAGCTTTGTTCGACTCGCTCGGCACGAGCCTCTTGCGGGTGATTGAACCGGAAAATATGGAAATCTCCCAAAATGATTCGAAATCCACTCTTGAGCCGTGTGGGCTTGTCGATACGTAGCCCGTTGACCATCACAGCAGCACCCTCCGTTGGAACAATTGTGACGATATTGTCAATATTCTCAAAGGTGCAATGCTTGTTGAGAATTTTGGACCCATTCAGTCGAATTTCAGCATTGTTGCCTTGGTCCAAGTGGCCCACGGTCGTCGTGCCTGGTTTGATGTTATAGACTAAGCATTCAGCCAGCAAAGGATCGTCGCTCAGATTGACCAAATGAGGCATTTTCTTGGGCGTACTCAGCCCAATGAAGCCCTTCTCGATGTTGATACCCAATTCTTCGAGCGCCTGCTCCCGCTCCTTGTGAATTTCCTCTGTCTTTTGAAGTTTCTCTTCCCAGGTTTGATTGAGATCTTTATATAGTTTTTCACTCTGATTGAGCTGCTCCACAATCTCTGCTTTGCTGACCTTGGTAACAGTACCATCACTTTGCTGGATTGAGACCATCTGCTTCTCCAAGGGCGTGTCCGGCGGATAATATTCTTCCTGTGGTGATGATCCAGGGGGCCCAGCTATACCTCCAGGCACCCCAGTACCCAGCTTGGAACGCAACTGTGCAAGCTCTTCCTTCAGTTCGCGGATCATGCGCGCGTTCGGATCTTCGTTCACAACCGCGTGGTTCTTAATCCTCTTCGCAGAATCTGCATAACGTAAGGTACTGAGCGTTTCGTCGAAGTTGATGTCCGCCGGTGAGATTGCTGCGATCATGGAGGTCATCGAATTACCGCCCAGCGAGTCCTTCAATAACCAGGTAAGGATTGAGTCACGATATGGAACCATAGATGCCTTCTTCAGCTTGCCCGAGGACACATCAGCCAAAGCGGCGATGACACGACCCAGCGTTGAGAGAGATCTGTTGATCTCCGCGCCTTCCTTCAAACGCGCACCTGTGGCGCCTGTCGAGTTTGCTCTCTCAGAACCAGCCAGATCCACCAAGCTAATTTTCGAGACCTTTTCGGTATCCATGGAAGTCTCTGCATCGTGGCGTTTTTGGGTGAGCGTCAACGTAAAGACAGCATGCGATCGACTGGAGGTTTCGTTCATGTTGGTCGCTGCGACTGTTCGGGCTTTGTTTCCCTCGTCCATCAAGTGATCGATCTCGTCGAATGAGCGAACGACGAGCTTGGCGAGATCCTCCACATACGGACCTGTAGAAGGATGCTCTCGAACCTTGAGATTTCCCTTGTTAGAGGGGTTGAGCAGATCGCGGACACGCTCATTGTAGATTTCCAAGTAGGACACTTCCACGGTCACATTCAAGTTCTTGTCTTGTTGCATCTCTTTGATCCTCTCAAACATGGACTGACAGATACGAGGAATCACGCCATACTCCTGGCCATATCCCATCATCGAATATGACTTTCCGGAACCGGTCTGTCCGTAGGCGAAGATACAGTTGTTGTATCCGCTGAAAGCATTGTCGAGGAGCGGCGTACCCAAGTCATCGAATAGATTATCCTGGCCGGCATAGTTTGCATCATTCTTGTCGAAAGACCAGTACGATCGATCAAATGCGAACACTTTTGGCCCATCGCCACCACCTTTTCCTCCCCCCTTTCGCGACTTGTCTTCCGCGCCAGGCGGTGCGGTGAGCACCGTCTGGCTGCCTTTCATTTGTACGATACATTTTGCTCCTCGGTCAATTTCTGTGGATAGTAGTCAGAAATCAGCATTGGGTCAATCGCAAACCTCCGGATCTGTTGCGCAGCGACAGGGAACTGCCGGCTACGTAGCTTCCAACGTAAGTCTTGTCATCACTCACCTCTGCTATTGAACGGTCTCACACGGACCACCACCTTGATGTTTCCTCCTCCACCTGGAGCCATCTTATCTTTTCAATCCATGCACTACGGATCGCGCGATTCCTGGCCGTCCCTGGGAGAGAGGCCGAAGTGTGTTGAGCACCTTCTTCACAGTCGGGATCTTGCCGAGCGCCGGGCTCGCGCCAACTCCGTCGGGAGCGCAATCGAAGAATTGACGATCTTCGTTAAAGAGCTACCGGATTTGTCGATGTGCAAGCGACACTCTGCAGAATGGTTATTGAGAGCTTATGTCAACAAACACGTCATGCCCGTATTGAAATCCGGGTCAGTCCACTGTAGTGTGCGGCGAGCGGCAACTCTGGCGGATGGCGGTCAACATCAATCAAGAGACTCGAAATGAGGACCACAATTTGAGTGCAGGATGTATATCAGCAAAGACAAGAGGGGGACAAATGGCTTAGTCTCGACTGCGATCCCCGAGTCGTCGAAACTCGCTCATGCGGTCAAGCCACTTGCCCCCTCCAGACAGGGAGGCCGTGCGGGACCCCTTGCTGAGTCAGTCTTTCTGTGGTGGACGAGACCTGGGGCACGGTACTTCTTCCAAAGTCTACCTCGGCGCGCTCAAGAGTCAAGACATGACTGCTCCGCTGTGTATACTTGGCATGACCAGCTAAGTGCCTTAAACGAGGGTTCGTCATGGATCGAGAGTGCCAACAGGAATATCCCCGATTCTCTGCGGGTTGATTCTGGGGTACGTGGCCAGTTGAATATGATGGGTCTCAACTCTTTGCTACATCATAAAAACAATCACAGTCACTAGATAACAGACATTCACACTTCCCCTTCCCTATGTCTCAAACAACTTTGTGCAAGGCAAGTCTTGTCTGCAATTGTGAAGTAATTTCCATCATTAAGCATAAACGAAGACTCCGCCACAAGGAAAGGACCCTAGTATTGAGGATGGTCTCTCATTCCATATGTGGAAATGCCCTTGGGCTTGAGCCATGTTCGGGTATCAGTGTAGGCCGTGGGGCCCTGATTTGTTGATTATACACATGATGATCTCAAACATTCATATGCTGGGCTCTGTCTAGACCATTGAAGCATGCCCGTTAGCTCCTCCACTTCCGCTCAATCGGACTGTCTCCTGGCGGTTACCTACATCCTACTGCAGGTATGAACTAGAAAGCTGGGTCGAGGTTGTACATACTACATTGATGGAATAAGTTCACGACAATGTCTAGTCGGGCATGCTTATGGTCATTTCAGGCGGGGGTTATTGAAGCTAGCTACTTATACACGGGCGGACATCATGCTAAATTTGATACATGATTCAGTATACGCTATATCTAGATAGCTTCGCACAGCCCCGCGGTACCTAGTACGAGATACGAGAAATTCTCTTGGCCTACAACTTTCACATAGAACAGCTTGAACTTTAGCTTCCATCACCTAGCCTTGACCTGATTCGTTTCACCACATAGATGGACATACCAGCATATAATTATATATCCGAGTCAGTGAGATGGCTAGTACATGCCCTCATGTCGGTGGATGAATGCACGACTCTTCAAATGAATGCTCGTCTCCCTCAATACTCATAGGTATATAGCGGCCCCAGCGGGTACCTAGGTAAATACATTGACGGAACTGATGCACCACGTGACCACAGTAGCAAGCGCCCGCTCACTCTGTCAAGATCCAGGAACAGCAAGGAAGTTGGCATTCTCCTAAGGTTGGAGGCAGCCAACGGCCCAACATCTAGTCTATTTAGGGTCAATACGTATGTCAACCTTGTGTCCCAGCCTAAACATACCTACTTCTCCAATAATTGAAGCGCAGATGCTTGTTTCCGGCGCCAGACAGCAGTGAGCATCCCGAAGATCCATTGAGGATGGATGGAGCCTTAAAATATATGTGTCTTACTCTCCAATTCATCTCAGCTTAGCCCGCCTTGAGTGCAAGCATTGTCAGGGTAAGATAGCGTGCTACAAGTGCCACCATGCTTCGGTATACTCAACTACCGAGCTAGAATCCTAAAGATGACTACAGTCTATGTAGCTGTCAATGAGATGTGTTTGGATAGGAGCGGTGAACCGTTAAAGGCGGTGGCAGTGAGTAAAACACTATTCTCTCGGGAGCTTTGGGAATCACCTGAAGCGCGAAGCTCATATAGTCATAGGGTCATTCATTGAGATATCGACCCGACAATGCTGGGTTCTGTCTTCATGTCAGGAAAACTCATATAGGTCAGTAAGCTTGACACAATGCTCGAGTTCATTTTGTTCCGTGAGGATATAGCAGAGCTGAGGTTCTTGCGCAGCAGTACTATTAGCGCAGGCCCTAGTTTCTGGACTGATATCGCGACCGCCTTTTCCACCGCTGAGTTCGGCCTCGCCTTGTTTGAGCAATCAGCCGACCCCAGTTTGTGCGGCTCATTCTTCAAGCCTTCTTCTCTGGATCAGAGCCACCATCAGCATCACCACACGGGCACATTCTTACTTTCGATCATCTGTTCTTGAGCAGCCAGCTACCTCGATATTAACATTTGGGTGCGTCGATACATCTATACAACATACACTTATACAGTATGTCTAATACTGTAACAGTACCTGATTTCGACGGGTTTAGTGCTCGCTCAGGTCTGACATGGACCAGTCAGCATTCCCCTAAGCGAGCTGTGGTTCCATTCCAGGCGCTCCGCGTAATCGAGATGGGCCATTCAGGGCCCGGGTTGGGCACCGACGAGGCTCGTGTGGATCCACCGCCATGATGTAAACACGAGTCACCTTGACGCGGATGGGGACTGTGGACATCAATCGTGTCAACTACAGGGATAACTCTGTGACTCTGTATTGTTGGCTTGTCAGTCGTTCTGTACAGGTTCCCGGAGTACAGAACTGTATTGTGCCATCTCGATTCCCACGAGTAGCGTCACAGCGTGAATTTCGTGATGTCCGAGCAATGAGCCACAGCCTACATAGCTTGAGCTCTTAGGCAGGGAGAGGCAGAGTCTCGCTGTCTTTACCACGATACAGTATATCTAATACTGTAATCTGTTCATTTGAGCAGAGTCGCAGCTTGTGCTCTCAGACTCTGTAGGACCGTACGCCGCAATGGCCGCCAATTGTCCATGCGTTATGCAGTGATGCATTGGCCAAGAGTCATGATCCATCGACGACAGCTGGCATGGCAGGGCATGTGTCTGCCGGCAGTGCCGGGCAGTGGCAATACCGCACAATGCTTGAATGCATCCTTGAGGGTGTGACTTGGGCACGTTCATGTTGCGGATCACGATCATAGTCCTTACTTCCCAAGTCCGCGACTCCATGCTGCTACCGGCAGCAGACAGCTGAGGGCATGGCATGGAGATCGAGTCACCGACTGAATAATCCACAGCCGGTCGGAGGCCGTTCATTGATAAGCAACGGTATGAGAGATGCATCAGGTGACAATACAGATACTGTATTGTCCCGGTGGCATCCCGGGCTTAAGGCTCAGGGCGGAGCGGCTCGAGTCTCTTGTCTCTTCGACTCTAGTCTCTGCCGCTGGATGTGATGGATTCGGCATGATGATGACTGAGGAGGATCTCCACTTGAACCACCTCGCTGAGACGATTCCCGCGTAGCCGGACCAGCCAGCGCGTCCGTCGTCCAGCCAGTCCGAAATCTACAAAATGCCCCGTCCCGCCCGCCCCTTTTTCCCCTTCTCCTCTGCCTCTTCTCGTTGGTTGCCCGCTCCTCCCAGTCCAGTCGCCCTCCAACCACTGCAGCGCGCTGGCCACCCTTACTTCCCACTGGTTTGATCTGCTTTGCCTCTCCGTTTGACTGAGTCCGATTCGACTCCCTCGAGAGAAGAAGGTGTGGTGACTGGTGCAAAGCCCCCAATCAGTCGTGCAAGACGCCGGTACGCACTTCCCCGCGGTCGGCGCTGCCTCTCCACGAGTTGCAGTGCGAGCGGCCCGTCAATTGGTGTCCATCATTGACCTCGATTGGATCCTTCCAGATAGCTTAATCCTCGATTGAGCACCAGCAAATTGGCCGGACGAGCCAATCTGTGGTGGAGTTGGACTCGAGAGATCGCAGCAAGATCCAATAGTATATACTATATACTATATACTATACACCATCATATAGTATGTTATCCTACTGACGTGATCTGTGCCTCTCACCCTTCCAGGTAGGTCTCCGTTTCCTATGACCTCGCTAGCCTGCAGTCTGCACAGTGCACACGATGCATGATTCCTGCCACTCCAGCTTTTGCCTTTTGCAACCTTGATCGGTTGGATGCCTCGTACCACAACATCACGTTCTCTCCCCTTCATGAGTTTCACTTTTCACCCAGCATTCCCTCAATGAATCAATTGCTCCCTTCAGGTCCCAGATCCCGTTGCCTCTCCCGAGCTTGAGGCTCGGCGCATCAGGGCTTCATGCATCACAATCTGATCCCGTGACTTGCCCGTCCCCATTCCCTTCCCCTGCCCTAACCCGAGTCATGCTCCCTCAAAAGCCAAATGCATGTTCCGACAGGGCCTTGATCAAGTCGTACCCGGATGCACTGAGTCTTCCTTCCCTATACGATGCTGTATGGAAGTTATGCCCGGATCAAAGGTTGCCTGTCTGATCCTTTTCCTTCTCACTCCTTCCCTCACCTGCGCGGTCCATGGTCCATGACTCCATTACTCCATGGGTGTCCATGGCTCACGTGCACAGACCAAGCCTCGAGATCCGCGGACCCAGTGGCGCACTGAAGATGCAACACCGCCTTCTCGTTGGCACGTTTCTCTCAAGCCCCCCCCCCCCCCTCTTTTCCCCCCAACTCATCCACTGGTCAAATCATCATCACTGGACTGGAACGAAGCATTACAAAGTGCAACGGAGAATCGCCCACGACCTCGGCCGTGGCTGCTCGTCCATTGTTCTCTGCCCTATCTCGTCCACCTGATTCAGAGTCCCATAACCCACCCTACCATTAAAGGTATTCCTCAGGCTTGACTGATCCTCCCCGCCCCGACCATTCCACGTTGTGCGCGCGTTCCGTGAGTGGCCCGGTCGCGAAACACAACACGCGCCCATCCACTGCCCGTTCTGTTCGTACTCTGATCCTATTGACATTCACCCTTCCTCCCTCTCGGGTCGCATGCAACAGCCTCTGCTTGATTTCTGATTGGTACCGTCCACGTCCCCGTCCGCTCTGCAACGCTTGCTGCACTGACGTTCGTCGGGAATTGTTATTCTGCCCGTGTTGTTCGTCGATTCTACCGCCCCTCCCGACTCGTTGCTCGCTGCACGCGTCGGTCCCTGGCATCATTGACATCATTTTCCGCCGATGTGCGCTCCATCTAACATTGCTTCCCTACCACAGTCGCATCACTGCTTTGCTCCTCCGCTCCGATCAGCATTCGCTGATCCTCTATCGTGCTGTAGAAGCCGATCGCGCCAGGTAGGTCTGCGCCCTGCAACCTTTTTTTTTTTGATAAACCATGTCCCGTGCCAGCGCATCCGTTGCGACCCTGCTTAGGGGGTTCTTCGCCTCCGTCCAAGGGTGCGAAAGTCGGCCGACGCAAGCCGCTCTTGAAGCGTCGGAAGTTGATGCTGGCGTCATCGTCACGTCTCTTCTGATTCACCGAAGCCTGTCCTCGTTCGCGCTCTCTCACTCTCGGCGGACCGGGACGGACCATATTCAAGATACACCATACTAACCGTCCATCAGATCTGATTGGTCAACGGTTTTGACCAACTGCTGCCTCGAGCGCATCGAGCTTCCTGTACTTGAGGACTCGGAGGTCACAAAGAACGACCAGGTGAGTGCACAATCAGCTCTTTATCATCCATGCACCATTCACCAGTCGCTCCCATGCTGCGCCCCATGCTTCGTGGTTTTTAGTGGCCATCCACTTCCTTTGTGCCTGAACATGTTCATGTCCCGCCGGTTGGGTGCCATCATGGCATGTGCCAATCGATACGGACAGCGCATCAAGCACTCTGGTTGCGGGATGCCCCGCCCGCTGCATCATAGCCCAACCACGTTTCGATCTGAATGTTGACTGGTCTGCACAAAAGAAACGCGTTCTCCATTGAAGACGCTCTCCGACTATTGCAAGTCCTCTTCCGACGTCTTCGTGATTCTGTGGATAGTCGTTTTGTTGCTGCACCACTCGCAGTCTCTCAAGGTACTGTTCCCAGTCGTCTCCTCCTATCATACTTGGCGCTTCCGCTGCCGCTCCCCGCGCCTCGAGTCCAGTGACCGTCTTTGAATGCGCCTCTTGCTGATGTGATAAGCGGCCGCCACAGATTAGGAGTTCTCATCGGTCAGAAACCGATCCAGTCAACTCTTGCCGTTGTTAAGCGGTTGCTCCACTCGCCGTTCGCGTCTCAGTGATCTCGACATCTCCCGTCGACCAGACATCATTACCAGCCGGACGATCAGGCGCTTGAGAGATTCCGAGGGTCACAGCTCGTACCGTCGGCTGTTCCGCGATTCAGGATCAGCCGCATCCCGAGCTCGTCGCTGCGAGCCGATAACTCGTACCTGGAAACCCAGGCTTCATTGCACGCGGGTAATCGCAGACACGCACCGCCTCTGTGCGACCACATTCTCCTCTAATACTCCACCCACCGTCAATCAGCCCCGGTCAGAATGGAGTATCCTCCTCAATACCCCCAGGCGCATGGCCAACACCCCCATGCCCCTCCTCACATGCCTGGTCCCTATCAATCAGGACCGCCTCAACAGGGTGCACCTGTGGGTTCCATGGCCTCTCCTTCCAATGCCCAGCCACCCATGCAACCCCAGCACCCCTCCCATCAGACGTCCCCCATCGTCCCCACCCAGCAGCACTACCAGCAAGCGCCCGGGGGACCGGGAGCCGTCCACCAGCAGATGACCTTTCCCCAAGGTTATGGGGTTTCGGCTGCCATGGGTCAGCCTTATGGCATCTCGCCCGGACAAGCTGCCGCCATGGCCACGGCCGCCGCGTCGGGACAACTCTACCCGTTCCCCCAACATGATGCGATGGGTCAACAGATGGCGCCTGGCACCCGGGGTTCCCCACGCATGGGCGGCATGCCCATGAAGACCGACCGCAACCCTCGATCCCCCCCGCAGATGTCCGGTCCGATGCCCCCCATGGGCCAGCAGGTGCAGATGCAAAGTCAACAGATGCCGCCCGGTCGCCGCATGAGCCACATCGGCAGCCCCAATGTTGCCCCCGCCCAGCCGGTCATGAGCCATGTGGGGCGAGGCTCGATCGGTCAAGCCATGGCCGGTCCATCGCAAGCGGCCCTGCAGACCCAGGCATCGCCTGAAATGGTTCCCGGAGGCAACCAGGAAGAGTCGCCTCTGTACGTCAACGCCAAGCAGTTCCACCGTATCCTCAAGCGGCGCGTGGCCCGTCAGAAGCTTGAAGAACAGCTCCGTCTCACGTCCAAGGGCCGGAAACCATATCTGCACGAGTCGCGCCACAACCACGCGATGCGCCGTCCCCGTGGCCCCGGTGGTCGGTTCTTGACTGCGGACGAGGTGGCTGCCATGGAGAAGAAGGCTGCCGAGGGAGACGGCGAGGGCTCGGCGGATCTGGGCAAGGAGAACGGCGCTGCCGGTCAAAAGCGCAAGTCGAGTGAGGTCCACGACGACGGCGGCAGCGCAAAGAAGACCAAGTCGCATGTGACAGCTGAGGGAAGTGAACAAGAGTCAGCTGACCCATCTGATGAGGATGGTTGAATGCTGTCGGTCTCATTTGCCGCGGTGCCGTCCTGCTGATGGCCTCTGATCTGAGTGTCTGCCGAAGTTTGGACCAAGTTTCATTTCACTTGGGACCATTGCTCAGCATGTATTGCGTGATGTCAAGAAACTTTCTTATGTGACCCTCTGATGTGATTATTCTGTTTGATTCGTTTCTTTTGTTGCGACTAACGGCTTATGGATGGATGCTCTCTTCATTTTTCTCATGGAATCCCCCCTGTTCAGTTTATTTCTTTTTTCTTCCCCTTGTCGTCTTTATTGTGATAGCGCTCAATGTGTATGGGAGCTCCCCCCCCTTCTTCACTGTGACCACGTGGAACACCTCTTGTGCCTTCGACGTGTCTTTTAACTGTCCTCTTCTTCCTCTTTCACTAGGAGATGCGAGTAGCCCTTGCGATTGCTGTGACGATCCGGGAAGCAGTGCGATTGAAGTCCACCGTGTGGGCTGGTTCAAGCCATAGCTCAGACCGTCTCTCGCCTGACATCCAATTTCCCAAGAGCATCAGCCCCCATCCCCCACTTCCTGCCGGTTGAGAGGGTGACAGCCCAGGACAGAAATGCGTCGTGTGACCCTGAGGATATTTGGACCCTACTTTCTCCCTCGAAAACCCCTACACCGTTCAGATCTCTGCCATTGTGACCCACGGTCAATGGAATAGCTGGACGTGCACACTGTCGCTTACCCTTGGTTGCGGCTTCATTTGTTCATACTGTTGGAGAGCTCGTTGCCACTTTTTGTACATTGACTGACACCTCAGAGATTTTCTGGGGCTTGCCAGATTCTTTCCCCCCCTCTTCTAACTTCTTCTCAGCTGATTTGCTTTTTTGCGCGTTGGGCCTTGATGAATTTGGACTGGCAAAGGACTTTAGAGTGGTTTGTTTTTTTCTTCCTTCGCTGGAAATATGTCAGAGTGATTCCCACTATCGTCGTCTCTAGTTATCAGGCAAATTTTGATGTCCTTCATGTACCTGCTTTGACATGATCGAGAATCTTCGTCTTTTGACGTGGTAGTGGTGTGTCTGTCTTCTAGCCTTTGAAATTAGAACCACCATGGCCCCGCTATTGAAAGTCGGACCTCGTCCAAGGCTTTGAATATGCCTTCAATCAAGTTCCCATACTGTTCGAGTCCGCTCTGCTCGTGAAGCCCCAGCAAGAGTTCTGATGGCTCGGTATGCCTTCCGAATTTATTGACTACTAGTATCTCTGAGGCTCTCATAGACGAAAGTGAAAGTATGCGTTCAGCTCCACAGATTTGATTCCCATTCACCGAATGAGCAGGCGCCGCGCATAGGAATGACACCTGTGATCAGTCATTGATCAACATCAAGTCATAGTCTTGGGCCAGCCAAGAGTAAAAAAGAATCATTGATTTCAGCTGATCACTCATGAGCCCGCCGATCATCATCCGCGCTAGCGTTACGCAGACCACATCCACGGACAGTATGAGCTTACCGCCATCACCGCTATCCATGGATACAGTTTCGACTCCATATGAGTAGTAGTTTCCACGCGGAAACACAGATGTGACCTCGTCCATCCCATCGCTTCACATCATGTCCTATCTGCTCCTACCCGCCGCCGCCATCTCTCCGGGTGGCGTCCCACTCAAACCGCCTCCCAATCCATCGCATCAACCATGAAATCCCACCCTCCCTCCTTTACTTCCTCCACCTCCTCTCCAGGCCTCTTACACAATTCAACATGCGCTCTGGCCCTCATAAACCCCTCCTCCAACCCCGCAAAGATCGCACTCAGGATCCCCTCCAGATCATAACTCTCCAACGGCCGCACCGAGTCCCGATTCCCCACCGGATCCCGTGCCAATTGCTCCGTCGTCATATCGGCCGTCTTCCACCGATTACGTAGCTCCTTTGCTTGCCGTAATTGCTCAAATACATGGCCAGAGCCCAATACCGGGGTGAGCGGGCTCGTTTCAGACTCGAGCGCGGAGAGAACGTTTGCGTGGTAGCGGTGGAGTGTTGAGGCGCCGTTACGTGAGAGGGCTGAACCACTGTCTCCTCCCCCGTAGCTACCTGTTGTCGATGTGCCCCCGCCACCGGCATTGTACGAGCGCCCGCGCGCCGGGAGCCCTCCCGCCCCCGCTGAAGAAACGGTGATGTTGAACACGGCGAGAAGATGAACGATCGCGCGCTCCAGCAGAGCGTAGTATTCGAAGAAATCGATCTTGAACATGATTTCTGCTTCAGAGGATGGCTGGGTGTTCTCGGTGGCTATGCGGTAGGCTTCTGCCAGGAAGGGTAGTTTCCAACGTAATCGCGAGACGATCTTCATGAAGCGGGCTAGTTCTTCGGCGGGAGGGAGGAGGTTGTTGGTATTAGGTGGTGGTAATGAGGAGGATGTCGTGTGTGGTGCAGGGACACTATGTGTGCGCGGTGGATGTGAGGGAGCTTTTGACTGCCATTGTGATGGTGGGTTCGAGGAACGTGAGGTTTGCGGGGCTGAGACTGAGTGGTAGGAGGGTTTGTTGTAGGAGTAAGATGGGTGTTCATGTTGGTCGTAGGCGTCGTGGTTACCTGGGGCCCAGCGGGATTCGAGGAGAGAACCCTTCATCCTTCAGATGCAGAGGGTTGGTTTTCAGCTCCTGGTTTTGGGCCTCCCAGCAACGACAGCTGAAGAGCTCAACTTTATTTCCTATGACGGCAGCTGTGGGCTGGTCGATTGGAATTTGGGGCAGATGGAGCACGGGCCTCTCTGGAGCTCAATCTCGGAGATAAGGTTGGCGTTAAGTTGGAATGTGGATGGAGTGATCCGATCGATGTCCGATGAAGGAGTGTTTAACGCGCGAAAGGAACGTGGGTGCTTGTAAGGTGTGGATCTCGCGTCGAATGAGATAACTTACCACCTTCAATTTGAGTTGAGAGATCTTCGTTTTATTCAGGAGTCCTCCAAAGATGCCGTAGTGCTGGAGCATAAGTTTTAAATGTGGCTTTTGCTCCTTAAAAAAATAGAATTAGGACTCACGGACAGAAGTAGAGATGCAAGAAAACGAAGCGGTTGACTTTGGCCAAGTCTTAGCTTATGAGCCGAGCTTTGCATCTGAAGTGAGAAGAGAGTGAGTTGTAGTCTGACAATAATATTTAATGAGTACTAAACGTTTAGCGTTGCCGTCCAAGCGTGCATCAATGCTACTTTTTTAGGCAGGGTAGATGGAGGATAATCCGCACTACGCGCTGGCTTACCTTAACACATCCATGACATTTACTTAACCCGGTATTAGCTATGCCTACCCGCTAGAGCTGGATCTAAAAGAGCTATTAGATAGAGCATGTTGGGCTCAGTGAATAAGTCTATATATAGCATCCACGTACTGTACCAGTATGATTCACGGCATGGCTTAATAGATCCTTCGTAAACAGGGACATTGTCTAAAAGTTCAGTCGTATAACCTTGCTCTTCACGAATTTCTAGATTACCAATCACACGAGGACCTCATATAGACGAAAAGCTCTTGAATAAACCTATACATACATACGCATAATGCCACTCAAAGCTACTACTGTAGTACAAACTTATCTGTCATGGCATATACTTCCAAAAGTGGACAGCAACCAGTATAGCATTCATCTATTGTCAGGGGAACTAGATGGTATTTACTAAACATAGAGCCTGATAGAGCTTAAAATCACATGACCTCATTCGTGACTCATGATATACACATTTGTCAACTTGTGAAAACATACCTTCAGTGAGTTCATCATGTCAATTTACCCCCGTGCCTATTAGTTTGTCAGCCGTTGACCGTCAAGTCTGCCGAGCCAGACCCACAGTCTGGACACAGACAGCTTGGCACCCGCTTTGATCAGGTGACCAGCTAGTTCCAGACGCCGAACTCAGGAACCAGGCCATTCCCTAATCGAGTTAGTGCTTCTCCAGCTCTCTCCAACCTTCTGATCACCTCCAACCGCTCACACTTGACACTCTCCACCTCCCTGCGACGGAGCTGCTCTCGTTTTCCGTTGGCTTCAAACCCAATCGCAGTCTCATTCTGGGCTTCTCTAAGTAGGTGGCCTGCCTCTCATTCTTTTCTCAGAATTCTCTATTTCCACTTTCTTTGTCTTCTGCCGTGCTACAACGGCTCTTCAGCCTCTGTGACATTTACCCTTGTCTTCATTCTTTCGTCAGCTTAGCGCTTCTTCTTCTTCTTCTCCTCCACCTCCACCCCTGGGTTCACTGGACCCTCCCTTCATCCAGTCATGTGTTTGCCCCCCTGATACCTCCTCAACATCTACAATGGTAGAGACGTCGGTCATGGAATCCGTCTCGTACCAGTGGTGCGATCGCACTTGGCTTCAATGTCCTCTGCCGTCGGCTTGGGAGGCAACCATCAATGGACCTGTTCCCCAGCGTCTTGTCCTTGACCATGGCTCTTCCAGATACAATGTGATGCTTGGCGGTGGTCTTACTTCCTATACGGGAAGTCGCCGGTAATAATTATCCGGCGTCGGGGTGGTTTCATCTTCTTGTTTGCTGTCTCACTCTCCCTCCGCTTTCCGGACAATCGAACCTACATGGCGTGTTTCCTCCTCCGCGTTGATCTTCATCTTCCGGGCCTTGTTATTGACTTTCCCGATAGCTTCCGATTCCGTTTCAACGATCCTGACCGAAATCGCCGAAGACCTTGTCACGCCAATCTCATCCCGACCACACTGGAGCTCGTCGCTAGAAGTGGGCTTTGACAGGCCTTGTGCCCATATTACGCTTCCCACAACGCTAGTGGTACAATCAAAATGGATTCATACGACGCCTATGATGCCTCTCCGGGCAGAAGCCGCGAGGCGGACTCCTATGGACGGCCACCTGTTTACGACCGTCGTCGCTCTCCAGGTATGTCCAATCTCTCGTATGAGAACGCGCAAGATTGAAGCAATTTGAACAAACACGCATATGCTAAACTGTGATTGTAGTCTCGCAGGACCGACGAGGCCGTGGACGCGGCCGATCTCGTTCACCAATGATTGACCGTTACGAGCCTTCCGAGCGCCGTCCCCGCGAGGATTTCTACAACAACTCTCGTGAACATGCCGCGCGTGATCGGGAGGATAGGAGACGCGCTCCCTCTCCAAACATTATGCACATTGACCGATACATCCCCGGTCAAGACTCTGGAAAGCGACCCCTTCCAACCAATCCCCTTCCAGACCCTTTGAGTTTGGACTTCCAAGTCGGCTTCACCTGGTTCGCCGAATGGTGGCGCGCCGAGCAGGCAATCAAAGAGGAAAAAGAGCGTGCCAAGCATGGCGGCCGTCGTCCATCAGATCGCGTCAAAGGTGAGCGTGAAGCTCGCGACGATCGTGATAGAGAGAGAGCTCAGATTCAAGCCGCGTACGACTCCTACAAGGTCGACCTTCAGGTCAAGCTGGCCCGCGCATTTGTGCAACAGCATCGTGAGGAGGAATGGTTCAAGGAGCGCTATGTTGCGGAGGTCCGGGGTCCAATTCGCAGTCGGTTGCTCGGATTCCGTAAAGGCGCATATGACCAGTGGGAGAATGATCTCAACGGTGGTATTTTCGACGACTTCACTTTGGAGGGCATCTACAAGAGCGAAAGTGACGGTGCCGGGGGTGTGGTGGAGAAGGAGGAAGGTGAAGCTACCGCTGTGGGTGAAACCCTCGGAGTTCTGGATCTTCTCCCTGTCCGGGGAGGCGAACTTCGCGACGAGGCGCTATCCCAGCCTGCTCTGCTCATCAAGACTCTTGCTCCCAATGTGAGCCGCGACAAAATCGAGGACTTTTGCAGAGAGCACCTCGGGGAAAATGATGGGGGTTTCAAGTGGCTCAGCCTCAGCGATCCAAATCCTTCTAAGAAGTTCCATCGCATGGGTTGGATCATGCTGCACCCTGGTGGCGAGCGAACACAGATGGTTGAACGAGGTGATGGGCGGGAAGAAGAGATGGACCATGAACTTGGCATAGGTGAAACTGCCACTGTGAACGTCGCTGAGAAGGCGCTCGAGGCCGTCAATGACAAGACCATCCATGACCCAGTCCATGGTGATTTCACCTGCCATGTAGGCGTTCACATCCCCGCAAGCCAGCCCCGGAAGAAGGCGCTGTGGGATCTGTTTTCTGCCCCCGAACGTATTGACCGTGATCTAGAGCTAGCTCGACGATTGGTCGCAAATCTAGACTCTGAGATGGGCGAAGTGGACGGGTCGGGCAAAATCGAAGAGCGTGTTGAAGACCTTCGTGGCAAAGGCTGGCTCCAGCCTCCTGTCACCGGGCCTGTGAGGGTCAAGAAGCAAAAAAGCGAGTTTGATGAAGATGGAGCCGAAGATGGCGAGATGGAGGAGGGTGAGGAGCAAGATCGCGCCGAGGATGATGAAGTGGACGATGAGGAGCTATTGGCAAAGAAGAAGAAGCTAGATTTGATGGTGGAGTACCTGCGTCGTGTCCACAACTTTTGCTTCTTCTGCGTCTTTGAGTGTGACTCGGTCCACGAGTTGGGTCGCAAGTGCCCCGGTGGCCATCTGCGGCGACCGCGAACTGGCCTTTCCCAACAAGCCAAGGAGGTCGCTCGCGCCAGTGCATTTGGGCAACCGTTCCCTGTTAAGAAAAAGGAAACCAGTGAAGAAGGCGAAGAGCCGTCGTCACCCGCCCAGGACAGACGACCACAGCGAGTCCCCAAGTCAGAACAACAACTTCAGCGTGCCTTTAACTGGGTGAAGACCTTCGAGGATAAGCTGCTGCAAATTCTGGAGCCTGAAAATGCTGATCTACGTCGCCTCGGCGGCAAGCCAGTGGAGGAGGCACTCGAGGACGAACTTGCCAAGTACGTCAAGCAAGAGACTGATGATCGTTACCGATGCAAGGTCCCCGAGTGTACCAAGTTGTTCAAGGCGGAGAACTTCTGGCGGAAGCACGTTGAGAAACGTCACGGCGAGTGGTTCGAGAGCATCCAGCGTAATGTGAGTATTGAGCGACAGCTGATGGAAATGACACTATCCAAATCCAACAAGAACTAACATTTTTCGTGGCAGCTGGCTCTGGTCAATGCTTATGTCCTTGATCCCTCGCGCATCGCTCCATCTCGTTCCGATGCTAACAGCAACGGCCACTTCCCCCATGGCTCTGGTCACGGACACGGTGGAACTCCTCGCGGGTTCAGCCTCCACAACGTGGGCTTTGCCGGCAACGCTGCCGCCCTTGCTCCCGGATTCGGTGCCGGTGGGGTACCAGGGTTCATGGGCGGCTCTTGGGGTGGCCCTCATAGTACTGGGGAGGGAGGCCTGCATCAACCGGGAGTGATGCGACGAGGAGGTCACCGGCAACACTCTCATCGATCTGGGCCTTATGACCGCCGCCGTCCTCAAAATGGCAATGGCCGTCTCAGTCCTGTTCGCATGTCTGGCATGTACGGCCCTGGTGGTCGTGGCCCATCGAACTTCTCTGTGCCTCCGGGCCACCCGGCTGCGAATATGGTTCCTCCCCATCCTTTCCCAGATGCCATGAATGGCGGTAACGGAACCCAGGGCATTCCGCCCCGAGAGGCCACACAGGGCCGCAGCTTGAAGAGCTACGAGGATCTGGACGCCGTGGGTGGATCTGGCAGTGGAGAGCTTAATTACTAGATCTCGCTGATATATCTCTTCGTCTTTCCTTTCTTCACTCTCTCCAATTTCATCGTTTCTTCATCAGCCGCCCGGTCATTTTCGCAACTCATCTATCCTTGGACCACAACTATTCCGCTCAGATTCCTTCCTATTCCTGTCTTTATTTCGATTGGGGTTGTCTTTATTTTTTTTCCCCTCACTCTCTCTTTTCACAAACGTCTCTGGCGTTGGCGCACTGAGGATTGGATTTCAGTCAGGCTTGCGCATTAAACCTCCCTTTCTTTCGCCATCGCTTCTATTATCAGAGTTTGAAGAACCCTCTGATTTGCGAGACTCCATCTGTTTCCCCGTGGCAAGCTGTGAAGGATCGTTTGATATCTAAACTTTCATCTCCTTTCGACCCTTGTTCGTTTCTGTGTACACCTATTCTTATGTGGTCCATTACTTAGGCATACACAGCTACAATAGACGCGTTCTTTGCGAATGACTCCCGATGTAACTGTAAGACTACATGACAGGCTTTTCTACGTCCAGTAGTTTCGCTCATTGTTGTGTTGCAGCAAGATTGAAGACGACGAAGCTAATCACTCCCATAGAGCCAGCATACTTTATCATACGTCGCTCCGGGTTTTTTCCGTGTTCGGCGTGTGTTTTGCATTTGTGCTGACCCGTGTGTGAACTGTGGACATGTGTATCAGATTCATGAAACCCGCATTACATGATATTGGTCAGGTCACTGGAGTCTCGTTTGGATTCATAATGAGACATACTCGGGTACATAGGGGCCGAGGCTGTAGGACTACCTTAGCTTGGTGTCATCCCTTTTGAGCACAGAGTGTGTTTCTTCCCAAGAGCACTCAAGCTAAAGGGCAAAATGATTTGCATCAATGAGATATGCGATAATACCGCGAATAGACGTCTGGCCTGCGACAGAAACGTTGCCGATTTCCTTGATTGCAAAAACGATGGAGAAGGGGGGTGGGGGTGTTTCTTTCTTTCTTTCTTCCAAGCTGAACCGTCTCTCAATACGATTCGTGTCATGAAGTTATGTAACCGCTCGACTTCCAACCGAGCAATCAGTTGTGGGCGTTGAGCTTGTCAGGGCATTTGGATGATCACCTTCTCCGCTGGATCTACCCATTTCAAACCCATTCCTTTCACGCGCCGCTCACTGGCCAGATACAGCATCAAGTAGACGTGTCTAGCGATTTCTCCCCAGCCATATACTTTGATGACCAACTGCACAGGTGCCGGTACCGAGACCGACGGGTTATCCAGATTTGAGACTGGGTTGATCTGGATGGGATGTGTGTCGGTGTTCTTGTCCTTGTTCTTGTCCTTGTCTACATCTACATTTCCGTCCTTTGAGATTCTTCTTGGGGTTCGTCCCGAGGTGGACGGAGAGTAAGATGAGCGCTCTGCAAGACACCACACGCCCCATCCGGCACGAGCTTCCTCTACAAAGCCGCACAAGAAGGTCCAGAACCTGGAAAAGTCGGCTTCAGACCAGGTTTCAGAGCGAGAAGGAGAAGTCACGGAGCTGAACCTGTTGACCTTCCGTGTCTGCGGGGATGAAGAGCGTGACGCGATAGATGGTGAAGGGTGGGTTGAAGCGGGTCGGACGTGCATGTGCAGTATCCAATAACCACGCTCAAGGGGATCGAGATCGCGGGTCTGATGCAAGGGCTGATAAGTGCGGGATGGGTTGAGTCGTTCTGTGAGCATGGCGAGAGTTGGCGTGACATGAGTGGTGAAAAGGGAGTTGGAGATGGGTGGAGGTGGAGGGTGTATGGTGAGTGGGAGCGAGGAAAGGAGGTGCTGCTTTGGTTCGGTGCTTTTGATAGAGCTCGTGGAGGTGGATCCTCGTGTGACACCTTCGAAGTGATGGCGGTGGGGTTCATGTTCAGGGGACTTGAGGCTGGAGCCTGTTGAATTCGGGGGTATTGTGCAGGCGGAGATTCGGAATGATTCTTCTGGCGCCGGAGGAATGTTGGCCTTTTCTGGACGATGAGTGTCCGACGATGCACCTCTTTGTAAAGAAGGGATGTCAATACTCTCCTTTACGGTAGATATTCTCTCTTCTCGAGGGGCTGGATCTGAGGGGATGGCCATGTCGGCGATGATCTCTGATGCAGAGACTCCGTTGCTGATTGCATGGTTCTCGGCGGGCCGAGCCTGGGTTGCTTCGATCCGTCGCCGCTTGACTGATCTCGTCGGCGAGCGATCACCGCTGTAGCAGGGCGACAAGGTTCTTGGGGGCTGCATCGTATGGGGGTGTCCTGTCTGCTGGACCACTGCGGATGCCACCGCCTCAGGCTGTGAATCTGGAATCACGCCAACAGGACTCTCGATCGATTCCGGCACGTATTGGGTCTCGGAGCCGATGTGCGTCTCCTCATTGCCCCGTAGATCACGGGTCTGATTTCGCGAATGCGAGGCAGACCTTGCTGCGGTGGACAGCAGCGGATCGGGCCTGATTTGATTTTCTTCGTGCAGAGCCGGAGAGATCGGCGGACGATCCTCGCGCGGCGGCGTGGAATTTGCAATTCTTGCGGCTGCAGCCGTCATGGTCTGAGCACCGGCGTTGCCTGCGTCCACTATGCATACTGGTCGATGCTCGTTCGCAGGATGCGACAACTCTGGGCCTAGCGAGGCAGGTTCCTCGGGTAGGTGATGCACGGCGGGGGCTTCTTCCACAGCGAGCAGATCGTGGTCGATCTTCTTCACTAGTCTGCGCGAGAAGGGCTCGAACGCGCGAATCGCGGCCACCTGGGCTCTATATCGAGCGTCATCACGGACGGTACTGGGGGCGGAGACATGCACTAAGATTTCATCTCGTTGTCTGTCGTTCCCCCGCTCCATAGGGAGGAATCCGGTTGAAGGGTGTCCAAGACCACTTGGCTGTTCTTGTTTCTTCGAGGAGCGAGGTGGGAAGAAGTTGATCGGGCTTCTGACACTTAGTGCACCGGAAGCTCGAGGGATCTCGATGCGCTGTGTGGAATGTGGAATTGTTCCGCAGGAGTGGATCACAGAGAAGGAAGATGTGCATGCGGCGGGAGTGTAGAAGTGTACTACACTCGAGTGACTCTACAGTTCGAGTCCTGCGGATAACCGGATGGTGAGTCGTGACTACCAACTACAACCACGGTACAAGAACTACCACCGGGTCTAACACCAACAAGATATGACTTCCGTTATGATTGTCATTATTGGTATTGTTAGACTCTGCATTTTTGTGGCACTGGAAGCTACCGATCACGCCGGGTCATCCGAATCCAGTCTTAATGTCTCGTTTTTGTCACCTCTTTCGGTTTCTCGTTCCTTTTTCCAGTCTTTCTGACTCGAGGCTCCTGGTCGATGCAACCTGTGCTTTCGGGGCGCTATCACTGACTATTGAAAGAAAGATTTTGCCCCGTCCACTTGTCGGTCTTTTGAACAAGGAAGGCATTTGTCATATCTGGGAAGACCCCGGCCATCCGACCACCGGCAGCACTGGCCTACGCAGTTCGTATCGAGGCAGTGATTGCTTCAGGCCCCGAATGGGTGAATCTGGCGTGGCATGCGCGGTCGCTACCACGAGTTGCTGAGGTCAGAATTCCATGATGAAACGCTTTGACGGTCATGTTTGAAATGTTGCCCACGTCTGGTCAGGAGGACCAATGGAGGCGTCAGCCAGGTGGAAGGATATGAAACAAACAAACAATTCCCACGTCCGCACATGAGAGAGTCTATACAATGACATAGTCATTATTATAGTATGTATCCGAAGTGTATACTACGGATTGTAAAGAATGACACTGCTCCAGTCGTTGCCGCCACACCCGACCGTTGCAGAGTGGGTTTTGCCTGGAGTGGACCTCGCGGGCGAACAATACAGGATGTAGTCGAAAGTCTAGAAGGCAGACTCGAGAGAAGCTGAGGGTATGGAATGATGAGAAAGATGTTGTTGAAATCCACGCCTGTCTCAGACTCACACATCCGGGACTGTCCTTGGGTCGAGTTCCAACTACGATCACAGCGTCATCTTGAGACTCGATTTTAGGGACCCAACTACAATGAAGAAGATTGCAAGATTGTTCTCTACTCCATGACAGGCAATGGACTCTGTAGTCAGGAGTCTGCACGACCTCTCCTCGAAACTCGAATACATGTGTTAGATTTGATTTAGTCCACGACGTCGGATCGACTGTAACTGTAGAGGAGGCTGATTGCCATATCAAACACCCACACACACACACACACTCTCTCTCTCTCTCTATTTGTGATGGCTGGGTATGGGAGTCTCCGAAGACTCAGACTGACTCGTACTCTTGATCACTGCATCAGCAATCTGCTGTACAACTCGATAAAGACTGGGAGCATCTCACGAGACCCGCATCGCTTGCAGCCATGCAGGGCTGAGGAGGTGTGGATGTTCAAGTCCAAGACTCGAACAGGAAGATGTCCAGAGGTCAAAGTATCGGGTACATCGGCGTGACGACCGTCTGTGCTGGACAAAAGCGGGCATGTGGTGTCACGGGAGCCGTATCCTGAAGTACAGGTGACGGGCTTTCCCCCAGTGGGCGCAAAAGGGAAAAAGAAAAAGAGAGAGTCATGAGCACACACCGTCGTTCATCCGGGGTGGAAAGCTGCCCTCCACCACTACGGATGCATCTTCTTTATTCTTCTTCTGCCCCAGCTGGACCACTTCCATCCTCCTCCACACCACTCGACACCCTTTTCTTCTTCCCCTGCATCTCCGCTCGACCGTCACAAGAAGACCGTCGAGCCCCATCGGCCAAGTCTTGCTGGATCGGGTCCGTCGAGATCCATCACATCCACTCTGCCCGCTCGGACACTCTCTCATCCTCTTTAGCACAAACTCCCTGTCGGCCGCCGTTGGGAAACCTTGTGCTTGTGCTTGTGCTTGCTCCTGTTCCTGTTCCTGTTCCTGTGCTCGTTCGTTTTCTTCGTTATCTTCCTTCCTCAACTTTTGCCCTTTCTCTCTCTCTCTCTCTCTCCCTCTCTTCGCCAAAAGGTCCACTTACAGCACCTGCTTCGAACTCCGACTGTGTAGACACATCCGTCTGCAATGGCATCGGCCGGCATCTATTCACGAGATGCGCAGCAGCTTCCGAGTAAGTGTCGTCTGTTCTGGGTCTTCGTGGATCCGATCTGGAGCCCCAGGAAAGCTCCAATTTCTGCGACCGTGCTCGCGATGAGATCGGGGGCGGCCAGGCGGATCAGAGATCTGGTAGTGGGTTTCACACCCATCCTCCATCGACCATCACGCACTGTATCACTGTCCACAGTATATCCACAAGGCATTCATATCCCTCGCTGCTGAATCCCCCTTTCCGCGTCGCGATCGTCTCGGAGATTTTGGGGAAAAAAAAGAAAAAAACAACACAACACAAAACAAAAAACAAAATCAGAGACATGTCCATGTGTTTCTCACATTCCTCATTCATCATGGCTGCGACGGCCCACGCTAATCTCTCCCTGCCGGGGTCGCCCGCGTTAGCGGGCCATCCGGTGTTGACGGCTCTAGACTCGCAGCCCGAGACCCCCAACAGAGGTACCTTTGGCACGGAATTCTTCAAGATCTTCACCGGACCGAAAAAGGCCACGCGAGGTATGTGTACCTACAACGTCACCTCCAGACCGAGCACGTTGATTTTCAATGCCGACTCACGTCAAATCACGTAGATGGGGCTGCTCCTAAACGCCGCGGGCCTAAGCCCGATAGTAAGCCCGCCATGACGCGACGTCAGGAGCTTAACCGCCAAGCCCAGAGGTATCAAACCCAAAATTTTCTTCCGATGAATTTGGTCTAGACCACTGCGTCGATGATAAGAATCAACTCACTCATGCGGCGATAGAACACATCGCGAACGAAAGGAGCAGTACATGCGAGCATTAGAGACCGAAGTGTCGCGACTCCGCGAGGCATACACCAATGAAATTTCCGAGGCCAAAGTCTCCATTCAGCAACACCAGGAGATGCTCAAGAAATCAAGATGTGAGAATGAAATCTTGAAAGAAATTCTCTCCGCGCACGGCATCAACTTTGCGCCAGACTTGGAGCAAAAGATGGCGGAACGTGGCTCAATGGGGGCATTCCAGTCAAGTCCCGTCGCACCGAGCAGTACAGGATCCAATTCAGTCGCCTTCACCAACGCTACCAACAATCTCCAAAACATCACACCAGCTACATCTATCTCTCCAGGCCTCAGTCCGCAAGCCGTTCATAGCGTGGAACAGCCCGATCTATCGGCCTCGATGGGGTTTGTGCCGCAGCAAACAGTGTATCATGCCAGCCCTATGGAGAATATTGCAATGGACAGGTCTTCTGTCGGCCAGGGTGCAGAGCCCCCCGTGCCGGTGATGCGAGGGGTTTTCGAGAATGATCCCCAGCTGCAAATTGACTTTATCTTGACGTGCGTTTTGTCCAACTGTCACACATTGCTGATATTTTGTCCACGCCCGACAATATCCCCAACCGCTTTTGCTGACTATTCGCCACAGACTCGAGGGACCTTGCCGCGAACATACGGACTATCTCTGCCGCCGCTCAATCACCGAGGCCGACGACGAAGATATGCCCTTCTCCGGCCATGCCTTGATGGCCAGTTGTCCGCCACCCAGTTATATTGCCAACACAGCTCCAGATCAAACCTATCCTCACAAGACATACGACCTTCCCCTGGCGAATCTCAGTACACTGCTAAACCTGAGTCGCCAGCTTGTCACAGATGGACAGATCACACCAATCATGGCCCTACAGTGCCTCAAGAATCATGAACTCTATCACTCCCTCCGTCGCGAAGACATCAAGATCATCATTGACACATTGAACACCAAAGTCCGCTGCTATGGATTTGGGGCCGTTGTCGAAGACTTTGAGCTGATTGATTGCCTCAGCAGTGTGCTTGGTACGACGGTGGATCTCAGCGTGGTTCGTGTCCGCGATGACTCGATCTATGGGTGATGCACTGGTTTGACTTGACCTGCACGTACCCGTACCCGCAGAGAGGACTTGCGCTCGGGTGCAAAGTGTCACCTTCGCTGTGGTGTCCTTGGTCATGAAGTGCCCCTTGAATCAGAGCAACAAGTTAAAAGCCCATGACCCAGCAGACTCGAGTGCGGCATTGCCACCCCTTTTCTGTTAGACGATTTCCTAGTCTTTTGATTCATCTTTCCTTTTTTTTTTTTTTTTTTTGACTGTTCTTTTTCGGGGGCGTCCGCTGTGGCGTTCTGGTCATTCGGTACATTCTTCCCCTTATACATCCAAGTGCTCACGGACAATTACCATATTCCAGAGGATCTATTGCTCTCTCTCTTTCTCTCTCTGACTGTCTTCCTCATACATCATGCATGCTGTTGTTCAGCCCGAACAAGTCGCCTGTGTGCCAGTCGTATTCAGCGAATGAGGGCCCTTTTTTTTGTACATTTTCATCCATTTTCTGTCTTTCCGTCTGAATTGTCAATACTTTGATCATCTCCACTGCTGTTTTCAGGCTTGAGAAGTAGACGTCCGTCATGGTCATATCGATTCCCACTCGGCTATGTCACGGACGAGGTCTAAGGTGCTTTCCGATGTATTTTCCCTTGGCTTCATTCATATCCATACGATCGACTTCAGAGGTCTTGATGCCATCTTCCTTTCGAAACGTCATGGCTCTTTAAGAATGAATCTACTTATGACTTGTAGGATAAGACCTGATTCCGTACCCAACAGAGACTAGCGAGCATATTGAGTGCGATGCATTATTACCCTTCTTTGGAAGTACTAAAACATGACGAATCTCATCACAAGGCTCATGTCATTCCTGATTCAAAACTTTTGCAACGTTATGCACATCAAGTAAATACTAGGGTGGAAACAAAGGGAGAAGGAAAAAAGCGAGTCATTCCAACTTAAAAAAAAAGGGGAAGGGGGGAATGGAGTCATTCGTGCAGGCGCAATCCCAAAGTTTATATCTATTCATCATCCTCCTCATCCTCGTCGTTCTTCTCCTCGACCTCGGCCTCGTCGTCCTCCTCAAAGGCGGTAGGGGGAACGCTGTACAGACGGAGGACGTTGCGGTTGGGGTCCTTGATCAGGACGTACTTCTTGACGGCATCCTCGGGCTCATCGGCGTCCAGAGCGCGGATGCGGTCGACAACAGTGCGGACGATACCCCAACCGTTGCTGAGGTTCAAGTTCATCTGAGCAGCGAACTCCTTGGGCTTGTAGCCAGCAACGCCGAGAACAACGTGGCCAGCGGCAGAGCGGGGGTTGGCACGAGACACAAAACCGAGCTTCATGCCATCAGCCTTGGCCAGGATCGCCTGGGTGGTCCAGCGAGCGAGCTTGGAAGAGTTGTTCTTCATCTCGGTGGCCAGGACGGCACCACGCTGAGAGGCCAGCTTGCTGCGCCAGTCGAGGGCGTTGCCGGAGCCGGGGGCCTTGCTGTCGAACTCGTTCAGAGCCTTGACGACGAGCTGCTGGTCAGCACCGCCGGTGGGGTTCTTCATGATGGCGTCCACCTCGGTACGGACGATCATCTGGATGGGCTCCTCGCCGTCGCGCTCGAGGCCGAGATCGAAGCGGCGGTATTTGTAGCCCTTGGAGGCGAGAGGCTCGGTCTCCTCGGCCTCGTTGTAGAAGGGGTTGGGGTGAGTGAAGGTGATCTTGGAGTCGTCAGACTCAGTCACGGTCTGCAAAGCGAAGTTGTGGTTGATGAAAGTAGCCTCCATGGCCAGGGCGCTGGGGGTGTTGATCTGCTCCTGCTTGCCAGAGGTCTCAGAAACCTCAAGGGGGGCATCATAAGCGTTCTCATTGACGGTGACCAAGTCGATGGAGGCACCGGCGCGCTTGTCGAGGTAGATCTTGCCACCCTGGTGAACAATGATGATATCCCAGGAGTACACGCTGCGGGTGGCGCACATGAGCATGGACAGAATATCGGCAGTAGCGAAAACGGTAGCCTGGTTCTTCTCGGCGAGTTCGTGGATGACGGGATCCTGCGAGGTGGTGACGTTGTAGGCAGCACGGTCGAGGCTCTGGAGTCTGCGCTCGGAACCCTTGACAGGGACCTTGTCGTAAGAGCGGTCGTAGTAGTGCAGGAAACCGTAGGACTCAAGATCCTCACCCTCATTCACATCCATGCTCAACTTGGACAGACGGCTGAAGTCAACCTCCTCGATCATTTGCCAATCAGGGCGAATGTTGACCGAAGCCTCACGAGTGCGCTGAGGCTTGTCGTAGTCCTTCCAGCCGAAGCGACGGCCGCCACGGCCGCGGTTACCGCGCTGGTCATATCCCCGATCTTGACCACGGCCACCCCCGGCACGCTGGAAACCACCACGAGCACCACCACGTTGGAGCTGGCCACCGCGCTGGCCACCGCGGCCACGGAAAACAGTGCCACCGCCACGACCAAAGGTGCGCTTGGTGGAGGTACGGGTGTTGTCGACAACGGAAAAAGAGGACTCGTCCTCGGCGCCCTGGATCGTGAACAGGCTGCCGGTTCCGGCACCGTACACCTGTTGATCTATACGGAGACAGAGATTGTAAGTGACAACCTCACAAAGAAATGAAAACAAAAAACTCGTCGATTTAGCGAATCGACACATATATGAAAAATTTAAAAAGCCTCCTTGAACTTGTTCTATCCGACTTACCTCTGAAGTTTCGGTTGTACTGCTGACGACCCTGACCGGCACGGTCCTTGGACTCGGCGGTCCAGTCAGCCATACGGCCAAGCTTGTCACCCTTTGAGAAAGGAGCGTAAGGAACGCCTCCAAGCATGTTGTCACCTGAAGTAGCGGGTCCCCAGGTATCCTCGGCCGGCAGAGCGGCGACGAGGTCGGCAAGAGACATCGGAGCCATTATCACTGAAAGATATGCACCGAAAAGACGAGTGCAAGCGGTGGATAGTGGGTTTTGAAGCGTGGGGTGAAGATAATCGGCGGGAAGTTTTTGTGTCGCGAGAATGTGGCTGGTGCCGCCGAGCGGTGAGCACCGCCCGATCACGTGGCGCAGTGGTTCGATCAGTGTACCTGAGAAGACTTAGACTAGGTAAGGCGGTCCTAGTCCCTTTCATCGCCTTCTAGCATTGCCTTGGCACGGTGTAGTTCCATTCTTTCGATACTACTTCCTGGTCTATGAATCTACAGGTAAGTAATCTTCAGTGGATCGCCGTCTCTCGATGTGACGATCTTTCTTCATTCTATAGGTCTTTCGAGTGTTTCGCTACGCCGGTCCTGGTCCTACTGTTTGATGTGCATTTTTGCAGTCACATTACGCAGACTTGAATCTAGGTTTGGCAGATATGTGTTTGTAAGGTCAAAGGGAAAAGCCATGAGCAATCTTTGCAATTAAAGACATAGATTTCTTGCAAAAAATTTGGAAAGTGAGCGCTTCATGCTGATAAACTTCGTTTCGACGCCCTGTCAATGCCACCCGTGCACGGGTTTCATGGTTGTGAGCTCTTGGGTTCGCCGGCAACAACATACTGCTTTTCGGTACTGATTCTACTTAGGGTGTCGTCGCTGAGGTTCAAAGTGTCTTTGACAATTTGTCGGGGCGTGGAGGCAATCCACTGACCCAACGCCACATCTAGCTGATTTGTGAGTACTAACAGCTTCCAAGGAGTAGCATATCTTGTTGGGAGGAAATGGGAGACTTACCAGTGAACTTTGGAGCCTGGAGCACTTCAACAAAGACTAAGTCCTCGTCACCTGTGTTCTCAATATAGTGGCTATTCGACTTGGGGAAGTATGCTACGTCTCCGGCACGATAGTCAAATGTCGTCGCGTCACTGGGAGCAGTGAATAGGGTTCCACGGCCCTGCCCCTTGATGAAGAATGTCCACTCATCGCTAGACGGATGCCAGTGGATTTCGCGCATGCCACCAGGGTTGACGGTCACGATCGCGGCGGAGAAGTTGCTGGCAATTGGGAAAGTTAGAGGGTCGACGATCTTTACGGATCCTCCCGCAACCTCGTGAGCGGGTTGCTGAGAAAAGTGATATGAGTAGCTTCTTGATTGGGGAATGATCCCAGCCCCCGTTGTGACATTCTGGTCCTCGATTTGCTTTGGGGCGGGTGTACCGTTGAAGATGTAAAGTTCTTTGTCGGGGATATTGTCGAAAGCGGACACGGGCACTCCGAGATTCTTTGCCATGACCTCTCGCTGTGATTCACTCATTAGAAAACCTTTTAAATGCATTCTCCGCCTTGCTTGTGGCTCGAGCCTACCGGATTGTGCATGAAAACCTCCGATGCGAGGAAGGTGTTGTCTTCGTTGAAGGAACCCTGATCGAAGACCAGAAGGAACTCGACGCCGTCATCAAGGGCTTGGATAGAGTGAGGAACCCCACTTGTCAAGTTTTAGTACAGAGATATACCAGGTAGGCAAAGAATTTGGGTCAAATCTCACGGTGGGAAGTACCACACGTCACCAGCTTGGACATCGTCCACAAAGGTCTCTCCGTCTTCGTTGATGGCCTGAAGATCCTTGTCAACATGTCGCTTTCTTCTATTGCTGAACCCCGAAGATTCAGGCTGAGTTGAGATTGTACCTGGATGCGGCAGGATCCGTTCAGAACCAAAGACCACTCAGCAGCCACATGCCAGTGAAGCTCGCGGTATGCCGCTGGTTCTAATCGCATGTCCACACCCGCCATTTCTTTGGCATCTGGCAGCACATCCGTGTTTTGTTGACGAGCCCATCCAGACTTGTCGAGTCCGAGCCTACAAAACTACCTGTCAGCAAGGGTGGGATACACACCAAATCGACATGATCACCTGTTATGACTCAGTCCTAGACATGGTTTTAGCTCAGTCCTGCCATAGGGTTAGACGACAACAACTGACCCATCGGCCACTGCGCATTGATTGTGGCCCCATTGTCGGTGCCCGGAGGAGCGTATTTGTCGCTGTTGATCCTTTCATATGAATAGTCTCCTGGGGGACATGACATCAGCATCGTGATCATCCATGACCTTTCTATACTGATTGAAGCAAGATTTACGTGGGCCAGGGTCATCACCACCCTTACTGCCTCGAATAGGCTGAGGGTTCTCAACACTTTCGAAATCAAGGTATGACCCAGTCTTGCTATTCTCTTTTTGGCCGGGTAGAAGACTGTACTTGATATCAGGCTTAGCGCCGCTTGCAAATTTTTTCAGTTGGCGAGTACCCGACCAGCTCTGGCGAGCCTCTCAGGTTGGGATTGGCTGCGGCATTGCCGTTTGTTGAAGTGGGAGCACCGCCTACAGTAGGCAGGACAGTCAAGAGCAAGCTCACAGTAGCCGTGACGCCGGGGAACTTCATGTTAGGTGAAATGACCACGGAACTAGGTAGTATTGAGGAAGCGAGAAGTTCACTGATCAAGTCTCCTGAATGTGCCAGAGTTGAGAAATCTGTGACTTCCAAGGTCTCTGTTCAAGTCAATTTTCGAAGGACAGAAGCTCGTCTTTTATATAGATCTTGCTATCCCCTAAGAACAAGATGGGAAGATCCGCTTTTCCGTTCGTTTCGTCATACGTCAGGTTCACTCTCACTGCACACGAAAATAGCCCGTAGCACATTACACATAGCAATGGCTCTTGTAAGCGATCATGTGAGAATCAAAACGGCTCATTTTCATGGTCATTCGCGTAATTCCCTGCTTTCCATAGGTTTGTACGCTTTTCAAGCGGAGAGCAAGTGCAGCATCCCCTCATTTCTAGCGGGGGACAACAAACACTATCCCCTCGCCATGTTTGTTAGTTTGTTGTAGTAGTCTTGTAGCTGCTAATGAGATCAGACGGAAGACGTTGGAAGCAGCCTTTGCAGATCGAACCGTTTTTCACACCTTACACTGCGTAGGGTATCCACTTTCTCGCGTCGACGACTTGATACACCAAGGAATAGGATTGTCGGGGATGTGGTACTCGGTAACTGGGGGATTCGTCGAGAAATAGAGAATTGAACCCCGTTGCTGTAGAATCATACGTCTTGACTACCGTGTTGAAGTGGTAGGTCCAATCTCAGAAGCGTTGCGATTGCTGCTCTACCTCATGTCGTACTTCTTGCTCGAACTGTCTCGAACCTTCGCCATAGGAATTCTGATTGGGTTCTATCGTTGCTCGGAGATGTCATACGCGCAGAACAGCACGGTCCGGAGACCCTTTGGTCGAAGGCGTACTGATTGCTGCAGCCGAAAGATAGCACGAGTATTCATCACCACGCATCTGGCTGGTTCCAATTTAGTCCAGGAATGCGCAGGCGGATTTGCGCCTCCTCGGCGAGTAAACAAACCGGTTGTCGGCAGCCTCGGCACAATCGACTCCGCAACCACCCACCGACAAATGAATCAAGCAACCCTTAGCTTCCAACTTCAATGATCCTTCAGGTTGTTACCCACCCCTTCTTCAAGAAGACACGGGAAACTTGGGCCTATCCGACCCGTCAGCCCTACGTGCTTACTTTCTTGAGCTACTCTTTGTGTTCCTTACAAGGCTCAGATATGAATTCGCCCACACTTATTTTTATTGTTCAACGAGGACCTGCACAACGCAATATTGTTTGAATGTCCGTATGTGGAGGGGATGTCCGGGGGATTACCAAGCTTCCGCTCAAGCTCGCCCAAGCCCGCCAAGGCAAATCCACCTCTGCACGTCATCATCCTAATTCAATTGATGCACGACGCACAGTACCCTCGCATATGTATCCGTAAGAAGTTAGACTATGCCCAAAATTCATATGCATATGAAGACTACTGACAGGCTGCGCACTTGCGTTATCTTCCGGTCTTGTCTTTGAACTCACTAGCCTGTTCCAACTGCAGTTGCTGATCTGATTTTTTTAGGGCAGCGATCCCCGCCGACTTATCCGCTTGATAGTATCTTCCCCACGTATGAAAGAGATCGCTCAAATTTACCTGTCTTAAGCTCGTTCAGGTAAGATGAGCCATGTACGAATGGAAGTTTCGATGCAAATACGACGCGACCAGTCTTTTCATCGAGGGTCGGTCCATGTGGGAAGGAGACTTGCTGATCATACCCGGCATGAAGCATTTCATTTAGCCAACATCGCTCCGGCTTAGGCGATGATAGATTAGCGAGCAGAGTTGTGAAACGGGGATAGTTCAATCTTTGGAAGCTAGCAAGCGGCGCCGTGGCGATGATACCAAGTTACTTATGAGTATACGGGCGGCCTGATCGATTTCTATTCTTGGAGATCTGCGAGCTCCAGCCCGATCATTATCGCTGCATGACTCGACAGGTACGTACCGACTCGTTATTAATCGTTTGACAAACTCGACTTGGCTTAGTTTGGCAGATAAGGTGGACCAAAATCTTACACTTACGAAGCTCCCGATCTGGGCTGCGAAGAAAACGAACGAGTGAAAATGATCTCCTCGACATAAAAGTGAATTCCGGAAGCGCCGACCAGGACCAGGGAAAGTAGATTCTCATGATCGTCTTTCCCAACAATGTGAGATGAGGTTACCGAGAGGTAGAGAATCTAAACACCAGCCATTCATGATGCGTCGACGCAGAAGACGTAGGGAGGCATGCTTCGTCGGCTCGAGTAATCACTGTATGTACATCGCATCCGCATGAGGTAAAGCCTGTTATTATCAATCCCGGGCAATATCACTTCCAGACGATATCATGTCGTGCGCATGATCAGCGCCACATTAGTGAGTCGCTCGATGGGGACAGAGAACTTTGGCAAGATTATCAAAGACTAACCCATGGCCTTCTTCTTAACCTTTATTTGGATGTAGGTGGGGATGTGAACCTGATGTGTGTCTCATGGGGTGACTGAATGGATAGAAAGACAAGGCTTACTGGGTATCACCAGGATGATACCATTTTACTGAGAATAAGTTGTCTCATATGAATTTTGGAAGCTTCGCGGGGCAGTAAGTCTATTGAGCTGTGGAGGCCAGGTACCTACCCCCCTTGGACATCTTAAAGAGACTTGCGGGTGTAAACACTGCCCGATGGACCTGACTCGGTGTTTACTTTTGGGAGAGGGCTCCAATGGGCACGGCATCACCATGTTTGTGAGGGATGAGAGTGAGATTGACTAGCGAGGAGAGATTCTATCTAGGCTATGAACTGCGGTGAGACGGCAGTATCACATGCTATACGAACAATGAAAAGGTGAATGAATTCCTTGGTTCAACTTAACCCAAAAATCAACGAGCCTGGCACGTCACCTTTAAGTAGGCTTTCCATTGATGTTGATCTGCCTCCACGATAACCTACAAGACAAGAATTATCACGAGGCTGCTTCTCTCTCAAACATCCCCGACAGAGTCGATCTCGACGACACAGGGATCGAAGCGAAAGTACAACAAGCTAGGTCAAGCGACCGCCTGGATATGTCAACGAGAGGTGGTCTTCTCCTTTTTCTCTACGAGTACTACACTTACGATGTATGTACGCAAGAGCTATGACACGTGGGTTGTTCTAATACCTTGCTGGGTGAAAATTACTTTCGTGCTTGACGACAGATATTGTTGTCCATTTCATTCGATTTTGGCCGTCTAAGCCTTACTTGTAGACGAGAGGCAGCTATTAAGAAATACAAATACCAAGCATTTTAACTTTGTAGCTTAGATCCATCTTCCGGATTCTTGATTATTGTCGCCACGTCAGTTCTTATCGACCAGAATATACCCGAACATTCCATGAATGCTTCATGCGGCTGGGTAGGTGGTTGCTCTCTCGTATCCCGTGTGTCTGGGTTCTCGGCCATTTTTTTATGAAATGCGGCAGACGGTCTTAATGCTGCCTTGGTGGCTTCGACTCATTCTCTTTCAATTATCAAAGCTCATTGTACGCCAGGTCGTCACAGATGGGTGTAAGATATCGGTGGACTGGGATTCTGTACCTGTCGCAGATGACCCGGGCAGAGACAGAGCTTACTGCCCGGACGAGTCAAGCCGACAGCGCAGCCGGAAAATTGAGCAAGACAAAGACAGTCGATAGCATACTATGTGCAGGTCCTCTTAGCCTTGCATTCATTCTTCTTATTAGTATTGCTGTAGTCAGCACTCTAGTATTCTTCACATGTTCTAGGCTACTAGGTAGGTTGGTAGATAACCTAAGAGTCCAGACGGAGGTACCTGATTTAGTACCATGGTATGTGGTAGTGTGACGAATCCCCCGACTGTTACAGTGTTTACGTCAGACCCTACCCGAAGTGGCCGTACTTCTATACCCAATTGAAGTAACTTGATTGCGGCCCATGGTCCTCTTACTTGTTTACCTTCTCCAGTTCCGTGGCTCATCATCTATCATATCCCCGAGACGACTGCACGTCCGCTGATTGGAAGAAAAAGGCCTCAGTAAGTCAGGTACCTACACTTACCGTCACATCTCACCCATCTCGGTACTACTAAGAAGGTATCACATTAGGGCTCCCGCACTCGACAGAAAGGCTATCAGGAGATTTCTATCTTCCATCGAAGAAGCTAGCTGCAATTATTACGGTCGCTTCCTCTGTTGCAACTCGTCAACCTGGACTCTCATTCAGCGGAAATAGTCATTTGAGTTGAAAGACTCGCCCGCATGGATAAACTCACATTATGCCCATTGGCAACTCCCCTCTGCCTCAGCGACCACGCAACCCCCGTGCATACACACCCTCCCCCCTCGCCTATTTGGAGACAACGTCAACCAGTTAGACGAGACTCACTATCGTTGACCACCCTCTGTAGTGCGGGGTTGCCAAGGTCCAGGCCTGCAGACATCCGAGCACCAATTGGATCACGGACTTTGACCCCGAAGCATACACAAGTCACTCTTCATCACAAAAGCGTACTTGGAAGTACCAGAGGGGCTGCGACCATGAGTGAACACACCGCGCTTCGAGTGCCTTTACGCTACTACTCGATGCGAGGGAAACTTTCCACCAGCATCGAAATTGGCGTCGAATCATGATATCATCTTCTGGACTCCGCCTGAAGGAACCTTGTCAAGGTGGACTGACAGAGTGAAGTGTGTGCATGTGATAGGTCATCTTGAGGGGCTGACTTTGGGCTGATGCTGTGGGATGAGCGGTTACTGGGTACGGGGAATTGAGTCCGGGGAAGACTGGAGGTCGCTTGGTGTGGACAAAGAAGGCACACGGTTGGGGGGGCCAGTGTCTGTGAGTGTACTTTGAGGACTGGAAGTACATGAGTGACACAGTAGTACCTTTTCATGGTCTGTGTGCAAACTTCAGGGCGCGCTCTTCATGCAAGGCCATTTAGACGAGGGCTCAGAAGAGCCGGGCGCACAGCCAACTTGCCATGCGAAAGCTATCTTCACACTGTTCCATTTTCGTCTTTGAATTTGTGTGCTGCTGAGCTTCTGTAGAGGCCGCTTTGGATCTTGATATTCTTAAATTAATAACATGGGGGCTTTCAGACACAGCCTTATGGTAACTACTAGGTAATTGCCGTCCTAGTAGGAAGAGTTTGATGGGAAATTGTCACCGGATCATCTTTCCATAATCATGGGTTGGGTTGCTTAGTATGTAGTTTCCCGTCGATTTCACCGACATTACAGTGTCATAATGACCTCTCGACATGGACTTTAGTATCTCTGTAATTGAGAATAGTCACAAGTACCCTTCGACTTCTCTCTTGGTATTAGAGTGTCGCAGCCTGTTTCCCTCAAGTGTATCTGAGTTCGTTGAGCATGTTCTATCTTGTCATTCAGTCCCTACTGCTGCTACGAAGTTCCGTGAGTGGTATAGTTAAGTGTATTTGATTTATAGCATTGTAGCCCGTAAAGTTGGGGTAGAAAGTAGCCCCAAAAACGCCAAAAAAGGTCCCGTCAATCAATGACAATGGACAACGCAAAGCAAGAACGAAAAGAGAGAGACATCCTAAGGAAATAAAATGATACACAAACGAAAAGGTCCTGCCAAATGATTCCTCCTCCACGGCATTGCCATAATCCAGTACGGGTAGGTCCGAAGGCAAAGGGTGCGTGTCGAATCAGTAAGAAAAGAAGGTCATAGTGGGTAAGACGTGCGCGAACATATGCGGGCTTGTATGGGTGGAAGAAAGTCTGCCTGGAGATGAGTAGAAGAATGATGTTCTCATGGGGACCAGCCAGGCGAGGTACGGTCGGAAAAAGCTGTACGGGTTCAATATCGACCACGAGTTTACCTCACACGCTTGAGGTAGCGCATGGTGAGGTAGACTGCTGCCAGGCTGGTGTAGACACCACCCCCAGCAGTGACCCAGACTGGACGGTGGACGTTCAAAGAGGTGCGAAGAAGCTGGCCCTCCTTCTTGGGCTTGGCCTCTGTACACGGTGTTAGGGAAGAGGAAAATGGGAAGGTCGTTGAACCGGCGTGGGAAATCTCTAGGAGAGATGCTGGAGGTGGAACTTACCCTGCTGGAAAAGTCGCTGACGGAGGTTGTTCAGACCCTGACGAGAACGGGCAGGCAGCTGCTGGAGCTGTGCGATGAAGGGACCGACGGCGGCAGACATGGTTGGTAGATGTGGATGGGGGGATTGAGATCGTGTGATGAAATTTGGATGAAGGATGTTCTGCTGGTTGATAAAGTAGTCCTGAGGTGTGTCAAGAGAGGAGAGTTTCGACTTGAGTTGGAAGTAAAAGAAAGATGTCTTCTAAGGTCTATCGGGCTTTATATACGGGGAGAGCATCAGATGACATGCTAATGCGGGGTTTACGCCAGGGTGAAAAGTGACAAGGAGAGACATCCGAGACATCCTAGTTGTGGTGGCAAGATAAACTAAAGTTTCAGCCTGAAATCTTCGTGGCTGGCTCGCTCAGAGTACCGATCACTTCTGGCGATAGGCTGTTCTATTTCATTCAAGAAGCCTCCCGACTTGGAAAATCTCTTCTTCGCCATGCTGAGGTTATAGAGCTAACTGAAGCTATGTGAACTGAGTGCCGCTCTATCACCACAGACGATTGTTGCAGATACATCGACTAATGGGCGGGGAAGTAAGATTGACGGCTGTGAATGAGACGAGCGACCAGGATGGTCTCATCTGCAAGCCAAAGTACACTTCTCCTCTCGAATGATTGGCCCCTAGACCATGGCCTTGGACCCCAGATATGCAATCCTGCCTACTTTGGCTACCTGAAAGCTACCTGGAGTGACATTTACACAAGTATATGGCGCTTACTACGCAGCTGGTACCAGGTAGACAGTCATTCATCTCTTGGGGCAGATGAGTTGCTTGCGCCCCCCTGAAACCACACCCCCTAAGTCGGGGTAAACAGACACACTATCTCTCCCGAGATCTTCACGTGAGCCATGACAACGAATCCAATTCCTAACACTAAGCCTGACTCATCCCAGTCTTCATTCCAAATCTTCTTCAGCTCTTCCTTCCCTCAGTGTTCGTCCAGCTTGCCTCTAAGCGCAGGTCAACACATCGTGAGCAGAGTGGAGTCGGCCGTTCCGGGGCCCACTGTGGAAATCCGGGGTTGCGATCGTGTGTGGGGTCGCCGTGTGCTTAGTGTACCCACTAGCTGAACGACCCTTAGTTGAATCACCAAATCGTGAGAACGTGGTGTCAAAAACACGAGACAAGGCTAGAAAACAAAATTCTTGTTTGAACCAAGGGCTATAAATTTTCCCATACAAGCGCCCAAGATGCAATCTAGTCATAATTTGCCCTCAGGTTGTAGTATAGTTCCTCCACAATAGAATCAGCTGGCGCTGGTGTGAGTAAGGCGGTCAATCTGTGCTCCCTCCGGCACTGCAGAAATGTTGACCCGGCCGTGTCAACAAGGGTCGCGTGACCAGAGCCAAGGTGGTCGAGTGATGAGGCTGATCGGCGACCGCATCGAGCTTGACTTGCTCTTGGAATTTGATGAATTCAATTCACCCCTTCCTTATCTTCTGGCTCTTGAGGTCCTTCACTCCGATGCCGTGGGCGTAGGAGAGAGCGACAAACACCCCCAGTAACTGGGGACTATACTTTTCCCGAACTCACGCGCGAAGACTGCAGACATCTCCTATCCCACCAACGAAACATGATCTGAAAGATGTGGCTGGTACGGCTCAGAAAATCCATCACCCAGGGATTGCCACCATTGGGCATGTAATAGGCGTCATCCCATGAAGGTATGACTAGCCCAGGAGCCAGGACCATGCAATGTCTTGTTAGCTAAGTGGAGCATTCTATTTTGAGCCTCGCGTGTTCCAATGCCCGCATTCGTTGTCAAGTCTTCTAGGTTCCTGAGAAATTGGCAAGTCATTCGGCCCTGAGAGTACCGCAGGTTCTCGAATAGTTGAAGGTAGCGATCAACAAGCTTCGCATCAAAGAGGTCGATCAGCTGAATTGGCGCATCGCTCAGCAGACCGAAGAGACCAGTGGGCGCAATCTCGTTCCTTGTGGCATGGACCGTGATGATGCCTATGATCATGATGGGCTCATGCCATTTAGGAAAAGCAACTTCTGTTCGAATTTGGTTTCAGGCCACCTGGTGCCAGACCAAAGGCGACACTTGGGCAAGTGCATGGCTACCTTGCCCGCATGCTGGCTCATCTGCCGCAAGATATCCACCATGATGGAACCAGGTCTCTAGTAGTCCAGATCGGGGTCTGCGCCCACACTGTGCAGCACCACGGTATCCCGGTTCCGCACACAGATCGATGAATTTGGTCTGAATTACCCGCGACTCTTGAGGCTGGGCACCCACCAGAGGATTTTGAAAACCTCATATCGAACCTCTCGGCGTACTAAGCCTATCGTTGGAAGCCTGCGACTGCGCGGAGACGTCTGATCGATGTGACGATCACAGGGATCGAGTGTCGAAAATCGGGGATGAGTCAGTTCAACAGCACGCTTCGGAATGCACATCTCCCGGATCATCAGTCGCAAGTCCACGGGGAGTCGGCTGAACTGGGGAAAGCCAGGCTCGGGCACCGTGCCAGCACCTCGTGATCGATTGTCTCCATTGTTCATCATAAGACAAGTAGAGAGAGACATCGACTCGGCGGAGGAGACGGAAAACGATGATGTTGGAGTGAGATTGGCTTCGCGCGTAGACCTGGTCGATGCGTAGGAACTTGACTCACTCTGAGTGGCCGCGGATGTTTGGCGCCGGAAGACACGGTGGAAATCACGGTGGGAGTGAGGAACATCTGCGGTGGAGGCTACATTATCCAAGATCAGTCAAGTCGATCATGAGACAGAATGAAACCTCTCGGGATATCATACATGATCGTGCCAAAGTTCTCTTCAAGGGCAAAGTGGGTGCAGACGAGAGACTCATCGAGCGCGATTGACAATCACACCAGGGCGTTGGAAGAGGGAAATGGAAGTTGCGTGTGGAAGGTCAACATCCGAGTCGGAGTCCTTGTCCTGGGAAGCAAGCAAATCGGATCACTTACTACTCGACCTCGATGCGCAATGCAAGTATTATTTTTTGAGATCCTCTTGGAGCTAGAATGACGTTTATTTAAGCCTGAACGCGCTTGCCCATGCAGACCATTCTCAGCTCCGATGAACGTTTTTACACCCTTAATAAATAGCAAACAGCCCTCGCATCCTTGATGGAGTAGTTGACAACTCAGGCGTTCTGGAGAGCTTTCCATTTGGTTCTACTATTGGAAATTCAAAAGTCTAGAGCACCGTATGTCGAAGGAATGAGCTGTCTGGTCCTCGTGTGGATTCCCAGCGTCGTGACGGGATAAGATCTCGTCTATCGCAATTTCAATATTGGTAACACCTATTCTAAGCACTGTGGTTCATGTCTTGACGCAGCTACTTTTCCCAGATTAGGCTTTTCGAACGCTGTGGGTAATCGGGGCAATCCAAGTCTATATGTATTAACATTTGGAACGCTCCATGTCGCAGAATATCTACCGTCTAATCATTAATACAGTACTTGTCCCCATTCACCACACGGAAAGACAAAGACTTTTAGTCTAATTAACGCCACGAGGTCTTCGACAAGCGACACGTGCTCCGTGAGGCATGGTCTCCCAGATGACTTGGCGGACTTCTTTACCGACTTGGTCAACCGCGTCCATGGCCCACAGGACGTCGAGATGTTCATATTCCTCGATGATCTTGGAATGCACGACGTTCACTTGAGGCTCGAGGCCACGGTCGAATCGAGTCAATAACTTACGTCCGTCCACGAGGGCATCGGAGCCTCCGATCCACAGGGCAAAGGGCGGGGTCTGAGCGCCGTACCATGATTGTTTGTTGGGACTCTTGGGAGTGCGGTCGGTTTCTCCGTGGTTCATGGCGTCTTCTGGGCGAACAGATCTAGGTTCGTCGGTGAATCGGGGCATCTCGGTGTCTTCTGCATCTTGTTCCTCCGGTGCGAGGATGCACTTGTGCTTGGCGAATCCCTCGCCGCCAAGCCACCACCGCATGAGCTCAGCGCTGACATATACAGGAGCGAACTGAAACATGCGATCCCTGAGATCTCGTTCCCATCGGCAATCGGACCAGCCGAAGAGATGGGAAAAGACACAGTACGCCAGCACGCCGTAAATTTTGGGAGGGAAGACCCGATGCACGGCCATCATAAAGGGAATGAACGAATGGATTCCAAAGAAGAGGCGAAACGTCTCCGGTGACAGTTTACTCATAAATCGAAGGTAAGATCTTCGAACGAGAGGGCCGGCATATACAGCGGGTGCGAGGGCGCAAAACACCGATATGTATTTGCCCAGTTCGGGGCGATGTTCTTTTGCCAGAGCAACAAAAGTCTGGGTGGTACCCTGCGAGTGGCAGACCAGACCCAACTTCTCGAAGCCAGTCTCGTACAGCACGCGGGATGTCAGGGCCGCTAGGTCAAGAGTGCCCAGGTGGCGAATGTCCCAGGACCACATGCGGGGGTCCGACGGGGACAATGTGGCATGCTCGGGCGTCATTCCGCAGCGATTGTTTCCCAGCCACACGTCGTATCCAGACTTACAAAGGAAAAACGCGAGACTGTCATCGTCATTGGTGCAGTATGCGCCAGCACTTTGTAGTAATCCATGCATCAAAAGGACGGGATATCGAGGTTTGACGTTGGAGTTGGTATTGGCACAGCTTTTCGCGTTCGCGCCAGTAAAGACCTCGGGTCCACGCTCTCGACGTTGCTCCTCCGACAGTGGTGCATATTCCTTAGGGTTGTAGACATGCCAAAGTGTGATGATGTATCCGTCTTCGGTCTGGACACGAAAGGTCTCGACATCAAGTCCCACTCGTCTGGCATAATAGGCAACGTCGCACACCAGTCGATCCTTGCCCCCTTCCAGCGGTGGACATTCATCCTGGCCTTGCTCCGCGTCCAGCTGCTGGTTTTGAAGTCGCAAATGCCATTCCATGTGCGCGGCATCGCGTGCTAGTCGTCGCTTCTTCTCCTCGGCCTCGAAAATTCGGCCTGGCTCGGGCTTACCACGCAGTCTTAACCCAACATTTCCCAGTACCGTCCACACCGTTCGTGATAAGGCACCCACGAAGATTGCAGTCAGAAAGCTGAGTGAGAGTACAAATGCAATTAACCGAATCATCAGATACTTGATACTGCCGCTCATGCTTGGTGTTTCATAGGACGGGAGCGGTGGAAACAGGGGGTTCTTCTGCGAAAGAGCAGGAAGCTCCTGCTCGCACGACTCCGTGATCTTTTCAGGGGCATCACACAGGGTCTTTGTGATGCTTTCGCTCGACTCTCCTTGGACTGTCTCGGAAAGGCTTATATCAGGAAGCTCTGTGGACGGACTATGTGACGGCACATCGGGCAAATCGGAGAAAGTAGATAAGACCAGTCGAGGTTCATGCCCATCTTTTAGCGTTTCTTCAGACGTCGTGATCGTTGTTGGGGGTATTGAGACCTCCATGACCTTAGGTGTATGAGAATGCGACTGCTGTTGAGCAAGACAAGCTCATGTTTGCAGACTGAGAGCAAGCAGGACTTGAGGATTGACCCTCCCAGCCCATTCAAGGCACTGACGTTATTTCCGGGGGGACTGAGCGCCTTCCACTGCCTGAAGCGGGACCGCGGCGTCTGACGCGCATTCCGGTCACGTGCTGATTGCGTGCCAATGAAGGCGGTGGGTTTGGGCGATTGATCTGGGATCCCACTCCTTCGATTGGAGCATCTTGGACAATCACGAGTGCAAGATCTCCCGGATGATTGACATGTGTGATCCTAAAATCTGGTCTCTGTCTGCTACACGTGAGATCTCGATCTCTGTTTCGTATCATAGAAGCACGGCTTCTTTGTGCTGATGATATGGGCGCCAGAGAAGAGAAAGGGTCATGATCATATGTATGACGTTTCTCTGGACCCGCTCCAACAAGCCAAAATATACATTCTTCCGCAATGGAATGCCTCAATGCGGTGGCAAAGCTCTGGTTCGTGGGTACTCCAACCTACACTGCAGTAATGCACTGCTGCAGCACACATGAATTACGTGGACCTCCGGAAAACTTTACTCCATCAAGCGAGTACGAGGCCTAAGCCACTGAGATTACTGAAGCAACATGCACTTCAGAATGAAAAGACCCCAAAGGCCAACCCAGACATCCAGAGGAGGTTGACTCGATGGAGGATTGAACATCCAGTTCCATGCATGAACTCGGCATCCGGGTCCACGTCAAGTCCTCGTCATCTGGGGTGTACGTACACCTCGGGAATGCAATGATCAAACTCATCCCACCTAGTCGTCATCGCTGTCACTCCCTAGAGCCCAGTAGTAGTGGGTCAACAGGGACCTACGGCAGCCCAGGACGTGCACGCTACGGGCAGTAGCTTGCGGGAGCTGTACGTGAAACAAGTGCCTACGTTACAGAGTATATGAAGGCCGTTACATATCTTCCATGATTCAAGTCGGGATAGGTCGTGAATTGAGTGGATATGATAGAATCTCAATCCATTCACTTTAAAGATATATTTGGGCACGGGGCGGAAGCGAGTGGTGCCGCGCTATCAAGGCATCTAACGAATCAGTCAACTGCTCAAGAACCACGCGATGGTAATGCGATGGACATAACTATGCCAAGAGCGTTTTAATTGTGATCTCCGTTGATATCACAATTGTTTGAGCAGATAAGCCAGGAAAGCCTCACGATGGGGAGGCCTAGGCGCTGAGACATCGAAAGCCGAAAGTCGCCCGATTTAGAGCAGAAAGAGTGGGCACTGGGCACTGGCAGTACTACAGAAGTACAGATTACAGGGACGCGCCGAAGTCGTCATAAAGATTTTGAGTTTAATCATAAAGCTAAAATTTCTTCGAGAAACATCAATAGGACAGTTTGGCCGAGTGGTCTAAGGCGCTTGACTAGAAATCAAGTCTCTTCGGAGGCGGCGGTTCAAATCCGCCAGCTGTCGGGTTATTTTTCTGATTTTTTTGCCTGGTTGTCTGTTCGTCTTGTGCCATTCAGAACGGGCCAAACCCACTCCTCACTTGAAAAATTTCCCTTTGCTTCAGATCACCGTGGTTCCACTTCACTAAACGGACTAGCAGTGGGCCGGTTCAAGTTGAGATCCTCAAGAGTTGTTCCAATGCCGCAGGCGCAAGCGACCTTTGTACTCGGTAGCGTCACTTGTGTTGACAGTAGTCCAAGATAGGACAGCTTACCCTGAGGTCTTTTTCAGATCGCCGGGTACGATGAATGATTTTACTACCATCGAAGAAAGTTACGTGCAAATAGATTTCCACCTCAAATTACAGGTAAAGTGCGGTCGACAAGGGGGGGATGTTCTGATGTTGTGTTTCATCAATATCTATGACTGTAGCGAAAACCTCAAACGAACTTTTTGGGTAGGATTTGTATGTCATGATTTGTCCCCACAGACGATGACTATCCAGCAGCATTTCTGCTTTATGTGGCCCTGTTTTTCCATCAGGACATATTCCTTGCTTCACCCATTCCGGACCCGGAAACGGATCGGTTAAAAATCACGTGGCTCTCCGGCTTGCCGACTTGGCACGTAGATTTTGCATCATGACCAGGTTGGTCTCTGCCGGGGGGACGTGGAAGACACGAACAACACAATGCATGGCAGAGAGTCCTCCGATCCATTCCCTTAGTTCAAATCAATGCATCGCAACCAAATATAACCTCTCATACCAAGTTGTCAACACCTGAGGTCACCGGTGGATGTACATTGTTGCATTTAAATGTAACTACAGTACTTCTAGTCAGACAGTCAGACTGAGGGTAGAATCGGGTGATCGGCAAAATCCATTTTTCCTCCGTTGCGCGGTTTACCGTGGAATGCCTCGGAAAAGCGCGGTTCCCGTCAGGAACAGCAGGACATTAGAAATTAAGATTTTTACGCTCGGCACCAAGGCTTCTAGGGCTGTGGGAGATTGACGGCTAGGCGCAATTTCATTCGAAGAGGCCAAAGAGGTAAAAAAAAAATCTTAGCGGCCGTGGCGTGGATCGAGGCTTGTGCGAGGACGGCAGCCGATTGGTCTGACCACCAACAAACTATCAGAGCCGCAGACAGCGGCAGTCCAGAAGAAGCACTCCATTTGATGATAGCCACGAGTTTCACAAGCGAACGAGCACGGGGTAAAAGTGAGAAAAAGAACGGGGTCTCCTCATTTTCCAACGATAAGTGCAGATAACGGTGGTGATGATCAATACAATAGCATACAAGTTGCAGGATGTGACGATCATTTGTGACTAACAAGATCGATGAACACCCAATGACGAGTGTCGACGGTGGAGCTCAGGGCCATGTTATTAGTCACACAGACACCGACGAGCGTCCACGACGGCCCGATTAGGCCAAGTTCGGCTTCTTTTTGGAGATGATCACGGCGGCGGTGGGTGGAACCGCCGGGCACTCACCAAAAAAAAGGCTGTTTCGGGAAGGTGCCGTGCGGATGGAGTTTGCTACTCCAGGACTTCAGCACACCCGGCCACCGAGATTTCGGTGATCTTTCTGACCTTTTGGCCTCGTCTAACCTGCTCAGGCCGAGCACTCTTATCAATCCATCTATCACTGATCCGACTCTCTTTTGCCCGTGTGGAGTGGGAGATTTCGTGTCTGGTCTGTCGTCTTCATCTTCTTCCAACCATCTTCCTTCTCCTACTCTTCCTCCCATCAACCACCCACCACCACCACTTCCCCCCCCCCCCCCCCCCCCCCCCCCCCCCCCCCCCTCTCTCTCTCCTTCTCTCTCACCCTCCTCCGAGGCCACTCTCCTTCTGTATCCCCCCTCTCCCACCCGGTCGAACGAGTCTGGTCATCACCACCACCGTTGCCATGTCTCCGAGTAAGACCAAGTCCGACAAGATGACCCCATCGGACGATGGGGTCCTGGACATGAGTGACCGGGAGCAGCAGATCTATGAGGGAGGCATTCAGAAGTTCAACCGTCTCGGATGGAAACGCTTGACCGTGGTGCTCATCGTCGAAGCCGTTGCTCTGGGAACACTGTCCATCCCAGCGACCTTTGCCAAACTGGGAATGGTGGCAGGTGTCATTTGCTGTGTTGGCATCGGTTTGATCGCCGTCTATACTAGTTATGTGATCGGTCAAGTCAAGGTCAAATTCCCTCACATCTCGGACTATCCCGAGGCGGGACGCCAAATGTTTGGCCGCTGGGGTTATGAGATTCTCTACATGATGTTGGCTTTGGAGCTTCTGCTCTCGGCTGGTTCCCACTGTTTGACCGGAACGATTGCCTTTAAGAACATCACCGAGAGTAACATCTGCTCCGTGGTATTCGGTGTAGTCTCGGCGATTATTCTTTTCATCTTCGCTGTGCCCCCTAGCTTCTCTGAAATGGCCATCCTCGGATATATCGACTTTGTTTCTATCATCATCGCCGTCGGGATCACGATCATCGGCACTGGAGTCGAGGCCAGCAATTCTACCGGCTTGGCTGCTGTTAACTGGTCCGCCTGGCCTAAGGAGGGCCTGACATTTACCGAGGCCTTCATCGCCCTCTCCAACATCATTTTCGCCTACAGTTTTGCACTCTGCCAGTTCTCGTTCATGGACGAAATGCACACTCCTACCGACTTCCCCAAGTCTATCGTGTCCCTTGGCTTCGCTGAGATCTTCATCTACACGGTCACTGGCGCCCTCGTCTACGCCTTTGTTGGCCAGGACGTCCAGAGCCCTGCTCTGTTGTCCGCCGGTCACTTGCTCAGCCGCGTTGCCTTTGGTATTGCGCTGCCCGTCATTTTCATCAGTGGTTCGATCAACACTGTGGTACTGGGTCGCCTGATCCATGGACGAGTCTTCAAGAACTCCAACATTCGGTTCGTCAACACCAAGATGGGCTGGACCACCTGGTTGGCTCTGATCGTTGTTCTGTCAATCTTGCAATTCGTGGTGGCCGAGGTGATTCCCTTCTTCGATGACTTGCTCTCTGTGATCTCCTCGCTCTTCGTCTCCGGCTTCACCTTCTACTTCCCGGCCATCATGTGGTTCATGTTCATCCGGGAAGGCAGTATGTTCAGCAAGAAGAACCTGTTCTTCTCTATTCTCAATGCCGCGATTTTTGTCATTGGTATGGTTGTTCTGGGCGCGGGAACGTACGCCAGTATCAAGGACATTGTAAGTTGCTCATATCCCAGCTGGATTGACCCCCCTCTTTTTTTCGATTGCGCAATTTCTAACAATTTCTCTTTTACAGATTGACTCGTATGACAACGGTAGCGTCAAGGGCGTCTTCTCTTGCACTGCTGCCTAGGCGCTATATGAAAACCCCTCGCCTCACCCTCCCACTTCTCTTTCTTTTTCCTCTCCTGCAACAGCATTGGCGCATTGATTCGGTGTACAAAGACGATAGACATTGCTGGGTTTACCCTGTACCATAGATTTTGCTTGATTTTTCCTCCCCTGCCCCTGTCCCCTTTTGCTTTGAAGAGCATGACTGCATGACACGATGATTCGGAATTCCTTGGCTATGACCCTTGGCTTTGCCCCGAAAAATGAACACCACATTTTAAATATCCTTCTTTGCTCTACCCAATAGTATCAAGTATTCAATCTGGAAAACAAAAGTCAGCGGTACACAGAGAACTTCTGCATTAGCCTATGGGGTGGCCTCCGAACCGCACTGTCCTCCAATCTTTCGGGACATCGACATGACGACCATAAGGCATCAAGCTCTGAAACCGTCCGAGTTGCATCTGACTGTTTTGTATTTCGAGAAACAGGTTGGCGCGGGTAATGCACCTGATACTAGTACTCACTACTCATGACATCTTTAATTTTAAAGGGCACATGGATACCTAGTTCTAGTCCTACTGTCATAGACGAGTTTCCTACGAGGGCCTAGTACCTAGTACCTAGTACCTAGCAACTTAGTCTAATCGGACAAGCGAGTCCCACGAAAAACGTTTTATATCACGCATTGCCCGTCGATTGTGTTGATCGTGTAGTAAATGGGGATTTTGACGTCAATCTTTTGCTCTTGCTTTTTTTTTCTTTTGGTCGTTGTGTTTAATTTTGTTAATTCGGTCAAGGTTGGTGGGCTGGTTGCTGGTTTCAAAGTCTTTGATTTTCCGAACGCAGTCAAAGTAGCGGGAGTGGTTAGTAACCCACCCCTACCTTACCTCGACCGGGAAGGTTGACGGGAGGAATGTGGGGAGTGCAGGTGGACGGATCTTGAGATGGAATAGGATGGATGCGCCCAGGTATGTGCAGACCCTTACAGTCCGTCTTTTATGAAAGCGGCTTCTTGGTGAGAATTTGGACTACGAATTTACGATTGTTCAAGGAGTCGGTGCTCAGTCATCAAGTGTTTGTTCATGATTCAATCCAAGATGGACAATTCAATGGAAAGCAGGGCTTAATGGCATAACCAGATAATCAGCTCCCGAAACCCAAAGCAAAAAAAAAAAGACAGAAAGAAAGAAAAAAAAAGGTCCAAGCACAGATCCAAGTCCCGTCATATATACATGTCATGAAATAAATGAAAAGCAAAAACATCAACCTCAACAAAAAAACCAAGATTCAAACCCGCGATGCGTATGCAAAATGAGTATCAGAAACATCAAAAATACTCAAAAGATGTCAACAGAGTAGGTAAACAGGGAGGCGGTTCTTTCAAACATCCGCCTTGGCAGTAACACCCTCGTAGTGGGTAGCATGCTCGCCATCGCGCTTCTCATTGGCTGAAGTCTCCAGATCGGCCAGGTTGGCGGCATCCTTGCTGTCACCGGCGACATCACGGACGTCGGTGAAGTGGACGGAAGGCACCCAGCCGACCGACTGCCAGGCACGGGGCACCTTGGCGTAGAGCTCGTCGACCTGCTCGAGGGAGAGACCCTTGGTCTCGTAGATGCAGGTGTAGACGAAGACGGCGCAGATGCAGCAGAAGCCACCCCAGATGAAGAAGACCTTGGATTGCAGGTTGGCGTTGCCCGGTCCCTCGTTGACCATGTACGGGGTGGCGTAGGCAATGGCCCAGTTGAGGAGCCAGTTGGTGGCGGTGGTGATGGAGAGACACTTGGCGCGGGCCTTGAGCGGGAACAGCTCGCCGGTGACGACCCAGGCGACGGGACCCCAGGAGGAGGCGAAGAAGAAGATGTAGATGCAGACAAAGGCGATGAGGACCTTGTTGGAGACATCGGAAGAGGTGGCGGTGCCGACGATGGCGACAATCAGCTGGCAGACACACATGCCGACGGCACCGAACATGAGCAGAGGACGACGACCCCACTTCTCGACCATGTAGAGACCGGGGAAGGTGGAGATGACGTTGATGATGTTGGTGATAAGGGTGATGATGAAGGAGTTCTGGATCCCCGAGTTCTGGAAGAAAGTGGTCCCGTAGTAGAAGATGAAGTTGACACCGGCGAGCTGCTGGAGAGCCTGAATACCGCAACCAGTCGCCAGACGCTTACCGATGGAGCCACGCACGATCTCGAGGTAGCTGGCCTTGCCCAGGCTGAGCTCATACTCGTGGTTGGCCTGCACCTCGGCGAGTTCCTCAATGATGGAAGGGTCGTTGACGTCGAGACGACGGAGACGAGCAAGAGCCTTGGTGGCATCCTCATAGCGGTCCTTCTTGATAAGGAAGCGGGGGGTTTCGGGCAGGATGATCATACCGACGACCAAGATGATGGCCCAGGCAAATTGCACAGCAACGGGGATACGATAGCAGCCCGTGTCGGTGCGGTCCTTGGTGGCATTGTTGACAATGGCCGCGAGCAGCAGACCCAGAGTAATGGCCAGCTGGTAAGCACCGACAATGACACCACGGATCCATTTGGGAGCGGTCTCAGACTGATAGAGAGGAACTAGAAAACGGAGGGAGACAGATTAGTCGCTGGAGAAAGAGAAGCCTCAAACGACGGAGCATTCGCATTCCACGGGAGAAACTCACTGGTAGCAGAGAGAAGACCGACACCGAGACCAGCGAAGAAACGGCCGGCCACGAACAGGGGGATCGAAGTCGCAGCGACTTGCAGAATGACACCGAAGCAGAAGACAAAGGTGTTCATGATCATCGCCAGGCGACGACCGAACTTGTCGGCAATATAAGCAGCAAAGAGGGCACCGAAAAAGGTGCCGGCGGAGAGCAGGGAGACGATCATGGAGGATTGAGAGGCAGTGATGTCGGGAAGGTGGTCCTTAGGGTTGGTGTATCCCGTCGAGAACATCTCCCGCCACTTCTTCATGGCGAGAATACCACTGATGGTACCCGTGTCGTATCTATGAGACGAAGCAAGAATGTCAGTCATGTCCATGGCGGCTTGTCTATTGAGGTGATCCATTGACTCGGTAGAAGGACCGCTCACCCAAAAAGAACACCACCAAAGGCCACAAAAAGACCAATGAGGATGGCCGGGGTTGCTGAACCCACGGCATCAGCGGGCTTCTTCAACGCGAAGCCCATGATGAAGGATTTGAGGGTGAGAAGAGGCTGAACAAGGATGGATCGATGAGGATAATTCAAAGGAAGAAGATGGGGTGAAGGTATGAGAGGGCTGCACTGCAGTTATAGGCAGATCTCCAGGAGAAGAGGAGAAGAGGAGGACGATGAAGGTGATCGAGATGAATGAGAATGCAAAAGTTTCAACCACCTCGAGGGGGGATTCCACGAGGTTTTAATACTCCAGATTTTCTCACATTTGAGCAGAAGGACGAACGAAAAAAATAAAAATAAAAAAACAAGGGAAAACCACACCACCATCCCGAATAAACTCGAGAAAAAACGTGCGAAATGGATCGAATCGGGCCTGGTGCAAAGACAGCCGACCCCCGGGGGCCCCAAAGTTGGCCGAAACCAGCTCCGAAAGGACTCGAAGCGTCTCCGCAATGCCCGCAATCCCCCAGTTTCCATGACCAGCCCAATCTGAATTACTCACGGTAATTAATCGTGTAAGACAGAATACGGCGCTTGATCCAGCGTCCAGGCTCCATTTTCAGGGTCACCTGAGCGGCCGTGCAGCTATTGTTAGCCCTTTCCGTCGGGGGGGCGCGGTGAGAATGGTGGAGTCGGCCACTCTGCCTGGAGTTGGACGGGCTTGGGACCCTCTGCGATGCCGAGAATCGGCCAGTCTGGTGGCCGGCCACGCCGTCCCGACCGGTCCAGTGGAGTCGGATGTTGAGCAACCCCCAAAAGTGAGCACCGCAGAAGGAGGACGAAGCAGCGAGTGGAGGAGAAAGGAGAATCCACGTCCCAATCAGAGAGGGAGAAAGCCCCGGGGAAAGAACCTAACCTGCCTCGTGCGGCGGCGCCGTAGCCCTATTTAGCAAGACATTCCTCATGCAACGCCCACATTGTAGAAATCAGCGCCACAGGACGCGAGGGGCACGTTGCACGGCGGGAGGATGGGGAGGCGGGGGGAGAGAGAGAAAGAGAGAGAGAAAGAGAGAGAGAGAGAGAGAGAGGGAGGGAGAGGGAGAGGAACACATTGCGGTTCGTATTGCATTCGGCTCCGAGCTATACAAGAGACTTAGTTCCATTGATAGTAGACATGCAGATTTCATATGACTAGCGGGTGATATGACTCTGCTTTCCTTGACGGCGATCAAGATGTCTAGTCAAATGTTCACTCACACACTGAGCAAGGGATGACTATTACTATTTCTATGTCGTTTTGTAAGTCTGGGCGAAAGACACGGCAATCGTCCATCATGACGAGCGCACCTCCCTCGAGGAAGAGGTCTCAACCAGATCATCATTCGGTCATTCCGAGGAATCAAATACCATCACGACATGCACGTCAATCCGAGGGATTCGTCTTTGGAGGATCCAGTGAAGACATTGGTGTAAACGATTCGATCCCGTTCAATCTACGTTTGTTGCTGGAAACGGAGGGATTGCCCCAATGCGGGATGGACTCAACAGAGCCCTGCACCCCGCCAGGGATCGATTGGAGTACTGATTCCTTCCTTTCGAAGCGTCACGAGGCATCCGTCCGCTTTGGGAAGCGTTTCAACGGTCCTGTCATCCCTTGCTAGCAGCGATCTGCACACATGGTGGAACTTGTTGACTCGAGGTACACAAGCTGCCTGCTGAAGCTTGAGCTACAGACCGTCGTGTTGAGTTCTGCTCATCTCTGCCAGGCACCAAAGTCAATATCCACGGTCCATTCGACTAAACCGAGAAAGACCAAGAAAGACCAAGCCACAAACTTTACCGTCGGTGGCCTGGGTGGTCTCGGGAAGCCACCACTTACGTGATGCTTCGGTAACTGGAGCGGTCGGCCAGCCGGGCCAAGAGTTCTCTTCCACCACCGGAGAAGCCGACCGAAAGTCGGGTCATCTGTTCGGGTGTTGGCTTCGGTCGGTACAATCATAGCTGGGAACAGTGAACAGTGTGAACACTGAACAGAGTGTCTATTATCTTCACCAATATCAATCAGATCTTGACTGAGCCTCCCGAGTGTTGTTTCATTTCACTCCAGAGAAGAGAAAAACAAAACAAACCAAAAAAAAAAAAGAATGACTTCGAGTCCCTGACGCGGGAACCCGTCTTCTCCAGGTTATGAAACAGGATTGTTCCCCTCCGTATGTCTGGAGCAGAGATTTCCTCCACAGATCGCAGAGAGTCCACCTCCCATTTCCCCCATGTCCCCAGAAAATAGGGTTCTCGCAGAAATCCTGCTCAGTCTCCGAGTCGGGGGAGATTTCTCTCGCCTCACTGGTGAATCATCGGCGATTGCTTGGTCGCCCCAGAGGGCCCAAACTAACCCACCAAACCGTACTGTACTGATAGAAATGGAGATTGACATACCTGTTAATCTACTTCGACCCAGTACGATAGAGACCCGTCAAGTGAGATTCGACTCTGAGGCGTACGCCGTTCAGCGACACATCATTTCTTAGCGCGCCACCACCAAGTCCAATTTCCGACTGCACGTATGTCGGGAGTTTATCGGTCCGCGAAACTTGAAAGTACCGTCATCAGCCCCTCCCCAAAATCCTCGGCTTGCCGGTGATTTCCAATGCCTTCGCTAAGCAACACCCCAAAAAAGTCAAACCAACGCCCCTTCCGAAACTGCAAGTCTGGTCCGAGCGACGCCCCATCCGACACTAGTTTCGCCTGCCCTGTCGAACCAGAGGAAATCATCCGTGAAGATTATTTCCGATAGTTCGATTGTCCAGGGCTGAAAATCATGTCTGTAGCTTAGGTATGGCGTTTGGAACAAGGTTTGTGGCTGTGAGGTTCCCCTACGGCCTACACGGCGAGGGCAATGTGCGTGGACTGTGGACTGTGGACTGTGGAGTCGTGGGGACAATTGGAGAACTCAAACACTTGAACACAGTACTACTGCTACTACTGTCGGGGATTGTCAGATTGAGGTACGTTCCACGATTGCCAAAGACCGGACTAGAGAGTACGGGTAGAGACAGTCAAGTCGATGGATTCCTTTCCCCGGGACACGAGCATGATGCGGGGCCCCTGGTTTCTGGTTGTCTTTGGGATCTCGCTCACCGGAGGCCGCATTGAGCTCGAAGAAGGGGAAGTACTGTATGATACTGTAATATGGATTATGGAGATTGAAGGCAGTCTCTGCCCTGCAATTGGATTTTTGCAAATCCCGACTTATTAGCTCTAAAGTTCTATGAGAATCAGTCGACCCCATCATTGCGAACCAATGAAAATCAATTCATCTTGAACATCAAGTGTCGGAAGTGCAATTCATTGGAAAGTTCGAGGGAAGCTTTCGTTGTAACCTGAAAACTCTGCATTGCGCAGCTCTTCTGGTCCCCGTTCAATTTGTAGAGCGTAAGTGAGGGGACAAACTTGAGATCAAATGTCAATTTCAGACGACAGGTGGCCGGGCAAAACTCACAGAGTCCACAGTCCATACCAACCTTAAACAGATAAAAAAAACAAACAAACAGGCTCTGTACCGTCAAGCCTGATCAGTAGCGTTCCGTGACTGTCAAAGTACTGCAACAATGACAAGCAGTCTAGTATCAATATACAATGATACTGTAGCTCGCCTTTCTCCCGATCCTTACTCTTGATGCGTTACATCTTCTCAGGCAAGCTCAGACCACAACTATTCAAAAACTGTAGACCTCTCTCTTCCAAGTCCGGGTACTGACGCAAAAACCAGAAATCTTTCCAAAACTCGCGCCCTTCAGTATGATCCGGCAAATACTTGCGTAACAAGGCCTTCCACTCCGCATCCTCCGCCGAGAGACTAATCCCGGCGTGCGTAAACTCCCACCACACGGGGAAGTAGCCCGAGCCTTCCCAGTCCAGAATCCCTGCCAAATGACCCTTGTCCACCATGAGATTCACAATGGTCAGGTCGCCGTGGGTGAAAGTATACGGCGCAGCGCTGGGCATTCGCCGACGCAGTGCCGAGCGAGCCTCCTCCGGCACGTGGGACAAGGACCGCGACATCTCAGCCCACAGCTCGTCGTCCGAAGTCAGCGGCCCGTGCCCGGTCTTATAATCGTCTGCGAACAAGAACGCACTGTAGAGTGGTGTGCCACCTAGGCATTCCATACGGTCGGAGCGAAGATCACGAAGCTGCATCAGATACTCGGCTGTCTGTTTTGCGACGCGTTCTTTATCTTCTGCGGATAGGGTGGGCCATGCCTCCTCTAGACATTGGCCTGGGATCCGCTTGGTGAGCAGGAAGTGTGTTCCGTCGTCTTCTGTCCATTCCTCGACGACTTGGGGAATAGGGATCGATGTCCTTTCGGTTAAGAATTGGATGTTTGACGTTTCATTGTTCGGGAGGGCATTCTCTCGTTCTTTGAGGATGAGCTTTGAACCCAAGGACCATGCTCCTCGATTGCCGGCGCTGTAGAAGAGTTTCACATGACTGTGGTAGCTACAGTGTGATTGCCGTATGGGGGACCAGCTACAAGCGGAGCAGATGGCCTCGGTGTCCATGCTTCAGGGTCGAATGCGAGAACCGAATCTTGGACAGCTTGCCAGAGGGGTGCAGTAGATTTGTCAGGTTTGGATTCTTCTTGGAACTGCTAGAAACTGAGAAAGAGTATGTACAGAGTACAGACTACCACTTTACAGTCCACGGTAGTCGAGTGTTGCGAAGCTTGCATCAACAGATCAATCGCCTACACCGCCTCTTTGCCCAAGGCCATCTCATGTGCATGACAGGTGTCACTGAAATGCAGGGTGCTACTTCGACCTCCGCATTCGAAATAAAAGAATCCAAAACTTCAGTCCATAGATCTGAGCTGGATCTTCTTCAAGGGTCCTGACGAAAAGGATCATTTCACAATGTTTCTCTTGTAAAATATAGACTGGACCACGTTCTCTCCGCAGTGGATACAACCGTATGTGCAAGACAGACGGTGGCGGTTTAGCCAAAATGACTGCCTTCCACATCTCCATCACGCTAGGCTGCTTTAGTAGGATGTTCATGCCTTGTGCTCAGGCGTCTGTACGAGCGCTCAGGGCAGTTTGTCCAGTCACTCGACTGAGTCGACTCACTCCCGTTAGTAATTAGTAGTTACCCAACCGACCAAACCCTAACCCGTGACCCGCAACCCGTCTCGTGATCCCGAGAAATACATCACCAAAATCAGACTCCGACCCGAGTCTGTTCCCTCACTCGGCCCGTCTTTTTCTTCACGGCGCGTGATAACGAGGCTCAGCCACAGCCGGTGGGATCGAAGCCGAGAAAAAGCGCAGGAGTAGGGGGGCCAGGCCGAGGATCGTGCACTGCCGAGTCCAGATCAATTGAACCGATGCAGTGACAGTAGCTCCGTGGCCTTGTGGCCTTTCGGGGGAAAGGGAGACACACGGCAACATCAATAAGGGGGAAATACTTGGAATTCGGACCCTCCCCAGTCCCACTCGGCCCGTGTTCGAGACTTGGGTGACGCCGTGACGGGCGTACCCAATCATTACTAGAAGACTCATTTACTCATTGAAGAGTCAATACTGAATTGACTCAATGAAACAAATGGTCAATACTTGTAGTAATAATATTGAGTACAGGGAATACTGAATGCTGAACAGTAATACTGCACCCGTGCACCGTACATAATCACACACAGGATTACATTCATGATTCAATATCCCGCCTCGTTAGGAGTCATCGCAAGTTAACTACCTCTTCCAGACTTACACAACCCAAAACAATTACACCGTACCATACCGTATGCCCCTCCCGATCACCCTCGGACCATCAATCTCGACGCAGAAAATCCCGTCCCCCAGATTGGCCATCCCACCCGACCCAACTCCGAGAATCGCACCAGTTGACGTCTGAGAATTCCCCGGTTTCCGACCCCGTTCCCTGGCCCGCCAAATCCTGTGCCCCGTCCCGAACGGAGCCATAGACAGCTCAGACCCGACCGGACCTGGAGTACTCGGGTTACGTTCGAGTTTGAAACTGGATCATGGAAATCTGTCGGAGAGGTACTCCAAGCAGGGAGAGCTCAGGGTGGGGTTGAGAATGCTTGGCGCCTTGTTCGTTGTCGTTTATTGCAAGTCTTGGTGGAGACAAGGTAGTGGTACTAGTAGTAGGTAGTTAGCAGGTAGGTACTGGTACTGTTTGTTGGTAAAAGACGTGTAAGACCCCGCTCCGAAAAAATCCTGTCAAGACGGGAGAAGGACGGTCTATGATAGGAAACAGGGGGGTGAAAAATGGAACGAGATCGGTCGTCATTTTCGTCGCGGGGGCCGAAGAAGAGCGTCAAATTGTCAATCAACTTCATTGCAAGACAGATGAGAACTGCACGATCACGTACACGTCACCGTACCAGTCGTTTTCAATTCGAGTCGCGTCTCCTTGCCCTGGTCATGTTTTGAACTGAGGGGCTATCGCCTTCACCGGCAGCCTGGAGGTCCGAGGGGTTTCATCCCTCATTCTGGGGAAGATCTGGGGATCCATCCAGGTTGGGGTGGCTTGTTTTGGAATCGATTCAGGGTTGGGTTTCCGTCTGGTTCGAGGTGGAAGTTCGGAACGTCATGATGTTTCATTCTTCGCTGTAAGGAAGAAAAGCAGTTTCGAGTGTACATGAACGCATAAAGAGTAGCAAGGCATATGAGAAATGTACAAAAGTCATGATGAATGCTTTTCGCTTGAGAGATCTATACTGTGTCTGATGTCTATACACGCCCGACCCCAGGCTACCAGCGCCAGATCAGGATAAAATAAACACTCAGCACAATCACCGCCACAAAGCGAACAGATCGTACAAAGTTCCTCCCAAGCAAAGCAGCCTTGCCGCGTGGACCCCGACTCGGACCCGTCGAGGGGGAGAATCCCTTTCGTTTAGTGTCGACAGTGTCATCGTCATCTAAACCGCGATAAGTCTCGCTGAAATCTTTGCCGCCGAGGACGCGCGACGTGGGAAAAAGTCCCGAACGTTCAATCAAGCTACCAGAGGGGAAGGTGGAGCTGGACGTACCGGAAGTCTGGTACTGGTGATCGAGACCATAGCTGCGTCTCTCGCTAAGCGGGAGGACGGCGCCGGTGGCAGAGGTGGGGAAGCTGGGGGCAAAGAGGGTTGTGTAGACGGTCTGAACGAACAATAGCACAAGGCTGAGTCCGAGGATAGTGGCGTAGTGAATGAACATTCCCAACTGGTCGGGAAGAAGACAGAGGTGATTTTGAATAGTGGGAGAGGATCCCTCGGCAAGAGGTTGGCCCGTGATGGGATCAATTGGATTCCAGAGACTGGTGAGTAAGAATCCCGGGTGTCGCACGCCCATGGCCCAAGATAAGCTTTTCACGGTGATCTCGTTGGGCGATCCATTAAATTCGCGATGCTTAACCTCGCAGTAATCATGGTCGTCGCCAGAGTAGACTTGGACAATGTTGGGGCCAGCCTTGGAGACCAATTCAGTTGAGATGGCCTGCGTGAGGACGTTTTGATATTGATATCCGCCTCCAAGGCGAAGAGAATTGGGCTCATCTTCTTCCAAGTCTGGCGCAGAGGGCGGCAGACGTTCTCGAAGTGGTCCACATGGCGTTGCGGCTTTGCGATACAAAGGGACATGTGTGAGGAGGATAGTGGGGAACCCAGCTGCTTTGGGCTGTGGAAGCCGCTCGACGGATTCGTCTCCAGCATCGACCACGCGGTGCTTGAAGAGCATGTCCTTGGTCTTGTTCTGAAGCTGTCGAAGCTCTTCTGTCTCCGCGGTCGATCTTCGAGTAACCATATCGTCTAGAAATTCCTCGGCGTCTTTCCAAATCGGTCGTTGTCCCGCCTTCTCATCACTCTCACTAGCTTGGGAACTTCCCGTCAAAGGATCCGGTTGGTCTTTCGCACTAAGTGAGACGGTATCAACTGAGACAATCGTGTGATTGCCAATGATATCGACCCGATTGCCAATGCCAAAGTGGCTTTGGAACCGCCGACGGACCGCCTCTTGGATGCCATTGCCGAAGCCCAGGTCATGGTTCCCCGGAAGACTCGCAATGAACCGACGACCACGATTGTCAGCTGGAGAAGTGTACTGTTCCAGCCAGGGGTTCATAAAAATCCTCATGAACCGACCGTATTCTTGCTTCCAAAATGAATCCTTGATTTTCTTGTATCGTTCCTCGGGACTAGTCGTAGTGCTTGTAGCCCACTCCCGTCCACCATCAAACAGATCGCCAAGAAAGAGAACCGAGTCAGGTTCCAAATGCTCTTGTATCAGGGAGAATGCTCGGCGCATATATTGGTCCGTGTACTTGACTGTCAACGTTGACAATGGCCACGGTCGGCCGGGGTACGTATGGGGATCCACGAGCTGAGGATCTGCAATGAAAGCGACATGATGGGGCGTGGCTCCCTGGGGCTGTACACGGAAAACGTCAGCTGCGTCGATTCACGGTCATATATCAGAGTGAACGGCAGAAGAGCCAAGCCAACATACCCATTTCTCCCAGCTTTGCCAGACACAGCGATCAATAGCCTCTTGAAATACCGTCCGTTCACCCCGCCACAGCGTGAATATCCAGAGAATGATGACTGCATTCGCGAAGGTGAACAATCGCCGGAGGACCAATTTCGTGATACCCCATGTGCCTGCTCCGCTCCTCGTTCGTCGAACTTCCGAGAACCCCTCCAAGACCCATGCTTTCGCATTTGCAGGGATATTCTCCAGAATCTGCCAGATAGTATGCGAGGATCCCCTTTGAGCAGGCGCAAAGTGGGGGAGAGACGAAGCGCCAGCGCCACGTTGGTAGGCGTAGCTCATTGTGTTGGCCGTGAAACAAGCTCGCTCTGGACAAACTTCGGCTTAGCTACCTCGCGGGACGTATACAGGTACAAGTTAAAGAGGGAAAGAATGGCACATGCTCCGTAAGGTAAAAAGAACATGGAGTAAAACGAGTGAAATGGCCTGCTGTGGCTGATCTGTAACGTGAGCACTTTCTGCGCCAGATTGTCCCGCGCGGCCGCAAGGAAGTGCCAAATTCAATCCAGGGGCGTGCGCTGGGCCAGCTGATGGTCTGGCCGGTCTGGGGCAAGAGTGGGTACATCACGTGATAACAATCAGAGGTACAGTCCTTGGCTCCCTGGACATCATCATTGACAATGATTGTGTCTCATACGAGGGGACTTGGTCTTTGCGACCGTCTTGAACCGCCTGTTTCTCTAAGCGAAACATGGTAGTACTGAGGCCGATAATTGCACCCAGGGTCGAACGTCTTCTACTTAATAAGTTGTTAAACTTATAGAGCAACCTTTTGAGAGCCAACATCCCAAGGATTTCACTTTACTGTAGCTAATATCCTCAGGGGCATAAGTCCAGGGCCTCCAGGCTGCTAGGTTATATAAATGTCTTGCGGGTCTTTTCAGAGGGCATTTTCTAGAGAGTCTTCAGGAATAATCATCTAAACATCTTCCTGTGTCCGAGCAACCGAGTCGCTTGCTTCGAGTCCCGCCTTTTCATCCACAGTCAAGTCACTCTCGGCATTGCGAATCCTCACAAAACCAAGAATGATGAGCAGTCCCACGACAGAAAGTCCGACCTGAAACCAAAACACAGATTTGTAGCTCTTCCACTGGCCCAGGTGCTTGGTCTGAGATTCGATGATATCTGCAAATCCCAAAACCACGGCAATTCCCATATGCAGCGTGCAATAAATCAACGCACCCGCCAGTCCTTGTCTAGCTTGGGGCAAGCTTGTCGTCACAAACACATTTGCCAGGCTGAAGCAGATGTCCACGGCAATGGTGGCGCAGATCATTGCTGGGAAAATGAACGCCCAGTAGTTTCCGCCGAGTGGAACGAGGGCGAATAGTAGAGCACATCCAACATAGCCACAGCAAGAGATGATCATGAGAAGTGTTCCGGAGAGCTTGTGGAGGACGAGCCCGCCGGTAATTGAAAGGAACAGTCCCCCGACTGCCATTGGAGCCGTCCACGCGACGATTTGAAGAGGGCTTGCTCCCATGAAAGCAGACATGCTAAAAGAATGTAAGCGAATGTAGGAAACACGCCGAGTGCTGGGCTCTTACTAGAGAACTCCAAAGATCAAAAAGATTCCCATACTTCCGTAAAGGCAAAGCAGTGCCAGAAGCATAGGCGTCATGCTTTTGACTTGAAAAATATCACCCGGCAGCAGAGGGTTTGACACAACCCATCCCTCAAAGTAAGCCATTAGACAAAGTAGGACCACTCCAATCGCAAACAAAATCGGAATGTAGGGAGTCTTCCAGCCCTGCGGAGCATGCGAGCCATACGCAAGAGCAAAGACAACAAGTGTTGCTCCTGATACTGAAAGCGCGAGTCCCACCCAATCCATGCGGACGCCAGCGCTCTTCTTCTCCTGATAATCGTTTCGAACGCAGAATAGTGAGAAGGCCACCATGACTGCTGATAGAATTGCACCGATGAAGAAAAACCACCTCCAGCTCAAGAACTGTCCACAGAGACCCGAGATGAAAAAGCCAAGGAAAAAACCTAGCACGGCACATGCTCCGTAGATGCTGAAAACGAGGTTCTTGCGTGGCCCCGGTCGATATGTGCTTCCTAGAATCATCAATCCAGAGGGAAGCAGCGCTCCTAGGGCCAGACCCTGCAAAGCCCGACAGATGATCAACATAAGCGCTGACTGAGATACGCCGCAGAGGATCGAAGTGACAGTCAGCAATATGGCCCCGCCATTGTAGACTACGTAGCCACCGTACATGTCTGTAAGGCGGCCGAAAATCAGCAGTGTAGATGTCACGGCCAACGAGAGAGCGGTTGCAGGCCAAATTGTTGACGAAGCCGGTATTTCCAACTCTTTGATGAGTGTAGGAAGCAAGACACTTGATCCGGTCACGTAGAACTCCTACAAATGGCGTGCTTGTTAGCTCATGATTCTGCCCAGGATTCGGAATTGAATGGTCCTACTGCTAAGATCTGCGATAGGGCAACAGCAAAGCAAAAACCCAGCTCCGACCATTGTCCAGGCAGAGACTCCGGTCGAGCCCTTCCCAGTCGGTCGAGATGGGGATCAGACTTGACGATGTCTGATGATCCTTTCACAGTCGACATGCTCCCGGGATACTTCAAGCGGCCGCAACTTGAGATCAAGTTGTCACAGTCATGAAAGATCGGCTGAGGGGCGTTCCATGGCGGGCAGCAAATGACACATTTATACAATGCCTCCGGAAGAGGCACGAGTCGTCACGGCACCAGGAACCTGTGAGACCTGATCCTGCGACATCAGCCGGGGTCATTATCAATGCAAGCTCTGGTCAGTGTGGAGCTGCAAAATGCCACACGTTTTTCCGACTGTAGAGCCCCAAATTGGTTGACTGACCAGTCGGAATGACGCTATCTAGAAGCTCGTGCCCGTTCTAAAGTCTTCGCCAAGACTTTTCGAGCGTGGGCTTCCTAATCGGGCAGCTGGCGGGAGGGGGCCTCGATTAGGAAGTTGGAGGGAGTGGGTCCACGACAACGGGAGGATCCAGAGATCTTCGACTGGGGCGGGCAATGCTTGAGCATCAAGCACTACTGTTACAGACGACCAGAGCACCTTTGACCAAGGCCGAAAATGCCGAAGAATAACGGCAAATGTTTTTGATCTTGTAGATTTGTATCGTTCACTCGATTCGCGCTACCACATGATGAACATTACTGATCGCACCACGGATGCCGAAGGTTGCGATCAAGTCTTCAAAATGTGCATGTATGCCTGTCAAGCCCTGGATTACCATGATCTGTTCCAGCCGGAACCATGTTCTCGAGAGAATCGGGTCCACCAGCTTGACATGCACACCTAGGTCCAAACAGATCCAAAGTACCTACCAATGGTGATGTCTACGTCTTCCCTCTTATACGGGGGTGTCCTTATACGGTAGGGGGTGCCAAGGTGAGAAGCAGAAAAGCTCGAATTCAGCTGGAACACCTCGGGTTCTGCGGGCTGCGGGCTGCGGGCTGCGGTCATCTTTCACGACTCGCCAAAGACGCAGAGCTGACCACAGAGTCGAGACTCGGTGTACCTCGACTAGTATCTTGACAAGAACGCCACAACCTCTGAAGTGATCCGCAAATTAGTGAAGAAATTCAGAGGGGGGGGGGGGGGGGGGCATGTTCTCTCTTCGCCACGAGCCTTGCAACCCTACCTTCCTGAAATTGTTGAGGCCGCTCTTGAACAATCCAGTGCCCGCAATCTATATTCACTATCTCCGAGCGACGGAACAGTTTCGGTATTTCAGGCAGAGAGTCCTCGGGAATGAAGCTACTCCGGAGAGCGCGGAGAAAGAGAGAAGGTCCCTGATACTTTGCACTCCCTGGGCAGTATGGAAAATCCCCAAGGGGATCAATGGCCTCTTGCAAGATGTCCAAGGGCACCCGCGACTTGAGCAAGTGGGAAGTCTGGTCCTGAACGAAGTTGCTCAATAGCCACAGACGGACCGGTGTTTCCTGTCATAGTCAGTCAGCTCGCAACGTCACGCGCGTGCTCGCACGCTGTTCACAAATCTCGCACCAAATCATATTGCCGAAGAATCTCGTCTGCTTCTGCGTGAGTCCGGGCATTTTCCTGCTCAACTCGGACCATGCTCTGGAGATACTTCGAGAACTCAGTTCCCACGGGCAGCTTGATGGGCGCATTATCAACTGCCACGACGTGGGCGATCAGGCTCGGTGATTGAAGGGCAAGTGTCAAGGCCGTTTTTGCGCCCCTGTTGCTGGATTAGTACCTTGGTTCGGGTGCGTTGGACATGAGACCGCCAAGTATCATGTCTAAGGAGAGCCTACATTGAATGGCCAATCAGCGTGGCTTGCCCCAGCTTATGTTGATGTATGAACGATTCAACATCATGTGCCATGTTCGCGTAGGTGTGTTGCGGATGATGACCCGAATTACCATGATTCCGTAGATCCTACATCAGATCAGTATTTGACTCGTGCTTGTCGCTCAGCTTGTTCTGGTGCTATATTGGGGAACCGGTACCAGTGCGTAGACATTACGCGACAAATTTTGTGCGAGATTCCTGATCGAGGTCATCACGATTTAGCCACCGAGCTCTCCATGTCGGCATTCTTCGCGGGGCATCCAGACTTGCTCATCCTGCGATTCTCTCGCTTGGATCCCAGAAATCCATGTAGAAACAGAATTGGGGGCGCTCTGTCGGTGAGACTTGTCGAAGCATTGTGGCTGCTGGCTTTGTGTAGTTCGTAGGCTAATCGCACACAGGTGCGTGTAGGATGTATCATGATACGGGCTGCACTTCAAATTGTGCACTGTCAAGCCAGTAAACACCTTGAAACTAGCCTAAGTATGGCGATGTTGTTCGACACGATTATCACTGGAGAACAGCCGGTCGGAGGAAACGCGACCGAGTCCTGGTCTGATCCGGCTCGTCTTGGGGCTCGGACGTCAGATGCCGATCGATTCGTCGCGCCCACGCCGAGTGGAGTTTCTGTTGACAACCGCATTTCTTACTGCAGCTCGTCCAAGAGAGCAACAGGGTTCTCGACGTCATTTTCCGTTGAAGAGCCTGGGATGACATGTCCGATTTCGCGAATCAGTCTCTTTCGTAGATTGAAATGAAGGTGCGGAAATCGCACATGCTCCAAAGTGCTGCTCTCTAGAAGGGGCATTGCTGCCGAGCGTTGTCTGGTGGGGAATCTTTGAAGAAATGACCCGGGTCGTTTCCGAGCAACTCATCGCGATGAAACGACAAGTGGCTTCCCCAAGCCAGAGACATATCTACGAGACTACGAGAGATTCACGAACGAGCCACCTTGGTTGTGTACGGGAGAGGAGAATTCATCCCACGCGGCAAGTACACGTTGATGTCAAACGCGGGGGTGGATTCTCGGCCAAAGTAGCGTCGCAGCACCCTCAGCGCCATCCCCCGCAATCGAGGGTCACTGAAGGTCGATCGATGTAACCACTCCGCCCCTCGTGTCTATACGATTCGCGGGTCTATCGGAGACCATCAAACCTTGGGCAAGTCTACCCCGAGCTTCAACGAAAATGACTGCGGTCATGATGTCCCCAACGAACAGAGACTTAAGGCCACCGTGCCCCGATCACTATGTGCAAGCTTACCTGTCAAAGAGCGTGATACCTTGACAGCCACACACCATGCATCTGTCTAGAATTCCTCAACTTCTGGCTCTTTTCCTGTCTTTAGCCTCCTCGACTCAAGCTGAGAGAGGGCATGATCTGGCCCAGGAGGCGGGTCATCATGTCATATTCTCTTATCCGGGCATCAGTCCTCCAGCTCACCTGTTTGACTTGATAAAACAGGGAAAGGTGGGCGGCATCATTCTATTCGGAGAGAACGTTGCTAGTAATGTCAGCACAATTATCAACCAGCTGCAGGATGCTTACAAGCAAAGTCAAGCATACGTGGGTAGCCCACTGCTCATCATGACCGATCAAGAAGGAGGCATTGTGCGTCGATTACCCGGTGGTCCCGTCTCCAGTGCCAAACAAGTTGGCGAGTCCGGCGATCCAGGCGCGGCAGCCATACAAGCTGGCAAAGACGCCGCTCACACACTTGCAGAGTTTCAAGTGAACACCAATCTGGCACCTGTGCTAGGTATCTATCGCGAAGCAGGCGACTTTCTAGATCAATACGGTCGATCCTACGGCAATAACTCTGAGCTGGTAGCCACATGCGGCTCGGCCTTCATCACTGCTCAGCAAGTGGCGGGAGTCATTGCTACTGCCAAACACTTTCCCGGTCTCGGAGCAGCCGGCAACTTGAACACGGATGAAGGACCTGTCACGATTGATCTCCCCTTGAGAGAGCTTCGGGCCGTTGACGAAGCTCCTTATACAAATGCCATCGCAGCGGGCGTCGACATGGTGATGACTTCGTGGGCAGTGTATCCAGCGCTAGACGCCACATATCCCTCTGGGCTCAGCAATGCATGGGTTGAGGGAGAACTTCGAGGACGACTCGGCTTTCGCGGTGTCACTATCACCGATGCGCTCGAAGCGGGAGCTTTAGAATCTTTTGGCGATGCCGGTAATCGCGGTCTCTTGGCGAGCCAAGCGGGTATGGACGTCATTCTTGCGTCTGCTCGCGACGTGGCACAAGGGGAAGCTGTTGTCAACGCACTGGTTTCTGCCTTGGACAATGGCTCCTTGCCGAGAGGCAAATTCACAAAGGCCACAGATCGAATTCTAGCCCTTCGCCGGAAGATCACTGTCTAGGGGTGGATGTTGATTGTGGATGGAACAGAGATTTGTATACAGCTCGCTGGTGGAATCCTTTTCGGCTTCTGTGCACGAAAGGCTTGTCTTGATTGAAAGCTGAGGGACTTGACCCGTCATTCGCCCTGCCTGGCGGTCTTGTGGATCATTGACATGCAACTTTTGAACCTTTCAACCTACAGGTTGGATACCACAACTTGTGTACATCTCTGTCATACACAGACCTCAGCTCCCGAGCCACCCTGTAACCACCCAAATTGTCTATACTCTACAGTAGTCATTTCAGCTACTCATCTCTTCGGCTGCCTGTTTTGCCCATGCTGCTGGTCCTAGGAACGGACATGAATGGATGAAAAGCTAGTAATGGCGGATCTTACTTGAGAATAGGGCCTAGCATCTTCCACTGCAGGTGGATCTCGGATCTGATCTAACTTCTTGACGAGCTAACCGTGTCCCTCATACGCCGATTTTTCACTGAGACTAGCTTCGCCTGCTTCATAAGCTCATGCCTCCGCGAAGTCTCGTTATTCTAGCCTTGACGCTCCATTACTGATATAGCAAGCCTATATGCGCTTGTTCACTGTTTCAAGGTGATATCATGTCTGCAGGTGGCGACAGGTAGAGCACTCCAACCTGGGTTGGTCGGTAGATGACTTTGACTTGTCTTGCTTCCGATGCTCTGGAAAATACCTATGTCAGGGATTTCCGCTGATTCTCCGAACCCTTTTCAACCTTCGTTTTTAGCCAAGGCATCTTCAAGGTTCTGCAGTTCTGCCAAGAAGCTTCCAGTCCAACGCCTGTAGCCAAGCACCGTCCGATTTGCTCACGACCTAACTGAGGTGGTCGCAATCTGCTGATCGACCTTTAAATACATCTTCATCACTTCATGATGAAGATGATTAGACATACAACATGGCAGCCTGTAGGCTTCACCAAACGCCTATCCCCTTGGGCCAATTCCGGATCTCTGTCGTGATACCAAGTCGCAGGGAAGCGCTCCACAGCAGCTTCACGATATCCCACAAAATCACCGACGAGAGCAGATCGTTTGCGAATGGCCAGAGCCTCGGTCCCATGTTGCACGCCTGTCGGCCAAGGTGGGCCCTGATGGTACAGCTAGAAGAGTATGAAGTACAGGACGGACGCGAATAGTATCCTGAAGCTGATTCAACCGAAATAGAGTCCCGTCGACGCCACCCTAATGGAGGATGCTCGGCTACCTCTCGGGTCGGCGGTGGGTATGAACACCTGCAGGGCGCATGCTGCACGTATCATAGCTTATTTCGAATAGCAGTCAGGACATCAAAAGAAAATTCAATCGCTGCCTGACTGGACTCGCTCATATACTAACGACCGGCTAGGCCCGTTTGAGATGAGGCTGAGGTTCATTACCGGCTCGCGGTCACACTATTCCTCGTCCACGGCTTCCGAGCTCCGCTCAGTTGGAGCTTGCCTTGGAATCCGCCCGCTTTCCTCCACTTGCCATCCTCCACTCGCACGATTTCTGTGTCGCCATGCGATTCCCGTCCTTTTAACCCTGCGTGCCGCCAGAATATAACAGATTGATTCTCTTCACTGCCATTCATTTGACGACCTCGGTCCAGAGCCGCTTATCGCCTACGTCGCCTTGATCCCGATCAGCCTGAGTTGTGCCGTTTCAGAGCCCAGGCGCCACTGAGCGCATCACAACCTTATCGCCGCTATGGGCCTCTCGAAGACTAACAGGATCATCATCCTGCTGGTCATCGATACTCTTTTTTTCCTGCTTGAATTAGTCACCGGTAGGATACGATTGCCCCCGATTTGATGATCTCTCTCTCTGACCAGGAATTTCTATCTAGGCTATGCCGTCCACTCCCTTGCCCTCGTCGCGGATTCTTTCCACATGGTACGCTCCCACCCGCCCACTTCGGCGCAAGATTGCTGAGCGAGCATATGACTGATTGATCGCTAGCTGAATGATGTCCTGTCCCTCTGCGTCGGTCTCTGGGCAGTCAAAGTTGCGAATCGCGAAACGAACTCTGAGGTCTATACATTTGGTGTAAGTGGTGAGCCCTTGTCCTGCAGCATCGCGCGTGTCTGGGACTGACGGTATATTGTTCGGTATAGTGGCAACGCGCCGAAACCCTCGGCGCACTCGTGAACGGAGTCTTCCTTGTCGCCCTGTGTATGTCAATTTTCCTTGAGGCCATTCAGCGATTGGTCGAACCTCAGGAGGTTCAGAATCCCAAGTTTGTCTGCATTGTTGGCTGCCTTGGACTGGCTTCGAACATCATCGGATTGGCACTTTTCCACGACCACTCGCACGGTGGTCATGGCCACAGCCACGGCCACGACCACGGAACAGGTGTTGAGGGACATGATGAGGAAGACGTTGAACAGGGAAACGCTCACGTTCACGAGCAAGGGCATGATCACGATCCCACCCCTCTTCTGGGTGATGGACAGACCGGCAAAGGAGCATCGGGCCGAGGATCGCAGGGAAATGGATCGAATGGGCTGGCCCATTCGGCGACGGAGCCGATGTCTCCGTCTCGTAAGCGATGGACCCCCGACTCCCAGAGCCGGGGCTCTCGGCGATACAGCGGTTCACTGGCAAACGTCGAAGACATCTATGTCCACCCTGCCACCCTGCGCCAAGATATCATTGCTGCTAGTCGGGGCACATTCGATGAGTCACCGTCATCTGACTCTGATAGTCGAGACGGGGAAACCATTACCGAACGGTCTGGCTTGCTGCGCCACCGAGATCGGACAAGCAACTACACTGACGAAAATGGAGTCGCGATCTCTGTTCCAGAGCAGATTGGCGAGGAGGATGTCCACAAGAGCCACAACCACGCCCAGCCCAAATCCAACGATCAGAAAGGCGGTCATGGCCATGGCCACGGCCATGACTTGAACATGCGGGGTGTTTTCCTGCACGTCCTGGGCGACGCACTGGGCAACATTGGTGTCATCGCTTCTGCCTTGTTCATTTGGTTAACGGACTACGACTGGCGATACTATGTCGACCCTGGTATCTCCCTTGTTATCGCCGTGATCATTCTCGCATCGGCCATTCCACTCTGCAAGGCCGCTTCGCGTATCCTTCTTCAGGCGGCGCCTCAGGGTATGAGTGTGGATCACATCAAAGAAGATATTGAGCGACTACCTGGTGTCATGGGTACTCACCATCTGCATGTGTGGCAGCTCAACGACACCAAGCTCGTTGCTTCGATCCATATCCAGGTTGACACTGAAATTAAAGACGAGGGATCGAAACGCTACATGCGCCTTGCCCGTCAGGTTCGCCGTTGTCTGCACGCCTACGGTATTCACTCTTCTACTATTCAGCCCGAGTTTGCTCCAGGTGATGACCATGCACATGGAGAACCCTCCTCGTCCGGCGCCGCGAATGAAGTGGCGAATCTCTCGAGCCGAGGATCCAGCATCCGGGACAGCGATTCCAACGCATGCCTGCTGGAGTGTGATGATAACTGTGCAAGCACCGGCCAATGCTGCCCTCAAAAGTCGACTTGATCGTTGGAAACCATATTCTCCAACCGCTCCGTGGTTTAAAAGAACACTGCCACTTGACACCCTACCCCTCCGTGTCTTCTTGCCCTTATTCTTCTTATTGTCATAATTTTTCTTATTATTATACCACTCTATCCATTCGTTCATTACTCTCGCTTTGAGCGGCTCACCTCGGACCATGCTGAGATGATCGATGTCTGGCAAAACTCACAGCGGCGCTCTATTATTTTCAAGTCACTTTGACGTTTTTCATCCACTGGCGACCTGCCTATGAAGATACTTCATGTTTTTTATTTCGGTTCAAAAGAAATTCCACTTGCGCTAAACGCAGTCAGCTTGTATTTGCCAACTTCCTTCCAGTCCTCAAATCACGCACAGGCCTATCTGGGTTTACATATTTCCGAGGTGAACAACATCTGCGCGACATCTCTTTCAACAGCAGTATCCTTAAGTAAAAATGCTCAGCTTTTTTCAGTGATATGTGTAGGTACATGTGCACCGGTGGAGTTAGCAGACCTTGGCACCACTTATGTACCGAGACTTGATCTTCACTGTATCTCTCCATATTCCGTACCTGTACGGTACTTCCAAGAGGAATATCCGGAGAAAACGTTCCCAAATACCCAATCTCCTACTAGCACGGCTCTATTTTTCTATGTACTCGTTAGCGCTAGATACCTCATTGCACAATCTCCTACGTCAGGTTTATTTTAGGTGTTCGCAACAAGGCGTCCCCTCTGCTGCCAATAGACACATTTCGAGAAATCCATAGGCGTCCGAAACGGCATCGCCTTCTAAGGTTGCGCGATCCCGCGATTCAGCGGCATTGCCCTCGTGCTCTGGTATAGGTGTCAGCTTCCATGGCCCTGACAATAGTTATATAGCAGAGACTGGCCACGATAAGCACAATGATGATTAGCAATTGAAAGATTGGAAGAGGCGATGAGCTTCTAGTAGAACACCGAGGAGTAGACAACCCTCATCATCGAGTATTCCATATCTAAATGATACTGGTCGGAGAATATCCGGGACGAGCTCCAACCAACCAGGCTTGAACTGGCAAAAAAGCGCCGAATTGCAAAATCCCTCACATTCTGGGTACCATCCCGATAGATTCCAGTCAACCAAGGTTTTAAAGTCGCTGCTGCCGTCTTCACGGAGTCCATTGCGCTCAATCTTTGTGTTCTTTGGCTGAAGATATCTCTTTTAGAAAATGAACGGAAAAAGGCGACTGCATTTGGCCATGTTCTGTCAAGATACCATGACTAATTAGGTTTGTTTTTAACCCTCAAACGGTCCTTAAATCGTCGGATCGTCGTCTGAAGAGAGTACCCCAATGGAATGGATAAGGCTGGCGTTCCAGGTTTCCAGAGTACCTTGGAGCTGGTATTTGTTGTAGTTTACCAAGCGCGCGTTTATTCATACCCGTCTGCTGATTTTTTTCTTCTGTACTAGCGTGAGCGATGGTAGTTATGTTTGAAGGTCATTTCCTGCGATCTATAGCTAGTCTATAACGATATAGGTATCTCTTTTGCGATTTTGAATCGAAAAAGTTAGGAACTTTTGGCACTGGCACGTTACTGTTTCCTGCGACGAATTTCATGGTTTCTCCTCTAAGGAGTGGAATCAATAGGATGGAATAGCCGAACTTGACTGCGAAGCATTCGCGGACCCGGACGACTTTGATAGCGGTTGTCCGAAAACTCAACACATGCTCTGAGGCTTCGATCTCCGCCAGTCGGTAGGTCAGGGCTTTTGGGCGCAATGATGACCATGCTACTGAATCTCGATACGGGTAGAATGAGGCAACTCAGTGTAAAAGTGCAGTGACGAGGGGGCTACTGAAAGACTTATTATGAAGGCGGTGTGAGTTGGCGAATTGTTTGAAAGACCGTAAATCATAAGACGCCAGGCCATCGATCTATCACGTGAACTTAGTGATGTAAGTCCTGCGACACGACATGACCGGATGATTCAATTCGTCTAGATGGATGGTGGTGCCCTTCAGTAGTGCCCGGCTCTCAGCCCCAGTGATAACCATAAATGAAATGAGGATCTGTCCCGCAAAGATGACGGTTTTACATATTCCAAAAATGAAAATACACAGTTTTTCTACTTATCAAAGTATGCGAACCAGTGTACAGAATAAACCTGCCAAACCTGTGCTCGTCGATGTTCCCGAGTCTAGTCTTCCCGCTACTTAAGGAGATTTTCCACCGGTACGGGAGGTTGTCTCCGAGCAACTTCTCGTTTTTGTTCCTCTTTCTGAATCCAAGAGAAACAGTGCAACAAGGATCTTTGTCTTAGCGCTTTCTAATAAGTGAGAAACGAGCCTTAATCTTGTAGGAGCGCGTCGAGTTGAACTTGCCCCGCTGTTCACCCTCAACCACTTGTGTAAGCGCATGTCGGGCAGGACGAGTGAGTATTAGGCGTCACTGGATAGAAATCCTCCCCGTATGTCGAATTGAGAGAAACCGCGCCTACCACATCCCCCGACTCCAACCGAATCCACGTATCGACCTCACCATCCTTCAGCTTCGATTGCGTCACCTGCACCTGTCGAGAACCCCGAATCCAGGTCCCGTACCCCCCGTAGCCCGTATGCTGAACCAAAGCACAGATTGATCCCCTTCTCATTCACCGGCCTGATCCCTGAGATCGCCTTATCCCACTTATAGCACCATGTGTCACCATGGTCATGGCCCGAGAACACCCCAATGACACCATGCGTCTGAGCCAAGGCTTTCATCAAGAGCTCGTCTTGTCCAGCATACGAGCACGAGCCCCCGTACTCACCACTTGCGCACCAATTCTGGCCCTGCTGGGCGAGAGGATAATCATCGTTGATCCCGGGCTCTTTGTGTGAATCGACTTCGTGCTGTGTTTGAACGGCCAGCGCCGCGTTGATGGGAATGTGCACGAAGACCAGAGACGGGATATGTTTGCCGTGTTTCTGGACCAAGTCTGCATTGGTGGCTTGGAACCATTCGACGACGCTGACGTCCACCCAGTTCGGTTGCGGTATCTCGTTTCCAGAGGCATCACGCTTCTGGTAGTAGACACCTCCGCGGCTGTCGAAGAACCAAAGCAATAACTCGGGCATGTCGTTTCGTTCTCTATGGTGAGCGCCAGATCCATACACGGGCAGGTAGTAATTTGTCACGCCGGCCTGGTGATCCGATACCATTGCTTCGGTGCGAGAATTGGCGAACCGCTTCTCTCGAGCGAGCAGATCCGAGCGCGACAAGTTGAATGAGCTATTGTGATTTCCATATGTCGATGCCCAGGCAAGGCCGCGGTCGACCAACGGCCCAGCCATCTGGTCGAGGTACACGGTGCTATTCTCGAGAAAGGCGTTCTCGCCAGTGATGAGGTCACCGTTGAGAACGACGAGGTTTGGTGATTCTTTGTCGAGTACACGGTTGATCACCGTCACCGTGTTGACGTCTTGTTCGGGGCCCCAGGAGTCCCATGCGTCTAATCATAAACACTGATCAGATGGATTGCACGATGCGCGAGTGGAATCAAAAAAAAAAGGAAATTGCGCACTCACTTTCTCCAAAATGAAGATCTTCAAGAATTGAAATATGAAAGATACCATCTTCGGAGAACCGGAGGGACTCAACAGGCTTGTCAATGGGTGACTGAGTGGATTGTGCAATGAGGAGCGAAGTCAGACCGAGACAACTCCACATATTACTGAGCCGCTGTCTGGAAGCGTCAAGTAAGAGTGTATGCCTCATTTTGAGGCCGAGAATTAAATACAGCTTCTATAGGTGGATATGGTGACACGGAGAGAGTCCCATTGAAAAGGAAGCAAGGAGTCATTTCTTTATGCGGCCTATAATTTTGCTTGGCTTTAAAGCCACCCTTAATAACCATGCTTACAACCACGACGAGATCAACGACCTTGGAATAACGGTTGATGCTGAAGAGAACTGACACGTGAAAATCACAGTTTCCACGTGGGTGCCAGGCTCGACTCTAATGGGACAGATCCTGCAGGGATTCGAGACCCAGGCGGGGTATTGCAACTTGTATCTGCGCAGAAGTAAAGACCCGGAATGTGGTCACACAGTAAGATGGCGCATCTTAGTCGGAGGTGGCGTGAAAGGTTAGCTCCCGATTAGGCAATTTTTAAATGAGACTGCCGATGAACGTCGCTTGATCCCGGCGGATAAAATTGAGGCGCCAATTCCTGCCACAGCGAATGCATATTGACCGATTTAGAGCATCCACAATAACGAACTGTGTATGGGATCAAATCTGTCAGCGTTACTTCAAAGCTAGGCCGAAACCAGTGCGCCGACTACATTAACAACCACCCACGTACAGAACTGCCGCCAAATCTTCAGCCCATGGGCATGATGGAAACGAATGTAAATGATGATCTCCCCCAATACTACATTGATTCGAAGATCACTAGAGTTGAAAATAATGTTAACCTGGCCCAAGTATCTAATTTTCTTCTCCTTCACCCGCAGAGCGACTTGATGTCCTTTGGCACAAAGGGCCTGAGGATAGCAACCAAATCAGTTAGTTTAATCCAGTCAAGCGAGCCGTGAATGGTCTGCACAGGCTGTCCGCTGTAAAGGACACGGGCGTAGAAGCTCTTTGAGCTGTGTTCCTTCGTCTCCCTGTGATACGTTAGCAAGCGAGATCAAGACATGTGACGATTATCTGAGTGCAGACTAACCAAACTTCAAAAGCGATATTTGATGCCATGGCGGGCCAACGGAGGACATTGATCCCCAGAGCTCCCAGCACCGGGCCAATATCACCATCGTGCACAAAGACATGGCTGTAGTCCAAAGATGATTTCCCGTTGAGCACATTCTCAAGGTGTGAGATGATCTCGCCAATGAACAGACCCTCCACCACTTGAATGTACTCGGCCACATAAGGGTTTGCACGCCAGTAATAGTTCCACTCCCAGTCGCCCGCACGGAAGACTTCGGCCGCCATGTCCATCGTCACGCAAGCCGAGGAATTGGAGACACTGCACGGGAGCTCGTAGCCGTTGCAAAGGCGTGCCTGGAAGTTGTCCGAGAAATGGTCAAAAGTGCTCTGCCACGAGCTCGATGTGACGCCCAGCATGGCGCCTAGCTTAGCGCGCAAATCGCTGGTCACCAATAAGTGCTCTTGCCATTCGGCGGTGGACTTGATTTGATTGAGGGTAGCACCGATTGCGTTGCACGAGTACCCTTCGTTGACAGTGTCCACCGATGACACCATCTGGTGCAAAGGCAGCGCACCGTCGTAATCAGGCCAAACTCCCCGGAGAACGGCACCCGCCGATGCCTGAGTCAAGGACGACTCACTCGAGCGGAACCAGGCACGCTGGTTGGGCTTCTTGGGGATCAATTTTAGCTTCTTGCCGTAGACTTGCCAGAGGTCCTTGCCATGCTGGAAACCGTCCTGGACGCCCCCAATGGTGATTTGCGGATATTGACAAGTGCCATTCACACCGGGGGAGAATGGATTACTTGGATCCTCATATGTTTGGGCATACACAGGGATTGGCTGAATGCCACTGTTACTGTTCAGTCCTGCGTAGACATATGGCCGCACGTTGTCACATTCGTAGGCTTGGTTCTATGCGGACCTTAGCCAAAATCTCCATCATCCACTGACATTGCATCATCACTTTACCTCACCGCCAGGAAGGATATTGTACGGCGACCGACGCTGATGCCGTTGAAGATATTCCAGATAAACCAAATTGGCTTTCACGGAACCGTTCGCGACTGGTCCAGGCATCTTGTACTCCTGCGAGCGTGGGTGCGGCATGGAACAATAATCGTAAACGCCATACGGATCACCGCCTGTTGGACCATTGGTTGGTGCTTTGTAAATGCCGCCATATAGTGCATTAGATGAATTCGAGATGTATGAGGTCTGGTTGATACCTGGCGGGTAAAAGGTATCGAGGGGTGAGAGGGCAAGCACGGAGCTGGAGGCCCCGAGCATCAAGCCCGTAGTAAGACTGCGCATGGTGAGAACCTTCCTGCGATAAAAGTGTGGGATATGAGCTCAACCTGTACTGTACCGCCATCTTGTTTAAATACATGCGAGTTGATTTGAATCACTGCACCGACGTACGCAGCTTCCTCGAGCTCGGCAACACGGTCGCGCTAAAGATCTTGAAGCATGCCAAACTCCACCACATATGCAGCCAGTCGCGGAGTGTCCTCGAGCACACGTGGGGGATCAGCATCAAGTGGCGCGACGCGATCCCCAAGGATGACTATCCCGTGAAGAGCAGGCAGCGGTTCATTGTCTTATTCTACCGATTCGATCGTCATCGCACCGGTGGAAGAACTGTGGATGGAGGCTGAGCATTTTCAATATCGATGATAGAGAGTTCTCGTTCCCCGGGACTTTGCCGGCACCCGCGATCTGGGGCGACACTCTGAACCGGCAGATCAAACGGTGCTACGGTAGCACTGGCTCTCCTGTTGCGCCAATTTCTCACCCGAGCCCGATATCTGCAATTGTTGTTTGCAAGAGGGCCTTTCTCCTAGCGACTCAACATTCCACGACTGACTTGGTTGCTGGCTGCTCTTGCCACATCGTGGGCTCCTGCCGTGCTTTCATCATCGCTGGATCATTTCGCTTTGCAAAAGGTTCTGACCGATGCCTCGCCCATATTTGGAGACTACTCCCATACAACTACAAGCAAGGCCGAGTGGATGAAGAAATATCCCGACGACATCCTTCTAGTTCATATGAACATTCCAGGGACTCACGACAGTGCAACGTGGAATTACACTCAAGCCACTCAAGATGCCAACCGGGGAATCACCGAGCTCAACCCAGGTCGCACCTCCAGTCCCCGAGGCTCTGCGATGCCAACAGCTGCCTCTGATTGATATGCTGAACATGGGCATCCGTGTATTTGATTTGAGGTATGCGTTTGATCCCACAAACACCTCGATCATCTTTTACCATTCGCAAGGATTGCTTTCCGAGACCGCCTCACTGGATAACGTACTCTTTGGATTCTACCGCTGGCTGGACGATCATCCATCCGAGGCATTGTTCCTGTCGTTGCAATACGAGGGCTCAACTGCAAGATATGCATCCAACAATGCTGCCTTGCAAAACAAGCTGTTCTATACTCTCACGTCAGCGGCTGCTCGACACTATTTTGTATAGACGAAGAATCGCCTAGGCACACTGGGCCAGGCGCGGGGGAAAATCACCCTCCTTCGACGATTTGACTTCGACAGACTGCCCTCGTCTTACACCGATTCATTGCCAGGCCTTCACTTCTCTCCGAGCCAGTGGGAGGATAACGGTGTGAACTTATCGCTCATTTATAATTCAAAGGAGAACTTGACAGCGTACATTGAGGATTACTATCAGCCACTCACTCCATTTGGATCAAATGCGACCGAGAACATTCAATGGAAATATAATGCCACGACAACAAACCTCATCAAGGCCGCTGCACAGCATCGTGACAGTTTGTTCTGGAACTGGGCTTCTGGCACCAACACTCTTAACGCACCCCCAGACTGGCCTCGAACCATGGCTCTTGGCAACGGATCCTTGACGCCATTCGGCGGAGTCAACCAGCGGCTACTGGAGTTCTTCAAGCAGCAAAAATGCAAGCGACTGGGCATGGTGATGTTTGACTTTTTTGATCAGCCCTCAGTGTTGATTGACACATTTCTGCAAATATAGATCTACTGTCTTTGAAGTTCTTTTGGTCACATATGTATGATTGATGATTCCAATTGAGCGTCTCCGTCAGCCAACCTTGAAAGCCTTGTATCCCTTGACGGCGGTCGATAAGCGCGCCCAGAACGAAGGTAGTTGTGGTGCATACAATCAAGCACCCATTGGATCTTCACGAGTTGACAGTCTTAAATTTGAGAGATTCCTATCACTCGACCAGTGATACTTACACACCTACAGGGCGGATAGGGATTGTTGCCTACCGACTAGTCTAGAGGTTGTCAGAAGGTGCCTTGCTAGGAATTGTTACATCGTGTACTTGGTACTTAAGGTACTAAGGTACCGGTAGCCGCCGATGACCATCCTTCAAGTCCTCTCGTCTGGTTCAGCCTCGCCTCAGGGCAAAATCAGCGCAGTGGTCGGTCCGAATCATGGAAACCACGTGGCCTTCAGAATTAAGCCTCGTTTTCCAACGACGGAGCTGATGACTCATAAAACTTCGATTGGGTCACAGAAGCTGTGATATATTATTGTGCAAAGGCCACTTCTAAGCCACTGTCGACAAAAGCAAACCTACGAAGAGGGGCCAGCTAGGAGGGTAGGTGATTGACCATGAGTAAAAGCCGATGGAGAGAGGTAGCAATGGCGAGCTGGAGGCTCTTTTCAGTACGACTACAATCCAGTGGCCGGGTGCATGACTATCAAACAGCTGTATAAATCAGGCCGAGTCTCCGCCCTCAAACAAACAGGCTCCTGCTTCACCTCCGGTCCTTGCGATCCCCAACAGAGGAATCCGCGATCATGAATCAAATGCGTCTGACTCATGATGATTTGTTTGAAATAGGGGAAGCGCCGGGCAAAGGTTTAGGCGTTTTTGCAAGAGTCCCGATCTGCCGTGGCACTCGAGTCATCTCGGAACCACCGCTACTCAACCTTAGGGATGAGATCGAAAAGGGTACCCTGGATGCAAGAGGCATCGTGCTGGCGTTTGATTAGCTCGCTCGTTCACAGCAAGAAATGTATCTACAGCTACACGCATACGCATGTGGCGCCTTCAAACGCGCCGCTGGACATGAGATGGGACAGGCTTGGAAGGAGATATCGGGGCTTCATCGCAAAGTACTCTCCATCTTCGCGGCGAACTCCTTCAAGGATGTCTTCTGGCTCGGCTCTCGCATCAACCACTCCTGTCTTCCGAACGTTGCATTCTCATACAATCCAGCGATCAAGCATGGGACGTTCCACGCGATTCGCGATCTCGCGGCGGGCGAGGAGCTCACAGTTGAGTATATCAGTGGTACTAATCGTATAAAAAGTCAGCGCCAGGCACAGTTAAACAGGTGGGGATTCCTCTGCAACTGCCCGGCGTGCGAGCACACATCGTAGGGTCGACAGAGAGAGACGAAGCGGGCCACGTTGTTTGATCTAGATGACAAGCTCGCACAACCCACGATCTACAACGACTCGAAGTCCAACGAGGAGGCACGGGGTCTTTCGCTGAGAATGGCAGCGATGCAGAAATCCGAAGGTCTCGTGGGTCCCGAGTTGAGTGAAACGTGAGTGATTGACTGCAATCGTACCCATGGTCATTGCACTGACACACGTATCAGCTATCATAAAGTGGCCAGTTACAGTATGAGGATGATGGAACTTCAAATGGCTCTTTTGTGGGCCGAAAAGGTCGTGGAAGTTGACCGGTATTGCGTCGGGGAAGATCATCCAGACTTTGTGCAAACGCGCGAAATTGTGGAAAAGATACGACAGACCGCTCGAGAGTCTGTGCCTTTCGATAAGCTCGCGCTGAGATGGTTATTTCGGCCCACTGAGCCGACTGAGCCCGGTTTCCGGAACCCTGCCCTGTTGATAGCGGCATTTGCCTCCTTATGTCGTCTTCCTGGAGGCCCAGCAGTCACCTGATGGAGAAGAGGTTTCTTCCCCAGATTATCTTGCTGGGCTTTCTCTTTCTTCTTTACTTTCTCTTACTTTTTTAAGTGTTTAATTAGCATCTTGGCAGATTTCTGACGCAGTATTTTCTCTCTCTTTTCTTACTCGACGTAGGATTAAAGTGCTACCACATATCAAGCTGCAGTAAACAAGAACTTTGGGGTCTACCACCTGCATCTTTGGCCCACCGCGAGAGACAACATGTATAGGAGGATGTTTTTAATTTAACCCAGCAACAACCTAGCAGTGAAGGTGAGGTTTATCAAAGTATCTATTTGCATAAGGTGAACGGGATCTGTACAACTCCTTTTAGTGGCACTACATGTACAGCTGTGTAGGTATAAGTATGCTGCAGGTCAATTAATTCCCGGTTTTCTACCAGACTAGACAAGGTCTCAATTCCGTCTGGCTTTGCTTTGCTTAATTCCCAGCACACACCTTGCCGTCCCGGAAAACTAAACAAGGACTAGATTTCAGCATCATATTAATAACTGCCAGCATTCCTAAGAATGTTTATTTAAACGGTACCTGCCTAGCCAAGACGTGAAGACCTAGAAAGTCTTCTCCAAAGCCCCCTCTTCTCCATCCCCCCTGTAATATCCATATTCATATTTCAGCTTGTCTTACTTCTCTTCTCTCTGCGCTCACAAGCCTGATACAGTTAACGGGTCAAGTTCTCCTGAGTGCATCCTACCGGCCTGATAGTCGAACCCTCTGCATGTGGCCCGAAAGGCATCCTCGGGCAGCGATGATTATCCGAAGTGATACTGGAAATGGTCGACTGATACAATAGAGTGGGTGAGACGTGGAGAACCAGCCAGTCTATCAGAGTTGCAGAGTCCGTGATTTTAGCTGACCTCAGCTATACTCGGGAATATTCTCCTCCATCTTGAAATGAATGACCCAGTGCACCGTCTGGATAAAACAGAATCGATATCTATACGTGACCATCGTCTCACGCAGTCAAGGCTGATTTCTGAAAAAGCTTACCTAGGCTGCTCAGCGACGCCAAGCCATGACGCCAGCCTTGGCTCCGCTGGAGGAGCTCACTTCAGTTGCCGGATTCTCTGCCAGTCCGCGCTGATCGAAGTGGTCGATCGAAAGGGTGGATCCAAGATCAAAGACTGGAATTCCAGCCCAAGTCGAACGATAGCGAGCAGGGCTGGGATCCACAAAGGTGAGTCTGGACGCGAGAAACTTCGCGGTTGAAATCTCAGCAGTGCCGAATGTCCGCCGCGTGCCTGATTTCATGCTGCCTGGAACATCCAAGGAAGTCTCACCTTGGCTCCGGACACGTGATGAAGGACCCCACGTAGGAATCGCTCGACTGCCCTCGATTCAAATCCGAGGAAGGCAGGTGCGCGTCTGCTCCTGCTCGACCTCGAATTTGAGACATGCAGAGATGTGATGTGGCTCTACAGGATTCCATGTGGAGCAGCTCCCATGTGCGTGGCTGCAGTCCTTGTCCAGGGTCAACCGGATTTGACCTTTTCGGGTCTGTCATTCACGCATCATAATATAGTAAGCATACTACCTAGTTGGTCTCGACCGGAATACCCTAGTCCGTTCTCGGGCGGGAATTGTTGATGCTCTGGTGCCCTGCTCCGTTGTCGAAAGTATCCTCTAGGTACCAACTCATCAGTATCCCAGAGATGGCTATTGTCACGAACGAAAGATATCCGCGAGCGGCGACGCAGAAGGACGACCGGGATGAACCTGCGAGTCGGACGGGATCGACCAAGCCGTCAGCCAAGCGGCTGCCACCCACGAACGACTCCACGCAACTTTATTTTCCACCTGCGCCGCTTCGCATCCCCATGGAAAGAGACAAACCTCGGTGACGAGGTGTTCTTCGCCTGCCCATCTGTCCCATTGGATTCATTTGAGCCAATACACCTCATGTGAGCACCTGGCCCGATCGGCAAATTTCGGGCTTGAACCTCGGCAGGCGTTCTTCAAAAGACAAATGGCCTCGGTTTACCGACCACAATTGAAGTCAACTGGACAGTTGATCCAGTTGCTAGAAAGACCTTGAGCCTCCCGTAGGGAGGTCTGCCCTCTGGATTAGTTGCTTGGAACATCTGATTTCCACTTCTACTTATCTCGTGGGTCTTGGTAGTGCATGTGCCTGCAGAGTTGTCCAGTTGTTCCCGATTCTCTCTCGAATTGGGCAGGTCGATCACTGGTGGGCCCGGTTCGGCGTGATGGAACGTCCGGCTCGGTGGACCCCCATCTGACATCATCGCCAGAACATACCGACTCAACACGATGGGTGTCGATGCAGAGATGTCTCGAGGAAGAGAAACTTCTTTTGTCCATCATCTGATAGACTTCACAAACGAACCCAAACCTCATCATAATGATCTGATAGAAAGCCTTTGACTTACGTTTTGCATTCTTCAAAACTTGTCGGATTCCCTATCGAATCGCCCATCCAACCCTGCGACGATCTCCCGGCAAACGATGCCCTCAGTAGCGCCCGCTGCTGGACGGGCGAGTCCCCCGCCGGACGACCAAATTGAATCCCAAGATTGGCCAACGGAGCTCAAAGACGCATCCTCGCCTCGTAGTAGTGGAGAGCGCATGCATTTCAAAGGGGATGGATTGAACACCGGCGTGCGGGTGATGGGTACGTGAGATTCAAAGATCTTCAGATCCTTTCCTCTTGTATTCGATATGCAAGCTGGAGCGCTAATTGCAGTCATGCACACAGGAGATGGTCGCTTGAAAATTCGCATCAACCAGCACAAGCCCCATATTGCAGGCCTGTTGAACTTGCATCGCCCGTCCAAGACACATCGGACGGCCGAGGGCGAAGCCGAACGTGTCGACGAGACCTCCCAGAAACTGAACGAAGATGCCGATGATTTCCCACTCCATCTGAACATTGTCATTCAAGTAGTCGGATCTAGAGGCGACGTCCAACCGTTCGTCGCCCTGGGAAAGGAACTTCAAAAACACGGGCATCGGGTACGCCTAGCGACACATCTTGCGTTCCGCGAATTCGTGCTGGATGGCGGTCTGGAATTCTTCAACATCGGAGGCGATCCAGCCGAGTTGATGGCATTCATGGTCAAAAACTCGGGTCTACTCCCCAACATGAGCACAATCCGCAGCGGTGCGATTCAGAAACGTCGCCGAGAAATGAGAGACATTGTGGACGGATGTTGGAGGTCGTGCTTCGAAATGGGAGATGGCACCAACCTTCATCAGATTAAGGAGGACTTGTGGAGTGAGGAGGAAGACTATCGTCAGCGTCCGTTCGTGGCCGATGTCATTATTGCGAACCCACCCAGTCTGGCTCATATCCATTGTGCGCAGAAACTGGGAATTCCATTGCATATCATCTTTACGTGGGTATTGGTCTCTGGTCAATGCGATCGCCAGATAAACCGCACTGGTACTGACTTCTGCACATTTTCCAGCATGCCCTGGTCGCCCACACAAGCTTTCCCCCATCCTTTGGCAGTCATCCAACAGCAGGACTGTAAGCCTTCAGTCGCCAATTTTGTCTCCTATGCGATCGTAGACATGATGATCTGGGAAGGTTTGGGGGATATTGTCAACAAATATCGACGGACGGTTCTTACGCTTGGTTCCTTGGATGCCATCACGGCTCCGAGTATCCTCCACAAACTACGGGTTCCTTGCTCATACCTCTGGTACAGCTGCCCCTGGGGAATCACCACTGAAATTTACATTGAAATTTCACGCTAACGGAAAAGTTCAGGTCACCAGCTATCTTGCCCAAGCCGGAAGACTGGGGTGATAATATTGATGTCTGTGGATTCAGCTTTCTTCCGTCCAAACCTGACTACGACCCGCCAAAAGAGATTACAGAATTCTTGAACAAAGGACCCATGCCGATCTATGTTGGGTTTGGCTCTATTGTGGTTGACGATCAGAAAAAGCTCACGGAAACTGTATATGAGGCTGTCAAAAAGTCTGGGCAACGGGCCATCATCTCCAAGGGCTGGGGTAATGTCGGCGTTGATAGCGTAGAGGTGCCCGATAACATCCTCGTGATTGGAAGTTGTCCTCACGACTGGTTATTCCGACAAGTCTCATGTGTAATTCACCATGGTGGAGCCGGTACGACTGCCGCTGGACTTGCCCTTGGATGTCCAACGATCATTGTCCCTTTCTTTGGCGACCAGCAGTTCTGGGGCGATATTGTCGCTCGGAACGGTGCAGGTCCCTCGCCTATTCCCCACAAGCAGCTTACCGTGGACGGTCTATCTGACGCTATAAGGTTTGCTTTGAAGGACTCCACGCGCGAAAAGGCAATGGAAATCGCCAAGAAGATGGAAGGTGAATCTGGGGTGCGGGACGGCGTGCGCAGCTTCCATCGCCAGCTGGATCTGCGATCGCTGCGATGCGCAATTTGTCCATCGCGGCCAGCTGTGTGGCACTTGAAGCATACCACAGTCGGGTTGAGTGCTTTTGCTGCTGCGATTTTGGTGGAGACGGGCAAGGTCGACCCGGAGAATCTCGTGTTGTAAGTTTCTTCATTGATCTGTGCAAGCAGGTTTCTTCGACTGAACGCATTTTCTAGAAACCGCCCCAAAGAATACGATACCTATCGTGACCCGGTCGGCCCGATCAGCGCGAGTGCACAAGTCCTGTTTGGAGCCATTGCGCACTTCGTAGGTGGCATCGCTGATGCGCCTGCTGACATGGTCAATGATTTGGCTGTGGCACGCCAAGCTCTGATCAACAATTCCGGACGAACTGATCTCGACCATGAATGGCGACGCCACAGGTCCCGCAGCAGACCACGATCAACCGGGGCGAGTCATAAATCACGGAAGAGTCATGATCGTCGGAAAAGCCACGGGACTGAGGCCAGCGATGAGACTCGAAATGGTGATGAAGCTCATACAGCTGATGATAGCGAAAGAGACACTGGCAGACGATCAAGCGAAGCACATAACCGATCCAGTGAACCACCTCGACCAAGCACCTCAAATAACACTGTCGAACACAAGCCAATGCAACCCAATGGAGACGCGCATGGCGACGATGACAGCGAGTCTTCCACTGATGACAGCGACCTACCTGACTCACTCGACGTGGAGCCAAACCTGGATCTGGCAAGAGAATGCACCAATGAACTTCACAAGACGACGACCGTGGCATCCGAATATCAACCCTCCAGATCGCACAATATCATGTATGAAATTGCAAGCTTTGGGGGCAAAATGTCATTGAAATTTGTCAATCTGCTTATTTGGCTACCAACGGATTTGACCATCAGTCTGTCTAAGGGATTTCATAATGCACCCAAATTATGGCATGATCCAATGGTCAGGTCAACTCCTAAGGTCGATGACATTCAGAGCGGCTTCAGAGCAGCCGGCCAGGTAAGCCAAACTTGGAAGTCAACCGAGATGACACAGTCCAACAAGATACTCACAAATACACAGGAATTGTTCCACGGATTCTATGACGGAGTTACCGGCCTGGTGACTCAACCGCGACACGGTTACAAGCAAAAAGGCACAAAGGGAATGATCAAAGGTATCGGAAAGGGCCTCGGAGGAGTTTTCTGCAAGCCACCAGCAGGTATGAGCGAAACTTTCCACCCCATCATCTCAACTAGTACTCAAGACGAAGTCTTGCTCATACGACTAACATCCAAACTCTCAGGCCTATGGGGAATTACGGGATATCCTCTCATGGGAGTCCGCCGACGAATCCTAGCCGCGCTTGGTCGCTCCAGCGAAGGCCAGATTGTCCTATCCCGCATTGCGCAAGGCCACGAGGAAATGTATGCCTCATCACCTCATGAGCGGGCCGAAGTCGTGAAGAAATGGTCCGTGATTGAAGGGTCTTTGACCTCAACGCAGAGCCGCAGACATAAAGATACTGGATTCCGTCGACACTTTCACCACCACCATAACCACTATCGTGGTCCGTCTAGTATGTCTCATGCTGTTACGACTTCCACTTGATTCTGTATTTTTGATGGGTTTTGTTTTTCTTTTTTTTTTTTTTCAAATGTATACCCTCGGTTTTGTTGTTCATGTTTTGCATTCTCGTTATACGCATTCCTGAGTTTGATGTTCGAGCGGGGCTGCGGGATGATCTTAAAGGCTATTGTTGTATGAATGTTTAGCTTTCACTTGTGTATATTAGCATTGCGGAAATAAAGGTCGCGAGTCTCTCCCAATCGGAAACTAAACCAGGCCTCCATCCTGTCGCCATAAGTCTCGCCGGCCTTGTATATTCATCTCACCTACGTACAAGATACCATATGCTCACTCGAGAGTCGACAGCCATCTCTACTTTTAGTATCAGCGATACCCCCGCTGCCTTATAAGTACGCCCAACGGAACATCATCCTCATCATAAAACTCTGCCTCCTCATCCACGCCAAAGTCCCCAAGCCGCTCCCCCTCTGCATTTCTCCACGACTCCTCCCCTTCCTCCGGCTGATCACCATACAAAGGCTTCGCCCCGTCTCGCTCGTCAGGATCACTCTCGCCCTTAACTCCACCCCGTTGCTGCTTATATCGCTCGTGGAAGCGTTTGCGCTTTTGGAGTTGAGAAAAGGGTCTACGCCTGTTGGCATCTTCGGCTTGGCGCCGGCGGAACGCTTCGACTTGCTCTTGTGCTGAGGTGTATGATTGTAGTAGGGCTGAGTCATCTTCGGCTTGAGGCTTGGCGGGGAGAGGGATGCGATCGGGATCGGGGGGTGGCCATGTTACGCCGGGGTCTGGGGGAGGCGGATGTTAGGAATATTTCGAAATTGGGGGAGGGGGAGTTGGTGGTGAGATGCAGTGGTTAATGATTTACCTTCAAAGTCGTTGACTTCGTACTCCCAGCCATTCTTTCGATCTGGTGTAGCTGCGAGCGGCCAAAACCAACTGAGGACCTGTTACTGGGGTCAGCATCATTGGGGATAGGAAGGATAATCTTGACAGGTGTTGGAGATTGACTGACGTTGGCACTGCCTCCCATCCCATTTCTAATATTGGACCAGATGCCAATATCATACGGGAATTCTTGTTTCCTGATGGCTACCTTTCTCCCACCTGGTCCCTCGAGGTAACCTCCCAACACTCGAGCACGACGGACAAGAGTCTCATGTCTCTCGATTTCCCAGGACTCAATGGTTGTTGTATTGAACATGAGAGACCAGAGACTTCGCACGAGTAGGATCAACAGAGCGAAGACTGTCAAGCTGTTTACCACGAAGAGGACAAAGAGGTGGATCAGTTGTCCGATTGATGGACCGAGGTACTAAGCAGAACGTTAGTGAGGGGTCGACGATCGAGTGAGGTTGTCGTCAGATCGAAAGCTCACGCTGGGCAGGTCTCTACTCTTCCAGACTGCATATACTCGTTCCCAAAGCGAGGTCTCGAGGTAAGTCATGCCGACCACTGCGTAGAACAGAAAGCGGATGAAGTGAGGGAATGTAAAGTGCGAGACGCAATTTGACGTCCATGGACAATGATGGTCCATCTTTGGTATGCATCTGTATTTCATCAGTCCTGTTTTCATTCCACAATGGACAGGAGAATTGGGGGCTACTCATAAGCATAGAACTTACCTCTTGCACGTCTTACAGTGGTGAGCACGGGGAGGCTTGACTGCTTCGCATCTACGACACCATCTTTGCCGAATGGTCGCCGGGTCTTGATCCGATTGTTTCGAGACACATGTCTTGACATTTAATGGCAGACGTCCAGGGTCTACAAAGCAGGCACGAAAGTAACAGATCCAGATGCAAAAAGCAAAAATATTGATCTTCCAGAACTCGTCTTTGTGGAATGGTACCGCTTCGAAATGCTGGAAGAAGTATTGGGATGTGTATGCCAGGAAACTGATCAGAAAGCTGACAGCAGGTATCGCCAATTGCGATATTGAGAAGTCATCCTTCAACATCCTGAGACCCAGCGACCTGGCGCTTATGTGGTCATAGAAGGTTAAGGGTGTGTTGTTCTTTTTGCTGGCCGGAGACTGGAGAGCTCAGATAGCCTCCCGTAGCCGTTGATGCATGCTGTCCATCCATGGGCCCGTCCACCTGGCACCTGCACCGGGCGATGGGGAGATGAGTAATCAGCCTGGCGCCGGCCCCGGACCCATGACCGTATTCGTTTACGGATGGACAAGCACACAAGTGATGCCTTAAAGCCTGAGGCTAACGTCTGTATATGGCCCGACTCGTCCAACGTGACTGGCCGGAATCACCTACTATCCGTCTCCACATTGGCAGCAACAGCTTGAACGAGACGTCATTGCCAATTCCACAGCAAGACGAAGGGGGCCTGATTTTAAACGGGAAGGGGCATTGCGCGAAGCAATTCACGCCAGAAGAGGCAATGACGGGCGTGCAGAGTTGCAGATTCCCGCGATGCCAATAGAGGCTCTCCCGCAAGCCACGGTTCGAGCCATTGGCTCCACCTCGGTCATCTCTGATCCATGCTCCGTCGTGAAGGAGCTGCTAGACAATGCATTGGATGCCGCCGCATCCTCCGTGTCGGTGGAGATTTCGCAGGATACAGTGGACACCATCCAAGTCAAAGACAACGGTCATGGTGTGCATGTCGAGGATCATGCCTTTGTTTGCAAGCACGCCTTTACAAGCAAGATCTCGACGATCGACGATCTGAAAAATGTTGGTGGGAAGACTCTAGGATTTCGAGGTGAAGCTCTTGCGAGCATTGCTGAGATGGCGGGTTCGGTCATCTTCACAACTCGTACCGCCTCGAATATGGTGGGCTTTCAGCTGGAATATGGGAGGAATGGGGAAATTATCAAGTAAGGCTCCGGATGCTTCCACTTGTAACCGGATGGAATTCTCATGTTTCCTTTCGGCCAGGTCTCAAAGGATTGCACACCCAGTCGGAAGCACAGTGCGTATCCGGCATTTCTTGAAAAATATTCCAGTCCGAAGACAGGCCACGTTGAAAGGCAGTGCGAGATGTCTCGGCAGGATCAAAAGGCTTCTTCAAGACTACTCAATGGCGCAGCCCTCCAAGCGGTTCTCCGTGAAGGTGATGAATGCTAAGAAAGAAAGCCTCAACTGGTCTTTTGTACCTGCTTCAAGTCCGTCAATTCTGGATGCGGCTACCAAAGTCATTGGGCTTGATGCCGCCGCTTGTTGCACAACGCAGGTAGCCTCGACTACATCAGAGATACCCGGAACGGACAGCCCTGCTCAGAGCCCATATAAAGTCGTGGCTTTTCTTCCAAACGTTGATGCCGGTAAGTTTCAGCAAACTAAACAGAATCCCTTTTATTCTAATCGCTATCTACAGATCCATCAAAAATCAACGGCAAAGGCCAATTCATCAGCATAGACGGTCGACCGCTCTCCTCAGCAAGGGGACTGGGACACGATCTTGTCAAGTCGTTCAAGTCTTGTATTCGTGTGGCTTGGTTGGAACGTGGCGCTCCCAAGTCTGTCAATGACCCCTTTATGTGTCTCCAAATCAGTTGTCCGCAGGGAAGCTACGACGTGAACGTCGAGCCTGGCAAGGACGATGTGCTTCTAGAAGATCGCGAGATCTTATTTGATCTCTTTGAAGAGATACTTACCTCTCATTATGGGGCGCTGCCAAAGTCTGCAACAAAAAACAAGCCTGAAAAGTCAACAGATACATCGTCTCGTGAGCAAGTAACGGGATTCTCTCTACTGATGGCCCGAAGACCCCTTCCCTCTACGGGAAAAGACGTGGACGAAACTCACAATATCCAAACTTCGATCCGCTCTCCCGCTGTTGCACGGCAGCCTTTGGCGTCTATTGGTCTGCTTTCGCCAGAGATCACACCGCGCGATCAGCGGCAACGAAGAGCCCTCGACACGACTGTTGTAACTAGCTCTCCAGATGCGCGCTCATCTGAACCCCGGGTTGCTTTAAGTGCCGACTCCGCCACTTTACAAGAGAACCATGAGGTTTCTGAGCGCTTTTTGCATAGGGCAATTCGACCCGGTCTGTTGGGGAATTTTGAAAGAGGTGCAACAAACGCCACTACCGGGGCTTCGCGAAGTCAAACAGACGGACCACGCGGCCAATCGAGACTCACTCCAGTGAGTCCACTGAGGCCCCGTCAGTGCTCGCCCCCGGGTCAAGGAATGGAGCGCAACCCTCAACACGGAAACAGTGCCAGAAAGGCGGCGCGCGCAAGGGACAGAGAGCGTTATGGTAATGGTGCTCTCGATACATGGTTCCAGCGTCTCACTCAAAGTTCCATCAATACTAGCTCGTCAGAGACCCAGAACCAGCCCGATGCTGCCGAGCCTTCCCTTTCTGCACTTGCTGAAGCAAGATTTAACCCCCCGTCCGACCCCCTGGTCACGTCCAATATCTCAGGTGAGAGTCATCACTCCAGGACGAGAGGTCCGCCCAGTGAAGCTCCCGGGACTTCCGTGGAATCATCACCCGACCAAGCAGCGACAGAAACGGGTCAAGCTCAGACACGGCCTATAGATAGTGGTCGCGGGTATCCTGTTCTCGAAAACTGGGCTGCCAGTGTTCACGAAGGTTTCGTGTCTGCACGTTCTCTCGATTTGGAGCAAGCCCTTGACTTTGAGAGGCGGAAACGGGAAGTCAACAGAAAAGTCCGAACTCACTCCACGCGACCCAACCCGTCAATAAGAAAAGTCTCGCTGGTCCAAGCCGACGATTCGCAAAGTCTCGCCGCTGGAGAATCACATCCAACAAGAGGCGCCGCTGTAGGGTTTCAAGCCATCACTCATCTAGCAGCTGATGATCCGAGAGCCTACCTCATCTCGCATCAGATGAATGACGGGCCAGCTCGACGAGCGAGAACGAGTAAGCTCCCCTTGGAGAATATTAGCGAGGAGGACAAGCTTTATGAAAAATCTGTTGTCGTCGAGACAGAGGTTTCGGAAGTGGCGAAAGCGTTTCATGACCTTGCCTCCAGTGATCAATATACTCGAAAAAAGGATGAGAACACTCAGCTGGTCTTCTCTGATACCGCTGATGCGACTGCCTTCCTGAGTGACAGACTGGTTGCGATCGTCAGTCGGAGATTTCAACACGAAGTCGGCTCTAGTCCATTTGAGTTGCGCAACGAAATTCAAGCAGCCTTGACAAATCACGAGAAACGCCTAGAGGCAACTGAGGCCGGCCTTGTATGAGCTAGGCTGAGATTTCTTACACTGGATTAAGGAATGTCACTCTCGTGATCAAATAATTGCAGAATACCCCATAATGTTCAGCACAGGATTTGAGCTTCTTCTAGCTGCTTTCCTATCTCACTTTAATCGATCGGGCGACCCAAACTTTTCTGTCGCTTTTAATCTATTGGATTGACAGTAGTTAGGTTATCTGGCGATTCTTATAGCCTGAGATCCTTAGGCTGTCCTGAAGAATATTCATGAGTCTTTCCTATTTCTTGAAAACTGCATGATTTATAAACAATTCATCGATTCTCCCGTCAGGCCTGACGAGAAACCCCTAAATACAATCGGCATGAGCATCGAGAAATGCAAGCTCTCACACACCGCTGCGAATATACAAGTCATCCTCAGGAATAGCCTGCCCGATCTTTCGTCGACGGCCGTCCTCGCCCGCATCAGAGTCCGAAACCTCAGAGCCATGACCCAATTGTAACATGTTCCTACTGTCTCGCTTCTCCTGGACGTAGGAACGACGGCCCCCAATCATAGTATCGATGGAAAGAGATGGTATACTTGACGCTGTGGACGGGGTCCGAAACGTCGCCGGGCGTACTGTTGTGCCGCTATCATCTGCAGGTGTTGCAGGTGAAATTGGCGATGAATGGGTGGTTATGGGAGTGACCACGGGAGTATCCGATTGTACGTTATAAGGCGTGGCGAGTTCGATGGGAGAAGAGTCTTCAGGTAATTAGTGTTTGTTGAAGTGATTTTTTTGGCACCTTCAAACCATCACATACCTTGCAATTCATGTACAGCTCCCCCACCCGATTCCACGGTGCGAGGAGATACCGAAGTAAGAAACGAGCCCTGAATCGACGAAGGCGCGGTGATTTCAGTCCGCCGTCCAGTGGATACTGATTGCGGTCCGGGACGCGGAGACGTCGGGCCTGCCCCGTACATCAAGTGGCTGACTTCAGTGCTGTCCGCTTCTCTAGGTCCATTTGTTTTACAGAAGGATGGAGGAAGGCTGTCTTCTCGTTGTTGTTGACGACGGCTCCAGAACCATAGGCCAAAAGCTATCGCTCCGATTACCAGCAGACCGAGCAGTATACCGAGTACTGCTGCTGCCCATTTGGGGAAATGGCGATCAGACTGCTCGGACGTTTTATTTGCCTGTGTTCCGTCGGCGACTCCGTATGGCCAGTAGTCTCGAATTGTCTTGGAGTATGGTTTGGAGAAGATGGTTGCCAATGTTGAATTGTTCCACGTCTCTGGGGCTGTTTTGGTTGCGCCGCCAGAAGAGCTGGAGTTCAAGTGTTAGTTTGAGCGCTTGGGATGTTTCGTGTTTGATTTTTAAATGGTGTTACCGACCTGCCGCCAATTTTTGCTGTAATTTTGCTAGGGACCTTATATTCGCTCCATCGTGTCGGGTCGTATTTATCCTGGAATTCTAGAGTGTTAAGATTGAAGGTCCCAATAACACCTCCCTCCAAACACTCGGTAGCACCATTGCGAACTCCTCCTAGTGTCATCATCTGGTCTGGGTAGATCTTGAGACAACGATGACCACTTCGGCCATGGCTATTTGTCCCGTTATAGACCTTGATCCATTGGAAAGACGGCAAAGACAAGACGTAAACATCGTCCGAAGGTATGCTACTGAGATCAATGCCGTCATAGCCCCCATAGATGTAGATGTTGTGTGACGAGTCATCCGGTGCACTAGCCAAGACGGAGCAAAACTGGGTCAATTGAGGTGGTATATTACCTGTGGTATTTTGCAGGAACCACGTCTGGGTTTTGACATCGAAAATAGGAAGAGTCTTCATGAATGACGGACTGACTTTTTGCGACGTCTCAGTCTGGGACGTGTTCAATCCAGTATTCGGATAGAACTGAGCGGGATTCACAACACCACCAATCGCCACGAGCACGCCAGAGTCCGATACAGGGACCCAGACCAGCTCTGCATTGGCTCGTCCGGGTACCTCAGCCGGTAGACTTTGATTCCTCCATGCGGCATCTCCCATCTTGGACATATCGACCGTGATCATCGTGTTGGCAGTCATGTTTGCATTAAGCTGATCGTACGTGATTGATCCCCAATTGGAGTCACGCATGCCACTGAAGTAGAAACCAAGATTCTCACTAGGCGCGGACACACCAGCCCCATTGGTGATATACCTGGTGACATTGGAAGACAGCTTCTCCGAATGCCATCCGGGTCCCCAATTGTTCCTGTATGCGCCATACTGATATCCCTCGAAGGACAAGATTTGGTCCGCAGGAGGCTGATCACTGCTGTTGGTGAGACGGGGCATACCGCTGGATATGGAGAAAACCGTGAGTGACAGCCCCACGTCGATAGTTGAACTGGGCGAAGTCCCACTCACCCATATAAGTAGAATTCATTCTGGTTCGAGAACATCACTCCGTCGATGTAATTGGGAGCCAAGTTATTGGCTGTTCCACCTGCAATTGTCTCATTGTTGAGAACGGCCAAAAAGTCCGAACTCGTGTTGAAGGGAGTGGAGAGATTGAGGGAATATATGAAGCCCTGGAAGTTGCCTATTGATATGGGTATCATGATCCAAGATCAGTCTAGACTCTGGATTTGATTTGGGAGTGTTCCAACACGTTTGATCCTGATCTTGTGGGCTTACCATCGTTGGCATAATTCACGCAGCCGTCCGCGAATCCTCTATATGACTCGTTGAGCATGAGGGCTTGACTAAGTTCTGCAAGTGTGATGTGCGAAAGCTGTCTTACTGTTGCATCCATAGATATCCCCCATCTAGGTATATTGAATCTCGGAGAACATTCGCTGCACTCAATTAGTATCCAGTTTCGATGAGATATCTTCGAACGCTCGGGGAAATAGTGTTGCCGACTCCAATTTCCTTGTACATACCGCGCACGCCCTGCCAGTTGCACATGGAAACGTTGACCTGTTTTTGCCAGGTGGAGCAGGCCCCCAATGCATGATCCACGAGAATCGCCCATATTGTCACAGTAGCCAGAGCTGAGGCTATCATGATGCAGATATCTGAACGGTGAAATGACTTGAAAAGATGTGAGGTGTCCAAGAAATTTTCTCGCGTGGCGAAAATTCACATCTCGGCGAAGAGCTGCACCCCCTGCTTTCAACACCTAGTGACTGCGTCTTTCGACAACCCAGGTCAACTTGCTCAACTCATAATCTCGAATGAAACATTTTGCAGTCAATCGCAATTCGAGTCACGCCGGTCAACTCGACCACCACTCGGAAGACAGAAGATGGAAGCCGAACCGGGGGTTGGCAGACGGCTTTGTCCACGTGGGAGCGGAGGCGTCGACTTCTTTGTTTCTCCCTCTGCCAAACCCATCCACCACCGACTCTCTCCGCGGCGCATTTGATGGCATCGCCTCCACCTAGACAATGAATCCCTGTCATGATGGCGATATTTCCAGCCTAAAACCTATTCGCGGTTACATTGGAGGCGTGAGGCGTCCTCATATGGCAAAGATGGAAAATAAGAAATGCAACCGGGCACAGCTCAGCTCATGGATATGCATAGTTCTTTCATGTTTCTACCAGGGCCTTTCGGGACTTGGCCAATTATGTTCACGTCACTTGGCCTACTCGAGTCAACGTGGTAAGCCAAGCTCAAAGCGAAATATCAATTCGGGGATCGTTGCCAGAGTTGGCTGTTATTGACTTTGTGGACCCCAAAACGCAGCGCTGCAAAGGACGAAAATGAACGAGAGGAAACTTCACACTGAGCTCTTCGACTCTTTTTCAACTATTTTTCTAATTCATTCTTCCATCCGACCATCTGAAGTTCTCCGGTCATCGTGCTCTCTGTCAATACTCACAATTCCAGTGCGAAGGGTCGTTCCGCGATGAAGCTCCTTACTACTTGCCTCTCGCTGTGTGCGACCATTGCGATTGCAGCAACACAGTCGCCAGGCCCAGCACTGACGCCTTCGTCTTCATTGACAGCCCTCGGGGAGGTCACTTTGCCGGCTGTCACCCCTCGAGCTCTCAAGGCAGCGGCCACGCCTATACCGGGCGGCTGCGGTATCACAATCACCGAAGAGGTCACGATCGAGATTCACGAAACCATCACCTGCACCGAAACAGTCATATCGACGCAGACTGTGTCCAATGCCACAACTGTGACAGTCAGCTTGCCAGGGTCTGTCGTGACTACCACTTTGCCCGGACTTAATGTGACTGGTCATGTTTCCACCGTTGTGTCTACAGTTGCCGGACCTACTGTGACGATAGGGCCATCAACTGTCACGTCGACCGTAAAGGGGCCCACGGTCACCTTATCCGGCTCCACCGTCACGCTTCGAGGATCAACCATCGCTGGTCCCGGAAAAACAATCACTCTCACGGGCAATGTGAGCACTATCACCACAACGTTGCCAGGCGTCACTAAGACCGGTCCTGTGTCAACAATCACCGTGACCTCCAGTGTGACTCGCTTGAATGGAACTTGCACTGCCCCCACGAGCACGGTCTCAAGCTCTACTGCATTTCAAGCGATAAGCACAACCTCCAGCACGTCCAGGGAGTCAACCTCAATCCAGCATGGAGTGTCCACCACAACGACAAGCTCAAGCCTCACTGCCAAGTCGTTTACGATTACGCCTTCAGCCTCGGTGACAAAAACTACATCTTCAACAACAGCATCCGTGAGAACTCACACAACCACTGTCACCTCGACAATTGTGGTTCCAGGATCGACAGTGACTACAATTATCACTGGTCCTTCATCTACGACCAGTATGCCTCATACGTCCACGTCCACCATATCAGTTGGTTTGCCTGTCACATCTACAAGCACTCGCTTGGTCAGCTCAATTATCACAACTACATCGACCCTGCATACCACGAACATTCCACCCACCTCTGAAACCACTAGCCGCACCTCCATGTTCAGAGGAAGTACATCGACAAGCTATCTTTCTGTGAGCACTACAGCCGCGAATATATCTACCACCCATTCTTCTGCAGTCTCAGTATCGGGTTTGTTCAACCATTGTTCCCAGTAACTGAATTTCGCTGATCGACTTAGGGACAACGACAATTCTTGCTGTCACTTCACGAGAAACTACTACATTGACTAAGCAAACTTCGGCGTATCAGAGCACTCGGATAACCACGGATGCCGCCTCGATATCCGTCTGCTCAACTTTGACTATCAACCCGACATACAGCCCACCTGCTGCTCTCCCCAGGAATTACACATGGGGCTGTCCTCCAGGGTTCTTGTGCAAGCCTTCCCGCACTGGCGAGCGTCAGGACTGTACCATTGAGGCTGGTCTTCCTGCTGAAAATTACACATGTTCGCCTTCAGAGTGTGTGATTGCACCGCCGTTAGTACACCAGAGGACAACGGATGGCAATCAGACCTATACTTACAGCGAGGATTATTACAATCTCGACCCTGAAAATTTCGGCTTGAACTACCACTTTAAGGTAGAACAATCTTCCCAGACTCCGCAGGCGTCTGTCTCTAGTACCGGAAGGTACACGTTCATTCCTCCGGCACAATGGGGTCCTAAACCCATCGCCGGAGGAGGCTCGGGGGGTTTGGGAGGCTCAGGCGGATCAGGAGCCTCGGGGAGCACAGGAGGCACAGGTGGTGCCAGCGAAAATATTCCCCCTCTTTGCTACAATCCGTGCAATGATGCTGCTCTTGAACCGCAGTCGATTGGGAAGGTACCAGAGCTCTGCAAAACTGGCTCAGCATTCTCCGTGGATCTTGCCAATTGTCAGTCATGCATCAGTCACTGGGCCTCGACTCCATCTGACGTGTACTCGAAGACACTGCTGCCTTCATTTTCCCAATGGCTTAATTTCTGCGACGACATGACCATTACATCCGTCAGTAGTACTGTACCGCCAACAGTTGCTATCACCACGAGCGAGAAAGTCCCGACCACCAATGTGGCAGCGACATCCGAGTCTACTCCAGCTGCACCTGTTTCTACGTCTCCAGCACCTGTCTCCGCACCTCAGGTTACCTCGGCCGTAGCTACAACCAGTAGTCAAGCTACTTCGGCGATGCCAGTTGGGACAAAGCCGGCTGAGACAAAAGCGAACAGTGTCACCCAAGCAAAAGGCGGGCATGACATGACCACTCATGTCCCAGAGGCATATACATCAGCCATCAGCTTTCCATCAAGCTCGACCGGGGCACCTGCTTTAGTTCCACCGCAACCCGGCTCGAGTCCTTTGGCTATTGATGTCAATAGCAATATGCCCTCGAAGGGGTCTTCGATTCTATCAGAGTCGAATGCCCACACTGAGACCTCTGCGGGAGGCGCAGGCCAGTCCCTTACACCAGACCCTTCTGCCATTGGCTCTCCCCCTGGGACGGTCTTCAGCAAAGGCAAAGATCCGACATCTGGCACGGGCATTTCGCACTCAACAACTGGTCGAACTCACGTGGGTAGCAGCGTTGATTCCACCGATGCGGGTAATCAGACAATCGCAACACCAACAACAAATAGTGTGGGCGTCACAGACTCGGGCGCAAGCTCGAGAGGCTCTGTCAACCAGACTCAAGTGGCAAAAACGTCCAGCACCTTCGATAGCTCGATGAGTCGAGAGAGCTGGAGTCGCACAACCTCTACTATCATTGGCGTTAGCAGCAACATCACCACTGCATCTCCGTCTACCAGTGGCGTTGCCTCCGCTACAGGTACGGCGGTATCTTCCCATATTCCCAACTTGGCCTCGGCCAAGGGTGAAGCCATCGGTACTACTGTTTTGAGTCTGATTTTGACTGTTCTCGTGTCTTTCCTTTAAAAACGTGAGGGTCCTCTTCTTTTGTTCGGTTTATGCACCGAAGATAGATAATCATTAAGTTAGTTGCACCATGCCACATAATCCAACAAGGTCCTCTGTGCCTAGATCATAAGACTCCGGTCCACTGTTGTTTGTGATAACCTTCCATTCTCTAACCAATTCTGTAGACTGAGGCATTGAGATCTGGTTCTTTCGGGCATCTTCGAGCTCATTCTCGCACCCTCGAAGAGACTGCTAAGATTCTGGAAATCATTCTGACTCATGGCTCCAGACAAGAACATGAACTACGAATCTCTCCCACGGGTCACATTCAAAATCAGCCTCGAAACAATCAATCCGCCATCCCCATCAGCCCCAATAAGTCAATCCGATCAATCATGCCCTTCAAAGTCCTCGTCTACGCTCATCGACTCCCGGCGGTCACTCCAGAGACTTTCAAACAGCGCTATGAAGCGCACATCCAGCTTTTCAAGCGCCTCGTCGGCGAGGCATTCCCAATTTCTCACCGGCGCATCTACATATCGCGCACTCTGATCGACGCACCACCTGATCATGATCCTTCTCACAACGCGACCACTCCGGCGACCGTGATTGTCGGCCAGCCATCTGACTACGACTACGATTGTCTGGCTGAGATGACCTTTGCGGATCAGGCTTCTTGGGAGGCCTGTGTGGCGAGGGTTCGTGCCCCGGAGATCAGTGCGCAGATTGCGGCTGATGAAGACCAGTTCTTTGATCGGTCGGAGACGGGGGTTGTTGTTGTCGGAGACGTCGTGGAGACTTGCAAGTGATTTTTGAGAGACCACGCATACTTGGGCTTGACGGGCATTAGTCAGTTGCGACGTGTGGTCTTGGTTGGACATTTTTGTTGTTAATGTTTGTATCTGAAGGGGTGGTGGAATGGGGATGTTTATAGAATGTGTTTATCTCGGTCCCCGTCGATTTAATGACACGCCCACAGGTCCACCTCAGCGGTCCAGCCCAGAGAAGATTATCATGACTCATCCATTCGCTTCCAACTTCCAAACTCTCGATACATTCGGAAGACCCAGAGTGCAGTGACTACTACTGCATTTACTAACGTCGGCTCATACATGCACTCTAACTATTAGTTATAACCCATGCCATTGCCCCAACCCGGCCCGGGCAGACTTCATCGTGTCCCTGATCAGCCAGTCAAAGGCTCAAGCGTGCGCAGGGGCTCTCGTAGCCGCATTTGCGCATGAGATGATGAACACCCTCCATCTTTTCGTGATCAATGTTCAAAACATCAACTATTCAACAGGTCTGATGGGAAGACTGAGATGATGTCCACCTATCCATCCATATCACTTTAGGCAAACGAGCGGAAAGCTCGGTCCAACCGTTAGACAACAATGACATCATCGCCGTGTCGATAACGAGTTTTGAAGCGATCCTGCCTGATCGCCAGACCATAAAATGCGCAATACCGGGGAGTCTTGTGCTTTGCTACCTCTCATGTTGTGAGATTCAAGTCACACTATCGAGCTCTGCGCTACCCATCTCATCGTCATGGCGGGGGCTCCAGCGTACTCGATGATGATCGATCCCCAACCTCAAATTGGGGCGCATCTTTCATCAGGCCCCAGTCTCAAGATGACCACCGGCGATATTGGTATTCTACGATCAACACTTCTTCCGTCCTTTGGACTCTATTCGGGCTTATCAGTCGCGACCTATCTCACAGCGCAGGCCACAGACCGTGCTGAGGGGAAAGACTGGCTATGGCCATCTGCTCAAGTCCTCAATGCCTGGCTGATGGCTGTTGGCCGTCCGATGTATGAACATGGCCTCACATTCTCTGATGCCTGGAAGGAACTCTCATGGTCGGAGAAGCTGCTTCTTGGAGGTGTGACGGTCTGGGGAACCCGATTGTTTGCGCGCATTGCAAGCCGCTCGCTGGCTCGCGGAAAGGATGATTCTCGGTACGACGCACCGAAGAAAGAGCCTGGTTTCTGGAGATCCGCGCTCTTTCAGATGTTCCTGCCGGAGGCAGCAGTCTTGAGTATTATTTCTTTGCCATTCACTGTGCCATTTGTCGCCAGTCGAACGACTCTCTCCCTGGGTGCTCAAACGCTCGACGCCATTCGGGCGCTGGGTGTCGGTCTTTTTAGCTCTGGCTTCGCGCTCGAGGTACTGGCCGATAGCCAAGTTGAGCGCCATCGCCAGGAACGAAGTGATCTGTGTCGTCATGGCGTTTGGAGTATTGTCCGCCATCCCAAGTTAGTCTCTTATTTTCCTTTGCCTTTCCCTTCACGATGTGTCCACGAAACCCCGAACAATGAACAGTACTGACAGTTCCATAGCTACTTGGGAGACACTTTGGTGCATCTATCGTTTTTGGTCCTGAACATCACGAACAAGTTTAACCCTCTTGTCCTTGTTGGACCTCTCACCAATTATCTCTTCCTTCGTTTCGTTGGCGGCGACAAGCAGACCGAGCAGAGCCAAGAGGAGCGATACCGAGAGAACGCACCCGAGAAGTACGAGCAGCTGTGTGCTTGGCGCAAGGAAAAGAACAGTTTCTGGCCTTCTCTACGAGAAATTACCAATCCATGGACTCTGGCAGTCCTTGGATGTGGATTCGTAGGTGTCGGTTTAGAAAGAGCTTTGCGCCAGTCGTTGGCTATATAACAAGACCAATTCTGTACATAAACTGCAAGAAATATGTGAGATTCTTCGAAACGGATCTCACAGAGACGCACCACAAGCCCAACGACTCACTGCTATCAACAGTACTATCGCGCAAGCACTGTTTCTAGCCACCACGGTATCATTAAAGCCATTCCAACTGATCCCACGTATCGGCGGCCCCAGAGTGGATCAGTGGACCTCGGCCCATCCGAGACGGGACAAGCGCCAGATCCCCTCGTGCTTCTCTTCTCGAGTATTCCATCTCCGAAGCCGAAACCTTATCGCGATCAGCCACGTACTGCACAAATCGTTGACTCACCCAATTCGCCAGAAACTGAAGGAATACAGAGTCAGGAAGAAGAGTCTTGGCGTGGAATTTGCATAATCCCCCACCAACCGCTGATTATCACACAGGCAGCCAGCCGGCCCTGACTCACCCTACAACCTTCCAGGCCTGAGTGCGCATTTGGCGAATTCCGCGGGCAGCATTGGAGAATCCCACCACGGAGAACAGCCTCGAGTCTCGCACACTCCGTAAGTAGTGAGACAGACAGACAAGGCCATCGCCACGAGACCCAAAGACCAGGATTGCGATTGTATTGTCCAAAATTCACACGCGACAATGACGCTCGAAGTCCAAGTCGCCAAGCCCATCGATGGCCCCCAGCTCGCGGCCGTCTTCTTCGACGCGTTCTCCCATGAATTTGACCGGAAAATGCTTCCTCCTAACGAGCCAGAGGTGCGCGCGTTCATGGAGAAGACGATCCTCGGCGATTCAGAGAGTTCCGAAAAGGGTGTCACGCTAAAAGTGGTCGATCCCGCCCATCCAGACGTGATTGCTGGTTTCGCCAAGTGGGTGTTTCCTATCCGTGGATCGGATGCCAGTCACGATAGCCGGCCAGATCAAAGGCCTCCTAACTGGCCAAAGGGCGCGGACCCGGACTTGTGCAAGGTGTTTTTCTCGACGATGGAGAGAAATCACAAGAATGTTATGGGGGAGCGACCACATTACTGTACGTATAGAGATTCCTCACTGGTGGCGGCCGTGTAACCTCATAGAACTGCCTGGAATCGAAATATCTCGGATTGGAGATGTAGTCGCAGCAAGGAGGCACCACAATAGACTGACGCCAACAACAGATCTTGACATTTTGGGTGTTCATCCATCGTACCAAGGGCGTGGATTGGCGTCTAAGCTTTTGAAATGGGGCCTGGGGCGCGCAGATCAAGAAGGTCTCGAAGTATACCTTGCTGCTTCCCCCAGCGGCCGGCCGGTCTATGAGAAGAAGGGATTCAAGGTTGTCGGCAATCCTTCTTCGCCATATCCGGGCTATGTACAGGTTTGCATGCTTCGTCCTGTCCAGTCGAAGAAGGAGTGAGCAGGAGGGGCAGGAAGTTGGGCTGATGTTGGCGTTCATATGATGGGACAAGTTCATGTTTGATCTCGGCGTGAGGTGGGTGATTGATCATATCTCTCTAGATCTAGGGACGTGAGACCTCGTCGAGAATTATAAACACACTGTACATACTCAGATCACTAGAACATCTGCTCACCTCGTATACCACCATTGTCCACGGGGAATTAGACATGCGAGAAAGATCATGAATGGAATATCCCACTACACTGAATTTGACAATGAGACGAATTGTACAATTTCATGCCTCAAGAAGGCTAGGGCGAATAGTTGGTCATATACATGTCACGCTGGAGCTGGCGACGTCAAAAGTCCAAATGACGCCATTGCTAGTACACTCCAACCTGCACAGAATCGACGGATATGCACTTAGCCGCTGGAGGAGACCCGACCTACCTGGAAGCCCCTCTTGAACACTAAGTCGTCTTCGCTGGAGTTTGGTTACCTCGAGGATTGTGTTTTCTAAGCAATGCCCTATTACACTTATAGAGATCCTATCAGTTGTTGCAGAATTTCCCAATAAATCCTTGACTGAGAAGAACTGTGTCAAGATGACATCCGATTGAAAAGTTCAGTAGGGCGTGCCTCTCCAGTCGGTTGAACAATCAAGCCGTAATGACGTACGCTGGCTTCGAGTTGTTCGATCTATGGCCAAGTAACAACAACCTTGTGAGCTACCGGCACTAGCTTGGTATTTGAGGCGACCTGAGAGGAGTTTAAATATCGCGGGGAAGAAAGGTCACTTTTCTATCTTCAACTACCTAATATTCCTTCAATCTCATCTTTGTTCCACATTGATCAAGTGAGAATTCCAAACCCAGCCCAATTATCTACCGTCTATTCGAGTCACCACACACAATCTCACAATGACCAGAGTATTCATGTAAAGACAAGTCAGCTCCAAAATGGTGGTCGCATCACTTGGCTTACAACAACCTAGCACGGGTGCAACAGGCTACATTGGCGGGGACGCCTTGAGCGTGATCCACGATGCCCATCCAGACTACTCGTACGTAGCGTTGGTTCGCAGTGCTGAGAAAGCCGACCAAGTCAAATCCCGGTTCCCCAATGTGCAGACCGTGATGGGCGACCTCGATGATTCGGCGCTGTTGAAACGGGAGAGTGCAGCGGCTGATATTGTCCTTCGTAAGTCCAAACGAGGACCTTCTCGGATTGATCTGGATTCAGACTGACGGGGACTTCGCCGCTTTCTAAATACCGCAGACACTGCAGATGCGTCTGACCACGAAGGCGCGGCAAAGTCCATTGCGGCAGGTCTGGTGGCCGGTCACAGCCCAGACAAACCGGGTTACTGGTTGCATACGGGTGGGACTGGAATCCTCACTTTTGAGGATAGCGACAAGGAGTCATTTGGAAATAAGAGTGACAAGGTCTATAATGACTGGGATGGAGTCAATGAGCTTTTGACCCTTCCCGACCATGCCTTCCATCGCAACGTTGACAAGATCGTTCTCGAAGCCGCGGAGAAGCATGCGGATGTGCTCAGAGTGGCTTTGGTTTGCCCTCCTACCATTTACGGTACGACTCGTACATACCGACCGATGCCTTTGGCCTTGTACATTCGAGGGGTCTTGTTTTCTTTCTTTTTTTACTTTTTTCTCCTCGTCGAACGGGATAAGCTAATTCGAGCGGTGCAGGACGAGGCCGAGGACCCAGCTCGCAACGTGGTCGCCAAGTTTACGAACTGGCCAACGTCACTCTGCGACTTCAAAAGGGCCCAGTCATCGGAAAAGGCGACGCAATTTGGAATAATGTGCACGTCCATGATTTGAGCACGGTCTATTCACTGCTGGTTGAGGCTGCAGTCGCAGGCCGGACTGATAAGGGCCTCTGGGGACCTGAAGCCTACTATCTCACTGAGAACGGGGAGCACCGCTGGGGCGACCTTGCTCAAGCGACAGCACAGACTGCGGCTGAACAGGGTTTTATCCCCGAAGCCAAGGCGGAGCGCATTGACCTTGAGAGTGCGAAGAAGTACGCTGGCTTTGAGTCGTTAAGCTGGGGTATGAATTCGCGAGGTCGCGCACTCCGGGCGCGTGAGATTCTCGGGTGGAGACCATCCAGCCCTAGCTTGCTGGAGGAGTTGCCGGAAATTGTTCGAAGCGAGTGGCAGCGACTGCAGAAGTAAAAAGGCCTGGATATAGTGGCGGATATGACAGGTCGGGGAATCATGTCCAGAGTATCTCGTTGGGCAACCTGAGCGAGACCGCACTGTCCGGCCAGACCGGGGGGGGGGGCTGCATGTTGAGACTTGTCTGCAACCGCCACAACTGGAAGTAGCAGCCGAAGCAAATGCCGGCGGATCCAGCGTGTTGGCTGTTCAGCGACTGATTGGCAGAATTGATTTTCAATGAAGGCTGAATTTCCGAGCACTCTAGAGTGTAGACCGTAGTGATTCTAACAAGCCGACTCGAGTCATACCGCTGCCCAATCCACATCTCAGGTAATAGGGCGGTCAAACGATCAAGTCGGTGATGACGAGACCACGACTAAATTTGAAGAAATGAACCGGTCGTTTCTCGTCAGCGCTGAAGGAAACAAGAGGAAACAAGAATGTTCGACCGGTCTATCAATGGATAAGTCGGGTCAAAGAGATCCTTTGAAGACATTGAGGGATTAGGCTTCAATAGTGGAAGCTACCGAAGAGCCGCACCCGGTCGAGCTTAAGTGACGAGTTGCTAGTGTAGAAGGTTATCCGGAGGAGACATCTCAGTCCTCCGTGCGAAAGGATTCTCTTGAAGTCCACCTTAGCAGGCTTGGCAGAGCAGAAAGAGCGATTTGCCTAATGGAGGATATGGTCAATCACTCGAGACATGACACTTTGTCTGTCAGCGAGACTGCGCGTGTTCACTGATGAGGTCTTGGAACGATGAGAATTGCAAACTTTGACCCCCCCGGTCTGGACATCGGATGAATGTCTGACAGTTTGACATTTCGCCAATTCCCGCTGGCGGGACTTTGAACCGACCGCCGATCGCGTGGAAAGACTCTCAACGCGACGTCGGAGGAGCAGTTCAACCGGCTCGGCGCAATTAGGCGCTCCACGTCCCGCTCGGCCTCAATCTGGTATTCCCGATGTGTTGGTCGACGCCATGGGCAGCAAGGCGTCAATCCAGCGGTGGAAATGCGAGATGAGGTTCGTATTCGACATGCACATACTGTAGCTCAGGGCAAGAGATGCCGAGGAACGGCGTGTTTACGACGTGCTGTTAAGCCCGGGCCAAAGAGTAATCACTATTTTCAAGTGACGAAGCCTTCCTCAAGCACATGGAGAATAGAGCCTGATCATGTTTGCCGTGTTATATCATGAACGGATCTCGTCATCTCTTATCAACAGTTTGATATAAGTCTCAAGGTCCACCAGGCCGTTACAAACAAAATCATAATCGGCCAAAGGGACAGCTCAAACACATCTCTTCTGAGACTGGTCCAACCACCTGCAGCCTTATTCTTCTAGCCACTCATTCCCTCTAGTCACTGTGATATCTATCTCTTCAGACTCCCCTCGCTTCAGCCCCTGTTCTGTCTGGACTCATCTCACAATCATGGCTTCCCAAGACCCCTTTGTGAGACGTGTACCGGACTACGATGCCACAAGAACTATCAGCAACTCTGGTTCGACGAGCCCCAAGAATAAGGATGGCGATGCAGGGAGCCCCAAGTTCGCTTTGAGTCGACGAGGGCAGCTGGCGTTTTTCACGCTCGCTGTTCTCACTCTCATGGCTGCGTTGGATGGCACGTCTCTCTCAGTTGCTCTTCCAGTGAGTTTTTCTTTTCAGATGGAGTCTCTCACTCTAACGGCACCAAGCTCCTCTTGCTGACAAAAAATCAGATCATCGCCGACACACTTCATGGAACAGCGATTGAAGCCTTTTGGGCTGGAACCTCGTTCCTACTCTCGTCGACAGGTTGGTCAATCATTCTAAATCGAGGCAGTCTCATATGAACTGTAGGCTGATTTGCTTTCATTTCTACTCAAGTCTTTCAGCCAAGTTTTGCTTCACTGTCGAATATCTTCGGTCGTCGTCCCCTTGTTCTTATTGCCCTTTTGTTCTTCTGTGTGGGTGCGATTATTGCCGCTATAGGCAATAATTTCACATACATGCTCGTCGGCCGGACAATCCAAGGCATTGGCGGAGGCGGTATTATCGCCCTGAGCGAGATCATTGTGACTGATTTGGTCCCTTTGCGGGACCGAGGTCGATACTTTGGCATCATCAGTGCCATGTGGAGCATTGGCTCGGTGACAGGGCCAATTTTGGGTGGTGGATTTGCAGAGAAAGTGTCTTGGGTGAGCAACTACGCCAATATCTCGGGATGCATAGGAAGATCGGTACTGACCTCGTTGAAAATGTAGCGCTGGATCTTCTATATCAATCTACCCTTTGTGGGTGTTGGAGCCGTGTTCGTGATATACTTCTTGAATCTAAAGATCTTGCCATCTTCGTTGGCCGAAAAGCTTCGTCGTATCGATTATATCGGCACATTCATCTTTGTCGGCAGCATCTCCTCCTTTCTCATCCCGTTGACATGGGGGGGTGTATCATACCCTTGGTCTTCGTGGCATACCCTGGTCCCACTGTGTATCGGGGCTGCTGGTCTACTCGTCTTCGCCTTTTACGAAGCCCGCTTCGCCAGGGATCCAATCATTCCGCCTATGATCTTTCAGAATCGCACCGCGACAGTCTCCTTCATAGGGAGTATCCTGCAAGGTCTCATTCTATGGTGCACTCTATACTACCTGCCACTGTACTATGAGGCAGTAAAGGAGTACAGTCCCATCCTCTCAGGCGTCGCTCTCTTCCCAGAGACTTTCACTGTGGCTCCCAGTGCAGTTGTCGCAGGCATCTTGATTACCCACACAGGGAATTATCGATCGGTGATTTGGGCTGGGTGGTTGATCTCCACGATTGGACTGGGACTAATGTGCATCATCAAGCCCTCAACCAGTATTGCGGGCTGGATCCTACTCAACGTCGTCCCGGGAATCGGTCTCGGTCTCCTCTTCCCCTCGCTCGGCTACGCTGTCCAAGCCTCAGCGGCCCCCGAGAATCTCGCCATCGCCGTCGCTATGTTCAGCTTCTTCCGTGCCATGGGTCAAGCGATTGGTGTCGCTGTGGGAGGAGTCGTTTTCCAAAACCGCATGCGGCAAAATCTGCTGGGATACGCCAATCTGGCGCCCATGGCCGATCAGTATAGTCAGGATGCGGCCGGCTTGGTTCAAGTCATCAAGGCGATGGCCGAGGGACCAGACAAGTCCAATCTGAAAGAGGCTTACACCGACAGCCTGCGCATTGTCTGGGCCGTGTGTTGCGCGGTGTCCTTTGTTGCTCTGGTGCTGAGTCTCTTCACCAAGTCTTACGATCTTGACCAGGTGCTCGATTCGGCTCAGGGTCTACGAGAAGGAGAGACTCAGCTGCCACGAGAGAAAGATATTGAGATTTCTTTGGATGAGACCAACCAGCGCACGCCCTGGGCGTATTGATTCTGAGAGATTAAGAAATTGCATGCATTGATTTCGTGCTTGCGTATTGGACGTCATCGAATTGTGCATTGCGGATTTTGCAACTTCTGGTTTCTGGTCCCCTGAGTGACCATCTTGTAATCCTACACCCTGCACTTACTAGCCATGCAAGATTTACGTATAAAATAACGATAAATTCGCCTTTTGGGTTTGAGATAAGCCGCCCTTGCTGTATTTACTCCTAATATACACTTTGAGTTCTCCACTCATGCATTCTTCAAACCATGTTTAATGTTCTTGTATCAAGCTGAAATGGAAGATGATGCCTGAGCTATTCATGATCTTAGTAGAAGGCTGGTTGGTCCTCACCATGTAACACCGAGACTTAACAGTTGATCTCTACTACACCAACATAGAAGAACTGAGGTCGCGTGATGCACCATCAGATAATTCTTGCACTCGGTCGATTCAATTTATTACAATTCAATTTCGACCAACGAGCTACAGACCCCCGAATGAACCATTAAAAAAAGAGACGCCCAGACAGCCTCGCCACCAAGCCCTTTTGAGAAGAGCTCTCGGCAACGCCAGATATGCACAGCCATAAACACAGCATGTTAAAAAGCAAAGCTAGTCGTAAGTTCATAAAGTGAGGACAGGATAGATCACAGAAGTAGACAACAATTCCAAGCATCATTCGCGGCCCAGAACTCTCAATCGTTCCTTGAGGGCATCCATTTCACGATCAAGACTAGTGCCCACTCCTTTGTTGGCCCTCTCCATCTCCAAGTCCTTGAGCACGATCGATCGATACACACCATCTCCATCCGGCGCTCCAACAGTCACCCAGACGAACTTGGTCCCGTTGCTTCCACCGGATACGCGATCCTGTGTTCCTTGCCAGAACATCTCCGTTGGCGTCAGTTCTTCTCCGGATGCAGACACGCACGGTGGACGACCGCCCAGTCTCCCGTATCTGATCCAATCTTTCAGCACATCTCGGATGAAATCGATTTTTTGCAGGAAAGAGTTGGCCTCCAGAATTTCACGAATGCGATCCTCGACGGAATTGAGAGACTCCCCATTGGCGATACTCAAGAAAGTCGCTGCTTCGTCTGAAGCCACAGCGCGAGTGTCGAACCCCGCTGGATGCATCTTCCCTTTCGCCGTAAAGTAACGTGCAGCAGAAGGCGAGAGATGATAGAAGTCAATCCAAGGGGAGGAGCTGCGAGTGCGTCCGGGTGCAATTACGAGCTTCGTATGATCAGGAAAGTTGAATTGGAAAGCACCATCCCCAAAGCCCCAGATTCCGACATTTCCGAGTCGTTGGTAGAATTTGATGAATTGCCCACTGCTAGGTGTTGGCAGTTCATCACCCATCCCTTCATCACCGTGGCGGCCCAGCGACCCGATCATGTATTTGCCGAATTGATCCACCAGCTTCACTCGCTTGATCTTTTCAAGATCAGAGCGTTCTGCTTCGGAGCCAGACGTGGCACGGAGCTTCATGACCCTGGACGTTCGCGCGTCGAAAAGTGATGTGTCGATCACGGCACGTCGAATGCCGCGACAGCCTAGTAAGCTATCGTCGCGATTCTCGTAAAATTCAATCGGTGCGCCAGCTCGAGGGACAAGTTGATCTGCCTCTGAATAAGGGACGCCCTTCTCCTCTGATGTGTCGACACTGCGTGCTTTGCGACGAATATGCCTCTCCCCATCTCGAATGACCACGCTGGTTGCCGGTCGACCATTTTCCCCCTTGAACACGCATCCCACACTGCCATCGTCCAGAACGTACCCGATTCCATAGCGATTGGTGTAATCTACCCACTTGATCACATATGCGTGAGGTTGCTTCCTCGAACCAACCCGGCGACGAGTAGGTCCTTGGTTGACAAGATTTGTCAACATAATTCGCAAGCTGTTGTTGACGTCGGATAATGAAGTGCCTGGCAGGTCATGACAGACATCATCGTGATGAAAAAGTGGACTGAGACCCAGACTAGAGCGTGCCCTTTGCGACCTGCTATCAGTTCGAGTGAGACCGTCCATCGGAGTCAATGATTTAGTGTTCTGGCTAAACGAGAGAGCAGATTCAGTCGAGCTGGGTTTTGATGGCTCTGCTCGTCCCGCTGCAGTTCTCGAATCAGGACGCGACGCGGATCGAAGTGAGCCCTGCCGACTGACAGTACGACTTTGCTCAGCAATTGCTGGCATTCTGCTCTCGCTGGTCGGCACGGCAGACTGCAAGCCTTGATTGGCGGCCTCTAGTCTGCGCGACTGCGATCTGGTCTTCCCTATTGTAAGCCCGGATGGCATACTTGTCGATTTGGCCAGCGGAGGGGCAATCATTTCACGAGTTGTAGGGGCATTCGATGCAGAGACCATTCTTCGCGCACGAATGGGCCGTTCTGCAAGACCACCAGCTGGTACATTCGAATGCACGGAGGCCGCAGGATCAAGCTCCACTGTATCACGAATCAGTCTTGCGGTGGGATCTGGAAACTCCACCACAACCGGTGCTCGTCGAACTGAGGCCATACCAGGGCGAGCCTGTTGTCGCAGGGTGGCGGCGTGATTTTGACCCTCCATTCGGCGTTGTTGTGCAGCTGCCAGCGCCACGTTTGTTCGAGAGCTTGCAACGGCTTTCGAGCGAAGGGAAAGGCTGCGTCCGGACACTGCGCTGTCGTCAAGTCCGCGATCTTCGGTACGCAGCGTTTTTCGAGAACTCTCCATGTGGCACCAATCGCCTTCAATCTCATGAGGCCAACGGTACACAAAGTCTGTTGGTAGCGGCACTTCGGGTCTTAGACCTCTGGCGTCCTCGGTCTCGCACTCCGAGTATGCCGATTTGGAGCAGTTCCTGCCTACCGACTTGCGAGCCGTCCCATCTGGCTTCCTCCCCACGCCGCACAATGAATAGAATGCCGCCCTGCATGAGTGGTAACGTTGAGTCGGATCATCGACTTGTTGAATGTACGCGCGAAGCTTCTCGTCAAAGTCCAGTCCGTATCCGTTGACCATGCAGTCACCACGGGGCGATTGATCTTTCAGCCATATTGGCTTGTTGAATCGACATGCCGGGTCCAGTTGTCGGGGAATGCAGCCATCGTACATGTTGAAGAAAGCATGTTCCACAATGTCGTCGGGGTCTGGACGTTCCTCATCGACCAAATTCAAACAAGCACTGACTAGATCCTTCGCCTCCTCCGGAATGAAGTTGGTGCTCTCCGACTCTTTAGGCCACACGTAAGTCAAGCTCCGAACCTTTTTATAGATTTCTTCCTGTGTTTTTGATTGAAAGGGTGGAAAGCCGGTGAGCATTGCAAAACTATAATCCTGTCAGAGATTGCCTGCTTGAACAACGGTGAGCCATCGCTTACCAAATGACACCGAGCGACCAAATATCGACTTTCTGAGTGTGGCCTCCTTTACTCTTGTCAAGAACTTCAGGTGCGATGTAATTTGGTGTGCCGCATAATGTATTTCGTCTCTTCGCGTCCTTGTCTGAGAGAATCATTGCTGCCAATCCGAAATCTCCAATCTTTATATTCATATTGCGATCGAGGAACAAATTTCCCATTTTCAGGTCTCGATGCGCCACGAAACGTTTATGCAGGTATTTCACACCCGCACATAGCTGGATCATGAAACGTCGTACTTCGGGCAGGCTGAGACAGCGGCGCTTCCGGACCATGTCCATGACCGATCCGTTCGGACACAGTTCGAGAACGACGTATGTGCTCTGTTTGAAGGCGAAGGCCCGGTAGAATTGAACGATGAAAGGGTGGCGCATTTTCGAGTGAATCTGGAGCTCTGTGCGAAACTACATCAAAGGTCAGCGCACGTGCGGGGTCGAAAACGTCTTCATATAAACAAGTCTCATTGTACCTTTTCTTCCATCTTTTTCTGAGGCATGTGCGACTTGACAACTTTCATTGCAAAGACGCGACCATTGCGGGCTAATGTTCCCTCGTAGCACACCGCGAAGCCGCCCTTCCCCAGAAAGCCTCCAATAATGTAATCCTCTCCATCTTCCTCGGGTTCTGTCACCCTTGATGGTGGTGGATCGGCATGATTCTTCGAGGTGGAGGAAGGTTTTTGGGTCACTGGAACGGCACGTTTGTCGGTCATCTTATGGTCTGGCAAAGCCTTCGGCTTTATCGTTAGATTGGTCGATCGGGGCGAAAGAGCTTCCATCCTGGATCATGTGGCAGCGAGGATCCTTCGTCGGAACACAGCCAAGACTGGGACGGAACGATTTGTCTGATGGGAATTACTTCGTCGACGAAGAGTTAAGTAGAAAGGGTATCACAGGGTATGCATTGGTGCAGGAGATGGGTATTAGAATGCAGGTCGCGATTTCTGCAACGGCACAAGAGCATTAACATCTGTCCCGACTTCCAGTTCACATCCACCCGACGAAAAGTCATGCAACCGAGCAGTCCCCCGGTCGGCCATTCGAGAGTAGGGATCTCACCGTAATGCAATACGCTGAAAGAACGGAAGCACTGTACAAACAACTCTGGAGTGAAAAATAGGACTCGGCAATAAATCGGCAGGGACTAAAAGCGGAGAAGCGGATGAAGCCAAAGTGAAGACCTTGAATCATAATACATTTCCCGTTCGGGAAAACAATAAACATGTGCAATTGGTCACGTGACTCCATGGCAACCCAGCCTGCGTGCAGTATGTTAGACTCAATGTGACCCCGATTTGCTAACTGCTACATTGGTTTACTCATGGCGCTGGGAAGCTCTATATGTATACTTAGCTCTAGGTGTGTGCGTTTGCATCTCACGTCATGTTGGCAATAGAGTGAGAGTGATGTTCCATCTAGAGTCAGGCCAGACGAAAAGAAACCCCCAACTCGACTCACCGATGTATGGAATTCCACCCGTGGATATGCTGTGGAGTCGGTCTGCTCCAGCAGGAGCGGCATATTGTTGATCACCAGCCGACCACTCCAGTCCCGTCGCCTCCCCGACCCGTAATATATATCTTCTCCAGCCCAAGGTAGGTGTTGCTGCCTGAGGAGTTGGTCGAGTGGTAATGCTGAAACCGAGGTAGATAGGGTGTAAGCTCCAGGCCATGTCTATGCAGGGGCGCATGATCGGATTGATATATTCAAGGCAGTGATTTAATTCAGTCTGACCAATCCAAGGTAGGTGCACGTTGATGCAATTTCATGTTCGAGAAATCCCCGCCCGCAGTGGACGCCCTGCTCGGCTGCCTGAGTCTTTGAAATAGTCAGTAAGGGCCCAGTTGCAGGTTCTCCTAATGGAAGATTGCCATCTGTCTCTCCATCTTATCAGTTCCCTCGGGCTGTAGGTATCCATCTGCTCTTATAGTTTGTACATTATCATTCTCCCAGGTCCATGAACATTGGCCGAGCGATCACCATTGAAAGAAGGCTCTAATCCATTTGGTGGTAATCTCGCCGGCCTGCAGGGCGACCTGTCATCAAGCCAATTGCTGAACCTCGCGATCCCATTCTTAAAATGTATTATATGTGCAATGACGGCGCATGTGCTGACTCAACATGGACCAGACCCCTGAATCTTACCAGTATACGTCGCGAATCATATCGATCGCCTCGGAGTCGGTGCCGGAGTTTAGACTCGGGTTTGTCGGGTTTGCATGTGGTGGGGCTTTGCTCAGCCCGTGGCTGATCGCTGTCACGAGCAACTGCAGTGGACAATCGTCGAGTTGAAGCTTCGAAGTTGCACTCGAACACTGCAAGCTGTCTTGTCTGCAAACACGATGTCGCTAACATTGAAATTATCGTCTCTCGCGATTCGCACTCTATCAAAACCAATTGCGGTAAGTTCGCAACACGAACACTGGCCCTGCACACCTTTATTCCCCGGAGCATACCAGCTGACAGCCCTGCAGAACCAAATCAAGGCACAAGCTCGTGAACATGAACGTTTTCGGAAAATCTGCGTATCAATGGCGCAAGCCCTCCATCGATTCGATATGCGCCTGCGATTAGGAAATATACGTGACACGAGCGCGGTTCGAAAACAGGTCCAAGCAGAGGCTGAGTTCAAGAAGCACATTCCGACCTCCCCAACGGTCAAAACCGAGGCTGCCACCAAGGCTGAAGAGGAGGCTCAGGCCAAAGCCAAAGCCGCTGCAGAGGAAGCGGCGAAACCGGCACATTACCGAATTCGACCGTTGTCCGAATCCAAAGCCATCGAGTCGGGCGCAAACTTCATCAGTGAATCCTTCCTCTTCCTTGTGGCGGGCGGTCTGATCGTTTTCGAGTCGTGGCGCTCACGTCGCAAGGAAAGCACTCGTCGAGAAGGCGTCGAGGATCGCTTGACGGAACTTGAACAATCAGAAAGGGTTGCCAAGGAGGCTTTGGTCGCGTTGGAGAAAGAGCTACTGTCCCTCAAGATGAAGCATGGCGAGGTATCAAAGGCTACACACATCCTGCCTCGCGAAGTCTGGGAGGTTGTTCCAGAGGCAGACGAACCCGTGGTTTCAGAAGCGTGGTGGACGCGCATTGTCTCTTTGAATCCTTTCACCAACAGTTCTGCGACCGCCAAGACAGATGCGGAGTCATCACAGAAGCAACCCGTGCCTGAGAAGCAAATCTCGCCCGTCGGAGTCGCTCACGGAGGCAAATCATAATCTTTCTGGTGGACTTTTGGTCAGCTGGAGGACACCTCTACCAAACCATCAACTCATCGACCTGGTATCTTTTTCGAACTTTGACCTTGCATCACTTTCTAGCGTTGAATGCCCTCCGCTCTGCACATATATGTATTTTTGAGGATTTGGCGTTACAATAGATTGATTTCTCATGTCTATCTGGGTAGAGGCACATATGTGTTGGAGCAGATGTCAACAACTTTTTGAAGAAATTACCTACCGCGCGAGTCCACGCTCTCGCCATCGTTAAACATGGCACATCGATCAGCCGCACGACTACGCAAGGTGTAGGCCCTGACGGGAGCAGTAAGCCAGTGACTCGTGTAAGAACACAACGACTACCATGGTAGGAGAAATGGACCTATGGATTGGCTCGGTTGGTAATCCCTCCCTCTGGGTACGTATTCGGCAACCTTCTAGAATCCGCCGATCACTTTCCGAAAGCGTGACAGAAATGGTCCATTTCCTGTGGCTCGGACTCCAATTTACTTCTCGGTGGAATCCACTTACGGTCTCTGGCGATTTTCATCCAGGTTGGCATTCTCAGCCCAATTACTCCTCTCATGGACAAGTCCAGTCTTTAGACTCAACTCTTCGAATATCTCGAATTAAATCAAACAGAGACTTACAGCAGTTCGATAGCGCTGACGCCTTCTGAGCATCCAGGAGTCAGAGCAATGGCGGGGATACCTATCGAAGAAGACGCGCACGTTTGAAAAGGGAAGCATTGTGGAGATCAATGAGGCTCAAGCAGCCCACGGCTAGAGATGGACGTGTTCAAGGGGCATTGCACGTTCCGCCAGGGACTCGTGCCTGCAAGTGGATGTCCAGTCACTATGGAGGATGAGACCTTTTGTGCTGCTGCCAGAGACACACTGTCTTTGCCCGGATGTACTCCAATATCGACAGCGCAGGCCTCTCCCAGTAAGCACGTGCCCTGTGAGGGTGTTCTCAAGACCAGTGCTTTGAGGGTGTTTCTCTTCTCCAAGGCATCTCCTATTTCAGTGAAGACTCTATCAAGTGAATAGGCATTCACCACCGTCTGTAATCAAGATACCGTTGGGCTTCACTTCTCCGCTGGTTCCGTCTCTATTGTCCATGCCTAATGACGTCGGTGCATGTCGGGTACCCTCGAACCCTTGCACGAGCCACATCGTGACGCTCGTGGCTGTTGAGATGACAGTTCCAGTGTAACCCAATCAAAGATTGAAAGATGATCCTCGAGATTTGGAGGAGATTTGAAATTTTACCAGTTGACCTGGCTGTATTCCGGACTTGAAAGATCAAGGCATTGATCATTCGCCCCGTTGAGGCGAGATGGTAAAGGCAGCAAGATTAATTAATCATCCAACGCATGAACCATGAAGTACAGACGCATTCAGGGAAAGCAGTGACCCCCAAGTGTGGCGCAGTTCCACCGGGAAGTGCGGGTTGTTTGATTTGGTTTGTCTCGTCGTACGTAAGTCCGCCCGCATGCCGCCCCCAGCTACAGGCCGCTCCTTAGAGATCCTGTGCCTTTTCCCCTCGTCCATTCAGAGAATTCCTTCGTCTCTAGGACATTTTCTTCTATACCAGAGACCCAGCGCATCTGCATGGTGCTTCCCAACCGTCGATTGACTGTACAGAACAATCTCTAACGCCCAAAAGCCGGGGCGCTCAAAACAATCATGGTGTGTGGCCTCTACCTACACCCTCCCCCCCCATGATTGTCGCAAGACCAACCTTCCGGCACCGACAAGGCTAACCCCGCAATTCGTTGCGACCATGTAGGGTCAGTCACGAAGACCAGCAGGCGGCGAGAAGAAGAGTCGCTTCGGTCGTAACAAGGCCGCCGCGGACGTTGGCGATGGCCGCCAGACTGGCAAGTCGCAAGTCAAGAAGGCTACCTTCGAGACCTCCAAGAAGAAGGAGATCGGTGTTTCCGACCTCACATTACTGAGCAAGATCTCCAACGAGGCTATCAATGACAACCTAAAACTTCGTTTTGAGCACGATGAGATTTATGTAAGGTGGCCACCGGCGCAATCAGAGACACTGCGGGGCAGAGTCGCCGCGCGTGGGAGATAGGACTGAGGCTAACGAGAGTCACATCAGACCTATATTGGACATGTGTTGGTCTCTGTCAATCCGTTCCGCGACTGTAAGTATACGTCCAATTTGCGCCCTGGTTGTCGATTTTGCTGACATGTGCCTTCTGGATCACAGTAGGAATCTACACTGATAAAGTGCTCGACTCCTATCGCGGCAAGAACCGACTCGAAGTTCCCCCTCACGTCTTCGGCGTCGCCGAATCCGCATACTACAATATGAAGTCATACAAGGACAACCAATGTGTGATCATTTCCGGAGAGTCAGGTGCAGGAAAGACAGAAGCCGCCAAGCGCATCATGCAGTACATTGCCAGTGTCTCAGGGGGCAGCGACTCCTCCATCCAGCAAACCAAGGATATGGTTTTGGCTACGAATCCTCTATTGGAATCTTTCGGAAATGCAAAGACATTGCGCAACAACAACTCCTCCCGATTCGGCAAATACTTGGAGCTGGAATTCAATTCTAACGGCGAACCAGTCGGCGCCAATATCACAAATTATCTTCTAGAGAAGTCCCGAGTGGTGGGCCAAATCACCAACGAGCGAAATTTCCACATTTTCTACCAATTCACCAAGGGCGCTCCGCAGAAATACCGCGACAACTTTGGTGTGCAGCAGCCACAGACCTATCTATACACAAGCCGCTCCAAGTGCTATGATGTGCAGGGGATTGACGACGTCGCCGAGTTCAAGGATACGCTTGACGCAATGCGCATGATTGGAATGACGGAACCCGAGCAAGATAACGTCTTCCGTATGCTTGCAGCAATTCTCTGGATCGGGAACATCCAATTCTCCGAGGATGATTCGGGTAACGCATCCATCACGGACCAGTCAGTTGTGGACTTCGTGGCCTATTTGCTCGAGGTCGATTCCGCCCGGGTGAACAAGGCGTTGACTCTCCGTCTGATGGAGACTGCTCGTGGCGGTCGCCGAGGATCTGTGTATGAGGTTCCGTTGAATACGGTACAGGCTTCCGCGGTTCGGGATGCTCTAGCCAAAGCTATCTATTTCAATCTGTTTGATTGGATTGTTGGGCGAGTCAATCAGTCTTTGACTGCTCGGGCAGCCGTGGCCAATTCGATTGGTATTTTGGATATTTACGGATTTGAGATCTTTGAAAAAAACTCTTTTGAGCAGCTTTGCATCAACTACGTCAATGAAAAGCTGCAACAAATATTCATTCAGCTGACGCTCAAGGCAGAGCAAGACGAGTATGCTCGCGAGCAGATCAAGTGGACACCCATCAAGTATTTCGACAACAAGGTTGTCTGCTCCTTGATCGAGGACAAGAGACCCCCTGGTGTGTTTGCGGCGTTGAATGATGCTTGTGCTACTGCACACGCTGATTCCGGCGCCGCCGACAATACTTTTGTCGGAAGGTTGAACTTCCTGGCGCAAAACCCCAATTTCGAGGCGCGCCAAGGCCAATTTATTATCAAGCACTATGCTGGAGATGTCAGCTACGCCGTTGAAGGCATGACTGACAAGAACAAGGATCAATTGTTGAAGGACTTGTTGAACTTGGCCGGTTCGAGCAGCAACCAATTCGTTCACACGCTCTTCCCCAATCAGGTCAACCAAGATGACAAACGACGTCCACCCACCGCCGGTGATAAGATCAAGGCCTCCGCCAACGACCTGGTCACCACTTTAATGAAAGCTCAGCCCTCTTATATTCGTACCATCAAACCCAATGACAACAAGGCACCGCGGGAGTACAACGAAGGCAATGTCCTCCATCAGATCAAGTATCTGGGTCTGCAAGAGAACGTGCGCATTCGTCGTGCTGGCTTCGCTTACCGTCAGACTTTCGACAAGTTCGTCGAACGATTCTATCTTCTTTCACCCAAGACCTCGTATGCCGGTGATTACACATGGACGGGCGACTCCGAGTCGGGCGCCAAGCAAATCCTGCGTGACACTAGTATCCCGGCCGAAGAATATCAGATGGGTATCACCAAGGTCTTCATCAAAACCCCTGAGACGCTCTTTGCTCTGGAGGCTATGCGCGATCGGTACTGGCACAATATGGCTATTCGTATCCAGCGTGCTTGGCGCAATTACCTCCGTTACCGTATCGAGTGTGCGACTCGTATCCAGCGATTCTGGCGCCGAACAACAGGCGGTCTCGAACTGATCAAGGTGCGTGATCAGGGACACCAGATTTTGCAGGGTCGTAAGGAGCGTCGCAGAATGAGTTTGCTTGGATCCCGACGCTTCCTCGGTGACTACCTTGGGATTGGTAACAAGGGTGGTCCTGGTGAAGTGATCCGCAATGGAGCGAACATTAGCAGTAAGTCTTCTTTCGATGTGGCAGATGGCCGCTCGCAGATTGATCTAATCCGTACATTACAGCATCGGAGGAGGTCCTGTTCTCTTGCCGTGGTGAGCTGCTTGTGTCCAAATTTGGTCGATCGAGCAAGCCTGTCCCTCGCATCATTGTTTTGGTAAGTATATGATCAACCAAGTGGGCGATTCATAAGACGTTATTAACAGCCGTCGCAGACCAATCGCCATGTATACATTGTCTCCCAGAGTCTGGTCAACAACCAGCTCGTCATCGCCTCAGAGCGCACAATTCCTCTCGGTGCTATCAAAAGCGTTAGCACGTCCAACTTGAAGGACGATTGGTTCTCACTAGTCATTGGAGCCCAGGAGCCTGATCCTCTTCTGAACTGCGTTTTCAAGACGGAGTTCTTCACTCATCTTTCCACGGCGCTTCGAGGCTCTTTGAACCTCAAAGTTGGCGAGAGGTGAGACCGCCACAAAGACTTTATTTATGTGTCATAAGTCGTATCTAACCCTTTCACAGCATCGAATACAACAAGAAGCCCGGAAAGCTGGCTTATGTCAAAGCAGTCAAGGACCCAGCAGCGGGTGCGGTTGATAGCTACAAGAGCAGCACTATTCATACTAGCGCTGGAGAGCCACCCAGCTCCGTCTCCAAGCCTACCCCGCGAGCCAAGCAGATAGCTGCCCGGCCTGTGACCAAGGGAAAGCTGCTTCGACCGGGTGGCCCTGGTGGAGGCCCTTCGAAACTCTCTGCCGCCGCTCGGAAACCTGCACCAGCTGCGCAGCCTTTACCCCAGACGAGTCAGCCCGCAGCGCAACCCCGGATTGTGCCTCAACCTGTGGCAGCAGTGTCCGCAGCCGCCGCTCATTCACGTACCACATCGACTAGCTCAGTCAGAGCGCCCCCTCCCCCACCCCCATCTGCACCCCCTGCCGCGTCTAGAAAGCCAACTGCCAAGGTGTTGTACGACTTTAGCAGCGATCGTGACAATGAGCTGAATATTCGGGCTGGTGAAATTCTGGAGATTGTGTCCAAGGAAGGGAACGGTACGTTTAATCCACGACCCAATTTCCAAATGAAAAATGAAGAGATCCAAGGGCCCTAATACTCTCTCGCACATTTATAGGATGGTGGCTATGCATGAACAAGACCACGTCCGCGCAGGGCTGGACACCCGAAGCCTATCTCGAGGAGCAAGTTGCGCCCACGCCCAAACCTGCGCCTCCTCCCCCCCACCAGCAGCTCCTCGGGCAGCTCCTAGTCCTGTCTCTAATGGGCACGGTGCCGTCGCTGCGGCCAAATTCAAGCCTGCTCCGCCTGCTCCACCTGCGAAACGACCCAATATGGCCGGGCGCAAGCCCGCACCTCCAGCTGCTCCACGCGATAGCGTCCTGAGTATGAATTCGGGCGACTCTTCTGGCGCAAGTGGTCGCGGCACCCCAAATAGCACTTCGAATGCCAGTCTCGCTGGCGGTCTGGCAGAGGCATTGCGTGCACGCCAAAGTGCTATGCAGGGAAAGCACGATGATGATGACGAGTGGTAGGGTACAGTAGTACATTTCAAACTGCGCTCTTGGCTCGCGCAGTCAGGAAAGAGGGGTGTATCTCGTTTTAAGGGTTCCAGGTCAACTCTTTCCATGCTCCCGTTGCGTTCGGGTCGGTCGCGGGCACATTTTTGCGCTTAGCGTTTGACCTTTTTTTTCCCTTGTCTTTTTGGCCCTTCTTCTTGACTCTCTTGCCCCTTACTTCTTCATTTCCTGCCTTGGGTTCTCTCCTTTCTATCGGGTAACCAGCCATTACCCCGTCGTCATTGTGTTGTTTGAGTAGTTGTTGCGTGTCGTGTAAAGCAAGCTACGGCTATGAGAATTCAAACCATTCCCTCCTCGACACCCTTGATAATTCAGAGTTCAGATTTGGAGCTGGGTCTGCCCAAGTCTGATATTTCATCTATTGCATTCCTGTGTTTCACGTCTCGCTTGGCTGAGCCCAGAAGTAGTAGTCGGGTGAAATCGAAGCATCGAGATATTGACTTTACTTTCGTGCATAACAAACATTTACGTCGACGTCGTCGAAACTGGTCTTTGCTGGCGTATAGATCTTGTACAAGATCTCACCTCCAAAAGGTTGGTCACTCCTCGATCTTGCAGTGGTCACTCTACTCATTCGTAGACATGACTTTGGTCCAACCATATTCTCATGAGGGAGCTAGATTACCTTGTACAACGTAAGCACTAAGGTGATGATTTCTGTGCCCGTTACATGCTCACGTCGGGAAATTGTCTTCAGGTAGTTTAGTACTTCAGTTGATTGACTTGGAATCGAGGCAACCTTCGATCTAAGCGAGACATTTGTGAAATCCGAATATTCTGCCGTGACATGCTGGCCAATCTTACTTCAGTAGACGTATTTCACATTGACTAGATTGATCAAGGAACGTTTCCATCGTCGACCGAGAAGAAACTTTGAAGATTTGATGATTCAGGTGTGACGTGCTAAAGGGTCTCTACTTCAGTAGATGCATAGCAAAATGACTACAAACGTGGAAAAGATCAAATTCCGCGTTTTACAAGAACTTGCTGGCCAGGCTCAACAATCCACTGGGGCCACCGGTGCCGCCGAGACCACCACCCTGACTCTTCATGTACATCTTCAGAGCCATCTCTGCGGCACTGTTAATGGCAGATTGCTTGTCGCCCTCCTGTGATGTGGTATATTAGCGTCATGGGTCAATTGGCGGTGGGATACAATGAAAAACAAGGACCGGTATAACCGGTCTCCAAGTCCACAACCCAGGCCTGTCATCGACAGTCCCCCCCCCCCCCCAGATACATCCACGTCTTCTCATGACGTGCAATGATCAACCAACGAGGGTATAAAATCAAAGACTCACCATCTGCGCCCCACTATCCGACTTCTGATCCCACAACTGACCGGCCTGAGCCATCGCCATCCCAATCAACTTGTTCTTATCCATACCGCCGTCATTGTTCCCACCCGAAGTGAACATCTTCAACGCCTGCATCGCGGCGCCCGCGCCCACGGTCGACGAGTCGTGACGGCGTCCGCTGTCGTTGTTGTCGTTGTACATGGCGTTGTGGGCCTGGACGGCGTGGTTCTCGTCGACTTCGATGCGGGACGGGTCGGAGAGCTGGGACTTGCGGTCGTTCAGGAAGGAGAGGGCGGAGCTGAAGAAGGAGCGGTCTTGGCCGGAGTCTTGTTCGGCGTGGGAGGCGGCGCTGCTGAACTCGTCGTCATAGTTGTTGTTGTTGTTGTTGTAGCCTTGGCTTTGGCCGCCGTATGAGGGTTGGCCGCCTCCGTACGGTTGCTGGCCTCCCTGGAAATTCTGCTGGCCGCCATAAGGTTGCTGCTGTCCGCCTCCATATCCTTGCTGATCACCGCCGTATCCTTGCTGGCCACCGCCGTATTGTTGCTGGCCGCCTCCATATTGTTGCTGGCCGCCTCCGTACTGCTGCTGACCACCACCACCACCACCACCACCACCACCACCACCACCATACTGCTGGCGGCCGCCTTGGTAGCCATTATCGTTGTAGTAATCGTTGGAAGACATGGTTGATGATGGGAAAGGTGTTGGTAGACCAGCAAAGTCTATATGAAAAGAGACAAACAAGAAGATCAGCCAATGCAGGAAGCAAAGAAGCCAACAGAGAAATAAACAGGAGGGTCTTACTGTTTGCAAATAGAGGAAGGAACACGGAAGAGTTGAGAATGCGTTAAGAATGGAGAGAATGACCAGGGGCGCAGGCACACTTCCCGTGCAGAGAGCTCTTATATGTCCGGAGAAGTACGGGTCAGGTCGTCTGGGGAGTACGGTGAGGTCAGCCGTGGATTGCGGTGGATACGAGCGGGGTTGTTGCCTATCCTACGTCTCTTTGGGCTTCCGATCGGATCGAGTGGCGGGGTTGTTTGGGTGCTTGTGTGCTGTGTTATGTGCTTGGGTGGGGCGAAGCTGCAGCCGAAGGACGACTGCGGTTGACGATGACGACGGGAGAATGGGGAGGGGTGTGACTGGGGCGGCACAGGACAGCGGGGGACACAGATGGTCAGGTTGGCTTCAGTACACTGGCAAACTTCTGCTGTCAGGCGGGCATTGAGCTACTAACGGTGTGGTGGGAGAAACAATGTCACTGTTAAGAGGGCATGGGTAATTTCGTCGAGAGCCGGCCATGTGTTTACTGTTTAGTATTTAGAGAAGAACATACGAGGGGTACGGCTTCCAGGAAGAGGACGTCTCCTGAGCACTAGTTCCGACAAAGTAAATCACCCATGCTCATTGCAGGCGAATCTATAAATCAAGTATGTAGAAAAGCTCTAATGGACAATTGGGCCAGAGTGAGGGTTAATCTCCAGCAATTACGATGAGACCGCCCGCAACCTCGAACTTTTGTAGACCGTTGTAGAATGAGACATGTGTCAAAGCGAGAAAAAGAAGGGCAAACAGAGAAGAGAGAGAGAGAGAGAGAGAGAGAGAGAGAGAGAGAGAGAGAGAGAGAGAGAGAGAGCGTGTGTGTAGCGTAGTAAGCAGAGAGATGAAAATATCCGGGTATCAAATGCGCGCATAATAGGACGGTACCGAAACCAAAAAAAAGATCACAAAAAGGAATCACAACATCCGCCCAGGGACGCCAGTGGTTCTAGACGAAACCGAAGAAAAGGACAAAGAGAGGAGAGACTGGACAGCCAGGGTGGCCACCAAAGCCTGATGTCAGCCCATCACAAAATAAACATCTCATACTCATCATCCGCCATCGTCCGCAAAAAACGCAAGTCTCTCTGTCGCGAACCGACCACGCACCGGTCGTCCCCGTCCAGATCTCCTTCCGGCAACCATTCATTGGGGAGATCAGCCAGACCAAAAGACTGTCCCCAGTTTCGACGCTCATATTGCATGAATCCACCGAAATGGGGGTCTGTATTGGCGACCCAGATCGCACGGCCGTCGGGGGAATAATCAGCACCGCCAATTTCACCGAAGAAATTGTGCACTTGTCGGGACCGGAACATCTGCGCATCAATGATCGAAATGCGATCTGCAGGTTCAGCGCAAAGCAACGTTCGAGGTCCACCGCCAACCGGAGAAAAGCGAAGGGAGCGGTACCCGGCCACATCAGAGTCGATCGTTTCAAGGGCACGCCAGGTACGAGCATCCCAGATGATTACAGTCTTGTCCTGGTTACTCGTGGCAATATGCCGCATGTCCGGGGACCACGCACAGGCGAACCCAAAGTCACGATGGCCCCGAAGGGGATGCACAGGCCGGCCCGTATCAGCTTCAATGATCCACGCGTCCGGCGAGTCCCCAATCACCACACGAAGTCGACTGTCGGGCGATGTGGCGGTGCAGTTGATGGGTCGAGAGAGTTCTTGATCAGATACGAAAAGGTTGGTTTCGCAGTCCAGCACACGGAGATGACGGTCATTGGACGCGAACACGCAGATGGGCTCACGACCGGTACGATTTCGAATGACGTCGACATGGTTCGTGATGCCGTCGTTGAAGTCGGGTGTCACAAGGCCCTTGGCACCTGCACCCTCGCCCGTATCCCGCCGAAGTGCATACTCGCCGCAGAACCCGCCTGCCACAGTGAGCCCAAATGCCGATTTCATGCTTGAGACCTTGACAGGGTTGTGGAAACCCAGTTCAGGTATGGGTCGACTCAGATCAATCAAGCATGAAATATCCTGGAACTCGGGCGCCCACGAGTATATCTTGGATCGACTGGCAAATTGGACCGTGTTAGATGCGGGCACGGACATCAGATTGCGCAGCTGGAAATGTTCCACGGTTGCTTTGCATTCAGTGTACATGGACTTTTCTCGGAAAAAGACCTCTTCCTGGGGCAATCGTTCCGCCAGCTCGTGGGGTGAATAGTCAAGATTGTGGTATGATGTGTACCACCGATCGCGAAGATCTCTAGCATCCGAGCGTTTCACCTTCAGGGTCTCAGCCCAGGGCATTTGTTGCAGATCAAAGGCCCGATTGGTGAATTCGCGTGGTCGATGGATTTCCGGGGGCTGCTGCCAATACATCATCCGGGTCAACGGGCGAAGCTGAGCAGATACCCTATTCTCCGAGTGGGAGCCGTGAGGTGAGATGTTGGATTGGTCCATCCAACGCTGGATGAACTCGTCTATCGTCAGATTGCGCTCGAATGCTGTGGAGTAGGTCAGTCAGATGCGCTATGAGGGCATTTTGAGATAACGGTGACTCACTAGTAGTATGCACAATCGAGGCAGGATGCCAGTCATTGTCTTCTTCTGATTGATTCCCCATGGAATCAGGGCCTGCAGCGGCAAAGTCGGGAACGGCGGGCGCATTTTGAGGCGGCTCGGCAATCGTCGAGGCATAAGTGATTTCCTGATAGAACTCGTCGAGATTCACATCGTGCCATGCATTATCGCGTTGTGAGTGCCCCGCAACATATTGATAGAAGTGGGTTTCTTCATCAGGATAGAATCGGAGGAAGTCTTCCAGCTCGTCATCAGGAATGGTCGAGGGTGACGGATGATCCCCTGCCAAGCTGGACTCATAATCCATGATCATGTCGTCGCGACAGAGATCATTGCTGTTGGTGATCGTCGCAATGTTGCTCCACCTCGTGGTCTGGCCCAGTAAGTCTTGCACGATTCGATCCATCACGAGATCATCCTGGCCAGATAGCAAACCGGATGACCGTTCATCCATTTCGGTTGACAGGTCGTCCGCACCGTGTGGAGCCGAGCGGGTATTCTCGACAGTACCGTCCTGAAAAAGCGATTCCATTGTCACAAGTTGTACACCAGATTGGATTAAGGCGGATGGGACGGTCGCGGTCACAGCGTTGACGACCGGAGTTTCAGCCACAGTAAAGGCTTCGCCTTCATTCACCATATGGGGGTTCTGCATGATAGTCGTCAAGGCTGCCAGATGTCTATTTTCTTCCATTTCATCCTGGCTCATTGTGTGTTGGTGATCCAAGTGCGAGACGACACGATCGGCCTCGCCAGTCAAGGCCGATGCACCATCGACCCCGTCTGCGGCCGAGCGGCTGATATTCATGCGCGTTAGAGGTATTCCCTCATGCGAATCGCACGACACATCGTAATGTCCTTCTGTCGACGGAAGAGGATCTGCCGTTCGTGACAGATTTGATGGTAGCGGCGAGGATCCAATAATGCCGTCACCGCGCATCGCCAGTCATGGAAGGGGCGGGGTGAAGTCGAAGGACTGCAGGCTTAGATCGCACGCAACGGAGGTGTGTCAACGCAGTAGCAGAAGCCGATATGAGCTATGACCGAAAGATCGCCTTCCAGAGAGAAGATGAGAGGAATCGATGGAGTGCGGGTCGACGAGGGTATGGCCGTTCGTTGGAAGCGGGGACCCCAGGGACGAAGGCGCGAGAGTAAGTAGCGGAAATAGTAGCCCCACGCTCTGAGCAAGAGGCAACTGGGCTGTCCTGATTCTTCGATGGACTGTGATGCTATCTGTTCTGTGTGGGTGTATCGTTGTGCAGTCACTGTGAGCGCTGCAGAGGTACGCGGATATGTCCGGAGAGTATCGTCTTAAGGCCGACGAGGAAGGGTGCCGAGGAACGCGATAATTGGGAGTCGACCGATTGAACGTATGTACATATAGGACGGTCAGACCTCGCCGATGGGTGAGAACAAGAGGCCAACGAGAATGGAGAGCCGCCGCGTAGCGGGGCGGATGTCTCGAGGGGCGTCGAATCTGTCGATAAAGAAGACGCTCGTCACCGCAGAGAGCGACAGGGGCGGGGAGTTGACTGAAAGGCCAGGGAGACAATCCGGCAAGAGGAGCAGCTTACACGTGGGTGCCAGGCCCGACACCTGAGAATGAACACCCCCGTGACAGTCAAACGAAGACTGAGCGCACGCCGTTACGCTTGGGCAACGTTTCGCCCACGGCCAATGGGTGGCGTTGGTCCCAGGTTTGCAAATTCGGAAACGGGCACAGATTGGAGAACTGGAGTCCTGAAAGTTGTCCGAGCGTGCTGTTTCAATGACAATAATGCCTCAAGCCTTCAATTAATGTATAGTCGGTTCAAGGTGGAGCGACCGACGGGAGTCAGAGTGGGTGGACCAAGGGATTTGACACTGGGTAGAAACCGAAGATGGACAAACTCATGGGTGCCTTGATACCTCTGTATAGTTGTATACTGCGGTATACATCTGCCTGGGATCGATATGCTCGTCGATCAAAAGGTTCTTTGTTCTTCCTCTAAACTTCGCCTACGACGGGGTCCGAGGCTGGAGAGACGAATGTAGGATGACGAAAGTAGAAGTGGAGCTCATGCGGACGTGGGATGAATGGGACTACCCGGAGGCAAGTGATGATGGGAAGAGAGATGAATCCAAAAGGATGAGCTGACGCCAGGCTGCTTGTCAAGGCTTGCAATTCAGCCCCGGTCAAGGCAAGATGATGTGCGAGTGAGACAGGAGTAGGAAAATCGTGATTCAAGAAAATCTGTGAAGCATAAGCCACAGTATACCATGAACAGACGCAGTACGCCCTACGCACTGTGAGTGTACGCAGTGTAGGATGCAAGGCCGAAACAACATGGGGCCTGCAGGTGATGGCCAGTGGCCACAGAATCTCCGGCGCTCGGAGACCGGGGGAGAATTACTCCGCCGACTGAGCCGGCCCTGGTCCAAGCGTCCACTCTTTGGATGTGCAAGCAGATCTGGTTGCCATGTAACCATACTCAGACCAGACTTCCAATGTGTCTTCCACTCCATCTTCCGATCAGTGTCGAAAAAGCTCCGCTGTGAGTACTACTATTACATACATAGTTAATCAGCTTGGTAGGTGATAAGCAGTGTACGAGTTCGTGATCGGCTTGGATTAAAGCAGGCCGATGGCTCTGCCATTGTATATACTCCGTATGAATACAGGCGACGGATAAGACAATATGGGAAACAAGAAAAGATCGAGTGGCACAAAAATCTCGGCCATGACCGGACGCTCGATGAATTGCTTCAGGACTCGAACGGCAACGGAAGCAATCATCAAGAAAGCGGCAAAGAATTGAAAGAGAAGCCCGAAAGTGACAATGGCTTGACGAAGACATGAACATGGGAAATGACAGAAGATGATATGTAAAATTGGCAAGACACAGCTTCAGCCAATGAAAAGCAGGGTGACAGGCAAAAGAGATGAAAAATCACAGAAGAGGCTCTCAGCAAGAGCACTTGAATTATATGAATGAAGGCGCCGAGAATCAGTAATCGGAGTATTCCTCGTAATTGGGATATCCGCTCATGTCACCGCCACTGTGCGGCCGAGGTTGCGTCCAGCCATTGATCCTCATGCGTCGTTCCTTTTCAAAGTCACGCCAGCGCTTCATGGTGATTTGAGTACTGTCGAATTCACCTTCGACTGCACCGTGACCTTCATCCTTGCCACCGGCCGTCTTCCGAGTGTCACCCCAGGAGAAGTCGTCGAACTTCCAGAAAGCGTACATTGGAAGGACAAAATTCCAAATGGGAAGTGATAAGAGGTAGATGAACATCCAGACCACATAGATGAGACGGTGGGCGGTGATGACGATCAAAACACCGGGAAGGCCGAGAATCAGAGCGAGCAAGACGAGCGGGATGATCTGCACAGGTTTGCGGATGATGGAGGAAATAATCACGTAGACGGTGAAGGCGATGGCGGCCGGGAGAACCAGCGTTCCGATCAGCTCGATGAAGATGACGAACTGCATGCTGAAGCAGAACGTGCCGCAGAGATCCCGCACAAGAACGAGCTCGAGAAGATTGTGAACGGTACTGTTGATCCAGCGACGGCGCTGGGAAAGCAGCACCATGAAACTGTCCGGAACCACAGTCTTGCAGACGGCCTGTGGTACGAAGATCTGCTTTCGTTTGGGGAACGTCTTCAGCATCAGCGTGGTCAGATACCGATCTTCACCCAAAAGAAGCAGGTTCTTTTTGTGCAAAGTATCAACCAAATTCTCCGAATAATGCTCGACAATGTCCGGATTAGCCAAAATAGGAACCCAATAGTTCTGGCCTCCCTTTGGTGCCTTGATTCGGTACATCGAGAAACAGCCTGGCAAACAGGTAACACCTCCGAAAACAGATTCGAACGACTTGGCCTGGTGATGCGAAATGAAATATCTGCAAAGGGTACATTGTTAGCAAGTCGACCCGGTGATGGCCAGACGATTGGAAGGCAAAACATACTCAAATACTTGAATCATGGTGACCCAGCTGTCAGTCTTGTTGGCGATTTTTGTCTCACCACAGAGACCCATTACATCGGGATCTTTCACCATGGCCGAGATCATATGCGTCAGGCTGTCGGGGAAGACCTTGGTATCGGCGTCGACCATAAGAACCACCTCGTAAAAATCGGGCGGTATACCAGTCACATTCCACATGCCATTGAACATCTCGAATTCAAGCTCGGTCATGCGCTCATCGAACATGACTTTCTGGAGGAAAGACATCAGGACGATTTGACTATCACGCTTTCCACGATTGCCCGGCTTGGACTGTGTGGCCTCAGCCGGAGTACCGCACTTCACGACGACCATCATCGGCACTCGTTGCTGCTTCTCGGGAGGGACCATGGAAGTCTCGCCATAATCGTAGAAGCCCGAGTACACCTTCGCCATGTTGTGGCGCTTGGAGCCAGTGGCCACGGCAACGTACGAGAAAGCTTCTACTTCCTCCGGAGGCACAGTATGATCCTTGAGCATGCCAACGACGATATCTGGAGTGGAAAACTCCTCGCCTTTACCTTTAATGATACCGTCACAAATGACCAGAATAGTCTTGTGACTGTTGGGATAATCAGTCAGAGCGATTGAGTCCAGAGTCGTGCGAATTCCCTCCTCACCCTCCGAGTAGCATGTCACGAGACAAAGGGCATGAGCCAGGGGGAAGCCATAAGGTTGCCAGTCGGGCGGAGGCTGAGGGACCACCGATTCATGAATGAATCCAGCTGGGCCGGGTACTTCCGACTCCGACACAGTTGTCACAAATCCAGGGTCTTGCTGCCCAGGTCCGATCAGGCTCGTTCGACTGGCAGCGGCATTATGGCGAGAATTGTCGGCGCTCAGCGTCCCGTTGCTGCTGTTGTGGCTCGTCTTATACATGGAGTTGCTATTTGCGGAGCCGGGCATCAGATGAGTGGTCGAATTCTGGCTGGCCATGGTCACGTATTGTTTGATCTGTTTGCCGGTTCCCGTGCTGCTCACCACGTACGGACTGGAGAAGCGAGAAGTGGTGGGAAGGAAGCTAGCGCGCTTGCTGGCGCGATCCGGCATGACCGGGTCAGCCACGCGAGGTGCAGGGCGGTAGATATCGTTGGACCAGTCCTCGATCTGTTGATTTCGCGTACGAGCATCGGATGCCATGCTGGTCTGTTGAGCAGCGAATCGAGGCGCAAGGAACCACTGGAAGAGCAAGGCAAAGGCGAATTTGACCACGACGATGGAGAGAATGAAGATCAACGACACATAAAGCACCACCTTGGACGCAATACAACCGACAGTATCGGTGTCAATGCTGCCAACCTTGATGATCTGGGTCAAGCATTTGCCAATTCGCTTCTGCTCCCCGCTTTGCAGATAGTAGGTCAGATCGACACCGCGGACGTCAGGGTTTTGACGCAATGCATCGAATTCAAATGGATATTGCACCTGGTCCGGGTTGAACCATCGAAGTAGATCCAGATCCAGAACGTTGCCAGAATACACGGCGAGGTTTCGACTCTTATTCTTTGTATCTTCCCAGGTATAGTAGACGTCGCCGGATCCAGTCAGGTTGTAGAATGCATTTCGCGCGCCACGGCTAGTGTGACAGGCCCAGCCCTCGTAGTAGGAGGTTGTCGTGTTAGGTTCCGATGAACCATCCTGGTTGAAGGCGGTGCATGGAAAGTACCAACCAAGATCCCCATTCGAATTGGTAGGGACACCACCACCGGGCTTCGCCGTGATAAGACCCTTGCATGCACCATTGACTTGCTGGAAGAAGAAGCTGCCATCTTGACCGCCGTACTTGTGCGGCAGGTCATATAGAACATTTGAACCACCAGGAATACCCTCAGCGGGGGGTGTGTGGAGCCGGTCAAGTCGTATGCCTTGCCGTGGAAGATCATGTAGCCGCCGCCGACCTCGTTGACTTTTAAGCGGAGTGGTGGATTGCGACAGACCACAGCCGTAAAACCGAAAGTGAGGAAGCCCACGAAAGCAGCGATCATAAGGATCAGACTGATCAGACCGATCTTCTCCCGCCAAGCCGTTCGCTGCTCTTTCTGCGGCATGCCAAAACATTTGAGGACAAAGTCAGGTACCAGACAGCTGACCAATGCGCAATAAGTCGTCCACAAGTCGGGCGGCCGTACTTGCTGGATTACTTTCTGACGCCTTTGTTCTTCGCTGGACATGCCACTCTTCGAGCTTCGCCGTGCAGATCTTCTCTTCTTCTTCGATCGATGCCGGCTGGGTGCACGATCCATAGGCTTGTTCACATTGCCGTGTGCACCGTACAGTTGGTCTTTGGACTTTGAATCCAAGCTCTTTGAGCTATTCGTTTCCGCTTCGGGATCTCGGTCGAGTAAGGGGTCGTCGCCTGTGGCTGAAGGATGGACGGGCATCCGGTGGGATCGTTGTCGGTAATGATAATTGGGATGATCGCGATCCATCTGACGCCGCTCCGGTTTCACCAGCGTCTTTTTACGCCTCACACTAGCACCACGCTCCATGCGTTCCTCGTCGGTGCCGGCGGTCCGTCGGTGACTTTGTGATCGGCGGCGACGATGTCGATGACTTGACGGGGACGTTGGGTTGTCGCTGTAGTCGGCTGGATCGGTGTCTCGGGTGTGCCGACGGTGCGAAGACTCGCGAAAAGCACTGCGCTCTTCACGCCTGCCCGGTCTTTGCGGCAACGACATTGCTCTCTACTTGAAGTGGGGGGGGGGCGGCCTCAGTCAGATTTTGGGCTCGGAAGGTTGACTCTGGTTGCGTTTGAAGTTGACGGCACCCACTTTTAGGCGGCAGATACCTCAGCCAGCCTCGGGGCTGTTCTACAGACTGTTCTCTCGGTAGAATATCTGGATCGGCGCTGCTTCACCACATGGATCGACTTGTTGCGGTGGACTGGGAAACGGTGCGACGGAACTAGAAAAGGTTCCGCAAAACTCAGGGACGGTCGGTCGGCAAGAAGAGGCAGTAAGAGGTCCCCAGGTGCTACCGGTAAATTAAGCAGCAGTCGTAAAGTCGAATGCGCTTCACGCCGCGGGAGAGTGCAGATTATGCAGCAGATGGCGCTCAAATCGAGGTCGGCGATCACGGGGGTGGAGAACAAGCAATTGGTGTCCACACAACGATAGGCTGCCAGGGCCAGCGACAGAATCAGACGAAGGGCCTGAAGAGAGCCAGGCTACCCGGAGAAAAGCAAGAGTCTTGTTTTTCTCAAGGGACAATGACGCCGGTCGGACAGAGGTACCGGATCTCGAGGGGGTAGAGAATCGAAAGAGAAAAAGAGGGACACAACACGAATCACTACGGTGATCGATTCTGTGGGGGCGGACGCAGAGTCAGGGACCACGGAGGAGTCACGGGGTGCTCGGAGATCTGAGCCATTCAAATCTCTCCCGCCTCAATGTGCACAAAGAAGGGCCACAGTAACCGAGTGCCGTACCGTTGTCCTCGTAAAGACATAGACGGGCCCAGTGGGTATCTAAACTGATGCAGTAATTTGATACTTTCTACCCTTAGAGCTTAGTTAGACAGCGGGCGATCGCCATGACTAACGTGAGCTCTAGGTCTGCTCTCATGGGCTTCCACGGGTACAGTATTGACTCGTTGCCTAGTGTTTGTTTAGTGTTTACAACTGTAGATTAGTTATTGGACAGTGGACACAATGTCACGACCGGGGTGATTGTGCTCTTTACACCCTATTCCTTTTCCCCGCCGATCAAGACATCGAACGCTCACCTTCGATGAGGATCCTCATCCAAAGACACACCTTCTTGCGAAGACAGATGGTCCTGCATTGCATCATTTGCGTCGTCTACAGTTCAATTCGATCATCCTTTATTGTACCACAGTCCGGCAAACCCAGGTGGTTCAAGGCGGATGGCCACGCTTTCCGGGTAGAACGCTATTTGCGGGAACCAAAGTTTGCCCCTGATCTATTTTTACATTCGACTGCGTAAAGGATTGGAATCGTGCTCCGGTGCTGTAGTAGTTACTGATTCCTACCTATACGTTCGCGAATACCGTGGCAGAGTGGCATTCAAGAATCATAGGCAGCCGGCATGGAGTAGGCCGAGAAAGAGGCCACTGTATAGGGTTTCATACGGACCGTATAGAATCATGAGCAAAGTGCTCTCCTCGAGGAGAATGGAAGCTTGCCTTCACGTTTATGGGCGTATTGTGATTGGCTTGGGATAGCCGTCAAAGCGCCACTTGCCTATGACTATTAATAGAATCGATGTATATGTGGTTATGTAGTCTTGCAGAACATGATAGACTCTTGTATATGATCGGTGATGAATCCTCAAGCCAAGGAGGTGGTTCCGTCAAGTTAAAGATATGGCTGCACGCTGTTACGGAGTTTGTTCGTAGCTAGCTGCTCCAAATGCGATCACTTGAGGCAACGCACACTGGACATTTTACACGCATCAGGCTGGGAATCTTCAATGATGAAGCTTGATCTGCTGTACGCCGATGCAGTTCCAGCGAGAAGCACGATGCTGGACCTCTGAGGAACACTCATCAATCTCGGTTCCAGCCTCAGCCTGAGCAAACGAGCTGGGAATCCTTATCCATTTTGGCCGGGCCCCCGCCTGTGGCATATGCGATCCTCGAGCCTTGTTCAAGCGTAGACATACCGGTGTATAGAAATATCAAGCAGCTGGCAGGAAAACGATCAATGAGTTCGTGAGATATACCGACTTGAATGCCACGGATGGAGACGCCTTTACCGAGCTCCACCGCGAGAGTTTCATTCGAAGAACAGCACGACCATCGTTCTCATTCATGGAGCGCTTGTTTCTGGCTTGCACTGGGACATGAATTGCCCCCCTGTGTGATGCTCAAAGCTCTCCTTCCAGGTCTTCTAGGATGTGGCAAGTTTTACTACGATTTTTTCTTTTCGTAATTGACTTCCCGACACGCCTGATTGCACATGTCCCTCGCACTTATGCCATCGACAGAGCTTGGCATATCGTCGATCACAGCGCACACGCCAACTTGCAAGGAATTTATCAACTTGATAACTCACTCTAGTCGGCTACTCGGCTCTCTCTTTATCGCAAGCTTTGAAATGATGCTCCTACACTACTCACGTGGTATGTTCACTCCACTGTGTCAATCCGAATGCCAGGGAACGGTGTCCTGCATGTCTAGTTTCGCGCGCAATGAACGGCGCAGATCTGCCGCCCCCAGATGACGAAGCGTATCCATCCTGTTGATCTTTTCCCTCAATTCATTCTACCAGCAGATTCTCCATTGTATGATGATCAGTCATAGGCGTCTGAAACGTGCCTTACCTGCGCCCTTATGAATGCTGGAGACAAGGGCAGGTTCATCCCACAAACGGTCATCCGGACGCCGGACGACACCACTCGGTCGACGAATATTGAGAAATAGCAAATTCCAAAAGAAGTCACCTCCTCGCCCCTCGGAATGCAATATCCGTGGAATCGGCAACAGCCTCGGAAAAACTGAGGGATGCAGTGGCTTCTGATGAGCGCAATCAAATGCCAGAAGGATACGTGGAGCTTCGAAAAGAATGTCTCTTCGGAATTTGCCTGCTTCTTGCTTAAACGCAGCACAAGATGACTTTCATGTTCTCTTGCAGTACTTCTTCGTGTCTGTCTGACATGCAAAGTAAGCCTCTTCTTTGACCTGCAAAGCCTTCTTCAATATCTGGATTTTTCGTCCTCGCTGGTGCGTCTTCACAATCATTGCCAGACCCGGAAGCAAATAGTTATACAACCGAGAAGGGAGGTCATCAACAGGTTCTGGGTCCTGTACGGAGTGGCGAGGGACTGTCGACATACGGACTGGTACCGCCACGAGCATGAAAAGGAGTGGAAGTACTGAGTTCTCTGAGGTTGGACCACTTTCGACCTCGATGGGGAGGGCCAGATTTGATTTTTTGACACTTCGGACCATCTCGCGCAGAGATATGTCTTTTTTAATATTCATAGGCAGTGATTACCATCATAGTCATAAAAACTGTCTGGGTACTTGCTTCACTTGCATTCGAAGATACTTCCATTCTCTCGGCTGTCAGAAGAGATCCAGTGATCGCCATAGAATCATGTATGTATGTATATTCAAAGTCTAATAGCGGAGACACAATGAACCTCAAGCAAGACCCGGCGTGTCCGCAATGCGGAAGACATACTTCACTGCACTTGCTTTGCCTGCCTTCAGATCCTTCAAAGCATCCTCCACACCCTCCAAACCTCTAGGCCTCACCTCATAAGGATGAGCAGAAAAGGTGCCTTTTTGCAAGGCCCGCGTAAAGTACCGCGAGAACACCTGACCGAGATCCTCGTAGTTCTCATGGGTACCAAATCCAGGCTGATTATGAACAGAGCCAACTGATGTGATCGTCTTCACGGCAGGAGACACGTCCAGCTCATTCGGCAGCACAAAGTCGACCTTGCCGCCTTCTGCCACCGAGTTTCTTACAACCTCTGCGCTGTCCTCGGAGGCGATGGTGTCAAGGGCATGGCGCGCAGAAGAATGGCCGGATTTCTGGAGGCTTTCCTTAATGGCTTGGATGGTGGCCGCGACTCCTTGGCGATAATCCACGACTGTGTCGCCTTTGCTTGGGTCGAGGAGGCCTTGAACGTAGGGTGCGCCTTTGCCTGCGATGGCAATGATAGGGTGGATGTTGCTGTTGCGCGCCAGTTTGATAGCGAAAGAGCCGACGGCCGTGCTGGCACCGTAGATGACGAATGGCGTGGGAGTCTCAGTAGGGGTCCAGGGCGCCGGGAGCTCGAGGTGTCCGTACAAGGAGACGGCCGCGGTCAAGGCCGCGAGAGGAAGGGTTGCGGCCTCTAAGAGCAGAAAGTTTTAGTACACAGAGCCACACATAATGGGAATGCACTCATCCTACCTTCGAAGGACGTGGTCTTGGGCAAATGGAAAGTCGTGTGACTCCACGCAATGGCATATTCAGCATAGGAGCCATGAGGCACGCACATCTCATGGAAGGCGGCGACACGATCGCCCGGCTAAGAGAGAAAAGGTCAGCTCAGACCGGCAAAATGAACATGATTCAGGAGGTACTTCAGTAGCCTCGGAAGACTCACCTTGAACTCCACTACATTTGCGCCAACCTTCTCAACGATGCCGGCAATGTCATCTCCCTGATTCACACCATTCTTAACTGCCTCAAACATAGGTAGGCTAGAGCCCGCAGCAGCAGCGTACTCCGGGACCTTCCAGTCCTTGGGGTTGGACCCAGATACCACCACCTTGATCAAAACTTGATCATCGTTGGGTTCGGGAATTGGACTGTCTACAATCTTGACGGCTGGCCCGATGAGGTTGATTACTTCTTTCATGGCGGATGACGAGGTGATCGATATGGAAGGGTGAGCGTTGGTTTGAGAAACCCGAAGAGATGCAAGTGGACAATTATATCGTCAATTGCCACTCCCACTAGTTGATAGCGTCTGATCTCAGATGCTGCCTGCCCTCCTATCACCTCATGACCTGACGGGGTGCTCCATCAATTACTAATCATCAACGGGGACGGGTGAATAAAGTGCCCGCTTTCACCATTCGAGCAGTGTTTTATGATGCATTTACCCCACACGCCATCTTTGCGTTGCGTCATGCACGGCAATCGAAACGAAGCTCAAGTGGAGCCGTGATCGGATGGGCGAGAAGCCGGCGGGAGGCCGGCATCAGCCGGAACGGCGGGGGTAGTAGGGCTTTGCCGAGAGTATCACGAAAGATCAGTTCCAGTCTCCAATACACTTTCCTCGATCAAATGAGAGTCCTAACCACCAGTTGAGATAGTAAGATGCTCAATGTTCTTCGCCGAATCGATCGAACCCAGCATTACTTCGAGGACTATCTTCGTCTCTGATTTGTCGAGGCTTGGCTTCGGTCTGGACAGTTGAATGAATAATTCAATCGTTTTGATTGTGATTATTACATTATATATGGTACCAAGCTATATGTTCACATTCACAGGACTAGACAACGAGCGCAACGAAAGCTGCCATCACCAAGCTCATCAACTGGAACAAGGATGGACCCATTGAAGGCGAAGCAGCGTTGAACTGGGCGTTACCAGTGCTTCCAGTGGAAGAGCTTGTTGCCGTGGTGGTTGCTGTGTTGACATAGGGGATGGAGGTAGCTGACTGACCGCGGAGGGTGGTCATGATGGATGAAGGCACGGGAGTGGATGATCCTGTGAATCCCATGCAGCTGCTGCCATGGCATGGCTGACCAGCGACCGAGGTAGCACTGACCGGGCTAACACCATGGTTGGTGCCAGTCTGGGCACTGTTGGTAGCGCTCCCGTGAGAGGGACCGGAGCCAGATGAGCCAGATGAGTCAGAGCCCGGCGAGCCTGAAGCAGATGAGCCAGAGCCGGAAGATCCAGAGCTAGAACCAGTTGTAGGAACTGGATAGACGGTGTATACAGAGGTACCAACAACCAGAGTCTCAGTGGTAACGTAAGTGCCTGGGAAAGCGGTGGCAGTGGAGATGCGAGTGCTGAGAACAGTGGAGGTGATGACCGACGGACCATTGTCAGGCTTGGTTGCCTGGCCGGTGGGCACGCTTCCTGCGGTTACTGGGCAGACCGTGGTGGTTACTACTAGGGTCTCGGTAGTGATGTAAGTGGTCTTTTGCGAAGCAGGACAGTTGTGCACAGTTGTGGGACAGGCAGTGATAGTGGAGGTACGAGTCGTGAAGACGGTCGACGTAGTTTGTGGGACGGAATCGCTGGACTGAGCCGGTTGAGAGGTTACAGGGGCAAGAGATGTCACTTGAGACACTGCACCGCTGGACTGAGTCGGAGTCGTAACAATAGCGGTTGATCCATGAGGCACGGGCGTACTCGAGTGCATAGTCACCGAGACGGAAACCACGGGGGTGGACTGCGGGATTGGCTTGCATGACCGAGTATGCTTATGCCACGGGACGGGCTTATACGTCCAGTGATGGCGATGATGAGGGTCGTGGTGATGCAGATGGACCGGTGTCGAGCTAGGGCTCGCGGGGAAAGAAGGAGTGACTGTACGGGATCTCACGGCGAGGGCGCCATCAACCAACAACATGGTGAGAACACATCCTTTAAGTAGGTCCAACATGACGGTGAGAAGAAGTATGATAGGTGATGGAAACGAGTGAAATCAGCCTAACAGCCAACCGTCTGGGCAAGAGAAAGAGAGCAAGAAAAAAGAGTGAATGGAGGACGCAGATGAGGGAACTCGGACGAGAAAAACAGCCGGTAGTCGAGGCTGATATACCTCGAAAATTCGCAGATTCGCACCTGGTCGGAGCGTCGCATCCATTCCCCCAAACGTGGTGTACATTAGCTGAGATTCTTGGAAACTACGGTAGTCAAATCAATAGTTCCGCACATACGAGAGGCCCCGTCTGGTCTTCGGTCCGACCGATTGGATGCCACGATGAGATTCCCAATTAAGCGACTAGGTTTTAGGCTTAGCAGAGACTCCAATCGTACGCCACATCCGATTGAGAACCACACGAGGTGAAAGAAGCCGACGGACGGGCCGCCACAATTCAGGAACAGGAAGTTACCATCTCCCCAGGTCCCAGGGGCAATTCTTGCCGACGTGGAAAAGTATCGACGGAGATCTTATAAATACGGATGGCACTTCCAAAGGATGAACGAACCAAAGAAGCAGGCCACGGGGAAATTGTGGTTCAACGGTCGTGCAGCTTTCAACCAGGTCACGAGGGTGGATATTCTCCAGAATGAAGACTCAACAGCTACAGAATGCTGCCATTGCCGGCTTGACCAGCTTGTTCGTCGGCCAAGCATCAGCCACTTCTCGCGTGGCTTCCTCAAGTTCAATCCCATCTCCTTCATCTTTCCCTCCTCACATCTCGGTGGAATGTCACACTCGCCTGGCGACCACCTCGGTTGCGGTCGTTCCCACCTCGACCGTGACTCGTACTATTCAGGATCACAATCCCGTGGTCGTCTACGTGACCACACAGGAGACCATCACAACCACTCCGTCGGTGGTGACTGAAGTCGAGACGAGCTTCGAGACCCTGACAGTCACCAGCATTGCATCTGCAATCACCGATACCTTCTCGACTACGTCAACAGTGTATTCCTATACCGTTGTCACTGTAACTCCTCCGCCCAGTAGGAGCACTGTCCTCATGACAACTACGACTACGCAGACGACCACCAGCACCATTCCTGCACCCGCAGGACTCACACCCCTCGTGGACTCATTGGTCCAGCCGACCTTTGTCAAAAGAGGTCTGGCCGATGACAATACCTGTCCTATTGGGCCCGATGATTACAAGTACCCTTCCGCCGTGAAGTGCATTGCAAAACTCACTGTGACGCCCACCACTACATCGACTGTCACGGCAGTCCCCCTCACAAACACCGCCAGCACGCCGGTGGTCACTACGACGTTGACCAGTACCCTGACCTCAACTTCTGTGGTCATCCCCGAAGAGGTCTCAGTCACTCTGAGTTACAGCACCACCTTGCAGCAAACGTTGACCACTCGTGGAATTCCCACCTATACGGTGGTCACGGCGACCACGACACAGACGGCAACTGTCTCGGCGACTCCAGTGTACAATGCCTGTCTTTCAAACAATATCGGTGGAGGTAGCCCCCTCGGCCCAGAGTATGGGCCAATCGCTGGTAAAGTAGTCGACGCCCTCTATTTCTCGTCCCTTCCCGGTGCATTCTTCAATACCGTGGCCACGTCTTCTGCCTACGACTGCTGCGTCCAATGTCAGGGGAACCCTCATTGTGCGGGGTCTTTCTATACCACTAACGATTGTTACTTGGTCACCACTACCGTCTGCTCGTCTTCGTCTCATATTCATGCTCAGGCCGACAACGGCGCCGGCGGATTTGACATCAGCAACGGACCATGCGGCACTTATGTTCTTGGAACCTCATAGAAAATCAAAGTCCTTCAGCAGCCGCGTACCCAAGAGGCGAGTGCTAAGTTCTTGAGTGATCGTGACCTTAGGAGAGCTAGGATGTCTGGTCGAAACAATGCCACTAGATAGGACAGAAAATATGATTTAATCACTTAATACCAACTTGCTTCTTCTCCTACCTGGCCTTGCTTGGATCTTTGCATTCAATTACCTATAAGAAGTCCCCATTGAAAACGCACACACTCACTGGTTGTCGACATTTTCATACCAGAACAGATTACCTCGGTCTTCAAGAGTTCATAATGGGAGGCCGACGGAAACGGGATAGGATACGAATACTTCCTTACGTAGAACCGCAGAAATAGAGCATTCACGTCACCTTCGCAAACAATACGATATTTGATCATCTCACGGATACCTAGGTAGACATACGACCCACCAATACTGGGGTATTATGGAGAGGGGCAAATCCGCCAGTCTTAGGTAACGTGGGGGTGGTCGATTTCCAAAATTTCTCTATTTGGGGACACGGGCTTATCTCTGTCGCAAGCTGAGTTCTCGCAGTAGACGGGATCCAAATCGATCGCCTACCTGGTGAGAAGTTTTGCCGCCTCAGGTTGGCGACGTTCGACCACGGCCTATGGATACACTGGTGCTTCGATAGATTTATTTCGATCTCGTATGGTCATGCTGAAAGCTTGTGGGATGTGTTCACACAAACAGACGGGAGCAGGTGAATATCAGCAAGAGTAACGGATTCCAGGCGTTCTATATAGCGAGGCTTCGATCTGAGCTGAAGGCTTGAGTGATATTCTCATCGTAGAACGTCAACGTGAGCAAGCCAGAAGATGGCTGTGCTGGACAAGCTGAACTTCTCTCAATGCCAAGTGTCGGCAAATGATGACCTCCATGGCCCCTCCACCCCCCGCAAATGTGAGCCTCAACCTTTTACATATCCGCTGGCAGGTCGCATTTCGAACTTCTGAATAACGAGATGGAAATCCCTGCAGAGGTATATGACCATGTGCGTTCCCCATGCTTACGTACTCCAGCAAGCTTGAGTCGTGCGACTGGTAGCTAAACAGATGGCCCCTACAGATTGTACATCATTTCTGGAATATTCACAATACAGAGTCTATGTATCCGGTATACTACGCCAGATATTACTGCTTTAGGAGAGAGGTGATTCGGCGAGACTTAGCCGCTCTTCGGCTTGTCAGCAGAGCTTTCTGCAGCAGCGCTTCGCGGTGGCTGTTCATGCATATCATTGCGAATTCTGCTTCTCACCCTTCAAAAACACCACCGCTGACAAGACTCTTGAGGATATCTCAGAGTCCACATGCTCACCACGTGCGCCAAATCGACATTGGATTCAGAACAGCAGATGAGTCATATGTTGAGGACTTGTCGACGAATTTATCAGATCTTCTCGTCAAATTTCCCAATCTTGCTGCTCTTGAGTTTGATGGGCCTCCCTCGTTGCTTTCACGAGTTCACAAAAGAGTTTATATGGAGACTATCGCGTCGGTACTACACCATGTGCCGCTCCCGAATCTGAAGGAACTTGAACTCAGGTTTTCTTTTCCGCAGGACTTTGCACGTTTCTTGCCAGAGCCCCCAAGTCCTTCGCAGATCCCGCTTGGAGATGTCATGCGACGTCTCCGCCATCTTGAGCTATGCCTAGATGCAGATATTGAGGGATTGGAAATTCGGCACGGGCGATTAGAGCCCTCCATTTTCCCAGACGATACTTCTACATCGTCTCAATTCTTCAGACTGGCTGAGGCTGCATCCAATCTCAAGTCGCTTGCAATTCAATCTTGGCATATCCTGGATGTCGACCATCTCGTCATTCCACCTTCTCTGAGTCTGCGCACCCTTCGTCTACTTGGAGTCTCCATCTCGTTCAATGTTCTTCTGCGGCTCATTGACCGGGAATTCGCTCCGGAATTATCAGGATGCTATCTGTTCTTGGTTCGGTTGAAGTCTGGAAAATGGCCACAGGTATTACTGCACATGCGCAAATTGCCACGTCTTGTTGATTTCTATCTTGATTTCTGCGGATACTCGCCCCCACGGGCAGGATCAAGTTCGCATTTGGCCCCCGGACAGCCCGTGAGTTCTGAGCAGAGGTTGGAAGATGGAGCGGCGAATGCCTCCGACGACTCTGCACTGGCATTCTTACTGAAGCATGTCAATTCGAACAGGATTTCGAGGGGACTTCAGCCTTTTGATGACACAGAGTATCGGTCGATGCCGGAGAGGCATATGGCTTAGTAACATTTTCGAGTTTGAACAAAAGAGGCGTGTTCCCCGGTTTCGGGCTCTATGTGACGATTGAAATGTTTATCTTGAGATACGTATTTGAAAGCGTTCAAAGGACAGACTGTGGATTTGCGATGCATGTTACGTGGCATTTATGAGTTGTCCAAGTTGGAAACTTCAGCGTCTCAATGTAGACTGGCCCCTTCTGAACCCATGCCCAACCAAAGTCTTGGCGCCAAGGACTGGAGAAAGGGGGGTGTTTCCCAGAATCTCGTATCGAGCACGGACGGCGGCGCTTCCGGCAGCTTCTTTTCTCGAGTACGCTGAAGAAGAGGGAGCAATTGAAGCCCTCGAGTACACTGCCCAACTTTGACGGGGACCCGTGAATGAGGTAGACGTCTGATATTTTCCATATTGTGGTAATGTGTCTCGTGGAAATCACATAATGCCAATAAAGTTTAATGTATTGGTCCGCCCGGTGCTGGAAACCCCCCGTATTCCAACTTGGGGGCTCTGCCTGAACCAGTCACGGTGACTGATGTGGCCCAGATATCTAGTCGCGCATTTCGACTCTAGCAATAGGAAAGCGTAGACTTGGCGCGTCCATATCGACAGTGTCTAAAGCACTCCTCGACCTGTCAATCTTGTCAGTCTTAACTCATCTCAGTAGGTGGTTTAAATGAAATGCTGCCCTGCAAGACTCCTTCGGCAAGCGGACCTGCAGCCATTCTGATCAGATCTGCTATAGTGGTTGACAAACAGTCCTTCATTCCAGTTCGCCTTGGAGTACATTTAGAGCAAATAAAGGATCAGTAGACTCCTTGAGCATCGCTCATTACTTGAGTCGCTGAAAACATCAACGAAATTGTGGTGACCGAGGGTTACTTCTGTGTTCAATAGGTGACCGGCGTGTCATGAATTGCGGGGCTGGTCCGTTCCTGATTTCAACGCACTGGTCTTGTTGTTTGAAGCTCTAGGACAACGCATTAGGTTCAACATGAAAGTCCACAAACAGAGCTGTCCAAAGCAGCAACCTGACTCGGTCACTTGAAAGATCCTCGGTTAAACCGACCGGCCTTGAGACCACTTGTCGAGCTTGGGATCAATGGCCTCCCTTAGCTCCCTTGGCGATGGACTGATGCATTCAGTCTCGCTTGCATCAACTATCGGTCAGTTGTCTTTCGTCATCTGGGGCTCTCTAGAGACTTGCGATCAAAAACAGACTGCTTGATTCGATTGCTTTGGTCCCCACTTGGCGGGTGCTGCCTGCGAGCGCGCAGGCAGCAGCGGCCCTGGTAGCCTCGATTTTCAGGCCAGCCAGGGTCTGTAGCTCTCGTGGCCCAACTTTAAAAAGCTCGAATCAATCCAGTGCTGACTAGCATCATCGCCAAGAAATAAAAATCCCTGCTCATCTTGAGGGTTTCCTCCCCTTCTCTCGCAAATCTCTGCTCAATAGGACTGCCGGATTTCGCAGAATTGGTGTTCCCTCAGTCACCCACTGAACATCCTCGAACTCGTTACTGCAATCTCCACCCCTCGAATCCGCCTCGGAGCGGCGCTGCGATCGACAAGATACGGACTCACCGTATCCTTTTCTCCCCTAATCCGTGGAAGTCTCCATTTCTCCAGTCGGAAGATCTACTCGCGTCAGTTCATCAAAATCTAAGTAGTAATGGCGCCGCGAAAATTTGCAAGCTTCGTGGTGGCTGTCAGTGGCACTGTGCCTGGCTACAAACAAGGTAAAATTGACTTTCATGCCAATCGACGTTCCCCGACCGTTCCCCAATTCCCCTCCCCCTGGATCACGACCAACCCCACAGTCAAGTGGAGTTGAGGCTGACTATGGACATTCCTCTTCCCGTGCAGCGGACATTAGAGGATTGGTCGAAAATCAGGGTGCCACGTTCACATCCACAGTCACTGAGGAGTGTACGCACCTGATCACGACGCTGAAGGAAGTGGAGAAGAAAACCACCAAATGTGAGTCCTAATCATGGAATTCAATGTGCAGGTCATGTTGCGGTACTGACTGCCCGGGTCTAGATTTGGCCGCGTCCCAGCTGCCCAAATGCAAAATTGTCTCCATTGACTGGCTTTTGGCCTCGTCTCAGAAGAAAAATGCGATCGCCGAGAAGCCTTATCTCTTGGACGCGGGTGCAACAGCTGATGCGGGTGTTGCGGACAACGAAAGTAAGCAGAGCGCTAGGCGTGCCACTCGAAAAGCTCCAGCGAATTCTGTGGACAGGGATCTCGTCGCCGTCGACGGCAATCTCAAGAAAGACGAGGATGAAGAGGATGACGAGACGGCAAAGAAGGCAATCAAGTCTGAAGAGCCAGCAAAGTCTGCGGAGAAGCGCAAGATCAAGGAAGAGGACGATGATGCACAAGGGATCCCGTCCAGCAAAAAACGAAAAATAGCTCCAGGCGCAGCCCCAAAAGCACCTCCAAAGGCCTTGGTGGTTCCCGTGGACTCCAAGTTCCTTCTGCAAGAGCCCAAGTTCAAGAGTGAGTCGCCAAGCTATCAATTTCTTGACATTCAAGACTGTGCGGTGGATTGCTGACGTCTAAATATAGATCCACAAATCTACATTGATTCCTCGGGTGTCATCTGGGATGCCACTTTGAACCAGACAAATGCGGGTGCGAACAACAACAAATTCTACGCCATCCAACTCATTCATTCCCCAAAGACTGATCAGTTTATCACCTGGACGCGATGGGGACGAGTGGGGGAGAGTGGCCAATCTGCGTCTTCCGGCATCGGTACATTCGCCCAGGCTCAAGCATTCTTCGAAAAGAAGTTCAAAGACAAGAGCGGACTGGCCTGGACCAATCGTCTCGACACTCCGAAGAACAATAAGTATACATATCTGGAACGAAATTACGAGGAGGATGAAGAAGAACAAAAAGAAGGAGATTCGAAAGACCAGAGCAAAGAGGGTACGAAGCAAGAAGCCACCGAATCGAAGCCACAGGTGCAAAGCAAGCTCGAGCAGCCTTTGCAGGATTTGATGGCGTTCATCTTCAATCAACAACACATGAACTCTGCGTTGGCGTCAATGTCGTATGATGCGCAGAAATTGCCCTTGGGAAAGCTCAGTGAGAGGACTCTTAAAGCAGGATTCTCGGTTTTGAAAGACCTCGCTGAGCTTCTCGGCGATCCCACATTGGCAACTTCGAAACATGGTCTTGATCTAGGACGAGCCCAAGAGTTTCTCAGCAACCGCTACTTCACATTGATCCCCCACGTTTTCGGGCGAAACAGGCCACCAATTCTGAACACAGATGCCATGATCAAGAAGGAGGTCGATCTGCTAGAAGCCTTGACAGATATGGACGTTTCAAACGAGATTCTCAAGGCGTCGAAGGACGCCGCTCAAGTCCATCCATTGGATCGTCAATTCGAGAGTCTGGGCATGAAGGAGATGACACAATGTGAGTACCAATCCTTCCTCCACCTAGCAAGGTCGAAGACCGTCCATGCTGACAAGTTTTTAGTGGATCACAAATCCACAGAATTCATCGAGCTGTCCGACTACCTCAACCACTCTCGTGGCGCGACTCATTCCCTCCGATACGAAGTGAGTTAACGCTCCAAGAACCTCACCCTTCTTATCCTGCTTCTCGGAAACCCCCTTCCACCCCCCTCACATCTAACCCCCAACCTCCTCCCCCCAGGTCATCGACATTTTCCGCATCGAACGCCAAGGCGAAACAGACCGCTTCACCAACTCCCCCTACTCGAATCTCGAAAGGAGCAACCGACGCCTCCTCTGGCACGGCTCCCGCAGCACCAATTTCGGCGGCATTCTCAGTCAAGGTCTCCGCATCGCACCCCCCGAAGCGCCCGTCAACGGCTACATGTTCGGCAAGGGCGTCTATCTCGCCGACATGTCCAGCAAATCCGCCAACTACTGCTGCTCCTACTACAGCGACAACAAGGGCCTGCTCCTTCTATGCGACACCGAGCTCGGCGATCCCATGTACGAGCTCGTCAACGCCAATTCATCGGCTGCTTCGCATTGTAAGAGCGCGGGGAGCATCGCCACGCTCGGTAAGGGAGGTCATATCCCGGCTGCATGGAAGGATGCGGGTGTTGTCAATGCGGATCTGGAGGGCGTGAAGATTCCAGACGTGAGTTGCGGGACGGCGGAGCGAGACGGAACGCAGGCTTATCTGCAGTATAATGAGTATATCGTGTATGACGTGGCGCAGATTCGGCAGCGGTATCTGTTCTACGTGAACATGAAGTGAGGGTGCGAGTGTGCGCGGTGTTTCATTCTCATGTATCTTTGTTTGTGATTGGAAATAGTCTATTCCTTGGCTTAGCGTGTTTATGGTCCGGAGCAACATTCGACATTCAATCGCTTTGGACTTCCTTTCGGGTTCGATAAATGATTACCCAGAGCGGACGCGGCGATAATCTTCGCCCTGAGAAGTGTACCCAGTACACGAGGATGAATCATCTCCTTGAGTACCAACCTACCATGGAAAGCTTTCAACGCACATGTAATGACCTGCCAATCACAGAGGCGTCGTCAGCCTCAATGAAAAACAAATAGACCTGGTAATACGAATGGTGACTACAGACATGAATACAAAAATCTCTCTCTTGAGTCTCCATTTGAAGAGTTCTTTCACTTGTTCTCCGACCAAATACGAAATGATGGTTCGCAAGACCACATAGACTCTAGACTCGATATCCTTAGGATGCGAATAAACACGCATGTGAAACATTAAGAAGCCCGGATTAGATAGTCAGTCATTATAGAATGCTTCACGCCCAGAGGAACAGAGCCGCGAATCCCAAATTCTTCGTGCCAACTCAAGGATGTCAAAATCGGAGGTAGGAACAGCACATGATGATTGCAGCGCACAGTCAGTGACGCAACTGAGAAAGAATGTCGTCCATGCCTAAAGAAGCTTTCTTCAGAAATTAGGCCGGAAAACAGCGGAAAGTAGAGGATAGAAAAGAAAACGAAACGCAAGGCGCAAAATGCAGTCAACAACATTTGGACCTGTGGATTCGGTGCCGTCGTGCATACTTAGGACAGATCGATTAATATAATGGGCTGGATATCATCACCAGCTAATAAGCATTATTCCGACATTGGCCAAGGGGGTAATTTTTTCAGGGACAATAAGCACAAATCGCCAAAATAGACACCAGTGAGGGAAGAGACGCGAACGAGCTGACACCGGGAGATTAGAAGATGACAAAGCGCTTCTGTTTGGTTTTATCTGTTCCAACAAAACAACGTGTTAGCCTCGAGGTCAGGATGGTTTGCACCACGAACCAAGTGCAGAAACGTGGAAATCGATCTCAGTCTCAATCAACTCACCATGACCACTACCACCTCCCCGTGATTTGCCGCCGCCTCGAGCAGCCGTCGCGGGATTCGCACCGTCCGCAGCTGCCCGAATCGCAGCAATCCGTTGCTTTGCGCGCTCATCGCCTTGCTCCGCGGCTCGGACGTACCAGACGTTAGCTTCAAGCGGATCACGTCGGCAACCGATGCCCATTTCGGTAAAGTAGCCCACGGCATACTGCGCTTTGACGAGGCCTGTTGTGATGCAAATGATGTTAGCCCCAGAATTTTCTCATATCGGTCCTTCGCAAGCCGAGTTCATCTTACCAAGGGCAGCGGCTCGCGTGGCCCATTCATACGCTTCATTTTCATCCTTTTCAAGGATCGGCTCAGCCCCCACGAGATACCATGCACACAACGCCATCATGGCCAGGGCATGGTGTCCGCTTTGCGCAGCAGTGGTGTAGAAGTGGATACTAAGAGCAGGATCTCGCGGACAGTTGAGTTTCCCATGCTCGTAAGCATCACCCATGCGGTACGCAGCTTCGACGTGACCCAGCTCCGCGGATTTGGTGAAGAGCTGCGCAGCGTATGACTCATCTTTGAAGACGTCATTTCCATCGCCGTGCTCGTGCATCAGTCCAAGCTCATAAGGGGCCGAGTTGTACTGCTCATCTGATGACTCTGTCGCTCGCTTCAGCCACGTCAGGCCGTCACGATATCGTTTGCCCAGACCCATGTCCCCGTTCAAGCAGGCTTTGGCCATACGCAGCATTGCCCCGGGGTGATTCTTCGACGCCGCTTGACGATAGAACTGCACGGCACGACCGCCATCCACACGCACACCCCAACCAAACTCGTAGCAGAGAGCCGTACGATAGCATGCCTCCACGTGGCCATGCTTGCTCGCTGCCAGGAAGTTGGGGAACGCGCGCTCATAGTCTTCCTTGCCTTTACTGAACAAGCCCGACGCATAGCCATCGGCAAGGTAGTATTGCGCAAATGGGTAGCTGCGGTCCGCTAGACGCTGCAGGATGGTCTTGGACTCGCGAAGCAACCGCTGGCGGGTGATGGCGTTGGAATCCTCCAGGTCGACGTTGGGCATCTCGCGCATCGCATTGATCATGAACACCGCGAATTCGTACTGGACGGCCGGTACGTCCGTTTTCTTGACATTGGCCAGGTACATATCGAAGGTCTTCTCATGACTCAGCAGAGAGGCGTGGTTCCCCACCGATGATTGCAGGTGGGAGTGATCGAGGTGCGCCGCGCTAGGGCCTGGTTGAGGATAAGAGCTGTGAAGAAGGTCTAGTACGGATAGGGGTCGGGTATCGGCTGACGCTGGAGAGTTTCGTGATGTGGATCGGGGTTGCAGATATGGTGATGCGGAGAGATTGCGGCGATGCTGCCCGACTCCCGATTCGGAAGTCGTGGAGTATTGGGACTGACGCTGTGCATTTCGGGTCCCGTGAACCGCCAGGTTATTAGAGGATCCGGCATTCTGGTCCCCAAGATTAATTCCCATGGTGGAATGCCGCACATTGGGTGGATTCTGCTGTTGCTTCTGCCGTTGATGATGATAAGCCAGAGGCTGATAATCCTCTGGACTTTGCGGACCGCTCTCTATGCTTCCGTGGGATGAGTCGGTAGGACTCGCTCGTTCATTCTCATGTGCGACCTTGCGCTTGTCGTCCCCTTGGCCAACGGAGTTGACCTGCTCGTCGACCATGGACCATGAACCACTGCTGCCGGGAGTGTGAGAGTGCGAGTGCGGTGATGTCAACTGCGGGACTTGAACCGATTCTCGTCGTTCCACCTGCTGAGACGATTGACTCGGACCATCGTTGATCGAAAGGTTGGCCAGTTGCGGCATCTGAAGTTGCGAGGGAGCAGGCACATTGTGAAAGTCCTCGACCTGAACCGAAGACGCTTGAGGGATATTCTTGTAAGCACGGTCGATGCGCACTGGCGAGGACGGCGAGGCTTGAATCCGGGCTGCTGACTCTGAGTTTTGAGTGCCCACTGCAAGAGGTTTGCGAGTGAATGGAGTAGGTGAGAGATGCGAAGGGATCGTGCGGGGAGTCGCCCCGGGCGAGGCGGAGGGAAAGGGCGGCGTTGACCGCAAATACGCCGGTGGGGGAGAGGGGATCGGAGGATGTTCCGCAGTCACTGGAGAGGCCATGTTTGCGACAGAAGCGAGTGCGGCTATTCGGAAAGGCGTGTCCGGTATGTCCTTGATCTTTTCTGCTCTGGTCGCTCAGCAGATTTGATGTCACTGACGCGCTCCGGCAATCACGCGATGCGCCGGACTCGAATTGACTGTCAGGACAGACGTCCAGTGTCTGACGCCCGGAATAGTGATTGCGAGATGCAAGTCAAGGCAGGCCGTGACGAAGGGTTGCGAATCGACACAGTGGGGACCGCAGTCCAGATAGCTTAGTTAAGGGTTGTGTGTGCAGACCACGCCGTCAACGGTGTCTTTGTCGCTCTCCGACCTCGTGACACTGCCGGGCAATACTTGGCTATGAAACTTCACAGTCGGCTCATCGGAGGAGGCTGATTCAGTGATGTTCGAGGGAGGATCGGATCGGCCCAGCCGCTGATGAATGATTCGTTCAGATCACGACCGAGGTGAATCAGCGCGCAGAGATGCCGCCGTGGTACCTAGGGTCGGACAAGGGAAGGCCTCCACCACCACAATCGAACAACTTTTGGCAACGTAAGCCGAGATGAGAATTTTGTGGAATGCGGTCTGCTTTGCTGGCACAGCGGTGACAGGAAAGGAGAGGGAAAAAAAAACGAGTGAAACTCCAAGCTGTCGGGGCACGATGGAGGCCGTGAAGCGAAGGGGGGGTGAGGGGGAGAAAGTGTTGCCGGTGGAGACGGACATCACAGAGAGTGGACACCCTTTCGGTCTGACGGGTGCACTGGTCTGAGTCTGAGTCTGACGGTCCCCATTTTGCATGTTGGAGATCCCTTTTCTGATTCAGAAAGTGGGCCCAATAATAAATTTAGGACCAGCATGCATGTATTTCTATTCCACCGGTGAGCCACGCGCTTGTGCTACGAGGCGACAGGACATGTCTTTGGAACGAGGATATCTCAAGTTATGCACACGCTCCCAGGCTCCTCATGACTGTACGTAGTACGTACAGGATTCGGTCTGTACTGTGAAGATTCAGTGAGTCGGACTCCAGCCACGGGCAGCCTTAGGGTTGTCATACCTTGTGAATAGCAGTGGCGGTCATGCTGCAGGCTGGTTGCCCTCTACCGCCCGATACAAAGAGCGCCGGGCTGCCAGTCAAGTCCGGAGTGCAACTTCCCCGGAGTAAACAACGGCAAAGCCATATATCCCTCCACACTAACGAGGTCAGGCAGGGCGACCTCCGTCCTGCACCGAGTCTGCCATGCTCGCGAGCCGCCATTCTCCTGCATGGGTGTGTTTTTTGGGTCTGGCGGTGTTGAGTCTTCCTTATTCGGTGCTTTGCCAAGTCTCTAGATACGGGTGATGCGTGGATGTCCTGCAGGGTATATGGGGATCGGCTCCGCAGACCTCGATCGTTTTCTCCCGATCCACCGAGATGTTCTTTGATCTTTCTTACTGCACATTCAACATTCAACATGAGGCACTTGGCACATTCGACGGCTGACCTCGTTTCATTCTCATCTCGAGTCCACTTGCTGTTTGGAAAGCTTGGATCTAAGAGGGGTTTACGGTGTCTCTCAACCCGCGCAAATTGCACAGTGCACCAGTAATTGAGTACTCACTACTACTCAGTACAGTAGTGAGTCGTGTTGTAGCCTTGTCTTCCTATAAGGGGGCCGGTGGCTTGTTGAAAAGTCTGGGGTTCACCTGACATGGTCCGCGCCGGCAGCATAGAATTCAGGGGGCGATCGGATGATTGGATCCATCTTTTGCATGACTCCGAGTTGCGACTCGGCTACAATGAGCGCATCTGCCTGAGTGATGACCGCCAAAGTATCTTCTTTGATCGCAGGCAAGAATCTTTTGCTCAACTGCCTTGACAGCTGCTGGACCTGATCTGACATGACTCAAGAACTCATCGTCATACTCCCCCAGTGTCTCACCACAATCTGAGCGACCATGACTGAGAGGCTGTGTGGCAGAGTGGGGGGAAAGAAAGGAAGAGACCAAAGCTCGGCCGTCATGCGGCGGTTCAGGATGGACTGTGGAGCACTGGAGGCGCACATGCGAAGCTAGTGCTACTACTAATACTAACATTCAGTCGTTCGTCTCTCCGCGCAAGTGAATGGTAATGGAGGGCCCCCCTCCCCTCCATCGAACCTATGAGAATCTACCGTGAGAGCCGGTGTGAGGACCCTCTCGCCAGCGTCGATTCAACTCGAGCTTACTCGGTGTCGGTCGACGCTAAACACACTAAGCTCAGCGAGGTCTCACTCCTGTCTCGGAGGGTTGAGCCGGCAGAGCAACGCAACCGTCAGGTCATTCGCCTTGTCAACGGAGAGTCCAATCTTGAGATCATCACGGAAGTCCCATCATGGAGAATAGGACGCGATCAGGGCGCCAACCTGATCGGCTTCCGCTGGTCAAGGACCGTCCAACCCCGTCTGGTAATGACGACCGGCGCGTGGCTTGGGTCCAGTGGGCACCTGGATGGAAAGTGACCGTGGATTGAGAAAAAAAAAAAAAGAATTGAGATGAGAAAAGATCTCATCGAGACAGACCCCACAGCGACCGCCGGTTTCCACTGTTTAAAGCACGCGGACTCGCGGAGGACTCGGATGGGCTCCAGCAGCGTAGCCGCAACAGCTTTTGATCATAAAATGAACGCCCGTGGAGGAAAGATCCATGTTCTTTCCATGTCAGAGAGTCTGATGCCTCGATGCATATTGCATAGACGGCTTAGCATGAAACCCAGCATCGGAGGCAACAGTCTCGTATTGTTGGGCATCGTTACTTGGCAGAAAGTCATGTTCTGCACATTAGAGGCCGAGCAAGACTTGGCTCCATGGACCTATGGTTGGTGGTTTTGGAGACGTTGAACCTCCATTGTACCATGTCCCGATGGCCCGTTCTTTCTCCACGATCGGTGGTTTTGTTTGTGGTTCTCGGTGTAAGATCCTGGATTGGAAGGACTTTACAATTATAAACAAGGAAAGGGACCATCAATTGGACAGCCGCGACCATGTCTCGATATTCTATAGTCTACAGTCTACACAACTGCCAAATGTCGATGTCGCATACATCATGGGTCTTGATTTCTTGGCCGTCGCCTCATCGAGGTTTTTCAAGTTGCTTATTGTTTTCTTTTTTCTCAAAATGATTGATTGCGCAATGCGCACGCGCACCGTGTGGGATTGACCTGTGTCACTGTCTGGATACGCTCACATAACCTTAATTCCATCCCCCGGTCGCGACTCGGCTCGGGATCAGTGATGATGGTCGCGATGTAGAGGGACCAGAGGCCTCATGTCGGTGTTTGTCACTGGAGTCTCATTTAGTACACTCAACATTATGAAACACTGTAGTGGAAGAGACGCCTCCTACGGTCAATCGCTTCATTACGGTCACATCGTTGTATGTGAGGGTAGGTATTAGGTAGTAAGTAGGTACTAACTAGGTCAGTAGGTCCAATTCACCTGCAATCTTCCACTGATAATCAGGGTCCTGATGGTTGATCTTCAGTGCCCTGTATAGAATTCATACTCCAGCAAATGTATCCGAGCGCTGCACCCTACAGCGACCCTTCCTCAACCCACCATGCCCCGGCCCAGCGATGATTTCGGGATTTGACACTTCGAATGAAATAACAGACACTCCTCTCAAACAGACTGGACACACCTGTCCTTGTCAACTTCCAAGATGCGGCTGGAAAACAGGCACCCATCCGATAGAGCACATGCACGAACATGTGAGGCTTCTCCGACAGATCCAGGTCGAGGTCCAGTCCAGGTCTGTGCATGGCCACCCTGCAGTCTGCACAGATACGAGCTCGAGACTTCAACCGGTGATCCGTACCGACGCCATCATTGCCGAAGCCCAGACCAGCAAATGCTTCGGTCTAGGTGGGGTTGGAATCTATCGCTTGCTACGACCTTCAATGCACCACCCTCCTGGACAGGATAGACGGGCAGAGTCCAACATCCAAAGTTATTCCGAGATCCTGACCATCACTGGTCCGATTGTTAGATGGCAGTGGTAAGAATCTTTGTGCTTACAAGGTGTCCGTCCTCTCGATCCGGCCGCAAGTCTGTATACTGAAAGGATTCGGATTGTATTTGGAACAAATTCACAATCTGTCATTCCGCCACTAGGCTCAACAGTAAAGTGGGCCTGGAGTTTCATCAAGGTGACCACTACCTAACGCTTCTTCTAGAAAAGCTTATATGGCATATATCCGGACCCTTACGTTATGCAGGTTCTCACAATATCAAGATCGAGCCCGACCGCCCGCGGTATAGCACAACATGAGATCCTCTTGACTGGCGGTGAGTATACTATCGCCCTAAAACCAGACTGATGGACGGAAATTCACGCAAATGACTCCATGAACGGTCCATCGAGGTCGAAAAACGTAGTTATGGAGGATGGCGAGCAGATTCAGTGTTCAACCATGCTTCTTATCAAGGTCGAAGTTTCTGTCATAGTTGTTAGCGAAAAGCCCTCATGTAATAACGCTGGTGTGCTTATCACAAACAGATGCATCATGAATATACTTGGAATTGGTCCTGCAAGGGGCCGCGAAATATGCCGGACTTCCATTTGAAATCCTGTGGCCAAGGGAACTGTAGTGGAAACAAGGTACCAAATGTTATATAAACCCACTTTATACCACCAGTCGGAATGCCCACTCAGCAGGATCTTTGGTACCTAGAGAAGCTCATTTCTAGTCAGCTCATCTTCAGCTCGTCTCTAACTCTGCATTTACAATACAGTTTTTTCGAAGGCGAGTCCAGGATGTAAACAAACCTGCTGATTATCTAGCGTTTGGATGAGCTGAATCAAGCATGCAAAGATATATAGATCATTCATGATGTAAGGGGTGTGTTGGAAGAAGGATGCGGCGTCTTCACCTTACACCCATTGAGGTGATACTTGTACCAGTGCACTGTCACGTTGTAGACGCAAGAACAAGTGTGTAAATGCAAGATATTGCGGGCCGAAAGGAGTTCTAGAATGTGCATCACCTCTCTTATCCACATTTGGCAGCCCTTTCAGGAGACGATGATACACCGTATCGACGATCTCCAGGTCAAAATCGTCCAGGAATACACATTATTATTCGAGGAGACATTTTCACGTCGTCCAAACATGTCCTGTGAGGTAGTTCGTAAGGCAGGTGATACTGCCGTCTCACCGCAAGTTGACGTAGCCTAGCTATAATCTCTCCTAGCCAGGAAATACCATACTCATCTCTCTCTCAGGTTCCATGGCTGCATCTACCTCTGTAGCTGTAGATCATCAACGACCTTATTCAAGGGTATCAACAAACGTATCGATGGGGATATTGATGCCGATTGCTCGCAAAGGATATTCGTAACAATATTTGCATGGTATGAATGATGGCGTCTGAGGAGCGTACAAGGTGAAAATAGTCATGAATATCAATGATCTTGATGTTGACCTATTTGTCGTTGATCCGATTGAATGGCACAGACATCTACCTGTTACCCAATACTGGAAGACTACCTGACCCCAAGATCCTTAGCAGTGGAGAAGAAGATCTTTGGGTCCCTCGCCATATGGAAGAATCGCAGAACCAGGACTGAGGGATGCCGTGGCCAAGGCCTTGACAAGAGAACTCGAGAACGAGATGGAAAATGCATGGACTTTCATTCAGACTGAAATTGTGCAGAGAGAGAGAGAGAGAGAGGAAATGTCATCAAGCATGCCAATATACATAGCCCTAGCTCACACCCTTCATTCACGAAGAGATCAACCCGTCCATAAACAGGCTCTCTAGGAATATGACCGTCCGCGGCTAGAGCCTATTGAGGATGAAGTCCCTCGGTGACAACGCTAAGGGATTCCACCGCGTATCAAGTCTGCAATCCCACGATGGTGAGTCTACAAACAAGCACGTGGCTCTTCTGATTTCGTCCCAAAGTGCATGATGACAAATGACAAGAGAGCGACCCGATTTTGGGTCTGCCAGTTGTCTACTGCGTCAGCCGATAACCCGACTAGAACAACCCGATCGGGAAACCGAGAAGACTTGGAGTGGGCGGTGACTGCACGAGCCACGTGATGCATCTTACGCTAACCTTGTTTGGGTTGCTCGTAGCCTACAGCTGCCGTTTCGAGACCGATCGCGGGGCAGGCTCTCGGTCAATCATCGTTTCATGCACGAGTCGGAGCTGCACGACTAAATGCTATTGACCGAGAGGTGCTCGAACCAGAAAGGTAGGGATACGCGGCTCCAGCTTGTGTCGACTCTGTCGAGCGACCCGATATAATACTTGGACAGATTCCTCGAAGCTGAATCGCTTCACAAAAAAAAACAATTATACCCGGCTTTTCACCCGATCTAAATTAATTGCCTTCTTATCTGCGCCTTCGACCCGCCATCGTCAATTTACTCATAATCTCCGGAGTACGCGCGCACGAGCGAAAACATTGTCCTTGCGACTAGAGCACCAAGACTTTCCACCGCCATAAACCACGACATTGATAGTTGGTATCCGCAGCCCTTAGACGCACTCACAATGGCCTCCTCAGCCACCCAATCACACATCGCCGTCATTGGATCCCTGAACATCGACTTCGTCACGTCCACCCCCCGTTGTCCCGGCGCCGGCGAAACCCTCACAGCAACCTCCCTCACCGTCACAGCAGGAGGTAAAGGCGGCAACCAAGCCACCGCCTGCGGTCGCGCCTCCTTCACGTCCCCCACTACCCAAGATGTAGCCGTCAGTATGATCGGCGCCGTCGGAGCGAACGATCCCTACTACGCGACTCTGCTCAAGCCCGCGCTGGAGAAATCCGGCGTGAGCACAGCGACCATCGAGCAGTCCGAAACTGCGCAGACTGGGTCGGCGACGATCATCGTTGAAGAAGCGGCCGGCGGCGAGAACCGCATTCTGGTCGTGCCGGGTGCGAATCACGCTGGTCTAATGAAGGATACATCGGCGATTGTGCGGACCGTGCAACAGCAGGAGATCAAGGCTGGGGTTGTGGTACTGCAGGGCGAGATTCCGCGCAAGACGACTCTGGAACTGCTGGAACATTATAATGGGGCGGATGGGAATCGGGAGCGTGTGCATGTGGTTTTCAACCCTGCACCGGTCTATCCGGAGGGTATTTCTCTGGCTGCGTTGAAGAATACTTCTGTGCTCATCATGAATGAGACCGAAGCTGTTCAGATGTCGAGATCTATCGCGGGCCTTCCGATTTCGGATTCGACGCAGTCGTCAGGATTGGATGACTTGCAGCCTGAGCAGCTTGCCCCTCATTTCCATGATACTGCCAATGTGCAAGTTGTGATTATCACGTTGGGCGCCAAGGGTGTCTATTTCTCCACCCGGAATGGTCGCACCGGCGCCGTGGCCGGAGTACGAGTTGCCAAGGTCGTGGATACGACGGCAGCGGGAGATACCTTTGTTGGATACTTTTCAACGGCCCTAGCCCGTTTCCTTGCAAAGGGCGAGCCGCTGGAGAAGTTCGATGATGAGATTGAAAATGCCGTGAGACAGGCTAACGCAGCGGCCGCCAAATGTGTTGCTGCGGCGGGGGCCATGCAGAGCATTCCATTTGCATATGAAGTAAAATAGATTTACAGGACGGAAGAACAACAGGATGTTATAGGATAGTGTATGACTTGTGACAAAAGAAAAAGCGCCGTACCTCATGAACCAAACCCCTTAGCCGTCCATCTCATCCGTATCCTCATCAAATCGCGCGATTTTCCAGCCTGCCTGGAGTGCTTCAATCTCGTGGTTCAAGTTTATTCCCGTACTTGCGGTGATTCGACGAAATGTTTCCATCAACACTTCTTGTTGTGATTGATGGGTCATATCTCGAGCCACAAGCAAAAGACTCGCAATGAGGATTGGGTCCCATTGCTCTGAGGACTCGTTGCTGACAGCGATGCCAGCAATAGACTGAGCGTGCCAGATATGCGACGTAAAGCATCGCGGCCCCGGCAGGGCCTTCAGAAGCCGAGGCTTGTATCCCAAAAGAAGTAATGAGGTAATATGGTAGACGACATTAGCGACCAGCGCCAAAGGTGTCGTATAGATCAAGATTGGCAATGCGGAATCGCGGCTGGGATCGATCTTGTCAGCCTCACCACCTCGCACATCGACTATTTGCTGTGCATCCACGGGTCGCTCATTATACCATCTCTGACAATCGGACCAGAGGAAGGTCCATTGAGACAGGAAGCGAGACTGCGGTAATGAGGAGAATGCATAGAGCTCAGAGGGAGCGGCACTTTGAGGGTGCGAGGGGTCTGGACCGCCGTAGATGAGAGAGAGGCAATGTCCGAGGAGAGATAAGGAGTGCTTGTAAACTTGGCTGATGGAGGGTGATTGAATGGCATGCTGTGGTGTTTGGATCGGGGACCCATCCCGATTGATGTATGAGCGGAACTGCATGAGTGGCCTCTTTGCAGTCAATACTGAGACTGCCAGGTCAAGGCGGAATTGGAACCAAAAGATTGCTTCGCCCAGCTCGTCTTGCATAACAATAGGATGCAACGAGAAACTGAAATTCTCGAATTGGGCTGCGAGTAGATCTCTCCATTGCTGTATGCCATACTGAAGAAGGTCCTGAAAAAGTAACAAAGTCCGTCCAGCCGACCTGGCCAACTCTGGCTCAAAGGCAAGCGTTTCTTCAGCCTCGGACCGAAATCGCACGGAATTGTCGTGGTCTTCAATTTGCGTTGGCATTGCAGTGAGGACACGCTGATTCGATGACAGGGCGAGGACCGCCGCTTGTAGAGGGCGATTTGTACGAGACAGTAGCAAAGCCTGGATTCCCAGAGCGCCCTCGGGGTCACCGACGTCGAGCCAAGGACAGATTTGATATCGAAAGTGTCGCAGCAGGTCTGTTTCATGATTGGTGACAGATAAGGTTGTGGCTCTCTGTGTCAATGGTGCCCTCAGAGGCATTTGGGAAGCATGACCAAGTGAGCCGCGGTTGCCATGCGAAGACGGCGATTCTGTGGGCGGCGCAGATTGATGATTTGTTACACTTCGATGCGGCTCAAGAGGCACATCGGGCGTGAGCATGTCATGAAGATTCAGCATTGTGCGAGTCTCGGGCACATGCCGCTGGGTGGCCGCATGCGCGGCAGTCCTAGTGCCTTCGACATGTCCGATGACAGGCTCTGCAGTCGAGGCAAGAGACTGCCGCCTTGAATGATCACCGTCATGTTGCTGAGTACTCCCTTTCGTTGCTGCGTTTGTCGAGGGAGAATCATCCACAAACTATATTCTCAAATCAGCGCACATCCATCATACCAGCGGAGCATTAGACAGTCAAACTTAAAGACACCATGCCACTTACAGTGATAGACCCATAGACCTGCCCCGTAGTGACTCCTGCAGTCGTTGATCGGGGTGGCACAAATGCCACATCCCTGCCGTATTTGCAAGGAAAACCCTTAACCTCGCAATTAGCACAGCGCGGCTTCTGCTCATCGCATTTGCGTCGTCGCTTCCGACATGTGAGACAGCCTGTCCGCACCCTCTGCTTCCCCGGGGGAGTTGGTTTTCGGGGCATCCTATCTGTCACTGCACACCTTGGCGTGCATGGCCCCAGACTGACAAAATCTGGGGAAACGACAATGAGCGAAATCGGTGAATCGGAGGCTCCATGCCCTCTCCCCGGAGATGAACTGTGCGGACTTTTTTCCCTTGCGGAGAAGATGTGGAAGGCGAACACAAGCGGGGGAACAAATCAACGGCCAACCTGCCACGGTGAGAGTGGGTCATGCTGGGAGGTCGGTACGCCGATTCGGTGCGATGGCCCACGAGCGGATGATTCTGTAGAATGATCCGCTTGGTGCGGACGGAGACTTAAATTTGGGTCTACTTACTGCGGCAGCTGCTTTAGACACGTGATGCTCCTCTGCGTCCTGCGTCCACGTGCATTCTTGAGCGCATGTGGAATTAGTTCGCACGTGAGCTCGATTTGACCTTGAATGCGACCAACATTCTTCTTATATTGGGCAAATATCGATCTCTGCATAACAGGCTCCAGATTCTTGGCGCCTTGGACATGACTTCCTTACTATCGAGTACACCGATCAGAGCTGAAAGCATTTCCTCGGAGGAAGTTACTGTGAAGAGTATTCATACTGGACGTCAACCAAACTTGATATATCACAAAACTCGCATTATTGAAAACGGAAAGACAAAAGATCATCAATCAAGTTCATCACATATTAAATAGTCGTCAGAACCATCTCTCTTAGGGATGGTCGTATTTTAAACAGACTCGACATAGTCAGAGCCGTGCTTCTTCTCCAGATCAGCATTATTTGGCGAGCCCAATCCCTCCAAAAAGGCAGTCAGGCCAACGTCGCGCTGAGCCTCGCGCAGCAAGGCGGCATCTTCCTGGTTCTTCTTGCTTCCAAACACGCGGTCCATCTCTTCCAGCGTGGCATTCTTGGTCTCGGGGAGGAAGAACCAAACCCAGAAGATGCCGACAAAGAGGAAAGCAGCGAAGAAGATGTAGGTGCCCCACTGCCAGGACTGGAGCATGGGAGGCACGAAGAAGGCAATGGCGAAGTTGTTGATCCAGTTGCTCGAGGCGCCGATGGAGACACCCTTGGCGCGAATGGAAAGAGGGAAGATCTCGGAAACAAGCGTCCAGGAGCAGGGACCCCAGGTGGCACCGAATCCGGCAATGTAGAGCCAAATGAGAGCTATAGAGCGTTAGTCAGAGGTACATCCCCTTTGAAGTTCGGTGCTGAGATGAGTACTTACCAACGGCAGTCCAACCAGCGGCCACGTGGCCAGGCCAGTCGTGCTGGTACTTGGCGACGATGATTCCAACAATCACCATGCTGCAGAACATGACAATAGAGCCAACGATGAGCATAGGCTTGCGACCGACCTTGTCAATGATCAACTGGAGATAGATGTTAGTGTTCCGGATCAAGGAATGTTTGGAAAGCGCAGATCAATCACTTACCATGGCCGGGATAGTAGAGATCAAGAAGACAACGCCAGTAACACCGGTAGCCAGGAGGGCGATAGTGCCACCAGTGAGACCAAGGGACTGGAAAACGTTGGAAGCATAGTAGATAACTGCAATGTGTGTTAGCATGGTGACCAACGTGCAACAAGCTTTCGTAAGGGTATAACTCACTCGCATCGATACCACTCCACTGCTGGAAGAACATGATGAGCCAAGCAATACTGACACGCTTGAAGTTGTCCATGGAGCGAACGCAGTTGGCGTACTGCGCAATCTGGTTCATCCACACGCTCTGACGCTCGCGCTCGGCAAGGTGAGGCGCAGCCTTGGCAAACGCACGCTCCTCGAAGACGGACTCAGCCTTGATCTCAAGATACTCAATCTGGATGAAATCATCGTCGATGGGGAGCTTGCGCAGCCAGGCGAGAGTTGCCTGGGCTTCCTCATCACGGCCCTGCTTGACCAGCCATCGGGGAGAGAAGGGCATGAACCAGATACCGCAGGCCAGGCAGACAGCAGGAATACCCTGAATAATTGAAGGCAAACGCCAAGCGAGGTCAGATTGACCCTCGCCAGTGCCCCCGATGTAGTTGCTGCCGTATCCGACCCAGAAGGAGATCATAATGCCGAGAATAGTTGCAAGTTGGTAGAAGGAGACCAGGAGACCACGCATCGATGGAGGTGAGATCTCAGCATTGTAAAGACCAGACACACCACTGAACAAGCCCACGCCGAGACCAGTGAAGAAGCGACCGGCGTAGAGCATGGCGGGATTGCCAGCGGTGGCACCGATGTACAGATATGAACCGAGAGTCACCCAGCAACACGCGATAAACATGGTGTACTTTCGAGAGATGATTTCGCCCAGAACACCAGCCGAAAGGGAGCCGATAATACCGCCGACTTGCAGGATCGATGTCAGCCACCCGGTAGCCGATGTGGATGCTACGACAGACGGGAAATTCTCAGTGAAGCGTGTCATGACCAAACTTTGGCCAAGGACACCCTGTTGATAGCCATATTCGAAACCACCGAGACTAGATTCCCTGTTAGCGAACGAATGATATCTACCGCGATCGTGCCGACACGAGGCGCAGGGCCAGCGGGGAAAGATGCACGTACGACGCAAAGAAGGCAATCAGCAAAATTTTGGGATTTTCATAAAGCGATTGCCACATGGACTTGGTCGCCATTTGGACTCGCGGACTTTCCTCCACATCCGTCGAAGTGCGGTCGGCCATTTGCGCGACAGATAAAATTTTCGGCCCGAGTGAGAATACTTCCGCAACAAAAGGGAGATCAGGCGAGATGGATCTTGCCTCAACGACAAAGAGAGATAGATGGAGGCAATTGCGTCGTATGTGATCTTTTACTAAAATCTCTGATCAGCGCGGGGAGGGCATGGATGTTATATGTTTTTTTTGCCCCCTCAATCCAGCAGACGTAGACCAACACCTTCCAAAAAGGCTAAAGCTATCGTTTACCCCGGGCTCGGCCTCCCGAGAAAACCTCGCATGGCCCCGGAAAAGGGAAAAATTGAGAAAACGCGGAGAGAAATCAAAGTGCGGAGGCCAGCCACTAGGCCGGAATCGCAACTCCCTGGAGGCTATGACTGCCTCTTTGGGCGAAGATTGGCATCACGGTCCCGACACTCACAAAATTCAGGATTCTGGACTTGGAGCCAGTGCGGGTCGATTGGGTAATCCCAGCTGGCAACGTCCCCAAAGGAGCAAGTCCTCACCCGCAAATTGTGGCATGGTCAGCCAGACCCTCCTCCACTTTCAGAAGTGCTCGTCTCCTTGTTTCCCCAGTCCCCACACTGCAGGGTGCATACTGCAAACTCTTCACTCTGTCTCCATTTCCCCAATCGTCTCTTTCCGCTCGTGATTTGAACCAAGTTCTAAGACGGGTCCAATGAAATGTATTCAAGTATGGCACTGCGGAAAGGGTACCCGCCACCGCCTTGTCCTGGGCTAGTCGCTGCCAGGTGCAAACTGGAGTTGTCGTCTGATCGCCCATTTTGGGTAAACACAGGCACCGATGTCTGTTTGCTGCGCTGGAGATGCTGTTCAAGCTCAAGAAGGATGCGGGGAACTTCCACGCAAAGCTGAGGCATGATGAGCTTGAGTTTTTAGCTTCCGCGCCACCTGAGTTGGAAAGTGTGGTGTGTTCCAGGTAGCTCTCTCGGACGAGCTCGTATTTTGTGAGATCGCAGGTGGTATGTGATGGGCTGCGACTCAAGCCGATTGACCAGTTCAAGATAGCTGGAGGTCTTTGATCACGTGGCAGGTTTTCGATTTGTCCTACTCGTGCAGTCGCAGGTGGACAAGGATAGGCCAAGACATGAGATCAATCTTATGGACCGGGTCGAGCGCTGTTTCTTGCCTGTTGGGTGATATGGATATGTTGATGCGGAGCCAAGTACCGATACCTCCAGTTCCCCGGAGTGAAAAGACCCCTACAATCACTAATGTCACTCACTTACCTAAGGTTAATGGGAGACAATAGTTATACGTCGATGCGATAAGGTATACCAAGTGTATGGCCTTATCTTACGGCGCTGGACTCTGTAAGGTCAAAAACAGAACAAGTACGAGATTCCACACGATGAGATTCATTCGGTGCCACTGGCATATCTCAGACATGTATAGCTCAGTAGTTGGGTATCAAAAGTCTTTCCTATTTCCGAGATCACGACACTGCAACTCAAATCGCGGACAAAATCTCCCCCGGCTCGTAACCCCATTCCCGCTCAAGATCCTTTAACCTCCAGAGCGCACCCCATCCAGTCGTCTCCTCGACAATTTTGAACAGCTTCGCCACTTCCACATGCTCACTGTAATGGCTGAGAAGTTTGCCAGCAATGTACAAGGGTTGAATGGCATTGATGAGGTTCCCAGAGTGAGGATTCGTCAACGAAATCCCACAGACCCGGCGCGCGTGCCATATTGAAGAGTAATGCGCCTTGTCCAGAGGCAACATCTTGCCGGGGGGTTTCATGTCCAGCATCATTATGCAAGCGGCATGGTAGAGCTGGTTGCCTGATATGGCAGCCCAGTGAGCGAAGAGGATCTCGGGGAATATTTGACCACCGCCGATTCCGGTTGTTTTGATTGGCAACATTGCGGCAGGTCTGTTCTCCAGCCAGAATTGCAGTTCCTCCCATAGAGCAGTCCACTGCTCGGAAAAGGGGCGAGGGTCTTCGATCCTCTCGCCCAGTTCCATGTATCTTGTGTGTCGGCATGATAGATCGCATGTCTTTGCACAAAGATACACGGCCCAGTTAGCATGCATGTCTGGAGACGCACATCCATCTTGGTAGAACATGTCTCGAATCATCAGCTCTCTTTCTCGGGGCGTCGCGGTCTCGGAAACCGCAGGGACCCATTTCTGCAAGGGCAGCACAGTAGACTCGGATCCTCCCGATATGATGGCGCCGCAAAGCTCCATGCGTGCATATGTCCAGAAGGTGGCGGACAAGTGTCCACCAGACAGACCATGCACATTGAACGATTCAAACAAGGCTGCGCATCCTTCGACATGTCGCCTCCAGTCGCGCGGACTGACGGACATCAGCTCCATGACCGCCAGGATGCAGACCGTGACAAGAACATCGGGATCTTTCGCTTGGAGCAAGGGTGTCAGTAATCGAATTGACTCCTGATAGAGCTCCAGACTATCGTATGCCTTATCCAGGCACGCCTTGCGCTCTGTCTGTCGCGCTGAAAAGGCAAGAATGGCATAAAACAAGGCGGGTGACCGTTGCGCCAGGATCGGAATATGTACTCCGAAATGGCGCAGCTCATCGAATTTGTCCAGGTAGGGTGCACACTCGGTGATCCAGTTCTTAAGGTAAAAAATCAATCTGATTTTGGGAATTGACACTCTCGTGAAATCTAGTGTCGGGCGGGACTTGGTTTGCCCATCTGGGTGCTCAAAAGGCACTGACGAGGTTTCACCGCTTGGGTCAAAACTGGCGACGGATGAAAAGAGCACGCAGCGGAGCTCTTCTTGCAGTTCAAGAAATCTTGGATTCGCGGCATATTCATCTGCGCTGGAGAATGTGCCAGGTGACAAGAACGCCTCTTCTTCGAAAATAGGTGCCGAATTGTGTTTGAGGGGTTCTGAGATTATCGTCTTTGGTAGAACTGGCGCAACGGGTTCCTCCATGATGAAAAGTCGACGATGGCATGTGAGTGAAGCAGCAGATGCGGAGAAAAAAAACTTGGAATGAGAGCAGGCTTTCCAGAAATCCACTGTCAAAAGACTAATCTATATCGGCTTCGCTTTGGCCACGGTCGGAAGGCAAGTAGTCCTCACGCGGCAGCGGATGACAAGTGGTGCCAGGCCGTTCGACTTGAGACCTGCAGTCTTCGGCTTCACCAAGCGGGCAAGACAGCGCTAAGAAAGTGTGGAGAGTGGAGACTGCTGCTGATGCGGACTATGGAACCCCCCAGAGTCCAGATGGAAAGACGCAGAGCCGACTTCCACTCCGGCTTCGAGGTTATCAGTACTGTGCTTCTGTGGGTCGACACTTGACCGAAAAGAGTCAGCCTAAGCGCGGCTACGTGCATCTTCGTTCTGGGTGCCTAAGGCTTCTGAAAACCTTGTCGGGCCTTGTGATCAACTCGAGCAGGGTCAGGTAGCCGACGAGCCTGTTACATGTATGGATTCAGCTCAATCCCGTTTTAGCGACGCAGTTATCCGGTAACGGTCCCATTTCGCCGTGTCATAGCCGCTCGTTCATTGCAGCACATTGGTGGCAGTTCCCATGCTTGAGATTCTCAACTCCAAAACATGCGGCTTTCTGAGAGCTTAGATTGGAATAGCCAACCGACTCAACCTGAACCTATGACCTAAGGTAAGCTTCAGTTCGAGATTGGCGAATGAAGGAATCTGCATGTAATGCTAACGTAGTGACCTCGCATGTGCAAAGAAAAAATTCCAATTGAGTCCAACTCAGATTAGGGTTTTCAGCCTCATCTTTCATAAGTGATGTTCATCTTGCAGATCGTTTCGAATCTATCATGTTCTATATTTGTATCGCTCTATATACAGCAATCCATACCAAGTCTATATGCAGTCCGCGCAACAATGGACAAGTCAAGTTTCATCAAGTATCATCGTATCAGACGCCGAGAGTTCGCAGTACAAGTCTCCATTTCCCTGGTCATCCGTGTAATGATCAAGCACTATTCGAACAGGACCAGCTGTTTGAGCTTGAGTCATTATGGATAGCGACGCCGGAGACAAAGAGACCAAGGCCACACTGATAAGTTGTTAGTCGAGGCAATGAGCTTGTATCTCAGGTAAGGATCATCACGTACCATAGCGCATGAGATGAGGAAAATAGAAATATTGAGAATCGTCAGGGAAGCCTTCTTCCAATCGCGGAAGTATTGGCCCTTGTTCATGTGGAGCCAGAAGACAGCAGGTAAGCCAACTGAGACGGTTGTTAGCGATCGACCACTATACATGGGATATGGGGAACAAATCATAGTACTTACAGCTGAACCAACTGCCAAAGAGGGCACTCTGTATTTGAAATCTGTCAGCCAATGTTCTTCGAGAATCTCCAGTCTTTGCAAGTCACTCACAATCAAACTGAGCAGATCATTGAAGACGGGAATCGACTCCGCAACGACCCAGGAAACGACCCAGACGCCAATGCAAATTGCCACCCAGGATCCAACGGAGAGAAGGCTGCGACTGTGCATCTTGTCGGAGCCACGGAACATGCGAACGTAAATGTACTTGCAGGCAACATGACCTAATACAACGCCCGAGAGAATAGTCTGCTTTCGTCAGTGAGAAGTTCAAGATGAAGTGAAAGAGATCAGGCACCGAGGGGTAGGTGCTTTGTGAACTCACAGTTGGAATGGCAATACCCCAAGCGACCTTGCTCATGACAGGGCTCAGTGAAGAGATAGCTGGGGAGGAGACGTTGGGACCAACGTAGTGGTAGATGATCAACGCGCTGACCAGGTACAGCACGGTGTCGACAATCTGAAGCATTGCAAGGGACTTGTTAAAGGTGCGTGGGTCCTCAGTCTCGGACATGAACCCAAAGTAGGCGACGTGGGCGACTATCAAATGCCGCCAGTCAGTATTTGGCGAGTCCTCCGTGAATGGTGTACACAAAGAGTGCTTTCCAACTTACGATAGGCGAAGATGATGTTGGTGACAGCGAGGAAACCCTCACGGAAGCTGACATTTGTGGTCACTTCGTTCACCACAGAGCCCTTGGCTTCAACACCAGCGGTGATCATGGTGATGATGGTGGCCACCAAGACACTCGCGAATGCTAATAATCAATCAGCAAAGGATATAAATTACATTCCGGTCAGAGATACTCACAAATAACAGACATCCAGTAAACCTTCTCCATGGTGCGAGGCAAAGCACCCAAGAAACAGATCACCAGACCAACGACACCAAAGACCAACGTACAGGCGCCGTGATCAGTGAGCACGTTCATCAAGATATTAAAGGTCAAGATGTTGCTGGCCATAAGGAAAATGAGCAAGAGAAGTTGGCCAATACCGAGCACCTCTCGGCCCACACGACCCATCAACAACTCTCCAGCATCACCCATGCTGTGGATGTGAGGATGACGGAGCTTGAACTGTCCAATGGCATAGCCAGTATACCAGGACAGGGCAGATATGAACAAGATCATGATGGAAGCACTAAGCACGTCATGGTCAGCCATCTTTCCCAGTCCCTCACAGAAACTCATAGAGAACCTGGAATGGATACATACGGCACCATGCCCAGTGTGGCAACCGCTGAGGGCAAAGACAAGATTCCAACGGAGACATTTTCCGCAATCATGACTAAATCAGAATCAGTACATAGCTCCGCGTTGGCGCGTTTAGAGGGAATACGCACGCATGCCACAGTGCCTGATTGATCATTAGCTGTAGACCTCAACAGTAAACGCCCTGGGTGAAGAATGACTTACCACCACTTCATGGTACGGTACTTGACCTCCGCGGTCTCCTCATTGCCAAAGGGCTCCAGATCCTTGGCAGATAGAGCCTTCTCACCCTTCATCTTGAGATCATCGTCGGCGGGGAGGTCCGCCATACCGCCCGCATATGACTCTTCGTCGTTTCTCTTGAGTAATGTCATCTTGTCCCGTCGTAGACTAATCAGATTCACTTTGCCTGGAAACACCTCAAAGAGATATGTGGAAAAGGTAAGTCCGGCACAACAAAGATGTCGAGTGATCCAGTGTCTATGACCAGCCAATAAACTATGTGGACAAGAGAAGAAAAACAGTCAAGGACGATTGACTGAGGGCCACTTCGACCCCGGCCAAGGAAAAAATTCGACGGGCAAGTTTGAGTGGGTCAAGGGACTTCTCCGTGACTTTCTCCGGGTTGCTTCAAAAGCGATCGCCAAAAGAGCCGAAAGCCACACGCAGTTTGACCGTGTGACTAATTGTGGCGCCGTGATGAAAAGGCCGAGAGATACCGAGGATCCGATTGGTAGAAAGATCGGCGCGCGAGAAAAATGTAGTCCACAGGGAAAGTCCTTCGTGATGATACTCACCCACCAATGCTGATAGGTGACAAAGAAGCTTTTCCGCGGACAACTTTCACCGGATCGAAAGCTGCTTCAAGCAAGGGACAGTAAAACCAGAGACTAAGGGGGGAACCCAAAAACCTCGAAAATGCGGGACAACCCCGTACTCCCAGAAGAAATGTAACGGAAAAACTCTGCAGAACGCTTCGGGTGGAACCAGCCGAGATCGAGACCCCATATCATCATGAACGCATGCGATTTAGGTGAATGGCAAAGGTTTGTATGGAAATTCCGTGTTCTTGTAGACCACCATCAATCTGCGTCCACTCGTCCAGTGATTTACTCATGACGAGCTCTCCGTATGGTCTCAGGACCCACATCGTCAAGGTCCTTTGACTCCGGGGAAATCGAACCCGGGCCGTACTCCATGTCACACCGTCTTAGTTCGAGACCACGGAACTAGGTGTGAAAAAGGTTTACCTATGCTTAGCCAGGGGACTAGGCTGGATAGGTAGTTCTATATATTTAGGGTTCTGAGAGTGAAGTGATCAGTTGGAAGTACGACTAGTTAAAAGCGATGCCTACGTAGTACACACTGTCAGTTTTCCGGGGGGGTTTCAGACAATAATACCGGCTCTTACACAAAATACGATACTGAGAACCCTTCAGAAGTTCAGATATCGTAGCTCTGGGAGCATTGCCAACTAAGGTTAAGGAACAGTGACGATTGAACTCAAAGTATGATTCCGATACAACCTTAATCCAAGAAGGTTCCATTTCCCGCTGGACTGAACTACCTTTTTGGCTAGCGTCAGCAATTGAAATAGGGTTTAAATTGGATCCATGCGAACAGGCCGCGCTCATCGCCCTCCTCTCCCGCGAAACATTTTTCACCAGAGAGCCCGTTCTCTTATTTTACCAAACAATTGGAAGCTGGCCACTGATGGAATGGAGCTACAGTAGATGCAGCCGCACTATGTGAGAGAGGGATGAGTATGAAACTGACTAGCGAGGAGATACTCTATCTAGGCTATGGACTGCGGTAGGACGGCAGTATTACTTGCCATACGAACAGTCTCTAATCCCTCTGTTGTCGTTAACTTTATCCGCTCGGAGTTGCTCAAATCCTCAGCCGAGATAGCAGTAACGTTAAGCTTAGGCTCAGGGCTGTTGTGCCGAGGTGACTAATAGCTAGCTACTAGGTAGTTATCGGGAGCACCTTACGTACAGGAGTGGCAACAGTTGGAGTTCCGACGTTGCGGGGGAGAGAGACCTGCATCCCTCTACTATTAACGTAATCCTTGGTACAAAGACAGCTACTTTGATATTGAGGATAAGCTAGACCTCAATTCTGATATATAGGGCCTAGCTAGGGATCATTAAACTTCAAAAGTGCTGGCAAAACTATGAATGCTACAGCCATCAACTTCAGAGGTACATGATGTTAGTATGGCATGTGACACTTCCGTCTCACCGCAGTCCATAGCCTAGATAGAATATCTCCTCGCTAGTCGGTTTCACACTCGTCCCCCTCACACATAGTGCAGCTGCATCTGCTGTAGCTCCATTCCATCACATGATGGATCAAGGATAAGTCCCACCAGGTAGACTTCCGACCACAGATGGAGATTATCCACGAGAAGAATCGGTTCTATAGGCCCGAATTGGGTAGATCACAACCGAAGATACTACGGATCGCGTTTGGTCCAGATACAAATGCGGGTGTGGAACGAACTACCTCGGAGGTTCATGTTGAGTCAACAGCAATACTCGGGAGGGTAGCTACTGGATTCTGAAGCCGTTTTTTCGGCGCAGATGATCCAGGTAGCAGCAATAAATTCGTCAGCCAGTGCTCGCTCGCTCGCAGTCCAACCCCACATGGGCTCGACTATTCATCGCGACTTGACGGGAGCACGGCTTATACATACCCGCTGGGTATCTCGGTCCTCCGGCGCGTCATCGCGGAAAGCCCGTCGGACAATCAGGATCTCGCGCAGGATGAATAACCGCATTGAGATTTGGAGCCAGGCCACAACACCTAGGTCTATACTAAGCGGCAAGTTTTCTATCTGTCTAATAAATATAATAGGGACCTCGATTGAGAATGCATTGGAAGAATTCTTCTCGAACAGCACTAAGCCATAGTCATCATGGTATCGAAGACAATGAAAGCAATCGGAGTTGCCAAGTATGGCGCGATCGACAATTTGGAGTCGCGCGACGTTCCGCGACCGGAGAGGCCCACGGGAATGGACATGCTTATCGAGCACGTGTCTTTACACAGTTAGGGTAACATAGCTACCGCTACGGGATTTACTCTAATTCAACCTAGAGCCAAAGCATGCTCAGTGAATCCCATTGACACCAAAGTTCGCAACGGCACCTATGACGACGCTCCAGGTACAAATTCTCCACCCGCTAGAAAGGTCTGGTACTCATCAATTACTTTTGTGCAAGATTACTACAAGTATGTGCCGAATGATTTTCATATCATTGGATTTGATGGTGCCGGAACCGTCTTAGAAATCGGCACCGAATGCACAAATTCCAAACCGGGCGATGATATCTTCTTCGTGGGCTCTACAACGCGTCAATGCAGCAATGCAGAGTACATCCTTGTCAACAAACGTCTCTGTGCTAAGAAACCGAAGTCACTTGACTTTGTGGAAGCCGCCAGTATGGGCCTTACGTTCGGTACTACCTTCCAGTCACTTGTCCATAGGCTGGAAATCAAGCAGAATGAGAACGCTGGTATTCTGATTGTGAGTTTCCATCATATGTCAAGCCGGGATGATAAGGAGACATAGCTCTTCATTTGCAGTTCAAACACTTCTCTGACGCTTTCTTGAAGATCAATGGCGGTGGCCGAGTTGGGAGTGCTGCTGTCTAGATCGCTAGCAAAGTCTTGCAACTTCCTGTTCTTTCACGTGCCGAGACCATGAATTCATGCAGGAAGATGGGTGCCACCCATGTCGTGAATCATAAGGCAGACCTCGAGTCCCAGATCAAAGCTTTGAAGTTGGACGTTCCAATCAAGTGAGTACCATTCCGATCACTTTTCCTGGTTGCTTGCTTGGTATGTTAATTGTCAATGGAGACGCTGATACTCATCATTACAGGTATGTTTATGTCGTCGCAAGAACAGAGCAATATATTCATGCCGTCAGAAAGATATGTGCACCCTTCGCCAAGGTGTGCTCAATCGTGCAAGCAAAGTTTGATCTCTATGGGACTGAGTGGATGTCAAAGTTGATGACCTTCTCATGGGACTGGCTCGGCACATCAGCATGTCATCATACAGACACAGAGAAGTATCAGCAGGTTCTTGCGAACTTGACCCGCTATATAGAAGACGGAAAGTTGGTGCCAAATCTCAATAGATGTCTGAAGTTGAACCTGGCTGGGCTGAAGGAAGCTCATCGGTTGATCGAGTCTGCGACCACTGTAGGAAAGCTGTCTCTGGGGGTAGACGAAGCGAGTGAAGGAGCTACATTCGTTTGAGATGGATCGCCCTGTTTGATAAATTTTCACAATGGATGCATAGTCATACCATGTAATGGATGGCGCGTGCGATGGGTCCATGACTAGTGACAAAGTTGATGGAAAGTTGACTCCATGCATCGATAGCACTGTTTGTTTGCTCCAGTCCCGGCGGTCATGTGATTGCCTAGGACTTCTTCCACCAAGTCGTCGTCCACAAATTTGCATTTTCGTATCTTTTCCGAGCGTAGTGTGTGTTTGGTCTATAGTAGATTACCCGAGAAGATGATGTATTTCTGCCGCATCCCCGCACGCGAGACATAGCCCTCACCAAGGAGTTTACAAAATTGCTGCCCTATATTCGCACCAAGCGCGGAACTTTAGCTTGATGAGGTTGGTGTCAGCCTCGCATCCATTTTGCTGACACTAGAATGAGCTCCGAGCGCGTGTTGGAGTGAGGGATTTCAGATTTGACGACAACCGCGAATTTAAAAACGCTGGAATTCATGATATCAAATGTTTATATTTTTGTTTACAGTTCTTACCAGTACATACGACCATAGGGTGTGGAGAACAGGGCTTCCCGTCCGCTCAGCCGTACTTAAGCCACACGCCGGCCAGTTAGTAGTATGGTGGGTGACCACATGCGAATCCTGGCTGTTGTATGTTTTTTGTTTTGCATATTTTCATTTTTATCTCATTGATACACGCGGTAGCTAAGATCGAATATATGCTAACCAACGAGTCCGAGCTTTCTCAGAGGTAGGAAGTTATTCTACTCAGACCTATAAAGATATTTAGAGTTTCACTTTAGAAAGGCTCAATCGAACGAAGTCTTTGGACATTGATCCTTCCCATTTTATATCATTGCGAAGCCTCTAGGCTCACTTTGCAGCTCGTTCAAGCACATACGACCATAGGGTGTGGAAAATAGGGCTTCCCGTCCGCTCAGCCGTACTCAAGCCACACGCCGGCCAGTTAGTAGTATGGTGGGTGACCACATGCGAATCCTGGCTGTTGTATGTTTTTGTGTTTTTGGCGAGCCTCGCGTGTCTCGCTGTTTATTTCTTTTTACAATAATAGTCAGCAAGCTTGATACTTAGGCTTCCCCGTCGCACTGTCACTGTAGCTCAGGCTGTCTTGCGATCTACCTAGAATACTTATGGATGTTCTTGAGATTCCAGGGCGGAGGCTTGATACCTGTGTCTCATATTAGATCTGTTTCAGACTTGAGTGAGTCATTTGCGACCTGCACGTATCATTTTCTTTGGTAGCCCGAAACAACCCTTCGATACCAGTCTTGAGCGCACAACAGCAAGACGCGGGCCGCTTTGAGAATTTGATACATCAGACAAGTCACAACTTCTATGAGAGCTCTGTCAAGTCTTTGGTAGAATGAAGAGATATCGTGCATGCGCTGAGGTTTATTTACATGTAGCATCTGAAACCCCATCCACCAGTAGGGCCAGGTATGATCTTGTGGAGGCTCTCACCTTTTGAGTTTGTCTGTCTCGCTCATGTCTCCGCCAAGCCCAAACAAAGTCGCATACGATCCGTGCATATGGCACCTTGCAGATTAAGATGAGACTCCGTCTGGGATTCTGCAAGCCCAAGTTGGAGAAACACACACTGCCAGACGCAGGCCTTCATCTTGTTTTTCATATCACAGGGATTTCACTTGGCATATTTGATAGAGATCTTGACAGCTTCAATGGAAGTTTCACCAAAAATGCTAGTACATTTCAACCTGCTGCTATACACATAAGCTCGCGGGCGGCCGTAAAGAAGCATGTGTTCTCGAGCGCTATGTTTATCTCCCAAGGAGATACTTCGTCCCACTAGGTACCCAAGTAATAATGCAGCCTCGGTTTTGGATAGCTTCCATACCGAGAACCAGCGCTCAGGTATCTCCCACCGTTTGCTGATCTCCAGCCAATCCCTCCGTCGAACGGCCAGGATACCGGGCGCTTGAAACCTGCAGGGGCCACCGATTCGTCATGCACTCTCCAGTTTGATCGTCTGCCCAGACTCAGTTCACACAGTAGTGGGATCCATCAGTCACCCAGCCGACTCCATCACCAAATCAGCATGAGTTGGATCCAAGTTCCCCCTGTAGATCGCTACCTGGCTGATGGGCTGGACGTGGATCACCGTCCGTAACCCAGCCCCTGCCCCACGAATCGATCGCCACAAGCTTGCCGCGACGCCAATCGAGCGGGAAGGAATGTTATAAGAAGTTCTACCCCAGTGACCTGGCATTCCTGTCTGGACTGACGTTTGCTAAAAAGCTAGTTTGGGGTCACATACATATTATCATTGTAAGTCGGTCACCTGATTTGAAGCCCTAGTGTGCAATTTTTTTTTTTTCTATTGCGGTCTGCATCGCGTGTCCTTGCTTCCTCGAGCTTTCGGCCGCCCAGAAACAGCGACCAGTCCATTCGACCCCGACAACAAAGCTTTATGATTGCCCTCGGTCAGTTCCTCTCACGTCAGTACTAACCTCGATCAGCTTTTCACTCTAGATCCGTCGTCATCGACTTCCCGACCGACTCACATCTTCTTTTTCGACATGCGTTTCTCCATTCTCCTCTGCGGTCTGGCCGCCAGCACGGCCTATGCCTTTCCTCGTGTTTTAGAAGTGTGCCGTGGGGTAAGCAACACACGTCGCTGAGGATTGGCGTTGTACAGAGTTCTGACATGCGCGTGGTTCCGCTCAGGGAAATGCTACTTGCAACGATGCTGCATACTTTGGTCAGCCTACGGCTTGCTGCATCGGTCTATATTGTGACAAGGGTGTAAGTCATCCGAGGACAGGGTCGTCCCATGGTAATCGAGCTTCCAAGTTGTTAGATTAAGACTGATCACATTCTTATATGCAGATTTGCGTGCGCTAAGCATCAGACCTTTGACCGGGTCCTGATTGGATCAAAGCTGAGCTTTGAGCCGTTGTGCTCTCGGTCCTTCATATGACGACTTTGCACATAGCAACATCCCAGATATCTGCGACGGGTGGTGCATCTGAGATGTGATGGTCCTACGACCACGGGAGAGAGGAGGAGCATTGTTCTTACTGTATTGTCCCTGCGTCCGCCGATACTGTTTTTGTATATAGCTACAACCCACGCGGCACATATTTGACGACGATCATAAATCCCAGTGGTGGCTGAGTTTCTCGCCCGGATGTCTTCAGTCAAGCTTGCCTACCTGAGCATTGAAAGCGGGGTAGTTAGTTCCCTCGTGATTTGGGAGTGTCCAGTTGTCCACCGGTCTTTGCTTACGCGACCCCTGACCTTGACTGCCAGGGTTTTCTCTGTGCGGTTGCTGTCCAGCACAAACTCGATACTTCCCATCGCCCAGCAGCGAACGTGGACGAGAAAGGTACAGGATGCATTTGTGGCCCAATGCCTGGAATTCGCAGTCTCGAATTTATTATCCAGCCTCATACACATTATCATGGATCCAGATCAATCATTCGAAGAACCAACATCGACTCCACTTCAGCTCGCTGCAGAACAAGGACATCTGCAAGAAGTTCAACGGCTCCTATTTGAATCTGCAGAACAGCCCAATGAAGAGCCCCGCGGATATTATGGAAAGACAGCTCTTCAAGCTGCGTCAGCAAACGGCCACTTGGAAGTCGTCGAGGTATTGATCAATGCAGGAGCGGACACAAATGCCAAAGGAGGCAACAATGGCGGCAAGACTGCTCTGGTCTTGGCTTCAGGAGCAGGCCACATCTCCATTGTCAAAAAGTTAGTCTCATCTGGAGCAAGCATCAACACCTCACCCTACAGATACTACGGCAGAACCGCCCTCCAAGCCGCTGCCGAAGGAGGTCACGAGGATCTCGTGCTGTGGTTGCTTGGTCAAGGCGCCGATGTTAATGCACCCCCAGCCAAGGTCGACGGTCGGACGGCCCTTCAAGCTGCTGCATTTAGTGGAAATGCCAGGATCGTGCAGATATTGCTCGAGCGCAACGCGAGGGTCAACGAGCGTCCAGTGCGCTACAAGGGGCTCACAGCCCTACAGGCTGCGGCTTTTCAGGGACACTGTAAAGTTGTGGAGCAATTGATCCAAGCAGGTGCCGATGTCAATGCGGATGGGGCGGGGTTGAATGGTTATACAGCCTTGTCCGCCGCCGCTGAAGGTGGCCATCTGGAGATTGTGCAAACCTTGCTTGATGCTGGTGCGAATGTCTCGGCTTTGTCTGGGAATCAGAAAAGAACTGCGATGCAGATTGCGTTGGCGCGAGGTCACGCGGAGATTGGACGCATTTGCAACGGTTATCTTCATTCACAGATGCGAATGAAAACCTGGAATTTAAGGTCTCATTTGGAAGCACAAGTGGTCAGCGAGACGCAGTAAAGTCTATTCAATTGAGTATTATGAATCATGGATTGACAGTGGGAGAGCGGAAGCAAGGGATTAGAATGGATCTGGCCGCAGTCTACGCAGTAAATGGATGACATGCCTCCTGGGATCGTCCACCAGACCAGGATCTTGCATCGCATAATTCGATGATCTAGAACTACATAAGGCTGAGCTACTCCTCATATGATAGTTCCACTCACAATTCACTTTGGCTCGGATGCGGCAAGGAGCGAGACGACCAGAAGACGTTTTTTTACCGACTTCGTTCATTAAACGTGTCTACATAGATCACTCTCAAGTATAGAGCACGAAGACGGAGCCACAAAGATACGGCCCAGTTGGCCAGTCCCATCAATATTCCTCTGTTAGCCCACACACTTTGCGTTGGATTCGAATGCCACCGGAGTAAATGCCACCACGAACTTTCTGCCACATGCTTCGTAGCTCTCAAGAAAACGAACCGCGGTTTCGTCACTCGCTTTTGTAGCTTCAGGCATTGAAAGGTGGTACCTTACGCGCACAAACATGCCAAAAATTGAAAGAAAGGAAGACAAAAAAAGAAATTAGTACCGATGCAGGTGAGTTATAGGAAAAGATAAGGTAGATGGAGGCTCACGTCCCGTAGGATCTCGCCCGTGCTGCTATCACCAGCAGTCATGTGCTCAGCAGTCATGTGTCCAGGTGAGGGCCTTGTCGTATGAGACCTTCGCCCTACTGTTCCTCTTAGTCTTCCATCGTTCAACCTCCTCCAGTGATTCAGTCAATTACTTCAAATTCCCCTTGATTATTTTTCACGGTCATCATCTAAAGTCCCAATCAAATCAACGCTTATTGTGCCTATACCCCAGTAGAGCACATGTTCCCGCGGATCACCAGGAGACTCAACAACAGCGATAACAGAAAGCGGCTCTGAGGGATCCCTTCATGCTGTTTTGAACCTCTAATAAGAGCCCGGAGATTCGTGCAAAATCTCCTGAGTTTGTCCCAGTCGAATACGGGATTTAAAAAAAACATCGCAAGATATCCCAGACAGCTCCCTGATTCCATTCTGTTGGGTCAAGCTTGCTCCATCTCGCGAGGTCGGCCGTTTTCCGGTGGTAAATACATTGAACCAGCTTTGGATAGTCAAGTCGCCGAAAAAATTGGGACGCGATGACCTTCCACCGCATAAGTCACTGAGACTCAATGAGAGTGACAGCCTCACTGCTTACTTTGCCGTTGGCTCCCTTTCTTTCCAAATCTCGCAGGGTGCCACGATCACGCAAGCCGGGCTAGTATGAGGCAAGTTGTGTCGGTTCAAACCTTCGTATGACTTGTTCCTCAGATAGCTTTGCTCACCAGTGCTCAGATCGTCATCACGGAAATCCGACGGCTTGATACTCTTGTCAGATTGGCGGGACACAGACTCGCATAACTGCATAGGACAATGCACGACTGATCCAGTCTCCACTATCGTCACGGGAATGGCATCAGCGCTTGGAAATGCGCGGGGAAAATGAAATTCAAAATATAGCCGTGCATGATGCACAGTCAGATGAGCGCTCATTCTCCGAGAATATCTCCGGAGCCTTTCGTCTCTCAAAGCTATACGAAATCCAACCCATGTGATTGTTTTGAGAAATTCAAATGGCTATGCTAATCACATTGTCGGTGTCGGGACGAACGCCAAACAACACTACTAGTACCTGGTCGCGTGAATGAACCCGAGGATACCTACCCGGACCCGCAGCAACCAACAAAAAAAACCCTCATCTGTATCTGGGTTGCAGGATCAATGGGGCCAGTGACCTAAAGCCAGAGCCAAGCTATTTTATGGCGTCCCCGGCCACGCATCCCCAATCCCGGGCACGGCAGAAGAATCACGGCCCTATAGCCTGTTTCCAGTTAGTACGTCCGGGCGAGTATGCCAACCTTGAGGCACGTACCTACTAGGCACCCCAACCAAAAAAAAAAAAAAGGATAAAAAAAGCAGAGAGAAAGACAGAGAGGACTACCCAATGACGAGGTATAAAACGAAGGAGAGCCAACAAAAGCATCTCAAGAAGCACACACACGACACTGCCAAACCAAACCCACCAAGACACCGTCGAAATGATCGTCAACATCAGCACAATCTTCACCCTCCTGCCTCTTCTGGCTGCGGCAATGCCCTCGTCTCCAGAGTCGTACGCAGCCCTCAATAAACGATCCGTTACCTGTCTCAAGGTCGGAGCTACAGCAACAGCCACTTGGACCAATAGCGCCGGACAGCACTGCACTTTCACCGGCGTGGTAGGAAGCAATTTTGGTGCGGACGGTGCGGGATCAGGAGAGTAAGTCGATGGCTTCTCGGCGAAGATTCGTGGACTTTTATTTTTGGGAGTCTGCTAAATAATTCTCAAATGAGTGCGTATGGACTGATGGAAATGATGACTTGTAGTTACTCCTGCAATGGCCGTTGTGGTGCCGGGTGCACCGGTTTCGCATTGGGTAATGCATATACCCAGGACTGCTATTCGCACGATATCTGCTCTTACTTCAACAATGCCAGTGGAGGTGCAAGGTACGTGACTTGTATTCGAGACGAGCTTTGAAGTTGCGCAAAAGCTAACTTGAAACCATGTGATTTCAGCGATCCCAACTGCGGAGCCGCTTTCACAGCTGCAATCGACGATACCCTTCTTGGTGTGGTCGATGGATGTGGGCAGACAAACCCACAGCTGCCGGTTTCGAAGCCCAACTCGGCTCCTGTCTGTAATTAAGCCTTTACAGTTGTCTGTAAGGTAAATATATCTCGAGGCGTGGAACATCAGCACTTCCATGAATGAAATCATATAAGATGAAGATCATATGAATTGGCAATTGCATGTAGGCAAGTTCTGCCACAGGGCTGGCAAGTAAAAGTCGTCGCAAGGTGAAAGCTAAATACGACTTCAAGGGGCTAAAAAAAGGCGAGACTGAATAAAATGACAAGACAGATTGCTCTCCTTCAGCTCTCCTTCACGTTCTGAACGCTACGTACGAATCGCTTGGCCAGGTCTACAAACACTGCGAATAGTACTGATTCTGAACTTGGCATGTATACGGAGACACACAAGCCGTGGGCCCCGTCCATCCCTGACCACCAAATTGACCGAACTGAGCAGCCAAGCTGCCTGTGCTGCCCGAGGAAGCAGAAGTTGTGGTCGTGGTGGGCTTGGTCTGTATGGTTGTGGTTGTGGTTGAAGAGCCATTACCCGAGCTCCCAGTTGAACCATATTTCCACGAGCCCAATGGCGACGGTCCATCAACAGTAATGACCTTGGAGTCACCATAGACTTGCTGGATATAGCTGACCGAGTTGTAGCTCCCATCCTCAATGAAGGAACCAGACCATGTCATCCAATAAGCCCACAGAGCGCCCGAGCTAGTCATTTGACTCGGGTCCGGGATGTCGCCGACTTCAGCCAAAGCAAGAATACGCGCTCCATTCGTCAACCCGTAAAGACTGTTCCACTGGTCATGCAGAGGACCGTGATCGCCGGCACTGGCATAGACATCCACAGTGGCAATATCGCACTTGCTGTTTCCGGGATACCAGTCAGGAGCGGCAGTGTTGCAGACCCAGATCAGGTTGTGAAGATTGTGATACTGGGTCAGACGCTGGTACATGAGATCCCAAAGTTGTTTGAACGGGCCGGATCCTTTGGCACCCCACCAGAACCAGCCTCCCTCGGGCTCATGCAGAGGTCTCCAGAGCACGGGGACCCCGGCTGAGGCCAGTTTCTGCAGCTGAACGGCAATGGCGTCAATGTCTCGAAGAATGAGCTGGTAGTTGCTACCACCGGGGCCTTCATTCATAGCCTGCTGCACATCAAAGCAATTTGCAGATGTGTAGAAGCCCTTGTACCAAGGCTGAGATGCCGAGTTGTAAAGACAGGTCGGGGCGTTCCAGTGCCAGACAACTGTGTTGATCCCGCCGGCCTTGTCAAATGCAATGGCCTCTTCGGCCGATGATGAAGATGCGCCATATGCGACCCTTGATGGGGAGTAGTCCATGAAGTCATTTCCTTGGATAGCGGGTATCTTGCCAGTGTGGCTTTTTACCCACGCAACGTCGTTCTTGTCCATTTGGCCGGACAGATAGTGGTTGCCATAAGTGCTTTGCAAGTAGTTCAACAAAGCGCGTGCGCCAGTGTCCGCTTGGGGATCGATAGGGCTATACGAGAGCCAATTTGCCCGTGCGGTGTGCTTGATGGGCTCAGTGACAGCCAGCGCTGGTGCTAGCGCAAGAAGAGAAAGACGAGACCTCATGACGTTCAACCTTGACCCGTGCAATTCTTAAAGAACTTGGCTAGTTTCAGGTTTTAACAGTGTAGGTGGTTGATCAATTTTTCGGCGGCGGAGGGTACCGTTTAAATACCTCTAGATCTTGCGGCTGGCTGAGGTCTCATCAAGAGATATGTCAATTTGTCGCCGGAGAAGGCTTCCCTAGTATCGAGTTGCAATGCCGCTGCCACACCAATAACGCAGCGGAATCACTACACTCGCAAACTCTCTGAAAGTGAAACACAGTTCTGAACGCAGTCTCCGGCCCGCATCACAAGGTCACAGTTGATGGTCATCGAGATCGCGAGGTAGACACTCAATTTGATGCGAAAGCAACTATCGTTCACGAAATCGAAAGTTGCCCCTTCTGGCATAGTATTGAGCGATGTCCGTAAGTCAGGGGTAGGTTCTTTCCCGATTGAGCCTGGACTCCCGTACTTCTTCAGCCCAAATGAGCAAGTGACGGTCGACTTGCACTTTCCTTCCCCGCATTTGCCACGCCCAACATCGGGCGCTCGAGCTTTTGATGCAGAAAGGATCGTGAAAGCATGTAATGGGCTCGTGGGGTCTGGCGGACGCTACAGAGAAATATGGTTGCAGCCCAAAGTCTCTTTCAGAGTCATTGTTGAAGAGTTCAATGATCCGACAGAACATGAGACCGGATCACGCTGAATCGTTGAGAATCGAGATGAGAGAGCTGATCTTGACAGCATCTTGAGATCAAGATGAGGATTTTCGGGTTGAATATTCTTGCACTGGAATTGCAATGCTATCAGCGCGCCGTAGAAGGTGAACATGTCTCATTGAACATTAAGTCCACTGCACTTTAGTCAAACACACAGGTGACAAAGGTGATTATCGCATACCTCGGTACTTGCAGGTACGTCGAGCTCATCCCCGGCTCATCGACTAATCAATACACGCCTGAGGCTCCCTACCTGCAACCATATCCTGCCTCGCAGACCAACAGCCGAACGATAAAGTGCATGCGTAATCAAGCACTTACCGAAAATGGACCTCGCTCATTCCAGATACCGCGCTATTTCATGCAGTCAGTACCTTCCCCACAAATCCTCCATAGCGAGTCAGCCAGATTCGGTCACATTCGGGCAGTTGTCGGGACAAGACCAAAGCGCATTCACATTCTTGGTGTCAGCAGGCTGGCGCTCTGCGGGCTTCTCAATCCCAGCCTGCCGTTCAGAAATTGTTGCCAGGATAGCAAACTTTGCGATCGCATTGACAGATTGCTGGTTCAGGCACGGTTGTCCGCGTCGGACTAAGCTTGAAGGTCCGTTCAGCTGAAGAAACTTGAAAAATCAACTTGATGACAAAACCGAGGGAGGGCCCGACAAGAAAATGTTCAAGCGCCGGTATGACAATCAAGAATTACGTGATGACCAGCGCAGCATCAACAACCGAATTGGAGAACGTCTGAGCTGGCAATGGATGATAGATTCTGGGGATGGGCTCTGTGAGGCGTGGGGAAAAAGAGAACGGAAGAGGAGAACGACTACCACTGAAGACGGGAGAAATGATCATCACCTGATCATGCTAGCTCGGGGTAGATGTATCGAAACGAGTATCTGCGAGTACTACGACGTCCCTATCAGGAACAAGTCATGTCCTACAGTCACGAGCGGGAATTGATGTGGGTAGTTTTACTTGAGCTGTATGAATAATGGGGTGAGACTTGCTCAAGGATGATACGAGCCGAGCCGGTTGAAGATAGAATTCGAACATTTCGCGCATGAGAGGTTCCCATCGCCAACAAGAACCACTTTCCTTTGAGTCTATCACCTGATCAATCTTCGCAAGAAATTCTCTGGGCTCATTGTGTGAAATGCCGTTCTGAGGATCGGATACAAATTGACAGGGCAAAGAGAGGGATGTGCGACATTCACATCAATGTTTTACGAGTGTGTCAGGATCCCAGAAAAAAGATATCTCGGGAAGAATGAAAGGGTGGAAAGTTTCTAGAACACTCCTTACACAGTACTGAGCTGAGCAATATGCAGTACACACTATACAATATACAGTATGCACTGCGAGTATGAATATTGAATGGTGTCAAGCGAGCATATATCCGGTATAAAGTCCCTGATCATAGGGCTCGCGAATCTCAATGCAGATGCCAGCATGCAAAGGGGAAGCACTCTCCAGCAAAAACAAAGTATATACAATTTCTTATACAACAATCTCCAGGCTTGTTGATCTCTCACCCATCCTGCAGGCAAGTCCATCAATCTCCGTATTACACTTTAGTAGACGCTGGCGGACCAGTGGGAGACGTCAAAAGTGGTCTGGCCGCCGGTGAAAGGCTCGGTACCGAATTGAACATCTGGAAGAAAATAGCATGTTAGTATTTCAACCATCATCCCCGAGAAGGCCAACAACAACAACGGGGGGACGGGCAAAACATACCAATCAGGTACTGGGAGCTGGCAGGGAAGCCCTGGTGCTGGGTGAGGTAGTCGAAGAAGTGCTTGATATCGCCCGAGTAGGAGTTGATAGGGGAGGAGGCGACGAAGCTGTAGGTCTTCTGGGAACCGTTGGCACCGTACCAGAGAGCCCAGTTGCGGCCATCGACATTGGCAGTGGCGATCTGTTGACCGATGGGCTGAGCAGGGCCGTACTTGGCGAGCCTAAAGTATTTGAAGCGGTTGATATTAGTGTACATGATCACTGATTATGTAGGCTCAGAGGAGGAGAGAAGAAGAGAGTTGATCATACCAGACCATCAGCTCGTAATCACCGCTGTAGGTAACGTGGTTGATATCGGCGGCAGTGAACAGATCGTAAGAGACATCGGCGTTGATGTTGGTGTTACCGTAGGTCCAGGAGACGGAGGTAGGAATGCTGCTGACTTGGCTGACGAGCTTCTTGTTGAAGTAGATGCCCGAGTTGGCGTAGGACTTGACGTTGGAGTTACCACCGCTCCAGTTCCAGGTGGTGGACCAGGCGACCCCGTTGTTGGCCGAGTTCACTTGAGTGCATTGGGAGCCGGAGCCGGAATCCTTGCCCCAGAGGTTGTTACTGACCGAGTAGGCACCCTGTTGCCAGTTGCCATATTGATCGCAGAAACGGGCCAGCTGGGCGTTGGCAACGGCCGCGACGGCAGTCAAAGCAATAGCGGTCTTCATTTTGATCACGGTGGGAGGAAATAGTACACGGAAGGGAGGTATATCTCGAACAAGGTGGAAGTATGAAGAGAGAAGGGAAAACTTTGGCTGGTAAAGAAAAAGGAAGATAGACGGCGTCTTCTTGGTCTACCTTTATACAACTCAACAACCCAGCTGCCATCGAGTCAGAACAAAAAGACGAGCTCTTCTCCTCCTCCCGTCCGCCATGAAACACTCCATCTTCACCCTCCTCCTCAAGTCCTCCAAGCCCTTCGAGAAAGGTCGGGTTAATCTCGCATCAAAATCGACAGGTGCAGATCCTCACGGAGTAGAGGGTGGAGTATGCAATGTAGCCGAGAACGACCCTTGTCCTGTCTTCTTCAGCCCGATTGAGGTCTCTGCCGGTGACCGGATTGACCCCGACTCTCCATTTTGGCTATAGAAGCTCTCTATCTCAAGCATTGCGTGTAACATGGCGTTTTACCCATTTGCGTTAGTCCAGCACGGATTTATACCCTCTTTGAAGGCCCCGGTGGATCTCATTTCTTCACGCACCCCCGAGGATTCCCCGCAATTCCCAGCGCGAGTCACATCGCCTGCATCGGTTTCGTGCAGTGCTGCAAATGGGACAGATTTGTTCTTTGCAGACATGGAACCATTTAGCCGACCAATTGCGCAAGCGTCGTTGATCGAGCGAGAACCCAATGGGACCCTGTCTTGCGGGTGATTCTTCAGCGAATGCGGGCCTGGAGTGCCACTGGAGTACAGTACAGTAGCTCGGTGGTGGTGGTGATGTTGGTGGCGGCGGGGACACCACAAACTCCGACGGCTCATGAGTGGGAGAAAGACTTGATGGACGGTAGAAGGAGTCTTTTTCTCTCTCCCCCCCCTGTCATTGTATCAGCCGTGGAGATGTGTGGTGGTGGTGGTGGTGGTGGTGGTGGTGGTCACTGAATCGAGACAAATCCCGTGCGGATCCCAGCGATGGTGTTTGTCCAGGGGTTTGAAACGTCTCTCTAGTGTTCTAGATTGAAAGGGACTGGGCGGTGCCGGCGGGTTGGACCCGTCAATCGTTGAGGAATGCTAACCATGGAAGGGAACGTCTCCACCTTCCGAGCTTTAATCTGCTGGATATGAAGGTTGTCAAGGGACTGTAGATATTCACTCCACTGGGCGGGGGAGAGATGATCTTGCGGTGAGGGATTCTTACAGTACAACAGTGATGGAGAAAGTCATAGATATCAGCGGTGCACGTACGTCGACTACAAAGTATCGAAGCAAGTTCTGGGTTGTGAAAGCATTCTACGTATCCAAACGTGTCAACAGGACGGAAGGTAGGGTGTTTGAGAAAGTATTTCAAGGTCACACTAGTCAAAATTCTGCAACATCCAGATGACACGCTTTATAATTGAGTAGAGATATACTGTAGACGTCCAGATGGAGAATGGCGACCCGGTCCATCCACTTCCATTCAAACGCTGAGCGTTTCCCACATGGCGGATTTCCGATGACTTGAACATCCCACCAAGTTCCAACTGCCCAGGGTTTCCGATACAGTGTACAAGTACGAGTCCCCGTGCTTTAGAGTCTCGACATTTGTGAACATTTATATCCGACAACCGCTGTCCCTTTTCAACTCCAGCTGGGTCAACCCAGTTGTTGTGTCTAGCGGAGGACGCTATTCAGAAAGAGTATCATTGCGCAGGCGAGGTCGCCGCTTACAGTCAATTGTGTCTACTAGATGACCACACATGATGGCTCGAGAACGGCCCTCTGTCATTTCAGCAACCACTTCTCAGGGCACTGTTTCGATGGTCGGATGGTCTGAAGGCGAGAACGAGAGGATCGTCGCAGTACTGGCTATTCATCCGCAATATCGAGGGTATCACCTGTTACTGTCCTCATGCGTGCATCTGCGTCGGTTGTTTGGATTGTGATAGGCCAGCCAAGCTTCGTCCGGCTTGGAACCGTGGTTTCTTCGTGCAAGTTTCAAGTACTGCTTCTGACCGAAGAAAGTCACCTCTACTGTACTGTAGAGTATAGAACTAGACTCAGACGGTAGAGATTCAGTTAACGCACCGGTCGGTTCCACCCATCCCGCCCTCTCTCTTCAATAACAGATTATTCACCTCGCCCAGGCTCACCAAGATACGCTTTAAAAGATCGTCCAAGCAATGCAATGATGTCAACAGAGCCACCAAACGCACTGACTCCATCACCACCTTCATAGCAAACATGGGCCATGTTGGAAAAATTCACGCAGAGTCAAACGAATAGCCACCAGACACCCACTTCCAACCTCGAACTGACCAAGGTACGTCCCGATCCCGGCAACACCTCCGAGGCGGACGATCTTTGCTATGTTGAACAAGGGATGTTTTCCAGAACCACACGGACAGTGCCGAGCTGGACTTCGGCACTGTCCTCGGTAAATACTGTTGAGTGTTGATAATGATCGACTGACTACGTGGTTCGAACGTCGGCCGCTTTCGCGCTTTTCTGTTGAACGCTCTTCTTCGAGCCCTGCTTCTCCATTCGCTGTGCCTGCACCGGAGCTGTGGCTTTGCTAGACGTGGAAGTGGACACCTTCTTGGTCTGCCGAGGTATATTGCTCTATTAGAGTTTGCTGTGAGTTAAGCTTGACGCACCTAGTCGCGTTGGAGGCGATCTAAGAGCCTCTGTGAGATATGATGTAGCATGAGTGATCGGGGGATCTTTTGTCTCCGTGGGGCATACGGTCGACTACTTTATAAGTTTACACTACTACATAACTGAGTATGTGCTACATACTTTATAGTATGACTATGAACATAACGCTCTGATAGATGGCAGCTGACAGCGAAGCTATGGATAATAAGTGCCCGTGGACACTCGACCAATCTGTTTATTGTCCACTGCGCTATATACCACCATACCTTCAAATACCTATCTTCTGTACTACCAGTCTGTGTACTTCCAGTTATTGGGTACATCAAGTACGACGCTTCTCTCCCATGGTTCATCTTTCCCGACCCTCTCTCACTTCCGCCAAACTTATCGTGCACCAACTGACCTCGCGCTAATCACCCAACCCTCCAATTCCCATACCTCGTCCACGTAGTTGACCTCTCTTGACAGTAACAGGCCGTATTGCAAATAGAGACAAAGCAGTACATACTTGTACACTTAGCCGGGCCTTATTCCAGTCAAGCGAGTCATCTCCGATCGATGCGGTCCCGGTTTGAATCAATAGCAATATCTGTACCAGTACCAGCCTCGCGGACGCGCGCACAAGTTCCGTCAAGAACGAGCGGCGCGGGAGGTCTGCATCCTCTCGAACAGCCCAGGCAGACGATCAAGCAGGATGGAGATGGTGTACCTATGTGGAAAGTTACGTGCTCCGGTGCTATGGTTCGGTGGGGTTGGATTTGGTCGAGATCATGGGAAAGGATATGGCCATGTCGGGCATGGAAAGGGTGGACGGGGCCATGAGTTCTGCTCGTGGAGTTTTGGTCTTGAGTCACCTGGGTCGACGGGTCTGTTGTGCTGGGTATGTGTTAGTGTCTGAGGATCCGTTCGATGGCGAGGATTACTGCATGCCTGGTGGCGAATGCTTCTGAGAGGTGAGCGGATAAGGTAGGCTCATCATCCCATTTCGAATAGCCCGTTCGTCGTACAGACTTGCTGGTATGTGAGACTTTGGGAGTTTGGATGGATGTCACGCATTCGTCTATGTCCGACGGATATCTGGACATCTGATCGACTCAACGGCCGGGCTACGCACTGACCCTTACTGTAAAAAGGGAAAATGCCATCGACGAGACAATACAGTTAACACGCTATGAAAGTAAACCAGGTGAAGGAGGCAACAGGCTTGAAGAGGAAGAAGACATGGAGGAAAGGTATATATCTACCAACGTGAGATTCTCAAATATAATAGACAAGAGAAGTGAAGAGAAAGAAGGCATAGGCTTATAAAGGACTCCCCTTGATTGTGCAGAAGAAAAAAACCCCCCAAAAAGATATTTCACGGGCAACAGAATCCAGAATGGGAAGACGAGACTTCCATGCCCGACACCCATCGCAGACATCGGCGTCACTTCCCAAGAGTAACCCCATCAGCACCTTGAACGGACGAGCACGTCGGTGACGGTACCCGTCATGACACCTCCTGTACATGAGGGGAAGGGAGACGGGATTTTTCTTTTCTCAGAACAATGGCAAGGGGGAGGGATTATATTCCGCAGAGTGTCGCACGGTCACCTTCACTTAGAAGACGGAGGCACAGCCCCAGTGCTGCTCAACGTTGAAAGCACCGGGCTGCTTCCAGGCGTCATCGGCATAGGAGAAGAAGACGGACTTGGAGCCAATGGCGGAGACAATGGACTTGATGGCAGCCTCCTGCTGGGCAGTGCCGGGAACAGCGGCACCGTTGGCGTCACCGGCGTTGGGCCAGCCGGTCTCGCAGTTGATGACATCCTTGCCACAGATGGCCTCGAGCTCCTTCAGCTCGGCGAGGGCGAACTCACCGGCCTTCTCGGCCGTGACATCGGCGTTGAAGAAGGGGTGGATGTTGGCACCGACAATGTCAACAACACTGCAGAGGGTGGACTTGCCATACTGCTGCCAGATGTTGATGGGCTCGGTGGTGGTGACCCGGCCAGAGTAACCGGCGGCCTGGAAGGTACCCTTGCTGGAAGAAACGAAGCTGGCGAGGTCCGAGGCAGAGCAGGCACCGGACGAGATAGCCTCGTTACCCACAACGATGAGCTCGACCATCTCCCACTGGGCCCACTTGGCAATGGCGTCGACCTGCTCCTGGGCAGCGGAGATACCGCCGCTGCCGATGAAGACACCCATCATCATCTTGAGACCGAGCTCCTTGCAGGCAGAGCCAATGTACTCAAGACCATTGCAGTCGGTGGAGTAGACGCGGACGAGGTTGAAACCCTTGCTCTGGATGACCTTGAGGTTGTTGAAGATATCGGCCTGGGGCATGCAGCCACCGCTGCTGGTGTACGGGGAGAAGGTCATACCGTACTGACCCGCACCGGTGACGCCGGAGCTGCTGCTGGACCCCGTGCTGGCGGGGGCGGGAGAAGAGCTGGCGACCGAGGGAGAAGAGCTGACAACGGAAGGAGCGGAGCTGACCGCGGGGACGGGGACGGAGACGGCAGTGGTGGTGGCTGCGACAACGGGGACAGTCGCGGCGGGAGCAGTAGTGCTGGCGAGACCGGTGGCGAAGGGGCAGACGTAGGTGTAGTCAGTGCGGGTGACCGTCACCACGCTGGCGGGCTGGGTGTAGGTGCCGGGGGTGATGGTCTGGGGGGTAGGGTAGACCAGGACGGTGCTGGTGGGCACCGAGGTGACAGTGCCGGGGACGACGGTGTAGGTACCGGCGGCGGGGCAAGTGTAGGTGGTCATCTCCACAACGCTGGTCACGGTGGTGCCGCTGGGCTTGACGGTAGCATAGGGGCAGGTGATGACGGTGCTGGTCTCCACGATGGTGGTGACACCCCCGATGGTGTGAGTACCGCTGGGCACCTCGGTGGTGGTGGCACCGCACACGGTGGTGGTGTCGGTCACGGTGAGGGTGGTGGCTGGGATGGTGTAGACACCGGTGGAAGAGAAGCTGGTGACACCGGGGGTGGGCAGAGTGGCCACGGGGGTCGCAGAGGTCGACTTCTGGACCGGCTCGACCGAGGGGGTCACAGTCACGGTCTGCGTCGCCGTGCTGGTTGAGTGCAGCGTGCTGGTGCTGGTGGTGGTGGACTCGGCAGTGGGCTCGGGCACCAAGGTGGGCGAACCCCAGACGGTGACGACCTTGGTGCTGCAGCCGCAGGTCTCCTCGGGACCGGGGATCAAGGAAGAAGGAGACACCGCAACGCTGCTGGAGGCGTGACGGCGGTTGTGGATCGCCTCATGGCGACGGTGCATGCCAGCGTCGGCCATGGCGGAGCCGACGAGGGCGGCGGCCGCGAAGATGGAACCCTTCATGGTGGTAGAATTGCGAGAACGATTCACCCGGAAAAGGTAAGGTACGAAGGAATGCCCGCTGAACGAGTGAAGCGGTGGTCAATGAAGGTGAGAGAGAGTTTCCGAAGAAGGGAAAGGTGTGGAGGAGGAGGAGTAGAAGGAGGGAGGGGGGGGGAATGGGCGAGGAGCAGGGAACGTGGGTTTTGAAGAGGAGGGAAAAGGTGGGAAAGGGGAAGCTAGTGGGCACGTTAGACCTTTTTGTGGGAACAGGGGGGAGTGCAGAAAGAGACGCGACTGAGAGACTGAGAGACCAAAGACTCGTCACACTCTTTTGAACCGGTCGAATCTCCAGTCGGGAAGAAGAGAAAAAGGTGGGGGCAAAGCACCGGGGTGGGTTGGTGGTGGTGGTGGGCACAAGCGCCGGCTGGACGGTGTCCCTGAGTTGACGGACTGCGTGCAGCGGACGGTACGGGATGAACGGGACAGGGGATATCGCCATGGACGTGAGGGGGCACCGAGAGAGAGGCTGTGGGAAAGGATGCGCGCAGATGGCCGTGAGGCGAGGGGCTCGTGAGTCCGTGACTGAGACATCACCACCCAAACTTCTCCTCGAAGCCGATCGTCGACCTCCCAAAGAGGAAGCGTATCATCATCCAAAACCAGCCAGACCGTGAGACATGGTTTCTTCGCCATACCCGGGGGATACCGAGCCTCCTGCAGACGGGGCCCTACAGACGCAGGTACCGCGGAGGTCCTCCGCCGGCTGGACACTCGGAGGGACTCCACCGATTGCAGGGGCCTCGTCTCTGGTTGGTTGCGACATCCAATGAGCTTGACCCAAAGGAGGTTAGGATCGAGGTTCCGTGCTCAGGCACCACAGGGAGCTCATTGGCCAGATGCAAATTACCCCTGAGCGCCCGGAGTCGAGACTCTGGATTGGCCCGCACGGTGCGGCCAGGCGCGAAAGGGCAAATGAAGTGCACCCAAGACGGACAAGATCCATGGGACTCGATATAACAAGGTCACTGGGTCACTGGGTCGAGCACCGTAGTCAGTATATCGTAAGCAGTCACCAGTAAATAACTCAAGTCACTACTACATAAATAGTAATCTCAAGAAGAGTCGACGTGGAAGTCGTATTCAAGAATCAACTGACAGGCGTAGCTTCCATTCCTTCCACAGAGTGTGGTTCCCTTCGGCCGCGTTCCAGACCGCAACTGAATCATTTAAAATTGCGAGACGACCACGTCTCCACACTTCCGAGGGGCCGGTCACACGGCCATCGAAGCCGAGGAGACTGACCAGTTGACAGAAGACGTCTGAATGCAATGTAGACTGAGTTGCGTTTTAACTCCTACTGACCTCCAAGTGAGCGTAAGGTACAGAGCAGTGGAGTCCAGCTTCTTCCTGTGAAGCTGCACTCTCAGACGCATGCTATTTGTAGGCATGACGCCTCTTGCAAGAAATGAGAGAAAGCAATAATAGGGAAGCGAATTTTCTGTTCTATCAACCATTCCAGTATCGTTGGGGACGACCGATCTCCGGGGCTTCAAATTGAGGTCACAACATTAAGCGTACCATACCTGAGAGGACATTGTTCCTCCGCTTCTGAGACATACGGTCTGTGGCAACGGTCTACATTCACCAAGCAATAGATCAACACCTTCTCGTGATTGAAACTGCCACATGATCATCCACTCAAATTGACTGCAGAGTGCAGATTTCCTAGTCTTGTAGTCAGTTGTACTACTAGTACTACTACTACTACTACTACTACTACTACTACTACTACTACTACTACTACTACTACCACCACCACCACCACCATGAGTAATTGACTATGGACTATAGACTATGGACTATTCTGTCCAGAAGACCAACTCTTAGACTCGAGTCAAAGTTTGACAAAAGGGCTAGAAGGTCAAGAGAGTCTCCGCAGGCTACACCTACACGATGAAGATCACCCTCAATACATGGATCGTGTGGGACCTGTGCTGCATTTGCCCAAGAGCCAATTTTCTTGTCTATGTACTGTAGACTGTAGTTTCAAAGTTTGTACGCTGTAAGGACTGTCCAAGTGTATAGAACTATATACAGAGTCAAGTAGTCCACCAACGTCACTCATCTGAACTAAACTATTGACGTGTTTCTGACTTTAACCATTGACCATCCCAAACCGGATTCCCCAGCCTTGTCCGTCATCATCCCCTCGGGGGCCACAGCCGGGCCGACTCGGCTCAGTGTCCGAATGGGCAAGTCTCCAGTTTGGGCAACGAGTGCACCAACAACCATAGAGTTCAGGAGACAAGTATGCAACTCAAAGACCAGCGGTTCACTACCAGAGTCGAACTGGTTCCCAGCTGGAGCCCCTTGCCTGGTCTTAGGCAGATTCGATGCTCAGGCGCCGATGCGCAATTATCGGTTCTTGAAGGGCTGGAGGGGATCCAAAGGGGGCAATGGATCAGACGGGGGAGCAAAGTGTACGACACACCGTTGCCCGGTGCCCGGTACCCGGTGCCCGGTGCCCGTTGCCCCTTGCCCCTTGGGAGGAAGTACCGCTGGGCACCACGTGTGAAAGACCTGAGAAATGATGCGGTGTTGGGTTGTCGGGACTCGGGACTCGGGACTCGGCTGGGGTGTATCAGTAATTCAGGATAGAACCAAAGATTACATATTGTAGAATATTGAAATCCGTAGATTCCATTGATGACAGAGGCACGTCACGTCCACAATTGTAAATTATCTCTTAATCAGTAGTTCAACCCCCTTCTCCTCGGTAAACAAGTCTTTGACAACTCACAACACACAAATTGTCGCAGTTTCTCCTCGTCGGATCTGTCAGGCCTCATGCGAAGTTCAAGCTTCACGTTCTTGCAAGAGACCTTGTGATTGTACCGTATTCTTGTATAGATACCGTCGTTCGACACTTGCTCCCTGCTTTCAGTGTTTCCAACTTGCACTTCGCAAGTTCGCTCCTCCCGGCGGGTCCCTCACCCACAGAAAATCCGGTTGAACGCGCCATGTGGAGCGACTCCTGACCCAAATGGAGTCCAGTGGCAGCTTCAGTGGAGCGTTCCACTTCGGCGATGATTGGGCCTACAGCATATCTCATTTCCGCCATGTCGATCTCCATTCGTGGCCGGTTAGGTCGGCGGGCAGCATTCTCAAACACGCTTGCCCCCCTCCCGACCGATCAAAAGCTCGGGATGAATCGAGAAGAGATCGAGATCTCCATGCTGAGCAAGGTGGACGTAGCCACCAGGAACAGTCAACCGTCATGGAGTAGAAGGGGAGTGGTGATTCTGACTTGTGAGATTCGTGGAGATATTTGGGATCCAGCCCCAGGGAATCTGCAAGGTCGATTCTATGCTCATTCCACTAGACATGCAAACTTTATGGTCATGTTGATGGCTCACTCAATATTCGATATTAGGTCTTCCAACCTTGCCGATTCTCTTTGACCCTCGCCACCTGCATGGCGTCTGTCCAAATATACATCTGCGGCTGCATCCATGGACTATTCGAGGCGGGCATCTGAGAAAACCTACACTGTACATGAATCTGATCAACAACGCTCCCATCCCCCCCCCCCGGCCACAAATGATCAACTGATCATTCAGCAGCGTCAGGTCCTTTCAGTTGAAGCCGAGATAGATGGAGAGCTTGCAATGTTTGGAAGTCGCGACGGGACTTCGCAATGGATGAGGTAATCATTCTAAATTTCTCGATTACAGTATATCATGTGGTCCGATTCCTACCCTACCATTTTCACATATTTATATATAAAAATAGCCCGGGCATCGGTGAGGTAGTTTCGTACGTCTGAGGTCGCTACCAGAGGGGACGTTATGCAACACTAGGAATTCTCTACATGTAAAAGAAATGGATGCGCACGGCAATCCACAGCCCTGTAAGACCCAATCGACAACCGGCAAAGTCGAGACCTTCAAGACAATAACAGCGGGTATTTCTCGGTCTTTCATTGATCATGACACGTCGACGAATGTCACCAATATGTTACGCTATTTCAGATGATTTTCGAAATCCTCGGTAGAGTCGGTACCTTCCAGTGATGATGCAGATAAACCTTTCACGGTAGAGTCCGCCACAGCAGGCCAGAACCAGAAGCAAAAGGCAGGCGGATACCTTCGTGGACCGAGTCAGGTGTATTCAATCACATACTGAACAGTCAGATATTGAACCGTGACTTCGTCTGTCTCCGTGGATATCTTATCTATCGGGTGTCTTCCAAATCTGGAATCATTCGAACTCTCATTGCTGAACAAATCTAGTCGTTCTACACGGCTCATGTGACATGCGTCGAGATTACTTCTTTAATCATCCTCCCTATGCCCCCGTCACTTCCAATCCAGCAGGAGAGCCTGAGACCAGCTAGCTGCATCGTCACGCTGTGGATTCCCATCGGCAATCCGTTCCTGGGGCCCCTGGTAGACTTTCAAAAAGAATGCGACCTATTGCCCTAGGCCCTCCGTTATCCAGGCAGTCTCGGACCCTCGGGCCTCAGATGTGAGTCTTTCACACATCGACATGGCTTGAAGGCTGCCCTTGCCCTTGACCTGCACTCATTTGAGACTTGGCCTTTTCCTCAATTTACTGGTGACTCGTGAGTAGACTAGTTGTATTTACTTGCTCCATGATCATACTGCGAGCATCGTCAGCTGAATACGGGGACTTGTCCCCACGCACGTATTATCCAATCAAACCAGGTCGAAATCCCTACAACGAGAAGTACTTGTTAAGCGCGGCACCCATTTCTCCATGCTATGGTACATAGCTGCGGAGTGGCATACTCAGCCCTCGAATAGATGTCTAAACGGGGAAGAAAACACAAACAACAACAGAAGATGATTATATTCTTGCATGGATGAAAACCGTTGGTGGCGCAGTCTGTAACTGCCACACCCGAGATGACGGGTCAAAAATAGAACCAAACGGTCCAGCCCAGATCAGCTCGACCTTGCGCGGTCGTTGCAATTCTGGGGGTGGAAACTCACTACTACTAGCCATCCTAGGACCAAAGTGGTCTTAGGATTGAAAATGTGCCTCGTCAGAGGCCACAACAACGTTCTGAAATCTGTACATAGTGAACATCGAGCCAGTATCGCAGCTGAATTTACACCAGTAACGTAGCCAGAATTACACCAGCATCGCAGCGAGATCCGCAGCCAGCATCGCAAGCAGATTCACACTAGTATCGCAGCCAACATCGTAACCAGCATCGTAGGCAGCATCGCAGCCAGGTTTACACTAGGCTCGCCAGCATCGTAGCCAGATCCGTGACGTCTAGCCAATCATAGGCTAGGGTCGACGCCATAAAAGCTAAGGCGCGAGTCTACAAGTCACGTGTTTTGTGTGTTCTACACCGCTATGGCAGAACGCCTCTCCCCTTAGCAGAAACAAGAATACTCTACTACTACTACTACTATATTCCGTCTAGGCGCGCCAGGAATCAACTTTGATCAGGAGAGCAGCTTGGGTGAAGACCATAAAATTCAGGCAGACTCACACGATGGACTTGTGATCGCTGCTTCGATCCTAACTGTTTGTATGGCATGTGAGTCTGCTTCCGCCGCTCAATGCAGTCTCCTCTGTGGTAATCTCACCCTCATGTCCCCTCTCTCAGCTCTGGTCTATGTATGATGTATGCAAGCTGAAATCGTGCGGATTGCCATGGGTTTGGACACGGCGACGGATGATTCCTCGCGATCGCATCATATCGCGCAAGGATACGTACTGTCCTTGATCGACGACAAGTGATGGTGCCTCGGCCATCTTCTATATCAGTCAGGCTGCACAGGCCGAGTCGCGCGGAAAGTGAACTGGAACTGTTGATCAACAGGATATTTGTTCTTTTCGACCTCATGTTCCACGTGAGTAGATCAAATCAAATCGTTCCTGGAAAGATACCTGCAGTCGTCAAGTGTGCTCCCAGATATCTTACCCATCAGCTCCTTTACTAGACCTTGCTTGAAGAGCGATATCCTACCACCCGAGTGAACAATGACTATTCCGAGAAGAGAGATCTCAATCTACCAAATCAGTGCGAGTCAATAACGCAATGAATCGTACCACACTGGTACGCCAGCTTTTGTTCGCTACGGACACTACTAAGTAGGTACCTTAGGTAGTCTTCCCCGTTTCCCCTTGTCGAGTCAAAATTCCTTCCAAACGTCACTCACGCGAAAAAAAAAAAAAAAAAAAAAAAACAAACAAACAAAGATCCGGCGCCACACTCGGTCGCCTCCGATAAATGCCCAGCGTTATCGTAGACCAGCCGGCTCTCGGCATGATCTCGAGTCGTACCTTTTCCTTCCGGGGTGGTTCGATCTGTGCAGTGGAACATGCCACGACTTGGACTGTGCGTCCACTGGGATTACGGTTGCCCCAGTTCACGTGGGTGACCATTGGGGCTCCTTCGAACATGCTCTGACTTGATTTCACCTTGACGTGGATCGCACATATTACACAACCTGTGATACACAACCTGTGATATGCACCAGCCAGCGACTGGACCTGTAGATTGGTAGATGGCTATGTGGGATGTCCGGCATGCTTGATTCTGTGAGACGGTGAGGAGTATCTCCTCACCCAGGGCCAGATCCCAGGGACTAGGTAGTAATTGATCAATGGTAGAGACATGTCATCAAGATCACGCTCTCGGAAGGACTCCAGCCACAGGGCAGCTGGATGCATGTACCACTACCTACCCAAGGCTGGCTATGGCCTGATTCACTATTGGGAACTGTGAACCGGAACTCGCTTGCTGTGGAAAAGACTCTCCGCACTGTGGCTGGTCACTACCTTCGTGCAATGATGACCGAACCAAGTTGTCAGTTCCGAATGTCAGAAAGCGTGGTACCACCCGATCCGAGCGGTCACGCTTCGGCCGAAGGATGACGGCCGTCCAAGTAAAGCCCCCGGTACTTGGTGTAGACCTTCTGACCCGGCGAGCTAGCCAAGCATTGGAGGGTACTCCATCGGTAGAGAGAGGACGACCATTCGACATGGTGTCAGATCCTCGTACTAACTTATCGAATTCCCACCCATCCCAACTGTATACCCCCAGGATCAAACAACATGTTCGCCCATGACTTGGCCATGATCCGTAGGGAAGATTCGGATGCAAAGATGCCGGGACCTCGCGACGACAAGGGATTCTTCCCAGCAGTGCCATCCAGCACTCACGTATAAGAAAGGGCTGCGAGTCCGACAGCCTACCCTTGCTAACTCCTCAGATTCATCAAGCCTCAAAAGCTCATTACCAAAGTCCAAAGCAACCACACCTTCTACAAACAGCATCTTCTGCTCCAAGTCACACACTCCTCACCATGGGCTCGGCACAAGATCAGACCTCCAAATCCGCCCGTCTTCAAAACGACTACGGTGCTGATTACTGGATTCGTAACAAGGAGACTCATCGGGTAAGTCGCATCTTTCACCTTTAGCCTCCCCACTCAAGAAGGATTTCACCATTCGATATCCCACCGCGACCTTCCATTCCATACATATCCTCTGTTGGATCTTTCTCCTCCCATCCACCTGCACAGCCTAACATCGTTCCTCTCCAAAACAGCACGCTACCGCCGGACGAGGTCTCTTCGCCGGCCTTCAAGATGTCAAATCCTACAATGTCGAGCAAGGCTGGGCGCGTCGGAAGTCCGGAGAGTCTCAGACAGGACTGCTGGGATCAATCTGGAACAGGTCAGTCGGGATGCAAAGACTTTCTCTCAATACCACACCTTGCAGACTAGAGTAACTGAAGCTGACCGTTCTGGGGTTTGGATCTCTCCAGATTCATCGGGGCAAATTATCACCCACCTACAACTGCTTGAGATAAGCCCCGACAACATGAACTAAAGGATCGACCTGCAACAACAATGCCTCTCCAGTTGGCGGAGGGCTTAGAGAAGATTCCAGTCATTTTCCGTTCCAAGCTCGAGAGCATGATCGACTGGACAAAATTCCGAGAGGTGTTGGCCATTCCTTCATATGTTTGATGTGAAGCTGGTGTCGAGTGCATGGAGATGCAAATGATTTGACGTGTGACTTGCGGTAGCGATGGCGTATTGATGTTATCATTGTTTTTCTCTTTCAAAAAATTGTACAATGTTTTCCAACCTTGAATTACTCCACCAGGAACGCTCTTCACCTGTTGTCGTCAGCTTCGTGGAGTTGGCTGCGCGTGGCCTTTGCAAACAATCTACCTCCTCTACGGTCATATCCGAGGGCGCGCGGGGGTGATGAATAATGCGAACCATCGGTGGACGGCCCCCGCGTGGACGGCTGTATAGAGCTATGACTTTGGACGTGGGGTGAATTGGTTGACGAATCTTTGGGAGAAGGAAGCTGGTGAGTGGATAGCTGACAAAAACGACTGAATTCAATGTAAAGTAAGACAGATCTTCGAACCTACTTTGTACTTCCCACGTGCTGTATCGAACAGTTCAAGTCAAGACCGATGGTATGTAAATTTCGGACACCGCTGTCCCAAAAAAAAAAAAATAAAAAAATAAAATAAAAGGCCAAGAAAAGCAAATCCTGAGTATCACCCAAGCTCAGGAGACAAGAAGATCAATTATCCAAAATTGAAACTGACCCCTCACAGATCACCAAAGACATCAATTACTCCCAAGAGTCAATCTTCATGGTACCTTTCTCCTGCAAATTTTGGTGCATCTTGAAGGCCTGGAACAGCAAGTGAGGTTCATGACCCATGCCCTTCTTCAAACACTCAAACTCGGCCCGATCCAGGTAGTCCGTCAGAATGGGTTGATAATCGGGATGAGCACACTTCTTGATGATCACGCGAGCACGCTCCCGAGGTGACAAGCCTCGCACATCTGCCAAACCCTGTTCGGTGACAATCACATCCAGATCATGTTCGGTCTGGTCAATGTGGGTCGCGAAGGGAACGATGCAGCTGACACCAGTGGGATCGGTCTTGCTGGGCCGTGTGGACGGGGTGTGCATGATGCTGTACTTGGAGTTGCGCAGGAAATCAGCTGAGCCACCAAGGCCATTCAGCATGCGTGAACCCATCACGCAAGTACTATTGGCGTGGGCGTAGATGTCCACCTCCACCGGGGTGTTCATGCCGATGACACCCAGACGACGGATGATCTCAGGAGAGTTGGAGACCTGTTGCGAGCGCAGGAGAAGCTTCCCTGCGTAACGCTCCCAGTTGTCGTAGAAGCGCTTGAATCCATCAGGAGAGAATCGAATCGAGGTTGCAGTGGCAAAGTCCAGGTTGCCGCTATCAAAGAGATCGAGGAAGGAGTCCTGCAGCACCTCGGTCCAGACCTTCAGATTGGTAAAGTCGGCGCCGCCCTTGCTGAGACCACCAATGACTGCATTGGCAATGTTGCCAATTCCAGACTGGATAGGCAGGAGATTCTTGGGGAGACGGCCGTGTCGTACCTCATGCTTGAGGAACTCAATCAAATTGGCCGCAATTGCCTGAGACGCGGCGTCTTCGGGCGCGTTCGGCTGAGTCTGATCGGGATACGTGGATTCCACCACGGCGACGACCTTCTCTGGGTCAATGGGGATGTAGGGTGTTCCGATACGGTCCTCAGGTGCCATGACCAGGTATGGCTTGCGACCAGGTGGCAAGTCGGAGCCGACGATATCATGAAGGCCCTCAAATGACGGACTAGCCGTATTCACTTCGATAATGACCTTGTCCGCCATTTGAATCAATTCGGGGGATGCACCGACCGAGGCACCCGGGATAATGCCACCATTCTCAGTAATCGCAGACGCCTCGATAACAGCCACGTCGATCTTGTTCTTCGGTTTATCAAGTGTGTAGTAACCCTACTTCCGCCCGGCCCCGGAATGCGGAGCACTGCACGTCAGTGATTCCGAGCTTTCACGTTTTCTCTGTTTTTTATCTTCTTTCTTTCTTTCTTTCTTTCTTTCTTTCTTTTTTTTTTTCGAAGGAGCTGTCCCCAGTATCGATAGCACTTACATATACCAAATCTGACGGAAACATGCTCAGATGTTTATCAAAGAATTTGATCTGGCCATTGTTGATCCCCTTGGCAATTTCCTTTCCGACTTGATGCGGACTCCGGCGCTCGATCATGTTCAGACGCGCCCATCGACTCTCAGTTTCGGCGCCAGATGAGGCACCGACAAAAAGGGTATACTTCAATTGACCCTCCAGATTGTTCTTCTCGACGTGGTCGGCGAGAGCAGTGGGGACCATCCTAGTCGATGACATGCGTGATCAGTTCCTCAACCGTAACAAGGTTGTGATGTCATCTCGACCCTCCAAAGTACCCATTTCGTCCTTCGAGAGATCAATCCTTTCAGTAACGACTTACTTGGGGTAGCCCACGCCCGTGAAACCGGACCAGCCGATATATGAGCCATGGGGAAAGAGGTCAATCAAATCTTCAGCCTTGGCCAATTTGCTGAGGTAGGATGGCCGGCGAATCCGGCTCTTGAGCAAAGCGGAGGCAGCCATGCTGTGCTGGGTGAAGTCGTGGAAGTCGAGACTATGGAAACTGAAATCGGGACTCGAATACTTTCAAAGGGAGACAAGAAGAACGCCCCTCTGGGAAGGTCCACTGAGGTGAATGAAAATTGTTCAGCTTGGTAGGTGGACTAAGAATTTTGGAAGAGTAAATGCGCGGAATAGCTGGGGAAGGCCAAAGAGTTAAAATACCCTTGAGCCAGTCTCCAACCCCACGAGCGATTGTTCACACAAGGTATGGAATAAGTGGAGAGGAAAGGGGGACCCACCAGACATTTGACAAGATGCGGACGCATAAATTCATGATGAGACCGGTGGTGGAAGGGAGTATGCATCATGGATATCCGTGCTCGAGTCTGTCACCCAGGACGGATCTCTGGTGATGCGCAAGGCGTATAACGGGGTATGGCAGCCCGCCCACATTGTGGTTCCAGCTCTCAGCTCCAGTCTCCATCCCCATTGTCAATCGACCATGATTTCTCCCTCTTTCTGTCCATACTCATGGCTGAAGTAAGCTACACGGGGCGTGTGGAGACAAATATCCCAGCGACTGCCAATGTAGAGTGTAGAGTGTAGACTATGCAGTGTACAACTTTGCACTCTTCGATAGATCGTGGATCGTCTTCCTTCCACACGCTCCGAGAGCACTCCGAATGTGGTCTAGTGCCAATCTCTGACGAGGATCATTACGTCATGTCGGCATTCTCTCGGTGGCCATCGGCATTTCCTCGGTGAGCATACCACTTGCAGCCTCATAGTTTTCATATCGAAAGAGACACAGTCAACACTCCCTCGCAACGGAAGGTGAACTCAATAGCGATGCTGCAGGTGTCTTTACTCATCATACCACTGGATACAGGTCATCGAGCATCGAGCCTGTAGATATTCACTGGGTAAAGCGACATTCACCACACTCCCTCAGGGACCCGTTCTAAGTAGCATCTTCCGTGCATGTACATAAAGAGTAAAGAGGCCTCCAGTCCAGATCGCCAGCGATTGCGGGGTGATCCACTTAGCCCGGACCTTGGGCCAGTTGTGTCTCACTAGTCAATCGTCCTATTCAGCAGTATCATGATATTCACTTAAGAGACGGTAGAGTGCGGACTGGAAACACCACCCTGATCGTCCGGGGTGATCATGAGCTCCTTGTAAATACCACACTCGATGGTCTTGCCAAAGTGTCCGTCCGTTCTCGGAAAGCTGGACAACCCATAGGGCGTCAATTGATCCCTGGGTGTACAATCTTAAGCCCCGGAGCTGGGCCGTGAGACCCAGGCTGGCTGATCTTTCGAACCGTCTCGGGGTGTTTCGGCTACTGGGGCTCGGCCACACGGAAGTTCAGTTCCTGACATGACGGTCGACACGGACGACACCGCCTCAATCTCGGGTTCGCATCGGCTAGGGTTCGGAGTCAAGGGTCAGGGGCTACACCATTACCTGGCACCTGCTAGTCACAACTTATACCACTGAAAGCGAGGCTAGATCGTATCTCAATGTGATGGTGACATTTCAAATCTGGGATTCTTTTTAACTGAATAACATCCATGCCTCGCCAATCTCATATCTTCCATTCAGGTCATCATGCTTCAGTACCTTGCACGTCGATAGATGAGAGAGCATCTGAAAACCGTCATAGTAGTTACCGGAGGCTCGTTTGCTGGATGACACTGAAACGACCTTGAACAGCAAAGCATGAGAAATGACAAGATTGGCCCAAATCCCCAAATATGCACCTCCGGAAAAGCGCTCGTTAGAACACAGTGAATGAAGGGGGGAATCAAAATGCGAACTTCAAATCAATTATCAAAACAGCAACAGCCCGTAGGCATTCGTGGTGAATAAGTACTTCCTCATGTGAAAACTTAGAAACGCAAGAGAGAAAATCACAGGTCCAAAAAATTTCACGAAAATAGGACCGTGTCAAAAGACGCCATTTCACCAATTCATCACAGCGAAATCCAAATCAAGCTCCCCAAGATGCAAGTCCATCCAAACTGTCCAAATCACAAACTACACAGAGGTATCCTTGTCGCGTTTCAGATACTGGCCCCAACCCACTGTATTCGTGCCGATGCCGTAAGATACCCGTTGCCCTACTAGGTTTCGGAACTGGCGGCAGGATGAGCATCCGTCATCTCGGTATCGGCAGGCTCAGCCGGCTGCTCTTCCTTTTCATCGCCAGTGGTGGTAGCGGCAGGCTCGGCAGACTTAGCAGGTGCAGTGTTGTCTTCCTTCTCGAGTTTGCCATCGACCCAGGAACGGAAGCGTTGATTCACCTCGTCGACCTCATCCTTGCTCAATCCGCGTGCCCACTTGGGGTTGTTGACGAATTTCTCGGCAAAGCGATCGCGACGCTTTTCACGCACAGCAGCCTTTGCTTTGTTGTCCTCCTCTTCTTGAGCCTGGACGGCCTCCGCGTCGGCGTCGGGGTCTGGAATGGGAGCCCGGGAACGCCAAAACCAGTCGTGACTAGGTGGTTGATAGAGAATGGTGTAATTATTGGCGCAGATGCGGATAACCAAACCGTCATGGTGCTGAAGGCGGCGATAAAATTGATCATACTCCTCATCCTCATCCAGCTTGTTGGGGAGGTTACGCTTCAAGAAAGGCACGCGCATCTTGGAATATGAGACTCCTTCAGTGGGATCACGCATGGAGTAAGCGGTCACATAGTAGGACCAACGATCTTCAGAGCTGAGCTCACTGCTGTCAAGGGTGTTGTCTTCGTTGGTCATGACCTGGACGGTGGCGTGGCGATCAGACGGGAACTATACGGGGAAAATAGGAATCAGTATACGATGAGATAGACACGACGATAAGACAGACTGGTGAGGGAAAGACTCACATAAATGACACGATACATGTTCCCTTCCTTGATCATCCGTTCCACTTGCTTACGATACTGCATCTCCTGGTGGTGGGTGGTCTCCTGCTTCTCGCGTTCCTTGAAGAACAAGTTGGCAATGTCGGAGGTGCGATCTTTGGCATCTCCAGTGAACACAGAGGCGACATACTTGCTGATAGAAGAGAAGATGCGCTCCAAGTTGTACAGTAAGTATCCACTCTGCATGTAGAAACGGCGAAGGGTCTCTTCAAGATGGATCTGGTCGATATCCCCGCGGATGACCTCTTCGCACATGCGCACAATCTGCTTGTAGAGATTGGCTTTGGGATTAACATCGTAGAAGAAGTCTCCAGGGAATCGATCAATCAAGCACAGCTCGTGGGCGGGCTTGGGCATAAGACCCCGGCGCACCTGTTCGCGCGCCTCTGTTTCCTGCTCCTTGATACGGAGCAGACGCGAGTAGAGAATCTCAAAGGTGCGGAGAAGACAAAGAAGATTCAGGTTGCAATACATCCGGTGTTCTGTCTTCTTGTACTTCTCATTCAGCGTGTATTCACGCTCCAAATTGAAGTTGCCATGCCCAGGGTGCTCCATCCACTTCAACTCAGCCACGTCAAAGCTACCATCGGGATCGGACACAGCAGCAGAGGTGGCGCGAACATCTGGTGTAGCAAGTTGTGCGGAGACAGGCGCAGACGCCGCGGTTGGCTGCGGCACGGTCTCATCATCATGAGCTGTTCCATTGGTCTGGGCCGCCTTGCGCTCCAATGTCTCGCGCAAGAGATCCAGCTTTTGCGTGTTCACCGCTTTGCGACTGGCGGTAGAAGTATCATCACCCTCAAAGTGATCTTCTAACTCTTCGGCGGGTGTGGCATTAAGCATCAGCTCCTCCATGTACTCGTGGAACGCTTCCCGATCGAGTCCAAAGAAGACAGGGATGAAATCCTTGACAAAGTTGAGGAGGCGAGAGGGGTCTGCACCGAATCCAGTCGTGCTGCGATCAATGTACAAACAAAGAAGATGCGTGGTGTCCAGTAAGACATCCAGGTCCGAGAATTTCATATCCAATTGGTGTTTTGGGGGGTTCAGGCCACCTTTTCGCTTGCTTTGGGTCTCCTCAAGCTTCGCCTGAAGATCAGCCGCGATGTTCTTGGCAATGAACTGTTTCTTGTCTGTCTGTCGAGTCGCGATAGCTTGGTGATCCAAGCTACGCCAGTAGGCTCGTTGCATCTGTTCACGCCAAACCTTGTCCCATTCGCGCTGGCAGGCTTTCCACTCTTCGAGTTTCTGCTTCAGCCGATAAAGAACAATCGGAAGCACGTGGCACGGGCGTTCGAACATTGCGACGATAATCCTTTCACCGGGTTTACGATCATAGATTTTCTTGATCACCCGCTGGTAGATTGCCTCGCTTTGCCCACCAAGGCCTGATGGGAGTTTGAAGTTCTCCCGCTCTACCTCAGACATGTGCAAGAATTGCTGGACGATTGGCTCAATTAGCTGAATAGTCCGGGTGCATGCCTCGATATGGTGGTCGTATTCGTGGCGATCTTCTTCAATACGGTGCAGAGCATCCTCGAACTGGTTCTTCCTGTGGGCAACGAAACCTGAATCCTCCGAAGCCCACGTGGGGTGAGAGGCCCACTCGTCGTTCAGGACCTCGTGGCAAAGCTGATCACGACCGCTGCAAGGCTTTTGGCGTTCGCGCTTTGGAAGTAGACGATAGCTCGGTCCAAGGGAACGGCAATGCGCAAGGTTGACAACACCAGCCTCCGATTGGGGTTTGGGGTCGATGGTCTTATCCTCAGGCTCATCGACATTCATGAAGCGTTTAAACCAGCTCATCAATTCCGCATTTGAGCCAATGAATCCTTCTGCGCGCTTGACCAACACAAAGCGATCGATCAAGTCGTTGGTGTACAGATTGCAAAGCTTCAAGAAATCACTGAACACCTGCTTGTTGGCGATGAATTTTTTGACGCGGTCGAAGAAGGCAATCTCCTCTTGGCTGGGTGTGGTCATGACACTTGGGGGGACCGGTTCAGGAAGAGCTGGGATCAGAGTTGGGGAGACATTAGGAATGTCGGAGCCTGAAGGCTTTCCGTGGTAATGCTTTGGCCGCTGTGAATGTCTCTTTAGCAAATGATTCAGAGTTGACATTGTGACACGAGAGTGAGGTGAGTCAACGTTTGCACGCTCTCACTCCATCGACGTCAAGGAGAGACATTGCGGGTAAACTTACCTTATTGCCACTGGTGAAAGACCCCGTTGGAGGTCCGCCACGAGCCTCTGGTATACGAGTCGCGTCAGCACCAGATGGGCCAGAGACAGATGATAGCCCGACACCCGGCCCTCCACGTCTCTTTTTGGTCTCTTTGCCAGAGTCTTTGACATTAAACTGGCCAAGAGGCGGCATTTTCACGTCTCTGTTGGGCGTAGAGGAGGGGTGGCCCACGGGTTCCCCCCGTAAGTTTGAAGTAGGAATTGCCTCTTCAGCCATACGAGCTTGCGCTTGTTGCTTAGCATGCGCTGCGGATTCAGGCAAGAACTGCTTGAAATCTTCCAGCAAATCGGGGGCAGTGTTGAAGAGTTGGGTGACCTGAGCATACACGTCCTGGATAGGCTTTGACTCGCGTTGATAGGTCTGTAGAATCTCCAGGAACTGCTTGTAAATCTCAGGCGCCGAGGAGAAGCGATTCTGCGGATGAAAGGATATGTTAGCAAGCGGGGAGTATTTTGAGCGACAGCGCGAAGACGGAGTAACAAGGGTGACACACCTTTATCTTGTTGACGTAACTAATAGCATGGTTGAATTCTACGGGGCCCCGCTTGTTAAGATCAGGGTGACCACCCTGGAGCATGCCTCCCACACCAGCCAGACTGCTGATGCCCTGGTTTGCCCCAGGGCCAGATCCTGTCATCAACGACGGTCTCCCGAGTCCAGATGCTGCAGACGCTGCAGCACCCTGCAGTTGGGCAACGCCACGATGATCTTGGGGATGGGACAGCGCTGATGGGCCTTGAGGTTCTTGACCCTGGTAGCCGAAATGATGATCCTGTGGAGGGGCCTGCCCTTCCTGCGGATACAAGCCGGACGGTCCGACCAAGCGCGAACCAGGAGAATATGAGCCAGGGGCGCCAGGCTGATGCGCCTGTGGCGGTTGTGGTGGGAGTTGCTGTTGGGTCGGCTGCCAGCCGGACCGAGTCTGCTCATAGTAGTCTGCACGGGGAGGATGGTTGTTCATGCTTCCGGCAGGGCCAAGGTCACCTGAACTTTCCAGTGCACGATTTGCTCGAGGCATGCTCAAAGTGTTCGTTCCGGACGGGGTGGTCACACGAATGGCATCTGGATTATCCTCGGTTCCACATTCAATGCGGTAACCGGGAGGCAGAAAAGTATTGAAGCCTTGAATCAGGGCTGGGTGGCCATTGAACAACGTTGACACTCTCTGAATCACACCCGGCGTGTCGATACTACATCATTGCTTGTTAGATTAACCCGGGCACTCACAAAAGCTTCATGTCTTATGCGTGTGTCTGTAACCACTTACGCTTGGCTCTTGAAATCCTTCATTATGTCCAAGAAGCGATTGTACACATCAGGCTGATCGACAAAGCGCACTTTTACTTGATCCAGGTAGCTTAGTGCATCCTGTTCGAGAAACAACGCGTGAGCACAAGCGATTTGAAAATGGTCTCATTTTTCCGGGCCACTTACATTGAGAATAGGCTGTTGGCCCTGAGCCAAAGCCGCAACATTCCCAGGGATCTGTTGTCCTTGTCCGTTATATCCCATCATTTGAGGTCCGCCTGGATGCATGTAAGCTCTTGGCGCTCCTTCTCCATGTTGCATTTGAGGACCACCAAATAAGACACCCGGTCCACCTCCACCTTGAACGTTGGGTTGCGGTCCATTCTGCGCATTTGTAGCAAGGTTAGACAAAAGGCCATTCGGGCCGTGGATGGAATTTGGGACTTTGGAGGCGACCGGCTGATGCAGAGGAATGGATCCAGTGTGACTCTGAACAGTGTGATGTTCACGTTGGCGTTCCATTTGCTGGCGCTCCATCTGCTCGCGCTCGCGGTGCGCCATTTCTTCTTGTCGCTGTCGCTCTAGGATTTCACGCTCACGGGAGTCCCGCTCACGCTCTCGGTTCATGGACTGCGGAGACGCCTGAGGCATGGCCTGGCCAATGCCTGGCAGAGAGTGACCGGCACCATGGGATGGACCTGCGGGATGCTGTCCATATGGTGAGTGTTGGTGAGGCGCTCCATGACTCTGGCTAAGCTCTGCAAGACCGGGGAGAGAGTGGCCCGATTGACCGCCGGGGTGATATGGGCCTGGCAGTGTGTACAGAAGATGTCAGTCCATGTAACATAAAGTTATGGGGCCGAAATGTTCCAAATCATTATCAGGCCGTTGTGGAGATCGCGTTGGGAATTGGCTGACCACCTGGAGGAGGGAGAACGGGACCGGCGGATTGCGATGCTGGCCCTTGTTGGCCCGGAGTTTGACTATTATGACATCAAAGCATCGCATTAGCAGGAAGAACTATGCCGCAGTGTCCCAGAGGCCTACCTGAAGGAGCCCATTGGTCGGGGCTGTTGATTCATCTGGTCCATGCCAGGATGCGTTGGTGGCCCACCGGCCGACGCATGCCAGGAATCAGTCCCCGGGTTCATGACGAGCTCATTCAATATTGTATGTACGCGATGGAGCAGACCAAGGATCGATCGTCGAATGTGTCGAGCACGAAAGGGGCAGCGTGAGGGGAAAGACGAACGTCCGACGCAAAGAGGTGGTCTTCCAGGTGTCGCTTCAGGGTCTTGTTTTTTGGGCTCCTGACGCTCGCTTTGGAGATATCACGCAGAGAGCGCTGGGATCACAGCATGACCAAGACTGTCAAAATTGAAAGATCAACGGTACTCCGCGATAAAAACGATTGAGGACGACGAGATCTAGCGATAAAAGAGTGCGCGCGACCGATCGCGGGCTTCTCCAGTGGAGCTTTGCTGACCGACTCCCGCTAGTCCCTGTGTGGCAGGACGTCTACTCTGCCGGGCCTACCATTATCCGATACCCAGCGGTATTATTTTGAAACATCACCGTAATGATGGCAATGTGCTCTATCTGTGTAATCGGAGGGTGGTACGGTTGAGTAAAATACAAACACCTTGATCTTGACCGCCTTCGTCATCACCCAAAAGACGGGCAGAAGAAAACCTATGTCAATTAGGCGGTACGTTGTTGATCAAACCACGTGATCATTTGGTAATGCTTCCTCCCTCCCCAAATTGGGCAAAAGCCGGTACGGGACTCAAGCCCTAAACCGAGCCAGTATCCAAGCCAATTTCCAGCTATGTGTCCAGCCATGGTAGCTGACATTCAAAGTGCATTCTTTCACCAATTTTACCAATCTCACCAATTTCCGGACGAGCTTTCAAGTCAAACCTCCATCCTCATAGTTTTCAAATCTGGCGCTGATGGCTTGATATTCAAATATTTAGACTAATACCCACGTCGACGAGCTTCATGGAGAACAGCGAGGTACCCGTCTCTACGTCGCAAAGCTTGAGCTATCAGCACCCCTTAGAGCATATGTCATGACGTCTTCACCGTGGACCATCATTACATTCGCATTGCCGGGCTGTGGTTATGGCCTGCTTGAGGGCTTCGTTGCCTGAAGCGTGAAGAAGGTCCCGTCTTGTCTCCTAGCAATTGGGGACCTAACGTTCTGAAAGTAATCCAGTCGAGATTATCCGTTAGCGTGTATCAAGGCGTGGTCGTGTGTACCTAGTCACCGATTGGTTGACAAACTTGTGTTGAGCCTCACAACGCCTCTTGCTCTTGCTAAACTTTCCAGATTCGGTCACTGAAGGTCTCACAAATATATCTGTCTTGAGCGATACAATGCTGTCTCTCCACGCTAGGTGTCCCGTTAGCTCAATTCGTCCGAGCTAATGTTCAGAGAAATTCAGCGATATAGGCGATCACCTGTATGCCGCTTCGATTTGGCATGTGATTTCTGTCAGCGTACAAGGTGAGACTTGATGCTGCGAGCAGCACCGCTCGACTTGCGGGGGTAAGAGGGTCGATATAGCCTTCTATTTCCGTGGAGAAGCAGATTGGGTTGCGAGAATTGCTTCGTGCCTTTTTTTACAAATGTTTCAGTGAGTGACTCAGATGTAAGAGCAAGAGGCGGGCGAAGGCGAAGGATTGTTAGATACAGTGTGGACTATTGATACCGAATTCCTGTGACTCTGCAGTCGAAATGGGGCTCCAGACGTCCGGGTTTCAGTTTCATACGCTGCCGTCTTGGCTGGCAGCCCGAAGCTTCTAAATTACTGAGATGAAGGTTTTTATCTTACAATTGCAGTCTGGCGACGCGGGTGGCGAGTGTCAGGTTGGTGAGATACACGTGTGCAAAGATAACGTCTACAAGATGCAGCCTACTGTTGTTTTACGTGTCGATAAACAGCTTTGATGCTATAGTTTTGTAGCTCCTATGTAGTACTGGAGACAAGGAGTGCAACCATATGACTCGACTGACACCCTTCATTATTCAAGTTCAGACCAAGAACCCCCATCATTCCCAAGTCTAGTCATAGTTTGCGCGGTTCCTCATCCGGGTGTCGGTAGCAAAAGAACAATAGCAATGGTCTGCTGCTTAGAGAGCGGAGAAAACAAAGAGCTGCTCGTTACAAGGTCAGTAAATGCGCAGCAAGGCCATTTCTTGGGAGCCCATGGGTGTCTCAGAGTCAGACAGAGACAAAACTCACATTGTTGGTGGCTGCGATGGCAATGCTGTCCTCAAAGGGATGCCAGCTCATGTGCAGGATCTTCTTGTTGAAGTCAATTTGGTCGGCGTCGGTCTCTTTCTTCATGCGGCTTCCGGGGCCGGCGGGGCTGCCGGATCTTGAACCGGCCTTCTTCCCGTTCTTGTTCATGGGGGTCGGCACTCCGACCTTCTTGGCCTTGAAGGCGGACTTGTCTGCCTGTAGCACAATCTCGGTCTCTTTCTGTTCTTCGGTGGGGTAGATCATGAAATTGTTGTTGTAGCTGCCCGTCATGACATTTTCTGCGTCGCCAGAGAAGACCACCTCGAATTTGTCGAATATGCTATCGTTCTCGTATGTGTCACAGAGGCGAGGCCGCAAGTGTTCGTGGATTGGAATTGTCTTCACTGGCTGGCGCTCCATGTTGACATCCCAAATCTTCACGGTGAGATAGTCGCGGGACACAATGTACCGCCCGTCATGGGAGAATCGAACATCAGAGATGGATGAAATGATTTCGGAGAAGAACGAGCGGGAGGAAGCGTCTTCTTCTTGTTCAAACACTGTCGCGAGTGATAATCATTGATCGTTAGCATATCGATGAGTGGAAGCATGACAGAAACGGGGGGCGGTGTATGAAGGGCAGACTTCGCGGCAGATCAACGACAACTGGGTAGCTTTCAACTCACGTTTCGCGTGCTCATCGCAAAGGGCACGCTGGCGCATATCGGCCAGCTTAATGGTACCCTTGGAGCTGGCATACATGAACCAGTTACAGCTGACGGGGTGGAATTCAGCGGCGGTAATAACCTCGGTCAGCTCCTCCATGTTGGCGGGCTTGATATCGACAATGTTGAAGCTCTGGTCTTGAATGTTGAGGTTCCACAAGTTCACGCGAAGGTCGTCACTGCTGATGAAGGTCTCGCCATCGCTATTCACGGAGATGCTATTGATGTGATAAGCGTGCGCATTGGCGTAGGTCCTGCGCGGGACAGCAGCGACGACGGTGTCATGATGTGTCAGTCGGGGCATCTTGAGCGATCCGGCACTCTTGAAAGTGCCCCGGGGCGCGCGCGGAATGCCTCCGCCGCCCGCTGCACCGGCCGGAGTCAACTCATTCGACAGGTTGTTCTCAGCCACCACCTTGAGAGACTTATCAAACACCTTCCATAGCTTGATAGTTTTATCGTTCGTCGACAGCAAGAAGTGTGAGGCATTCTGCCGACGGCACCACTTGATCTTGTTGATTTTCTCTTCGATCTCTAGAGATTTGAGGTAATCGAACTCGGGCTCGTGTGATTGGAATTCGGTGTGGAACTTGTATTCGCATGTTTTTTTCTGGAGCAAAGCAGGCACTTGTCAGCACATCCAGCATCGAAACCTGGCCAAGATTTGGGTTCCAATCTCCATGTGACTGAGAGCAGAAGACAGGGCAATTTGGGCAGTTTGAGAGACCTACTGTTTCATTTCGCTCAAACAGAACCACACGTCCACCCTTGTCACCGGTGGCCAGGTAATTACCCGTGTGGTCAAACTCAACCGTCGAGATAATATCAGCTGCACAGAGCGGACGGTGCGGTTAGCTTGGACATGTCTTGAATAGCAGCCCCTCAGTCGTGGGATTCTTACCTTCTGTGATATCCTCTACATCACCTTTGTCACCGAAGCACCTGTGTGGGGACCAGTGTCAGTTGACGGTCATGAATCTCGCGCGACCGACTCGGAGGGAGATCCTGAAGTATTCGGCGCCGTCGAAGGAGGTGACCACTGAAGCCACAGATGGGGCAGGAACTCACTGTGTGAACTTCCAGGTAGGTGTGCCGGAGTCTCTGTCTACCATCTTTTCGTTCTAGTGGCGGTCTAAGCTACGAAGGGAGAGATGGATCCGGAGAGCGATGCAAAGATCTGGGCGAAAAGGAAGGCGATCGCGGAAAAGCTCTATCACCCAAAAGAGCAGCGAACTCGGAGAACGCCGTGGAGAATGGCTTGGGCAAACGGAAGCGGTCGGGATCCGAGATGCTCGCGAAGCAGACAGCGAAGTTCAGTGAGATGCCAGGCGAGGCGGGGCAAAAATCGTTCAGGCTGAGCCGGGGGGATCGAGCAGTGATGACGAAGAAAGGTGAGGATCGGAGGGGCGGAGGAGAGATAGATGGTCGAAGCGCGGGGGAAGATTAGGCACGCCGAACAAGAAATGGGAGAAAAAAGGTCGGAGAGGTCTCCCACGCAATGGATCCCGACGATTGAGACGGTGGGCAACGGGGGTCCTGGTCAAAGAGGCGAGATGGAGATCAACCGGGGGGGGGGGGGGGGGGGTTTGGCAGGTCGAGCGATGGTTGATGAGGGTCGGTGGGATCAGGCGGAGGGGAGGAGGGGAGTCGGAATGGGTTTGAAAAGAGGAGCAAACGACCGGGCTGTTAGGAGAGGACCCGCAGTGGAAGAGCTTGAGAGGGGATCATCGACGGAGGACCTGAGGCAGCTGGGCAGACCGCCTGGTCAGGATGGACACTTTCGAAGAGCGGAAATTGGACGCGAGAGGAAGGACACGCTTGGCATTCACCTCTTAACAATATATCAGTCTGAGAGATAGAAGTTTTTCTTCTTTTATACCGCTCCATCATCCAACCGGAATGGCATAGAGGCCAGCTGACTAGAACACGGAATAAGGGAAATCTGGAGTCGACTTGACGTCTTTTGACACTCGGACTCGCCGCATGAAATCAATCATTGACCGGGGCTAGACTGGGGTGGTGCGGCTCTTGAAATCCTAGTTACAGCCGGTCATTGTGATCAAGCCAGATGGACGTCGATGCCCTTGTACGGGAAGCAATTGTGCATCTAGCAAAGCGCCATACAGCAAGGATAATGATACATACAGCAAGGATAATGATACATGATTGTGAAGGTTTGGTCAACTATGACCGCAAGCCATGGAGCTCAAGAATTACTTACGCCCGTCGACGCCCACGCTTCCGCCCATGACTGCGGTTTGGTCGACGATTTGACGGAAGGGTTGATTCATCTTGTCTGGTCGGGTGGTTTTGCTCGTGAACCAGTAGCTTCGACTCTTGACCCTTCTCGGGCAACGCAAAAAATTCGTTGTTCTCCTCGCAAAACAGCTCCGCTTTCTCGTACTGACGTCGGTTCAAGAGTTCCACAAGGGACTGGCGTTTCTGAGATGCCTCTTCCGTAAGGTGACGCTTTGGCAGCTTATACAGTTGTGTTGCAATTGAGTTAAGCGTGCGAACAGAGGCTGCCGTGCTTGGTACGTCTTGAGAAAACTTTAGTTATAGATCTCGAAGAGAACAGATGATAAGATCTTTCCATACCAGCTTGCAGGATATTATCAGGGGTGGTTCCATATAAAGTTTTGAAAGCATCGTACGCCACCTCGCGATGTGCCATGTCCGTCGAGGTATAATATTCCTTGATCGCGTGGGCGTCCGCGAGGACATTCCCGCCGTGAACAGACCCTTTGTTAAGACCGCGGATTTCTCTGCACAGCTCCTCATCTTGTCGGTGGGTTGGATGGGAGTCACGGTGAAAGCTGAGAATCGCCCGTCGACGGACGTCTTTGCTTGTCTGATGTAAGGCGTCGTTGATGCGAGCCCGTTGACGAACGACCTGAAGTTCGGACTGAGTCTGTCCGAGCTTCGACTGAGTCTGTGCGAGTTCTGCCTCAGTCCGTCTGAGGCCGGACTGAAGTTGGCTCACGTCATGCCGAATTTGTCGAAGCTCATCGAGCATGTCGAACCCTTGGCTGTTCGCGGCGGTATGCCGTGTTTGATTCCACTCGAGGGACTGAATGTCCTCTGCAATTTTGGCCTGACAATCACGCAATGGGTCTGGGCCAACCGGTGTGGAACCCGCGTACACAATTTTCGCAGGGCGAAGCTATCGATTTGTTCTTCGCGTTAGTATACTGGCAATGATCAGAGAGAGATACGGGTTCAAAGTGGTACCGTTGGTGTTTTTGTCGGACTTGAAGACGTTTCCTTTTCCAGCCGCGGCCGCTTAGGGCTGTTGCCCGAGGTCTCGGACAACGTCCGCCGCTTGGAAGAGGCATCTCCAGACATTGTGTCGACCGACGTACAAAGGACTTGGCAATGATGGGACACTGATATCCTTGTACGCGGTTGCTGGAAATGGTGGAAAACTACAAGAGCAAGCTTTGCGGGAGGTTTCTGCATGTTACTGTAAACATTCGGGAAGCCCATACATGGCAGGCGCATTGAACTCGGCGCCTCGATCAAGCAACTACACGACGGAATCGTCGTGAGTCGTGACTTCTTTCGGTCCCGCCGTGGCCCTCTATTCCCCTCTTGCTATTTGAAAGTCTTTCCACTTTTTTTCTCTCTCCCTGCGCTCCACAAGCCGCTTCAACCGGCTGTGTGAAGCCTGTGAAGGAAGATTGGTCATCTGCACGTGTCTCCAAGGTTGACAATAGCTGGCGTGTCTGCTACCACGGGATAGTGGGTAAATATCTAGGTTGCACCTGCTGCTGAGTTTGATGCTGACGCAGATGGATTGACCAGTCGGTCTGGCGTCCCTGGCTGGGCAGTAACCCGCATAGCTGTCTGGATCCCGATCCGGACTCTGACCTGACCACTGGCTTCAACACCCGCTCGACCTGTCGTCTGGATTCTGGCGTGTCCTCGTGCTGGGCTGGTGGCTATGACGACGATTTGGATCCCGCTTTGAAGTCTCGCTCGAATTCTGGCTTGGCTCGTTACTCGAACCGCGACTTGAATCAACGCCTGAGCCCTGACTCGGATTCTAGTCTGAGGCGTTCAAACAGTGACGTGCATAACAGCCTTGCTTCGGCTTTGGACCCTGGCGTGATCATGGTGCGAGTGCAGAGACAGACGTTTGAATTGCCCATGATGTCAGAAGAGTCGTTTCAGCAGACGACGACTTTCAGCGACAATGTGTCTGCGCGAAGCAATGAGGGCTGGCTTGAAGCCTCACGGCCCGATGCAATGAGTCGAGGAGGTATACTCTTAACATGGGCCGAAGAAAAGGACAAGCAACAAGGGTATGACTTCACGCAGGCAGACGCTTCCAGGTTTCGAGCTCATCGCGAGGATTCTCCACCTGTCGATAGCGCAGCAGTTGTGTCACTCCTCACAGATACTTCCTTTGACCCTGCCTTCGGAGGCACAGAAGAGATTGACCTCGACCCAGCCGCGGCACCTCCGCTCTTGACTCGATCCGAGATGGAGATGCTGAACTCTTTCCGAAAGCAGATCGGCCGTTCATCTGACAGGGCCAGTACCACTGCATCATCCCAGGCAGGTCTATCTGGTCTCAGCTTGATCCCAGACATAGATTCCTTCCTTCAACAAAATGATTCGTCTACCCTGAGGCGGCAGGGCATGCAAGCGACAGCCCAGCCGAGTCTGACTCTAAGCGACTCCGTTCTTGAGCATCGGCGGGGAGCGGTGGATTGGGTGACGGTGCATAAACGTTACCACGATGAAATTTGGGGGTATCTTCGCCCCGCGCTGGAAGCGGCAAAAGAGGAGATGGAGGAAAAGGGCCAAGAAGGGTTGACAGGGGGAGAAGATACCGATGGACCTGCAGTTCGGAGACTGAAGGTGATTCTCCGGCATGTGCAGGTGTAAGGAGCAGAGGGAACTTACACGCTTGAGTCGAGCTTGATTGCATGAATCATGAAGTGCGTGCCTAGACCGAGTCTACTTCAAGAGTCTCAAGGCCTCAAAGCAAATTTTGTACTACTTGCATGTATGAGATATGATAGATTCTGCTTCTTGAAGCCGTCTCACGATAGTCATCCTACACCGTGGCCACTCCCCATCTTCTGCGCCACTCACTCTCACACCTACACGCTCCATCAACCTACTTACCAGGTAGTATCTCAACAGCACCTAGCACACTGATCACTACCATCCACCACCCTTCAAAACACCCACCGCGCCCTCGACATCCACAACCTCATCCGCCCTCCCCGCCATCCCACCCCATCTCACCCACCCCTTCTCATCCATCGCCCACGCACACCCCCGTCTGCCACCAACTCCCACTCTCCGTCGGCCGATTCCAGATCCCCTTCTCTTTGCCCAGCATCCAGATCCCCATCAACCCTGCCGGACTCAACACATGGCCCCAGGAACTCACGCCCAGCCCCCATTTGGCATACATCTGGCGCTCATTGTCCACGAGCACGGTGAGCGAGGGGCCCGTGCCGCCCAGGGCGGCGATCCACTTGTCGGTGGAGGATTGGGAGCTGTGCGATATGGCGAGGAAGTTGATGGATGGGTGGGTGGCAGATGCGGTGCGGAGAGCCAGGAATGTTGCTTCTGCGACTGGAGGTGAGCAGACGGCGAGCTGGGGGAGGGGACCCCAGGATGCGAGTTCTTGTGTGAGCGACATGTTTCGTCTGCCAGATGAGATGAAGAGAACACGCTTTCAGAGGTCTGCGTGGAGGAATGAAAGGAATTGAAGACAGGCAGGCAGGTTTGAAGAGGTGCGCGAGTGGATGGTAGATCGTACGGAATATAGTGAATGGAGTCGGTGGACCGATCACTGGTGTAAGTGTTGTCAGGGTAGCCTACACATTGAAGCAGTGGCAGTCTCGATCAGTCACGGGCTGCAGGTGATTATCTGGTGGAAAACATGGTGCGGAGTTGATCGGATAACGGGCTAGATACCTACGTACCTCACCTATGGAGAAAGCTGTCGAGTATAAACTCGACTAACGATATCCAGGCAAATTCACATGGCCACGTCAATTATGATCACAAAAACCTACACCAGCGTAGTACCAAATCATAAGCTCGAGACATGGATTGTCCACACTTCACAAAGGAACCCGTCAGCCACGTGTATCCACGTACTCTTGTCACCTCTTTCTTATCAAGCTTCCAGCACCTCGGAATAATATCGAAGCATGCAAGACTACCAATCTACAACGACAGCATCGAGCGACTGCCAGGTGGACCCGCCCATCCCGCCCATCCCGTCGGGCCGACCGCGTGAATCTACTACGTCATCATCCACCCCGGAACCAGAACTGGGCGTTTTCAAACTCTACAACCCCTTGCCCAGGAGATTAGTAAGTATGTACTCACGCAGTCTAGTAGAGTACTAAGTGGAAAGTTTCAATTGTGGATAGGGGCGTCAAGTTCTAATCAATCAACTGATTAAATGCTCTGAATGTAGCAGGCCTGCGGGGCGGTGGGTACCGCGTAGACCTCGAAAGGTTGGTAAGGTGCACCATCTCACAGACCGCACCTCGATCATGTACCAGGTTGGTGTACAATACAAGTGAAGGCAGCCTCGAGGAATGTGTTGCGCCAAAGTCGCTTGTATTCAAGATGGAATAGATAAAATTCTCGTATGGTGTTTTACAGAATCACAAGGCCCGTCTCCACGCGAGGGTGCAACAGCTCGCATATATCATGATCAAGAAAAAGTCAATTCACAACGGTGACGGCCCATTTTTAAGAATTCATAGAGTCCCACCGGAGAGCAAATAGCAAATAGACACGCAACATATCGAAAGATGAAGGGGGTATGAAGAATGGCACAAAGGTCGTGAAGCAGTCACGGGACCGTCTTCACATCAAGATCACCATGTCAGAAGGATAAAGAACAGGAGGATTGGAGGATATTTAGAGGCGTTCACAGCTCTAGGCTGGGCTTCTGGCCCTTGACCCGACCAATAACGGTCTGGGCGGCGTACTTGGGGATGACCTCATCGTCGTGAAGCATGGCAAATTCTATGATGAGAGGAAGTCAGTGATGATTGCTCAGTCGATGGATGGAAGTGTATCGGGAGGAAAATGGAACGTGAAGGGACAAACAAGAAACATACCCTCGGTAGCATCACGGCCCATAAAGTTGAAAAGAGCATTGGCACCGCCAGGGTGCTCATCCAACCAGTTGGTCACGTCCAGGACAATACCCTTGACGACGATCCACAGGTCATCCTTCTTGTTGTGCTTGGCCACTTCCTCCATGGAAAACTCCTTCTCGGGAACCTGGAAGCTGGCAATGGGGTCGGGTTTGGCAGCAGCATCCTCACCGGCCGGGGTGGCTGCCGCGGCGGAGGCGGCACCGGGGGCATCCTGAACACTGGTCAGGCGGTTGCCGGACTGAGCGGCACCGTTCCACTCGACGGAAATCTTGCCGGGAGTGGAGGGGTCAATGTGCAGGGAGATCTGGCCCAGACGCTGCTGAGCGGCCGAGGAACCACCATTGATGAGCTTCTGGAAGAGGTGCTGCGAGGCCGAGTCACCGGCCACACGGCCGTAGACAACGCAGCCCAGCAGGGAAGAGCCACCGAGACGGTTGGCACCATGGACACCACCAGCCAGCTCACCGCAAGCGTACAAGCCATTGAAGGGCTTCTTCTCGCCGTTCAAGACTTGAGCATGCTCGTCAATCTCAATACCACCCATGGTGAAGTGCAGCACGGGCTCCATGAGAGCGACGTGGAAATCGTCGTCGATGGAGAAGGGAAGGTTGTGGAAGAACTTCTTGCCCCAGGGGTCCTTCTTCTTGCCCTCGGCAATGAGGTTGTAATCGTCAAAGGTCTTCTTCAGAGCCGCCTCGCCGCAGCCAATCTCGGCCGCCAACTCTTTGCCAGTCATCTTCTTCATGAGTCCACGACCGGAGTAGTGGCGAGTGTGGAAGTCCAGGACGTTGGAGGCCTTGCTGTTGAGCACGAGACGAATGGGCCACTTGCTCTTCTCCTTCTCCTTCCACATCTGGCCGGAGACGTAGTCACGGTGACCCAACTCATCGGAGAATCGCTGACCATCGGAGTTGAGCAGGAGACCACCTTCACCACGAAGGGCCTCGGCCGCGAGGAACTTGAACTTGGCGGTCGGGTCCTTAGGGTCAACCAGACCCGTGGGGTGTACCTGAACCTTGTCCATATCGATCCCATTTGCGCCGATGGCCATGAGCATCTTTTGACCGTCACCAGTGGCGTGAGTGCCGTTAGTGGATGACAAGCCGTAGGTGTCCGGGCGGTGCTTCTTCAGTAGTGAGGATTCACTGAAATCAGCAGCGTACCCACCGGTGGCCAAAACGACCACGCCGTCCGCCGTCTTGGTCTCGCCGTTCAAAGTGTAAGTCACACCAGTCACATCATTGCCGGACTTGTTGACCGCCGTGACGTTGGCCTTCTTGATGATCTGAACACGGTGGGGCTCGGCCTGTGAAAGCTCCTCCAGACGCTGCATGAGCGCATAAGTGATGGCCATACCAGGGAACTTGGCATCATGACCACGGTGTGTACGGGGATGAGAGTGACCGCCCAGACGAGACACGAGGGTGAGGTCCAGGTTGAAGACATCCTGCAACCACTCGACGGCAGAGGCGGACTTGTAGGTCAACACTTTGATGAGGTCGGGGCGGGCCTTGTCACGGGCGGATTTGAGGGTGTCCTCGTAAAAGGCCTTGACGCTGTCGCCAATGCCGAGATCGGTCTGTGTACGGGTGAGGGCGCCGTTGATGCCGGACGTAGCCTTGGTGGAGTTACCACCGAAGAAAGCTAATCAACCACCCAGCGGACGGTCAGAAACTTGAAGAGTCGATGATGCGGGCATGTCCCGTTATTCAACGGGTTGGGGTGGAAAAGGGGAACCTACCCTGTTTATCCAAGACTAGGACATTGCCACCATTGAGATAGACGGTGTGTGCGGCACTCAGACCGGACACTGGATTCCAAGAGCGTTAGTTAGTCGGGGTCTCGGCTCGAATCTATTGCGACGCGTGATGAATCACAGCAACTTACATCCACCACCGACCACAATGACTTGAGGAGCGGCCATTTTATGTGTGGTTGAGTGTGAAGAAGGGTATCGGAGAGACAGAAGGAGGACCTCAAGAAAGCAGGGAGAGAGAGTGGAGAAAACAAGAGATCACCCGACGGGAGACTGGCGTTATAAGTAGTAGGATTTCAGGAACTGGGGTACCGACGAGACACAAGAATGGGCCGCGAGACCAGTCTGGGGCCGAGAAACACAAAAGACGGCGGGCGGGGGATCGCAGAACCAATCCGAGGGGAGTCGTGATGGAAGATGAACTCACCAAGCTCCAGGTTGACCAGCTTCGGGTGGGATTATTCACGATCAGAAGCCGACGTGCGTGCTGGGTGGAGGCGAGGTCTATCGGCCGAGGCACACGGGCGTGGGGAAATGGACACGCAAGTGGAGTCGAGAGGAGTCGCGGTGGACTTTGGGGTGGGCTGGGGAAACACAACTTCCTGACGGGGAGTTGGTAATGGGACCGCTGTGGCTGGCTCGAGCAGTTGCAGAGATTCGGTAGTGGACATTAAAGGCCACATACTTGGCGAATCTATGGGCATACGAGTACGGGCTACGGAGGAAGAACAGAGACATGGCGCAGGCTTTGAATACTCCTGAAGCAATCGCGTTATAGGAAGCACATGGTCAACGTACAGAGCGTCGACGTGTTTAGACTGGTTGACGGACCACCGCATCTCGATCGAGACACGAGTCCGTGCTCCAGAGGCGGGAGCGACCATGCAGAGTAAGAAGCAAGAGATCGGACTGGTGATATCTCAGCGCGTCAGCACCGGGCAGTCGAGTGGTGAGTTGATCAGCTGGGAGAAGATGCTCTGCACCATCAGATGGATCACATGCCAAAAAAAAAAAAGAGTGTGAGTGACATGTTGGGTACATGGCCACCGATGGACAAGGGGTGGGCTGATGGTGTCACCGTCGCCTGCATCCGGCGCAGGGATACTCCGGGGTAAGGTTCCCCCGCAGTACTGAGGTCCAGTCGCAGATGATCAGATGCATCTTCACATGTCCGACCGGATCACTCTTATTCCACCAAGATGTATTGTAGACAAGACCACAGGACAACTGTTTCGACCACTACCAGACGCAGCAAGTGATCTTACTGGATACAATTTGCTAGGGACGATTCATCAGCATGGAATTCTAGGACCATTCCCCTATCGACGGGCAATTCTCGTCCTGATCGAGGAAGCGTGGTGGTCGATGCCTATTCCTGATGCGGGAGGCCTCTGGCCTTCTGATCGTCTCCTGGCAACAGAAGAGCCTCGGATGTCCTCACGATCAGGTTTTATACCACCATCGCATTTTGCTCCAACTTTGACTGCTGAGACGCTCATACTTCCTGGCCAAGCAAATCTCGTGGTAGTTTGGGCGTGGTTCATCAAAATATCCGGATGAAGATCCAGGATTAGAAAATCCCTCTAACCTCGAGCGTTAAATGGCATTCTATGATTCTACTACGATCTAAGTTAACTACCTAACCTTACCCTTAAGGTACCTAGCCACCCCCGGATCACGTTGCGGGATCATGTGACTCTTCCATCTGAGAACAAGCTGGTCATGATCTTCGCAGCGGACCCATTGTTGTCCGATGAAAGGATCTCTGCAACACAGCACGAGGATGCCACTGCTTTGGTGAACACAATTTTGAGAATTCCGTCTGGATCAACCGATTTCCTCAATGCCGTCGCCTAGACTAAAAGCGTGAAACCTTGTAGACCTTCAATCGTACCTTTCATCCATCAGAATCCACATCGGGAGAGCGAACGGCAGCCACCCTTCTCGGGGATCCGCCCCTGCGTGGCTTCCCCATCGGGCAAGCCCAGTTGCCGACAGCTGACTTGTTGGAGGAAAGTCGGCAATCGACGGGACTGACGGGGGTCGGGACTGACGGGATATAATATATCTGGGAGGTAATTCCATTAGCCGAATACGTGACAGGAATCCAGAGAACATCACTGACTGTTTCCTTGGGGCGTCTGTCCTGCTCGATTGCCGGTGAGGTATACGGCGTTTCTCAACCCACCCGATTCTAGACCTTTGGGTTCAATTTGTATATGGACCAGGAAGTAGCGACTAGCGATACATTTCGCAGTTCCTGTTGCAAAGGTTTTACTACCCACCCAGCCGTAATCTGCCAACCAAACATGTCCGCGGGTCCTGCTCACTGCTCAACGGCTCACAACTACGGGCTCGGGGTAATGCACTCCGAAGAAGTGAAGGTGGAATGTTCAATGGAGATCCGCCCCAGAGCAGACAGAAAGCAGTTGTTCTCGTAGGCGGCATCCAAGCATTTCAAGCTAGCAGACAAGCAGGCTGGGCCTGTGGTAAATTAAAAAAAAGGTGGCAACGTCGTTTCAACCATAATAATTACAGGTCCAAGGCAATGCCGCATGAAAACATTATATCCTCTCTTCCACAACGATCGACATCGTGACCAGAGCAGATTCTCTACAGGCCAGGAATTGGCGGTCGCAGTTCCTGAGGCGGCCATCCAATTTGACTGTCAAACCAAGTCTCAAAAGTCCACGAACCCGACCCGATCCAGCGTCCACCCTGGGCATCTTCACCTGGAAGTACAACCCTCGCCCACGAATTTGGGGGCACAACTACCTCGAGATCAAATTTCCCCCATACAATTTTCCACCGGCATTCCAGACGTCCGTACACAGTGTCGTATATTGCCTCGGCCTGATTGACTGTGCCGCCGGGGATGGGGCGCACCAGCACTCTTCTCCATCCAGGATCGAGCGGGCTGATTCCTGCCACGATCTTATGCAACCAATTGATGATGGAGCCCAAGGCATAGTGGTTGAAGCTGGTCATCTCGCCCGGGTTGATGCTGCCATCGGGACGCATGCTGTCCCATCGTTCCCAAATGGTTGTTGCTCCCATGGTGATCGGATACATCCAAGAGGGACAGGACTGCTCCTGTAGCATTCGATAGGCGAGCTGCACATGTCCAGTCATCGTTAATGCGTGCGTGATAAGCGGAGTCCCTGCAAATCCGGTCGATACTTGAAAGTGAGCTTTGCGAACAAGCCGTGCAAGTCGGGCGCCGGCGTTGGCAACTTGAACCGGGGAATCGATCAGTTCAAATACAATGGCGAGGCTGAGAGACGTCTGCGTATCGCCAACGAGGTAGCCTTCAGACGAGACGTATTTGTACTGAAAACGTGTCTTCAGGGCCAAAAAGTCCAGCTCATATTTTGCCGCGTCGACTTTTTCATCTAGGATCGTGGCAATCGCGGCTAGGGTCCGAGTGACATGAACAAGGTAGGCGTCGGCAACCAGGGTGCCGTCTGTACGTGCATTGCCTGGCTGGTGTGCTGGCGCAGTAGGATCAAGCCAGTCTCCTAGCTGGGAAAGACTGTCGTCCCACAGTCTGTCCGGTCCTCGCTGGATTCCACGATCCACCCATGCTGTCATACTTGGGTACTGCCGCCGTAGGATTTCAATATCTCCGTAGTTCTGGTAGAGAGTCCAGGGGAGCAAGATGGTGACATCATCCCAGACAGCCTGTGGGAACATGGGCCACGTTGACTCGGAGAGGACATTGGGAACGACAAAGGGAGGGATTGCACTGGGCGAAGCAAGTTGTTCGACTGCCAAGTCTTTGAGCCAGTCACTCAGCATACCGCCAGCGTTGTAAAGAAAACAAGCCGAGGGGGCGAAGATTTGAATGTCTCCCGTCCATCCCAATCGCTCGTCACGTTGTGGACAGTCTGTTGGAATGGAGAAAAAATTGCCGCGCATACTCCATATTGCATTATCGTGCAGTCTGTTGATCATCGGCTGGGAACAACTGAAGTATCCAGTGCGCTCAAGGTCAGAATGCATCACCTCGGCTACGAGACTGTTGATAGTAAGCGGGGCGACATCGTCGTCGGGACTCCATCCATCAACTTGAACAAAGCGAAAGCCGTGAAATGTGAACTGTGGTGCCCAGTTGCGGATTGCTGCACCCGCGGAAACAAGAGTGTCTGCGCATTTGGCCTTTCGAAGCGGGCGAATGCCCAGTTCTTGGTCCTCAAGGATTTCCGCATGAGTCAATGTAATCGTGTGGTTTGCAGACTGCGTGAGAAGTGGAATGCGCACGCGTCCAACAAGATTTTGACCAAAATCGACTATTATCTTGCCAGAGGGTGTCTTGATGATCTCGACTGCCTGCACGACCCCAGTGACACGCACTGGAGGTGCACTCGGCGAAACAAGCTCAGCCGTTGGAAATTCAGTCTCGCGGACTGATTCCCAGGATGCATCGTCCATGTTCAAGTCATCAGACCAGCCGGGCTGTTCCTCACGAGCGTCGTAGACCTCGCCGTCGTAGATTTCACTCGTCATGATTGCAGAGAGATGACACTTCCACGTTGAGTCGGTTAAAATGCTCTTCTTTTCATTGCCGGTGTCAATCTCTAGCTGCGCAACGAGAGCCATTTCATCACCAAAGACAAAGCGCCGGCCACCCCCAAAACCGAGTCTTGTGGCATACCATCCCTCCGCCACCTCTGCGGCAATCACATTGGGCTGGGATCCCTTCAGTAAGGGACCCACGTCAAAAACCTCATAGTTTAGACGGTGCTTGTAGCTCGTCCACCCCGGCGACATGCAATGAGTACCAACGGGGACGCCATTTATATAGGCTTGAAATACTCCGAGAGCAGTGATGTAGAGACGTGCATGTTTGATAGCGGCAGCAGGCAAAGAGAATGTTTTCCGCAATCGCAAAGGTCGTAAGGGTCCCTCAGGCTGCTTGAACCGACTGGTGATCGCGTTGGCGGTCCAGTCTGCTCGTTTCAGCAGACCACACTCCACCGTCGCCCAACCTGACCACTCCGTGTGTTGCACATTGGCAGTTCCATGCGCGCGCACACGTACTTGTGCCACCTCGCGAGAGCGGAGAGGATGACTGGGCCAGGGAACGAGGACCGACTCTGCGGACTGCACGTGGTGCGATTCTGGCGGATCCGAATTGCGCGCAATCTCCAGAGTGTAAGCAGTTTGAACCCAGTCTCTTTCCGTTTCCTCGTTTGCTGCGAACGTCCACGAAATGCGGGGCCTGGATACCCCAATACCCCGTCCCGATGCGTGCTGTTCAAATGAGACCGAAGCTATCGATGGCTGGGAGCTCATCTTGGCCGATGGGAAGTCAGGTAGTGAAGAGGGCAAAGGAGACAGTGACCTGAGGTACGAGCATGGGCTGATCTCCCAGCGCGGGTTCGGCTTCTCCTCGTCAGTATCATCGCCATGGTCTCGTTGGTGGGAATTACTGAGAAAATCGGATAAGTCGAGCCCGACGGATGATTCTGTGCTCCTCAACCCCCGTTGGTGTACTTTTTCCGGGGCATTTGCAGCCACCCTGCAGCGCCCGGCGATGACTATAGCCGGGCAGCAGATCTATTAATGTGGTTGCTTCAGGGATCTGAAGCGACTCGTCGTCTCAATCTAAAAAGGCAAAAGCCCTTTAGCTTCTGAATTCGTCAAGGGATTCGTTTACCTCCTTGGAACTCTGGGGTCATTTGATTGTTTGCTTGCGGCCCACGAGTCAGGTGTTCATTGAAAGGTTGAGGAAGAACAACAAGTGCATGATCAGCTCCAACATCCCGAGGACCTAATATTTGTTCCAGGTGTAAGTCACCCAGCCTGGAAGAATCTTGAATAATCTTGAATCGGAATCGTTGATCGTCAGGCTGAAGACAATGGAAAGTATTACCCGCACAGGCAATCCCCACCCTCGAAATAGCCCGCTCCGCATTTACAAGATTCTCCGGTCTACAGACTTAAGCTCTGCCCGGCGGTGTGTTCCGGTCACGGCACTCGCAGCATCAATGGATCCTTACCTGAAGCGTCAAGGGAGACATGGCTTGTCCCGTTACCGATTCACACTGCAATTTCGATACTTGCCAACATTTCTCGGCGCCGTCTCGGCGTCTACAGCTCTCATAGAGACATGAAAAGCCGTTCTCTGGTCCAAAAACGGACGATTCTCTTGTTTGCATGCATTGGTCATGATGTAAATTCACGTCCAAATGGCAATTACCCGCTGATGTGGCACGGACGGCAGGAAATTGGTTTCCGAGACGAGCGACATCATTTTCGGATATTTCGGAGGTATGGAGTTTGGACAATCTCACAGGGTTTCAGACATGATGACTGAATGGTCATAGGGGGTCTGTACTTTCCGTAGAGTTCGGACCGTTCCCCCCAAACACCACTGAGTTTGAATCTTGACGGCTCGCCTGTCATATATCTAGGCCAGGGGCTCCTCTGCTGACGCGATTGATAGAGGATCTCGCATCTGAAAATATTGGCAAAAACAAACAGTCTTCTGCCCGCAGTCTATGAACAGAGACTCATGATATTCGAAGAATTTACACGTGCTTATCAAGAGACAATACTCTTGACGGAAGCTATCAAAGTGATGGACTCAAAGCGTTCGATTCCATCAAATAGACCGAGAGAGCTCATGTCGCAGATCGACAGAAAGTCTTTCCACAAGTAGACTGACCATCCACAGGATCTCCATATTTCTCACTTCCCGCTCATGCTTGCTATCTTTAGCTGTGCTTCTCGGTGCGGTGGCAGACCTGGCAGATGCAAACAAGGATACGAGGCCTTCTAGGTCTTCGGAGTTGTTCTGAGCCCGAAGGAGAGGGATTACCCTTGACCATCTACAGCACAGCTTCTCCGAACTTCTGTGCCTATCTTCCCTGGTTAGAGTGATGAGGTTTTGAATTTCCTCCAGGACCATCAGATGTTGCTGTGTCATTGCCCGCCTGGGATCCGCTGGGTCAATTTCTTCGGCTGTACACCGACCTGATACGGTATTCATCGGAGGCACCGACTGAAGATATCGGCTCGAAGAAGACGGACCATCGGGAGTGCACCTCTCTATGTCCATCTCACAGCTCTCATAACTAGTCTGGATCTGGACATCCTTGCCTTTGAGTCTTGAGTAGTGCCTTGTCTCGTGGTTGAGCTCCTTCGTGCGATTTCTGTGCCATACATGCCCACTCATGCAGCCCGACAAATATCTCAGCCACGTGTGGAAAACACCTCCCATCAGTGTCACCAGATTAGTCAGGATGGGGATAGCAAGCAGCGACCAGAAAATGAAGAAGACTTTGCCAAAGTTGCTCGTGGGGTAATAATCACCATATCCGATTGTGGTGAGCGATGTATATGTGAAATACAGCGCAACAAAGTAGGACCAGTTGGATTCCTTTTCGGAATGGCGAAACACGGCTGCACTCACCAGCCAAAGCATGAACCAAGCCGACATGAAGAGAAGGATATCGATCCATCTTGATCTCCGGTAAAAGCGCGCTTTGATCTCTTGCTCCTTCAGGTACATCGTGTACCTTTGAGTGACGCTGCTGGCAAAAGAGCCTTGAGATTTCAAGCCACAAGAGACTGTCCTCTTCGCTGGCCGTTTTTCTGAGTCCATATTTGGCAGATCCCCGTGGACACTGTCAATGGTAGCTGCCAAGCGGAGTTCACGTAATTGATCCGTAACAGACATCACAGCGGCGACCACAAGTCCCAAGCTGATAATTCCCAAAGTAGCGTATGGAAATAGTAAGCTGCGCCCAAGATGTGTATTGGGAACCACATTGCCGAGACCAATTGTAAGAACGGTGTAGTCGGTAAAGTAAAGTGCGTCTATCAACGTCCAGCCTTCGATTTTGCTGTACACAGCCGCACCGCCCAGAAGCAGGATGGCGAAGAAAGTAAGTCGAAACATAGTGCTCGTGCATTCGACGACATTTGTATGTTCAGAACGAGTACAGAAAAATAGAACATGGATAAGAAGCAGGATTGACACCAATGCGTAGATGCATGCAGCGAACACTGCGGCAAAAAAATTCTCCGTGTACATCAGCGCTTCATGAGACGCTTCTTGCTGATGCCGGCGAATGTCGATACCCAGAAGAGCGAACAAGATTATAGCCGAAATGAGCCATCCGACCGCTGTGAGCGCGTACCCCATGCTAGACTCAGATCTATAAGTTATCACAAGAAGGTACAAAAGGTATGAGGCTCCCGAAGAGGCTATAGATACGGCTTTTAGTGCCATAGTCCTATACAAATGTAAGCTCTTGTCCGATGGAACATAGTAATCGAGACTGAAAGCTCATATTATACAGTACCAATGCGGTGTGGGCAAAGTAAAAGCTGGTCCAGCCTTCGAGACACTCTGCAGCCATTCCGAGGCGAGTGCACAGATATTGAATACGAGAGCTATCACATACAGAGAGCCCTGATGCTCCGTCAGCAAGCTTGATCGAAAGAACACCTAGGGGAGTCCACATACTGCAAACATCGGCAACCCTGTGATATTACCAAACCAGTTACTGCTCGCCTTAGTGATTGCACGGACTACGCATGTATGCTCGACGCTTCTAACCTCTTCCCGGTAGGGAACTCATTGCTCGATTTTGATCGCATCGGCATCTCGGACTAGAATCCCCAGCGATCAACTTCATTTGCAAGTTTGGTTTGAAAGAAGCTGTCACCACACGCAATTTTTGAGTGTCGTCGTACCTCGAGATTCAAGTTAATACTGAAGATGATTTGTGCGTGTTGAAAAGAGAAAGTAGTTCTCGGAGATCTCCCTTTGGCCGTGTGATCGGTGCGCGTCAAAATAGAGCTGCGATGGATGTGAAAAATGGTATGAACTTACGATTAAGTAGTAAAGTTTATATGACTAAGGCTTAAATGATGATGACACGTCAACTCCATCATCCATGTGAGTTTGATCTCTATGAGGAAGAATGTCGCCCACTTGACGCTCTCCGTCATCCGTGGTTTGCACAGTGTTAAACTTCGGTTCTGCCTCGGAGACCGCGCCGAGATAGCCGAGTGTGCAACCCTTCGCAGTCGAAAATAAGCGTGAAGCACATGTTGTACCGTGGTTCAAGTGCATGTAAAACCTCGCTCCATCTAGGGCTGAAATAGATAGTGATGGCCTTGCACGGCTTGGTGCAAGTTCCAGTGATTATGGTGCTGTCTGGGAACAGGGTGCGCAACCGCAAAGCAGCAGTATACATTCAGTCAGGAATTGCTCGCTCGCAGTAGGTAAGGTATATGAACTGTATGAGATTCGAGCGGAAAAGGTTCAGAAACAAGTAACAAGTCCAAAATCATTGACGCGTAAGCTTTCGCAGCTATCAGAGGATTACGAAAAGAGCCATACTTATGTATCAGCATTGAGCTGCATACACTATAAATGCAAGCCTGCCCCTTCGCGAATTCCAACTTCTAGTTTATGCATAGTCTTCCCCTGACTATTGAGCAGTGTACATTTCCCAGGAGCCAAGCTCTTACGTAATTGCAGCGCTGGTCAACGAATGTGAGTCTGCTGCGAATGAGAAAGTATCTATGGCTGGAAAGTAATGGCGTTGATTGATCATAATTCATAAACATGTCAAAATCTCCCCTAATGCACCATTTGACCGGTGGCAAACTCCTAGTAAACTATTAGCCCCAATCGAATCTATCACCATGAAAGGTAAGAGTGCTTTACTCACCGGGAAGTGCTCGGCAATACTGGTCGCAACGCGTTCAACGTTTTCCGCAAGTTCTTGGACTCCCTGGTCCCATTGGCGCAAGCTCGCCCCGTTTGCGCCAGGGCCTGCTAGCTCGGCATCGAAGCAGATAATGCCATCGATTTGATCAATTCGGGCACGAAGACGACCCTCTCCTACCATCCGCGCGGCGTAGGCTTCGGCTTTCTCGCCCGCCGAAAAGTCACTCGACGATTTGAGTCCTAGAATAGTACCCAGCGCATCGACATGGATATTATCATAAAGTTTGCTGGCTGCGACAAGATTATGCTCAATGACAGCTTTGTCGAGGACCGTAGTACCGTCAGCCGTGATAGCAAGTTGATGTGGAGCAAGCTTTTGTGAAAAAGCAAAAACCTCATCGGCGTTGAGAAGTCGATCAAGGAACATTTTCTCCAGAATGGAGAACTCGTTCACCGATGAAGTACGCTCATCTTTGTAAAGTCGAGAAAGAAAACGTGATCTTTGTGGGCCTGCCGGCGCAAGCACTGCACATCTGATAGCAGCTGAAAGCGCAGTAAGTCGGTCATTTTCATCAACGCCTGTGGCTAGACTGACGTTAAAATACTCCTGAGCAGCATCAAGGAACCGTCGGCGAGCATCCAGGATGCGGGCTTGCGAAAGCTGAAAGTACAACTTGAGATCGTGCTCCTCCACTTTGCTTGGCAAATTCTTGATACGATTCAAGAAGCCCTCTGCACTCGTTGTGTCATCGTCCTCCAGGTAGTAGCGAACGATTCGAATCCAAAGGCGAGCTTTCGCCGTGTCCGGGACCAGGCGTTGAGAGCTGTCGATATTGATTCCTGAGAGAGCACGGGCAGCAGCACTGTAATCTTCTTGTGACTCGTATGCGCTAGCCAGTATTTCCCGTATCTGTGAGTCCTGCTCTTCCACCGAGGTAGCGCGCGACTGGAGTAACGTGATCGCATGTTGTCCGGTCTTTATCTGGACCTCAGGGTCGAATTTTTGCAGATAGACGATGAATGAATCAAGCAGAGGCCGAGTCGCTCCGACAGTAATATCATTATTGAGGAACGAATCAAGGTAATAGACAATGTCCTGAGCAAGCTCGTCGCCCGAGGAGGTCGACACGATGTCATTGAGAAGGTTATTGTATTGCTCAAGCTTGGAGGGTTGATGTGTGAGCGATTCGATGGCGGATAAAGCGGCGACGACCTTTTGCGATGCCATTTTCAGGTAAATGACACTTCGGAAGAGACCAATCTTATTTCTTCGCCTGAAAGCGATCAGCGGCCTAGATACTGCAGTTTCTGTCTCGAAGTGGAAAATGTACCTAGTTGTGAGATGGAGATGATGTGTGGCAGGGCAAGCTTATCGATAAGCCCAGGCGGAGAAGTGGGAGCTCGGTGAGCGGGGCCCGCCTTGGTAAATCTGATTGGCTTGCTGAGTGAGCTGGTTTCGAACCGGATCGGAAGCAATTGAAGTGAAATGCCATTAATGGCATGTCATCATAACGACTAGAGAAATAAAACATGAAGGGACTTCATCGGTCCACTGCAGTACATACATGCAGGGCGCTACACTAATACACAGTCCATGTCTTACTGATTAGCGCGCCGGGTAGTGTAGAAGTGATGAGGGCTCAACGAAGTGCGCAATATGTACTGCCGAGGCACTATTAGCACTTTGCCTACCTAGAGCAAGGAGGATCATGGCAGCCTGCTCCAGACAAATAAGGTTGAAATGTACAATTTCCACGCTGTAGATTACTAGCCATGCCTCTCTATTTCTCATGTGAATAACCTGCCGATGCTGCTGCCTGCGATCACACCTATTTTGGTGTTGTTGCCTTCGGATGAAGTCATCTGATCTCAAGAACGCTGAAGAGCGTTGAAGAATAATGATGCGATAAGGAGGCTCTGCGACTCACCGCCTTCTGTTGTACCCGCCCGATTAGTTCCAAAGCGATATAGCTCTTTCGCCCGCGGCGAGGCGCAACCTCACATTTGACTCGCTCACAATTTGCTCCGCAATTTCACTCTTGCGTATCGACCATTGCAACTCTTTGTCTAAACTGCAACATAGTTGCCCAAGTCTCCTCATTCAGTTCTACACGCTTCGTGGCTTAGCGCGGGCGTCGCACCCGGTCGCTTGCCAACATGGCGCATATCAAGCCAGACCCCGACGCCATGTACATCAAGCCAGATCCCGACAACAAAGACATTGTGCTTGCGGATATCGAAGATGATGATATCTACGAGGATGCGGGAGATCTTGATTTCTCAGCATCGGGACAGAACGTGTGGCTCACACGGTTGCCGCAGCAGTTATGGGACCACTGGGCGACAACAGACGAGAATGCGGATGATGATGAGGAGATCGAAATTGGAACGATCAGGATAGAAGGAGACCCTGGAGATATGAAGCGTGTATGTTTCCCCAGTCTACAAGGTGCATCGCTTGCTGAATGCTTATACATGCATTTGACGTGCAGGTTAGTCTACGGTTGCATAGACGAGAAGGCAACGAAGACATTCCCAAGGACTACACCCTACAAAAGCAGGTCATGTCAACGAATGCGGCACATATGACACAGAATACATTCGTTTTCACTGAAAAAGACATCCCGGGAGCCGAAAACCGTCTGGCGAAATTTGGCGAGAAACGTTCGGCTCTGTATGAGTCGATGAAACGAGATGCACGAAGAAAACAACAAGGGAAGAAGTGGGAGCCCTACGTGCGGAAAACGGTACCTAGTAAGGATTTCCCGAGTCTCCATCTCTTGAGTACAGCCATGCTGATGCTGCTTCAGAGCAAACGGCACTTGTGGGCCAAGTAAGCGAGGAGTTCAATCTCTTGCCGGTCGAGAATGAGGAACTTCGTCGCATCTCCGAGAAAGCTGCCATGGAGGCTTTGAAGCCGAAGGAGAAGGTTCAGTACATTGATGATATTACTCCTGACATCACTAACGCGGCGATTCTCCTGCCCACGAACAAGGGACACTTTGTGGTAAGTCTCTGAGCGGCACCCTTAACTTGCGTCTGCCAAGGCTAACATTACCCTTTAGCAACAAAATAAACCAACGAAGGCCAAGGCTCAAGAGAACAAATCCACGCGTATGCCACAGAATGAGCTTCTGGATCGCATTTTCGAATGCTTCCGAGAATACCGTTACTGGCCTTTCAAGACGCTTAAAGCGAAGCTGCAGCAACCCGAGTCCTATCTCAAAGAGACTCTGGAGATGGTTGCTCACCTTGTTAAGGCGGGTGACTTTGCTATGACATGGGAGCTCAAACCCGAGGCTCAACCCGCCAATTACGCCTCGGTCGCCCATCAAATGGTCAAAGATGAGAAGCCCCCCGACATGGACGACTTCGAGGACGGTTCCGAGGAAGATTTCACCGCCTCGGGCATGATTACGGATCACGATTAGACAAAAATCCACTCGGGCCTTGCTCATCGAGACCGAAGCACATTGAGTCAGATCAGAATTGGCTGAGCCACATAGCGTGGTTGATTGATTTATGAGATTGGGCCATATGTTGAGGAAACTGAGATATTAAGATGATACCAAATTCAAACAGAAGTGCAAACAAGTAATATTCCTGTCAACCCATGTCGCACTTGTAGCACTCCATTGTAGCACGCAAATATTTAGTTCTCTGCCAAAAGAGAAGACATGTACATTATTGCTACCAGATAACTAGGTATATATGGCATACGCAGAGGGTTTTCGCAGTACTACCAGTACCATGAACACATGACGACAATCGCGCGAGGCTGACCGATGTTTCCCACGTGACCTTCCACACGCCACCGGCGGGTATGTGCGTGTCTCACCGTGTCTACCTTCCCATCTTACAAACATTCTTATCTCTCACCTCATCTATCAACTTCGGGCATTTTCAGTTTCCCTACAAACTTCATTCTGCCATCTGTCTTGATCTTCTCACATCCTCACTAACGCTCCAGCTATCAACTGAAAGTAGCTCAACATGACTGAAAACGAGGAACTATTAGCCCGGATTGGCCAGCTCGCAGGTCAGCTTTCGACAGCACAAGCCCACACTTTGCGCTCACCCACTGACCTTTTCTTGTTGTAGGACAAATCAACAGACACAAATCTCAGCCTGCACAGTCCAACCAGCCCTCGTCTCACCAATCCCAACATGTATCACGTCATGCGCACGCGCATCCCGGATGGGCGCCGTACTCGCGAGGCAGAGGAAGAGGTCGCCATCCAGCCCCTCACCGGAATCGCACTTTGGTTCTCAATAACGGTACCCCTGGGTCAGCGCACAGTGACGCATCCACTCCCGGTCCCTCTAGCGACAATGATGCCGAAACACGACAGCCCACTACCTCTAATGGATGGGTTGCAAAACGCGACCGCCACATGCAGCTGATCAACTCGGCTGTCTACGAGAAGGAGAAGGTCGCACGTGCCAAAGCCTTGGAGGAATCGCGTAAAGTGAAAACTCAGCGACGGGCTCAGCGTGAACAAGCAAAGGTCCTCCAATATGCGCAAGCCACTCGAGGAAACGCGATGGTATCGACCATGGCACAGCCAGGAACTGCGCACCAAATTCTTGTGAATGATGTTCCTTTCAAGATTACCCACGGCGGGAGCAAATTAGTCCGAGTTTTCAGTAAGACTCCCTTGTCCTATCAACATGTTGAGAGAACTGACTCACTCCTCCTAGATGACCCCAATACCGCCAATACCACTCCCAAGCGAGTCAATGTGGCGGGCGTGACATTCGTTCGAAGTAAAAACGGCAATCTTCATCGCCTTGGAGCTGTGGCCTCAAAGAAGTGAGTCGCACTACCAATCCCTCAGTGACTGCGTGCTAAAATCGAAAAATTAGGAACCCGATGACCGTCAAGAAAAGAAACGAACTGTGCAAGAGGTTCACTTCCACCGGTATACACATTTTTCCAAAATAGAACAGGCCCTTGTCTGCTGACTTCTGTCTTTTACGGACGGTGCTAATTCGTGTTACTCGCTGCTTTTAGGTGCTTGCTACAAGGGCCCGTCTTGTCCATTCGTTCATGATCCTAACAAAGTTGCCATTTGTAAGGACTTTCTCCAAACTGGCGAATGTAGTGCTGGTATGAACTGCGATCTTTCCCATGAGCCCTCACCCCATCGCTCTCCTGCCTGTGTGCATTTCCTGAGGGGTCGATGCTCTAACCCACAGTGCCGTTACGCACACGTTCGGGTCAACCCAGGAGCTCCTGTCTGTCGCGACTTTGCGACTCTCGGGTACTGTGAAAAGGGCGTCAATTGTGAAGAACGACACGTTCACGAATGTCCTGATTATGCCAACAGCGGCGTTTGCCATAAAAAGCGTTGCCCATTGCCTCACGTTGACCGCGCGGGCCAAATTCGCAAGGCTGCGGCAGCCGCGGCAAAGGCAGAGGCGTCAGCTGACAATGAGGATGAATCTGACGAGTCTAGCGAAGAAGAAGACTATGCTGCGATTGACTCGGATGATGTCGACTCGGACGACTTCGACGACGTATCTACCGAGCTCCTAGAAGGGGTGGATAGCAGCGAGATGGCCGAGCAGCACGACTTTATCAAGTTCTGAGCAGCCCAGTCTTAGACTTCGTCCAGCAGACACTCGAGTCCGTCTGCAGCGACATCGTAGTTGCCCCTTTTGCATGCTTTTGTTGGTTCCTGATCACCGTTCCGTTCCCAATTGTGGCACTGGTTTCTTCAGGCGAGATCTATTTGGACCGCCAAGTAATACTCGACACGCACTCATGGATACCCAAGTTGGAGGAAGAGCGGACAGATCGCAGAAGGAGATAGTATCGTTATGTGAGAATGAATAAATTTCAAATCCTTGAAAATACATCTGAATCATATAGGCCCCTCTCTGACCCTCGAGTTCACATATTTCCATTCTGCCGTCCCCCGGATTGGAATAAATCTAGATATACAGTCCAAAATCTGCGGTCGTCCAACCTGACTGATCTCAGAAACTCGGCGTTTTTTGGCTGGCCGTGGACAGGGCTTAGCTCAGGTCGAACTTGCGAGGCACGAAGCTTCCCAGATGATGCACTGGAGCTTCACAGGTATCAAGGCCGGAGCCTTTTGATTCAGCATGCCCTGTTACCCTTTTGCATTTAAAGTGCGCCACAGAACGCGACTTCCCAGATCGGTGTCATTCAGACCATATTCTTCCCTCCTCACTCCTTCCCTGGAAACTCTATGCACCTTTGCTTCGGTCATGAGAGAGCACACCAGACTGGTAATGATTTTCTTCAAATTCAAACCACCACGACTTCATCTGGGATGGCTGCGTGGTTTGACTCTCCCGCAGTCTGACCCAGTGCTATTGATGTACCTCCACGAGGGGTCACGGTACGTACGGGCTCGACATCCATTCATCCGGCCCTGTCTTCACACGCTTGAGCCCACCTCCTACCGCACCCTCGGCAACCCCACAAACATCCAGCTTCTGGCTCGAGGATCACCACTTGATCGCCTCGTCTAACTGATGGACAGTGCAGCTGACTGACAGCTCGATTCAATCCGATGATAGACCCAAATCCGCGAGATCTTGGTCGTTGGCTCCCTTAGGTTAAAGCTAAGCTGTGTTCGTAGACATTCCCGATAAGATCCCTTGCTCTTGTGACGAGATGACGTCCTTCGGCATTGTGGTTCGCATACGCGGCGCAGGGCTGTCAGGTCACCTGGAGGTTGATACTTCCTCACTCGGTTTTATTCCTTTGGAAGTCAAAGATGGAAGGAGACCTTGTCAAACAGTGTTACAGGAGGCAAGCAGCTCCCAATGGAAATGCCTGCCTTTTAATAAACTCTGGTGAATTCGGGTTACTGTGTTGCACGGAGATTGGTTCTCGAAGCTTTGTCTCGACAAGCGGGCAAGCGTGAAGTATCAAAGCCTGGCCATGGGCCAAAATGGAATGAATTGAGTTGAAGTCACGCCTTAGTGCACATCGCGCGTGAGAACTGCAACATGTGAGAAAAGCAACATGAAGGCTGTTTGAAGATTCTTCTTGGCAAGTCTGAGGATCGCGTGAGCATCATCGCCCTACTAGTATCATCGTGAGGTAGTTCTACCAGACAGAGTTCATTATCGACGCCTTCTTCCATAGGTTTGGTGTATTCAATCCGATGCCAACCTTGGGCGTGAGAGTAATCGAGCATCCGAGTACCTTCTGCTATTGAGCTACCGTCTACTTTAAAGTATGCGGTTGTTTGAGAGAGAGAGAGAGAGAGAGAGAGAGAGATTACTCAATGACATGTGCGGGGCTAGGTAGTCTGTTGATCTAGTTTGCCCGCCTTGGGAAGAAAGCTCGGCCCATAATGAAGAAGCATGTGCCAGAGCAGCCACCGTGGGCGTTGAAGATTTGAACCGGACCAAGGCTATCATGTCGAATATGGGAGTGTCAGCCTTACTGACTCCTGAAGACAGCTAGCAATCATCGAATAATCGTGACAGAGCGGCCTACCACTCGAGATGAGTCACTTTGCCCGTCGACTGGAGCCTAGCCCAGCTTGCATTGCGTGCTCGATGGTCATTCTCACGAAAGCATCAAACAGTCTCCATCAATCCACGGAATTATCGGGTTTCCACGATGGAGACGGAAATCAGGAGACAATAAGCTCGGGATTCATCATATCAAAGCTCACGTCAACCTGGCGACCTCGGAAACTATCAAGCACGAATAGCCGGCCCTCCTTCGAGCGACAGACTACATCATGTGGACGCAATCTGTAATCTCTTTCCCGCTCATCACACTCGCCAAAGTCTATTCCAGCCCGTTAGGTAGGCAGTACGGGGAACGGTGGACGCAAATAGCAGTAAACACACGCCTCCGAGTAATGTCCACTCAAGCCACCACCTGCAAGCGGGCTGAAGTGAGGCTGTGGAGTGTCCATACTAGACCTGATTGTTAGGCTCCCATTTGGCTTTTGTCTGTGCGGATCAGGTTAGCAATCCAAGGGTGGGTTGGAAGTGCGATGTTATTGGGGTCATCTTTCGCGCAGAGATGGTGGATCAGATCCATGGTAGTTAGTGGAAACAGGATATACAATGCATGATTGGCGAATCGAGGCTCTGTGAAGGATTCAGCAGTGGGCTGTGGGGAATCGTCCGTTTCTGTATGTACATGAGTACCTACAGTCTTGTACGTACGTGGTGTAGCGAGTTCGTAGCTACATGCCCCAGTGCATACATACCGGGGTGGACGTTGTATGGAAGGTAGATTCTAGTCTCTTCACTAATCGTAGGCATGGTACTAGATACTTATGTCTACCAGCCCGACGGAATACTCCACGGATGACTATAATGTAATATTGGGTGTACTTGACTCATCACGGCACTGAGGTCAATCTCCAGGTAGAGACACGAGGCAGTACCAAAACGACTCTCATGAGAGAACATGCAGTGATAAGCTGAATACTTCCAAGCAAGCAGAAAATTGTTTGGAATCCTACTACCACCACACCCCGACAGGCTCAATATTCTCCTTTATTTGCCTGATACCCACTTAAGCGAATCAAGAATAGGGCTGCTGTTCGTAAACGATATTCAGCCTGATAAACCAAAAACCCGCGATAAGTAGCAAAGACACCCACGGGAGGAAGAATTTCATCGTCATGATATAGGTAAATATAAACCTTCAAGCCGTGCGAGCCTGATTCTGCACCCAAGAGGCAGCACGATATACCAAGATGCTCTCTCAGCCAGTCGTTCTCACACCAACACCGGCGCAGTAACTTTAGCCTCTCTCTCTCTCCCTTTTACTCTTAGACCTGAAGAGCAAAAGTGCAAAAGTACCAAAGCCTAATGTTGATAATCTGCTCACCACTATTGTCATCAGGTTTCCACAAACGGCTTCAACCTCATGATCATGCACGTGCTCCCGTCTATTCAGCTTCAGTCGCAAGTACCGGAAATTCTTCGACCGGCGTGATTCTTATGCCCCGCTAGAATAAGGTATATGAGAACTGCACGTGTTACGGAGGAGTACTTAATAGTAGTATCTTCGAAGGGCGCGGCATAACTGCGCCATTCATTTGGAAATGGAAGGAGCATGACAAATTTCATTAGCAGCTGTTAGCCATTCACACACGCATATGACTCGCACCCGTACCTACCGTACATGTCAAGTTTTGTTTATGAGGCTCATTTTGCTAAAATACTACGACTACATAGTTGATGGCTCGAGACACTTTGGGCTCGCTTAGCTGGCCGACGAAACCACGAATTTAGACGCAGGATTTTGTTGCGAGACAGGGCTCATCCCAGTCAAATGACAGTCAGAAAGCATACTTCATGGCCTAGACTGGCTCGGCAATGTCGAATCTTGAAACGCATGTACATCCTCTGAGCCTACAGGATCATCGGACATGAGTGCAACATGAGGAAGATTAGTAGAATCGGGAGACTCACGGTCCGCGTGCGGCACTCGTCCGGGACCCGGAATCTAGATCGCCATTGGTTGTAATGGGCGCTTTCACCGCCATCTCTGGCGCGCGCTTTGGGCTGAGGCAGCTTGTCAGATTGACTTGGCCTGGACGAGACAGATGACGAGGAGACTCTGTGGCCGAGTGAGATGGGTAGACGGGTAACTTGACCTGGTGAATGGGTCTGGTGCCGGGGACTAGTTGAGGGGGGAATGATCGGCTTGTGCTTGGTATCGTTGGCTGAAGCCATAGCCGCGAGGAGAGGGGGACTGGGCCTGAGGGTCTGCTCGTACTATCTATAGAAGTCGAATGGGAGTGTATGTGATCAGAAGGTCAAGTCAACCGAGATGATACTTGTTCAGCGCTTAGACATTCGCTTCAAGTGTCTGTATCGCCGCTGTACATGTACAGCCTGTGCAAACTCATGAGGGGTGGTACATGTCTGCGCGTCCATGAAGGCGCACTCGAGAGGTACCTCGTAGGTATACGGTGCAGTGCAGGTCATACTGTATTGTAGTGAGAATCCGTCAAGATTATATCGGTGCGGAAGGCGAAACCGCCAAAATGACGATGGGACGGACAAGATCCGGATTTCGTCGTCCAATGTCATCATCGTTAGACACCCAGAGATCCTGGGCAGTGGGCAGTGGGCAGTGGGCTCTGGTAGGAGTGCAAATCTTAAATCATGTCCTCGCTCTACGACGGGGGGAAAAATGCTAGTCTCTGCCCGTATTCGAACTGGAAAGGACCAGGACCAGGGTCCCTGAAGATGTGATACGTTGGTAGTCTGCCCTTTCAGAATTGAGCACGGAAGAGGGTGGTCAGGCGGCCATGAAGAGCAAAGACCAAAGCAGACAAGAAGCGGGGAGAGAAGGGCAGGAGTTGTCTCGGGGATACTTGGAAGTTGGGGGAGCTTTACAGACGTGGGATGAACGGAGGAATGGAGGGGCTGAGACCCATCAGGTGCCCAGGCTGCCACACGGACCTCGAGGTCGAAGTCTCTTGTCTGCAGGGGTAGAGAGTACCGAAGGGAATCCCTCATGGAGCCCTGGAAACATGTACCCAGTACAAGCCACATATAAAGCACGCCTCGTCCCGTGAGCGAAGGACTGGCTTCGGGACCCAAAGGGCGTCTGGTGTGGTTTGACCGCACCAGTCAAACCAGGCAGAAAACAAGCGGTGACGGGCCAGCCCGGTCAAGCATCACTGACACACTGACACCTCCGAGACCTGCCCGGATCCCCCTGGGTCTTCTTGGACCTCGACTGCCAGTTCCCTACCCACGCAGGCGTCTGGGAAGACCCAAAGCGCGGGAGGGGGCGAGCAAATGACCAGGGAGGCAGCGAAGCTATGGCGTGTATCGACAGACGGCAGAAATGATGCCCCTAGCCACCACTCACCTCGAGTGTGACGAGCTTGAGCGGCGTACAGTAGTACATGCTGGAGGAACTCGGATGCCAGGTCTCTCACGCGTCTGATCGGAACGTGAGTCACGTTTCACATCTCACCCAGATGGGTTGGGCTCCAATAATTGCGCCGCGGGAGTGACTCTGCTCCAGTGGCCTGCGGTCCTCTCTTTTCCTGCACTGGACTGTTGAACATGACGATAAACCATGGATACATCGGTCGCCCATCGGCTCTGGTGGATCACCCGCGGGCCGGACCACGTTTGGCCCCATCCGAACCACTGAACCCGGTCAACGGTGCATCCTGGCAGTGACCACAGTGACCAAGAAGACCCTCCGACCATGGTGACTATCGCTCACCCCGACTTCAGATATCGTCGTGGGCGCATGGGGAACATGTCGCAAGGCACGGGCTCCTCCGTGGTCCCTTGGCCAAGTCCGAGTCTCTCTCAGGCTGGCTGACCCTACTGGCGACCCCCGAAAGGGGAAAGAACGGAAAAAGTAAAAGGAAAAAAAAAAAAAAAAAAAAAAAAAAAAGGTCAAGGCAAAACAGGACCAGCCAAAACTCATCGCGCGGTCTCAGCGGGCCGCCGGGAAATACGATCGATAGGCTCTCGATTATCGATAAGCCGACCACCGTGAAAGAGTCCGTCCTGCTGAGATGCCCTGGTAGCACCGTCAAACGGTCAAGGGAGGACGGGGAACGCGCCCCAGTCTTTGAGCAAAGGTTGTCGGTCCCTTGACCACATCAAGAGCCTGCGATCTCTCATTCTCGGACAAAGTCCCGAGAGCACATGCTTGTCACATTCACGATGAGCTCGATCCCGATGGCACCTCGTATCAGAAAAGAAGAAAGAGAACACAGACGAGTAGGTGCGAGGGTGGGACATGAGGGATCCGACAGCCAGTTGATCTCAGGAACCAGTCCCCAACTTGCAATCACCAGAGCATATGTGGTGGACGCTTGACCCGATCGTCTGCTCCATCTCGTTGGGCTGATCTCTCAAGACGTTCCCCTGGTCGATGATGTCGAGCCCGTTACCGACTCACACTCGGCCTGATCTCGAGGAAGCGACCTCCGTTCAAGTCAGCTCCTCTCGTCACCGTAAGGCAGTAGTCATCTCAGTTGTACCCTATTCTCTGTAGTCCCTGTCGCTGTCGGCCCTTTCCTCCTCCGCTCCCCTCTACCATCACGATCCGCGATCCGCAAATGCACGTCTGCCCAAGAGGGGACAAAGCAGCCAATGGCCGATCAATGACTCGACCAAGGAACCTCCCTCCAGGCTCGCGCAGACCATCGAAGGTAGTGGAGACTTGACATACACAGCCGAAGTGCCACTAAGATGCTGCTAGAAGCAGGTACCTGATACAGAGCGTTCTGACGACCTCCCGAAAGAGAGTGTGCTACAATTAGCCTGTGCCGCCCGCCAAGTCCGTGCGGATCTTCTGGAGAAACAAAGTGGGCTCTGTTTCTCTATAAGGCGACGGCGCTCTTCACCATGACAGCGGACAGCTAACATCCGATGCAACATTGGTCGATTGCAACCTGCAAACGAACAAACTAGATCTACAGAGCAGAAAGCCGCTGGAGAATCTTTCATTCCAGTGGCCACCAAAGCGGCTCCGTACTATATACTTGAGAGCATCTTTCGCCATTCGGTCCAAGAATCGTCCACACTCTCAACAGCGGCACATCATTTTGCGTGTACACCCAGGCTGGTCACAGTACTTCCAAGCCGGATGCCCCCCTCCCCCCACGAGGCACGCCCCCATCCCAACTCTATACAATCTGATCCACAGCCCTCTTTCCACTCGGTCGGCCCTCCCATTTGATCTTCCTCATCGGTCAAATTCGAGATCCTGACTCCTCAACTCCTTGCGCTTTCCTCCTCACTCACTCACACACATACTCTCTCTCTGTCTCTTCTGTTGTTCTTTCTGTGCAATCATAGATCTATATACCGCACTGATTTCTGTCCCCCTACCCCACCCCCCGCCTCTTGATTTGTGACTGCGGCGCATCGCATCATCATCATCGTTCCTCGATCACACCGCCTCTTCCAGATGGCCCGATACGCCCAATATGACTTCTATCAACAATCCCCGGCGACACTAGATCTACCGCCATCTGAAGATGAAGAGATGAGTGTCCTGGATGATAAAATTCTGGATTCAACCTCTCCCCATCTGTCCGATCCCCACCGACCCTCCTACGATGCAGATGCAGCCGCTTTCTCACATCGCAACTCCATCTGGTCCAGCTACTCACATGCAAGTTCCGACCAGTCGCATTCCCATCCACGCTCCTCCAGTCTTCCGCAGGCCATGCTCGACTCAACGGGAGCACCATTCATGCCGGTCGACGGTCCTCAGCCGTACATGCCGCCGCAGGCCACATGGGCGCTGTCCCGCGACGGCTCCGGGTCCTGCACGCCTACGGCCTACGAGCAGTACTCGACAGAATCAGAGCAACCGGTGACTTCTGGTCCAACCTTTTCAACGGGGGCTGTTGGGTCCGTGGGTGTCATGCCAATGGGATCAGTCTCATATCGAGGTGCTGGCGGCGTCGTGAACTTTGCGGCACCACCAGGCACAGGGGGGTAGCCATGTCCCCGCAATCCAGTCAGGGCTGGATGCCAGCTCCCATCGATTTGGATGCAGCTGTCATGGCAAAGAGCAATGCCTATCGGACGGACCCGACGATGGCGTTGAGGCGAGATGGGATTCGCAAGAAGAATGCACGTTTTGAGATCCCGGCTGAGCGAACTCTGAGCAACATCGACCACTTGATCAGCCAATCGACCAACGAGGAGGAAGTGAAGGAGTTGAAGCAGCAAAAGAGGTTACTGAGGAATCGCCAAGCAGCGTAAGTCATCTTTGCGGAGAGAAGGGAGAGCAACCCGTCTGGGTTCGACCGGAAGAGTGGGCTAGAGCCGCCGGTACTGACTAATTTTGGCCATGTTAGTCTAGATTCACGCCAGCGGAAAAAGTTGCATACTGAGAAGCTGGAAGAGGAGAAGAAGCACTACACGCAAGCCATCAATCAGCTTGAAGAGATTGTCTCGAGCTTACAGAAGCGTGAGGCCGATTTACTCCGTGAAAAGAACGAGTGGATGGCTCAGCAACAGCAAATCGCCGCCTATCTCGAGAGGGTCGAGATGGAGAAAAACGAACTGATCCGCACACATACCGTTGAGACTACAGACCTGAGAAAGAGGAACAACTGTCTTCGTGAGATGGTTGAGAAGCTGGAGCGTGGTGGGAAGGGTACCATGGCTGACCAGGCCCAGCTTCACATGCAGGCCACTGACTTCACTGGCTTTGATCACTTTCCGATGGACAGTGGCCACTGGGGTGACTTTCACATGTCGAATGGCTTCACAATGCAAGATACTGTCGCTGCTTCTTCTCACGGTCATGGGCAGAATGACGGCCGTGTCGACGATCCCCACTCTCAATTACAGACCCACAACCAGTCCGAGCGCTCAACCGACAAGCCTGCTGCGGCCGACTACCCGTTCAGCTGGAATGCCTTCTACATGTGTCTCTTATTTGGTGCATTTATCGCGTCCAATGCTAATAGTAACCTCGGCGGACATTCTCTCCCTCAACTCTCGGAGGAATATCGTGCCGAGTCGGCCAATGTCCTCAAAGCCGTTCTGGCCTCCAATCCATCGGATCTCGGCCAAGGCTCTATTGTCACGGCCTCTGGTTCTGCACCTCGGGCTTCCATGACCGTGGACATGGGCCAAATGGGCTCTGGGACCTCGCATCACGCGAGACCCTCGACCCTAGAGGATCTTCATGCCTCTCTCGTCCTTCCCACTGCAGAGCAGGAGCGTGCACAGGTTTTTGCTCTCAATCCCGATCAGTACAATACCATGACCACCTTTCAAGATGACGGAACGTCTTATAAAGCGCAGCCGTCGATTTTGCAATCCAGGCTGGCAGCAATGCAGCAAACTGCGACGCAGCATCGTATGCACGCCGGTGAGGACGTATATTCCCGCAGCTTGATGTGGGACCGGGTCCCCCAGAAGGTCATTCAAGACTTTCGTCGGATGGTGCAGGAGTTTGGCGGGTCCCCAGTCAAGGATGAGATGATGGCCTTTTAGGGCACAAGGAGTGACTTGGGGTCCGAGATTCGAGTGTCGAAGGCCTCGCCCGTCAATCTCATGGCCCTCCACGGTCCCAACAGGGCGACGTGTGTGTTACCTCCGACGTGCTCTGCGCGCAGATACCAAGTCAGGCTTGCTGCAGCGAACTACGCGAACGACAGAATCTTGTGGATTCCAGACCACCTTGGGAATTTGCCAAAAAAAAAGTGGTACTGCTGGAAGCTTCTTCTTGTCTTTTCCTTTGTACTATTTTTCTTTTCTTCTGTCTTTCACCTCCACTCTTGATCGTTGTCGGTTGGAATGCGTCACACGAAATTCTTACCCAACTTTGCGTCATTTTGACATCTTTCTCTTTTCTTTTTCTTCTTGCGATGTGGTCGAGTCTATCGCAATTCTTCTGATTACCTTGTGTCTTCTAGCGACGAATATTTTAGCGTGATTGGGATCGGCTATTGATCTATGGTGCTATTGATTCTTTTTTTTTTTGGTTGTTGACAAGAGCTTATGAAATGTGGATGATATGTGTGATGACTTGAGGGTGAAATTTCTCATGAACGCAGGAATGAATCAGGGTTTGATGACAATGACTGAGGAGGACGTTGAGTCTACGGCCGTGTATGACGAATGGTCTAAGCTGCCCGTCTCTGTTCGAGTGTGAACATGATCATGACTGATGAATGACGAGAACCAGAATTGCCGGTTTCTGTTTCCTGTGGAGGCAATACAGATGTTTCTCGTTTTTTTTTTTTTTTTTTTTTCGCTTCTTTTTTCGGCGGTCTGACTTGCTCCCTCCTTTTCACCGTGCTCCTGCCAGCTTGCGGATATCGTTGAGGCCAATGTGGATTTGGATGCAACCCGCGCGGATGAGCTCGAGCTCGAATACGTGTCTCCAGTCTTTCTGGTACAGAGTCTAGGTTCTCCTCTTGGGCATTCTCGGTTAAATCCGTTGGCTTCGCTCTTGCACGCAGAGAGGGAGAACGTCGTGTCGAGAATCTCCGAGCGTGTGTCTCGGTGTGTACAGCCCGGAGGACCGTGTTTACTTGTTTATCTCGTTCATCTCCCTGGGTTGCTGACTGTTTTATTTTGTGTTTTATTTTTCTCATGTTACCTAAACCACCCCCATGATGTGGACCTGGCGGCAACGTCCTGCAACGAAGATGATGACGATGTGATACGATTGACTATTGAATGAAGACATCTCCCGGAGTCTCTCGATGAGACCGACCTTGTACAGCATTTACAAAGTACAAAGTGCACAATACCTTACAGGCATGCAGCATCATGATGATGACCGACGATCCACCAGCTCCCACTGACTCACACTCTAGATGCTCGAGTCCGTAGTATGTTCTCACTTCCAACTTGCCGGTCAATGTTGCCCATCGCGTCCCGTGCCTGACTCGCTGTGCAGTGTGTGAGTGGACACGATCCAGCATTGTAAACGTCTACCGTCTTCCACCGGCTCGCACGGGTCAACCGTGTCCGGGATGAAGAGATGACGACTATTTCTCTTCGTCGATCTCGGCCAAAAAGAAACCTAGCTCGGACGCCGGACTACCTAATCTGGCCACATTTTTTGGTGTAGGTCGAGTATCAGCGTGATGGAAAACTTAGTATGTAAAGTGGATTGAAGAATCCACACACCTCCATGTTCTCGAGCATCTCGCATTCTCCGAGGACGAAGGTCCTTGCGATGGGGGACATCCATTGATCCGTGAGTCCACATATTCACCACATCAACTCCAATACCGAACTACCGCGTCAAGGTTCCTATCAAGGTCCCCAGTCTTTTTTTCTGGTTACGTCCACCATGCCACCATAAGAGCCTGCCATTTCTGGTCTAGTTGGTCGCCTTGGGATTCTGCCTGCTTACTTGTCGGGTAATGGATTCTTTCGGGTGCTTTGAAGTGAACGAGCTGGGAGGACCTTGGGGGTGAAAGTCCATTTTGGGTGGACTCTCAGGAGGATGTGGTTCCCGTGTTTTAGCCGCTCGGAAGAGTGACGGAGTATGGAACATCGATTCGAGAAGAAGAGTTGCCCACCGACGCCCGAGCTTCTTTCCTCTTCCAAGGCGAGAGGAAGGAAGGCAAGCCCCTAAACGAAAGATGCATTACTACATGTCGCTCATCGTCAACTCAACCATCGTTCTGGGGATACTCTACCTGTTCGTGTCCAAGGCTCGCCCGGATCCCACTCTGCGCGTGGCACAGGCACAGGGTTCAACAGGTCCCCTGTTTCTCTCTGCTTGCATGGCATGTGATTCTGCCACTCACCACAGTCCATAGCTTAGGTAGAATCTCTCCCCCACAGCAATCTCACTCCTCATCCCTCTCACACATCGATACTGCTGCCCCTACCGTAGCCGTATCTCATCACTCTCGCATATCAATCCGGAAATACAAAGTTGTTTATTAGATACTATCTTTCCTGCTTCTCCTGGTCCCCCACATAAAGGGGACCTGCTGTTTCCCTGTGTGCCAGAAGCCAGGGTGGCGCACAAAGAGGGTCCAGAACGGTGTTCGCTTCGAAGCGAACACTCCCCAAGGTCCTCATGGCGAGCAGGCAGACTCGTTCTGGGACGGTTCCTTTGCGAAGAGCCGTGAGTCACTTGGAACGAGGGGAGGAACGAGAGTTATTTTGATATTTCTGGTTTTTTTTTTTCGATTCATTTTTTTCTAGGTATTAATGTTTCTTTTCAAAGCTGTGCAAAATTTCTGGGTTGAGGGGTTTAAATATCGTGGTCTGCGCCGGTCTGCATTATAAGAGTGGAAAGTGACCTTCTCATAGATCTATCAGATCCATTTCGTCTGTTTTGATTGAGCTGGTGAGTGGGTGCAGAGGTTTTTGTCGTTGCTAGGATACACCTGCCTAGAGCCTCGCCTCAGTCCTTTGCTTGCTGTCAATATAACTGGCGATCAACACGAGAGGTCGGCCATCTTTCTATCAGAAATCCTGTTTTATCTCTGTTCACTCAGCCCTACCACAGCCAGAGCCGATCGCCATGGCCACTTTTGATCCTCACAATGTCAATCTCGACACGGTGGATCAATCCCAAATCATCTGCTACCTCGCTCTCGGTCACAACGAGTACAACGGCTCCCTGGGTGCCCGCGTCTCATCCATCTTCGTCATTGGCATCGTCTCCTCCGTCTTCACTTTCTTCCCCGTTGTTGCCAAACGGGCGCCGCGAGTACGCATCCCTCTTTACGTCTACCTTTTTGCCAGATACTTCGGTGCAGGTGTCATCATTGCCACGGCCTTTGTGCACCTGCTGGATCCCGCGTACAGCAGGATCGGATCCCAGTCTTGTGTCGGCATGACCGGCCACTGGGGCGACTATGCCTGGTGTCCGGCGATTGTCCTCTTCTCCCTGATGATGGTCTTCCTGCTTGACTTTGGCGCCGAGCGCTACGTCGAGAAAAAGTACGGTATTTGTCGCGAGGACCCCGAACCCATCATGACAACAGGCACCCATGTGCACCAAGTCGAAGCGCAGAACCCAGATCGCCCTCCTCCCCATCCCAACCCCCATCCTCATCCGCACTTCGAATCACCGAGCGCACCTTCGTCGCTCGAGACCAAGGAGAAAAAAGCCAACGACATCGAGACCCTATCCTGCGACGACAGCATCATGGTCCGCTCCTTCCGCCAGCAGATCTCCGCTTTCTTGATCATGGAATTCGGCGTCATCTTCCACTCCGTCATCATCGGCCTGAATCTCGGCGTGACAGGTAACGAGTTTGCAACGCTCTACCCCGTGCTTGTCTTTCACCAGTCCTTCGAGGGTCTGGGGATCGGCGCCCGAATGAGCGCTATCCCCTTCCCCAGGGATAGTCCACTCCCGTGGCTGCTATGTGCGGCCTACGGCTTGACCACGCCGATTGCGATTGCGGTTGGGCTGGGTGTGCGGACGACGTATAATCCGGACTCGTTCACGGCGATGGTGGTGGCGGGTGTGTTGGATGCCGTGTCGGCGGGGATTCTGATCTATACGGGGTTGGTGGAGTTGTTGGCGAGGGATTTCTTGTTTGATCCGCATCGGACGACGGATGATAGGCGGTTGACCTTTATGGTTGTTTCGCTGTTGTTGGGCGCGGGGATTATGGCTTTGTTGGGCAAGTGGGCGTAGTCTAAGCTTGGGAACGCTTTGCTTTGTACGTTCTGTTGGATTCGGGTTTGAGATCTTCAGACTCCGTTCTTGATATTTGGACTGGAAGAATGATCTGATTTGGTATGGGAAAAGTTTGGATGTATGGGGTAGACTTGACTTTGATTTGTGATTGATTGATTGTGGTTTGTACTGATCAATTCTGTGTCTTTTGAGATTTTGCGACAAAATACCTATTCTTCTTCTTCTTCTTCTTCTTTTTCTTCTTCTTCTTCTTCTTCTTCTTCTTCTTCTTCTTCTTCTTCTTCTTCTTCTTCTTCTTCTTCTTCTTCTTCTTCTTCTTCTTCTTCTTCTTCTTCTTCTTCTTCTTCTTCTTCTTCTTCTTCTTCTTCTTCTTCTTCTTCTTCTTCTTCTTCTTCTTCTTCTTCTTCTTCTTCTTCTTCTTCTTCTTCTTCTTCTAGGACCAGCTAGATTCTTTTCCATTTCTGCTGCAGACGTATAGGCGAGGGAATCCCTCCTCATTCGTCCTCCATTCGGAAATCTTGACCCAGTTCTAATACGCGCGAGTGATAAACCTGATTCCTTCGGAGAGACAGTCATCAAACTCCAGTCAAGCTCTTGGAACAAAGTACACCAGACTAAAAAGTAATCTGTACTGGCAAAGTCACCCTTCATTCTTCATCGATTGATTGAGAGACGAGAGTTGGTTTCCATCGAATCACTGGGTCCCTTGACTCCCTCCCGACGGTAAGTAGCTTCGCGGTATCCTTCCTAGCATGACTGCTTAGGTTAGAGCTCCGGTACAAGACTATGCACAACCCATATACTCTATTAATACACCGATTCACGAAAAATACCTTGCGCTCATTCAATTTGTCAAATCGTATGGCGAAAAGTGTACGTGCTGAGGAGAGTGTGCTCTGTACTTTCAGCTGTCTTGGCTCACAAAGACTGGACTCTGGTCCTGAGATCCTGCATGGCCTCGCCTACATCTCACACTTGTATCTATTCATTTAGGGCTGCAATCGTACATCCCAACTTGATCCTCACATTGACCCTGATGATGACCGCCTCCATGTCATATGGTAGTTGTCTCAATTGTCATCCAGAATATACAACAGCTCCCCAAGGTTGTCTGCACTCGAGTCCCACGATCTAAGTCTTCCTCTGCTTCGAGTAAGGAGGAGGTGCCCCGTCCGCAAACCGAGCATCTGCAGCTGCACCAACATCTGCACCATCGGCCCTCCTCTTCATCCTTCGTCTTTACCGTCTCGCCCCCAAGAACCCCATGAGTCCAAGCAGTAGCACACCTACCGGCACACCGACGCCAATCCCAATCTTGGTAGCCTTGCTCATCGAGTGATCTCGAGGTAATTTGAGCGAATCCGGCACAATCGGGACTATTGTCGACTCTGACGCCGTGGATGGGATCTGAATGGCGTCCACGGTGATGGCTCGCACGGTGGTGACTGCTGAGAGGGTCGGATCCGAATATGTGATCGTCGTGGGAACGTTGTATGTTTTTCCGCAATAGTTCTGCCCGTTGCAATCGAAGCCTCTGATGCCAGGTAGTCAGGTCGTTGTTCGACTTGCATATCCGTCTGAGGCAGTTCGAACTGCGAGGGAATGATTTCAGGTGGAGAGGTCTTGGACGAGTACTCACTCTGGACAACAAATCCCTGTCATTTCTTCCCGCTGTGTGGCCGTCGGCAGTGTACACGTCTTCTAGTTGTAGGGACATCGGCCGGGGCTAAAGTATACATCGGATTTCCAGCCATCTGGACAGCATTCGTTGCCGTAGGATCCTTGGCATGCCTGCATCAGCGCAGGGTATCCAAGCCATTTTCCGGGATTAGGCGTTGAGCACGACGAAGGCGCCGTGAAGGTTGTGGTCAGGGACCCGCCGTTTCTGGCGGTGGTGTCGATGTGATTGACGTAGGAGGTATCGTAGTATTGTCCGGAGACTACGAGGATGGTGAGCCCCAAGAGGGCACTTAGGTGTTGGAGCATGGCTTGTTCGAGGTTGTCACTGAGGTGGTTCTGACGAATGCTCTTTATGTGTTGGGTTGTCGTATACCCACGAGCATGAGACTGTGCTCGATACAATCCCCGTATGGCATAGACTTTGCTGTGGAACGGTTGTCAATATTATCTCCAAATAGATGTCCCAACGCAAGTCGACCTCACTCTCAACCCGCACTTATATACTCCAGACTCTTTCTCTGCTTTGTCCGTTGCATCACCGTCAATCCAGTCAACCCGACCTACCAGGCATAGTAGGTAGCAGGTAGTAGGTAGTAGGTACTGGTAGCACCTTACATATTGACCTGCCGATCTATGCCCCGACCTCATGGCGCCAAGAATCCGCCTTGCCCTAACCTTCGCATCGCGGTGTTTGATTTCCACTCTTCGTTTCACACCAACTGCTATCAACAGTCCCAACTACCATCAACATGAGGCAGAGCCCATCAGCCTCACTGGATCGGAGTCGATGCTCGGGCAACATTGAGAACCCGTCGCCTAAGTTTGCCCGGCGCTGATATGCACCCGTCCCTGCTGAAGATGTGCCTGGGGGCGACAGTAACCTTAATAGGCTTTATCTCACGAATTTGTGGCTTGTTGCGCTAAGCACGGGGCGATTGTGGATGGATCGGTAAGAGGTGGATGCGCGGGTGTATATACGCCATGTTCTTTGCCCACGGTTTAGGGTGACTCGGGTGTGTGGGTATGAGTGTTCATGAAAGAGATTGGTGATTGAAAGCTACGTGTGCTAAGGTTGTGAGTAAAGTTGGTAAGGTAGCTGGAAGGAGGATGTACTATGCACATGACGAGCGGTTTATCCCACATGACGAGCGGTTTATCCAGACGAAGACGGGGCTGAGATGGAGACGCGTGAATAAGCCGGTGAACTTATATACTTTATACTTCGTAGTTTGCAGTCTCGCACTCTGTTAGTACTCTGTACTACAGGGTGTCAGAGTCTGTAGTAGTGTTTTCTGTGGCCGTGTCTCCGGCGCCTTGTTTAGTGCAAACTGGAAGTCATGACCAGAGGTGGATTAGTACACAATTTCGCTATTAGTACGATCCATAGATGACTTGAACAACTAGATTATATGGCTCGATCATCCTTCTCAGGTGAATTCTCTGAACACTGATCTCCCAATTTCGGACACTGGCGGAGTCACGAAGCGGGTGATCTTTGGAGTTTGATGCTTCATCAGAGCCACGAGTTTATATAGCAGTCGGCCGCTACACGGCAAAAGAGACAAATTGATGCAAAAGCAGGTGCTCATGCCACGATAGTCATCAAGCGATTCAGATCTCTTAAAAATTCATACACCGCTCTCGGGCCCCATGCGAATGTCGCCATGAAATCGTCCGTGCGGAGCTACCTCATGAGCTCCCTCATTACTTGGGGTTATACTTATCCTTCCAGATCCTGAAAGAATGACATGTTAGCATGTCGACTCTGGGCGACCATGGTATTCTACCGCTGCAACTTACCAGGAATTTCCAACGGTAGGATTACCATTCTCTTCGGCGAGTCGATAGTACTTTGCCGCCTTGAACTACACCACCAAAGAAACGTATCAGTATGGTTTTCGCAAACCGGCCAATGATCATCGATCATAAATCATTGGATACGCCGACTGGCATCCACTCACTTTATCCTTCTTCCCACCAAACCCCTCGAGGTAGCACCAAGCTGCATGGTCCATGGCATCGGTGTCTCCCAGATTAGCCGCCGTCTCATAGTATTGTCTGGCAGCAGCGGGATCTCTCTTTACACCCCAGCCCATGCGGAAGCAATTCGCCAGCTCAAAGATAGCGAGAACCAGCTCGCCCTTGGCTTCTCCACCTTTCTTCATGCCTGCACGAAGTGCCTCTGACTCAACAGCTGCCGAGTTGGTCGCCGCCGCCGAAAGATACTCGACGGCGCGGGTTTCATCCTTTGTGCACCCCCAGCCATGTCTGATGCCGATTTAGTCGCATATTCTGACCGATACATATTTATGGGACAACACCTACCGCAGTGCTAGACCGTACAAGACTTGGCTGAGTGCGTTGTTGTGTCCATTGGGATCAGCCAATTGACCAAACATTGCCGTAGATCGCTCCAGGTCTAGACAATGGACGTCAGACAAAGCTTAGAATTGCAAGAAAGTGTCCTGTAGATATAAGAGCGCGATGGTCTCTTCACTTACCTCCCTCCTCGTGTAACCTAATCGCTTCCTGAATGTTGACCTGTGCGCTGTCAGCAATATTGCCGATATGTGGAGCAACCTTGTCTGCCCGTCAGGTCCCTTGTTCCAACGTACATCATCTTGATGGTCGCCAACCCGACTTTGACTAGAACTTCTGGATCTGGAGGACCCCGCGTCCGGAACAACCAAGTCCCCCTGCGAATACACGGGAGATGCATGTATCTGTCCGAAATGGGGATTGTTCTGCACCAGTACCGTCGCCCGCTTCTCCCACTGAGCCTCACGCTCTTGCTTATCTACCGCCTGATCATCCTTAATCTGGGGTAGCCCTTCTGGGATGTTCGTCGATGACTCTTGGGAGACTCTGCGACTGTTTCGGTGCAGCAGATTGGACAGGCGACGCTCGCGGGAACGGGGGGAGACGGCGTCGAAAGCGATTGCGATGAATTGGACTTGGGTGAGAAAAAGCTGCGGCGGCTCGTGGTCGGACTCTCAAGGGGGGACTCTGTCGTCAACGCCCCGGTGGACGCATGTTTCTCTCGACTAGGCGGAATAATCTCCTCCTGACCGAATGTATCGGTGTGCAAGAAGGTGATCTCCGGGGGCGGCGGTGGTGGCGGAGATGAGCGACCACTCTGTGACTTGCCGCTACCGGCTGCAGATTGTAAAGACTTTTCAGTCAGAGTGTTACGTCTGTGTAGAACGTTTCGCAAGGACGGCATCGCGGGAGATTGTTCTTCAACAATGCTTCTCGAGTCGAGACAATTTTGGGAACCTCCCAGCTCAAAGCTACGCTATGCGATGCGGGCGCAATGCGGAGGCCGATGAGATGCAGCCAAAAGTGGAGCACGGTCTTAAGGGGGAGTTGATCGTGTGAATGGATTGTCAGTCTCTGCTGTGTCTTCCATACCCAAAGGTAAAGCAGAAGGACACAGTGTCATACCAGCTCGAGAATCAAACAGAAGAGACTCAGAAGGCAGCCGACCGATGAGATGAGCTTGAGAGAAAGAAAGTAAATCGATGGTGGCTGTGTTGAAGGTCTGTTTGGCTAGGCACTTTAGATCCGAGGGGACTACTGTAATTGCGATTGGGTCGTTGTTTCAGCGCTTAGCCGAAACACGACTCACCTTCAGAGGGGGGAACGAGGACATGTCCCTCGTCCCTCTTGGAGGTGAGTGATTCGTGTCAAAAGCGTATGGACGAAGCAATTAGGTAACAGAGATGGGTGATTTGATGATGTAGAAACTCTCTTAGATGATGGACCGCAAGGCTGGGTTCGGGGATGTATTTCCGGCACGTGGCAGCTGGTGTGGTGATACTGAACACCTCTAGTGATTGGGGCCATACGTCGGACTGGTGTACAAGCGGTAAGCCCTGTTCAATTTAAACATACAGTAGGTCAGGTCATCGTTGACAATGTTACAATCTACTGATCTACAGGTGGAACCGAAGTCTATTCTCCTCAATGACCAGATTGATCGAATTTAAGACACAATTCCATAAGGCAGCACAGAAGGCGTCAGGCTCACTGTTACATAATTCGATAGATAGTAAAAGGCCTTTCCAAGGCTGATCCGCCTGCGATAGACTACGACTAAGTAACTAACGGTCCAAAGTGCACTTTTGCTCGAGCACCGACACAGGAGCCAGACAATAAAAGAAATGGTATTGCAACTCTAACTTGGCCGATGCAAGATGCCCCTTAAGTTTTGTACACAATGGCGATCGCAGACGAAGCCAGCGAAAGAGACTTCATTTAGGCCTTAGCAGCCATGATACCTATTCAAAACATTAGCGGAAAGCTCTGTTTTCGGCGATGTCTCATTCAACATTAAATTTCCATGGTACTTACGCTCGACATCAGCGACGCTTTGCTGGAGGATCTGCTGCAGAACCTTGGGGTTCTCGAGCTCCTTCTGGATCTTGCCGATGATGGTCTCGGCAAGCTCACGCTGCTGGCGCTGCTTGACCTGGCCCTCGTAGCGGACCCAGGAGTCAAGGACGGTCTTGGCCTCGGCAGCAAGGGCGGTGCGCTGCTCAAGCTCGTAGGCCTGGGCCTCAAGCTGGGCGGTCTCCTACAAATTCCAACGCATGTTGTCAGACAACATCCATACCTCTCCATTTGCAGGGACGTTCCGACAGTATCAATCCGATACATACCTTGGAGACAGCGAAGAGCTGTTTGGTGACCTCAACAACACCAGACATCTCCTTGACGTTGTCAATGCGCTGCTGGACAGCGTTGGTGTGATCGGCACGGGCAGCGTTCAGGATGTCCTTGTGCTTCTGAACCTGGCCGCGAGCCCACTCGCCGTAGGCGGGACCACCGTACTTGGCAACGGCAGTGAAGACGGAGAGCAGACAGAAGGCGGCAACGGTCTCCTCGTTCATCACGTAGAGCTCGTTGCTGATAGCGGCAATGGACAGACCGGCGGCGGCGGACAGGGTGGCGGTCTTGGAGACCAGGGAGTTGCCGGGAACAGCATCGAGGATCGACTGAGCCTTCTTAGCAGGCTCCTCGGAGGGCACAGAAGAGGCCGCGCGGGTCGCAGTGAGAGCACTGATGGCAGGGACACGGGCGGTAACGGAGGGCCGCAGCCGGGCGGCGCCTGGACGGGGGATTCGAGTCAGCTATCTGCATGCGATCCTCAGAGACAGACGTCCTGATTCAAGTACATACCAATGGCGCTCTTAGCAAGACGCGAGACCATTGTGACGGTTGGAAATGCCTTTGGATATGGTGGGTGGTTCGGAGAGGAGACTTGAGGTCGGGACGGCTAGGACGGGCTTGCACACGCTAGCTGTTTCGGGCAATGGCACTGTACAACGGAAAAACTCGGGCGCCGAGCCTTCGAAAATCAGTATGTCCGCTCCGCTTCAAGGAAAAAAAAGTTGAATGGGCCGATCACGTTTTGATTCACATTCAGTACGGCAATCAATCACAATGCCCTCAATAACAAATTCAAGCTCAAAGAAGCGCAAAGTCGTAAAGAGCACCGGTGCTCCTTCTTCGAAACGCCGCGCTGTGGCTGAAGAAGATGTCTTTTCGGAGACATTGTCAAAGGTTCAGCAACTGGAGGAGCAAATTGCGGAGTCTCGGAAATATTACAACAATATCGCAACACTCCTTTCCATGTTGAACGTGGACAATTCCGCGAAGAAACCTGAGCTGGCAGTCGCCGTATCATTATGCCGTGTGTTCAGTCGATTGATGGCAGCTGGCAACCTCTCTGAAAGCAGTCGCGATGCCGAAAATGAGAAGCTCGTGGTGGCCTGGTTAAAGGAACGATGCTCGGAATATCAGAACGCGCTGCTGTCTATCATCCGCGAGGCTGATTCCACCTCTCAGGCAAGTATTTCGATCAGTTCTGAGGCAGGATTCCCTTGCAGCTGAGCTAACACCGGGTCACCAACTATAGGTCACCGCTCTTACACTCAGTATGCGACTTGTGAAAGAAACAGTGAGCCACATTGAGGGAGCCAACAGCAGCGTTTGGTCAGGTCTCTTCAGGAATATTATCGAGGCCCTTGTGGAGGCACGAGATGGCGAGGAAGTTCGCGGTGAATTCCTCACCAAGTTTGTGAAGGAGTACGAAGACATTAGATTCCATACTTTTGCGCAAATAGCGTAAGTTTGCTCTTGTCTATTTTGTCAAGCTTCGCACCGAACTAACATTGGACAGGGAATACGCCGGCACGCGCCGGAAAGCCGATATCATGGAAATTCTCATCTCTCTTCTCTCAGCATGCGATGAAGCCCCGGGCTCCGACCATCAAATCGATGTCGAATCTTTCTTCGCAGTTGCCGATCCAAACAACAAGCGACTCCGCACAGTACACGGCCACAAGCGGCGAGCACAGGACGCGTGGCTTGCTATTCTGCGCAACAACCTTTCCCAGGCCCAGCGAAAAGCGCTGCTGCGTATCATGGTGCACACCATCGAGCCCTGGTTCACACGTCCTGAGCTTCTTATGGACTTCTTAACCGATTCTTATAACGAAGGCGGTGCCACTTCGCTTCTCGCTCTATCCGGTCTCTTCTACTTAATTCAAGAGAAGAATTTGGATTATCCGCAATTCTACGCGAAGCTTTACTCCCTCCTTGACGCAGACCTCTTGCACTCCAAGCATCGATCACGATTCTTCCGCCTCCTGAACACCTTCCTCGCCTCCACCCATCTTCCGGCTACTCTGGTAGCAAGTTTCATCAAGCGACTCTCGCGTCTCGCACTCAATGCGCCGCCCTCGGCCATCGTTGTCATCGTGCCATTTATGTACAATCTTTTCAAGAGCCACCCCACCTGTACTTTCATGATGCACCGCGAAATTCGTGATAAAGATTTTGCGGCGGATATTGAGAAGGAGGGCTACGAAGATCCATTTGATCCTCTTGAGGCCGACCCGACTCGGACCAACGCAATCGAAAGCAGCATCTGGGAGATCGAGTCACTCCAGTCCCACTACCACCCGAACGTTGCTGCGATCGCCAAGATTATTTCGGAGCAATTCACGAAACAAGCCTACAATTTGGAGGACTTCCTCGATCATACCTACCAAGGTATGGTTCAAGGTGAACTGGGCACTGGCGAAAAGCCGCTACGGAAGACCCCCGTGGTGGAGTACCAAATTCCCAAACGCATCTTCACAGACAGATTGCTGCAAGAGGATGGAGGTCTGGATTCAGGTGCCGGCTGCTTCATGCGTGGACTTTGGGATTTCTCTTAAGGGTCGCTGGCTCCCAGTGATGTGAGAATGTCTGAGCGCCTCTCAGTCATGATTTGTTCTTGTATACATACCCGTTTGAAAAGTTTCCCCCGCTACAGATAGACCCACTCCCGATGCACTTACAACTTGAATCGAAGTCCCACTTTCAGATGCCAGTGTCGCGTAAGAGCACATTTTCTTATTCCCAAAGTGCTGTCTTGACCTTGCTGCCACTTGAATGGAGAGTGAAATGCTCTCGTCTTATAAAGTTGGCAACGGAATTCGAATTGTGATCCAGACCGCTTCCTGTGGTGAGTAAACAGTAACTTTCCGGCATGGAGGTAGGTCTGGCCCGATAGGGATAAACCCAAACAAAGCCTCCCGGGTACAGTACTTGCTTTCCAGCGCAGTGTGCTCACTCCATCACAGAGTAGTACACAACGCTTCACCATCAATGCATTTCGAGAACGAGTTCTCCGGGCTTCGCTGGCAATATCACTAGGACAATAATCCGTTGTTCCATTGCATTTGGAAGGGCTCTAGATTGCAGCATAAATAAACCCCCGGATAGCAAACCAACACCGAAAGTCTTATTTTGATGTACTGTACTCCGATGTTGAGACACTCCAGCTTCTCGTGATGCCGCCCGGCAAAGCACTTCGATAACTCCGGCGTACGTCAGTCGGCTGGCTGGTACCTTGCCGATCGGTCGAACAAACGAGTATCAATCTCGTGTGACCCAGAAATGACTCGCATCTTTTCAGCCACTCAATCTCCACCCCTGGAACTACGCTCATGTCCACACAACGTCTTCTCGCAGATTGACCTTCAAATACCTCTTAAAGTCAACTTTGGTCAAAGGGTACTGGCAGCGGCTCCCAATCCTGCTTCGGAAACCTCTTGCCATGCCGGACTGCCGACTTCGAAGGGATGGCATTCTTCATCTCCATGGGGAACTTTGCGTTGACAAGACCCACAGAAAATGCAACGGAAGTCCAGACGAGACAAATACGATTGAAGTGCTCTGAAATTTACGTGTTCGAGGTTGCGGGCTCACACCCATAAGATGCATCTATTGCATCCAAGTTCGCTCTCCTTTGGACATGTCTGCAAAAAGTCTCTCGATGAACTATACCCGCTGGTGAGGCCACACAACTCACCTAATAATGTTGTCCAAACTGCTGAATGGCACCATTAGCCGGGAAAATTTAGCATGTATGGAAGGGCAAAAGATGGGATGTGTCAACTGCTGCGGAATGCGACATTCCCAATCCTCAACACGCAAACGCATCACTATTTCAATTACACTCCATTTTACTCGGATTGATTTGTGGGGCTGTATGAGGTCTTCCATCCTGTTGTATTACTTTAAAGGATCGCTATGTGCCACCCTTCCAGGAGAACGGACTCGCATCCATCCTCCATTCAGTACTGAACTTCGTTGTCCTTCTAAAATTCACTAATCGGCAGCCTCAACATCATTTCAGTCTTCCGGTCCATTCTCATTGAACAACACTCATTGCAATGCGTTTCAATAGTATTCTCGCTGCTTCGGCTTCACTCATTGCCGTTGTTTATGCCAATGCGCCTCTTGCTTTCACCTCATGGCCTAGTGATGTTCAAGCCGGCAAGCCTGTAACACTCACATGGCAAGGCGGTGCTTCTGACCAGGTCAGTCTGTTAGAATGCGATTGGGCTTTAGACCCGCCGTGCTGACCTTGATCACTTTTGTCCAGCCCGTTACCTTGACCCTGCGCAAGGGATCTTCTACCAATCTGCACGACGTGGAGATCATTACAGCGAATGCCAGAGACGGCACTTTCACATGGACACCTGGCACCAATGTCAAGGATGGCGAAGACTATGCCTTCCAAATCACCCAGGGGGGCGAGCGGAACTACTCTGCACTCCTCAAAGCCGGACCTGCAGTCAATCCGGAGTCGGCTACCCAGTCTGCCACCCAAGCAAGCGCCGCTACTACTATGAGCACAGGCACTAGTGTTTCTAGCATGACCACTGGCATGAGTACTACGATGAATCGGGTCATTAGCTCGACCACTGCCTCTGGCGCGACTACTGCCACTGAGGCCCACTCAACAGAGACATCCACCGTTCCTGTCACTTCAGTGGTGGACGGTACCACCACAACTTTAGCTCCTGCCACCACCAGCAAGCAATTGATCGGCACCCAGACAGCCGGAACCCCTTCCAGCAGCATGTATCCTTCAATGACTGCATCCGAATCCATGACTTCGCAATCCGTCGAGTCAAGCTCTGCGCATCCTCGCCCTACGGAGACAGGCACTACTCACAGCAACAGCGCCTCTCCTCGGGAGACATGTTACAACTTGGTCATTGGCGTGGTGGCGATGCTTGCGGCGTACCTGGTCTAGTGAACGAGCTTTGCTGATGCCATTGATGGTGGTTCTCCATTTATCTTATGTTGTGAGGCAGTTCTTAAGTTTTTCCATCTGGGTGTTCTTTATCACAGGTGCAGCTACATGGGCGAAGCTGCATTCGATGTATATATGAAGCATCGTTGTCTTGATCTTGCGTTCAATGTGTGCTAGGGCAGGACTGGAGATTTTATTCTGTAGGTAGACCTTTCGTCAAATATGACATGAATCCAATAACACATGTTCAAGTTTTCCATCTCCTTTTCATTTAGAAATTTCTTGCAGAGATTCGTTGCATCAGTCAAGGCATCGTGCAGGTTTTCCGGATCGTCCACACTCCACAATATTGCGGTCTATCTACCACACGAGGTAGGACGGAACCGACTCGTGCGGCTCTGGAATTCAACTTCAGTAGCACCGGCGGGGCATGTATCTTCTCTAATCACATTTCGAAATTGACCTTGTCTTAGTTGACTGGCGAGGATATTAAGCTTCCCAGTTGTCTATAGGTAGATGAGTGCTGTAGGTAGTAGGGAGTTAGGAACTAGCTGCAGGGGAAAGTGATCTCATCCTACACAGTAGTGACAGTACACACGGTAAGTAGCTAGCAGCCGCATGCCGTAGGTGCCCCCCATTTGATAACGTGGTCCTACATCATAATCGAGTGTTGCCTCCCGGTGATTGATGAATATTAATTGGGTCTCATATCCATTATCATTGACTCTGGAGAGAGTTTGTACGTCTTGTCTAGGTGGTCGTGAACTATCACAACGACTGAGTGGTCAACACCGGCCCTCGGTAGGTTATCGTATCCGCCAGTACCAATATGTAACTAGTCGTTCGTGTGTTTCACGTACCTAACACGGTGGATCATACATATTGACTTGACAATGAGTCTAGAGATGATGTCAATTCAGGTTGTCGCAATCGCTCTCGCGGGGACTCACATTGAGTCGATATCTTTCACTGAACGAAACTGCGACCGGTCCAGCATAATTGATGTTTGCCTGTAGACAAGCCGGATCCCTGAAGTTGAATCGATTCGGCTTAGAGACTACATCTAAAGTTTATATTATAGAAAACATTCACGATGCCATTCCATTGACTAGGCATGATTTCGCATTGACGCACACTCAAAGCACACTTGACATCACCTCCATAATGGTCCTCAAGAAAGCTATAATTTCCCAATTTGGACAAGCGGCAGTCCCATCGATCCCATCAAATTTCCCGATGACGTTAGCGTCCGTCTAACTAGCGCAGCTGTGCCTGGCGGGAATTATTCAAATCGATAAGGGACCGGTTCTGCACTCGAAGGATACCACAACACACCTCCATCAACCACCCTCAATCACTTAACCTCAATTGTCTTGGCTACCAACCCGCACAGGCCTTTGTCCAAGACTCTGGAGCAGTCCTTCAATTACTGTATACACCAAGCAAGCTGCTGCACATTGACATCGCCAGAGCTCAAGAAAGTCCGAGAAAAGGTGATCGAGATTGTTGCCGACACAAGTCGATCGGACAACCTACGGCGCGCGCCCTGCCGAATTACTCGTCCTGGGATGTCGACCTGACTTCCCAAATCAGTCGCTGACTCGGCGATGGTCAAGCTCCGTCACAGGATCGCAACTCCACATCTGGCCCTGCTCAAATTTGAAACCAAAGGTATGGCACCTTTCTCTTTCCCTTCGCCTTCTGCGCACCCGGACACGCTCGGACGATCACCACCACCACCATATCCATCTCCATGGCGCGCAATAAATCCGCGAAGAAAGAGGTGCCTTCTTTGGCACGACGTTCCCTGCGGCATCTGGGGTCCTTGTGGAAGCTTGGAGATGCTTCGAAGATACGCTCCAGGTCGCTGACCAACTCTCCGACAGAAGACGCACCGCAAGTAAATCTGGCCCGCGTCGACACTCAGTTGAACATGCACCAGTTCAACAACCTTTTTGAGGAGGATGCAGGAGCAAATGGTTCGAAAGGTGAGTGTCGGCTTCTCTGACTTAGCCCTCACTATTCCGTCACGTCACTTGTAGCGTCACGTCACTTGTACCGTCACGTCACTCTCTAGTCCCTCTTATCTGACCGTGAATGATCACACGCCTAGATTCCAATAGCTTGTCCTCCCAACCCATCTTGGCGAGCCCTTACCTCGGCAACGAGCTTCCAGCCGAATGGTCTGCAGTGGGTCACGCCGCAGCGACAGGCAAGTCCGGCCGTGTCATCCATAGTCTGCAGGAGGAGGTCGCACGTCAGAAGCGGGAAGCAGCCCTCTGGCAGTCCCGAGCAGAGGAGTCCCAGCGTACCAATGAGACCCTCAAGTTCCAACTACAGAACACGACCGACAGGCTCAGCCACCTGGAGCAGGTCAATGAGACCAATGGCAAGCTCATCGAGCGGAAAGACCGCAAGATTGAGGACCTGCGAGCCGAACTGCATACAGAGCGCACCAAGCGGCTGGATGCTCAGGGCGTGGCCAACGAGACCAACGAGACAATGCGCGTGGAACGCGAAAACCACCATCGCGAAATGGCTCGGCTGCAAGAGGAGGCCAAGTATCACGAGAACCAGTACGAAGTACTGTTCCGTGCCATGAAGCAGGACAAGGCCGATCTGACCCGGCGAATGGACGCGCTGCATACCCAACTGGCGCAACTGAAAGAGACGCAAGTGTCTCAGAACGAGGCAGCAACCCGACTCCTGACAGTTGACGACCAGAGACAGCGACTTGTGTCTTCCCTCCAAGAGCGGCACGAGCAGATGATGGCCCTCCACCAAAGGTACAAGGAGATCAAGGAGCAAGAGTTCCAAGATGTGCTTGGCCAAGCTCGCGTGAATGGTGATCGGATCGACGCCTCGCTGAAAGACCTCAAGGAGACTGAGGACAAGATGAAGTGGGTTATTCGAATGAGTGAGGTTCAGCAAGGACAACGGGGCGACGATAACTCAGCGACTGGCCGCTCACTGGCAGGGACCCCATCGTCATAGAGCAACAACTGTTTGGCTTTCTACGACTCTATCATATGTGAGAACAAAAGGTTTCAAATTGCCTGACTCAGCCTTGCCTTTGAGTGTCTTCGTCGTGTCATTGTTCATCACCATCGAATCACGGACCCTGTCTGTAATGCGCCCGAGTCGATGATTAACGTTTTGGCCTTGCGTTAGCCTTTTTCTGTCCTTCAGCTTGTTCCTCCTACTCGACCGATCCTCTTCCGCATGACCGGAGCCTTCATCCTCCTCAGCGTTTCGGCACCGAAGATACCCATTGCCGTGTCTCATGTCTGGAGTTCATTTCTTCTGGATGTATTTCCCCTTGCTTGGTCCTTTCTTGCTCGTCAGACGGTGTCAATCCCCGCGTTTGCGTTGCCTTTTGTTGAAGTTGATGATGTGACGACCTTGCATAACCCATTCCGGAGTCCATTTCATCTCATCGTGCATGTCGACTGGCTTGACCAGGTCCCGGCCCATTCCGAGGAAAAATTTCCTCCTATCTTCTTTTCTGTTCATTTGTGACAATACCCTTTTCTTCTCATGTTCAAATATTACTTTCAGTCATCAGTATACTCACTGCTCGCGAGATTTTTTGCTCGTCTCGCAATGAACATCTTAAAAGTCATCTACTTCCATGGTAATCGTCGATGGGCCTTACAAAACGAGGGTCTCCCTCAAAAAAGGCTTATAGGCTACTGTGTGTGTGTGAGTCTCAAAGCCAAGCAAGACGTTTGGCGCCTTCATAGGGAAGATTCCGCGACGCTGGAAAATTCCGCTCATCTGTGTGAGAGTGGGATTGTCTTTGGAAATTCGTCAACTATCATAATGATTCACCAATTTTTCTATGCTGAGTCCTGGAAAAAAAATTTCAAGTCCTTTTGACACTGTTGTCAAATTATTTTTTACTTACTCGCAGCTTTTCCCATCTACAGCATAGCTCGCGGACCTCTCACAGTTGCGAGTCATGGCCGAGGAGCGTGAATTACGAGTTGTGTGCGTATGGGTGATAGAAGACATCGAAGTGAGTTATATCGCCCCGGTTAGAAATGGGAGCCATCTGACTTAGTCAACCATATTTCGCAGGTACAAGAGCTACGAGAACAGATTTGGTACATAATATTGATGCTGCCCCTGGGCGTCGGTCGACTGACTGAATTGTAGCGCTCTTTGTCCAGACGCACACCTGAACTATTCCGCCGATGAAGATGTGTGTACAACCCTACCTTGAAGATGGAACAGTGATGCTGATGAGAAATTTGTAGATCTTAAGCCTCAAGGGCCGTTTCGATTCTGACACCGAATCCGCCGTCGTAGACTGCATCAGGACGTTCTTAGGAACTGACAAGCCTCGGAGGTCGCATGTGAGCCTTTTGCTTGATTGAAGGTGAGGAACATAATAGGCTGATTTACTATTCCATGATAGGATGACGCGCACAAACGGGCAACTACCTTCATTGGCGCTGAAAGCTCTCAGAGCGAGCCAGAGATCGCTGGTCGTGACAATAAACGACACGTGCCGAAAGATCAGGATGTTCCGAATGACCAGTTCGCTGCACCGCCAGTGATCGACATGTCGACCCAGGTATCTCGAACATGGGCCCCTTCCAATGTACAAGCTTCGACGATTTACAACAAGCATCTGGATTTACTCAATGAGGTCGCAGCTGCAACAGGGACTACCATCAGCTTGGACAATAGCGACTCGTCTGAGTTAGCTATCAAGGTATCTGCCAGGGCACATCAGAGGGTGGAGGATGCGTTAAAGAGGCTTGGCAATCTCGAGAAAATCATAGTAAGTCCCCAGCTTCCAGACTTTCATCGGTGATCGTGTAGTTGACCTTTTCAAAGGTTCTGCTTCAGACCCCCCTACGTGCGCATACATGTTACTGTCAAAGCACGAATGGATTGCGCTTCGCGGTCGTAGAGCATGGCCAGTTCGACAAGGGCTCACTGCAACGGATCCTCTTAGATCCTGATAGCCCGGTCAAAGGACTCCTTGGCAATTTAACGGTTCCCGCGTCGTGCCGCATTGATCCCTCAACAAATGCATTCCATATATCGAAGCACCTGCGCGATTCTAGTGGCATTCCGCATCCATCTAAGACCGAGACGCCTCACACCATAAAGTGTTTGTCCAAGTTCAAATTCACCGGAATCGGAGATTCTAGCGAACAATTTAACCGGTCTGTTCTCACAGGCTCGACTCGCGAGGGCTCACATACCGTGGTAGACTCCCAGACCGAGAGCATAAAGGATGTGAAATCAGTCAAGGGCAGTCAAGCTGGTGTCACGTCGCGAACTAATTTCAGTGCACCACATTCCGGTAAGGTTTCGGGTCCAAAGGTTCGTCGCGCAGTCCCACCCAGCGGTGCGCTTTTGAAGACAGCGACACCCGTTGAGGACAACAGCAAGCTTGCAGAAAGCAAAGAATCAAAATCCTTGTCTAGGGTCATTGACGTGAATGACGATGAACAATCGGGCAAGCGGGAAGCAGCTTCTCCTGCGGATTCCCAGTCTACGAGTACGAAACGCGAAAAGCACAGTCATCTATTGCAGACCACAGAAATCGAGCAGCTTGACTGCGAAGATTATAGACATGAGACGAAGCCGAGTGTGTCGCAGAAGTTGTTGGATGATTCTTTAACTCACCGGACATCTCAACCATCTTGCGCTAGTGGCCTCCCACCCCGGATTTCTGCTTCCCACACGGATATCAGCCCTCTTCTAGGAAGTTCTGAAAGTCTTAATGGCTTGTGTGGCTCGAGCAAGGCCTCCAGAGTGACGAGTCTTCTTGCGGATCATATCAGCGACTCTCAACAAGTATCAGAGGCCTCGCACCAATCACGTCACTATTTGGTGTCGAATCAATTTCCAGCGCGGTCTTCGTCGAGGACGGAGGCCGTGGATATTGCTAGTAGCTTACATGGATCATTGGGTACGCTGCCGTTGCCAAGCGTGCACTCTTTGCTACCTTCGCTCACAGCAAGCACAATGTCTTACCAGCCTACCATGGAACCGTCCTTTCACCCTCAGAAAATCCCCCAAAGAATGGACGGTAATCCGCCGACTCGGGAAAGCACGTGTGGTGTCCCCACGCTGCGAAACAGATATGCGTCTCACGGAGATCCCGAAACTTTGATGACTCTGCCTAATGAAGTACATGCGGCGAGACAGACTTCTGATCAACTCGAAGGGAGGCGATGGAACAGCGAGTCTACATCGTCACCTCGCCACAACTCGGTGCCATCAAACATCGGAAATTCAAGCTTCTGGCAAGGCAGTTACCGTCGTCACTATGATCAAGAGACGGCGCTCGCACAGAGCGCCTACAGTTTGGGAGCAAATGCCATCACGGCGCGGCCTGAGTATGGTTTCACTGTCACCAATGCCACTACTTTGTCTGGGGTGCAACCCTCTTACGTGGGATCTGCCGCGAGCAATGGGCCTGTTATTTTCGGAGCATCAATCCCGGGCTCCCAAGGTTCGCTGTCACATTATTCGGACATCCACGGGTCTCCGGCCTACGCTTGGTCATGCCCGTGCGGAAGGACTCTGCCTTATCCCTGGCAGTGGCCACGTGCTGCAAATTGGGCCTTGCAAGGCCAATCCGCTTGGACGTACCCTCAGCAGTATAACCTTGCACCCTCATATCATGTAGCTCAGCCATCTGCGACTGCTAGATACCAGCCAGTGCAGCCAATACAGCCAGTGCAGCCAGTTTCTCAGACCGTGACATTCTCTTCTGGTGCAAATTTTACGGCCCCGGGGCATAGCTCTAACATGCCTGTCAATTTATTCATACCAGCTTCTTTCGCACCATCTGACAATCAACGTCTTCCTTTTCAAACGACCTCGACGCGCGGCCTTACCGAATCAAGCCTTGCGGAAAGAATGGCCAGCTCACAGAGCACAGACAGGCAATTTCATTCAGTCATGAACCAACGTACAGCGAGCCCTTCTCCAGCGCCGGGGGCGAAGAAAAAGGCCGGAGCAGGGACAAGTTCGAAGGCCTCGAAGAAGCGATGGAAGCCACTTGACATATCTTATACTTCAAAGGTCACCAACGAACGCACGATGTCTAATCTACACTCCAAAGGGGTGACGTCTTTGCAAGAGGATCCAGGATTGACCCAAAAGGCCTGCGAGCTTCTTGCTCCTTTGCTCGAAACTGCTCGAGTCTTTCCCGGATCTCTGAGACTCGAGATACAACTTGGCATGGTCGCTATTCTGCGAACATCGGGGGCAGCAGAAGCTATCTTTGTAAGTTTCCAGGATATCAACGATATAATAGACTCATCAAGGCATGTCTCTGGACCCAGCACAATCTTTTTCCCCAAGTTGACTACGTCTCCCGCGGACATTGACTACATGCTCGATGCTACTGCTGGCGGTGCACGTCTCTTTGAGAACGAGCCCTCTACGCTCGATATCTCGTATGAGTTTCACTGTGTACCGAACAGTGGTGAAATCCGTGTCATTGCCTTTGACGAAATGGGTCGTTACAAGAGACAAGGTTCTGACGTCATGTTGGGCTCTGTGAACATAAGCTATCCAGATCGCATCTGGGACGCGGCTGTTGTTCTGCGTGGCCCCCTCGATGCCTCAAAGGTACAAGATCCTGCCTCACTGGAAATGATAGAAACAATCTCCAGGTCCTTGTGGGTAGAGCCTAACTGCTCTCGTATGCGTCTTCGCATTTACATTGAAGGTTCTACTTTCTCAGTCAAGAAAATCATGGTAAGAAGGAAGACCTTACATCGCTGCGAGGTCGATGCGCCAGAGCAAGTGACCGGTGACGCAGGTGGACTTTTCCTTCAGGTCACCGAAGTCCAAGACCTCGTCATAGGCCCCTGTCGAGCTGATCCCAGTGTGCTAGAGGCAACCTGTAAATCGCTCGACGAAATGGCCAAACTTCACCGGCAGTGGTGGGAGGTGTCTATTATCAGTCCTGCTATCAACCATGCCCTCGGCGATAGGTCATCCAGTGGCATTGGGGAAGTGACCCCTTTGTGGAACCCCGTTGACATACTGGGTACTCAAGACAAGAGTGCGGCGGATCGATTCTCGTCGAAAAAGGCAAAGTCTATTGGACGGTATGGACTAGGAGCCTTGCTAAGACTGGCTACTGCGGTTCTTGAGAATCTTGATGTTGTTGGGTATTCCAATTGCGCTTCGCAAGCTTGAGTTGTTGATCTCGATGACGGAGATTAGCGAGGGCTACCTGATTTTTCATTTCTGTCACCTGGCGACGGACATGTCTGCAGAATCTCTGGCAGGTCATTTAATGCTTGTTTGAGGCTGTCAACTTAGACCGAATATTTGGGTAGATCGTGGCTTTTGCTTTTGTTGCCACTAGTCTAGATGGGTGTTTCAATAGGGCAGAGCGATCGTGAACAGTAACCAAACCTGATAAACTGACGCTACAATCAAGCCAGCCATATATACACATCTTCCGAATGGGTATCTAACTAGCTATACTCTAGTACTAACAACCTGAGACTTGGCACAGATCGCCAAACAGCTTAAAATGAGTTGGGCTTGTCGCCGTTACTAGGCTGGCATGCATGCCTTTCATCCGGATACAGCTATGTATATATTTTCTGATTTTCTGATCATGCCTCTTCCGCCACTTCTGGTTACCTTACCAGATTCATAACGTTACCTTCTTACTGGAGAGTTGGCTTGGTACGAATACTGGGCGATGACCGGCCATTGGGTCCCATCTTGATGAGACGCATCCATCCGCCAACCACGAGCTCGTGACGTACAGCAACCTTCCAATATCGACCCAGGAAAATAAAAACTTGTTGACTACAACCTTGAACCAACCATGTTGGCATAAGGTGCCTTGCCCATTCAGACGATTCCGTCGTGTACTGATCGATGTGAGGCGCCCTGAAAGTGGCAAAAAGATTGACCGACGCAGGGGTCGAACCTGCAATCTCTTGATTCGTAGTCAAGCGCCTTGCCATTGGGCCAGCCGGCCTGCACGTGGTCACAGTGTGATGACTAGTAGGCCAAGCTGTGATCCGATGAAGGAGGCTGTCCTCTTTAGCATTATTAACCAAATGTTGTTCGGAAACAGGTGAGTAACCGCTAGGGTTGAAACGGCCCCCGGTCCTTCTCCCGTGGATTCTGCTCCTAGCAATTTAGCGCAAGAGGCCACCTCCTTGGCTTGAGGACAACATCCGTTTGTGCTAGAGCAATATGACCATGCGCCTTGACCTTGAACAGCCAGTCTCGAGTCAAGTGGTGGATATGTTTTGCTGAGATCTAAGATGGTGGCCGGCAGCTGGAGATGAACTTATGAAGCAAGTAAAACATCGATATATCTTGTTTCATTCGATCGGTTCATATGCTTGGCGGAAAAGCATCAAGGCTTAGCCCTACAGTACGATACTACTTAACTGTACCGGGTGCCTCATTGGGTCTTGTCGTCTTGTTTGATCTCGTGATTCTGATTCTGATTCTGTCATCATTGTCATTTAATCTATATTCTAGCTCTAAGAGACCACGCATGGCAAGTGTTCAGGATTGCAAGAGTTTGCTCCACAGATGCTGCATACCCGGTCTGACCCATATTTATGCGTAGACCCTGATCATCAAACCTTGAAAACTCAGTCATCCTCCTCCGGCGCATCATCCACACCACGCAGCCACGCGCTTCGAGCGTCAACGGCTGCCTTTCGGACATCTCGCTTAGGATCATCCAGTACAAAGCGAAGTGAACGCAACACTTGGACCTTTTCAGGCAGCAATGGAGAGATTGAAGGGGGCAGGCGGGCATGAGACGTCGTTTCGGTGGATACTTGCTTGACAGCTAAAAGGTATAGGCATTTGAGAGCATCTGCGCGGAGACGGGGCGGATTGATAGCATCTGCTTTGAATTCCGCAGTCTTCAGAAGCCTTGTCACAAGACTGTGGACGTGCCCACACTTATCGATGGCGGCGACTCCGTTGTCACGAATTATCACAGCCAATGTGTCAAGCGTGGCGGAACGAACGGCCACGGACTCGGAATTTTGAAGGTCAAGTGATTGAAGGAGAAGGGGGAGTAGTGTAGGAAGTTCGGTGAGTACCAATTCCGTGGGAATGGTGGAGAGTATGCCAGCGAGTGCTGCAAGGTGGGCTGGCTTGATGTGGTCTGCTTTCGTGGGAAGCCCTTCACTCCCAGCAACATTAACTTCACGAATGCGAGCGGCGATTATGGGGACAACAGTCGTGAAGACGCGCTGCTTGGAAAGAAGTCGAATCGAGGCCCCATTAGCGGCAGAAAGAACATCATCTTCGCCGAGAAGGATAGAGAATCCTCGAGCAGTGGAGACACTGGTCTGTACATCGGGTGAAGAGAGAAGTCGTAGTAGCGACGTAAGGACATGCGTGGTCGAGGGCGCAAGGCGAAGGATGAGGGCCTTGGAAAGCCAGAAGATAGTGCGGATCGTAGCTGGGTTGTATGTATCGTTCTCAACGGACACAATCGTACTGAAAAGAGCTTCTGCTTTGCCTAGATCCTCCTTTGACAGGAACTTGTTGACAAGCAAAGCCAGGTGTCGCAGAAAGGCAAGCTGTGTAGTAGGTTCCAGGTCCTCCAGAACGGATTGTCTAATGACAGCAGTGAGAAGCTCTGATATATCCGGAGAGGCATATGGAATCTTGGTGCCACAGTCCTTGGAGAGACCGGCGAGAAGATAGGTCGATATAATCATGGTTCGGGCTTGATCAGAAGTTGCATTTGGGGCAAAAGGGGCCACATGAGAACCCTCGGTTGATGAAAATAGTTTGTAGATATTTTGCGCAACTTGACTCTGCTTTTCAGCCGAGATTGCTCGTACAAGCAAATTGCAAAGTCGTCCTAATGTATCAAGCACTGCCGGATCATTCAAGATACGGTTCTTCCCAGCGCCAGACGCCGAAGCCGAACTACTGCTGCAAAGACCCACGACAATCTTCTCAAAATAAAGATCAATGCTAGGGTCAGCGTCCATTTTCCTTTGCTGCATGACATAAAGTAAGGTCACGAGAATAGCTCTTGGGTATGCGATTACTCCCGGTTGTTCCTTCTGAAGCAGTATCGTAAATTTGCTGTAAAGCCGTCGGAAGAGCGTTTCGAAGATGTCTCTCTCGACGCTAATTTGAGCAAGGATGTCCAGGGTCGCCAGATAGGTCTGATCCGAGCTGTCGCTCTCCTCCGGCAAGGTTGCTACAAATGCCGGGAAGGTGATGTCCATGATGAGGCGGGGCTTGTGCTTCGAAATCTCAGTGAGTGCCGCAATCGCTTCTCGTTTCAGGTCATCCCGCCCAGTGACAGTCTCTTTGAGCAAAATCTCGTCAAGATACTGTACGAATAAACCAATCTCATTGTCCTGAAAGAAATCGCGCAACACCGAGAGACGGAGGAAGCCCTTCAAAGCAGTCACCCTGAACGAAACCTCTTCTTTGGCAGAACCCATCAGTGCTTGACCGAAAACGTCCGAGAACTGATCTTTGAATTCGTGGAGTGGATTTTCAGTCGAGAGTTCACCACCTCGGGTAGTCCACTGACCGAAGACCTGAGTGGCAGACTCAAAGAGTACAGAGAAAGTCTCGAGAAGCGCTCTTTGCTTGGCGATACCGTCTGCTTCTTGGTATACGGTGAAGATAGGTGCAACCACTGCCTTGATAACCACCGTGAAAGCAATCGCGGATGCTGACGACAGAGATTTGAGGATTTGTTGAGCGGGTTTCGCCTGCTTTTGCTGAGGCTCCTGAAGCTGCTCATTGCACTCTTTTGTGATAGGGCGCAGATATTGGGCTAGAGGAAGATCTTGCGAGGCTGACGTGGAACCCTCTGAAAGACGCTGCGCAATCGCGTGCAATGCCTGTAACGAAGAATCTGACAAAAACTCTTCTTGTGCGTTCAAGATCTCGAACTTCAAGACTTCCCATATCGTGATAGAATAGCGGGACACTGTGTCGGGATCATAGGAATTAATGCAAGCGATCAACGCGTTCAATGCATCTTTCTTGGAGCTTGTCAGATTGGATCACCAGGTTTCCAGTACGCCTTGAGTACGTACCTTGACATTGGGCGAAGTGGAGTCTAGCTTTTCGAGCAGTGCTGGGATGGAGTGAGGGGCGAAGTGCCTGGTTGAGGCAATGCAGTCCTGCAGGCGACCCTTTAAGTCCTGGGCAGTGATACCATATGGATCGTTGGGCGGCGGACGGAAGGTTATGGGGAAGTAGTTGTACACCGAATCAAAGAGCAGCTATTGTGATCGTCCAATTAGGAAACGCTGAGGGTTCGGAGAGAATGGTAGGCCGACATACCTCGACATGATTGGAAATATCCCATTCCATCATGACCACCTTCATGATAGAGAACACCATCATCAGGTTACGCGGGTCTTTCTCTCCAGTCATCAGATCGACAATGCCAACTAAAGATGTATCACCCATTTCCCGCAGAGCTGTAAGATCGGAATTAGCTGTGACGTTGAGTAACTCAGATCCCGGATACACATACCCTCCCGATGCGACGACATCAGCTCGTTGAGCAATTGGTATACTTGGAATCGCTGCGTTTGAGATCGGGACTGCAGATCCTGGAAATGTGAAAAGATACTGCAAAAAGTTAGCGCTATGCAGGTAAACGAACCTTCCTCCGGGTTGGCCTGGTGAAAAAGGCAGTTTACAGGAAGAACACATACGCTTGCGCTACCTCAGCAGCGAGTTCTTTTGTGAACCGATCCAATCTCTGCAGAGTATCCAGTCCTGCCACTGCGCCTCCATCTTCAATCCGATCACAGAAGAAGGAAGTCAAAACCTGGATTTGCTGACGGGACAGAAACTTCGGAGGTAGTGCCTTGATGACAGCTGTGAGGAAAGAGACCGCTTTCCCGCGGAGTATAGGATCTTCGTCGTTGATGTACTCCCCAAGCTGCTGTACGATTCCTATAAGAGTCGTTTTCTTGCTTTCTAAATCTGTTTACAGTCAATTGATTAGAGCCATCCCACCAGACAAATGCGGGGGACCGGAGCCGAGGATCGGACTGACCTTTCGCAACACCATTGGCGATACTCTTGGCTTCATCTTTGTCATGCTCCACCACAAGCATAAAGGTTTGTAGTGCTGACATCTTGCCAATTAATCGGCTTGAGCAGCCAGACCTGGAACAGAGAACAGCAGAGGATGATAACCTCTCATAGTTCACTCCCCCTCCCCGTAATTTCTCGCAAGTCTTATCGATAACGGATCAGGTGATGTAGATCGGCTTGATGATCACGTGTACATGTTGCGTCATGGCGGCCGTTGGCGTGCGAAGTCTTGATGATAGCTGCATACCTTTCAACATGAGAGCTTTCGGGTCAATCATACAATTAATCTCGCTTTTTAGCACTGTCAGCTCGGCAGGTGCACTTTGGGGCTCGCTCAGATATTCAACTCACCAACAGCAGCCGTTAGTCTCGGTGGGAAATCAGCAGCACTCGGTCATGGATAAGCTTGTCCCAGCTTTCCTGAAGCCTCAGGGTTCAGCATCTGGTGGCGACCTCACTACAGGGGACGACCGCCCCGTCGTATCAGATGTGCTGCCGAAGACCAAGGGGATCAATATATTTGCGCAGCTTACTCGAGATTTCGACTCCATCTCGTCTCGCCTGAATGACGGCTCGCGCAATATTACCGTTCTTGCCCCGCGCAATAGCGCGGTGCAGTCGCTTCCCCGCAAACCTTGGGAGGATCCCGAAGATTACGCCAAACTCGGTGAGGTCAATGCATATGAAGGGAACGACGGCAAGGAGCGTGCCAGGGACAATTTACGTCGATTTGTTGAGAACCACATCGTCCCTATCAGTCCTTGGCCAGCAGATGAAGAAGTAGAGAGCCTGGCTGGGAAGAAGCTGAAATGGACCAAGGAGGGGGACAAGATCATTGTGCGCCCCCTACGATCAGATTTAAAGCAGAATCATGGACTGACGCGTGAATCGCAGCTTCAACCGGGCAGCATCGAAGTTGACGCAGTGGCCGAGAAAGTAGCAAATGGAGAGGTCTGGGTGCTTAATGGGGTCATTGATTCCAAGTCGGGGTAGAGCTTGAGGTGAAACTACTAACGACTTGACGACAATACATTCATCACAATTGCACAGACCTAGCAGGTTGCTAGACGAAGACGCAGTTTTCCAACTCTTTCATGCGTAATGTGACAATTTTGATTTGGGGAACTCTTTGCTGCGGAACATTATATACCACATCTATAAATATGAAATACATCTGAGATAAGGGCTCGCAGACTTGCCCCATCTGTGTGATGCTCAATTCACCTCTGGAGCAAAGTTGCGAAGCACTCGCTCCTCGACACCATTGAGAATGCTGAAGTGCTCCATAACTTCCAAGTTCTCCGCCTCGGCCAAGAACAACTTGTCTGGATCCTGGCCAGGCTGCATGGGATTCATCATAGCGGCAGGATTGGCCATGCCCATTTGCTGGGCCATCTGGTTGGCAGCTAAGTAAAGAGTTAGCAACAGAGCACGTCTAGAAGAACTGAATCTTTATGCGATGCCATGGGAACAACCTACCATTGTCACTTCCGAGAATGAATCCAAATATGGACTGCAGACCCATCAAGTTCAGGAAGTACCATGACAGACTAGACACCCATTGTACGTCCAGATCACGGGTCATCACGCCAGACTGCAGCATAGACTTGAAGCGAATCGTCAACGGGAAAGGCAATTTCACTGCAATCTTTGATCAGCACAAGCTCCAAGTTTACGGAATCGCCATTGATGGTCTTCCACGTACAAATCACAAACCCCGAGAAGAAGGCATTGATCCAACTCATGATCAGGGTCTGAGGGATCATCATCATCATGTTTCCCTTGAGCATGCCCATCATGGCCTCCATGCCCGCTGGATCCGTCATTGGGTTTGCAGGGGGCTGGCCGCGATTGTTCGGGTCTTTGAGGAATGCGCCGGTCCGGAAGCCATTGACCAAATAGTTCCTGCGTGCTTCGAAAGCCTCGCGGTCGAGAACGGCGCATCCGTGATTTCTGAGGTTAACGCCACGAAGAAGAGCATGTCGTTCACGGGACTCGGCCAGTGTTGAGGCGGGTTTAGGGGGCGTATTCATGAGGACCGTAGCATAGTGACGGAGGATACCGGTCAAGATCTAACGAAATGTTAGTGAAACGGTATCAATGGCAACTGTCGTTGTTTTTAGTGACGAGAACACACCATCACCACCGAAATGGGGAATAGGATCCAGTAACTACAAAAGCACGGTAAGTCATAATGATGCACGAATGCCCGCTCTTAAAGAAGGCACATACAACAGAGCCGGGTCCCGAAGGATGGTCTGCTCAACACCTTGAGCTGCCATGGCGATGAATCGAGGTGGATGGGAATGGCTGCTGGATAGAGACCCTCGATGGTGTCTGGCACTGCGGAGGGGGAAGTGAAGGCGAAGACGGATGGAGCCCATAGTAGGATATCATTGGCCCACAGTAGCTCCATGTCTCCCTCCGAAGGGACACGCCGCCGCAACTTAAGCTCCTTGCGATAAACACCGCAGTCACGACTTGTGACATTTCTAGCGTTTTGACACCATTCTCAATCCTCGGAGCTGCAATTCGAATATTGATCATCTGGATTTACAAAGACCGGTCACAAGAAATATGACGGACCACAAGGTGCCGGTCTATGCGACCAATGGTTAGCAGCATCACCAGCCCGTCGAACTACCTGGCGAGCTTGCGAGCTCGCAGCAGAAGACCGCATAAAGCTTATAATCTAACATTCTCTACAGACCTAAAATCGACGAGTGACGATGCTCTACTTCCATACCTGACCAACCTCCCTGCACCCTATACATTCACCGCCGATCACACCAAAAGTAATATCCGGTTCCTACTTGGCTATAGTGCTGTCGCAATTGCAGCATTCACTTTTTACGCCGATCGAAAACTCGGCTGGGAAGCGACGACATCACCTTGGATAATAATTGCCGTGGTCACATATTTCGCGCTGAACAGTGCCTTGACCTTCTGGATGTGGGCTGTTGAGGCTGGCGAGGTCTTTAACGGAAAACGCAAGTCGGGTGAAACTGTAAGTGTGATCTGGACTGTCTGGGCCCTCCAGAAGACCAAGAAAGATGCTGACGATATACCTTGCGAACGGAAGATTTCCATCTCCACCTCGGCCCAAAAACACTCGGTCCTGTACAAGGTGCACATCGTTTACAAGTCACCTACGGGGAAGGTGCTCCAGGATAAGAAGCTCGAGGCGCCCTTCACCAAGTGGTTCTCTGCCGACGGTATCTTCCACCCAGAACCCTTCCGCAAATGGCTGGCTGGCGAGGTCGACGTGCTTCGATTGGCAGCCAAGGAGAATGAGAAGAGACTGGGTGGTGCGTCCGCTGTTGTCAGCAACTGAGAAGCCGGAACCAGTTCACAGCTACCCAGGTGGACGAGCTTTGAGTGCCAATTTGCGCAGTGTGCGCGGACTTGTCATATATTCAAGTGATATACGCTATCGAAGGCTCTGATTATGTGAAATAATATGGACAAATCACTCACAAGTCACGCATTCGCTGCTTAGCCACAATTTTCAAAAGAAGGCAATGCACAGAAGGCCGTCTCGTATGCGATACCCAAGCATTGGGTATGACAATCATCATGGATTTAAGTCACAAGACATCTCAATCGCAATGTGTTTGAAGTGGCTAATAGAAAGGCAGTCTATATGTAAGAAATTGGAAGTATAGTAGCATCATGACAAGTGTCAATCAACGAGGAAGGACCTTCAGGAGTTGGCTTCCAGAGTACCAGGTCGCTCGGTAGCGGCAGCGGGTTTCACGTTGTCCATGCGGCGGTTTTGGACGAGTCTCTGGTTGTTAGGTGTTGGTGTCAGCGTCTAAGAATAAGAGATCATCACGTCGGTTATTAGGGGCAAAATCATACCAGTAGATTTCTCAGCAAGACCACAATGGTCACCTTGCCAATCGAGGGTACGAAAATGGAGGCTTTCTCCTTGACCTCAGGACCGAAGTTCTAAATAAATCATTAGTAAAGCAAAATATCGGAGAGATTTGGAGGAAATAATTACCTTCTCGCTGCTGAAGTTGATGCAGACCGCACCTTCACGGAGGAGGCTGGTATCGAACTTGTACTTGTCGCCAGGCACGCCAGAGATGACAACGTCACACAGTGGAGCAACATCCTTCAATGTCGCACCCTCCATGTCGACAACCTCGTGACGGCGATTCTTGAGACCCTCACCACGGGTGAATTTTTGGATGCCAGTGATGTCGACACTGTACACACAGGCACCGTCATTGGCCAACAACGCAGCCAAGGGGCGACCGACGACCTCGGAGCGATTCACGACACAGATTGTGTGGCCATGTAACCGGTTTCCATAGGGCAAAATGGTGTTGTAGATGTTGAGGTACTCGAGAATCTTGATATTGGCGAGCGAGGTGCATGGCAGGATGCATTTTTGACGCTTGGTCTCGGGGTCCAGATAACGGATATTCTGGTACATGTTGAAGATGTATTGGTGACTGAGACCTTCGACATCCTTGCTGATATCGACGATCTGCTGGAGGTATTGGTCTTGTCGGTTGTTGAAAATAGGGTAATAGACGATAATACCGTCAACGTCGGCGTCCGCATTGGCAGCGATGATGGCCTCCTCGATCTCGTCGCGGGAGACCTCGCGAAGGGAATACCTGAAGCCACTGTTTCGATCAAGACGTCAGCTCAGGGTAATTTCCAATTGATAAGGCCAATGCGCACGCAAATCCCCCAGTCATTCCTTTATCGCCAGCCCGATGGAGGGGCACACGCGAAGGTGCGGGCATGGGCAAGGAGGCAGCCAGGATTACTCGACCATTACTTGTAGAGACACTGACCACCGACACGGAACGAGAGTGGCAAACCGGATATATGGACTTACTATTCTTCACAAGTCTTTTGCGTCCACTGCGCATACATCAGTGCCGCGGGGTCATTGTTCGCGAGGAAACCAACCAAATGCGGCGGCTTCTCAAGGGTCTTAAGGCCTTCTTGGACCTCCTCAAGCAGCACATTGGCTACATGCTTCGAGAGCATCACCTTGCAAGAGGTTGAGGATTTGGGAGCCGACATAACGAGAGGCAATTCAACGATCCAAGAATTTGGTTGACAATATCTTAATGACTGCGGGGACTTGCGACGATGACTGAAAAAGATTGATCTCTTATCGATAAGAAATTCAATGCCGAGTTCGGACTGGATTCTGTACTTCGTATGTACCTCAGTCTTTGAGGACGGTGAATTACGCAAAAGAGTTTAGCGTACCGTCTTAGGTCTAGCGTCTCCTTGCGTGTTACTATCGCCGAGCATGTATAAAATTTCTGGTCAACAGGTCTGATTTGTGGATGTACTGGCAAGTATGGCGCTGGAGAAGTCTGCAAGGCACTCCAGTATGCAACCCAGGCCTGGAAGACATCAATCCTTCCCTGTTCTCCGAATCCTCGCCGCACAGCCTCCCTTCGGGCACATCTCCAACATCTTCACGAACATTTAGAATCAAGGCTCCGCTATTCTATCAATCCTGCGATACCATATTTCCTACTCTCCAAAATATCTTCTAAAGTCGTGAGAAACCAGATCATATTGAATGGTGTAGATTTCCCGTCAATGGGGAGCATTGAGCATACTGCTGACAGCAATCGCGGAAATCTAAGCCTCGTCGAGAACCAGCGTCGACATTTTGAAGCCCTTCACTATCAGAGGGAATAAGGCAATATCCACACTCTTTATGCAGTTATAAGGATCTATCAGATGCAATGCAATGCCCACAGCAAGTACGATTAACCAACTTCCCTTACGACGGGATTGCGCAGAACCTCCTCGTAACTAGGTAGCTACTCAAAGGGTTTCAAGACGACTTCAAATAGCAAACACAAGCAGACAGAGCAGAAAAAGCAGAGTAACACGCTACACCAGGAAAATTCTGGCCAAGGAAGAAAATACGGGTAGATCGAAACATTACCCTACTTCAGCACACGACTCCCACACGACTCCCGTGGCACTGGCACTCCGTCGAAAAATGAAGTTTTCGGCCCTCAATCCGGTCAGCGAGGTTTGCACCTCTTCAAAAGCTTTCAAGTCATTCATCGCGACAGACTTTTTTTTCATACTATGGTTGTGCCAGTCTTGAGTTCTTTTTATTTCCGTACTGCGCGGAGCTCTCCAACCCATACGTGAGCAGCGATCAAGTTGATAACAATGAACGTACGCGCTTCGTCGGGTATAATACGAGCAGGGTTGATGTCAATATAGATAAGTCTAAGAGACTGAAAATACTCAATAGTTAGATGAGCCCCTAAAGACGGATTTTTTATTCTCTGTCACTCATTCACGACCCCTAAAAGAGGAATACGTCCTCATTCAATTCTCAAGGATTGATTGCTGTAAGTAATGTTGTCGAATATCGCTTGAAGCATAAGCCAGAGACCCGAACGTTGCTTCTACTATGACTACAATAAGCCGTAAATTGTAATACTCGGATGAGGGCTGTTCCGAAGTATTTCGTAGTTCTTAGCTTCTTGAGAGATTCCCCTTTCGAGGTTCCCACCGATATACGCGAGGAGATTTAGAGTTTTATGAAATACCGTAGGTGAGTGAATTCAGTTCAATGTCTAGGTCCCAGAAACGGACTAGGTTAGCTTGATCTCCGGGCCCAAATCCTACATTGAGATCTGCTTCCGTTCTTGAAGTTCTTCGAGCGTATTCAGAGATTCATATCGATTCCAACATTTCTTGGAATATAATATACCATCCCGCCGGGCAAACCCCATGAGCATAAGGAACTCTTGGTTTATCATCAACGCTTTTGAAGGACTCCGGCTTTTGTATGCATTCCAGGTTCATGTGATCATCTTGTATTGGAACTGGTGATAGTAGATAGGCATTGGTCCTTTGGTAACAAGAGAAGATTCGGACCATTCGGTAGACTTCAGGTGGTCTTGAAGCTTTTAAGGGGAAGTTACACTTGACATTACCTGCAGACTGTAGCTACATGAGGCACACCTTACTTTAGTATCAAGGACCTATCTTACTAGTTAGGTAGTCTAGTACTCATTATCAGATGCATTAGTCACGCAGATAACCAAGTCACACTTTTCCAGTAACACGCCAGGTTTGTACTCTACCTAAGAATTAGAGAGTGGCTGGGAATGATCTGTACAGGTATAGATAATCAAAGCCTGAGTAAGTTCATTCATGAATGAGGTTCATAGAGGTCTTCCATCATCATTCTTCGTCATTTTCAACAGCGAACTGGAGATCAGCCCGACCGACGTTCGCTACATCCTGTCTTTGTGAAGGTAAATGACAAGCCTGAAGTGATGATACAAATAAACACATGAATCTCCATTTACAACTTCTATACAATTCATGTACGCCAGGGGACCGGCTTCAGCTTTGTTTTTTAATCTGCGTGATTTGTTTCAGGATCCTCGTCGGGGTCACGCTTCTACACCAGCCAGCTTCTCGCGTCGCCGTATTGACTGGAAACGATCTGGATTTGGCCCTCGCTGCATGAGTGTGATGGTACATTGAACTCGGATGGAAATGTGTTGATCGCGGAGTGAGTGAATAGGTAGGCCTGGAAGATGAATTGACACCCTGAGGTCGTCTGTCACCGACTAACTCACGCGCATACGATGCCTGTCAATCATTCTTACCGTCTGAGTCGGGCATGAAGATGGGCCATTTCAAATAGAGTAGGTATGATTCTTAACACAATACCGGCCCTTTCGTCTTTAATACCCATGTCTTAGTCCGCAAAATCTTGTCTGTGTTATCGTGCATTACCTGGAAGGACTCGTGTGTTTTCAGTAGATTTACCGGTATAAAGCAAATGGGTATGACAAGCCATTTGCCCCGTACTTTGGCGATGTCATAGACTACTCCAATAGAAAGTCGATGTTCAGTCATTGGACATGGCATTTCTTTCCGATGGAGTCAGCGAGAGGTCAGTCATCGTCGCATGGTCTCCAGCTGTGTTTTCTGACACCCTGTATAAAACTCACGAACAGTTTCTTGACGCTATTGTGCACGTTGCACGAACGGTCATGGCCTGTATTGATTTTTGTGAACGACGGGACCCCAATACTTCAGCGTTTGCATCATTGAACATATTCTTACCTCTGAAGGTTCCATGGGCTCACTTCGTACATAGTTTTGATTCTCCAGATGGAGCAAATTTCGCTCTCGTGCTCAGATACAACTCGTGTGACTCAGTCTGGCGTGTTCCCACCCAGACGGGTATACTTGAAGTATCGAAGGAGCATATATCTTACATCGAAGCTAGAGAACAGACTTGATCGAGTCCTGATATAGGTACATCGTTAATGATGTCCTGAACAGGCGAACTACCCGATGGGATTTGTCTGACCTTATCAAATCTGACTCCAGTCACTGTCAATCAAGACATGACCCGGGATACCCAACATGAAACCTAAACACAACGACCTCAATGCGCACATCTGACATGCGTTGTATCCAATTCGCTCACAGCTGGGCAGGTCTAGACACGGTCTATCGGGAATCTACTGGCTCAAGCTTAAAGCTCGTCATAAGTGGAGTTGAGTGGAACAAAAGGAATAAATTGCGGATCCATCATGGAGAGAGACATGGGGACCAGATAGAAGTTAGAATGGTCCGTCCTCCCATCTCGCGCTCCCCAATGCGCGAAAATAATCTAAACGTACAGGATATAATCACATTTTGGCAGCCCATTCATTCAATTCAGTATCTCATCCGAATTCATCATGCCCACAAGTGTGCCGAGGGCCTGCAAGACCCATGAAGAAAGATCTCCTTTTCCCGGATCATCTGCCAGCATATGATAGCCCATGGCTCTACGATCCGGTACTCTGTGAGATCGATTTTTGTGAGGATCTCGACTCAAGGACACAAAGAAGCAGAGAAGTCAGATGGAACAGAAAGAAACAATGGGGTCAAAATTGTACAAGCTATCTTGTCTATCCACACAGAGCCACGAAGAATTAAGAATGACCCCCAGTAATTGCTTTTCGAAAAGGGAGTCACCCAAGAGCTTCATGGTGCATCTATGCGTTGAAAGAGCTGTTGAAGTCACCAATGACCTTCTTGAGCTTCTCCTCAAGCTCCTTGGAAACCTGGCCCTCCTTATCAATGGTCTCCTGGATCTCGGGGTGGCTGCTCTTCAGGTGAGCGAGGAGGTCAGACTCCCACTGGAGAACCTTGGCGACGGGGATGGAGTCAAGGAGACCGTTGACACCAGCGAAGATGAGGGGAACCATGTCGGAAACGGCCATGGGGGAGTACTGCTTCTGCTTGAGCAGCTCAGTGAGACGCTCACCACGGGCAAGGGTCTGCTTGGTAGATGCATCAAGATCGGAACCGAACTGGGCGAAAGCAGCGACCTCACGGTACTGGGCAAGGAAGAGCTTCAGGGAACCAGCGACCTGCTTCATGGCCTTGACCTGGGCGGCGGAACCGACACGGGAGACGGACAGACCGACGTTAATGGCGGGACGGATACCCTTGTAGAACAGCTCAGCCTCCAAGAAAATCTGGCCGTCGGTAATGGAAATGACGTTGGTGGGAATGTAGGCAGACACATCACCACCCTGGGTCTCAATGATGGGAAGGGCAGTCAGGGAACCACCACCGTGGGTCTTGTTGTTCATCTTGGCGGCACGCTCCAGGAGACGGGAGTGCAGGTAGAAGACATCACCGGGGTAAGCCTCACGACCGGGGGGACGGCGGAGCAGCAGGGACATCTGACGGTAAGCGACGGCCTGCTTGGACAGATCGTCGTAGATGATAACGGCATGGCGGCCGTTATCACGGAACCACTCACCCATGGCACAGCCAGTGAAGGGAGCGAGGTACTGCAGGGGAGCGGCCTCGGAGGCGGTGGCAGCAACAACGATGGAGTACTTCATGGCATCCTGCTCCTCGAGGGTCTTGACAAGCTGGGCGACGGTGGAACGCTTCTGACCGACGGCAACGTAGATACAGTAGAGCTTCTTGGACTCGTCGCCGCTGTTGTTCCAGCGCTTCTGGTTGAGCATGGTGTCGAGAGCAACGGCGGTCTTACCGGTCTGACGATCACCAATGATCAACTCACGCTGACCACGGCCGATGGGGACCATGGAGTCGACACACTTCATACCAGTCTGGACGGGCTGGTTGACGGACTGACGGGGGAGAATACCGGGGGCCTTCAGCTGGGAGCGGCGCTTCTCCTTGGCGTTGATGGGACCCTTGCCGTCAATGGGGTTACCGAGACCATCGACAACACGGCCGAGCAGCTCGGGACCGACGGGAACGTCAACCTAGTAGTTCGAATAAGCATGATTGACGCAGTCAACGGGGTGAAAGCAGACCCCATGAATGAGGCACTTCGCCCCTTGGGTGGACAAATGGGGGACATGATGACATACAATCTCACCGGTACGCTTGACAGTCTCACCCTCCTTGACGAGACGGTCGGAACCGAAGAGCACAACACCGACCTGGCCGGCCTCGAGGTTCATGCACATACCCTTGACACCGGAGGCGAACCTGTGGAGGACTGTTAGTGATACGGAATGCCAAGCTTTTTTGATACAGAAGGGGCCATCACATACTCAACCAGCTCCTCAGCTTGGACGTTGGTCATACCGTGGACACGGGCAATACCGTCACTATTCGATTTCAGTCAGCGGGTGATTCATTTGCATCATTGCGCGGCTAGCGTAGCAGGCGCTTCTGTTCGCAGGTGTCGAGGTATCGAATTTTTCCATTCCCAGACAACGCTAGTAATTTATGGTATTGACGTACCCAACGGACAGAACGCGACCGGTCTCAGCGAGACCAGCCTCCTCCTGAACACCACGGATGCGCTGCTCCAAGATGGAGGAGACCTCGGTGGGCTGGGCCTTAGCCTCGGCGGCGTAAGAGCGAACCTGCTTGGAGGCACCGGCGAGGGGGCCGGGAACAACCGCGCGAACCTGGAACGGAAACGAGAAAAACTTGTCAACGAGATGATCCTCAAGCCACCACACGGTAATGCCATTCTCAATGATTGTTCGAAGTGGAGAGATAGGGTCCGACGACCGATCGAGCTCGAATTCGAGATGGATATTGGTCGTAGACAGGGCGATCGCGATGAGGACATATGGGCGAGGATAGTCAGGACGGAATTGGACTCACCGAGGCGACACGGCCAGTGGCCGAGACGGCCGCGACGGAGCGGCTAGACTGCCGCAAAGCGTTCCTGAACATTGTGAATGGGGGAGGAGTTCAGAGGATGGGAGGATGGAATTCTCTGAAGAGAGATGTAATTGGGGAGAGGAGGTTCGGAGAGGAGAGAGAAGGTTGTGGACGGGTGGGAAGGGAGAGCTTTGTCGGTCGGGGGGAGGCCAGGATTCTCAGGACTCGCGCTAAACTGTTTCAGGGCGAGAACGCTCCGATGTGGCCCTAGTGCGGACCCTCACCACCGTGTCTTCTTTCCAGGCTAAGTATAACAGACAGCCTACCATCTACTTCAGCAATTACTTGTGCATGGATTGTAGGCAACTTTACTCTCCAATTTGACTCCCAGTTCAGCTGTTCTGGCCTTACCGGTGCGAAGCTGCTGATGGTCAGTTGAACGAAAGCGGCTCAGCTCTTTCCGTTTTTTTCTCTTGTCGGAAGCGCGGGATCTCAGATCCAATGATATGCTTAGGTAATTTCTTTCGTCACGGCAACCGTCCTTGCACCAGGTACAGCTGCATCCAAACTGTAGGGAGGGAAGTTCATCCAGCAGTTGCCGGTCAATGTGTTGCAGCAACCTGCACTACCTGAACGACATTTTTGTATACATGCCTGGAGAGTGTATACTAACGGACTCATGAGCTTCATGTGGATCATGGGAAGCTCTCTCAATAGTGCGCTTGCTCAAATGAAATTTCCCAAATACTCCTAAGAAAATGCATCGCTCCCATTGTCCGGGGCCCTGCCCCAGTCCAAAACAAGTCGAAGACATATGCACGCCGGGCATTCTGTCACACATCGAGGGTTCTTGTAAACCCCTCACGAGCACTCCACTCATCCGATATTATACTGTCCCGAAGCCACAATAGATTGACGCTAACCCGAATTCACCGGGCCTTGAATGAGAGCTCCAAACTTCAAAGTCCACGAAAGCATTCGCTCATTCTTTGCTCTCGGCACACACTCTTTCGTTGAGCCTCTTCAGTTGCTGTGAGCGAGGTGTCTCGGTAGACGCTCACAAACCTTGTGTGCATCCATGCTCACAGATAGACAAACCACTGAAGATCCTCCACTGAAATTATTTGGTCTTCTGTTCTTTTCGGAACTTGGCGATCTCCATCTCGACATTCTTGTCCATTCGCGCCTTCAGTTCAGGGCGATAGCCGAAGAAGAATAGGATCTCCATCCAGACAAAGAGGGGTGCGAGCAGGAAAGCTTGCACCAGGTTATCCAAGAGGGCCGGAGCTCGGCCCTCAAATTTGCCATGGCCGACGAATTGAGCCAGCCAGGAGATCACATGAATGCCGCCAGCCCAGTAGTTGACGCCCGAGCTGTATGTTCCCAGCAGATAGTTGCCAGCTGCGGCGAAGCAGACCACGAGCGGCGCAAGCAGGCCGCCCGCGCAGGGCTCGAGAAGAATGTAGAAGAATGCGTAAATGAAAGCTCCGATCGTGCCTGCATTCAGGGGAAGGTAGTTGGATGTCAAGAACTCCGGGGTCGGGATGAGTGTTGGGCAGTTGCACGCCTGTGGGATTGCGCGATCGTCAGTTTGACCGCTGTAGCCGAAGGGGACCGGGTGGTCAGGTTTCTTGAACTCACGAGTACAATTCCTGTGAACAACAGGACCGGAACGCAAGTGACGTGAATCGCAATGTTCACCTAACATTTCTCATCAGCCATCTGAAGGAGCATCGTGGTGTAGGGCAGCGTGGCCATCATACGGGATTATTGTGATAAGCTCCATACTATGAACGTGTTAGCCGGCGTCCCCTCCACAGCATTCAACACAATCGGGAGAGATCGGGGATCGGGAACTCACAAAAAGCAGCTGTTTCTCAAGGTTCAACGCCATGACGAGGTGCTATTGTGCGAAGCGGTCTGGTGGTGAGGTGAAGTGGACGGATGTTGAAAAGCCCGACGTTTGACAAGAGTCTCCTCAGGGCTACATCATTAATTGATCAACTCGCCAAGTGGTGCAATCAGGCATCGCGACGCTGTCACGCCTGTGCTCAGGGCCGAGGGACGGATGCTGTGTTTCTGTACCGTATCGCGGTCCTCCGGTGACGCTTTGAGCTCCATAATACCGTGACACCGTGGAACGTGGGTAAGTTTATGTACCGGGCCTTACAGTCATACATACAGTGTCACTGCCGGACTGCCCACCTTCCGTGGACTCGTGGAGACCTCGTAGTGACGGGACACTCTTCGACGAATGTTCAATGTCGAATATCGATTGTCTTTACTTTTAGTCTTGAGTCTTCGAGACAGACGAGCCTTTTCCGGTAAGGCTCTGTTTGACAATACATACATGAAAACATGGGGTTTTGTCCATTCGTAGTCCTTCAGACATGATAATATGTACTAGTCATACTAGTTATAGGAACTTAGAAAGCGCTCCGGAATCAAGTTCCAAACCCCCGTGATCCACGAATTGCCTGGAGTTGGAGTTTGGTAAATACGAGCTGTCACGACCTAAGTAGGTAAGTAACTTTTGATCCAAAAACGTAAGAATGGGCTGAAGCCGGCAATGCTCTCCTTTACCACGTAAATGGATCCTGGTTCGAGGCCTGGCTCGATTCACAACTCATAGCAACTTTGTTTATGCGCAGGATCTTCCTCCCATTGCCCTGTACTCTTACTGAACCTTCCATATTGTGACGAGAATGCGAGTTTTGTAGGTCTCTTCCTTCTCTAATGAAAATTGGGCTGTAAGGTACTGTAGGTGCCCTGTGTTCTTAACTTCTTCGTAGTTCTGCTGTACGACTAGTACTACCCTTCGCATCAACATCGAACTTGACACGTGACCAGCCTTCCCACCTCATCTGGCAGACCGCGGTAGACCACTAGACCAATGATTTTCAAGCGAGCTCCAAGGTTGCTTCTGCAGTCATTCAAAGACCGACCTACAAATATCCATACTGGCCTTGAAGATCATTTCTCGTGCCCTCCAGCATTTCGAGCTCGCATCCGATTGAACTCAAAAGTCTTGAACAGCCTCCCGATACAAGCGTATTCCATCCGTCGAAGTCCCATATTCGCGACCGCCCAACTGCTCAGCCCAGGTCTCCGATTTCCCCGCTACCCGTCGCGTCTTCCAAGCTGTTAGCGACAGCAGCAACTACAACCTTCAATTTCTGAAGTGAGGTTGCGCAAGCTCGCTGACACTGGGGCTAAGTTCTTGCCGCCCTGATTGCCTTCGGCGAGCGCCTGCACCCTACCACTTCGTTTGCGGAGACACTCCTATCGTCGTCGCCAACATGTTCTTCCTCAAAGAAGAAACCAAGATCATTACGATGCATCCGTCCTACTTCGGGCCTAACATGCGCGAGTTTCTGATTGCGCGCCTGAACGAGGAAGAAGAGGGCCGGTGCACAGGTGACCATTTCGTGATTTGCGTCATGGACATGGTGGACGTTGGCGAGGGTCGAGTTGTGCCTTCGAACGGCTGCGCGGAATATACGATCAAGTATCGCGCGATTATCTGGAAACCCTTCCGCGGTGAGACGGTAAGTGAGAAGGGTCGATAGAGACCGGCACAGGCTTGTCAATCGGAACTTCTCGAAGTGCTGATCTCCTTGAACGCAGGTGGACGCAATTGTCACTTCAGTCAAGCCCACCGGCATCTTCACATTAGCCGGCCCATTGTCTGTTTTCATTGCGCGAAAGGTAAGCACACGATTCCGCGGGATAAGAGGTTGTTCAATTGCTCATTCTGTCCTGAAGAACATCCCGTCCGACATCAAGTGGGAACCGAACACAGTCCCTCCTCAGTACACCGATCATGCAGACCAAGTGATTGAAAAGGGCACGAGTTTACGACTGAAGATTCTTGGTGTCAAGCCGGATGTGGCTGCAATCAACGCCATTGGCACAATCAAGGAGGACTACCTTGGGTGAGTACTTCCGCCTTGAACCTGTCTCGCGTATCGGGGAACTGACGATATCGTGATTCTCACTCTAGACCCCTGTAACGATTCCCATGTTCACCAAACCTCGACTCTGCATACCCTCGATTATTATCAGCGAATCTTCCTCAGCAGATACCTCTCTCAATTGCAATTGTAGAACCATGCCTCGCCCGTTATTCAATGGGCTTGTTCTAGCGCGAACAGAAGTTGAACATGATGACCTCAATTCTGTTTCCCTAAACACAGCAAAGATCTGGCAGCACAAGTGGCGCTCGTAAGACGGAGCGCCCCAGCCCTCATTTCTCGACCATCCAGGGATCCGCACGCAGTAGGCTCGGGCCAGCATCATCGGTGGGCATTCTACGCTGTCCAGCCAAGCCTTCCACTTGCCGTCATGGCCCGTTTGTCAGTACGACCCATTTGTCGCCATTGATTCAATAGCAGGCTTATCAGTTCTAAAATGGCCTTGCCTGTGGCTACGCCGAGGGTCGCGCAATGTATTGAACGAACCTTGAGCAGCTAGCTTTTTGGGAAAAGCTTGATCACATGGTTTCTCCGATCCTAGCTCGTATTTGAAACCAAGCCCTGGCATATCGCATCCAGTCCATCCTTATGCATCCTCAGAACAATTAGATCATACTCAACCTGCGTGAACAATCACAGGTATTTGAGTTCCATACATTCAGCGATCGGTCAAGTGAGATCTTACCATGTAATCGTCGTCGGTAGCTGCCATGTCTCGGTGGAGATATACAGTCGAACACGAACGAATAAAGGCAATAATATACATTCATGTATACGTGGTCAACATGATCAATCATTAGCTCTTGGTCCACATGATTGGTAATTCAAGAAAGTTATATGTTCTTTATGATTCGATCTTAACCCCAGCCTTCGGTCTTGGTGATATGGCTGGGTATACATCATGTACGATTGCATATCATTTTCGGTATACCTGGGCTGTGATGTGGGGATCTCTCGCCATGAAATAGAAAGACCTTGGTGAACGAAAAGGCCAAGATCCGTCCTGAAGAACTCAGGAGCCTGGAATACTACTCCCGTACCTACCTACTTAGTACCTTCCTTAGTGCTCAGTTCACTACTTATTAGCTAATACTTACTGCCCTTTTTTAATTACCACCTACCTCGGGTATAGCACCTATCTGTCAGTGGCACCAGATTCATGATGTAGACTCGCCTGCAGTCTGCAGTATATAGGCAGGTATTGTCAGGCTGACGGCTAAAGTAGTAGACTAGAGTCTATCAGTCTAGTAGTACTAGCTGTATGGTTCAGTAGTACTACCACTAGGCTACTGGCAAATTGGCCGATCCACTCCTATTCTCACGGGCACCCTGGAGATGCCTAGAACAGTCGCAGATTTTCAGTTTGTGCTAAGAGCGCCACAGGACCCTCGGCTGTGTTGGAGACGACTGGGGCTCTTCCGTCTGCTGGTGAAACACCGGCGTGGTTTACCTCTTTGACATCCCCCGTGCGCGAGTCCGTTTGATTGCGTCTATTATTTACCTCGTCCCGATGAGGATGGAAGCGTTTGGAGTACTGACTACCTCCATTCCAAGGGGCCAGCACGTGTGACAATCTGGTACCCGGTACCCACCACTTGCTTCATCAGCCCCACGGAGAGCATCAACACATCTTTGAATACTCCGTGTAGCTGCAGCCCCCGGACAACGCCCTTTCCGCCTACTCGTTTCCAGTCTTTGGCTGACCTTCAGGCCACGCATGCGATGGTCCTAGTCCCATTTTTAATTCACTGGTACCTTGAAAGAACACAAGATTCAATAATTCCGCATTGTCTCCTGCCGTACCTTCCCTCGGCAATTAGAATCTTGCCCTTAGACACCGGTGCCCCGTTCCACGCCCGTCAACTTACAATCTTTCCCGTAGCAACCCTGAAGCATCAACCTTCTCTCTCCTGATCTCACCCTTCTTTCGCCAGTCTCGTCTGATTACTTGGCGACATCTCTTTGCTGTGTTGCTCCGCGCACGCTTTCAGTCTCTGTCAATTGCCCTTCCCCGTCTCCATCTTACTGAAGCGCACGGAGATAAGGATGACCTACCTTATTGACAGCTACCAGCGGTTCCTGGCCAGTCCCAGGAACGCACCCCTGGCTACCAATGCCACATTGATCTATGTCCCTGTGACGACCAAGGTCGAAGGCGCCGATGCGATCGCGACTCACACGTCACGCCAATCACATATTGTCAAGAAGACATCCGACAAAGTGATGAATGCTATTGAGAGCTCCGATGCCCTGTGCTTGGATATGGAGACCACCCTGCACTTCGTCGAGGGCGGCGGCGTGTATCTCCCTTCACTCGACGATAATTTCTTGGTCAATCGCGTCGTCACCTTTCCTACGGTAAGTCATTTCATTCGATTGGCTTGCCCTGCCAACAAGCGCAACACGTGGCACTGATCTCTAACACATCTCGATCACCATGCTTGCAGATCCACATTGTCCAATTCAATGCCGAACAGCAGATTCAACAAGTGCGCATTTATTGGGACCAAGGCTCCCTCTTAAAGGAGGTAGAGGTGATTGGCGCGCGGGGTCGAGTTTGGCCCATTCGACCTGCGCAAGACCAGGTTCGACTCTTGAAGACGGCAATTGCAGAGAAATCGACGCCAACCCTCACATCGACGACCGAAAACAAGACTGATCTACCCACCCGACCTGCATCACCAGGAAAGCGATACATTAAAGATCCCTACGCCGCGGATTCGCTCTTCGACTTGCTGTCCCCGATCAAGGATGATCCCACGGCCGGCCAACTCCACGAGGCATCCCAGTCGAAATCATCCAGCAAGAGATATACCCGTGATCCCTACGCTGCCGAGTCCTTGACGGAATTACTTTCTCCCAGCAAGCAAGAGGAGGCTCGCCGACACCCTTACGCTCAGGCAGCCGGACGGCCTCGGGCCCATGACTACAACGAACTGTTCGTCGGGGACGACGATGAGATGCCAAGCACCCCATCAAAAGCCGAGAAGACTGCTGAACCCAGAGTGGGTTCCAAGTTCCAACGCAATCGCATCTTTGGCAATGAAGAAGAACATGACGCCAAGGATGCCCGTGCTCCATACAAGACTGACCCCAAGAAATTCAACCACTTTGAGATCGGCGGTGATAATGCCGAGTTCGAGCTCAAGCAACAGCCGCAGCGCAGCAACCACTCGCGCCAGCAGTCACAGACCGACGCAAATGACTTTTCTACTCCGCAAAAATCGACCCGCGTCACTAAGACTGAGGATGCACGCGGGTTCGGCTACGCTGAGAGTGAGGCAGACCTCCAGACACCGGTCTTTCGCCAAGCTGTGCACAAGCCCCGCCGAGATGCAGATATTCACTTCGATCTGACCGACGATAACGAGGACGAGGAGAACGAGCGCCCAACCAGCTCTTACGAGAACAGGGGCAAAGGGCTTTATGAGAACCGGCTGTTCGATGATGAAGGTACCCCCAAGGCCGATGAAGTCCTCGGCGTCACTGGTAACAAAGCGAGCCGTCTCAGCCACCTGGAGTCACATTGGGAACCAACGGACGAGTCACCCGTGTCGAACAAGACCAAAGATGATGGCCAGAAGCCCATTCCCTTGGATCGGGCCCGCGCTGTTCAAATGATGGAGTCATCCTGGGACAAGTATGACCAGTCTCCTGAACCGATTCGAAATGCCACTGCTTTGCACAATCCCTCGCGTCACAATCAGCCCTCATGGACGATTGGAGATGACTAGTGGTATGGCGAGACCTGAGTTGTGCTGTGAAGAGCCAAGCTCCTTTGGGCCAAGGTTTTTTTTACGCGCTCATCGGACTCTCCAACGCTTTCTTGACCCGTTTCTGCTATGAAATACACGGCCAAGTCAACTTTATGCCCATTACTCGTTTACACCGCCAGATCATGAGCCACGTTTAAATGATACCCACAAGATCTCGATCACCCTGCAAAGGATGAAAAGAGCTGGAGAGAGCTAGAAAAGATAAGATCATGGTATCTTATGGGTGCTATGAGAGAGACACGCCGGCCTCATTTTCTTTTCTTCTTTCGATTCGCGCCTTGAATCCCGTTGAATCGGTGCGCTAAGTCTTGCTGTGCTGTTCCGGAGTGATTCTTTTGTGTGATATTCTTACGCCTTCTGTCCGCGCTAGAAGCGTGGGTTTCATTACCATTTTCTCCTCTGCTTGTTTGTTTGATTCACCATACCACTGTCTTGTGGTGTTACTGTACTCACTTGTTCATTTATCTACTTAAGTCGTTTGAGTTTTTCCGAGTGTAAAAATACATCCATCAAGTCATATTTGAAGTCAGCACTTTTCTACCCGGAGACGCATCAAAAAAGGGACGTCTAGATGCGCCTCTTCTCAACGTGAGCTTTAAGACATGGCAGTCGCCCATCATTTCTTTCATTCGAAGTCAGACGTTTAAGCTCATCATCTGCACGGGCCCAGTCAATTGAAGCAGACAGCCCTGTGCTCTTGACGCATCTGGATCATAGAACGACCAGTCCGGCGAGATGGAACAGAGGTCTCAATTATTCCATCGCGCTGAACTCGATTTGTCTCCTGAGTCTCCTTTCCGCTTATTTCGCTCGGTACGAGGCCATATTAGGTCCTGCTATACATCTATCCCATGGGTCCTCTAGCTTGCAACGCGATGGGCCCTTGCCAGTTTCAGCGACGAGCCTGGCTAGCATGCTGTTTCGCTGATACTGAAGGATGTTCTAGCTCCTCACTAGGTACTCGATAGTGATGGAGAGTCAAAGTCAAATCGAACGGGAATGCTCCTTTGGAGTCTTACTTGTGACTCTGACTGGTGAAAGGGAATGGGGATATAGATTTCATGACTGCCGAGTTGGCGAGAGGATTTCCTTCTTTGCTAGCGCGAGCTACTGGTCCGAGGACATGGATAGGGAATGCAGGATGTCGAGGTCGTTCGTCAATGAGGTTGGTTGTTCGCTTAGGGACTGGCGATAGTTGAAAGGAACCTTGAAGGAGATGGAAAGTGGTCTCGGGATTCTCTGTGCGACTGGGCACGGGATCTTGCAATTCACGCCCACTATGAATGTACGGCAAGATCGATGGAGTGCTTGAGACTTGTGGCTTTGTGTGTTTAAAGATGGCCAGACGTGTAGGGTAAGTGCAAGGCTGTAGATACCTGATGTTGCACTATGTACCGGTGGAGTCGCAAGATCGAGGGTGAGGATATGAGATGGTCAGAGGCCTAGGAAGCCACCGTTACGATAGATTATCATTTGCACGTTGAGAACACATGGACAGCAACTGGCTTCCAACAGGAGGTCATATCCTCTTGTCTTTGGGGTGTGAAGACAAGGACTATCTACATGTCTACCTCTGTATCTATCGAGCCCCCGCCCCGCCATCCGAGCAGCGCAACAGCCGATCAACTCCGTGCTACCGGGCCCATGAGGAGATTTTGCATGATGGCATTTTGGGCTTCCAAAAACGACAGTGGTCAGTGAGAACCAAGAGTGACATGTCGAGGCGGCAGACGTTGGAAGTGGAGTCCGCTCACCCCCCTAGTCCCCCAAACGCCTGGAGTATCGCTCCGTCGAGGTCATTGTCGGGATCCAAGAACAAGTCAAAGTCGACCGTAAAGGGATCGACCGACTGTCCCGACATCAACTCCCACAAGGGCTCGTTGGGAGGACGCTCTTCGAAGGGTGGCTCGGGTGGGCTTTGGACAGGCGAGAGGAACCGGGTCGGTGGCGTGAACTGGAGTGAGAAGCCCTGATCCCCGCATCTCTCGCATGTCACGTCCACGGGATGCCAGCCATAACGTCGAGGGAACTCGAGCTCTTCAACCGGCGTATTGTGGCAGCGCGAACAGGTCTCTACCACAATCTTGGCTCGGAAGGCGATATCGACCAAGTGTGTGTTCATGGCCGCTGCTCCACGAACACTCACCATGCACTGGCTGGGATCCGGCCGACTGACGTACAATGTCACCTCTTCTCTGGTGAAGCGGAAGACGGCTAGGTAAAGCCACTTGAGAGAGAGACATGAGAGTCGAATCATCGTCAGGGTTTCGACGTCAATCGGATCGACCTCGGCCTCCAAATCCACTGCCTCGTTGTCCTTCACTCGAGGGGTTCGAATTCGCATAGCCCGAACAAGAGCGGCATTGTCCGGGCCAATCTTTTCGAGGAATTCAAGAGGGGCTCTGCCCGAAGGCTCGTCCAGGGCAAAGACATTGTCGCCGTACAGGATTCCGCGGGCCTCCGCGTAGATCTGCTTGTTGACGCGGAGCAGTTGAGGGCTCACCTGGGCGTTGCGCTCCACAGGCGTGATGGGCCCGTCAGCGACCAGGACCTGCTCGTAGATCTTGTTGCGGATCTCGGCAGGGAGAGTGAGAAGAGCCGGGCGGGAGCCAGGGAGGAAGGCGGCCGCATCGCGGAGACGGCGGCGTTCGCGAGCCCGAATGTGGGCAGGGCTATTACCAGGACCAGTGGCATACCCAGTGAGCGTGCCAGGAAGGGAGCTCCAGGTAGCGGGAGAGCCCCAGACGGTGGGATAACCCCATCGCGAGAGAGAGTCCCAGATCGACGGGAAGCCAGAGGCAGGAACAGTGCCCGAGACGGAGGAAGCGTCAGAGGAGGGAGAGGCAGGGCCAGAGGCAGAGGGAGAAGCCTGGACAGAGGGAGAGGGAGAGGCCCAGATAGAGGAAGAAGCAACCCCAGAGACCGAGATTGAGCCCCAGGAGCCAGAGCCAGAAGGAGAGGCAGGGCGAGAGACGGAGGGAGAAGCAAGACCAGCTGGAGAGGCAGGGCGAGCAGGAGAAGCAGAGCCAGAAGAGGCGGAGGCGGAAGCAGTGGTGGAAGCCATCTTTGTTAAAGGCAAGAGATGAGAGAAACCTTTTTAAAAAGGGAAGAAACAAGAAGGGGAAAGGAGGACCATGTGAAGAAAAGGCGACAACGAATTGAGTCGGTTGAGAGGTAAGAGTGCAAGACGAGTTGAAGAAGAGTGACGTCGAGCTTGATTTTCGAGTTGGACTGAGTGCTGTAAGCCACAGAAGTTGTTGTTGAGTAAGTAGAAGCTGTAGAAGAGACGAGGAAGCCACGAGGAAGGGGACGAAAGACAGAAAGCAAGCAAGTGTGCGAGGAGAGCTATTTTATAGTCCGATGCTGGGCCACTCCGAGATCTGATGGTTGTGTCGTGAATCGCCAGATTGAGTAACAGCGAAAGCAAACATTGAGCACATGCAGACAATAGGATCAGGTAAGGTAGCTTCACGGGGTTGATGCTTTCGTAAGTGAAATTGAATTGCACAGGCAAACACAAGCACACCACTGCCTGACCACATCAATGCGGAGGCAGCAGCCCAAAATCTCAGTGGGAGAAGTCGACGAGGACGATGTAAACGCGCTAGCATATTGATGAATCAATGTCATGATCTCTGATATTGAAAGATTACTATAGAGGCATTTCTCCAGAGAGCCCACTTTATCGAGCCTAATATCAGCTAATCAGGTCCCACGGAGAAAGTTGGCTAGCCAACATTCCAGTAGTGACATCGAACAGGTGGAGGTCATTCGAGAAGTATTTGCTGATGTCCGGCAGTAGCTACTTCAATAAAGAGAGCGACTACCGTACGAATCAAGGAATAATCAGTCAGAGAGTAGTATGGTTCGTGGAGGATCTTGCCATGCTTGATCATATAGCAACATTGCAGATGCCTGATGCGGTGCGAACTGATATTGGAGACATTGCCATCCAGCATCTTCCGTGATTCAGGTAGATGAAAACCTCACGTATGGTAGTTGCACAACCTACTCCTTTAGACTTGAGACTACATCGCTACTGAAATCACCCAGCCCCCCTTGCGAGCGAACGAGCAGGACTTGCAAAATTATCTCCAAGATTAGGTCATCGGTCGGTTGACTTCAGACCTTTCCGACTCCACTGATTACTTACTGGGCTCCGTCTCCTTGACCTTAGAACAGATGAAATGGGCAGTGGTACGAAAAGCCGAATCGATAGATGCAGATGGGCAAGACACATTCGTGTTGCATCGAGAATGCAGCCATCGAATTCGAGGAAGGCGTGATTCGTTCAAAGGTGCACCGAGCAAAGCTTTGAGTTTGCATGTCCTGAATTACTTCCACTGCTTACGATTTCAACATCATCCTTTCGAATGTCTGAGCTGAAGGACCTCTCTCTACCAGCGCGTACCTACAAGGCAGGCTAGCCAACGTACGGGTGAACAAGAACACAGGAAAGCGGGAAACGATGAAATGAAGATCATAGCTAATGACAAAACTACATGTAGGACGCCCCAAGCCTACGAAAATCAAGCGATAAACTTGCCAAATAAGAAGTTCGAGATCAAGCCACAGATGAGAAAACAAATAATTCAACACCTCCTCCCCTCCTTCCAAATAAAAACGTGATCGAAATCAGCGGCAAAGAGCTAGCCGTGTACACAGCCCGTTGGTCCAACGTCAAGCATGAGCGCCTAGATGTAGAACATAGTATCCTTGACGCTAGCATGCACAGTAGCTTGGCTCTCCTCAGGGACGCGGCTACCACCATCACCTCCGACCACACTGCCCGCTGGAGTAGCAGAGGGAGTAGGGTCAAAGAGGTCGCTCATGAAACAGCGCGCACGGGTGCAGACAAGATCGGCGTAGTAGGCAGGAGGACAAACACTGACAGCCTTGGTCGCACGGCCGAAAAGATAGCACATCTTGTGGGTCAGATCTTGAAGTCTATCGGCGGCACCGCTCTGTCCAACACCAGGATACAGGGGGTAGAAGATCTCATCCCACACGGTGAAGTAGTGAGCAGGACGAGCCGTGCCTTGCAGACATGAGTGAGCCTGCAGGTAGAAGTCCCAGTGACGAGCTTCAGAGATACCGCGGTCGACGACAGTACCGGGTTGAGGGTTGGCCGACCGCTCAGCATCCTTATCACTCGTGGGATAGAAGCGAGTGTTGTGACGCTTTCCGACAATCACAATCGCCATACGAGGAAGTCCCTTCTTCGTATCCGAAGCAGGATACATAGTCTCGCAAGCTCTCTTCAGCAAGGGTAGTTCCTTATCAATCACGATATCGTACTGGCCCTCAGACACACCATCGCGGTAGACAACAATATTCTCTGGCAGCTTACCACGATTGGTGTTGGCCCAGAGCTTGATCCGAGACTGAAGCAAGGTGTCCAAATCAGACACGATCTCCTGGCGCGCCGGCTGAATACGAATATCAGCAGGCCACTGAGCCAGCTGCGCGTCCACCGAGGCTACGATGCCCACTACACTGGGGGCCGTGCTAGCAGAGCCCGGCGAAGGGTGAGTCACGTCCAGGCCGACAAGCATGGTCTTGCCGTCTGCGAAAAAGCCCAGGTCGGAGTTTCGCAGCGTCTGATTGGCGCCACCCATCTTGAGGTTGATCTTGAGTCCCACGTTGGCCCAGTACTGAACGGTGGCGCCTCGAACCTTTTCGGCCAGGACATTGACGTTACGCACACCACAACGAACATCACAGACTTGCTTCATCGTGTTGTAGACCTCGGTCTCCTTAGCGTACAAGATACCCAGGATCATTTGAGGGTTGTGCACCGCTTGCAATTCACGCACGGCCTTTTCAATAACCGTCGCACTGTCACCATTACGAGGGAGCTCAATCCTCTTGCCCGCCTTGTGCCCCTCCACGGAAACACCCATATCTCGGAGAGTCCGAGTCAAATTCTCCAATCCTTGGGTCAAGGTTGCCGGGTCAAGTCCGTGCCTGCTGCCGGGAGCGTCAATAAAGAGCCACGTCCAGCTCTTTAAAATCGCGGGCTTGCAGAATTGAATTGACTGCATGTTCCAGCTTCCGAATTTGACTTGCAGCTCTTGCTTTTTGGCGTACATGATTTTTGGCGGCGGCAGGACACGTCCCTGCACAGTAACAAGCGCGTTACCTACGTTGATACCAAAAGATGCCTAAAGTAAAGCAGGATCAGCTGAAAGTGGCGAAGAGACTCATGACGGAACCGTTAAGAAGTCTAGAAGCTGCCGAGGTTGTACAAGATAGAACAATCCCGCAGGTGTCTTGAACTTACCAGAGTGGCATTGACCGGCTGGCCGATTCCCAGTACACCGACACCTTTGGTGACGATAGATTGAGCATTCTGCGCGGGCGTACGGCCCTTGACTGCAAAGTTCAGCATATTCTGAGTCTGGCGGGGAGACAGCTTGTTCTTCACTGGCTGGCCAGCCTCAACCTCGCAGACCTCCACAGGAAGATAAACAGGCTTGTCCCGAGTTCCGACATTGACAACAGGAAGGTCGGGATTGACCGTGATATTGTATTCTATTCACAGTCAGTTTCCGCCGAGTGACATGCTACTGCACCTCCATCGTGGATCACAAGAAGCACGACTTACCCTTCTTGAAGAAGTCTGCGACACTCACGTATTGTCCAGCAGGAGTTGGACCGGCCCTAGGAGGAGCCTTCTTGCCCTTCTTACCCTTCGGCTCTTCGGACCCGGGCGGCGAAGGTTGGGGACTGGGTCCCTCGAGGAAGAATTTAACTGCGTGCGGTCCGGCTCCAAAGACATCAACCTTCGGTCGATTCGTATTCGAGCCGCCATCTTGAGGGGTTGCAAGCCCGGAGATGGTCTTCACGCGAGCAGGCCTCTCCTTGCCATTCCTGCCCTTACGCTTAATATGAGTGATGCTCACACGCATGCGCTTCAGGAAAGCTTCCAGGCGGTAGTTCTTCTGGGACCGGTTACTGTAGAGCCAGTCTCCAATGACTTGCGTCAAGGGGCCTGCTTGATAACAAGCCAGGTACTTGACCTGGACATTCAGCAGAATGCGAGCTGTGGCAGCTCGAACACTCACGAAGAATCCGCGAAGCACTTCGAGGCCCCCTTCCAAGCTGGCGCTTTCCATGGTGCCTCCTTGGAAGCTGTAGTGTCTATTACCGCCAATTGAGGCGACTTCGCGATTTGTCTTGGGATGATGTCCCAAGATCAAGTTGAGCGCCTGAATGATTTCAGGCTTTGAAGTCAACATGTTTCCAGCGTTAGTTGACGTGAGATAATTGATCAGTTCAGCTGGGTTGATGTCTCCAGTGTGCTGGGTGGTGACTCTGAACACCTTGGGATTCTCAGAATAATCCTCGTCGTTCTCATCTTTGTAACGAACGTCAAAGGTGCCATCCTTCAGTTTTGACACTGAAATGAGAGTCGATCGGTAGTCCGTAGCCACACTGTTGAGCTTGTCTGGGAAATGCTCCTCGAGCAAGAGGCGCACAATTTGGCGCGCCTTTCTGCCTGCAGGCTCTCGACCACCTTCGGCGGCGATCGAGACATGGTAGCGATAGATCGGTTTACCTGTCGAGGTAAACGGCAGATAATTGGCATAGAGAGTCACTGGCCGTCCCAGCGTACCGTAGCCTGGCCGGTCTGGATAGGCCTGGGCAGCGTTCTTCCCATTCTTTTGGTAGTTGGCAACAAGCGCCTTGGCCGTCGCATCTTCCGTTTTGGTGACAACGGCATCTGGCGGAGGGATCGCATTGCCCTCACTATAGGGCTCAGTGAGTCAATCTTTACTCTCTTGAATGGGCACTGGTCTTGAAAAGACGCTGACGATTCCCGCCGTCCTCCTTGGGAGGTAATCGTTGGAACACTTACTTGTGAATTCGAGGACCAGGAGGTCCTCCAAACCCACCACGGCCACGGCCACGGAAGTCACCACGACCACCTCGATCACCACCACCACGACCTCGGTCACCACCATGGCCTCCCCGGAAGTCACCACGGAAATCACCTCGACCACCACGCTCAGAGGGACGGAATGGTAGATCTTGGAAATCACCACGGCCCCGACCGCCTCCACGGTCCCCTACATCTCCGCCTCGTGGCCCTCGACCCCGACCGCCACGGCCGCGGGGCTGGTCAGACATCTTGTGTTAACGTAGTAAGAATACCAGTTCCTGGTTAAAGGTTGACTGGTCACTAGTGTATTGAGTGTCAGAAAGATATTAGAAAGGAGGAACTCGTGTCAGGATTTAAGAGTATTAAAGCAAAGGGACCGAGAGGGAAGTGGTGTCAGATTGTTGATTAGCTGGCCCCATATTAATATTTTCATACGGGGGCGCGTATTGCGTTTGTCTCGAGCTGTTGTTCATCCGTTGCCAACACACAAAGAAAGCGTGATTGATTGGGGCAGGGATCTACGTGTTTTTGGATCTATCTCAACTTGAATCGTGGCCAACCAACAGTTTTGGGGTTCTGATCGGAAGGCTTGTTACTATGAAGTATTCGAAGGTAAAATACCGAGGTAACTACTTTCTTCGTCTGTAGAGATATGAGTCAAAGCATAGTACTTAAGTACTGAAGCTATAAAGGGAGACCAAAGTATCAATGATACATCTTGTGGAAACGGAGGTAGAGCTAAACATGGGATACTGATATGAGGTGTCTGATTTTCACGCTCAAGGTGAGCTACCTAACTCATGTAGTAGTATATACATTCTACGATGTCATGGATCCTCTGCTATACCTATGCTTGACTACCTGTGACCGCTGCGAATGCTCAACGGGTCCTGGTCAGGCATACATCAGAGGCGCAGTAGTACACTCGTTTGTCTGCCTAGAGTGGCGTGACACAAACAAGTGGATACTATCTACTGTAGACGGGAATGCTCAAGGCAGTCTGATCTCACCAGATAGGTCGAGTCATAGAGGAACCAAACTACAACCACCAGCACGCACGTCCAGAGATCTCCCAGCCCGACCGTACGACACCTATCCGTTGTATGTCAAGAGGCACATGTGAAGATTAAAAGGAGTGTATCATTGTAATACAAAAGAATCCGACCGTAAAGACTGTCCTGAACCCTTAATTCCCTTCTCCGATGGATCTCCCGGATCCCATGAAGTCGTTTAATTCCTTGGTTGTCAAGTTGATTGACCCCCTCTCGTAATGTCTAACTAGTCTCTCCCGACTAAAAGGCCACCATCAGGCACACGCACCTCTGCAAGCCATCTGCTCCATATACACGTAACCGGATTCCCTACTACACTACGTATTATTTTGTATTTAGAATTTAAAGCGTACCTTATGATTAGCAGCCCTTGATATACTTACGTCGGAGGGATTTCGGTAGTCCCTCGTGACGATAGTTACTTAGTAGTATTGACTCGTCAAAGAGTGAGTACAGTACATAGATTTAGTTGTGATTGTCTATATCTCATCTTTATCTACTATCACGAACACGACACACAAATAGACACATGATACCTTATACAACAGCCTCGTAGAAAAGGCTGATTCACCAGGCACCTAGAGGCTAGGTGCAGAGAATAGAACGACCATGAAACAAATGAGAACCTCCTCGCTATGTCTTCTCATAGGCAGTAGATAAGCCAGTACCTCTCTGATGCACTCTATCGGTGCTACACATTATTCTGAAGTCCCATTTCTCAATGGATGATCTAGAGCTTTGGTCTGACCTCTAAGTTAGCTAGTCAGGGCTGCCGACCGGGAGATGTCATACGTGTGTGGCGATCGCGATGTTTCCATAACCGTAAGAGCATGTTCATAGGTACATCGGGCATATGTCTAGCTAATGATTGCAGTATTTTCCCACCCTGTCCATTGTCTACTAGTAGACTTCTGGTATGACTCACCATATCCCTGTTCAGTTGTCAAATACCAGGTATATATTCGTTTCCGACGAACAAGACACTAATCAGGTTCGTTGACTTTAGGCGTTCCAGGTGACATTTTATGGTCCGGCACATCGTCGTTGTTCCACATTTGACCCTGGAGGGAAGACTGACCCATGATTCGAAGAATTTACGATACCCAAAGTTATTTGTTGCTTGCCTAGAGATTTCCCTGTAGACCAAGAATGTCCCACCAAGGGCTGTTGGAGTGCAGACTCTATTGGACTCTTATTCAAGTTCAAAATTGGTAGAGTGATACTTTCCAGGTTCCACTAAACTGGTCACGGTATCAGCATGTACGTGTCGAGCCTACGGGAAATCCTGTACTACTGCCTAATTTCTAAATAGTAACTACTAACTAGTAAATGCCAATGGTGACTACTAACTAGTAAATGGTACAATAGTAAATACTGTGGTAATACTACCGCACAACTCTAAAAGACAAAAGCAGTAACGGTGCTTCCAGAACGTGGTTCCAGTCCCCCCCCACTTTTTGGACTGTTGTCTGGGCGAACCACACAGCAAAAGTGAGCCTCGAGAGTTACCCGTGAACTCATCATTGACATTGATCCGACTTTATCGGCCTGATAAGGCGAGCAGGCCGGAGATAACTGCGGGATTAATCATCAGTACTGAGTACGGTCGCGTTAAGGTTCGAGGAGACTCGAGGAAATTCGGCATCAGTCTTTGTCTTCTCGTCTGATTCTCCTCATCCTTTGGAGGAACTGATCTGGAACAGGATCATTAGCTGTGTCAGATTGCGGAGATACTCTACCTAACTGGATCACCCTCCGCAAATCGTGACACTTCTTGGCCCCCACGGCTCTCGAAATTCGTCTCGGTTTTCCCGCAGCGGCAGCAACCCCTCGTACTGGGTACCGGCGCCGACTGCAAGCTGGCTCAGCGCAACCCGCAGCAGTGGTTGCTAGCTTTCGACAATTCCTCCACGCTTTACGACCTCCACTCTAGCTGGTCGCATCTTCAAGGAAGTTTGCATCACGTACTTGATTCCCCCTCCACCAGTGCGACGCAGTCGGAATTGCGCCAAGTATCAGGGGACACGACGTGGTTTATCCAAACCCAGCGCACCGTTTTACGAACCCATTGCCAAGAGTCGCCCGTCAGACGACAACATCTACACATCCTGCCACAGTAGCGGTCGCTAAAGCCGGCGCAAATACAATCGTCTATCGACAACCGCGCCGAATCATCCACATCTCATCGCTCATACCAGCTCCCCTGCACGCGAACCGGGCCGTAGTCTCAGGGAGTGTGGCGGCCTACAGACATTCAGTTTGCAGCCCCAAATACCTACAGGACTTGTCGATTGAACTCACGGAGCGGAGACACGAGCTCTGCTTACGGTAGATCCTCAGTATGACACCCACACCGCCATCAACGACGTCGTCCAGTGCAGGCGCGCATTCCCCTGACTTCAGGGTAATTCGCAAACGCAACCGAGTACCACTTTCCTGTGCGCCTTGCCGCCATCGCAAGTAAGTTTCCTATCATCTCTGGAGGTGGTGCGGCCGGCAACAATCTTGTGGAAACGCGTGTGTCCATGCCTATCCCCAGCCAGTTATTGACAGGCCTCATCTTAGGTTGAAATGTAACCGCTCTCATCCTTGTGAGAACTGTGTCAAACGAGGTGATGCGGCATCCTGCAGCTACGCCCAGGCAAGCAATCGGAAAAAGACCTCTCCCCAACAGACTGCGCTCACCTCACCCGATGATATGCAAAATCGAATCGACCGGCTGGAAGGTCTAGTTCTATCTTTGATGACCAACGGTAATCAGTCGTCTGGTCCTGCGGCCGCTTTGGCCGCAATCTCAGGAGAAAGCAGTGCTGGGTCAACACGACTTTCGAACGAGATCGACGTCGACGACATGGACAATGGCAACGAAGGCAACCCAGAGGAAAGCGACACGGAACAAGTCACAAAGTCCTTCGGAGTGATGAAGATGGACAGCGGCAAGTCGTATTACCTCAGTGAAGCGCATTGGGCATCGGTGCTGCATGATGTGAGTCGACACCTTCAATTTTCCGTATCCAACTAGTGTGATGTGTGATTGATCTCTGACCCGAATCCACCCTAGATTGCCGAAGTCAGGAATTTTTTTACCACGCATAAGAAACAATTCGACGACCAGGCAGAGAAGCTGGCTGCGACGAGGCCAGCAGGTGAGGGCCTTGGTGGGTCCTCGATCCTCTTTGGGGTCATGAAGCCCTTGAGCCGACCGGAGATCATGGCAGCCATGCCATCGAAGTACACAACCGATATCCTTGTCGCTCGTTACTTTAACAGCTACGACCCTGCAACGCACATCCTTCACGGTCCGTCATTCCAAGCACAATATAATCGACACTGGGAGGACCCGTCGCAAACGGAACTCGTGTGGATTGCCCTGCTTTTTGCGATGATGAGATTATCCATGCTCTCCTATCATCGAGAAGGGGACGAGCCTCCAGAGTTCCGGGGCAAGTGTATTGACATGGCGGCATCGTTCCGGACTTCGGTGGCACAATGTCTGACCTTGGCCGACTTTACGAAACCGCACCGCTTCTTAATCGAAGCACTCGTTTTCCACCTCCACGGTGACTTTTCACAAACCCGGGATGCGGATATCTCAATCTGGGTCTTGGCGGGCGTAATCGCACGACTAGCGATGCGAATGGGGTATCACCGTGACTCAAAGTCGTTCCCCAACGTGACACCGTTCCAAGGTGAGATGCGGCGTCGTGTCTGGGCATTTGTACGGCAGGCAGATTTGCTATTCTCTTTTCAGGTGGGCATGCCAAGTATGCTTCGCACCACCGATACGGACACGGAGCTGCCACGCAACCTGTATGATGATGATTTTGATGAAGACTCACAAGAATTGCCGCCGGCTCGCCAACTCAGTGAACCGACGCCGATTTCATATTTGATCTCCAAAGCCCGCTTGTCGTATGCTTTCGGCCGGGTGAACGAGTACTACTCGGCAGTGACCTCCTCGTCCTATGAGCAGGTCATGGAAATTGATGCGGATCTTCGACGGGCTCGCGACATGATTCCTGATCATCTCCAGATCAGACCCATGCAGGAATGTCAACATGACCCTCTCAACCTTATCATATCACGCTATTCGGTGAGTCCTGAGCTACTGGACGTAACGACTCCAACTCGCGGCTCCTACTAACGGGATTAATCTCTAGGTGATGACTATATACCACAAAGCGCAGTGTATGCTGCATCGTCCATACCTGATACGTGCCCGAGAAAATCCCCGCTTTACCTATTCTCGCCGCACTTGCATTGACTCTGCACTCGAGATCCTGGAGTCTCAAGCTGTGTTGCATTCAGAGGCACGGAATAGCCGTCTGCGTGGCCGCGACTTACACTCTTCCCTCAGTAGCGCGGATTATCTCCTCGCAGCTACGATTGTCTGTCTTGATCTCTACCAAACCTTCCAACCACAAGCTTCAAATCGTCCCTATGGCGACACATATGCATGGGGCCGCGAACGAGGCGAGGAAATGCTTGCTATCATCCAGCGCTCGAAAGAGATTTGGGAACTGCAGCGGGAAGAGAGCATGGAAGCTTTCAAAGCTTGTTCGGTTTTGGAGGTCATGCTCAAAAAGCTCCATAGCGCAGTCCCCGGGCGTGATAACATCCCGAGTGCAGGCGGCGCTATGTTCGAGCCGCAGGATGAGAAACAAAATGCGGCAATGACGCTCGGCCTCCTCAGTAGCGGGATGAGTCCAATGAACCCTGGTCCCTCACCATACCCGGACCCCTTGTTCAAGATGGGTGGTGGTGCGGACACATCAGTACCGATGGGCACGACGGGTGCGACGACGATGCCAGGAGAGATGCCCGGTCCATTGTCGCCGTTTAGTAGCATGTTTGGATCGATGCCAGACATGCAAGTCAATTTAGATTGGGTAAGTCAACAACGAACTGAGAGGCCCTTGCCTTGTAAGAAACCGCGAGTGAGCTGACAATTTCTTCGCAGGATGCTTGGGACACTTATATTCAAAATCCCAATTTTGACACTGCGAATCAGTTCTGGCCCATGATGGACGTACAGCGTCAACCAACGCCTCAAGGGGTCGGGCTGACACAACCCGCGATGACGGATCCCCTGGCGTCAACGATTCGACCGCCAACCATGTCAAATGGCCCTCCAATGCCGCGTCTCTCTAATGTGTTTTCGCCCCCGGGCCCTTCTCCTGAAAGCGCGAGTTCGTCGGTTCCAGGGTTCACGCCGACCTCGTCACAGTCAGGGGCGACCGGTCGCAGTCAAGGCTCAATCTGATGATGGGCCATATGTTTTGTTTCAGACCCGGCGAATTTGTTGGGATACTAGTTGATATTGATACCTCACTTTGCGAAACCACTGTTTGAATTTTGCGCTGCAGATGAAATATCCATCTTCCTTGGTGCTGAACGGGTTACAATTATTATGAATGCCGTGCTCTTACCGACATTGTGTTAGGGTTGGAATGGACATGCGCAATGGGCGTTAATCTTTTGGGAAAACTCAATGTACATTATGAGATAGATCGAGACCCCTCTACTCTCAAAACATCAGATTTTGGTGCATATATCTTGATTATTGATTGTCCCCAGGGAAGTAGAAGGAGTGTGAAGCAACTCTCGCCCATCATCGTGAAGACTTGGTCAATTGCTCTCCGCGCTCCATTGGCGATGCATCCGGGAAACCACAGGCAGTAGACCTCGGGCTAGGTTTTTGATAGACTGGCCTAGTTCCAGACTGCGATCCATCTTCAGTTCTGATGTCAGCGCAATAAATGTAGCGCCTGCGTAACAGACTGGATACATGTCAGGGCACCTGCCTCGTCCTCTGTCGCTTCCCAATTAGGCAAGGCCTCGTGACTTGCCATCCCCATCATGTATCTCCCGACCGCAGCTCTATTCAGAATAAACCATGTTTCGTCCTTCCAACGCTTTTCCGTAGCAGTACAGTCGAGACTCGAGAGTTCAAACCAGTAGTGTAGTAAATCCAGTCCCTGATCATACGAATCGTTCAATTAATTGTACATGAACCCACTTGATGAACCGGCGAGTCCGGACACATATCACGTGACTGTTCTTATCGCTCCGCGGAACTTTTTTGGATTGATGCGGAACACATGCTACGGACAAAGCACCCGTGAATAATTGTTGTGAAAACTTTTTGGTCAAACACATCTTATCTTGGGAGAAAAGAAAATGTAATGTGATGGCATGCTTGACGAAGGATTGTTTCTTCTTGGTGATGAAACAACTTTTGCTGACTTTGGCTTCCTTCCAGGCATTGTCTCCGTCGAACCTCAACTCGTGTCGTGACATCGTTACACTCGTGTCCAACGATATCCAATGCGCGCTCGCGGTGCTTGACAGCTTTTCGCTTGCAATCGAATATTCAAAGACGTACTTTGCGCAACACAGCTTTTTCGATTCGTTCCAACTCATCGCAGAGCTCATCATTACCTCCGTCCAGTACGGGCCAAAAGGAGGACGATCACACTTTGCAACACTCCGATTCCGTATCAACGAGGCCTGCCCAAACGGGGTCCTCTCAGCAAGATGCTCAATCCAAGCAAACGACAAGCACTACGCCAAAAGTCAAAATCCCACCGAACGAAACTGTATACATTGGGAACCTTTTCTACGATATCACAGCTGAGGATTTGCGAAAACACATGGAGAAGTTCGGGACTGTTCTGCATACCATGATTGTGCATGATAATCGCGGTCTCAGTAAAGGGTATGTACTCTGACATCACTCATTTTTCTCCTCGATACCCTGATTTTGTGCTGATCGTCCAATCGAATTCTAGTTTTGGCTACGTTCAATTTAATACCATCGACGAAGCCACGGCCGCCGTCCAAGGCATGCACTCTACGATTTTAGAAGGGCGTCAAGTGGTCGCACACTACGCCCGTAGCCATTTTAATTACCAACGCGCATCATACCCTCCAACGGAAACCCTTTTCATTGGCAGCCTTCCTCTCGAAATGACGGACCGGGACTTGCAGGATCTCGTCCACGACGTCAAGAATCTCCTCGATGTTCGCATCCCTGTTGACCGTCGATCTGGCATGCCGCGAGGTTTTGCGCACATGGAGTTCCTCGATACCGAATCGGCCATGCAGGCGATGGAAGTCCTCGCGAGGAAAAGACCATACGGGCGTAAATTGGCTGTTACATTCGCGGAAAGGAAACGAGTTGGCATGATGAAACCTCGACTGGAGCCTGTTGACCGGGAGCATGCGCAAGCAGAGGCCGCAGCGAGGAGGCGGGACAGGGCCAGAAGGGAAGCCGAGGAGGCTGAAAGGGCATTGGAGAAAGAAATGATATCGGCCGAGGGCGAGAAGGTTGATGAATCATTGCCGTGGAAAGAAAAGGCGTAGGCTTTTCAACCCGACTTTTGTATTACACTTTATACCCATATTTCGAAAGACAGATTTTTTCCCCGGCTCAAAATTTTTCTGGCTTGTCTGGACCTCAAATACCTTGGACCTTACGTTTTTTGGCCCTATAAGCGTGACTTGCTCACCGGTAACACCCTCATCAACATAGACTACTGCTCGGTGGGTTTACCGCTTGCTTGTTGATGCCAGCGAATTGCCGTCCACGTGACCTCCGGGGAACCTCGGCTGACGGCAAGCTCATTAGTGACTGATCCAACCCCACGTCTCGGGCAAATATCCGGGGACACTGTCTTTTGTCCTTTCTCTCAACTTGTGTCAGCTTGTGCCTCTGAATATCCTTGGGCATTTTTTCTTGAATAGCGTCAACACGGATACTCTGGTATCCTCTCATTTTATATCTTATATACACACAAACACTTATACACGGGTTAACGACATGTCGTTCCTCGGCGGAGCTGAATGCTCAACGGCGGGAAACCCCCTCACGCAATTCACAAAGCATGTCCAAGATGACAAGTCCCTACAACGTGACCGGCTGGTCGGTCGGGCGCCGGGAATGCAAGAGAGTATGCGATCACGGGGTATGATGGGAGGACAGGATCAGGTGTGTGCTTTGTGCTCGAGAAACTTTGCGAGCCAACAACCCCAGTCTTCCACTCAGGCCGCGCGCGGAGAGGGGTAGTAGTGGAGGCCTGTGTACCCCCCAGATTCGTGAAGAATCAGACCGACGACTAACCATACGGCCTGTTGGACCTTTTGTGTCCGTGGGCCATGTCAATGTATAGATGATGGATGATTTCATGCAACAGCCCGGCCAGCAATTAAATGGACCGTCACCACAGCCATTTGCCATGGAGCACATGCGTCGAGAGCTAGAGAACTTCCAAAACGTGCCTGCTCGGACAGGATCCCCCGGCTGGGCCGCGGAGTTTGACCCCGGCGAGCAAGCTCGTATGGAGGCTGCGTTTCCGGGCGCGGCCCAGATGAACAACACGCCTGGATTTGCCCCGGCGGAGTTTGCGCGTTTTCAGCAACAGAGTCGCATGGGTATGCCTCAATCGCAAAGTCCTGCGACGGCCGCGACTCCGCCGCTGATGGCGGGTTATCAGCACCCTATGGGGATGGGTGGTTACATGGGTGCCATGGGAAGCATGGGTGGTATGGGCATGATGCGGCCGATGGGAATGCAATCACCGATGATGCAACAACAGCAGCAGCCGCAGCAGCCAATGGAGGGACAGACACAAGATAAGGGCAAGGGTCGAATGGTCGAACTTGACGACGAGAACTGGGAGGCCCAATTTGCGGAGATGGAGACTGCTGGCAATGAGGTTCAGGTTGATGACGAGGCCAACGCGGCAATGGAGGCGGAGCTGAACGAGCTGGACAGGTCAGTGCCCATCTCCGAGGATGCGTTTGAGTCTGTGTGGGAACGAATCCAAGCTGAGACCGCCGCGAGTAGAAAATTGGCCGAGGAGGGCGGTGACTTTGATGTCACGGACAGTGTGCACGTCGGTGACCTAGGTGACTGGGACGGCTTCGATAGCCTCAACACGCGCTTCCGCGACCCTCAGCTGGGCGACTACATGTTTGAGCAAGACAATGTGTACTCGGCCGTGAACAACCCGTTCGAAGAAGGTGTGAAGATCATGCGGGAAGGGGGCAACCTCTCACTCGCGGCGTTAGCTTTTGAAGCTGCGGTTCAAAAAGATCCTCAACATGTACAAGCGTGGACGATGCTGGGCTCCGCGCAGGCCCAGAATGAAAAGGAACTTCCAGCGATCAGAGCCTTGGAGCAGGCACTCAAGATCGACCCGGGCAACCTGGACGCATTGATGGGACTGGCCGTCTCATATACCAACGAGGGATACGACTCCACCGCCTACCGTACCCTTGAGCGCTGGCTATCACATAAATATCCCTCCATCATCGACCCCAAAGAAGTGTCCGGTGACGCAGACCTCGGATTCACAGACCGCCAACTCTTGCATGACCGTGTCACGGAGCTGTTCATCAAGGCCGCCCAATTGTCACCCTCAGGTGCACAGATGGACCCAGACGTCCAAGTCGGTCTGGGTGTCCTCTTCTACTGCGCCGAGGAATACGACAAGGCCGTGGACTGCTTCTCCGCCGCCCTGGCCTCCACCGAATCCGGCAGCACCAACCAGCGCGAGCAACTGCATCTACTGTGGAACCGCCTGGGCGCCACCCTAGCCAACAGCGGTCGCTCCGAGGAAGCCATCGAAGCCTACGAACAAGCCCTGACCATCAACCCCAATTTCGTTCGAGCCCGCTACAACCTCGGCGTCTCATGCATCAACATCGGCTGCTACCCCGAAGCTGCACAGCACCTTCTCGGTGCGCTTTCGATGCACCGCGTCGTCGAGCAAGAAGGTCGTGAACGAGCGCGCGAGATCATCGGCGACGGAGGCGCAGCCAATGGCCTGGACGACGAGCGTCTGGAGCGAATGCTCCACATCAGTCAGAACCAGAGCACGAACTTGTACGACACGCTTCGTCGGGTCTTCAGCCAGATGGGCCGGCGAGATTTGGCCGATCAGGTGGTGGCCGGTATGGATGTGAATATTTTCCGCAAGGAATTTGAATTTTAGACTCGTTTATTCCCCGCAATGAATGATGAAGCCTGCATGTGCAAATTTGGGGCTCTGTTGGAAGAGGATCCGTTCATCCATGTAAGCCCTCGTTCAGAGAACGCGATGTCGTAGGTCAGTGCAAGGGCTTGATCTTAGGCTGGTACGTATTCCAGGCTGGCAGGGGCCACGAAACTTGTTGAAAGAACCCGCTCTTCCTGAACCGTATGAACGCAACGTAGAATCTACACCCTCGTCCATCTCTACGTCCAATACCCAAGTTCCGTAGGAACTCCGACCATCAAGTCCAGAAACCAGTGGACACACCAATAGACAAGACTCTGAGAAAAGTTTCCATCTCGCGGAACCCGCCCTGATATCTCACCCAGGCCTATCTTTCCAACTACGGAACGGACGTTCACTCTCCGGCCTGATGGGGCAACTGTCAACATGACATTGCTCGCGTAGATTTCGAGAGACACGCAGATCCCGGTCTATTGGGGACTGCGACGGGAATGAAAGGATATGCGGCGAGGACGATCGAGGCTGTACATCGATCGATCTGCGGTCTCTACAACATGTTAATTAGATGTCCCTCGTGTCTGGTGTTCGACTCCTCAAGTCGATGGAGAAGATATTCATGGGATCTAGAGCACATGCTATCTCGGAAATAGGTATGGACAAGCCCGTCTATTTAGTGAAACACCAGGATTGACCGAAAAACAAGTGCAGGGAATTAACCACCTACGACTCTAACAAAGGTGCAATAAGATGAAAAGCGACGAGTGAGAATGGTTGGATAAGAGCCGGGAACGAAAGGCTGGAGTGGAGGAGATTCTACCGGAACGCCATTGCTATGCGGATTTCTTCGTCGTCGGCCATCGCTTTTGACTTGTTTTGGTTTGGGGGTTCTTTGGATCTTGTGTTCAACTGATCAATCGTTCCTCGCTGGAAAAATGCTTGCGTGTACAAGGGAGGGGACGGAGTAGAGAAGCCTTAAAAACTTGGCAATGAGAATGGCAATGGCAACGTAGATCGAAGGGAAACAGAGTTTTAAGATGAAAGAGGAGGTTCCAATGCAGTAGTATCGGTGCAGAGGAAGAAGCCGGATTCATCACCGTAGAGTGCTGCTCCCGATACACGAACATATGATGAATGAGTAAGAAAAGTCACAATGAAGCAGATGGGCCACGCTAATAGTATGAGATATGGAAAACAGATGCCAGGATGAGACTCCTTCAAAGAATCGACAGATGATGAGTGCGCTGGGAACGTGGACATAGGAATCAAGCACGGGGGTGGAATGTATCGAGCAACGACAACCAAAGATATCTGTCGGAAAAAAATGGCTCGAACAGAGGTATTGAGTCAAATATAACCGGTACGAAGACGAAGAGGAAAAGTCGGTCGAGGGGGACAAAAACCGGCAGCGTCAAGCACTGATGATGAGATGATGACTGACAGGTCAATGGGTCGACATCTCCAGCCCCGAACCCGTCTTTTTTGGGCAACCACCCCCTTCCAGCCCGAAAAATACGTTCGATTTCAACACAGCAGGCCAGGAGCTCCGTAGCTTCTCTCATAGTCCCAGTCCTTCATGGTAGAGTTCCTGATTCGGGTCTTGGTCTCGGGCCCACTTGGCCATGGACTCGTTGAGAGTTGTCCCCAATTCACCCAGACGATTCTGAAACGCATCGAGATTGGCATAGGTCCCCGTCCGAGGTTGATGGTACATGTTCGATGTTCCGTTCATGTTCGTCGCGTGATGCGGTGCACTACCCGGCTGTGGAAGCATCGACGGTGGCTGGGCCTGGTGAGAGTGGGCATGGGGTTCATGACTTTGGCCATGGGTCATGGCAGGCTGCGACGGAAGCGCGTGAACGACAGAATGCGAAGGCGCTGCCTGCAATGATGGGTGGCCGGACTGAGAATGACCTGCTGGTGGTGGAGGAGGATGAGATGAATATGATGGATGAGAGGGATGAGAGGGATGAGGAGGGCGTGACTGATGAGGCTGGTGGGTCGGATATGGTGGGAGAGATAGTTGATGTATCGTGGGCTCCGGTGGGTGAAATGTCCTCCTAGCTTGAGCTTGAGTTTGAGCCTGGCTGGGGTGCATGTGCATGGGTGGGAACGTGTGGTGATCATCGTCCATGATGAGATCCGGGACAGTTTCAATGGAGCTGGGATCTATCAATACATGTTAGATGCGGTGGCCAAAGTTTGCTGTAACCGACGCTCAGGTTCAGGTGATGTGCAGCGAAAGCACGAGAAAAAAAAAAAGAGGTCGATGCTGATGGTAAAGGAACAAGAACGTACCGTAACTCAGTGGATACGCCGATGTCTCCCTCGTGGGAGACTGTACATCTGGTGGTGAGACGGGCGTTGGTGCCGTATCCTCCGGTTCCGGTGTATAGCAAGTCATATCCGATGGAGTTTCTGGTGATCATTGTCAGAACAAGGCTCTGGTCAACCGTTTCTGGTGCATCATAAGGGATTGGTCATACTAGGCTCGGGACTTTGCTCTTCAGGATTCCGATCTTTGTCATTATTCCAGGACCGTCCATAGCGACGGACAAAACGTGCGATTCGTTTGTCATCCACATCCTGACCATTGACGCGGAAGGCAGTCGCCTTCCCCCGAGCAGCACGTTTCTGCTGTTTCCGAATCATCAAATGCACCTCTTTAGCCTTGATGTTCTTGCGCACATGCCAGGCAGCCAGGCGATCTTTGTACTGTTTCTCCCTGTGTCAAACCACAACTATGTCAGTCTGGGTACGGAAACACAAGTCACGGCAGGAGGATGCATCGGGGTGGATCAGCACCGGCGGTGTCATCGACGAAGATGCCAGATGAGACCGGTATATGCAGATGACGGCGAGCTAAATCCACGACAAACCACACGGCCATCCAGCAAACAGAAATCCGCGGATGGCCGGCGGCAACTTGAAAAGATCATGCTACCTGAGGCTATCACAATCGCGACCCGCCGATGGGTACAAGACGGAATCCTTTTTCGATGAAATAGGGGAAGAAACGGGAGATCTCAACCGATCAGGTCACAAACAAGAAGCACGTAAGAAAAGAGGGGAGCATTTACGAGGCATAGAACCTGTATTCACGTTCCATAATTCGCTTGACATCGCGCAGTTTCAGCTGGTCATTGCGGTACAATTGCTCGATGATGTCGCGATACTTGTGCCAATCGTCGGATCGACGGGGCCGAAAAATGGAAGATGGTGCTTGACCCACGGGGCCCACGGGTGGAGATTGAGGCGACAGCGTCGCAGATGACGGCGGGGGATATGGTTCCATGGTGGAATGCGATGTTGAATGATTCTTTTCTGGGCGAGTGGCCGTCAATGCGAGCAGCTAGCGGAGAGGTGCCTTTTGATTGACAAATTCCAAGAGTGAAATGAGGTTGATGAGATATCTCCCCCGGGCCGATGTCAAAAATGGCGTGGATGAGTCGCAGAAATACTAGTGGCAGTGGCAGTGGTGGGGGTGGTGGTGGTGGTGGTTGAGGTATTGTTGTTGGTGTTGGTGTTGGCGATGATGATGATGATGATGCTTGCAATGGTGGTGACGGCGATTCCCTTATTTCTTCAGGGCTGCGAGTGACCTCAGTCGGAAGTGGTGGTAGTTGCAGTTCTAGAGAGAGCGTTGAAGGCTTGTCGAAAGGCAGAGAGACGCTCACGAGTCAGAAGCATCGGCCGACAGGACGGAGTTAGTTTGATTCAAACAGCAGAAAGTAGACGAGGCGTTTGTGGCGGTCCAATAATTCAAGGTACAATTGGTACCATGGAGGTGAGTACGAGGCGGCCGCGACGAGGATGAAGATGCACACGGCGACGCATGGAATTGTCGAACCGAACCAGATGTTGAGCAAACACACGGCAAATGTGTCGATGCGAGCCAGTATCGAGGGGAAGAGGGAAGAAAGAGTAAGAAAGAGTATGAAAGAGTATGAAAGAGAGAAGAGGTGGTGGTTGCTGCAAAGTCTCCCAGGTGCCAGAAGCGGAAGAGGAAGTAGATCAGGAGGGACTGGTGATCATGAAGTGGTCAAGACCGCAGATTGAGAAAAAGAAAATAAAAAAGGCGAAAAGGGACGAAAGAATAAGGGACTTGAAAAAAGATGACAGGAACAGACAAGGGGAATAATTGACAAGATGGACCCCAACGAAGAAGCACCAGGAAGAAATCGGTAATTCCGAGAGAAATAAAGAAGTACGAGATGGCAGAGAAGGTGGCCACAGAAGTAGTCGCAGTCGCAGTCGCAGTAGTAGCAGATTAGATCTGAGCGGGGAGCGCCGTGCAAAAGAGGCAATCGGAAGAATTGGTGCAGAAAGGATAAGCTCGCCGAGGCGATATGATTATAATCCAAATAATCACACCATCCACCGACCGAGACGATGATCCGAGGAAGCTCAGAATCTGCACTCCGGTCCAGTGAACTCCAGCCGTGAAATGCCACACTATCAGACACCCGTGCAGAGGAAGTCGAGTTCGCCCAGAAGAATGCGATCACCAGGCAACTTTGTACTGCGGGTGGATCAAGACTGCCGGACTCGACAGTTGGCGGAGCACGCTGGGGTATCAAGTCCACCTCGAGCAGGGGGCAGGGCCTATTCTCATAGGGCCAAGAGGAACAAGAGACAGCTCCACCGAGAGTGATGCGATCGAGCTGAACGGGAAAGAAGATTATGAACGGACAGGAAGTCACCGTAGACTGCCAGTCGCATCAACAGAGTCGTGGGAATTCTGGGGGAATCCAGATAGGGCGACAGAGAGAGAACAATACGAGGGAGAGGTAGAGAGCGAGAAAGAGCTGAGGATCGTTAATTCAGAAATGATGATAATCTAATCACCGAACCAATTCGTGGCCAGTGGAAAATACACCCCAAGGAGGAAAAAAAAAATGAAATGATCAAAATGCTATTAATATGCCACCATAAAATCAAATACCACTCAAAAAAAACTAACTCAATCTGGGGATCTTCCTAGCGGACAGGCGAGGCACCGTGCAGCCGATGATGGGCGAAACCCGAAAAGAGACAAGAGCGAAAAAGAATAAATAAAAAGAGATAAAAAAGAAATAAATGGAATGGAAATGACATGAAATGAGAACGAAAATGAGAATAAGAAGAGAACAAAAAAAAATTCCAAAAAAGAATAACGACCAACAAGATGAAGATCAAAAGTCAAAAGACGAGCAGATGCACATGGAAGTCCAAACCGTTGCTGTTGGCAGCTGCACCATCCGGAATCTGGATCCTGGCAAAAGCTGGAGACATCAACGATGTGGTCAACTTGAAGCTCTAGCATGGATCGGGACCACGAGCGCTCGTGGATTCAACCTCACATGATCGCGGAAACCCAGGCGTGAGCACGATTCTTGTCCTGTCTCATCTTTACAGTAACATGCGCTCCCTCAACCTGGAACTCAGTCGCTGATGATTGACCGGCTAATCCCCGTCCCAACAGCAGCATCACCCAAGAAATAATTACCCCGTACTATGGGGGATGTCTGTAGCCGCCGCAATGCAAAGAGAGCAAAAGCAACGGACCAACTCGAGCGAGATGCACCGGGGACCTCGAAAAGCCTCGAGGAAACGTCCGTGCAAAGAATCTCCGAAGAAACCGGGGGTTGATGGACGATGACCGTACGCAGCAAAGACACGAACGAGACTCTGAGCACGCTGGTCGACAAGCTGAAAGATTTGCTGCTCGACGCGATTGACGCGTTTCATACGTAAGGTCCATGGTCGCGAAGTACTGGACTTTTGATCTTTTGATCGAGTCTCTCTGTTTCATACCGTGCAGGTGGGCAAGCATTAGTACAAGACTGAATCAGTGGGTAAATGTCTGAATCCCCCAACTGCATGAGACTATTAGTAGGATTGTAGTACTGTATGAGTGTACGTTTGTACTTTGGACAGTACCTGGCGCATTGAGCCCCTTGGCAGGTTATTAATCAGTCCCTCGCACTGCAGTGGCATCGTCGTCAACAGAAGAAGAGAAGCAGAGGACTCTGTCTCTGCCCACAGACCTCCAAGGCCGCCGATTCCCCCTCACCCTCATCGTGACGGGCCTCCTCTCAGAACGCTCCGACAGCTCAGGAGTGGGCTTTGAGGAATCTCGAATCTCGCTGCCCCCGTCTTCGACCCTCTTTTTTCCCCATCGCCCCACTACTCTTTCCGGCGAGCTGCGGCAAGCGGACGCACGACCCCCTGCTTCCCCGACCAAATCAGGACCGTACCGCATGGAGCCCTGAGACCTTCCATCTGCTCGGTGATGCGATTTGGACGGGCTATGGAGAGGTGGAGGAGGGACTAAAGGTCGTTGTTAGTTACCTGAAGAGCAAGATTCGAACGGCTCTACCGAGAGGATCAAAAGGAGGCAGAGGAAGACACCTCTTGCGAACAGACCAACTCGTGATGATTGCAGATAGACCGGCATGACATGGAGAGAGCATCGACGGATGAGAATCACATCGGCAAGGGGTGGACAGGGCGGTGCAGAAGAAGGAAGATCTCCGTTTCGGGGATGGGGATGGGAGTGGAGAGAGGTCCGTGAACCCACCGCCCGTGGGTGAGTTGACTTACAGGGCCCGGATGAACCTGGGGGTTGAGGGTACCGCAGGTGCATGAGATGTAACCGTTGGCGATACGTGGTTAGGGACAGTATCTGAGGATAGAACAGGTATAGAGTGAAGAGTAACTATGTATATTGTATACATGATACTACTACTGTATCAGCAGTGTATCTAGGATCACTATCTACATCCGCAAAGCATGGCTTAGCATGCGGTTGATCAGGTCCATACTCCGTATCCCAACCGTGGGTGTCAAAATGACCAGTTTGCATGTGCCCCGAGACAGAGTACAGCAACACAGTACCTTGACCACCTGGCCGAATAGTCCATTTTCATATCCTGTAGCAAGGCCAAAGACCCAAAGAATCAATTGAATACAACGATTATTGTCTATCATCTAGTCATCCACCAGTTGCTTCTCCACTACTCCCGTTTTCTCTCTCTCTCTCTCTCTCTCTCTTTATCTCGCTCTATTCAGCACGGGGCAGATGGACAAGGTACCAAGAGAGGTGGAGCTCTGCGCCATGGCCATCCATTAGCACCTTAGCGGAAACTCTCTGGTGTTCGCCTCGAAAGCGATCTGCCCAAACAAAGTACAGGATATCGTGCAATTTGCTCCCGCTTGACAGTTGGAGACACGCCATTTCTGGAGTCTCGACGCAGCCCCGGTCATTTGTACCGTATCTTTACAGTGTCAGATTAACAAGAAGGACGATCGAGTGATAATGTACGGAATACTGATCACCATGAATGACTCGTGTATCAGTTAGTGTCCAACTGTTCGGGCATCGGTGTACTCAATTGAACACGATTGAATGAGAGACCGCAGCAGATGTACATTCAATTCTCGCGCAAAAACGTCATCTAGTCCTCATGTCATCACCGGGTCGTGTCGCCTGACGGACGAGACCATGGTTCCTCTGCTTGCGACTAAATCCCCAGTGACATCCCTTTAAATAGGATCCTACAATGCGCAGCATCGCCATCCTGTCTTCACGTGAAACTCGAAATAAGGTATGATCTCGGCATGAGAACAATGTCTCGTTCGGCCGATATGGCGTTGCAAGCTTGATCGCACTCTCAACCCCATTCATGTATTTACTCACAAGAGAATAAAGTTCCACCAATTTAAATCTGAGGTCTAAGCTGTTTGCCATTGACACTAACATCTCTAGTGCCCGAAATCCGGACTAGTAATGTCCGCAGTCCAAGCCAAGGGTAAAACTTCCGTTCGAATAGCTCGAGAGGTCCACTGCTAAGGTTGACCTGGGCAATCCATTCCCTCCTCGCTAGGGACGTGTGTAGCACGACTGTCACTTCCGGCGATGAATCCATGCACCTATCACAATAAATGTATATGTAGAAATCAACAGAGGACGAATGGCAAGACATATCTATGACGGTTGATCATCGATCTCGTCTGATGGCCGATCCGATGGCAAATACCATAATCACGAGAGGGCGCTACGACCGTACACTCGGGATCACTTGAACACTCGTCTCTTAAATTCAATTGCAATAATATTCGAACCAGGCTGGTCTTTTTCCACCTGGCAATCAAAGAAAGTGGATAGTAGGTACTAGGTAGTAACGAATTACAATAATCAATTAGAGTGTTCAGCCGAAGATGCACCGAAGCTATGCAGATTTCACAGGATATCGGAATCGCTGGAAAAGAAAACTTGAAAGTGGTCTCTCAAATTTCTCACGCCACTGGACC